GAGAATGATTTTTTACTCTATCTTAAAAAAATTTCTAAATCCATAGAATACTTCAATAGAACCAGAGAATCCATTAAAGAAATGACTTAGTTTAAAATAAAAATTTAAGACTATAAAGAGATTGTCAATGTTGACATTATCAACACCACCAAACTTTTGAACTTGAAAAAACCATAACATAAAAAGCATAAAGTCTATATCAATTGGAAAAATAATTAAGTATACATAAATTGTTCACCCAAGATTATTATTATAAACGCGAAAACCTTCAAAAAAACCATAAAACAAGAACCTATCTTTGTTATCTACGACCTAAAAAGAAAATGGAAACAAGTTATATTTATCAATAACACAATCGAAATCAAAAAAACCATCAAATTTCCTAATGAATTTCAAGATTTTACTGAAGCTTTCTTGAAAAAGAAAGAAGATACCCTGCTACCACGATGAAAAAAAGATATGAAAATCCCTATACCATCAAAAGTTTAGCCCATCTAGAAATTATTAAGACCAATAAGCGAAAAACACCTCAAAGTTTTTAAATTCTAAATAAAAGAAAATATGACTAAAGGATTTATTTAAAAGTCCAACAACTCATAAAAAGTACCCATCTTATTTGTTTCTAAAAAAGATGGTGGACTATGATTTTGCGTGGATTGGAGAAAACTCAATGCTATTATTGTCAAAAATCGATGTTTTTTACCACAAATCAATAAAACCCTGGATCAGTTCAGAAAAGTTAAGCACTTCACTCAACTGGATATCTATGGCGCTTATAATCGCATCAGAATAGTTGATAGAAACAAAGAAAAAACAGCCTTTTGTACTAGATATAGATACTTCAAGTTCCAAGTAGTATATTTTGGATTAATAAACGTCCTAGCTACCTTCCAAACCTACATTAATGAAGTTTTACGACCCTTCCTAGACGAATTCTATGTAGTATACTTCGATAATATCTGTATTTACAGCGATTCAAGAGAAGAACACATTCGCTATGTGAAAAAAGTTATCAAAGTACTACAGAAAGTAGGATTTTATATTAAACTTTTTAAATGCGAATTCTTCACCAAAGAAACCGAGTTTTTAGGATATATTGTTGGAAGTAATGGAATCAGGATGAACCCTACTAAGATTTAAGATATACTTGACTAAGAAGAATTGAAAGAAGGATTTGGAACTATCAAAGAAGTATAATCTTTTCTAGGATTTGCGAACTTTTATTGACGATTCATCAAAAACTATGCAAAAATAGCTAAATTTTTCTATGATTTAACCAAAAAGAATAAAATATTTCACTGGGGAAAAGAGGAAAAGAATGTCTTTCAGACACTCCAACAAATATTTTGTATTGAACTAATATTAAAATACTGGAATCTTGTACTGGAAATATGAATGGAAACTGATGTTTTAAATTTTGTCTACGCCGTAGTCCTTTTTTAAAAGTATGATAACAGTCTCTGACACTTTATAGCTTACAAGTCCAAAAAGATGACACCAACAGAACATAACTATGATATTTATAACAAAAAACTCCTATCAATAATTCAAGCATTTAAAGAATAAAAACGATACCTAATAAATGTCCACACTCAAGTACACATTTTTACAAACCATAAAAACTTAGAATATTTTATGACCAAACAGCACCTTAAACAAAAACAAGTAGGATAAATAAAATTTTTATCTCAATTCAACTTCAAAATAATCTTTGTTTTTGGAAAAACCAACACCAAGACCAACACATTAACCAGAAGATTGAGAGACCTCCCTCAGAAAAAAAAGGATAAGCGCATAAAAAATCGAATTAGAATATTACTACTGCCTGAAAAAATTTAACAAATTGGTATCATGACAACGTAAAAAACCTGGTAAGCAGCAGCTCTTAAAGATTCCTACATCCAAAACATCATAAAAACCTTTAGAAGAGGAGATAAACGGTATCCCAAAGTTGAAATATCAGAGATAAAAGAAGAACAAGGTGAATTCTACCATAATAATAGAAAAGTAGTACCCGATAATGAAAAGATTCGCGAGGAAATCTTGCAGCAACACCATAACTACCCTACAACAGGATACCTAGGGAGAGTAAAGATGCTAGAACTGGTTCAAAGACAATATACATAGGTAGGGTTTCAAAAGGATATTAATCGTTATATCAACAACTGCCACATCTGCAAATAAACCAAAACGTTTAAGAATACACCCCAAGGATTACTACAATCATTACAAATTGTAGAAAGAAATTGGTAAAGTATCTTTTTTAACCTGATCACCAGATTACCGGAATTCAATAAACACGACGCAATTTTTGTTATTGTGGATAAACTCTTTAAAATGATACATCTAACCCCAACAACAAAGAAACTCAACACCAAAAAATTAGCCAAACTATTTTTCAAAAACATATAAAAATTACACAAATTACCCAAAGAAGCCATTTCAAACAAAGGAAAGAACTTCCTAAACAAATTCTAAGATAAAATCAATAATCACTTAAGGATCTACCACCGACCCAGCACTACCTATCACCTCCAAACCGACGGACAAACTGAACGAATCAATTCCATAATAAAACAATACCTTAGAGCTTACGTCAATTATCAACAAGACGACTAGATTAAATGACTACCCCTAGCTAAATATTCCTACAATAACAAGATATCCGACACCACTGGAATCTCCTCATTTGCTACAAACTATGGATGGAACCCGGACACCTTTAAATTCCAAAAACTCAGAAAACTTTCTAGAAACCAAAAGGCTGCAAGGTTTGTACAGCAAATATCAGAATTACAAGAAGTCCTACGTATAGAAATTAATTGCGCCGCACAAATACAACAAGAATAAGTAAATAAGTGTAGACAACCATCACCTAATTACAAGGAAAAAAACCATATCTGGCTAAATATGCAAAACATCAAAACAACACGATCCTACCCAAAACTATCCAATAAGATAAAAGATTTATTTCAAATCCTTAAGTCCGTAAGAAAAAGAGTATATAAGCTGAAGCTTCCCCCCTCAATGAGAATTTACTTTGTCTTTCACACCAACCTACTACACCCAGCACCAAATAACGCTTTCCCTAACCAAAACTACGAAAAACAATTTCCACCAGTCACCGTTAACAATGAAGAAAAATACGAAGTCAAAAAAATCCTAAATTCGCAAATATACTATTGAAAACTTCAGTACTTTCTTCAGTAGAAAGATTAAAACAAACTTATCTAACAACCAACATTCGATATTATTTATGCTTAGGAACTACTCAACAACTTTTATAAATCCCATCCTAATCAACCCAATCCCTCCTCCTGACATACTCAACCCCACCTCATTATTCCAATACAACCCAAAAGAAATAAGCGAACCAATCAAAATTCTCCAATACCCAGACGTCATCCAAAATTTATTCTCAACATCAGATCTTTTTGACATCCAAACACCAGAACCCATCTATATCAGCCTATATAACGAAATCTGAAAACTGCAAACCGAACTAGCTCAAACCCAGAAAGCCATAAAAAATTTCAGTTTAACCATCGAGAATTCACCAGAGCAGGTAACCAGTGATCAAATCCCTAATCTAGAAAAAAAAGTCCAGCCGAAAAATTTGTATTCAGAATCACCAGAAATTCTAGAACCAGAGATACCAGAAATACTAGAGAAAAACCAAGAAGAATCTTTTGAAAAACCTTTGAAAATTCCCAAAAAACCAGAATTCCCAGGAACCAAACACAAAAGCAACTATAAAAAATTCATACTACCTAAAATCAACAAAAGATACCAACACAGTAAAGGACCTACCATGATACTAAACCTTCGAACGAAACATCAACGGAATGTTGATGCTAAAGAAGGGGATTCTGTAATAAAGCAATCTCAGCATAATAAACTCCAAGCAGAAATCCAAGCAGCCGGAGAAGCCCTCAGAATAACCATAAGAAACATCCAGGCGATATTGTAATTAGAAAAAAAACTACACGACGTAATACAAACCGCAGACTTAGAATAAAAAAGTATCCAGATCTAGACTTTAAAACTCGCAGTCCAAGATTACAACTATTATATTAATAAGTGCGACATAGGGCTTGTTTAGGCCCTTGCCCTACACAGACTTCCTAGCTTATGCAGGAATAATTCCTATCCAGTTTAATACCCTATATATCCGAATATCTAGTTTAGACTTAACTCCTGTCCAGTTTAACAAACTATGTAGTCTTAACTCCTATCCAGTTTAATATTTTATATATCCGAATATCCAGTTTAGATTTAACTCCTATCCAATTCACTTTGTTATTTCCTTTGTCAATTGTCTATTTAAACCGCTATGTTCGTTGTCATGTATTTAGAAATTAAGTAATAATTTAAGTATTAATCTGTATTCACACTAGTACACTACTCTTACCTTGTGACATTTGTGTATTATCTTGATATCACGACTAGTCCGTATACGATTTCTTACAATAGCATTTATTTTCATGTATAATAATACCTTTGTACACATAGTTTAAATAGTTAGAAACTGGCTAGCTAAAAACAACTTTATTATTATGGATTGGTCGCCATACAATTTTGATCTTAATTCTATTGAGTATGTTTGGCGTTACCTTAAGGATCAATTACATAAGTTGTACTTCTAGTTGAAAGATATAACTTTTAAAACCCAAGTTATTAAGAAACTAAAAACTATAATTGTGGAGGTATGGAAGTTACTAGTAGAGAAGTATTTTATAGCATTATCAAAATCTATGTCTGTTTGGTGTGTAGCTATAATTGCTGCTTGTGGTTGGTATACTAAATACTAGTGAATTAGGTATGTAATTACTTTGTTTTTTTTTAGTGAATAAGTTTATTTTCATGTATTTATTCCTATAGCCGGCTAAATGATTATGTTTTGAAATTGCCTACTGTTTTTCGTTGCATTGCTGTGTTCGCTGTTTGTCCGAATCTTTATGGCACGGTATTGTATTAACCTAAGCCAAAAAAACCATAAACTACTCCAAACCAGCCAATACACCCTCTCCCAACCAGACCGCAGCCTCCTTCCTGGCATCGTAATTATTAACGACCCTCCTCGTCCTACCCAGCACTCCCAGTAAACCGAGTATCCAAATCGCCCAGACTTTGACCGTAAACATAACACCAGAAGTGCTTCCGCTATGCCCCTTCCTCATATCCGACATTCGTTTATTCATTTCTTGAATGGTATTCATCCTCGCGATTCTGTTATTGCTCCATTTGGACAGGATATTTTGACCGTGGGGTGTATTGATACCTAATCCACCTTCTGGGGTGTTGAAGGCAACGGCGAGTGAATAAGCCAATGTCTCTGCGTCTTCAAATGCCATTGCTGCGCCTTGGCCGCCACTTGGTGGCATGGCATGTGCAGCGTCTCCGATCATTATAATCCTAGCCTTTTCCGAATAAAACTTCTCGGGTATGGAATGTAAATAAAACGGCCAGAATCTATAGCTATCTGCATCTGACAACTCTATAGTTTTCTTTACCATCTCGTTCCACGGAGAACCTTCGGATAGGAAAGTTTCTTGCATGATTGATTTCAAGAATTCTTTACTATCAGAGTACGATTTCCAACCGTCTTTGTCTTCCTCGGGTTTGGAAAGGGTGGTGAAGAAAGTGAATTGGTCACCGGAATTGTTGTAGGGCCAGACCATGAAGTTTGCACCGGTGCTTGTTTCGGGACCGAACATCATCAGTGGGTATGGATTATTGTTGGGATTGAATTTTTGGATTTGGGATTTTGAGATGTTCCCGCCGAGGGAGATTTGGCCGGTATATTTTGGATCGAAGTCTTTGGGATCCTTGACGAAGGATTTTCTAACGGTGGAGTGAATACCATCGCAGGCGATTAAGATATCACCTGTAATAGAACCACCATTTGTGAATTTAACCGTGACTCCTGTGTCAGATTCCTCGACGCTCTCGCATTTGGAATCGTAGATTATTTCGATCCGTGATCGACCATACTCCATCACCTTCTGCAATAGCGCAGAGTGTACGATCCGTCTTTCGATCCTAAGACTTTGGTATTCGAAGTCTGAGATCCCAGCGATGGGGATTGATGCTAGAAAATCGAATTGGTGGTTTAACAATGTGAGGTTGTCGAAGTTGTAGCCCTGTGGGGAGATTGATTTGTAGACTCCTAGGTGGTCTAGGACTCGTAAGGCATTTGGAGTGAGGTTTATGGTGCCTGAGGTTGATGGGTGGGTTGAAGGGCGGACTTCGTAGATTTTGATGGAGACGGTGGGGAGGAGACGGGTTAGGAAGAGGGAGAAGGAGAGGCCGGCGAGGCCGGAGCCGATGATTATGATCTTTGGAGATGCCATGATTATATTATATTATCTATCTATCGAAATTTTGTAGTCGATATTAGATAGAATATAATCTTGAAGTTTCGAATTCTTAAGATCCTAATCAATCCGAATTGTAGGTATGAAAATATACCGCGAGGAAGATTGAAGTTGTAGATGTAGAAATAGAGATAGATCTTGCTGTATCGATTGTAGATGTTAAAGTGGTGCAGTGAATTAGTGTTAATTAGGGAATGGATGATATGATTTTGAAGGGGGGCCGTTGATACTTTATATCTTTAATTCGCCTTCACGGCCTCATATTCTCGTGGATACTCAGAACTGCAACCAACCGTCCTACATCCACACCGCAATATCCAAAACGCCTCGTGCGTGGTTACTTAATTACGTTAACTGCGGCTCTGTCATTAGAGTTACTCATAAAGTCCCAAACTAACAGCGAATCCCACAGCCGGAGCCGACTGCTACGCCCGACTGAGACAATACGACCGAACCGTTGGCACCGAAATATGTCGAACCCTGCCCCGTTCTGACTCAATACATAAGTAGCTTACGAATGTGCCGTACGAATCCCCGACCTTCGATACGAGTGCAAACAGCAAATCAGTCCTGAAGGTATATACGACCCAAAATTGTCGGTTCTAACACGAGCTGGGATTCGGGGCTTGCATTGACAGGGGTTTGCGGACCCACTCGTTTAAAGGCTAGGCAAGAGCTTGTTTCTAGAATTCGAATTCTACAACTTCATGATATCATAACCATGCATGCGGACCAGAAGTATTCACTTTTGTGATTCTCTGGCTGACTAAATCAGCTCTTTAGTCAACAGTCTCGAACAGTCTCTAAGAATATTAATATTCGGGGCTTAGAAATAGGAATTCTATCGGCTATGATTGTGCTTAGGTATGCATAGAATGAGTTATATTTATCGGAACATCGACTGCAATTGACTGCACTGCCAGTCTTATCTCTAACTAAACTAACACAGAAAATTTAAAACATGACTCGTTAAAGTTAACGTTCTGACATTTAACTAACTCCCTTCGGGGCCGATGAAGGTTCCGAAATCCCATTCTACGCCCAGAACCCTCGTTTCGGGTTGTAGGCGCAGACTATCAGGACCGTTAAGCGAACCTTTGATAGGATGCATTGATATCCCGTCCTTCCTCTCTCCTTCAAGGTCCAATTCATCCACAATACTTCGATCTTGGATGCGTAATTCGAAACTAGCACTGACATCATGCTCCGTTGGCACCGTATGATCTTGAATCCCACAGCAATCTTTCGGGTTTGGACCCCAAGGACCATAACAGTACTCAACGTCACCACTACCACCCTCAACCCATACCGCGCCGCACCCGTTTGAATATCTCATTTCAAAGTCGTATTCAAATAGTGTATTTGTAGTTGTATAATCGTTTTTCTGTAGCGGGTCGAATCCGTGCATAGACTTCTGTGCGTAGTTCTGTCGTTATATTCAGTTAATAAGTAATTATATTTTCCAATTATACGTATCAACCATAACATTGTATACATGTAAGAAGATGGTCTAAAAGGAAAGACTTACCCTCAAACTAGCAATTGCAAACCCCTGCCAATTCTGCTCTGTTGCAAATCCCATCGGTTGTCTAATCTGCGCACCTGTGGTTACGTATACCTTGAGATTAGCTGTTCAAAATCTCCAAGTTCATAAGATCAATCACTATAAACTCGGTGAAAACATACAGTATGTATCGGCTCCAATTCCTCCCTGTATACTCGTCGCCGGTGGAAACTCCTCACAACTAAATATGTAAGGTATCCTTTCCTTCATCATAACCCCATTGACCTCCGTCTCGATCGCCAGTTTGTTCTCTACTGTTTTGGTAGTCATATCTTCTTCACCGTCATTTAATACGACCGTATTCGCCCCCATAAATTTCACTGGAAATACCACCGGTGTGTATGTTGTCAATACGACTACTTCCCCCGCAATCTTAGTCGTGATAAGAACTTTAGATTGCACAGTAAACCACCCCGGCTGAACCTTCTGCGTCTTCTCTCCAAATACAGAATCAACAGCAGGACACTTCAAAACGCCTCTATGCTCTTCAAACGGTAATAATTTCCTCCCATTCCCACATGCATATTTCCGCCTTTCATCTACCCGCGAACGACCCTTGATCATCTTCACACCATCAACACGCTCTGGTTTCCACCTATCGTATATAAGTGTAGTAGTCGCCACCCCAACACCCAAATGTTTTTCAGCAGCATTGCATAATGCGGGGACTATATTACAGTTATACACTAACGTGGGCTTTGGAGACGGGGTGGAGATAGTGTATGTTGTTAAAATGCCGGAGGATTCGGTGGCGGCTATCCATATGTGAATGTGGGTCGGTGTTCCGGCGAGGATAGTAGGGAGCAGAGTGGCTTTTGTGGGACCCGGGAAGATTTGTGGGTTTACTCGCTTTTTGGATCTAGATCTAGGTTTGGGTTTATGCTTACCCTTCAGTTTCTTTGGGGCCGTATTTTCGATTTGTCTTGAATAATATAATGTATTTGATTTTGACGGGGATTTGGGGCCGTTGGTCGACTGTAATGCGCATACCTTGCCGATTGGATTATTACTTGTTATACCCAATTTTTCGAGTCCCTTTCCTTGCTTATTGGAAAGTCCGATAGCAAAGACAGAATATTGTGATATGATAATAAGACCGAATAGCATCCACATATTCGACATCCGTTCCGTCGAGAGGTATGTTCCAAGGCCGTGCTGGTATATTGTAAACACCTAGTCCCCTCTACTACTAAAGTACAGTCATCACTTACCGATTTCTCCTAGCATTAGATAGTACTTCTCCCTTTAATCAACAGATATTTGTCTTGTCATGTAGTATCTCGAAAATAAACTGTAACTACCCTTGCGATATCTGACTTAAGAACCGTCCTGTTGCATTTTACCCCCAAAGTGCGTTGCAATCGTGGCACCTCAAAATGCCTATCAAAAAGTTCCCACTTCCCAAACGAGAAAGAGCTTCACCAGCTTCATCAGCTTTACCCTCCCCACCATTCACTCCCCACCATCACCACATACAGACAACCATAACAAACTACAACCACCCCTTCCCTCCAAAATGTCCGACCCAACCCCCGACACCGAAGACGTTCCTCAAAAGCCCACAAACGCCGAAGACGCCAAAACCCTCAAGGCGCTTTCGAATCTCGACACCCACAGTTCTCTCGATGACTCCTCGACACCCAATGCATCCTCAAACAATGCGACTGCTGAAGCTTTAGCAGCTGGGTTATCCAGTCTTTCGGTCGGTACGGGGAAGACTGCTGATGCTGGGGTTAAAAAGGTGGTTGTGAAGGTTGCGGCGGAGGATGTAGCTGTTATTGTACGTTTCTTTCTTTCTTTCTTATCTGCTCTGCTCTTCTCTTCTCTATCAGTTTGAGTGGGGTTTGAGATGGTTTGGCTGGCTTGGTTGCTAATTGTTTTGGGGGGATATAGGTCGAAGAAATGGAAGTTTCGAAGGTGAAGGCTACGGAATTACTAAGAGCGAATGGCGCCGATTTGAAGCAGACATTAAAAGCGATGATTTCTCCGTCTGCATGATTTTGATATCGATACCGAACAACATATGGGGGGGTGCTGGGGACCTGAATTCTCAGGGTATAGCTGTGGAGGAACACCGGAACACCGGAACACCGACAGTATATGGTCTCTTCGACAGTATACCGGCCGGATCAGATGTCGATGCGCCACCTTATGCGACTAGAATCTGCGGGGACCCAGCTTGCGACTTTGACGACCACGGTAGTTGGAGGACGTCCGATAATCGCCTTTCGTGTAAATAATAATAGTTTGTATTGGATCTGCCTACTATCTATGTATAGGTCTGATCTAGTCTATGCTCTAATAAAGCTGTATAAAGCCCCGCTATGCATAGAACAAAAAAAGGATAAGGAATGTTAATTCCAAAAAAGCAAATCGCAAAAAAGTAATGAAATGAGCCACCGTTCCACATTAGCAAAAACAATTCAAAAACCAGGCCCTTATAATAGCCAGTGTATCCTCCAAAACCCATTAATTCTTTCCCCTTCAAAGAGCTTTAATCGCCTTCAACATTGTTTCCATAATCATATTCCCGGCTTCACCGCCTTCGACCTCCCCTCTGATCAAATAGGCCAAGTCACTCTGTAGCCCAAGTGGTACATAACATCCCTCTCTTGCCTTCTCCAACCCTTCTCTCAAACGGCTGGTGTGTTCAAACATAGCTGCCGCTTCCTCAGCCTTATCAATAATCTTCTTATCAATTCCACACATAGCCGCGCAGTACATTCCGAAACTCTTCTCAGCGACGCCTTCCTCGAGTTTGTAGAGGAATGTGATGTTGCGCTGGTCATCGTCGACAAGAATTTTCATACGACGCGGTTGGATTTCCGGATGGTCCTGGAACTCTGTGGCTAGTGACCCGTAGTGGGTTGCGAAGTAGCCGATTGCGCCGATGTGGGTTGCTACATGGTGAAGAACCGCTTGGGCAATTGCAACACTGAAAGACTGGTTAGCATTATTCATCATAGTTGCCGAGAAGAATAGAAAAACTCACCCATCATAAGAAGAGGTACCACGGCCCAATTCGTCAAGAATGACGAGTGACCTAGGCGTAGCTTCGCTCAGGATCTTCTTCGTCTCAGAAAGCTCAACGAAGAAAGTTGATTGAGCAGCAAATATGTTGTCGTTTGCACCGAGTCGTGACATGATGCGGTCTACGACTGTCATTCTGCAACTAACAGCTGGAACGTAGCATCCAATTTGTGCCATAATGACACCAATGCAAGTCTATATATACCATATTAGCCTGATGATAAAGAAATAGGGTGTAGCCATGCTTACCATTCTCAGTACTGTCGATTTACCAGCAGCATTTGCTCCCGTTAACAGGGTAAGCTTTGCATTTTTCCCTCCCAGGCGGATATCGTTAGGAATAAAGTCTCCTGTCGTATTCACCATGCAAGGATGCCTCAATTCTTCGAACTCCAGTACACTCCTCTCAGACTCCACAAATTGAGGCCTGCAACTCGGCTCACCCAGACCTTGTGATGCCTTTGTCAAGCTAATCAAACAATCAAGCTGTGAAATAACCTTCACCGCCTTAAACCAATCCGTATATTGGTCGTCGAATCTCGTACAGAACCGTCCCAACAGCTCCTTTTCGATCTGCGCATGACGTTCACGAGCTTCCTGCAGCTCGCGAACTTTGGCCTTGCCTTCAGGACTGTAATACCTCTTCACCTGCTTCGTGGCGCTCATTTGCATCCAGTTATCAGGTACCTTGACCTTAACAGGAACCTCCACCAAATATATCTCTTTACCACTGTCGCAAAACCTCAACGATGAGGACTTTAGCTTGCTTTTGTAGCTCACCAATAAATCTTGTAGGTCCTTCTCGATTTGGTCGACGTTATCTTGCGAATCGTCAAAATCTTGTTCAACCCCGTGTTCAGGGATCAGCTTCCCGTCCTTAGCCTCTTTACGATTGAAAGCTGTATTCCAAGGTTCAAGGAGTCCATCAAGATCTGGCATACTCTCGATAAGCTCCCCAATAACGCCATCACCCCCGCCTCCGTAAGCTTTGATTTCAGACATGGTGACGTTGATTTGTTCGAAGCCCTCGATGACACGAAGGAAGTCCGCAGGCTTGCAGCTTCCAGCGTGGATACGTGAGATCATGCGTTCGAGATCGGGAAGTCTATTCAACTGCGTGGTAAATGCATCCAACAGCGCAGAATCGGCCATGATGGCCTCCACTGCATCCAATCTAGCATTGATCTTTTGTGCATCCGAAAGAGGATGGCAGAGCCATTGTCTGAATGTTCGTTTCCCGAACGGAGTGATGCATTGGTTGAGAAGATTGAACAAGGTGCCTGCAGCACCTCCGTCGAAGGAGTTGGAGAAGATCTCGAGATTCTGCAAAGTCTGGCCATCCATGACGAGGGATGTCGACTTGCGGATCGGATCATACCATTGGAAGTTGGCGAGACTGACAAGGTCGGCATCGATCTTGAGCTGTCGTAGATACCATAGTAGACCTCCAAAAGCTGATAAGACAAGGGGTTTGTCCCGTGACTTCTCCAAAGCTTCTGGCCACGAAACAGCGCCATCTTTTTCGAAATAAGAGCTTGCATCGAGCTCCCGTATTGTATGTTCGTCATCCCAGAACTCCCTCTCAGATTTGAGATTTGTCCAGATAGTCTTTGGGCCTGTGTTTGTCTTGAGGATACGCAGAGCTTTGGTAGAAAGGCAACCCTTTTCAAGAACCAGCTCCTTGGGGCGAATTTGTGCCACAAGGGTCTCGAACTTGGTAGCATCAACGTCATCCTCGAAACCCGCCAGTGAGAAGCATCCTGTAGCAGTATCCACAAAGCAGATACCGTAAGATGGGATCCCATCCTGAACGCTCTCTTTAATTGCCACACAATATGTTGCCATCTCGTTTTGCAACATGGTCTCATCGACCAGCGTTCCACCCGTCAAAACGCACTCCAGTTCTCGTCTAATAATCTTATCCGCATCCTTTTTCTTCGAATCGTTCTCTCTCATTTCCTTCCCGAGTGCTGTCTCCTTCTGATCTACCCTTGCAATTTTATACCCCTTCGCAATGAACTGCGAAGCCCACATATCCAGTGACGACTCAGGAACACCCACCATACGCATGTTCACCCTGTCCGTCAGCTTCAAATCGAATTCTTGATGCCCGATAGTGGCATCATTCTCATACAATTCATAAAACTTGCCCTTCTTGAAAAACACAACCGTGTCGAAGAGATCTTGTTTGATCTCCCAGTATTGTTTCTCAAAAGGTGAAAACTTATTCCATGCATATTTGGGAATGAAGAGGGTACGTGGGTCGTGTTCTTCATCGCCTGGGCGGTTCCCGTCCTTGTCTTGAATATCAACCAGCCAAGGGTACCGGACTTCCTCTTCCTTGCTCTTGAGCTTGGGCTTGTCGGCTGGTTTCTTGTTCATAGAAGCTGCTCTAGAAACATGGCTGTTTGATGCCGTGGATGCAAGAGTAGAGGACGCCTTTGGATCGTACTTGAATCTGGATGCGCTTCCGCTACCACCACCACCGCTGCTACTAGAGGCCATAGGCGGAGGCGAAGACCTCGGTGGAGGGGAAGATGCAAGCACTGCTCTTTTGGTCGGCTTCTTCTCTGTCCTCTTTCTCTTCTTCGATTTTTGGGTGTCGCTCTCTTCATCATAGAGGTCATCTACTATGAAGTCATCGAGGTCGTTATCTAGTACAAATTAGTATCCTTTTCTACACAGTGGAAAGGAATAGAATAGCCATACCAGACATCCCATAATTATCCCCCTCTGCATCATCATCAGCTTCCGGTGACTCAGCTGCGACCACAAATTCATCCTCATCATCGCTAATAACAAGTTTTTGTCGTTTCGAGCCTCTTCTGTTGTTTCTCCTATTCCCGGCGCTGACCATATCTTCGTCTTCATCCGAATCTGGCTCTGCGTAGTTGACCTTTTTCCTTCCCTGTCGTTATCGATATCTTCGTGGTTAGAGATCGAAGTTGTTGGAAGAACATTTTAGCAACTAAGAGATTATAAAAACGTACTGTTCTGGCCAAAGGGCTAGACGCCTCGGCGATTTTTATATCAGTCTTCGAAGTTCGTACTACCGAAGAGTTGAGCTTTAAACCTAGAGTAACAACCTCAATCATAAGTATAAAGAAACATTGACTTCCCAAGGAAGGATAAGTTAACATACCACTCATCTCCCCAACAACCTCGCTATCCATACCCTCAACAGGACTTGACGCCCGAACCGGATCACTACTAGGAACCGGCGTCGTAAAAGTCGCCTTCTTCTTCTTCGAAACAGCGGACTTCACCTTAAGCGAAGATTTAGAAATAGAAGGTTTTAACGGCGGTGGGAGCATGCTCTCCTGCTCCTGTACAGCGGGTGCTTCCTCCATCTTCTCATCTTCTTTCGCCGCAGCTGCAGACGATTGACTTTGTCCTTGCTGCTGGTCTTCTCTAGAGACCTTTTGAAAGAATGTGAAAAGAGAACGTTGCTTGGGACCCGATGCCGAGGAGGGAGTACCACTCGGTCCTGAGTTCGACGATTTCCGGATTGAAGAGGATGGAGTCGATGCATTGTTGGTGTTTGCTGCCTTTTTGGCAGTATTCGGCGCCATATTGAGAGCTAGTTTTTGTAGCAAGCACGCTCTCGAGGTTGTATAGGTAGGGACTTAGGTAAATAGGTAAATAATTGAGTATCGTGGCTGGTATGTAAAGTGTTTTGCTATCAATATCTACAGCAACCTAATCGGTTTAGGATGCTCAGAGCTAGCTATTTTATGAGGTAAGGAAAGCTCGTATCATCTACAATTGCAATTACCGAAAAATGTAGCTTGAACGGGTGGTATCGGTGATGAAAGCGATGGAGGAAGGAAGAGAAAAGGAAAGACAGCAAAGGAATTGAAGGAGAAATCGGAGCTAGTGAAAAGGAGGGCGTCGAGAAACACGCGACGTCGAAGGTCCACACACACAGTACTCCGTACTAGTCCACAGCTCCTGGCAGGTTTAGTTCGTTGGAACGCGTTGAGTGGATCCAATCTAATCGAAAATCTCAACCGGGGATTCGGGAATCTTGCAGGGAACCGAGCGAGCTCTGACCCGCCCGGAGTCTTCCTGTTTCCCCGGGGTGTCCCCGTAGCTTGTGCCACCGGGGCTGATTTGGGTTGGTTCAACATGCAACAACATTCAACACCCCACTTCAGGACGTGTCTAATTGCAATATAATATTATCGATAACATAGCCGCTGCGATAAGTAGGCCCAATTCGTCTCGGCGCGTAAGCTTAAGCTCAAGCCTGGAGTTTTATACTATAGGTAAGTACTATATAGTCCGCCCCTTTCGTTGACAAATTCCGAGCCTTCATTCAACCATTGCATTACATCAGCGTAGTCATGTCGTCCGACGATAGCCATAGCTTTTTGCTTGCTTGCCCTCCCGAGATCCACTTCGAGATCGTCTATCACTTAAACGGGGTGTCAGATAGAAATGCACTGAAAAATTTTTCCCAAACATCAAAGCTTTGTCGAAGTCGTGCCCTTCCAGTCCTCTTCACTGGTTTGTGGCTCAATCCAAAGGCTGTGGCCGCTTTCTCAGATGATGGAGCGTTGTCCTGGGTCAGACCATTTGTGCGGTAAGTAAGCATATACTTCCCCTGTATATTTGTTTTCTCGAACTTCGTTTAGTTCGAAGTCATTCCAATTTTATAATTTAGGGACATCTATTGAGTAGATGTTGCCTCCAGCACGCTATACGTTTCAAACTCACAGCTCCGAGACGGAAAAGTAGAATACTTTTCACAGCTTGTCGAACTTCTCAGCCTTTACACCAGATCATTACACATGTTCACCTCGGTCGAAAACATAACCACCATGTTCGACTTCGGAGTCCCAGAATCAATCCAAAACGGTCTATACATCGCCATTTGGCGGGCAATCTCATCATTTCCAAATTTTAAGAATATAAAGATCATTAGGTTTTCTTCAACTAGATTGCAAGGGCTCCGAGATCCTCTAGGGGACGACCCTCATAGAACCTTTTCGCTCAAACTTTCTCCGGAAGCCAAAGAATTCCTCGGACCTGTGACGATTTCGGATGAAGAACTCGAAAATGAGATTTCCATATCAAAACAACATTTCGAAACAGTCAAAATTGAGGCATACGGTTTTAAACTTCAACGTCAGCCCGGTTTCTCCTCTAGACCCTTTTTCTTCGGAAATTCCACCGAAACCCTAAAGTCTATAAACCTATGCGTTAGTGGAGTTCTCTCCATCGTCGGCCCAGATCATAGCCCTATAACCATAAGATTTCCAAACGTCACAAAAATAAAATTACACGGTAAATTCAACTATTACAGAGGTGACTATACCTCTAGAATGGCGGCCAACTGGTTCGCTCAAGCTTGCCCAAATGTGGAATCATGCAAGTTCTGGATATTATCGGCCTACAGTCGCGGGTTGTTGACAAGAGAGTATGAGGAATTCACACCGATGCATAAACTGAAGGTGTTGGAGATACCGTGGCCAAGGCATCCAATCGAAGAAATGGCGTCTACGATCAAAAGATTTAATCAGAAAGAACTCAACAAATTCATTCGGGATCTAATGAACGCTGGATTGGAAAGCTTGGAGAACATCACGTTTATCAGGATGCCTATTTGGGCTGCGCTTTGGGACGAGCTTATCTTCAGAGAATGCAGAATTGATAGAAGCGACAAGGAAAGGGAGCCAAGAATATGGTGGAAAAGCTCTTATCGTTATCACGATATAAACATACGGAACTTGACTCCCGATCAGACCGAGTTTGACGAAGAAGATGCAAACGATAGTGGTGATGATTTGGATGACTTCCCACCAGAAAACGCCGAACTAAGCCGCTTTTGGGTGCATCAAACTGGTCATCACAGAGCTCTACTTCATCGATAATCCCGAATCATATTTTACAGCTTCGAGCCCTCCTTAAAAACCAGTCCCCCACGCTCAACCTCAAATTGTTTTCCTCGCCTCCAACCAACCCACTCCTCGAGTACCACCTCTCCACCAACTCCAGGACTCAATCCATCTTCATTCCATCCGTCCCCTTCAACTCCTTCGCCTTGTCCCTTCGCAGCTCTAATTCCCACATCCTTTTCCTCCTTTGCATTGGATACAATAGCCAAAGATGGAGAATCCCTCAGAGTAACAAGAGGTCGTTGATCATACCCCTGCTCCTCAAGTTCCCCTTGAGTCAGAACCGGTGTACAACAAGCATCGGTTCCATCAAATATTGTTTCCCATTCCGCACGAGTCTTCTCCTTGAACAGCTTTGTAAACAGTTCTCTCAATTCTTTCCACGTCGACGGATCCTCTCGAGGCCCTAGAAGATCAGACTTTGTTATCCCAAGACCTTTTAGTAAAGCATCAAAAAAATGCGGCTCCAAAGATCCTCTATCATATCACAATATCCATATTAGCCTGCCTGAATTAATTCCTCACAAATCCAATACCCAAAAATACTAGGTCATACTCACACTGCCATAAACCCTCCATCCCTCGTTTCATAAGTATCATAATAAGGACACCCCCCATCCAGCACATTCCGTCCCCTCTCACCGCCCCAACTCCAATTCTTCCTCCCCAACCTCGGAAAGGTAGCAAGATAAGCACTCCCATCCACCATATTAGCCTCAACAACCTGTCCCCTCCCCGTTCTCCCCCTCTCAATCAACGCCAACAATATTCCCATAAAACAAACAGCCCCACCACCCGCAAAATCCCCCAGAATATTCCCAGGAGCGTAAGGTTTATCACCTTCCCTCCCAAGCATACTAAGTACCCCAGAAACAGCAATATAATTAATATCATGTCCAGCCATCTGTGCGTACTTCCCATCTCTTCGGAACCCGGTCATTCTAGCAACGATCAGACGGGGATTGAGAGCTGTTAACACGGTTTTGGGACATAACCCGGCTTTTTCAAGGACACCGGGACGAAATGGGTCGATTAGAATATCTACATGAGGAACTAAGGCTTTGATGAAGGAGAGTCCGCCGGGAGATCGCATGTCTACTGCGATACTTGATTTGCGACGGGTAAGTTGGTCACGAGTTGGTGGAGGTGGATTTGGTCCATGGGTCTCGGGCGTAGCTCGATCCAGACGGAGAACTGTGGCGCCATAGTCCGCTAGGAGGAGGCCTGCGAAGGGACCTGTAATATGTATTTTAGTATTTGATTGTGATTTAGGAATAGTATTAAGCTGGGAAGGCTAACCTGGTGCGAGACCTGCAAGCTCAAGTACTCGAATACCGGATAGGGGTGGTGGAGATGTCATATTTCTAAGTATTCAATGTATGTGTATAACTAGCTACAAACTCTTGATCGTTTACCCATTAGAGCGACGATTGTTTACAAGAAGGCCCCCCATGATGGAAGGCCGAAGGTTGTATGTATAAGAGTCTCAGCGTTATGGAGCCGAGGCGTGGGGTCGGTTTAAACCGAGGCCGGTTGATTGGGGTCATGGTCACTGCCCCAGTTCCCCAGGAAAGCTGCTGATACCTTGGCAGCTGTGGTATTTCTCTGCTATCAACACAATTTCTCACAAATTCAAACCAGTTCTGTGTAGTGTAGCTCTAGTTGCTTGCTTCTGCGGAATCGAACTCCTCTCGTATCCAAGAATTGAACCTAGCCAAAGCTAAATAAGGTGAGGCGTACTATCTATTGTTCTATTAATCGCTGTACTTCTATTCCAATCGTGATATCATTAATCCCACCTGCGGTAAAATTATCAGATTTGCACATAGCAAGTCCAATTATATATCTCCATTCCGTTCATTTGTCATAAAACTCATCATCCGATGCCAAATACTCAAAATATTCACTATCATATTCTTCCTCCTCCTCCCCTTGTTCTTCATCATCTTCTTCTATTCCAACATCATCTTCCTCACCAAATTCACTTTCATCTTCATCAGTATTCCCTTCTTCCCACTCCTCATCCGAAGAATCATCCAACAAACTATCTGCAAAGCCAGGATCATCCTGATAATTCCCAAGATTACCATGCCATTTAAACTCAAACTCCTCCCCAGGCTTCCTACTCCCAGTTCTCGAAATAACACAAGTGGCGGTTATATTCCGTCTATGATCTGCAAAATCTCTGTATCCACAGAATATAATGCTCCGAAGCACCGGGAAATCATTGCTAGTACTAAATTTCGTCTCCAGCGCAGTCTCAAGCATCTCGATATCCGCATTTTTAAGCCCCACCTGCGGCCAATACGTCGATAAAGTCCTCATTTTTGGAAAAAGCGGAATATGCTGAATCCAATTTGCACCTGATGCACCCGGTCGAGTTCGAAGAAATGAGAATGTTTCAACGGATGGGAAGTTCCTGGCCAAACGGGGTAACTGTAATGCAACAATCGGGTAGCTAGAATCAATTGTAAGTTTTTTGATGTTGTAGAATATGCTGCTCGGTGGAAATATAGGACTGAGGAGAACAAGGTTGGTGATTCTTTCGAAGTTTATCAGAGGCAATATATATTCAAGCCGTGAGATGAAAAGCGTCAACGATCGGAGTGATTGTGGTAATACAATTGATTCTAAGTTTGCAATGCTGAGGCTAGTTATCTTAGATCTGGGATCTCGAACTATCTTATTCGTTTCAAATGAAGGTAACCTTTGGTAAGTATTATGCCATGAAATGACAAGGTGGCTGAGGTTTTCGTAGTAAGGTAGCGTCGAGAGTAACAAGAGCATTTCCGCCAGTATCTCTTTCTGGAAGGCATTGCTACTGATAATATTAATTTCAAGCCTGTGTAGATTCGGGAAAATGGAAGCTTTTTCGAAGTAGGAATATAAGTTGTTAATATCCGCGATATCGAATCTTGCCGAACTACACAAAAAATCACACACGTTAACTAAAAGTCTCACAGGATATTAGAGCATTTAGAAAGGTCAATTGACGTACTGAATTCGATGCTTAAATTCCGCCAGACGCCCTCCATCGGAGAATGGTCGCAGCGACCATTCATAATCCACATCAGGGATTTTGACTCCGTTCGGGAAGGCTATGGAAAAACAATGCCAAGAGCATTTTGCGAAGAGCATTTTATCATTGGGATCGAGGAATGATAGTACATAGTACCATAGTTCTGTAGGCAGAGCTAAGAGCAATTCCCCGGCAGAACTAACCGAGTCCATCTTCGAAGTCGTCGTTGGTGCAATGCGCACGCGCTGTTTTAGGTGTGTCAACGAAATGTAGTTTCAACGTTTCTATGAAAGGCGACATCGACAGGCCGTTGGGATCAATTCAAAATACCCATGGCTAGGAATTGACTTAATGTTTCAATCACCAGCGTAAGGATCCAGCTACAGGCCGGGTTGCACAGGCTAGTTTTATAACCCTGCATCGTGAAGCAAAAGCGTGTCGTCGCACCAACCACGCCAATCTCGCGCCAAGAGCGTATTATGCAACGTGCAACACGAACTCCACCACTTTCAAGCCTCTCGAAATATAGCACTGTCGAGACCCCCCAAACACTATACTAAACAATTAATAATACAAACCCATATTCTATTTTGATAGTTCTAGTAAGCCCCACTTAAAAATCACTATGTCAATTTATCTGTGGATCTAATCCGGATTATGAGAGTAACGATGAACTATAAAGCTACTGCTCCATCCTTTTGGTTTCATGGAAGCCTAGCTATTTTCGATACCTGCGTCAATTCTAATACAGAAGATATTGTGAATTGGAGTATTCTACATATCCATAAAGCTTGTTAGAGGTCGATTAAGACTTACATTTGAGGAATGTAATGATAAACTAGTATACTCAAGAAAACTTAAGCTGAATCAATGGAGGTCGAATAATAGTGGTCATCTACGATAACTAGGAACCGTTACAATAAATTCCCTTATCGGCGTTTCACACCACTGCACTATGGTATACATAGATCGAGTACTCGAAGCCGTTCTTCCAAATCCCCATCTGATTTCGAATTCCCATATTCGCAACCAGTCCTAACCTGCCAGTCATCGAAGTTTGTGTTGACAAGCTAGTACAAGTTTACTAGGCAGATGTCAATGTCTCGAAATTTACAGCGCAAGAAATATACACACATACTTAAGTATCTATACTCCTATCAATATATCAACATATTATCACGAAGTATACTAGTAGATCTAGACCCCACTATCTTGACCATAGCAAATTTATAAGGCTCCAAAACCGCCCCTCCAGAAAACCAACTAAGCAACCAAACAACCAAACCAGCTCCATTTAATTTCAGCCGCAATACAAAAAAAAAACAGGATGAATGAATAGCCACCACAGCCAAGAGAATACCAAGACCATCACAAGATCACCCACTTGCAGGAAGGCTTCACACTTTTTTAAAATTAAATGGCGGGATTCCACAGGATCAACATTATTAATAATGAACCTAATCCCCCGCAGCGCAGCGCGCGCAAAAAAAACACTCTCTTTACAATATTCAAACTTAAACAACTTACCGCCCATTTTCCCTTTTATCAATTCAAGATCTTTGCGCCGAGTCGCGATCAGATATGTAACTTATATATCTCAAGTAAACCACTCAACTTAATTCATCCCCCCCCTTCTATATATAAATATACGGCCTAAGACTAGTATAGCTAGCTATAGCTATAGCTAGATCTCCGACGATGTCCAGAGAAGACATAAACGGCGACGGCGCCAAAGATGTGTGGATAGACACCGACGGCGACGGAATCCCCGACAAAATCGACTTTGACGCTAATGGATTTCCAGACGGTGATCTAATAGATCTGAATAATGATGGTGTTCCTGATGCTATAAATGTTTATGGCATGACTCAAACGTAATTACACAAAAATTATTTCTTTTTTTATATGATATAGAATTTAGATATAAGCTACTTGGTATATATATATATATACCGATCTAAGTAGCTGGCTCTTAATTAAAGTTACTTTGTATTGCATGTATATTGCATTGTGTCGAAGCTGGGTCGTTAACTGGGTTTTTCGTATTTCGATATATATATATAGCTATTACATCCGACCCACAGGTCTACCGGTTACAGACAGACCAACCTTTTCATCCTCTATACCCACCACATTTACAACATCTACATCTATATCTACATCTACAACCACCCCTTCACCATCACCGTCACCGTCACCATCATCATCATTATCATCGATATCATCATCATCATCGATATCATCATCATCTACACCACCCTCAGAAACAAGTACAACATCCACAATAACATCACCAACATCATCCTCAACCGACCTCGCAGAATCAAAGTCAAGTAGCCCATCATCATCATCATCGTCATCAAGCCCACCCATAGGCGCAATAGTCGGCGGCGCAATAGGCGGTCTAGTAGCAATCGCCGTAATATTAGCATTGGTTTTATTAATCCTTCGCGAGAAACGTAGAAAGTCTACAAAGGCTGGAGGAAACTCGGGTGGTGGGATGGGAGGGGTTGAAGGTCATGAATTGGGAGGGATTGAGGGTCATGGAAAGGCTGAAGGTAAAATTATATGATATAGATTCGATATATATAGATATAAATACTTATATATGAATCAATGTGTTAATGTTGAGAGTAGTAATGTATAATAATTACTTAAGTATTTACTTGTTTACAGAAGTATGTGGGAGCGGGATATCTAAGGACTTAAACGGGTATATATAAAGTACATGAAGGCTACTTACTGAACAAATAACATATAACATATAAATGCATATGGCATTTTATATCATCAGTACTATACACTAGTTAGACTAGCTAATCAACTAGATCTATAGCGAGAATCGCTCTCTACTTCCATAAAATATAGTATCAAACCATGACATGCATCCATTGCATGGTAATACAAAGACCTACAGGGATCCCCAGAACAGCAAAATCCCCATTTCCGAGCTAAGGGGTAGCCACCTAGCTTAGTCTCCCGTTAACCGCCCGCCCGGCCCGCTACGTGCATAATATCGACATCATAGACTTTCGGAGTTCTCCAATTAATTGCAAAATACAAACACCCCCCTCTCTAACTTCCTCTCGGAGTATACAAGTATAAGATATATACACTACACCTAGGTCGATATAATATAAATAGACAAATATGGTATACGTAAGTAGTATGTAACAAATAGTATAAAATATACCGGTAATTAAACGCTATCAACATCAAAATACATCAACGCTATACCGTCCATCTCGTTCACGCGCACCCAAACTAGTCGCTGCCATATCATGTCTGGCTACGCGGATCCACATACACCCAATGAACAAGCAGAGAGATCGTCCTATTCCCTCCCTTCCAGCCTCAACCATCGAGCCTCATGCATCAAAGCATCATCACTACCTCAAATAACGTTAACGTAGTTGCAACCCTCCACTCGAGTATTCAAATCATTGAGGTCAACATACAGAACAAGAAAAGGAAAGGAAAGAAATAAAGAGGAAGTAATACTTAGAAATACACAACCGCAGAAAAGTAGGCTATCAAGGTCAACGGGTAGTTCCTACACAAAAAGAGGTCTGTCCGCGTAAATCTTAAACTAGGCTAGCTAAGGTAAAAGAAAAATCATCGTATCCGTAGCCGCAAAAAGGGAGAAGAAAGAAGAACCAGAAGACAAAAATGTCCCCAGAAACAAAAATAAGAAGAAGAAGAAGAAGAAGAAGGGTCAGAATAAATACCATCCACATCAAGAAAATCCCACAATTCCCATACGCCATCGCATCTAGTAGTACCAAATAGAAACGGAATAAAATAAAATAAAAGAACAAAAACACCTGTACCGAGCATTTTTGATATCAACCAATTAACTTCCTTCCTCCATTTTCTCATCCTCCCCGACATTCCTCACAAAGGTCGGCACGACTCGTCTTCTCTTCTTATCCCCACCTTTATTCGCCTCATTATCGCCCACTATCCGGGCTGCCGCCGGGGAACTAGGGTCAGGTGTAGCTGGCACCTCCCGCTTACCCAAGACTGTCGGTGGTACTGTATTATTAGTAGGGACCGGTGGAGCAGTTGCGGGTGGCGGGACGGTTGCTGCGGGGATGTTTGCAGCGGCAGCAGGTGTGGCTGGTGGTGTTTTCCATGGCGTAGATGCCCCGAGCGAGTAGCCACTGACACTAGTGCTAACCCCTGGGATAGTAGATACAACAGGAGTGGGGTTCGATTGAACATCTCCCGTATCAGGGTTCGAACCGGGCGTGAATGGCGTCGGCGTATTGATAGCAGAGCCACTGATGCTGCGAGAAGAATTTACCGGAATCCTGGGACCGGTGCTACCAGATACCAAGAATGGGGATGGGGGACGCTTGACAGGTGGCTCGGCTCCAATGATCGGTGGCGAAAGGGCGGATGAGGCCGACGCCATCGGGTTAGAGATGGGATTTGCGGTGTAGATATTGCCAAGTTCGCCAGTATTGAAGGAGATGACGGAGCAGAAACCATCAGTCGAAGTCATAAGGAGGGTGTTTCCATCCGGCGACCTAGCAGCCGTTAGTCTTGTATTATCATTAAGAAGAGGGAAAGTAGATGAGTGTGTACATACCAAGTAAGATCGGTGAAGGCCGCGTAATGCAAGTTACTAACAATGCACAGCGGCGTCTGCTGTTGCGTATCATAAATCAAGACGGCGTCCTTTGTGGCAACTGCGTATACCATTCGGTAGGGAAGTGCGAAAGCTGTATTCGTTGGGATACCTGCTGAGGTAGGCGGTGAGTTGTGTAGAATTGTGGTGGCAGGAGGGTCCATCTCGGTGCTAATAGCTGGAGGGGGAAGCGAGCTTATCGTCTCATCTGCAGATGAAGTATCGACAGTGATATGCTTTGTCTGCGAAGGTTTCCGGTGTGTGTACAAGATTGGTGAACAAGAAACCGCGACTGAAGGCTTTTTGTGGCCGGGTAGATGCGCAACTGGCGGCTTGTTGAGGCCAGCTCTTGTGTAAACATAGACGGTGTTGATGATATCATCGGGGACTTTAGTGCCGTCTAGAGTTTGCGGGTGAGTGACTTTGTACTGTCCGGCAGGCGTGAACAGCAGGCTTCCATCGGGCGTGAATGCTAGACGACGGAAAAAAGAAGTCATAGCATCGTCGCAATACATCGGGTGGTTCTTGGCGCCCAGGCTGAGGAATTTCGGAGAGTCGACGGGTTTGACCGCTGGGAGTGGGAGAGCAGGGGATGGTGAAGGCGATCTCCTAAGGGACGGCGATGAGCTGAACGACGAGGCACGACTATGTGCGACGACGGGTGGGTTCATGGGCAGTCCGAAAGAAGTTGGTGTACCCGGCGCTGATGGAATCGGCGAAGCAAGGGGTACGGTGAGGTTGGGATCGAGAGGTCTGGAAGTGGGGGCGAGGTCTGGAGGGGCCGGACTGGCGGAGGGGTTTCGGCGGGTGGCCGGGAGGTCCATACGAGATATTTTGTTATGCTGGGAGAGACTGAACTGGCCATCCTTAGACTTCAAGGCGTAGATGTGAACGGATCGGTCCGAGCTTTGTGTAGCGACATATTCGTTGAGGGGATCCCAGGCGACACCTTGGACATAGGCGCTGTGCTCAGCTATCTGACGGACCATGGAACCTACATGTCACACAATGCCATGTCTCAATTAGTCCCATTCTATGTGCGTACTTATACCATGTCGTGTTATGGTATACACATTGAGGGTATGGCGACGCTCACCTTTCTGAGCATCATAGATTCTAGCGACATTGTCCATGCTACCAGTGATGAAAAAGTCGCCATCGGGTGACCAAGCCAAGTCGTAGATTTCAGAACCCATGGATCTGCACATATGCTTCTGACGCCAAGTTTCCTTATCCTCGGTGTCGTCCTCGCCGAAAGCAGGTTTGGTAGAATGGGTGTTGGATTGGACCCAGAGGATGACATTTCCGTCGTCACCGGCGGATGCTAGCATTTCGCCTACATAGTATCATTCAATTGAAGCTCTTAGCTAGGTTTTGGTCATTGAGTAGATACGAGGCAAAAATTAGACATACCACGAGGGCACCAACGAACGACATTGACGGCTTGAGTATGCTTGGCTAAGGTTGCGAGGTAGTTGACTTTCTTGTCTTCACCGCCGGTTAATGTCCAAAGCTGTTTTCCCAAACAGACCATATTCAGCGTCAGCACCAGCCCATGATCAAGTATAGTAACAAGACGGTGATTAAGGAGAGTGAGAAAGAGGGTAGGATGAAACATACTCTGACATTGTTGTCACCGCCAGCAGTTGCGAGGCGTTTACCGTTGGGTTCGAAGTGGGCGGAGTAGACTGGCTGGTTCTCCTCGTGCCAGTGTATCGACAGCGGGACCGCCTTCATGATTTTCTAGGAGAGGTGAAGCTTATAACAAAAGCAAATACAAGTATTTACTAGACAAAAAGTCCTAGAACATGGAACGATGGTTGGAATTGGGTGGGTGTGAGAGTTAGAATGCGAGAGAGCGTTGATGATGATGAGATCTGAAGGTTTGAAAGGTTGAAGGGTTGGTGGAGGTTGAGATGAGGTTTCCGTTTGTCGTCGTCGTTATCGTGTTATGCACGTCCTCCGGCAACTCCCCAATTACTGTGCTTCCAAGGCCACATCCACTCCGCAGCAACGTACTATGTACCCAGAGTACCCACTGACTAAGACTCAGTATTTCAGTCTGCCAGTAAGTCTCAGAAGTACAGTAATATCGATCGTATAGTAATAATGCTGCAGGTAGGCAGGCAGTATGTATAAGTACAAGTATGTATGTAAGTAAGCTGTGCAGTTCTGCGATGTCAAAAAAAAAAAAAAAAAGATCAAAAGATCAAAAGATCAAAAAATTCTACAGCTTTGAATCCAATTAATTCCTGTGGATTCTACTGGTCGGAAACAACTGGCTCAACTGACAGAACGAACAGACACAAGTCAGGTCATGCCCAGTAACCAGGCGGCTCAACACGGCAGTCTATTATTGACCGACCTGACCTTCCTTTTCCCTTAGCGACCGCCTCCAAACAAAAGGCACGGGTTCGCCTCGGTCCCCGTTGCTATGCGAGGGAGCCCAGTTCGGAGCAATGGCACTAATCCCTTTACGGCCCCGTCTACACAGCACATACTATGGAAGACGTCTACGGAGCGTCCCGACGGGATACAATTCTAATAATTCTAATATATGCACGCTTCTAATATACATACTCCTTACCTACTTACTTACCTACTTAAGTACGTACATAAGTACTTACTTACTTACTTACTACCTATATATGTCGACGTATATACATATATATTATATCGGTAGATATGGAGAGTGTGTCTGTATTATCTGCAAAGTGAATCCGATCGGTGGAAAAGAAAAGGGTGAGGGATAAAAACTTGGCGGCATCTACCGGCCAACTCATCGATCTTCCCCTTTTCTCTCTCTCTCTTTCTCTCTTCTCCAATTAAGATTAATACCGACATAGGACAGGACCATGCCACCGTCGACGGAGCAGCCCGGTTTGCGCGCGGCCAATTCGAAACACCTGGGTAATCATTCTTATTGTCAGAAGTAATTTCAAAACTGCAATCAATCTGTGTAATTTCGCTCGCTCGCTCTTTCCTTTGTGCTGAGTAGTCACCATATAATGTATGTACGGTATGTGCGTGTTAATTACCATTGGGTGTGTGTGTCTAATAACAATTCAATTGATGAGCCGATGCGTCTACGGACTCGAGAGACTTCTTTCTCCGTCTTCGTTCGATTCTTCTTCTTCTTCTTCTCCTTTTTTTTTCTGTCAGGAAGAATTTCTTTTTCTTCAAAGGGTGGTCCCTGTCCAATCCCAGAATCCACATACCCACACAAAGTGCACCTACCCCCCGGCCGCCGCCTCGCCTTCTTCTCCTGCATCATCCAGCTAAACCATGTCCGTTCTAGGGTATGTATAATACAGGTCGTAGTATCGATGCACTAAACACAATAGACGATGTAACAAGTTGCAAGTGACAAAGTCTCTCTTTTGTAATAATTTAATTTAAGGTTAGCCCGTTTTTTTTCTTTCTTTCTCTGGTTCTCATCTTTTTTTTTATTATATTTTCTTCTTTGTGCATTAAAACCCGGGTAGATTAAGTCGATGTGAATATATCCCATCACGGATGATTCCTCGAAGCCCTGCTCCCTCATTATCATGATTGTGATCATGATCCAGCTGAATCCTCACTTTTTTTTTTTTTTTCTAAAACGGTTGTTAAATATCTTATTCTGGTCTTGTGTAACAGTCCGAGCTGTGCCAGTAAACAGATGTCACGTATATTTTCGAGTCTACATGATACGCGAAGGATTAGCTGAAAAGAAAAAAGACAATCACAGTTCTAATATTAATCAATGCACAGTTCTAATTGATTTAGGTAGAGTATTAGGAAAAGAAAGAAGTGAAAGCGCGCGTCGACATAGACGAATCTATGAAATTAGGGAACATGACACCCCCCGGTCAGATTTAAGATAGATCCCATCTGGCGGCGAAGACTTATTTTCTTCTGATTTGATCAGAGAAAAAAGAAAGGGAGAAGAATCCAGCCACTAGGCAAGGCTCCCTTGGAACCGCGATACATTGCATATCACTATAGACACTTGCCCACATCCATACATACATCTTGTGCAAACTAGCTTTGAACTGATGTATGCCTACCGACACACATGCATATGCAGTGTGGGACGTGTCTGTGGGTGTGGATACCTATGATACATGTAATGTACTTACTTTACTTTACCTTTACTTACATGGTGTGCAGTGTGGGTGTGAATTAAACCCAGCTCTTTCTTTTCTTTCTTTCTTTTTTTTTTTTGATCCAGGGGAAATTTTTCCCAGTCTCCGAATAATGCAATGCTCGAGCTAGTTAATTAATTACATTAGGTCGGCAAGCAAAGCAAAGCAAAGCAAGGCAATTGCAAGGCAAGGTATCTCGTGTCGACGACATCTTTTGACATCAATATCATAACACGTATACATTGCACGTACGTATTTGTATAGATTTTATAATTTAGAACGTCACGTTGGGGGTACCGGCGGGTGTGAAATATGCTCAAGTGTCTGAATATAGCTATAGTCTACCGCAGAAAGAAAGAAAGAAAAGAAAAAAGAACACGATCAAAATGTTATTATGAGAGAATGATATCTACTTATTCGAGATAATTATAGTTAAGAGAGCAAACAGCAGCGAACGAGCTATAGACAGACAGTAGAAGAAGTAGATGTAGAAGAAGTAGAAATAAAAGTAGGAGTAGAAGTAGAAATAGAAGTAGAAGTAGATACTCGAGCAGATATCATAACGGTATATACATCAAATCTTAAAAACGAAAAAAAAAAAAAAAAACATCCAGAACGACGCTTTTCCCCTTATTGCTGCGTCAGCTCCTTTTTCGTCTTTTCTCTGCAATCCTGCTAATATAATATACTTAATTGCATAGAGAATACATACAATACATCGATGTATACTTGCCATTGCTTTCCCTTCTAATTCTAATTCTCCCCTTTCCAAATTCGCATTCCTACATCCTGATCGATCTTCTTTCCTCTCCTCGACTCGAGTCGGATATCTCTCTCCCTCTCTCTTTTTCTCTCTCCCTCTCTCTTCTTTTTATTATATTATTTCTTTCCTTCACTTACTTTTTTATTTTTTTTATTTTTAACTATACGATACTACCTATATACTATACTATACTATCCCGCGGTCCGTCTGTCTGGCTGTCGTCTATCCATCGGTCCGTCCCTCGTTGGAAAGAAAAAACAAAACCAATTACTTTTTCTACTAAAAAAAATATACTCTCACCGACGGTAGATTATATTTAGACTCTTCTTGGATTAATTGTTGGAGTTCTCAGTCAATTGCCACATTTTTTTCCTGTCATCTTGCTCTTACCGACGTCGACGGGCTAGGCTGTAACTCGAACTGTGCATGCTGCTGCTCTTGGAATCCCTTTTTTTTCCCTTATTCCAAAACAACATCTCCTCGGGGCCTAGAACAACCTTTCCCAATCAATTGCAACTACCAACTTAACTTCTCCTGACTCTCTTCGTCTCTTCCTCCTTCTCTTCCTCTTCCTCTTCCGCATCTACCTCCCTAAAACCTCATCGACACTCTCCATACATATATACATCCATCCATCCACATCCACATAGACGTATACTCCTACACGCCTACATAGCTTTCACGGTCGCCTGATATTGATAAATTCGACCTTCCCTCCCTCCTTTTCTCTTACCACGACGGATTCCCTCCCTCTTTCTCTCCAAATATCAAATCCCACGGTTCTTTTCCATAGGTCCAATCGCTTAACTCTACCATCTTCTCCTTGATCTGGACTCCATCCTGGATTCCAATCCGACGCGATAATCATGGCACCGACGCCAAAATTAAACGGGGCAAGTGGTCGCTCCACTCCTGCTGTTGATGGCTCCGAGACACCTGTCAGCACAACCAAGAAAATCACAAAAAACGAACAGATGAGATTAGACCGTCTGGAGTTTATGAAGAAGCTTGTTCCCGAGAATCTCATTCAATCTGTCGATCCTAACCAACAAGGCCTGAACTCTTGTCACCAATGTCACGGCTACATTAAGAGATATGATCACTTTTTGCAATGCACCGCTATCATTAGTAAAGATAACAAGCCAAGGCCTTGTGGTTTAAGATATCAGTAAGCTTCTCCTTCTTATTCTCCTTCTTCCTTCGTCTCTTGTCTCTTTGTTTCTCAATCTGTATTATTCCAATGATAATTTTCCTTGGTGTTTTCGGGTCCCTTTTTTTGGGTTTCGAGTCTTTTCGGGTTTTTCTTTTTTTTTCTTCGCCCGGTCCTTTTGGCGAGCTACGCGTGACAGCATAACTAACGAAATTCCGTTGCTAGCACTGATCGTATCTGCTTGGCCGAGAAGTACGAGAAGAACGAAATCAGAGCATATCATCCCGGCGAACCTGAGTTCCTCCGTCATCAGTGGAACGACTCGTCCCAACCGCAATGGGCTTGCCCGAAGTGTCGTGCGATTTGCAAATGCTTAGCATGCAAACCAAAGACGTCGCTAGACGACGGTACCGATGTGAGTACCCGCGTCCTTTCATCGACAAACACATCTAGCTTCAAACCCTTCCCTATAAAAGATTTTTTTTTTTAAAACCAGTTAGCTAACTTTCTTCTTTCACTTTAAAGAACAACAAGCTGAAGAAGATTGCATCATCACCTGACTTGTTTCTGTCGTCTCGTCGAGGGTCCGGCCCAAACGGCAGCGGGCACGATTTCCTTCCGACCCCATACGACTCCGGCCACGAAGCTTTCTCGGACTCCAACCTTTCAAACGGAACCAAACGTAAGCGCGCCGACTCGAGAAAGTACGCTATGGGAGAATTCGAGATGTCTTCTACAAATCGAATTGTCGATACTACCACCGGCGATGCCCTCAAGAAGAGACGTCTTGAGCTGCACGGAATGGACAAGATGGCCATCGGACCTCCTCCGAGGCCAACTGTCAAAGAAGCTCCAACTTTCGAGCCTATCGAGGTTGACTTCTCCGAAGAGTGCCTTGATGCTAAGATGTAAGCTTCCTTCATTCCCTGCTTTTGGCATCCATAATAAACGTGAAATACTAACTTACCGGTAGTGCTATCCGAGATTTCGTCCTCCGCTTTGGGGGCGACCTAGGGGTCCCCAGAAGCCATTTCAAGGCCATCGATGACCCGGTCGCCCAATGGTCCGCCTCCACGCTTAAAGCTCTCATCTCCTCGATGCTGCACGCAATCAAGGAAATTCCTCTCGAAAAGGAAGTTACAAACCGTCCAGCCAATCCTGACCAGAAGCAGCTGGCCAACAAGGGGACATTCACCGCCGAGGAGAAAGCAGTGGTCGATAAGTCGATCGATGCCATCAAAAAGGCTAATGGTGATTCGAATGACTTCTGGGGCCATGTCTTTGAGCTTCTCGTCGAGCTCGGATCGCTCGAGGAAGGCAAATGGACAGATTTCGAGGACAGCGAGATAAGAATCTTTGTTGTTGAGAAGCTGATGCAGATTGCCGTTACCTCTCCGGTCATCAAAGAGAATATTGACAGCGATTTGGAGGCTGGCTTGAAGCTGATCAGACGTCAGACGTGGGACGATATCAAAGCGGAAAGAGAGCGTAAGTCCCCTTCTCTCCCTCGGCGACGACATAACCTCCCCCTCCCTCTTCCCTTTCCCCTCTATCCTCCCTCTTCCACCTTCAAACACTCATCATCCGTATTCAATACTAATTAATATAATAATGATTCAGGCTTCGAGACCAAGCGAAACACCATCCAAGAGGCCAAAGTTTCTGCCTCAGGCAATACTGCCCGTATTGCCAAGCTAATTGCAGAGCTCGAGGACGCTAGAGACACAAAGGATTACAACATTGATCGCTTCGAGTTACAGCAGTGGTACGTGGTCCGCAACCTTCGTACGCCACTACAGTTCCCTGATGGCTCCGATAGGTCGAAGAGACGCACTATGGACCCCCGATGCAGTACTAGCCTCGGAACCGATCTTCTGGGAAACAGATACCACCTTTTCGCTCCCGGTCCCGAAAGAGGGTCAGAATGGGGTTCCTGGATCATGTGCAGGAAGTTTAAGAGTCTTGAGCATCCATCCGGCGAGGCTCAGGAGAAACCCGAGGCCAACGGAAGCACCAACGAAGCCAGTGAGGTCGATGCCAACGGCGACAGTCCTATGACCAACGATGCTGAGACCAAGAAGCGCCCGGTCGTTTGGTATGCTGTCAAAGGCAGTGACGCCGTTACCGATTTGACCGATTGGATCCGCTTCAAGGCCAAGGATTACTGGTATGACCACCCTAGCGACGAGAGTCCAAAGGTGGACCAGACCGATCCAAAGTCTGCAGATGAACCTACCAAGGACGCCGACGGAGACTTTGCTGTTGTTGTCGTCCAACGCCCCGATGACGAGACCGTCGAACCTGCTGAACTTGCTACCGAAGAGTCCATCAAGTCTCTTAACGACAAGTTGCAGGAGATTCGCCGATTCATGGCCATCGAGGAGAGCGAAAAAGCTGCTAGGAAGAAGAACAACCTTCTTTAGATGGGTTAACTTCACTTTATTTTACTCTCACTGCTGTACCTTTCACTACAAATACGCCCCTCCATTGTACCATTTTAATCCACATATTACGGTGTGGTGTTTTAATGCTTCTTACCTCCGGCGTCATGGTTTTTTTTGTCTTTTTCATTTTCATACACAGGTGGCTATCCTTCCTCTTTTTTCTTTACGCCTTTTAACTGAACGAGCCAGCGCATAACATGAGAGGATTATATTATCTCTTTACTGCGGGCACCATTATTTTGTTTTCTTCAAAAAAATCTTTTACGGGTCAGGGTTTATTACTGTCTGTTTTCATTAGCAGTCTGCCTGTTTCGTCCCTCCTGCTTATTGTTTACACTACATGGCCTGTTATCATTACCAATGCTCGTTCTTGTTTTATTCATTATTGTTTACCGTCAACTGCTACAGTTATTGCTTATTGCGATTATCCTTTTAATGAGGCTATCACTAATACTTCAGGACCGTCGTTCCTCTACTTCTCCTTCTCCCTCTCCTTCTCTCCTTTCTATCGAAACCAAAAAAATCGCAAAAAAACACAGGATTCCAGGAACCCCGGACCTTTCTCTATCTTACGTTCTCGAACCAATTTAAAAAAAAGTCGTCTTCAAATTGCAAAAGAATACATGTGTACTGTACCGCGAAACGGCAAGAGCTTGCATAGCTATCTGGGAAATCGATGCTTATTACAATCAATCAATCACAATTCCAATTCAATTCCAACCAAAAATGCTAAACTAGAAAAGAACTGGGACCGGCTGGGAGTTTTTTTTATTTATTTTTATCATCCATCTTTTGTTTAAGTCTGCTTTGTATTCTTTTTCAAACGGCGGGTATGTTCCTATTACTTGCTTTTGTGATGCTGCTTTGTTCTTTTAACCTGTTTTTTCTTAAGGCTTGTATTATACTACTTACTATATGCTTATAGACGACTTCCTTTTTCATTATTATTACTACCTGTTAACGTTAACTTCGATGTGGACCTGTACTTTACTCCTGTTCCTACAAAACTTAGGTAGACAGAGCACTAATAATATTAATTATTCATGAAGCCTTTGATTCCATATTATATCACTTGGAGATAGCTTTTTTTAGGTGAAGACAGGCGAGTGTTGGGCGGAACTTGAAGGTGTTGACCTTTTTTCTTTCTTTCTTTCTTTTTCCCGCCAAAGGTTTTTCTTCTTCTTCCTTTCTCCATCTTCATTCCTCACCTCACCTTTCCCTTCCTTCACAATCTTACCACCTTCACACCGACCTGTATTCTTCTCCCATCGACATCCTTACCTGCACCTGCATGCTCAGGTGTTCTTAAAGACCCGTTTGCGATCGATAGAAATACAGTGATACTGCGGCAGTCCGTCGCGATGACGGAGGAAATGGAATCCACTGGTACACTTGCCTCTCTCTCTCTTTTTTTTTTTTGTTCCAAATTGTCTCGCTTTATCTCTCGTTTGGCGCTGCTGCTGTGGACACCTGCGAGAATCTTGATTACTACCCCGATCCCAGTATTTTCCCACGGCTTGTGGAGCTGCGCTCGAGCTTGTGGATCTCGATTATTTGGTTTGTCAAGGATCGTGGATTGCTAATACTGGGTTTACTTCCATTTGTTTAGATGTTCCCCCGCCGCTGGCTGCGCCTGTAGAGGAGGAAGCTGAGGTTGTTACTACTACCACTCCTACTACGACTACGACTATGACTACACCTCCTCGACAATCACAACCACCACTCCTGCTACCACAACCACCCGTTGCTCCAACTCCAACTCCTCAATCGCCAGCTCTCGATGCTGCTACGATTCCTCAATCCGATGTACCATCTACACCAAAAGATGATATTTCTCGAAAACGAAAATCGTCGGAAATACCAGAAATATCACTACTCCTTCAATCACCTGAAAAACGACGAAAATCCGTCACCGAAGATGTGAAGCCGACTATTCCAACTCCTGAGCTTCTAGGCATACAAATGGGAACTGGGACGGGAATTGGAAGTGATGATATAGTTAATGATTTCCAATTGGGTGGTCCTCTACCGTCAACGCCGCCATCAAATACCTACATTCCCCCCGCCACGACACCGCCAATGCCCCACCATACCTCGATGCCGCCACCACCTTTCCCACCTACGTCAGATACACAAATATACCCTCCACCTCCACCATCAATACATAACCCTCTACCACCAACGATGCCATTGAGCCGGGAGAACCTGCAATTTAGTGCTACCGACCTTCCGAAGGATGACGACGGGATGATGCGCTGGCTCGCCCATCGCGTACGTGATTCTGCAATTTTGACGATGGATGGTAGTGTATCTGGGCTTTCACCTGAGAATGCTGGCGATTCGGATCCCGAGACTAGAGCGGAGAGGGAACGGGTTCGAGCAGAAAATAGAGAGAGGAAGAAGAAGTGGAGAGAGGAGAATAGTGATAGGAGTATGCTATACCTAAAAATCTACCATCTTCACATCCAAAATTTATACTAATAAAGTTTTTTTGGTTTGGTATAGACAAAGATAATGATCTCCGCGGCCGTGTTTCCCGTCGTGCGACCAAACTCTTCGGCCCAAACCCATCCGACCAAAAACGTATCTGGATGGACGAAGAATTCAACCGTCGAAAAGTCAAACGAGAGTTCAAAACCCAATTGAAGAAGAACGAAACACCCGGTTCCTCCTGCTGGAATAGCAATGATGACTTTTGTAGCGACAATCCAAGTCAGGTTATGGCGGGCGTATTGACGAATCAAGAAGGTGCAGCGGAGAACTTGAGAAATTGGATCGAGAATGGAGAGATTGATTATGAGACCTGGAATGCGGCCTGTCAGAGGCTTTGGGGCGATCCGGGGATGAGGGCCTATTTGGAGAATCTGGCGCCAGAGCAGCAGCAACAGCAGCAGCAGCAGCAACAACAACAAGAACAAGAACATCAGCAACAGCAACAGCAGGAGCAGCAACAGATTGATGTCGGTCCCGTTGTTTCTGATGTTGCCACCGTAGTTACGGAAGTTAAACCCGAAGGCGTTCTCGCTGCGGACGACGGGCTAGCATCGAAATTTGATGCGGCTTTTGATGCGATTATTGGAAGAGGGGCGCAGAAGGCCGTACCCGTGGCAGCGGTGCAGGAGGCTGAGAACATGCTGGAAGATAACTCATTCGGTGACGTGCAGATGGATGATATGGTTGCGGCATTGGAGATGGAAGCTGCAACTACAAGTGAAGAAGAACAAGCTGCAGGTTCCGGAGGCTTTACAGTTGAATATCTGGAGCAACTTATCGAGGCTGGTGATATGTCGCTTGAAGACATTGCAGCTCTGGAAGCGGCTTTAAGAGATGAAGAGGAGGAGCAGGCTGGAGAACTCGAAGATTCGCCGGGTGATGAGACTATTGTCGGAGTGGTGGGTGAAGATGGATTGCCGATTTCTTCAGAGGCGGTGGAGGCGGTAACGGATGTGATGGGCGATGATGGGATGAGAGAGTTGGATTTGGCGCTACAGGAGCTACATTCGGACCAAACGGACATTTCGGATCTACATCAGCATTTGGAGATTATGTCGCCCAATACGAGGGATCAATTTCTCGCAACGATTATGGGACACGATGGTGCGGCGGGAATTGATGAAATGGTCTTGGATGCGGCAGTTTTGGATGGCATCGCGCAAGAAGTCGGGATCCCGGGACTTGAGGATGAAGAAATGGGTAATGGTGGGGATGATACCGTTGTCCTTGATGCCAGTGGTGATGCCGAAGGTGGTGAGGGCGACGAGGGCGATGAGGGCGCTGATGGTACGGAGGGTGCAGAAGGTGCAGAAGGGGATGTGGCAGCTAGTTTCTCGGAGTTTTTGGAAGGGGCGGGGATCAAACTCGACGACTTGAACGAGGATCAGCTTCAAAGGTTTATCAATGCAGTCGATGGTATTGGGGATATCGAGGAGACATTGGCGGAAATTTTGGCGGAGATACAAGCTACGCAGGGAAGCCATGAGGGACTACCAGAAACCGATTTACCGAATCAACTAGAGCAACAGCAATTGCTGCCACCACCCCATGAGCATGAACAACAGTACCAACAGCCAGAAGGACAAGTAATCCCATTGACCCAAGACGACAGCATGATGGATATGACGGCGGGGGCAAGTGGTGAGGATGATGAGATGTACGGAGACGGGGAAGACTATGACGACGACGAGGATCTGGATCTTACGCCTGACATCATGAGAATTATATTACAATCGTCTGGGTTGGGATTACACGACTCATCAGGCCTTCCCGGAACGGACCAGACGCTTCAACCATCTTCTTCTTCATCATCTGCCGCGACATCTACGGGACAGTTACAGTTACCTCACCAAATTCCAAAACCTTCGCATCAGAGAGTTTCTACAGCGACTACTGCTGTTGGTCAAGCCAGACCGTCAAGCTATGCGTATAGCCCTGCGAGGTATTCGTATAGTGGGTATACAGCTACTCCCGGTGGATATGGGTATCAGAAACGACCGGAGGTACAGGTTTTACCGCCGGGATATAGTGCTTACTCCCGTCCTCCTCCCGCACCTCCGGTTCAAGAGAGGATTATCGACTTTGGACATTTGATTAAGCCGTTGAGCTATAAGCCCAAGAAGGCTGAGGTGAAGGAGGAGGATAAGGACGGGGCTGCTGCTAGTGAGAATGCTAATGCTGCCGGCGTCAATGGCAGTAACGACAGCGGGGATAAAAAGAAGAACGGGTGGGCGGAAATCTTCAAGTTTGAGATCCCGATTCCTAGCTTTTTGGGTAGAGGTGGGAGAAGACCTAGTGAGCAGGAGAGGATGGAAGAGGAGAGAAATGTCAGGGCTATGGGTTATCCGCCGATGGCGTCGGAGTTGAAGATGTTGATTTCTTCTTCTTCATAAGATTATTCTTCATTCTTTTTCTTTTCTTTTTCTTTTTTTTTTTTTTCTTGATGGGTTCTTTTTATGCAATACGCAGGGATTCAAAAGCACAGGGCGATTTATGAAGGGGTTTTATCTTTATCTTGGTACACAAAAAGCCTTGTTGGGTTTGTTTTGATAGGAGGGTTTTTATGGGGATGTATGACATATATATATCTAGCGAGGAGTCATTCTTTTGTCCTTTTTTATACCTTTTTTTTTTTCCTTGTGGAGTCTTTTTACATACGTATCTTCGGTTGTTAGGTGCCCGCAGGAGGGTTCTTTCTTTCTTGCATTCTTTCTTTCTTCTTTTCATGGAGTTCTTTTTTTGAATCAAGTACACAAAAGTATGGAATACAAAAGTCATCCTTTATATATATATCGTCTCTATATCCACCCATCCATCTATTAGTTTTGTCCCCAAGCGTCATGATTGAGACGAGGGGCTCTTGCAAGTTTTGCATGAAAGCTTAGATTATTATACATAGATATCCGAGCAACGTATTTGGTCTGTCGATGGGCATTATTAATATATATTAATTAGTTCTTCAGGTAAATAGTCAGTAAAGGAGTGGTAATAATATACATGTGAATCGTAAAAGGAGGTGGGGGTAAAAGGTAAGGGTAATATAAGGCTCAATACATAAAAATCCGTAAAATAAAAAATAAGACGAAGATGAAAAAAAGAATATCCCATCTATCGACCAAAAGGTGAAAAGAAGAAGATGAAAAATCATATCAAATCAAAACCAAATCGGATCAAACCTTCAGAGAAGAAGAAGAAGAAAAAGGGGATCGATCACAAAATCTCCGACAACTTCCCAAAGCTGGGGATTGGCTTATCGCAATGCCAATCCCTCTCGTACGCCTTCTCCGGCATAATCCCTCCTTCTAATCCGGCCTTATAACTCCACAACGGCGCACTCTCCGTCTTCCAAGTCCAATAAAACCAACCCCAACTCTTCTCGAAAGCATCCATCTGGGCTTCCGCCCAAACCTTCAAAAACAGCTTATACTCCGGCGACATATCCTTGGGATCGGCGTTGGCAAGATCACAGCTGCACTGTTTATCCCCCGTAGGACACGCGGGGGAACCATTGAAGAAAGTACCAGTCCATCTGGCACCGTTACTAATCCCGTTCAAATGTTGTGTACAATCGGTATCCGCCTGCGACCACTCCCCAACCATCGTAGGACCGAATCCCGTGGCGGTATTCATACTACCAGTGATCTGATCAACCCAGATTTGACACGCAAACTCGATCTTCTGGGTATGAGTCTTAGACAATAATGCATTATCAAAGATAACGTATTCGTGACCATCCAAAACCATCGAATCTCCCAGACCTGTCATTCTTCCGTGCCATTCTCCTAACCCACGGAGAGCGTCGGACATAACCTGCGAAGCATCGATTCCGTTATCCTTAACGATCTTATAAGCCGATTGAGTCCATTGGATCAATAAGTTGATATCATGATCTCTACCGGGTTCGTTGGCTAATCCGTAGAAGGCGATGATGTTTTTATATCTCTCCTGAGCAAAGAATTTCGATAATTTATCGTGGATTTTTAACGATCTTTCCGCGTTCGCCGGTCCGTCGGGACCGGTTAACCAATTCACTTTCCCTTGTCTTCCGGAATGATTCCAAGAGTTTTGACTACCGGGGAGTCCGTGAAGATCGAGTTTAATCCTCAACCCATACTTCCTAGCCCATTCGATACCTCTCAACAGATACCTCCAAGAGATCTGTGAAACATAAGGATCCCCTTCGTAAGTCTCCACGGCCCAATAACTAAACGGAATCCTAATATGATCCAACCCAGCGGCCGCAATGTCTCTGAAATCAGCTTCGGTGATAAAAGTAGCGTAATGCTGTTCTAGAACTTTAGCTGCCTTTTCGGGTCCCAAGTGGAGGGTTAAGCCGTATTCGTCGTAGATCGATGCGGAACGTGGGTAGTCGAATAACGATGGGGTGATGAATGGTTCTAATGATAACCATCCGCCGAGGTTCACACCGCGAGCGGGACGGGCGGCATATGAGCCCCAGGGTTTTGTAAGAGGTGGGACTTGTGGGTTTGCGCGGGCGGTGTTGGAGTAAGAACTATTCAGACCGACTAAAGGTAATGAACCGATTGTGTTGGTGGTGAATGTACAGTTGAAGCCTTCGAGGGTTAGCCAGGATGTTGTGTCATAGTAGGATCCCTTGGAGGATTTGGGGATGTCGGAGGGGGAAGGGCAGACGACTTCTGGTTCGTTGTCTTTGTCGTCTTCATCTTCGTCGTCTGGGGAATTGGACTTTATGGGGGATGAGGTGCCGCCTGATGTGTTTGTTGCTGAGCCAGAGTCGGTCTTGGAGGGTTGTGGGGGGGATCCGCCGTTGTTATTGTTACCACCACCACCACTGCTGCCTTCGGCGGCTTGAGAGGTTGCTGCTGCTTCGGAGACGCTGTTTGAAGAGGAGGAGCCCACGCGGATGACTTTTTGACTTATTAGTACTGCGATTACGATGCCAGCTATTGCTGCTAAAGATACTAATGCGGTTATCCCGATCCCTGGATTGTTTCAAAAAAAAACGGTTTATCAGTTAGCGAATCTTTATTTGAGTGGTTTTGTTTGTGAGGGGGGGAGAGAAATTTCTGGAGAAGGCGGGGAAGTGGAGTTAAGAAATGGTGTGTAACATAACATAACATACATATCTTTCGTCTGGACTTTTTGGCTGCTGATGTTGGATGTGCGGCTGCAAGTTTGTCTGGGGTGCCGGTGCTGGGCGGTGTCAGACTCTCCATGCGGATGTCTGTTGATGCCATTTTGTCTTATGATTTTCCCTCCGCTTCTTCTTCTATTCTTCTTCTTCGACTTCTTTTCTTATAACTACTTATTTATATATATATTAAGGTTCTGGAAGAGATGTATATCTTCCCCAAAGAAAAGAAGAAGAAGAAAAAAAAAGGAATGAAAGGAATGAAGTGTGCGTGTGGAAGAACTAAAAAAAGAGACAGAGAGGAGGATATAAAAACGAGTGACACCTCTTTCTTCCTGTCGGTAGACAGAATAGCAAAAAGAATTCTAACGAATGACTATAGTAAGCAAAGCTACTCGAAAGGAAAAAGCCTTGTAAGAAAGGATTCACGATTTCGTAGCTTTGTGGTTTAAATCGGGGGGTTAGGCATTCTTTATTGAAAAAGGAATGCTATGTTTTTCTTCCCTCCTCTTCTAAATCTGTAAACGGGAAAAGGAAAAAATAAAAAATGCCATTTCGCCATTTTCCCTCGCCTTCAGCCGAGAAGAAGGTGATTTGAACTTGAAAGAGGCGGAGAGGCAGAGAGAGAGCGCGATAGTCCCTGCATGGCATTTTGATCCAAATGCTACCTTACATCCTTGGCTTAATTTTAAACACGAGCGCAGGCCCATGCTAACAAAACTGAGAAAAAACCCCACAAGTACAAGACGAAAACATACACCGAGAAAAGGGCTGAAAATCCGCACGCGAGGGGGAGGGAACGACAGCCAGAATGGATTAGGCAATAACTTTATTTTTCCTCACCCTGGTGGGGTGAAATAAATGACCTCAATGGCTGGACTTCATAACTTTGTACTGCACAAGCAAGGGGGGCAATCGAAAGGGCCTTCGGGGAAAGTTTCTAAGTGTGGTAATTTGTAACGCCTACTTTGCGTTGGCGCGGGACGATTTGGGAGTAATTGTTCAGTCATCATCCTAAGCGTCTTGAGATTCTCTTGTGAACTGTTGGCGAAGGAGACATGAGAAGTCTTGGGGTTGCATTCGGCGGGGTTCTTCTTGTTCTTCTTCCCTTTTTCACTCGTACGATATTAGTTTTGGGTGCACTGACAAGCCTAGGTTCCGAGGATGTTTGGACGGATGCTCTGGGTGGTTTTGCCGTCTCTTCTTTTTCCCTTTGAATCGAACGACTGGTTTCTAGCGACGTTGCATGCGATATATTATTATTAATACTTTTGTTCTTTTTTGATGCTATAAAAAGGGGATATCCTACTTTGAGAGAAAGAAAAAAAGTCATACCAGCGAATAGATGCAAGGGAATGAGGAATGTCGTGACATGTCATGTGTTCACATGGCCTCTCTCTCTCTCTCTTTTTCTCTTTTGATTCAGAACCGCGAACGTCTAGTAGACTGTTCTTTTTTTTTAGAATAGAAACTCCACAGTTGCGGCGAGTGTAACGTTATCATTTATCTTGGTATGCGAATCATTAGCGTTTGCCGAGTCGTCTACAAGACTTTCGAGCTGAACATAGTCTGTACTTGCAAACCGTTTCCCCTTCTTCTTCTTCTTCTGAATTGATTCTTCTTCTTCCTTTTTCAGCCTCTTCGGACGAGGGCTTTGAAATGCCGGTCTACCCGTAAAGGTATTAATATGATTGGCCCATGGCCACCCCTGGTTGATTATTAAATTGCCGAGATGTCCACCAAAGCTTGTCTTTCTTCCTCTCCCTCTTTCGTAATGAGAACTGCGTTTCTTCTTTTTTTTTTGTTGGATTATCAGGCCTTCTTTTATATTATATCAACTGTTGTAGATAACATTCTGGAATTTTCCGATAGTTGTATATTCAGTTACAATTCAACAGAAATATATTTCTAGAATATTTATACTGGATTTTCCTCATAAATCTTGGTCGCCACATAAAAGTCAGGTCCTGTTGAACCCCCCTAAACGTTCTTTCTACAAACAAACGCAGTCAATTCAGCCGCAAGCTTTTGTGGTGATTAAACGGTTCTAGATATGACTAGCTGAGCTGAGCTCGTTGCCACATACACTAGTTCAATCACCCCTTTCTCTTTCGTCCAGTATATGGCCAATGCAGTTGGCGGAGCTGCCTTTGTTATTCTTATCATAACTCATCGCTGTATTTGAGGTTCCTATGACCGGGAGAAGTAGCAGATCGATTGTGCATACGTGCGCCTATGGGTTACGTAATTACTTTTATTCGTACTTACCTACCAGTCTTGTTCCGATGCGGGCGTAGACAGATGCTGTCTCACAATATGCAATATCGAATGCTGCATTTCCATCTAAGGTATATAGACAAGGATCTCCTTTTCTAGACTTAATATATATTTTTTCTTCTAAGGCGTAGTGGTGTATGCAAGCCCCTGAGCCTTATACAGCGCCTAAAACGATATCGATATTGATATCAATATTGATATTTCTTATTGGCGCCTAGCCTGACTGAAAAATAGAGTTTACCGACGAGAGTCCAGTTGGCGGAATCGATTGGTTTCACTAGCCTTCTGCTTCTTCTTCCCCTACGGCGATACTAAATCAAGATAGTAATACCTAAGTACCTACCTAGTTATTAACCTTAGACGTCCAAAGCTACACTATACATATAGAACCAAACCCTGCTTTGACTAATGCAACCCTCAAACTTTCCAAAATTCATACCCGATACCTAATTATAAATATATTCTCCAGCCTTATAGCCATATACACCATCTCTTCCTATATATTCCGCAAGTTTAAGTTTCTTTGTCATTTTACTTCATACTCTAGTAGTTATAATTGGTTAAGTATGATAGCTAGAGCTTTACACCGTCGAAGGTAGCCATGACTAATTGCGACCTGGGCTAATTGCGACCTGGGCTAATTGCGACCTGGGCTAACTGCGACCTGGGTTAACTGCGACTTGAGTTAACTGCGACCTGAGCTAACTGCGACCTGGGCTAACTGCAACGGTCTTACTTCTGCTGGATATTCCAGTGACCTAAGTACTTATCCGATGATTGTTTTCAAGATCTAGTACTTACAATATCAAAACGCTGCTATCAGAATAGAATACCCAAGTATGTATTCAATAACCACTTAACCAACTCTAGATCCACGACGCTAGCTGCAGCTGCAGACCGAAACACCAACTCGTATAAATACCACATCACTTATATATATCGCTTCACCAACTCACATACACTTCTAATCACACCTCATCTACATACACCCTGATATATTCGTATTAAATATAATATTGATATTGATATTGATGTTCCAATCTTTAAATTTCCACTTTTCTTTCATTTAACATGTACATTTACAAACTCCTCGCTGTGCATTCGCCTTCCATGCAAGAAACGGCCGTTCAATACATCTACATGCATACCTAACGTAAATACATACGTATCCAGTAGCCTCACGGAAAAGGAAGAATGCGAAAAAAAGAAAAGGATATGGGGGTTTTTAAAAAAAGGCCGGCACTACAATCGATAGTTCAAGAGATCAAGAAGGAAAAAAAACCAAAAAGACTCAATTACCCAATAGTTAGTACCGTACCCACGGTTTATGTCAGAATGACAAGCCCAACCGTACCCAAAAGGAAAAAAAGGAAAAACGAAAACCAGAAAAACAATGTACCCAAAAGAACCCAAATACTCCTATGATGAAAACGCCAAAGTAAGAGCGTATAAGAGGGGATCAAAAAAAAAGGAAAAACCAGAAAGAGAAAAAGGAAAACAAAAAGAAACAAGTGTAATCAAAACAATCAGAATAGGTATACCGTCTTGATACCAGACAGTAAAGCTATACTCAAAAAACCAGCAAAGCCATGCAAAGTTTTCATAAGCCATAAACACGTACACCATGTACACCGTCACAAGCAAGTACCATAGTAAGAGTGCCAATGTTGGGGACGACATTGACGAGGTATCCACCCTAGGGTCGAGTGGATAAAACGTACGAGGCGGTAGAGGTAGTCGACGTTTGGGAAGGCGCCGGCAAGGTGTTCACACTAGGGTCGAGTGAACGGGTATATTGCGATGGAAAGGGAGAAAACCAAAAAAAAATCAAAATAAAGTCGACGAATTGCATGTCGTGAATCGAAAGGAAAAAGTCAAAACGTAGTCGCGGAATCGAAAAAAGTAAAAGTAATCAATCAAAGAGGTTCCTGTAAAGAACCCATGTACTGAATCGAAAAAGAAAAGAAGAAAAAGTCCAAAGTCGCTTTTGTATACCGCGTACTGCCAAAGTCGTGATAATCGAGTGCGGTATCAATCAGTATTCGTATTCGTAGGGGGATATAGGGAGGGAGGGAAAAACAATCTAGACGACGATGTGGCCGCTAATTCTGCTGCCAGTGCTGTGTCGTCTTGCGCTAGTTCTAGAAACGGACGATGCCCTATCGGCAGTAACACCCTCAGCAACATCATATAGGGCGTATATCTGGTCTGCCTTCTTATCCATCAACTCGACAATTTCAGTAAGCTGATTCGTCAACGACTTGCGCTTTCGTCGACCTAGAGATGGGTCACAAGCAAGATATTCCGCTTCGACCTGCTTATATTCACTGCATATGGTCATTAGTTCTGTGTCCATCGGATAGGAGAAAGGAAGTAACTTACAGCTTCAAGTGCTCTAACTCATCTTGGATCTGCTTCATGACTTTGTCAAGAGCGTATTTAGGTGGTTGGCTAGGTCTGATCGTGACCTCGCCTTCAGCAAGCTCCGAATCGTCTAACATGCGTCGCGAGATCGGGACAACTTCCGGAATCTCAACATCAAAGGATTCGTTCACAATGTGTCCCTTTGCCTGGCACTCCTCGAGTGCAGATGCTCGGTGGCATAGGGTGCAGGAGTGTGCATTGTGGATGCAGACTCGCTCCACAGCATTATTATAATCCTCTGCCGCACGAATGCTAGACATAGCACTGACATGTCTCTTGACAGTCTGCTGAGAGGATGGTGGGGAAGGTAGGGAGCGGGGTAGTTCATGAAGGATATTACCAATTTCGTTATCCGCAATCTCTCCTTCGGTGTCATTGGCAATCATAGAAGTACGGAGGAAGGGATGTCCGATCTCTTCATCGTTACCTTCAATATCAAGCTCATCGTTATCCTTCTCGGAGAAAATCTGAACACGTTTCTTAACCTCGGGCACCTTCACGTCGGCATCATCGTTTCGACGGGTGGTACGCTCGGTTCTGAAATGCGGATTTTTCTCGGCGGTACGTTGTTGGGATGTGAAAGCTTCTAGTTGTTTCCTCTCCTCCAAAATTTCCCTTCTCAATCTAGCAACTCCCTCACTCTGCACAAAGCGTCGTGAGACAAGGTTGCTACGCCTTGAATTGGGTGGAGGGGGAACAGTAGATCTTACCTCGACGAAGCTAGTGTTCGTGTCATCATCCAAAACATCACCTGCCATTTCCCGATGGATACGAGACTCGCTGAGAGAAGGCTCCGTAAACGTGTCATCCAAATAAGCCTCGATAAAGGACGATTCCCCGGTGGTTGGTGCGGTGAATGGAACATTTAGGAAATTCTGCGCCGCTTCTTCCGTTTCGGATTCAGAATACTCCTCGACAACTGTTCGAGTCTTCTTAACATGAGGTTTGTTCGAAGACCTGCTAGCAGTTGTAGAGTTAGAAATCTTCCTCTTCGCGGCAGCCAAAGCTGTGGCAGGGACAGGGGCAGTGGAGGTGGAGGGGAACAACTTCTTCAGTTCGGTGTCAACTTGCTGTTGAACACGCTCCTCGGGCTTCGAGGCCACCAAAGGCTGTCCTTCTCTTTCTCGTGTGATCTTGATAGCCGGTTTCGCGGGCTGAGCGTTATTGGTGACAGATGCCTTTCGAGCCTCTGTCCTCTTAATCTCGGCGATATTCGCCTTCGTGGCGGTATACTCCTCAGCCGTTGCATCTTGCTTGACGGCAGATTTCCACCCTCGAGTAATTGCTTGGTAAGAATTAGCTGCAAGCGTACTCTCAGTCGCAATTCTGCTCGTTCTAGCTACTTTCTCGCGATACCGGTTTATTTTATCATTCATGAGCTTTCTCTCATGATCCAAGTCCTTATCTTTTCTTTCGAGATCCCTCATAAGTCTCTCAATGTCACCGGACAAAAGGTCATTTTCTTGAGCGAGCTCATCGTTTTCTTTACGAAGACTTTCTATTTCTTCTTGAAGCTCATCATTATGAGCTGTCTTACGGGCGAGTGAGCTGGATGCAATATCCCTTTCTTGGGAGATAAGACCGAGGTCTTGTTGCATAGTAGAGTATTTTCGCTCTACGCTTTCAATGCGGTTTCTGTACGAAGAAACGACAGTCTCCAATTCTGTGACGCAATGTGGGTTAGCTCATAGTCCCAATAATAATAATAATAATAATAATAAACGAATTTTGATTTATGAGTGTATTTATGACGGGGGGATACTGACTCTTCAACTCGGCCTGATGTTTGGCCTTGAGGTCTGCAGCGACCTGTCTGGGCGACCCCTGCTGGCTGTCGATTTCTCCTCCGAGGGCGCTATCCGCTCGCTTTCGATTATTCAATTCAGCTTCGAGCTGACGTCGGCCGTCGGCCTCAATTTGATAGAGTTGACGAGTTTCTTCACAATTTCTTTCTAATTCCTTCGCTCGTTTTCGTTCCTTCTCTTTATCGGCCTCGAGGGCTGCAACCTTCTTTTGTAATTTTTTAAGGGAAACAAGTAGCTCACGCTCATCGACGGGAACTGGGACCTGTTGAATCGGAGCCCTCTGTGAACGGTTGGAGATATGGTTACCGTGATCAATGCTTGAGACTAAATCAGAGATGCCTGTCATATCGGGCAACTTGATGCTATTGCCCGTAACACTCGGTACTGGTGGCTTAGACGCAGCACGCTTGTGATATTTCCGTAAGGATGGGGAGTCACACGGTTTGATCTCCGAGAAATCGGACTCGTCGGAAGAAAAGCCCATATCTCTGAAGAGCTTCTCAGTGTTCAAGAGTGCAGTGTTTGAAGTAACGCGGCCGGACTGGGCTAGAGAGCCATGAGAGGCAGTGCGTAAAGGAATGTTCTCCTTGATCGTGGCAGCTTCTTGAAGCTTTTCGCGGGCAGCCTGCTCTTTAGTAGCGCGAACATCACGACTGGGACGTCTCGACCCACTAAGACGAGAACCGATCGAGTACGAGCTAAGCTCCATGGACTCGTCTACAACCGTCGGTTGCATTCTAGCACGGGTGTTTGGAGAGAGACGCCGGGGACCAGCATTCATTCCGGCCTGGCAGAGAAATGTTAGCATAATTATTACAGTCTTTATTTATTCTCGATTTAATTGACCCCTCGACGTCACCCTACAATAAAGAAACAACACATTTCCCGAGGACCAAGGGGGGTCAGGAAGGGGAGGAGTGGGGTCTGGAGGAGGATGAGGCCTGGCTTACAGTGGGGACGGTGAGTTTGCCGTTGTTATCAATAGCATTGGATGCAGTTCTGGCTGCAGTTCTAGCAAAGATAGAACCAAGAGTGGAGGACTTGTCGGTTCTGGTGTGCTCCTCTGAGATTCCACGACCAATTTCAGCACTGTCCTCGGTATTGTTGGACATTCCTGGGAACAATCTATTGCGAACAGCTACACCAATCGTACTGAAGTCCTTAAACTGAGAGTTGACGAATTTAGAGTCAAGATTTGGAGTCTGCGGCAATATATCATCTAATTTTCTGGTTGACATCGCGGCTGCGCCTTCGGAAATCCCAAGGGAGCCAATGGTACTATCTGACTTATGGGAGGCAGGCGAGCCGTCTAGATCTCTTGCCAATTGTTGTTGTAATCGGAGTCGCGTATAATCGTGCGCGTCTTGGTCAGAGTCATGGAAATAAGACCCATGAGTAGTCGAAGGGGAACGTGAACGGAAAGAGCTGTCCATGACGGGTGGGAAAGACCGCTTGGACGGCGGATGTGAATTATATAAATCAGGTAAGTATTGATATCACCGTTACCGGTGGGGCGATAGTCGAATTCTCAGATTGAAGTTTTGAAACAGAGTCTTGATATCGAATTGGATTGGATTGGATTGGATTGAGAAGAGGAGATGCAGTTGAGGCTCGTCAACTGGGATCTCGATAGTAACACGGTGGTGAAGGCGATATGATGATGATGATGTAGGTAGGAGGTGAAGAGGAGATGGAGGATGGAAGACGGGAGAGTGGAGGGAAGAATGGAGTGTGGTGTGTGTGTGTGTGCATCAGCCACCGCAGAAGATTAATTATCGCCGGTTTTGTGTTAATTGTTGTTTACATCCACTTTTTTGTTGTTGTTGTTGCGACCCGGTCTCGACTCAAAACGTCCCAAAACGTCCAAATCAAAACACACAAAACGCAAAACGAAACACCGCTGCTGCCTCCCAATTGGTTCTTTTCCCTCAGAACATCCCTGTTCCCTTGCCATATTCGTTTAGGCCTCCCCATTACTCGTCTACACAATCTAGACTGATAACAGTTACTGGTACTCTCGAGCGCGTACGGGCACTATTTCCAGAGTAATTCATGCGTAGATATCGGTACTATTACTTTTCTACTCTTGGATTGTTTTGGCCAGGTCCAGACTAGTTTTTCTTCACGAAATTACACCTGTTCACGTGTGAGGGGCATTTCCTAATATCCTGCATTCCAGATGTTAATTGTCATACAACGTCCGACAGAGAGATTCATATATTACAACAGCCTGTCAAATGACTATCAAAGTAATAGTACCTCTCTTCTTTCTAGTCTACTACTATTTTATAAGCGAATACCGACTTCTCTCTCTCTTTTTAATATCGATCGGTAAATATCCGATAGAGTGTATTTCCGTTGTATTCTTCTCGAGCCCTCTACCATGTCAATGACACTCAGGCACTCAATGTAATAGATCATGTGACTATATCTGCCTAGCTCACAAACATATCGTTTAAATATACGAGTGATACTTTATCAGCCTGAGGTCGTGGTTGACTCGGAGATCGAGACTAAACCCATACATAGTACAGCTCTGTATCTACTCTATAGCTCAAAGATAATCCACAAACGGGCATATCAGTCCACACCCAAGTCTCCCCTCGCAACCACCACCATTATAGATCCTACGCACCTTTAGACTCCAATATACGCATCCTCTCGTAAAAAAATACAGTCAGATACGCTTTTAATATATCTTATTACCAAGGTAGGAAGTAACTAGTATACAAGTAAATTATTACTCCCTATAACACCTAACCAACACCCCCTTCCCCCCAACGCAAGTCGACAACAACGACAACGTCCTCGCAAACGGATTCATATCTCCACTCTCAAATCTCTTAAACTCCTGAAACATCCTGACAATCGTATATGCTGTCTCTGTTAATGCGAACTGTTGACCAATGCATACCCTCGGTCCTCCGTTGAATGGTAAATATTCCCATGATGAGGTTTCAGTCCTTGTACGGGTTTCCCAACGTTCTGGACGGAAACTATATATTACTCACAAATATATGGATCAGTATCAGTATCTAAGGATGAGGGTTGTACCTAGTCTTGCAAAGGAAGCCGATTAAAGATAAATCCCACTCCTCATAATTCCCCCTCATAAACTCCAACACCGTCTGTCGTTTCACATGGTTGAGCAAACAAATCACATAGTCAATTACAAACGGAAGGCCATTAACCATATAATTCGGTGGTTTTGTTCCATGGCTTTTTTCGAACTTCCGTTGTCGTAGTGCGAATGTGATCTTTGACCAAGGATATAGAATACCAGCGCAGCAGTTACGCCGATGAAGTATTGTCTCATTTGGGTAAATATGCATGTAGAGATAAATGGAAAAAGTTTGAAAGTTGATCGGAAGAATAGAACTTGATCTATCGATTTGAGAGGTTGTATATATGAGCGACTTATGATTTGGGAGCCAGACCATGTTTATCTCTTTTGAATTTAACCTATAAAAGGAAGGTGGTCTCTACGAGCTTTGCATATTGCTACTTCCATGGTTAACTAGTAGATTCGCGAACAGTAATCACCACCTTGCTGTTGGGAAAAAAATAAGCTATACCGTTTATCTTCTCTTGCGTTGCATATTGATGCAGGGACTAGATAACGTCCCGTGAACCGGGCATGTTCTATAAATTATTCATGAAACTACCCAACTATTGAATACCAAGGGATCCAAGCTTGGATTATGGTGGTATAGCATGCAGGTGGGTATAGCTTGGTCTCGTTGGTATAGCTCTACTTCATTCCGTGATCAAGCGCTGTACATATATAATACGTATACCTCAACTCTAAATCCGTTCAACAATGCTGCTGCATATACGATGCAGTAAAACAATATATAAACGAGATTCTAGGCAATCATAAATTTGTCCCATAAGAAAAATGCCACCATGTTCTGTTCTGCGATAACCGGCTTCGCGAATTCGGAACCACCGTAGTGTATAAACTAGTCTCATAACCATACATATAACTAGGCGCACGTGCATACGACAGAAATGTTTAAATCCAACAATCTAAAGTATATCGTCCAGAATTTTAGGTTTAAATCTTCTCACCACCCGTGGCTAACAACATTACATCCGTCGCAAAGTCTGGGAACGCATGATGTGTCGCAATAAATGCCTTCTGCTCACGTAACTTGGAAAGGTAGGCACTAGCGAACCGAGCGAGGAGCAGTCGAAACTTTTCCCTATCTTTCTCCGGTATTGCTTCCTTTGTGGTTGTTGATTCATTCTTCTTTTCCTCCACTGTGTCAGACGGCTCGCCAGCAGCATCCGTGCCGCTTATCTCAATTGTTCTGGATATCTTCCCACCGTGAACATCGTACGTATTCTCGTAAATCAGGGCGACGGCACTTGGGATCATGATGAGGAGCTCATCGGGTACGGGTATATCTGGACTTGAGCATGCTGTATAGCAGAGCAGATTTGCCTTTTGGAGAGCGAGATCCTTGAGGCCAATGCAGCCTAGTCTATCTGCCAATAGATATGTTCTCGCGTGGTGTACTAAATTATCGACCCGGCTCTCATCGTAGAAGTAATCTTCAAAATAACAATATTGTACGAACATATCAAAGGCTTCCGCGCTATCGACTTCGCTGTTCAGATATACTGTTTTTTGGTTTGCCTCTTCCATGTTGGATACTGCAAGCTTTCGGAAATAGTCTGAGCACTTGAGGGCTCCTGTGTGGACATCGAATCGTTGGGCATTTTCACCGACGAACACTGTATATGTGTCTGTGCTGAATAAACTGGTAGTAAAGGAGATGTAAGCGGTAGGTCGGTAACAAAGTAGTGTATGAGGTAGATTATTCCATACCCGCTGAATCCCAAAACTTTCTTTCTCTGCAACTGGGCAGTATCAGTTGTTTTCAAATCCGCCTGAAGACCTAAAAGTAATGCTCTTTCCGAAGAAATGTCCATGATCTTTTTGGTCAATGGTTTCGGCCCATCATTCATAAACAGCAACATGTCTGTATTAAAGTCAGGAAAAGAGTGGTGCAGCTCTTCCACAAAGGCATCAATCAGCCGTAGATCAACCAAGTATGCCGCGGCAAGACGTGCTAGCAAAAGTCGAAACCCATCTCTTAATACGATTTCTTTCTCTTTACAATCACCGGTCTCGGTAGTCGAGGATTTGAGTGGCTGAATTCCGGAATTGAGGTCGACCGTATATGTATAAACTACACGTATCGCTTCCAAGACATCTGGATATATATCTGAAAACTCGCCGCCGCCTTTTTGCATATTATGCCCGTAACACCAATTTTGTCGCTCTTTGTAGGGAAAGCTCCTTTAAAGGGGGACACTTTAGCTTTTCAGCTAGAGTGTATACACGTGCATGAGATAAGAGGGGATGGGGAGTCGACACGTCGTCTCTATTGTCTAGGGCGTATGTGCCCAAGTAGCAATACTGCAAGAATATGCCAAAGGCGTCGGCATTGTCAACTTCTGTATCCAGAATTACTGTTTTTTCCCAGATCTTTCCACTTTGAGGGGAAAAGTATTCCCCGAAGTAAGCAGACTCCCCACGAATTGTGTCAACATGGACCGTATATCTTTTGCGTTCACGGCCAACGTGAATAGTGACTATCTCTGAATCGAGAAAACTAAACATGGAGGTTCTCATTAGCTGGCATAGGAGCCAGATTAAGCGCTGTGATGTTACTGTAAATTGCATGATAAGAACAATTGACATAACAGGTTAACCTACCTTGAAAACTTCTGAATAGCTAGTCCGTCCGTATAAGTCTTAAACTTGATTGACTCAAGTTCAAGAGCCCTTGATTCAAGTTGCTCTGTCTCGGATTCTAGAGACTTCTTCTTCACCTTAAGATCATCTTTTTCCGCCTTGAGTTTCTCATTTTCTGACTGTAAATCTTTTATTTCCTTGTCATATGTATCACAAGAATGTAGAATTCCGCCGTTGTGATAATGACGGCAAATCGTCCCGTAGTCGCAAGTCATACGGCACGTGTGACAATATTTACACCTAGGACATTTGCAGTCTTCTTTGCATGACTTACAGAAATTCGGGCATCTAAAAATTCATTAACTTATATTCCTTCGTGACCAAGTGATAGTTTGAATGCGATGGTGGTAAATATAAATAAAATGCGTAATGAAGATAGTCGGAAAGAGATCCACGTGAGCGGGGGTTACTAGTTTACTTACTTGGGATGTGCTCTAACCATAGCTACCACGTATTAATATTTTCCCGGGTGATACTTAGGCCTGCTAAACCCACACTCGTCCAAACTTTACGGTAGTTGGTATATTTATCGAGCCTGTGGACGACAATAATCTAGTTTCAAGCCGGGTGCTGGAGACGATGATATATGTATGTTGAGAATACTGTACGAAATTCGAAAGCCTTACTATAACGGGCGGGGTCCTGATTGAGTGTACGAGAAATTGCCAAGATTTCGACTTGATTCGTAGTCGTGCCTCCAATATGCATAATTGTAGGCAACATGATCGAGTATATGCAAGAAATAGCTGGATCCGTCGTGTCGTGCGTTGGCTGGCCAAGAAACCGAATGGCGGGCATTATTGAGTAGTTTCAGGCAAGAGTATTTCAAGTTCAGGCAACATTACTTGTGTGGATTTTTATCAGCCTCAGTCGATACTCTGAGAGATCTCGAGAGCTTGAAAGGAGTATATATGTAGTATTGGATATGGGCTCAAAGATGGGTATTGTATCGATTTAAATTTAATCTAATTCTATAGTCGGATTCTATATACTTTAATCTGGTATGTACCGAGATACTTACTAGATATTGAGATGCTTATAATTATGTAAGTACCAGGTACTTAAGTAGATACATATACATCAATCGGTCTAGATCTAGAAAATCCATAGCCTTCTCCTCATATAACCTCTGTTCTCTCTGCGACAGTTAACACCATCCTGTCACATCATAAACACTTCATCCTTTGGAATATCAGAAGATTGGCGTCGCCTGCATCTCCCCTTTCTCTCCATACCCCTTCTGAAACGGACATCCACTTATATTCCTCGCCCTCAAAAACTCCATAGTCGCCGCCATATTCTCCAGCCCTTTACCTTCCTGCGGTTTAGGGCCAATAGTCGTCAAATCATAGCCTTGTGGATGAAACCTATCACCATGTGATCCAGGAAGTCTTCCACCGAGGGCTCTAATAAAAAGAGCAGATGGCCCCCAGATCGACCAGATATCTTTTTTAACATACCAAGGTTGTAGACCGGTGGGGAAGAAGTTGAAAAGACCGGTTTTGGGGTTTGGGTTTTCGTGCAGTGCTTTGACCGGGGAACGTCTTGGGAAGGTGAAGTGGCGGAGTAGTATCTTGCGTATGGATTTGGTGGATGTTATTATGGTCCGGAGTAATATTCCTGCTTTTTCAAGACTTGAGAGGCACGTTCGTTAATTAATATGATTATGAGAATTAGGAAGAGAGGTAAAGATATACCCCAAAGTCGACCTCATAACCTCATCCAATTCATACCCAATAACCTTCCTCAACAAGGTCGTAAAAAACCGTGGCATAGCCAAAGTAGCAGAATCCACATAAACCCTAACATACTGATCATTCGTCCCCGTAAACCTCGCAACCCTCGATTCATACCCCACAGTCCAATCCCTCAACTCTGTCGCAAAATGAGCTCCATCCTCCCATCCTTCCCGATGTGATGGTAAAGAAGTCCAAGGAATCCCCAAATCCTCACCGAGAGCTTTATGAAATATCCCAATTGCGCATTTTTCTTCTTTGGTTAGTTGACGCCATTCTTCCGCGTCAACTATGCGGAAGGATTCTACGATGCCCGAGCCGAGGGTGTGTAACATATCGCCGTCAAGGATTTTTCCGGCTTTACGGTATCGAGCGTGAAGGTAGTTCATGCGAGATACTGCTTTCATGTATCGATTTGTGTCTCGGCCGTTGTGGTGTACTTCTCGTAGCAAGATTTCAGTATCGACGGCTCTCTTTCCTGCGTTTCGTCGAGTGTTCTGGCCTGTGACGGCGAATAATTTTGACATCGTGGGGATTCCACCGGCCTATATATGAACCATATTAGCAATTGAAGACAAGTTTGCAAAAGGCTTGAGGCAGTGAAGAAAAAGGTTTTGTTGGGATAGACCTTTAATAGAGATATCGTCCGTGCTTTCTGAAAAGCATAAGGAAACTCGAATTCCTGCAATATAGCCATGATCTCATGTGCCTCACTGCCTGTCATTTCAGATAATGGTCTACCGATCCCACTGAATTTGGCAGTGATTTCATTTCTGCGTCGATATCGAAAGAATCGGACTGTGAGGAGGTATGCTGCAAGAGCAATCCCATATGGCCAGTAATTGAGGAACATTGTTCTTTAGAAAAATCGCTGAGAGGTTCAATTCCTCAGCTATTCCTTATTTTTCTTTATCTCTTATTTTATATTTTATTTTTAAGAAATTTGGTATCGATACACAGCTTGAATTCAGTGTATTTAAACAATTCTGCAACAAAACTTGTTGAATGCGACGGCCCAACCGTGCTATTTGCCCGAACTCCGACTCGCTGGGCTCCCATGTTACGCCAAGTGCCCCGCAACATATTGGTAGACAGGAGAGAATCCTGGGTCTTTACAAAACGAGGTAGCTCAATTCAGCCTATAACCTCTTTTGGATGGTAGAAAGAACTCAAGCTTTGCTGGAGACATCGAACCAGATAACACAATAAAGCTAAGTTAATTAATTCTACAACACATTGTAGCTCGAAAATGCAACAGAGAGTTGGTTGCGGTGCGCCTGACGAACGGATTTAACCAACTGAGTCTATGGTATGAGCTTCTTTGAGGGTATAAATTATAAAGAGTAGAATCCTTGATGGGGAATAAGCCCGGTAAGAAGTATTGGACGGGTTTAAAATCTCTCATACGCACGTTTTTGAATTTAATTTGCCATGCATGGGGCTCCCGTTTTCCATAATGTGGTCCTGCCATGCGACAGAGATACTTCATGCAATGTCTGTAGACAGCAATAGTTATATTAGCTACTATATTGCCACTGCTAGTAAGATATCAAGTGTCGACGTCACCGGTCTATACAAAAAGCTATGAGGATTCTAGGTGGTAGGAAGTGTCTTTTCATAGGCTTCGTAAGCCAACTTGCAATCTTTAATTCTGTGTAAGTACTCCTCTTTTGCAAGATCACATAGCTCATTCGCTGGAGGAATCCGGTGCTTTTCTCATATATCTATAGTCATAACTAATGATATCCATGTTTAACACCAGCTTCGGCGTAGCAAATGTTCCCAAATATGTATTCGAGGGGCTCGTCGCAGACCCAACTACAAAATCTGCATTTGGACATGTCGGAATCGCAGTCGGCAATCTTGTAAACGGCGTCCTGAACAGGTATGTTTCACATACACAACAATAGCTTGATATCCTATAATTATAAACCTGTATGTTTTTTTTTAAAAAAAAGTTATCCGGACTGACGTACTGTCGATATCAATAGCACCGAGGTTGCCGGCCAAACCCTACCCGCCATTGTCGACCGTTTCACAACAAAACTCAAAATCGTGGCTGAAACTATCGAAAAAATTCCTGTTAATGACCTGGAGCAATATGGATTCGCGTCCCCTGTCGAAGCCAAAGCTGCTGTTTCAACTCTCATGGAATATAGAGGTTACGTCTTCGAACTGCCCCAAACCCCCGTTCTCCGGGTTTTTAAAAACATACCGGTCCCAATCCCGCAAGACTTCTGGAATCCGAACGATAAAACCCCAGAAAAATATAGCATTGAAAAACCAGCACAACTATACCCAATGCTAGAAAAGATGGCAAAGTATTTCGAGAACGCGGGTATAGAGTATGATAACTACAGAGCGGTCATGCAGTGGATTTTTGCGGGGAGGTACGACGCTACGAATGACACCGAGGATTTGGATTTGGATTTCTACGACCAGTTTGTAGATGGGGTGACGGCACTGAATAGTAATGCTCGTGATGTATTGGAGGAGTATGTGGGCGTATGGGTTCAGATCAGTTCGCGGTTTACTCTCGGAGGGGGGTTGGATTCTTCGTTTTATGAGGACCAGAGGGATTTGCAGGCGTATTTGGAGAATAGATGGACGGAGTTAAAGGCTCTTATGACTGAGTTTTGGAGGGCTAGTGGGTTTATTAGTATGGTTAGGATCTATGAGCCGTATGTGGAGCCGCCACCGAAGGAGAAGAAGAAGAAGAAGAAGGGAAAGGAATATTAATATGCCTCGATTTAGTATATATTGTAAACATATTCTTGAAAATCAAAGGTTTTATATAATTAATTCTCAGCCTCTTACTAGTAGCTACCCATGGCGTCCGGGACGAGGACTAAAATTGTAGTCCTGGAATTTAGGACGAATCTGAAGGAGGGGGGGACTGTAGCTATAGGTGCCCCCTCATGCTCAGCCGTCCTGATGCCACACAAAGCAGACCGGGGTATTTTCTAACTAGTCGAAAAGACAAGCTTCGCATATATATCTCGGCATCCGGATAAGATCCGCGCGGGCCCTCGATATCGATATCGATATCGATAATGGAACAAGCAGACAAAAAGAATTGGCTAGTGAATTAATAAAATTATTCTCATATTCAACAATTATGGCCACTTACCCAGGCACTTAGCCCCGAGATTCAATGGCTCTGTGGTCGCGACCCTTTTAATTTACTGCCATAATTACAACTACTTACTATCGGCTGATGGATTCGATAGTTCGATACTCTCAGTCAATAGATCTATTCAATCAACCCTCAATGGCGCCACCCATAAAATTTAATTACAAGGACTAACTGAGAATTTTCGGACGTATACGCGCGTATGGTAGCCTACAGCAACCCATATAATCATGCTGGTAACAAACTCTGTAATACGCAAACATCCTCGGAAACAACATGTACCTTATATCGGAACCTTCGCGAAACCAGAGATTGCGCTGAGATATCGATACCGGAATATGGATAGGTACTTGCCCTCTAGGAATGTTACAAATACTGCCATAAGGCCCGGCCCCGCTGCTGATATCTCATGGACTCGAGCGCGAGCCTCGATTTCGCTTCTGAACCGGGTTTTCACTAGACATTAGATCATGTACGAATTAGCTAACTATTCATCTCATGTAATACCATGTACATGTCGAATCTTTCGATACACCCGATCGGCCAGGGCTCCAAAAAGCTTAGCAGCTGTTAATATGTTAATTCTGCGTTTTGTTGACCTCAACATAATTAAATACCTATATAAGGTATGCATACGACTGACAGATAAGATGATCGGTGATTCTGGAAAATTAATCAAAGCATCAGGCGCAATTCAATAGGACCCTGGCCGATGAGCCAGGGTTATTCCGACACGAGACCAAACTCATTATCATGCCCTCTCCTCTTCTCCTTCTGAGAATCGATGTCGCAGTTTCCTCCGAGGACCGAGGGGAACACTTTCACATGTCAGAAAGTCCCCGACCGAAGAACTGGCTTCGCAAGAACCAGCCAATGAGAGGGCAGCCAAATCAAGCAAACCCCAAAGGTCCGAAAGAAGTGTGGGGAAATGCCGCCTGTGACCGGGTCTCCTTCTAAGGTTTAAAATTCCCTGAACGGATTATTCTTATCATTACATTCCTCGTTCGCCTGGTTTGGCACAAGTACACAGGAAATGATGTACTACGTATTTAAGCATTTACTACATACGGTACTGACTATCGTGCATGTGACCCGTTGGGGTTTTTGTTTTTTCTGGGGGGGTTTTACCCCGGTTCATGACAAGGGATTTCGGTCGAACCGCGACCGTCAAGTTCGCATATGCTCGCCAGAAACATTACAATTGACGATTAGTGTGATGTAAGGGAAGTGAGCTCGAGGACCTGCTAGTTTGCGCCTCCCCACAGTTTCACATGCTTGTGATAGTTAGTGCGTAGAGGTTTCTTTTATAGCCCCGAATAGCCATTTCATTCATCCCGTTCTTTCGTCCGTTTCTACTTCTCGTTGATCTCTTTGATAGGAATTCTGTTCCAACAATCCACGGCACAAAAATAAATAAGCTCGTTCGAAAAGGGCCGATTCTTGAACGTTTTCGGAGCGGCGGAGCTTTTGGATATAATAATTTACCGTTCTTATACTTATACTTCTACATAGTCTTCTCTTCTTCTTCTCTTTTCTTTCTTTCTTTCTTTCTTCTTTTACTATCATTAGTATCATCGTATACCCACCACATCTTGATATCTACATCATCACTTATACCGTCACAAACATACTATCAAAATGGCAAAGGTGTTCTCGTTAGACGACGTCAAGGCCCATAATAAGCCTGATGACTTGTACATCGTAGTTCACGGCGACGTCTACGATCTTACTACCTTCAAGAACGAGCATCCCGGTGGAAAGAAGAGTATGTTCCTTCTCCCATTCCCTCCTCACTCCCACTTCTCCCACTTCTCCCACTTCTCCCACTCCTACTCCTTCTCCTCCTCCACAATCCTGCTAGCACGCGTTCTCCACAATTATCCGCGGGTTACCTTTAGTCAACGTGTGAGTGGCTGGCTTGGAAAGCTAGCTCTCTTGTGTTGGTTTTGGGGCTTATTCCCCACAGGGCGTTACCGAACAACCTCGGCAGAAGCACGATGACGGCAGTGTCGTGATATCAGCGTCACGGGGAGAGCTATACACCATGCCATATCTGAATTACTTACTAACACCATATTTCTCCACCGCACAGTCCTCGAACGTGTAGCCGGCAAGGATGCAACTGTTCAATTCCAAAAGTACCATAAGGACTCAGTACTAGAAAAGTACAAGCCCAAGTTCTGCGTTGGATCCGTGGAAGGCAAGAAGGCAGCACCAGTCAAGGAAGCACCAAAGCCAGTCGCCGCTGCACCAAAACCCAAGCCCGTCGCTGCTACCACCACATCATCGGCCGAGCCTGCTACCACAGTTCTAGAAACCTTTGGTGACCTCATTCCTTATGGTGACCCAGGCTGGTACCAATCCTACCATTCTCCATACTACAAGGAATCCCACGCAGCTCTCCGCGCCGAGGTTCGTGAGTGGATTACCAATGAAATCGAACCCTATGTTACAGAATGGGACGAAGCCCGTTCCGTTCCAGATTCGGTCTTCAAGACCATGGGAGAGCGTGGATACCTCGCCGGTCTTCTCGGTGTAAAATACCCAGTTGAATATACCGACCGTCGGGTTGCTTCGGTCCCAGCTGAAGAATGGGATCACTTCCACGAACTCATTGTCACTGATGAGCTTTCGCGTACTGGATCCGGTGGATTCGTTTGGTCACAGATTGGAGGTTATGGAATCGGTCTCCCACCGGTTATTAGGTTCGGAGGGGAGGAACTTAAGAAGAGGATATTGCCAGGTCTTTTGGGCGGTGATAATAGGATCTGTTTGGCTATTACAGAACCTGATGCTGGTAGTGACGTTGCCAACTTGACCTGTGAGGCCAAATTGACCCCCGATGGGAAGCACTACATCGTCAACGGTGAGAAGAAGTGGATCACCAACGGTATCTGGGCAGATTACTTCACCACTGCCGTCAGAACCGGAGGACCAGGAATGGGTGGTGTTTCCGTCCTTCTCATCGAGAAGACACACCCAGGTGTTAGCGTTAGGAAGATGGACTGCCAGGGTGTCTGGAGTTCCGGAACTACATACATCACATTTGAGGATGTTAAGGTTCCAGTTGAGAATTTGATCGGAAAGGAGAACCAGGGCTTCAAGGTCATCATGACAAATTTCAATCACGAACGTTTGGGAATTGTCATCCAGTGCAATCGATTCAGCAGAGTCTTGTACGAAGAGAGCATGAAGTATGCGCATAAGAGAAAGACCTTTGGCAAGAACTTGGTCGAGCATCCAGTATGTCACCTCCCTAAAACATCAAAAACCCGCATTATACATAGTTTTACTAACAAATAACCCCCTTTACAGGTCATCCGCATGAAACTCGCCCAAATGGCCCGTCAAATCGAAGCCTGCCACAACTGGCTCGAGAACATCGTCTACCAATGCGAAAAGATGGGAACCCAAGAGTCCATGTTGAGACTCGGTGGTGCCATCGCCGGTTTGAAAGCCCAAGCCACAACCACCTTCGAATTCTGCGCCCGGGAGGCTGCCCAGATCTTTGGTGGATTGGCCTATACCAGAGGCGGACAGGGTGCCAAGGTCGAGAGGCTGTACAGAGATGTTAAGGCTTATATGATCCCCGGTGGTAGCTTGGAGATCATGGAGGATTTGAGTATCAGACAGGCACTTAAGGTGCACCAGGTGCTTGGTATGAAGCTGTAGATGTGATGTACTCATGGAACTTGAGTGGGGGTGGGGGGTTGGTGTGTGGGATAAGGGGTAATGTTTTATATGACGCAGATTACCTTGGTAATTACCCCGGGTTTATATGCTAGACAGACGGGCTGTCTGGTGTATTTTTTTGGTAATATGCCTTTTTTTTAGACTATTTCCCGCTTTTATAGTGTTTATTGGGATTCTTTTATGTGTATAACTAGGATGTGAATACTATGATTCTTCTTGAGCAAGTTCGTTTCTTTCGAATCCATGATATATTATCATTATCATCTACTACTATTACTACTATTATCGTCTACATGAATCTGTAGCGTAAGTACACGATGAAGAAGTTATGCCCTGTAGCCGTGTATGTCTAAGATGTCAGGTCCAGCCATGCATCCGTCCGTCGGTCTTGTATCCCTCCATGTCTAAAATACCCGAAATATCCCAAAGTCAAATAAAAAAACTCCTACTCCCATAACCCATGATAAGAAGAAAAACCCTCCAAGATTTCAAAAAATGATATAACGTCCCCTCAAACCGAACTGACCACACTCCTCTCATCAATCCACCCCGAAACCCCTTCTCTGAGCTTCACCATCCACTCCTCCTCTTGCATCCAAAAATGGCCAGCTCCGTCTACTTCCACCCCTCTAAACCTTCCGTTGGATCTCTCCACTTTCCCTTTAACCCAATTCCTATACCTCCCGATTCCTGTAAACATATCATCAGTTCCAAAAACCGCGAAAACATCCCTCTCATCCTCAAAATCATCCTCAACATCCTCTTCTTCTTCCTGTTGTTTCTTCTTTTTCGTCGGAAACCAAGCCATCGGATTCGGTAGATTTAGAAACATCGATACAGGCGGTAATAAAGGCGATACCAGCAACCAAGAGGATTCAGTCTCCAATTGAACATTATAATTAACCTTCTCATCCACCCCACCACCTTCTCTTGATGTTTCCCCGCGTTCTCCTTCTTCTTCCTCATAGTCTTCGTCGTCGTCATTATTGGCCCACACACTCCTCCCGAGTGCTGCACCGCGAACCATGGCAAAACTCCTGCGCTTCTCGGTACTCGCCCATTCGTATGCCGTCCGTGTGGCATAGGCCAGAATATCCTTATCCACTGTTTTTAAAACGTGGGAAGCGGATGGAGTTCGTGAAGCTATCAGGGAGCCGTAGGAGTAACCTGCCAGAAGGAATTTTATAGGTTGCTTTTTTAACGGAGTTGTTTCTGTCACTGGACTCGTAGGCATAGCTACAGCTGTAGCCGTAGTTGTAGAAGGAGTACCGACAATAGTAAACATATGCGGATCAATACACTCCACATACTTCACCAAAAAAGCAGTAACAGTAGCATACTCCTCCCGTTCCCTATCACCGGTCCATGAAGTCTTCCCCTTCGAATTCCCTGCACCGCAGAAATTGAAGGTGGCGACTACCCATCCCTTTCTAGTCAACAATGCGACTAGTGATAGAACTACGGGATCATCCCATGTACCGCCGAGAGAAGCGTAAGGATGAGCGATTACAGCTGCTTTTCGAGGGGTGGAGGGAGTAAGACCGTAGTTTTGTGGGAATTCGGATGGGTGGTAGACTCTGGCTTCTATTGTGTGACCGTGGTGGGAGGGGATTGGGAGGACGAGGGTTAGGATTGGAGATGGTACTGTTACGGTGGTACTGCTGGTGGTGGTTGTACTGGTTGACGAGACGGAGTCGCGGTTTGAGGGTTTATGGGATGGAGATGATGATGATTTCTTTGAGCATTTTCGGGAGGGAGATGATGATGGTTTTTCTTTGTCTTTGTCTTTGGAGTCCTTTGAGGATTTGTGTCGTAGGTGGGGGAGGTGGAAGTGGTGATGGTGGTTGTGGCGGTGAGAATGGATGCGGGCGTGGAAGGCTGCGAGCTTTGTGCGCAGAGTCATCGTTATCTTTCTTTTTGAGATTATCGGCAGTTAATTGTGATGCAGGTTTCGATGAGAGCGAAGGAGGGCATTATTCATTAGAAGCTGGTGATAGGTAGTTACTTAAGCAGTCTTTGATTCTAAGAAAGAAAGAAAGGAAGAAAGGAAGAAAGAAGCGGATGGAGAAGATTCCGACCGAACTGCGCAAACTCGGATCGTGGCGGTGTGGAGAAGAAGAAATAACATTAAGCGTGACGTACACTTCCGACTCGGCTTTTTGGCTTGGACTTTGACACCGAGGAGGTGTTTCATGGGAAATTACTATATTTGGAAGTTTGGAAGTTAGGGCATTTCCTCTTTTGGAGTATTCCCAGAATGTATATTACCTAATTAGGTAATTAGCTGTTGGTATATATATGTACGTTATGCTCATAGTAAACCATTATCCCATCCCATCCCATCCCATCCATGTATATCCCCTTCTTCCCTACCCCCTTAAGCTTCCCTGCCCTGGCTTCTTTAGCCTCCCAAGCGCCAATTGAACGATACCCAAATTTGCAAAAAACCATATTACCAATATCCAAGAATCAAAACGACCCAATTGCCAAAAACATGAACATGCCACAGATAGGTTATATATACCATATAAAAAACGGAAACAGAAGGGAAAAAAAAGGTAAAACTATCACATCAGACACTTCCGAACGACTACATTATACCCTGTAGTATCAAACCACTGCCCTCTCGTCGTTTCTACCCCATTGTACATTGTCTTGCAATCTGTTGCAATCTCTCTGGCTGCACGACCGACTCGAGGACATGTAATATCGACTTTGGTTGTTCGCTGTAATATCGATTTCCCTACGGGTTAGTCCAGTCGATCGAAGATTTGAGGTTATATATCTAGGAATAAGTTTATAACTTACATCGTTACATAAATCGACGGCAGATTCGTTATTACAGCCTGTTCGTGCACAGGTTCTAGCTTCGGCTCCACACCTGTTTTATTATTATTAATTATTAGTATTATACCATTTATGCATCCCAATTGAAACGGTGCTAGAGGATAGGGAAGAAGGAAGAAATGAATGCTTACATGGTATGCTCCCCAAGTGCTTCCAAGTAATCTGCCTGTCCGAAAGCTCCAGCCCGTCCTGTGTTCCATCCGACGACTAGCCAGCATGTCGGACGGTTTTGGAAGTATCGTTTGACTTTACTAGGCTGGTTTGTAGATGTTAGCGCGATTTAGATCGGCAGAATGCATACTGATAGCTCTCATGGAGAGACATGAAAGTACTTTGGGGTATACGTATACATACATTCTCAGTCGTCGGCGTCGGCACCGTCGGGTCCCAATCTGGATAAAGTTCTTTAATCTGCGGAATAACTTGCTAAATTATCAAAATGTCAATAAAAGAGCCTCCTCTCTCCCCTTCCAGAAAAGGGAAAGAACCAAAAAAATCATAGTTTTTTATTTTTTTAAAAAAAAAAGTTTCTTTTTTAAAGAAGAAATGACGTACTTCGAGAGTCCCCGTAAAGTTGAAAACCGGTCCACCCGGAGTTATATATCCGTGAATATTCATTGGTGTCACGATCCCACTCCCAGCTGCGTCACTAGTCAGATCGATTTTGACACCGTCGATCGCATTGGCGGCGGCATAGAGCAGCGCTGGGGCCGTAAACGCGGACTTGGCGATTAACCCGACCAAAAGGATGATGGTACTTCGAATCCACATTTTTTTCGACCCTCTTTTTTTAGTTTAACGTTTAACGTTTTTGCTTTCGCGGATATCTGGTGCCGACTCTTGCTTTTTAAAAAAATCTTGGAGGGGGTTTCTTGACTTTTTTTGGGTCTTGTATCAAGAAAATTCAGGGGGGGATGTTATCGGTTCCTATTAAACGCCGTAGCCTGACAGGAATTGATTCTGACGAATCGAAACAGGCTGGCAGTTGGTAGCTAGGAACGAACCGAGATCGAGATCGAGAAATCGAAGTCTCCCCCAACAATTAAAAGACGCACACGACGCACACACACGATCGAAAGTACACACACGTATAAAAATGCACGGAGCACACACAAGCAATTGCACGACTTAAAGGAAGATATGTGAGAAAAGCGAAGAAAAAAAGAAGAAGACGAAGAAGAACCCACCGAGACGAGACCGGAAAAGGGTAAGATAGGCGTCTCTTTATATACCCACAATTCTAGTCTCGTTCCCACCACAATTCCATGAAAACAACCACAAAAAACCAAGTTTTATTTTTATCCTTTATTTCCTTAATTCCCTTTAATCGTTTTTTTCCAAGGAAAACAAAAAAAGAGTTATATAAAGAGTATGCGGTTGGGATTGTGGGGTTCCATGCAAACGCCACATTGCTGCATCGAGACCCTTGGCCATGTTAACTTTGTGACAGGAGGGAAAATCCCTTTTTGTAAACGCGCTTTACGCCTTTATGGTGGGACAAGGGAAGGGGTGAGGGGTTGTAAGGTCAAATCTGGCTCTTTCGATAAGCAAAGTTTATGGCTTTTCCCAGCTTCCCTTGTTTTTTTTTTTTGGCGGGCGAGTGTGTAAACATGCGAGAATTCCCGCAAGGATATTAAAGCCGACGAGGAGAAAGAGAAGGTGGGTTATTCCTGTTCCTGAGCTGAGCCCGTGGATTAAAGGGGGGGCGTTGTTCTCGTGGGTCGGGGACCCGCTTGTTGGTTCCGCCTGCGTCCGGTTGGAATGAAACATGCAGTTTGAGTAGTTGATCGACAGAGATGCTGGGTTAGCGTCGTTATGTCGGTAGGGATTCTTTTTTCTTGGGTTTACTCTTCTTTTTTGACAGCGCTTCTTGTTCTTAACATTCTTATTTTTTGAATAACTAATTGCGAAACGTATGGGTTAGTTTCGAATTACCATTGTGCCTGAATATAATATCTGGGGTATTGGTCTGGGTGTTATAGTGGGTCTCTGATAAGGTTATATGTGTTGGCGGCGTGGTATTTTGGAATCCCTTGACGGGATTGGGTCATTATGGCGGAAGTATGGCTTGATCGGAAAAACCTTTTGGGTGACGGATCAAATTCGGTAGGGGGGTTACCATCTTTGGAAGTTTTCTTTTCTCTTGTAATTTGAAGGAGCTCGGAGGTAGTGGGCACACGATATACATACAAAAAAAGTGACTCCTTCGTGATACTAATCAGCTGAATTGAATCGAATTCGCGAACCGTCTGACATATGCATATATTATACGACCAATAGAACAAACATATCTCTTCGAATTCATCGATACGTCGAACGGGCCAGCGGAGTCCCGAGTAGATTGTGGATCTCAAGATATCCCGAACTCAGCTGAATGGCTGCCTGGTTCCATATTCTGACAAATCGTTTACTGTGCCACCGCCTCAATTAACTCAATTGCAACGTCAATACGGAGTACTGCAGTCATGAAATTTTATGCGACGGTAATCCCCCCCCAAAGGAAATACATGCATATTATCCCGGTCTCGGGCCGAGAATGATACTCTTTCTTGGCTGTAGCCGGGTACTCCGTATTCAGCTTTAAAATCCCATTAATATTACGTATTTACCGCGTGATGAAGCAATGGAATTACGTTAGCAATAATACAATTAATTCTCTGTCCTATACTATACTTATAAGTTATATACATGTTTAGTAGCACCTCCTGACAACGACGTTATAACCTGTGGTGTCGAACCATTGTCCTTTTGTCCAAGTCTCGCCGTCGAAGTTGTCTTGACAGTCGTGTGCGATATCGCCGGAGGCCTTTTCGACTCTGTTGCAAAGTATACTTAGGGAGGTGGTTCGCTGTTTAAATTTTGTTTACGAGTGTTAGTATATATATGCGATCTTGTCTTTGGGGGTAAATGGTTTTAAATTTCGTTGGATAGGATGGTAGGTTGGGGGGCTTTTACGTCGTTACAGAGATCGAGAGCTGCGCCGTCGGCGCACGTTGTTCTTGAGCATTTGTTTGGTGGGCCGCCGCACCTGGATGTTATGGAAGGTGATTGGTTAGTATTTTAGAAAAATTCATAATAACAGATGTATATATAACCCAAGAATTTTCAGACTTGAAGTTAAGGGTCGACTTACATTGTTCTGGCAGGAAGGTTTTTGAGATTATTCCTCGCCTGTGTAACCGCCCAAGTTAAGCATGAATTTCCAGCGACAAGCCAGCATGTTGGTCTGTTCTTGAAGTATCGCTCTACGAGAGATGGCTATGTATAGTTTCCTTGTCAGTTTCGCATGTGTATAAAGTAGTTGAGGGGAGCAATACGTTTGGTGATGATGTTGGTGTCGGTGTTAATCTCGTGGATTCTGGATATGGAACCCAATCGGGGTAGGCCTCTTGGATTTGTGGGATTAGTTCCTAAAAATCAATTATTTTCAGCAATTGGTTTTTAAGTCAGATTGACTGGATTAGTCCAGAGGATTGAGATGGGTATACCTCGTAGGTTCCGATTAGCTCTAGGGGCCCGTCTGCAGTCGGTAGGGTAATATGCATGGGAACTACTTCGCCGCTATTAGCGGCGTCGCTGGTCGGGATTGAATAACTCGGAGCTGCCGCGAGGGATAACAAGGATAAGATCGTTGAGAACTTCATGTTTTAAATTTCAAGAAATCAGAAAAAGGTATATTTGAGGATCTGTAGGTTTTGGTTTGTATATTCTTGACTCTGAGGTAAAAGGCAAGATGAACCTTTATTATATATAACTAAACTATCACAATCACATCTAAGTATCTTACGAGATAAAAATCCCAGTACCTCTACACGATCCTCGTCTTTGCGAGTTCTACACGTGCACTTCGCCTTAGCGATAACGCTTCCCTTTTTGAAACCTCCTAGTTTCCAACACCTCCAAAGCTTCCTCGCAAATCCGATAAACGCCAAAAATTTACACGAAACTACATTCGTCCCCTAATAATACAGCACTACTCCCGCGCCGCTAACCTCACGATCATCAAGAAAAGGAGTTTCTCGCGATCTTGAGATCAGTCGACTAGTATATGCGCGTCTGCGGCACGGGCGAACAATGGTCCTGTTTAACACCGCATACATGCATATGCATGTAGGTGTGCGCCGATAGCGGTACGAACAATGTGATGTAGGTTTTACGCGCAGAAGACCGAATCGATCGAAAGGCGGCTTCGCTAGAAATTTTTCAGAAGATACTTACAATCACATTCTACTGTTGATCTAAAGGATCCAGGGTGCGTGCTGGTGGGTACTGACGGAGAGTGAAGTTATGTCTGTAACGTTAAACAGCCCTTATAGGGCCCGGTGAGATAGGGTAAAATAGAGCCAATTATATAGTATCTTATTCTTAAGTTTATCAAAAATCCTAAAAAACCACTTCGTTCTATGGAACGGAGCGGAGCAATTCCAGATTATCCGCTCCACGGTAACACACTATAATAATACAACCCTACAGAGTTGATAAATTATAAATGCAACTGCCTCTTGTCTCAAATCAGGTATTCTTTCGATTCTTCCTAAAAATACGCAAGAAAATGTTACGGAAACTCTCCTCCGCGCTGACCTATAATCCCGTGTGGCGGATGTTATACCAAGAAAAGACAAAGGAGGAATATAATTATATAATAGTGCAAATATCCTAAGGATGGGACACGCCGTGTAAGTGCGTAGCCTACCTGTATAAGAACTTATACAAGATCACGTGACATTTTTGACTTCAAAATAGAATTTTAACATTTTAATTAGTTTTTGAATCTATTTTAGTGAATGACAGTCGTCACGTGATCGTTGGGCCATTTATATTCAGAGCCTAAAACTAAAGCTTTTCATGATTTAGTACAGCAAAACGAAATTGAAAAAGAATTCAATCGACTAGATTCCAAGGATAAGAAACCTGTCGCTAATGTGGATGACTTTTTTTCACGTACGGTTATCGATCTCAACATTTGAGTCCTCTTCTCAGCTTTTACTATCGGACGCTATAGAATCCAATTGGCCCTAGCGTTCCTTCTTTTTGCCGCATTTCTTGCCGTCCTGGTGGCTTTTTAAGATACCCGGCCACAAAAATGAAAAGAATTGTTTGAAGTATAGGATGGTAGCATACCGACATGTCTATTGATGATCCTAACAATGTCGATTAGTGAAAGGGTCTCGAAATGAGACTACACCGTATGTGTGATTCTTCAGTTTTCAGGAGCACCGATATTCGACAGCTAACGGTCGTGGTACGTTCTTCAACTTTCAGGAACTCGATGGATTACCTGTTTTTGATGTAATCTCTTATTTTCTAGCGCTTTCTTTTGCCGATTGCAAGGCTTTTGTAAGCGCACACATCAAGAATCCAGAGGACTTATACATTGGGCGATACCTAAAGGCGTTCAGTTTTGCTTCAAACCAGAAATGCTAGCGCTTGAAACTCCAATTTTCCGTAAAATGGGTGCAAACCGGCTCCGGAATGGGTATTTCCCCGACTGAAGGGATATCTGAGAGCATAATATCTCAGCAAAGTAAGCGGTTGGGTTTCGAAGTTGGCTTCATGGATCCTTTTAAACCATATAATTGTTTAACCTTTAACTATCCACCCCGGGTACATTCAGAGTCATTATAGTATAGTATCGGCCGTCTTCAAATTTAAAACCAAACAACACAAAGAGCTAGAAAACACCTTCCCATTCCTATAAATCCAACAGCAAAATCCGGTTCTAACGTGTAATTCGTGTTGTCTGGTACCAACGAGACCAGTTCTAACGCCTGAATAACAATAATCTGATAGATGGGTGGATTCGCTGGCTCTACATAACCTCTAACATACAAGTGTAGTAAACCCCAATATCAATGATACATTTCTGGATTCTGTAAATCATAAGGGCCTTGAGATCTACTTTAGCATCAAAAAGCTAGTATAGCCATTAAAAGTCTCGATAGAAGTTGTACGTTGTAAGCTTGGCGAGTTGGAAAAAAAATGTAGAAGACTAGATAAAGCTTAATATAATCGTAAATAGTTGGGTGCAACCAGCTTATATGGGGTCATGAATGCACTGAATTGGGTTATCACTCATTTTTCTGAGCAAGACTTTCACTGTCTAACGAGATAATCTTACAATGCCTTCAGTTACCTCCAGATCATAGTCGATACCATTGATAAGTAACAGCAAGAGTTGTGGTGAAGTGACAAGCGGAATCAAGTAACTAAGAGATGATCAAACATCATCGAAAAATAGATAATCGAACAACTCGTTCGAGTATCTTTCCTTAATATCGCTCAATGTCCACCCTTGGATTTCCCCGAGTTTAGTCAAAGCAGACTTGAACTCCACAATCTGGTCTTTGTAACTTTCATTCTTGAGCACCTCACGCCATGGTTTCCCATCGACTTTGAAATTATCCCACTCTTTCGCCCAATGGGGGCGGACGTTGAGCTTGTTGCCATCATTGTCCCTGCTGCAGTCACGCATCCAGATGTCGAGAACCTTCTGCGCGAAGGGCTGCCATGTTCCATCTTCACCAGCGCTTTTAAGCGTGAGGATCTCAATGGCGCATGTTCCAAGCTTGTTACCGCGCTGAGGCGCCATGATGATGTCGCTGTCACCCACCATGCGCATCTCAAGTGGCATACGCATCGGGCTCTGCTCGGTATTGTTATAAGCTTCGATGATAGCTTTCCACCAGGCGCGTTGAACGTTGGTATAATCCCGAGCATTAGGGTTATCTTTTTTAGCGTGCAACTATTGAAGAAAACCGTTGAGGTCAGCTGAGAATTCTTAACACATTAGGATCCAGAACCTAGGAGGAGGACTTACAGGAAGTTCGATCTCAAGATCGCGGACCTGAATATTCTGTATTCCTCTTTGAAAATGCAATGCATTCGGAAGGGCTGTGCGAATTGGCTTTTCTTTGTCACCGATTTGAAGCAGGTTTTGCTCCGCCAACCAAGCTATAATGCAGTTTCAACACAAAGTCAACTTCATTCTGCGTATTTAGTAATTTTCCGGGTTTTACTCACTCAGCATTATAGTTTGATGATACTCTGATATGAACCAACTCCAAGCCTTTTTAGCCTTCTGCGTAAGTGCGACAGCAATCGTGCCCCAGATCTGCTGGGCCGCCGCCCATTTACCGGGAAAATCCTCCAAATTTCTGAGATCCGTGTCATTAGACCAACAATTAACCCAGACTTTTCCAGAGTAAGGGAACCAGAACCATTCAGAATAATAGTCTGAGTTTGCCTTGCGTTCGAACTCTTCCTGCGCCTTTCGCTTCTCCTCGTCGGTTCGCGGCCTCTTCGGGCGAATTGCCTTGGGGATATCTTCGTGCTTCATCTCTGGAGGCGGTGGCACGGCATCAATAACGTCGACGAGCTTGGGCCGTAGAACCGCTGCGGTCATGCCGTCAAGCTCCAAGGTTATGTGAGTGACGACACCAACCAGGCCGAAACAGCCAGCGACCGCTTTGAGGAGATCCGGGGTGGACATGTCTACTTCTTGGCAGTTTGCATTCGCGTCGACATACTCAATCTTTCTAACGATATCACTCATAGTCTTATGTCGTATGCCTCCACCGTGACTTCGAGGACGGGTTAGCCAAATCACTTGAGATAAAATAGATAGATTAAAGAGGGGGTGAACTTGGAAAAAGATTTGATTTACCAGATTGGTGCATTGCTCCCACCCGCGGTGATCTCAACCATGATAATGCTCATTGGGAGAGTAACGTCGTTCAATATACACCAACGGCGAAGCTGCTCATGGGTGACCGAAGTCCCAATCCTCACATATTTCTTACCATTTCCCAGGTCTGGCCCGTTTACAAATTGGGCATTTCTTTCGGTAATGGAATTTAGCTGAATAGGCTCCGGTAATTCCCTCCACGGCTCAGCTGTAAAATTTGGGAGAATCGATGCCGTGCTCAGGTCTAAGGTGGAGATTAAAGTGTTCTGATTTTTACCTTGCCCTTGATCGTTCCCTCTACCGAATATCGGAGACCAAGAATGGCCTGTTGTAAGCAGATTCATACCGGAACTGTCAGCAGAATTCTACAGTACTGATAGAATAACATAAAATTCCAACTTACGGAATCCAGATACTCGGACGCCTTTCTTATTTTGTTGTGCGTGTTTTACGACCATGCGTACATCGTCTGGTTTATCTGGCAAGAAAGTCCATTGGGGCGTGTTTTGGATGGTTCTTCCCCAGTTTTCAAATTTAAGGTTCCGAAGTCCAGGGATGGGCTTTGCATTAATGATAATCAAGGCATGTTAGTTTCGTTATTTGTGCTTCCACATGAAAGTGAACGGGATCAGAGAACGAATCTGTCAATCGCAAGGATGTGGCACTGCTTTACCTCCTTCTCACCCTCAATGAAAACTGCCTGGTACTTCCCAAATTTCTTTCCGGGTTCCGGCAGGAATTCACGGTTGTCGCCTGATGAACCTGGGTCCTCATTGGGAAGACCAAGCTTAGGTGCTGGTACGTTCTCCTGTACTTTCTTTGCCTCCTCGAGCTTCTGAAAAAGCTCTCGAGTTACAAGAGGAGGCCTTGAAAGAAATTCTTTGGCTGCATCGTCACTAGATTTGGTTCCATCCAGATACGCATTCAGTGCGTCTTTTTCGTCCGCATCATACTTGTCAAGAACTTGACTGTAATCATCGTCCTCGGAATCTTTGTATACCTTCATAAGGCGACGAAGAGTTTCTTCGTTGTCTACTTTGCCGTCGTAATAATCTTGCATCAAGTCGCTCATCCCCGGGAAGTGCTTTTTGTCAAGCTCCTCATTCCGCTTGATCGTTTGGCTAATCTCAAGGATGGCTTCTCTGATCGGTTGTGGCTCCATGTTCTCGTTGATATGCAGCAGATTTGCTGTTAATGAGTTATATTATGATAGAAGTGTAATTGGTTTTAAACCTTCAAACATGCTCTAAAAGTTTGAGAAATGCGTAGCATATCAATCCGTCCAACTATTTTTTTTCTGAATGTCCAATCGTGTGGTTTATATAGTCTTCTTCATAGCTACAGCTATAGCTAGTATCTTGAGCTGATCGATGCATAGCTCTACGTATGTATCACTGCACCACCCCCGCTTTCTTGTAGCAGGCTTACAAACTGTTGGCTATTATTGAAAGAAGCTAGGTAGGAATACTTTGAGCTGAGGAATCCCATGCACATCCTAAACGGTCGCGGTCGACGTAGTATCTCGTGATCCATGCGAATATTCGAACCGAATCCGCAGCTCCAATATTATCGATAGATCAATCTAGATTGCTAAAAACCCTCGTCAAAGCCTGTATGAAACACCTCTGGAGTGGGGCCTGGAGTCTTCACCCTCACGGCTGAGGATTGAAAACAGTAAGAAGGGATCCGTGCATCCCTGTGTGCGCAAGACAGCAGAACGGTATGAAGCAAGAGCAGCCGATACGCCCTCATGAACGAAGAGGCGGATACCATGAACCTATGAGAAGGAAGAATTAATTGACAAACCGGCCCTGCATGGCACGGCACAAAAAAGGCTTGCATGGCACGGCTCGATTTACCCGCTCAGGATAAAATTGAAACCCGAAGTGCGACTCTAACAATCAACACAATTTCTGCATGAAAACTATGAATGGTGCAGCTCGAGAATAGCCAATAGCTTAGGCGTGTCGTGGCGATCGAGCTTACGATGTGGTCAATTCTGATACTGACTATGCAGAATCTCCGCATCTGCGGCTGATCCAGGACTTAGCTGATTAGCTTTGCCTCACGTCGAGTGTTCTCCCCACTCCGTCGTCGAGACAGATGCACTACCCCGCTTCTGACAAGGGGATTAGTCAATCTCTTGATCCGAATAATATACGAAGGGCATTTTCATTCATTATCAGTCACGCCCTCGTCTGTAGTAACATGTTTAAACGTTTTAGTCTATATTGACCATCGTAACAGAACCTCCTCCTCCGTCTTCTTCACCAAACGAGCAGCGTATATACGTGAATGACTACGGCACATATAGAGCTCACTGGTCCACTTCTACTTCATATAGGGTTAGATTTCCAAATTATATACCCCCTTCAAGTTCGTTTGGCATTTGTTTGTAAAATCCATAGTTGATTACTGACACAGTCAATAGCTTATTGCGAAATGCGTTAGGTTGGTCAGTGTGGCCATTTTCATAACCTTCGATCACTATAAGTAGCATACATGTCGAAATCTTCAGATGAAACCGAAGATACATCGGATGATGCCCAGCCGCTTTGTTTTTTCGTTCCGTCTAAGCTCTTCATCGATCTCAAGCAGAGCAGCCAGACGAGGGAAACGACTAAAACGGTGGCAGCTCGAGTCCTTGATCAGATGGATGATGCGGCTAAAAAAAACAAAGTCAGTGGCCCTTGTATTAGTCTTCTGAAAGTCTAATAACATCAATAAATTGATGCATTCTAAACTTAGAGCCAAGGTCTTTGGAACATTCCTGCAAGAGAAGACTACGATCCGGACAATTCGGAGTGTCGAAAACCATTTCGCATCTTGATACAAGCCATCCAAACTGGCCTCTTGGGAGACTTAGCCGACCCTGCAAACAACTTTCAAAAAAGTTTTTACTCTCGTGAGGAAGGGGAAGAGCCTTGGTCCATACGAGAGCCTCTGACAGGAGATTTTGAGGACGTAGCGATCGCAAAGTCGTATCACGATGCTGTGGACAAATGTTACGACAACTTGGGGATTGCGCACGAATTTTTCCTGAAGTGCTTCAATCATAATTCCATTGACGATAAAGGCGCACCTTTAATTGCTGTGGTGCATTATGGGTTTTCCTTCCCCTGCGCTTTCTACGCACCCTCCGGTTTTGATGAATGGCAGTACGCTTTTTGTTTTGGAGACGGCTGGGATCAGCTTAGCGACATGGATAGCGAATCAAAATTCTTTGGAAATTTTGCTGGCAGCCTCGAATGCGTAGCTCACGAAATGATGCATGCTATCACGCATTATTTGGTGAATTTGGAATATTCCGGGGAATCCGGCGCACTCAACGAGCACATATCAGACACCTTCGGGATGATGGCAGAGCAGTGGCACAAGGGTCATACCGTTAAACAGTCAGACTGGCTTATTGGCGAGGATATCCTGTTGCCCGAAATCAGAAGCTACGTCGGTATTGACGGAGTCACGGATCCGGAAAAGTCATACGCCATGAAATCAATGAAAGCTCCCGGCACAGCGTATAATATAAAAGGCTTAGGGGGAGACAATCAAGTCTGCTACATGAAGGATTATAAATATGATCTTCCAATCGATAAAAACCATGATTGGGGTGGTGTTCATATCAACTCCGGCATCCCCAATCATGCGTTCTATCAGTTCGCTAATTTCTTGGGAGGTAATTCTTGGGATCTAGCGGGAAAAATTTGGTTCGAATCGCTAAAAAGTGAGGAGATGTACAGCAAGTGCAGATTTCTTGACTGGGCTCGTATCACGATAAAAACTGCAAAGTCGTATAAGTCGTTAACACCGCTCTCTTTGGATGAAAATGGTAAAGAGAATACGGTGGCCTCATTATTAAGAACCGCATGGAAGATTGTTGGCATCAATACACCTATAAGCATACTGAACGACTAGTTAAAACTAAATGTGGAAATGAGCCTTTCAAATTATCTCTTGAACCAGATACTGGGTCGAAAATCTTTTTTTTTGTTTGCGTTACTTCAAACCTCACCTTTTACACATAACGGTCACATATTATTTCTGTCCCTGTGAACAATGCAAGTAATGCACAGCAGTTCTCACTAAGTCAACCAAACAACAACAGAGTAATTAAGAAGACTAAAAAATAATCAGAACATCACTTACTAGATATATATTTTGAACTAGAGATCGACATGGGGCGGTTCGGTTCGGTTTCTTGAGATCAGAAACCGTCCATAATGGTTTCCCGGTTTTGAAAATAGAAACCGAAACCAAATCGCAAAACCATCTTAGTATATAAAAGCCGCCAAGAAACCCATTTCTAAAAATGAAAACCATGCCAAGACTGAAAATAATATTTTAAAACTAGTAGTGTTTTTATTATTAATAATAAAATAAATTATATACAACTATTATTAACTTTCCTAGGCATCCTATAACATAAGAAAGATCCCATCTCTCTGACAGTACTTGCCCTGGATTATTGCAAAAACTCGGCTCGGATAAATGAACTTCAAGATTATTCGACTGACAGGTCTTCGTTATATTATCGGATATATGTCAACCGATGTTTAGGGACGAGACTGAAAAAATCATAACTTCGGATGTAGACAAGTACATAGCTTTAGATTCCTTTTTCCTTAAACGGAGTAAGCTATTTATGTAGACTTGCTATTGATATCAAAGGCTTGATTATCCCATAGATTCCAGTCTCGTTAATCAGAATACACCTTAGCTGCTAACTAGAAAAGGTTGTCGCAACACGTTTTTATTCTGCCATTCTCGGTCGAATCCTCGCAGAGGTTTCTTCCGGTATAATATATGCAAATGCGTTGTTTTTGTTGTACTTTTTGCTACCCTTCGAATAGACAAAATAGCTGGAATTTAGTTAGCAAAAAGCACTAATTCCTTATAATTAAAAGTAGTTAGGTGTTTAAGTCTGATTTCCTACGCGGGACTATATTTTTGGAAAGTCTGTGCGCGGTTCACCAGTGCGGTGGTTTTACTGGAAAGTTAAGTTTTCTCTGGATATATAGTACAGCATATACTGGCACGCCAGATGTTGACCAGAAGAAGAGGGTGTGCAGACTAAACATTTGATTAAGATAGAATAGAATAGAATCACGACTATATGGCCAATACGGTCTTTATCGTTTTAAACGTCTGGTTGTATATATACAACGGAATCCGCGTTCAAATATCTATGTATGTACAAGTAAATTTTTCTTTTTTTTTAAAAAAACAAAAGCCGAACAAAAAGGCAGATAGAAAGTTATATAAAATAAAATATGTATAATAACGAAAATTAGAAACTCTCCTTGCCCCTTTCAAAGAGACCCCAACCGCACATCTCCAGTTTACTCTACCTCCTTTTAACAAGAAGTCCTAACATTCGTAGTAGTACAATAAGTTCCATCAGGACCCGATCCAATCTTACTTGGCTCGGCACCGCTGGAATTACCAGTATATCTATCGCAGTACTTGCCGCTGTTCTGGCAGGAGTTGGAGATCTTGCAAGTATCGCCGTAGTTGGTATTGATACCGCAGAGAACACCACCGCTCTTGGCGATGATATTATCGATGACGATGTTACGGGGGCCACCGTTTCCAGAGCAGTTTCCGCAGGAACGGACGACTTTGCCGTAGTCATTTACGTAGAAGTTTTTGATTGTGAGGGTTCCGCGGCCGTTGAATTGGGCGACTTTGTCGGAGGCTTTGAAGGCGCCGCCGCCGGTGATGTAGGAGTTTCCGGAGGATTGTTTGATTGCTGTTGTTTATTTATATATTAGTATGATGATATTATTTGAAAATTTGTAGGGGGTTTTGTAAGGAAATAAGGGGGGTGGAAAAACTTACTGATAGCATCCTCACAAACGTCCAACCACCAAACATTCTCAACGGTACAAGGTCCACGGCAGTGGATACCTTCGGCCTGATCAGGTCCGATAATAACATTTCGAATAGTAGCTCCGGATTCGAGGATGAACATAGCATCCGCCTCCCCAGTTTCCTTCTGATCAGCGCAGACCTTAGGATTACGGTCATACTTCAGCATCCCACCGTCCCAAACGCCAGAGATAACTTTAGCAGATGGAAGAGTCGTGGATCCAGCCGAGGCGGGGACAACGGTGGTCAATCCGGTACCACCACCGCCCGATCCACCAGCGGTAGTCGTTGTGGCCTTTGTGGTAGTCTTTGTGGTTGTGGCCACCTTTGTGGTAGTCTTGGTGGTGATGGAGGCAGTGGTTCCGCCGGAGGACTGGATGCACTGGGAGTACCATTCGTTGGAGTAGACGCAGCTCCAGCCTGAGACGCAGCCGGTGGGACCTGTCCAGCCGGATCCTCCGCATTGGGCCCATGGTTGGGCTTGTGCGCTGACCAAAGCAGCGGTTGCCAGGATGGTGAAAGTGGCCTGCTTCATTGTGACGACTGTGTTTTTTTTGTAATTGTGGGAAGGAGTATATATATGTATATAAAGAATGGAAAGGATGTATATATATAATGTCGAGAACTCAAGTATCCTGACTTGTCTGCTGAATTAAAAAAAAAAGTCGTCATGGAAGGAGGGGTTATTCACAGCTCTTTATATCCCCAACTTCAAGGCCCAGAACCATGCATTCGATATCCCCCCATGAGCCCGCACGGACTAGTTAAAACTATCCACATATCGGTTCTATCCCACGATCTGATTACCATGTATAGGGCATGCATGGCTAGCTAGCTAGCTAGGCCGCGGAGTTTCAAGAAACACTCTAAAAAAAAAAAACCTTCGCGTGTAGACCAAAAAAATCTCCTGATTTCCCCACACCGAGATCGCGGTATCCATATGAAACCACCCCTGATGGGTATCCTGCTCACTTCAATAACCTACGAAATCTAATAGGTGGGAAATTCACGAGTTCGATGCGAAACAATCCCTATCCTAGTACCTAGCTTAAAAAAAAAGTACTCTCTCGGCTCTGCAAGATGCAGGGAAGCTATCCTTGGTTTAAATCCTCCCCTCCCATCGATATGTATAAAAAAAATCGCGGGTTTTCTGCATATGCCGCACAGAATACTATGTAGTACCAAAAGGGAAAGAATAGCGGTATGTGTACATGTGTGTGTGCGTGTCGATTTGGGCCGTTTGAGAAACGGGTGGCGTACCATGGAACCGATGGAGACGGTAAGGATGATGGCATAGCCTCCCGGCTAGTTCTGGATTTTCATCCGTTCTTTTTTTCGAAAGGCGGTTTTAAGCCGTCCATGGTAATATGTAGCAGTTTTGAATAAAGGGATCTATTATAGATGTTGATGATGATAGGCCTGTAGGGCATATAAGGGGTTTGACTTTGGCGCTGCCTACCATACTATATCCTTTGAGTTTGAAGGTTAGCTACCTCTTTCAGTATGTATCACCGAAGCCTCTGAGTTAAGATCACTTCCAAGCCTTTTCTGCTTCCTCCAGATGCCTTCGGGAGCAAATGGAACGGTAAGTTCCATGAGCGTACGCCATAGAATTGCCATATTTAGGACAGCCCCGAAAGGGCTTCAGGTCCTTTAATCATCTAGAAAAACTCAAAAAAAGCTCAGACTCTCTCTCATTCATTCGAATCCTCCATGCAAAAACTTTAATCCAACACCCGCCCGCGCGGCCGTCTGAGTCGTTCGCAAGGAAGAAAATCTTGGTTCGTCTCAGGTTTGGTGCGGGCGGTGGATATTAACATACCCATGTTTTGGTATAGGTTGAAACCGTGACGTTTTTGTCGGAAGCGCCATCGTTCGTCTCCGGCGCCAAGTCTGCGCCAAGCGCCCGGGGAGGGTCGGTGCGTCTTTTCGATGTTATGTTCGATTCGAATTGCTTATTATTTTTTGATATTTTCTCCGGTTTAAATTTTAACTAATTTAGGTAGTTTGGGGAATTAATACACCGATGTTTGTGTATATTGTTTTATGTTTGAGGGATTAGTTACGACCTTACGACCCACTTTTGAGTAGCAGGCTATTTTCTGCTGTGCTACATATGTGTATGTGTGTATGTTCGGTTCGAGGGCACTCGCTTCCGTCTCGGGTTATATATATATATCCGGGCCATGTGTGATATATGTGGTTTAGTTTATACAGGCTCAAGCGATCGATAAGCTACTACAAGAGAGAGGAGCAATATTCTCGTTTGGGGGCTGATCCTCATATCAGCCTGTATGGATTCAAGAGATCTCGTTGGAGGGAAAACTCGCAGAACTTCTGGCGAATTTAGAGTGTTAATTTGTATTAATTACGTAGAAGGTTTTTACCAAGGCGAGTCCAAGTCGGATGGTTTAGGATTTGAATCCGTGGTATTGAGGTGGTGGTGGGGACTGTACATATATTATCATGGTCTATTGGATTATAAACCAGACTTTGATGAAGAAAATCCGGGCTCGGAGTGTAGATGTATGTCCGTCGTATAGGCGTTTATAATGCGATCCACGGGATACAAAGGAGTTCTTCCAATCTTCCATGTCATATCGAACAAAGAAACCTCCAATCCCTTCCCAGAATCATACATCACGCAAGTGAGATTACTCCATTCCAACCTTCAATTCCCCCTCCACACACCCCCAAAACTCCTTCACCACAGCCTCCCAGCCCTCTCCACCCCTAACAGCCAAATACCTCCTCCCATCAATCTTCGCCTTCCACATTCCTGGATTGGCATCCACGATCTCCCCTCCAGCTTCCTTAAGCACCACCCAGCCCGCACAGACATCCCAAGCCCAGCACCCTCCTTCCCAATAAACATCAGCCCAACCAGCTGCAACTCCACAGAAATTCAACGCCGCAGAACCCAGGGATCTGATAGAATGAACCATAGCCCCACCGTCCTTCTTATCAGCACATAACTTTCTAAAAGTCTTGACCTTAATATCATAATCATTCCCACTCCTATCACTACCCCATTCTCCAATGACAAGACAGTTACTTAACCCTCCAGCTCCATTCTCGTCATAAAATGGTTCTAGATGTTTTAATGGGAGTCTTTCACGGTCGTGGAGTGGAGAGGTTAGGTAACTGCCTTGGCCTTTTATACCAGTGAAAAGTTGGTTTGTGAAGGGATTATAGATTACACCGATCGTTGGGATCAGGTTTATGGTGAAACCTAGGGAGATGCAGGCGTATGGGAAGGTATGGACGAAATTTGTGGTGCCGTCGATTGGATCGACGATGAAGGTTGGGGATGGAGTAAGAGTGTCACCGGGTTTGTAGGTTTCTTCACCCATGAATCTGGATACATATCATCATCGTTAAAGTCGTTAGAATGGCTTTTTTCTATTATAAATGTGGTTTTTGAACTTTAGTTGAGGGGGAGGGAGGGAGGGAGGGAGGATGTACTGATAATCGGGATAGCGCTCTTGAATCCTCTCGCTCACCATCTTTTCCACCGCACGATCTGTTTCGGTTACTAGATCTGCTGCGTTTGTTTTACTACCCGTCCTTGAATTGCTGGGTCGGGCGGTTGTGATCATTTGTCCGGCGGCATGGGCGATTGATACTAAGAAATCGTGGATTTCTTGGAGGTTAATGGAGGATGCATCGTAGGCACCAGTTTCTGTGGTTGAGTCCGTCATGGTGATAGATTTGAAAGGTATTTTTCTACGATTGATGGAGTAAAGTGTTAGTAAAAGTTTTAAAGAATATCAAGATGACAATTAATGGAACTTACTGTATTGATTACACGATCTGAAGCTACTATTTGATTGAAAGAAGATGTAAAGCCTGCGGGGTGAATCTAGAAATGCCGATTTGACTCGACTCGCTCCAGGTCCGGAGCTCCCGTACACGTACCTGCAGCCGGCCTACGACCTCCACAAAACCCACCAGGTCTCGAATCCGCATCCTATTCGTTAGAACCCCAAGCTCTCCCTGCACCCTTGTAAAAAACCACATACTCCACTTGCAGACCCCTCGAGACGAGGATTAAGCTAAGAAAGCTAAGAGGGAAGGAAGGAAAAAATGACACTCAACTCAACGCAAGATTACGTATGAAGAACGTCAATACCTAATCCTTGGCTGGGATGGATTCGGTACACGGATCTCAACACCAAGGTTAAGGTAGTAGTCTCAACTATTCTTCCACGTGGAAATAGTATTGAATGTATGTGTACATGCAAGCGTAGTTTGTCGGAGATATGACGGTATTTCCACGTGGTATTCGTGATTTTTGAGACTTATTGGCGAGAGTTTATGTCATAGTTAGAGCTTTGCCTCAAGGTCTAAGCTTTCAAAGATATAGCTCACTTACAAAGGGAGATGTGTTCGGCATAGCTTCAAATCGATATCATCAAGATCATCAATTATGTTCACGTTTGATTGAGAGGGAGAAAAAGTTTTGACGTCGAAATAGCCCTTGGGTGTTTATTAAAAAGCTAGTCTTATAAACAGGAATTTTCTGAGCTTCAGGAATCTAGAAAAATTGAAAAAAAAGAAACACGAGAAACCAATCTTTTTGCTATTTTTCACCAGGCAAAACTGTCTCCAGTTTATTGACTTTGTAGCGAAAAAAGAAAGACAGAAGATTAAGAAAAACGTGTTTAGGATTCTCCCGTATCGTCAAAAAATAAAAAAAGGGAAAAAAAGGAACACCTTAGTTAACAATCCCCTTATGCTAGCCATTCATTATTAATAACAAAAGAAACACCAGTAACAAAAAGGATTTCCCAAAAAAAAACAGACAGTCCCATCAATGTTGATTCATTTTTTCCTCCGCTTTGTAATCAAATACCCAAGTGGTGGTTGTCAACACCCATTATAAGATCGTGACTTTAGGCATTCGATGGTGTGTATTGGTTGGGTAAGGGAAGTGTCGGTAGAAACGAATGTTTGTTGAGTGGAACCGTGATGTTTGGAAAATGAAAGAAGGTTATTTATATGCCCTCTTTATTAGCACGAGCCGAGGCATCATGCTTGGTTTGATCGAGCTTATCGGAAGCAGCTCCGAAAGCACCAGAGGCACGGTCAGTGAGGGAGTCCTTTCCGGCAACGTTGCCCTTGGCTTGTTCCTTGTTGGCCTCCTTGGAAGCTTCGGCAGTCTATAAGATATATTTGTTAGATCTATGAAGGTGAAGAAGAGGATATTATTGTTCAAGATTATTAGAACATACCTTGCCTTGAACGGTCTCAGCGACGTAGTTTCCGGCGTTCTTGAGAGAGTTACCAATCTGGCCGACGATGCCTTCATTTGGCTTGTCAACGTTTGGGGCAGACATGTTGATTGATTTGGTTTTTTAAAAGTAAAAGGTTCTTAAAAAAGTTTTGTATTGGTTTGAAGTTCTTGATATTGTAATTGTTTTGCTTGATGATGATGTAGGATGGAGAGAAGAAACAGGTTGAGCAGAGGGAGAAAGGGGACCTTTTATAGAGCCATTTCTTACTTTCTGTCCGGTCAGAGTTCATAGTTGATAGAACAATAACGTATGTAAAGTTCATAGAGTGACGTCAATTCCATCAACATAAAATCCGATGAGGCAGTTTCCTAGCACACGCACACTGCACTGTACACCGGCACCGCACCAGCACATAATCTCGATCTTAGTGGCCCCGGTCGATCGTTGCCGTTGTGTTGTTTTGTGTGGCCGGGCCTTTCCAACATCCGCCCGCAGCTTTGCGAAATTATGCTGGTGACGTCATGACGTCACTATCCGCGCCCACCAAAAACAAACGCTTTAAGCGACTAATTGCGAGCAATCATGACCGCATACTGGCGTAGACATTCCCTTGTTACAGTTACTGACTATTGACCAAGGTACCAAGGAATCTGGTTGGCCCCGCAATAGGGAGTTCATACCTGTATCATCATATGCGGCCGGTTTAAGCTTACAACGCCACATCACAAGCTTTTCCCGATACACTCAAGCTTCGATGAATATCCCCTTGATTCCGTTTGAATTCCACTTGTACTTGGTATACAAAGAGTAAAAACTTGGTATTAACATATATAACTTGCAGTACTGGAGCAGGGAATACCTTGGCATGTGAAGTCCATACTAATTCCGAAAGGGATGCGGCATAACAAGGGTGAACCGGTTGATACGCCACTAGACCCATTCCAACCACCAGAACCTTACATCATTCAACAGGGCCATTTCACGATTTGCCGCTTGATTTTCGATGCGCGGCAGATCGACGACATCGCATAAGGATCCTTCTCCATGGTGCCACAGTTTTCCTTCCCCTCATTTGTATGTATTATGATGTTACCCAGCCCAGTTTTCATTGGCGATTGGGTCAGTTGAGATGCCGATGTTGGACAACATGGGTTTTGGAGAGCCCCGACTGAAAAAGTTGGAATTGCCCATGTTCGAATTCGCTTTTACTCCGCAAGATCGATCTGATCATGGGGTACATACCTACCGCCTGGATTCGAGGCTACATACCTACGTACTTCTTCTATTACGATGCCTCTATGTATGACATACAATGGACCTATAGACTGCTACAGTATACATCATTAATAGCCACGTATCATATTAGAGTATCTTTAATCCCGAGATCGACCTAATTCTCCATACTTTGGGCACACTTACGAAGTGCTTCAAGTCTAGCTCCATATATCTGAGGAATCCAGATCCCTCTCTTAAGAACCCTTCCTAACAAAAACTCACGATCTTGCTTCTCCGAACCGATCTGAGTGACTTTAAAACCATTGGCTACGAATAATGCAAATAGTAGTATGTAATACATAGAATAAAATGATGTAAACAATTGACAATAAAACTTGGAAGGTTGTTTATGGTTATTCGCATAAAAAAACCTATTTGAGAACACAAGGCTGCCTGGCCTTGCCTTCAGTTTTCCGGATTCTGTTTTGTTCTTTTCTCTTTTTCTTTTATTACAAGAAAGAAAAAAACCTGGTCTCGTGCGCTATTCCTCTATTTGAGATTATCTTGGATCGGGATTATACAAGCATCGTTGGCTAGATTCCATGGCTAGCTACCTAGGTGGCTAGTAACGTTACCGTCAAAGCAAACTCGTCCAAGACCCGAAAACAGAGAATCTAAACAATCGAGATCGAAAGAAACTTTACCGGCTTCGAACCGAATGAATCAGATGGGGAAAAACAAGGCGAGGTTTTTTTACTTGCTGTGCCCTGTCTTGGGAAAAAATAGCTTGGTGGATATCGATAGTAACAGTCTAGTGTGCCGAAAGAAGAAATGTCGACATCATTTCTTTAGATTGTAGTATTAGGAGGTACGTACTATATCCAAGTTGATCAGGCCCGTCGAAAAGATCGCAATTACTGCCATCGATTGCGTCAAGATATCATGAACAGAGTTTGGAGAGTCATATCTACAGTACTGGGCTAACATACTTGACTTATTGGTCTGGCAGGCAAGACGGGTTCACCAGCAGCTTTTCCAACTTGGCTACGGTCAACCAACCGCTCGCGTTGCCGTTACATTACGAAATAGGTACTCGTACTCCATATTATATTTCATGGCCACGAAAATCAGAAGAAAGAAAAAACGTGGCAATGGGGCCAATGCAAAGAATCGACGAATCGCCACGGAAATATGATCACACAGACAAGGGCATGGTACCATATGGTCAAAGAACACACGAAATACTGCAAAAAAAGAAGCTTGAAGTTTCTCAAACCGGGGGGAAAACTGCGTGCAGCACATAACGCTCGGCTTTGCAGTTCTTTGGAATCGCAAAGAAGGTTTACATACTAAAACAAACGCTCGGTTTTGCAGCCTCGGGGCTTTCCGTTACCCATGGATTCGATTCCCGTATCGAATGAGCTGGAACATAATAGTGACGTCAGGATTTCTGGTGGAAATGGCAGCTTTAAGCGGAGGCTCGGTAAAAGGCTCCAAATTTATAGCTCACGTGACAATTTTGGGCATCAGAATGAAATAAATTTTGGGTCCTTGAAATCTGGGCTTCTTCATCGTATAGCTCGACAGGGAATTGTCCAAACGGTATGAAAATTAGATATTCTGAAAGAGCAAAAAATTAGGATTCGAATGGAACCCGAATCGCGAGATTTGACTGGGTATTGGAGAAGTTGGGTTTTGGTGGAGATTTGAGGTGGGTTTTTGAAGTTCGTGATAGTGACGTTTACGCGACACCAGATTGAATATTGAGATACTACTGTCTACCACCACAACAACAACAACAAGTCTAGACTAGAAAAAAGGCCTCGGTGTTGTCTGGTACACGAGACCAGCCTCACTCAGTCTCAGCGCTAAACAACTTGTGCTCTGTGAACTCCCGCCTTTTGAAGCTAGTCAAATCTAGCACGTCTACAGTCCTGGCCATGGCTACCAGGCTAGAACTATGGTAGTAGCTATGGACATCTATGATACCTAGTCTGGGGCGTTCCGTACGGTGAAACCCATGGACTAATAGGATACGCAAAGCCGCCTGTTATCTGATAATACCAGGCTTCTGTTCCACAAGATGTGCTTAGCTACTAATTAGGTGTCAGTCAGGAGGTGTTTGGTATTGACCTGTGAATAACACCAGCGATAGAAGCTATGGCCCTATAATGCGTATGGAATTCCTTGTGTTTGAAGTCTGTAGTGAGTCTGGTGCTGAAGCTACCAGTACCAGTCTCGTAGCCAAACTGTGCTGAAGCTACATTCTGGTTACACGGCTGCGTAATACGGAACGAGATGCCTCACAACATCGATTGCAATACCGAATTTTAGGTATCGGGTTTGAAATAGCTCTAATAAATTAAAATAAAATCGTATATACATACTTTTTGGTTAAATCGATGTAAAATCGATCAATCTAGAATTCTTACATAGAAAGTTAAACTATCAGAGTTCTTATTACATTTAAAATCCTCTTTTGACTTTCGGAGTTCGAGGGCTTCTAAATCACTCGATTTTCGACAGAACTCTCTAAAACTCGGATTTCTTTTAGACCTGGTTGTAGAAAGCCAGAATCTATAATTTCAAGAGATTCTGATTACTAGTCGTGAAGCAATTTAGATTTGAAAACGTGCGAATTTAGTATGTAACGTCTACAACACATTTTTTTTACAATTCGCGATGATTTCTGAACTTTTCGGCTTTTGATCATGAATGTTGTCACGTGATTTGGACATTTGGGTGTAGCCCACGGCATGCGCAATTGCAACTCACGGATCATGCGCATGCCATGCATTGGATCCATGGACCATACCTCGAGATTGAGGTGGGCATGCGAGCGAGCGCCCGTCTGGCAATCATATCTATGGAGCTATTGAGACATATATATAGAGTCTTAGAATTCTTTCTCACAGACCAAAACACTAGTGCAAAAACATAGACTCTGCTGGTCACAAGGAAGCTAAAAGTACTAGTAATCCGGCCCGCGAGCCTAAGCGGACCGTTTCTGCCCGACCCTTTTGAAACTGCTCGGTGGAGTTCCTGTGGATGATCATCATTCGATTCTAGTGATTTATCATGAAATCGGGTCCAGTTCAAACTTTGCATACATGATATCCTGTGGGCCAAGAGCTGGCATACGTAAACATACTTTTTTCATCCGATAACCATACTCGTTTCCCAATTTAACCTTTCGTCGTTACCGGGTTTTTCTTGAGATCTTTTGTCCCAAAAGGAAAAAATGGGTTACTCAGCTGACTGTTATCTCATCCTGGTCCGTCTTCGAGGGGGTATGTATACCGGCTATATGCAACCGAAGTTTCTTAGTTCGAAAAGATCTTAAGAAAGGAACCTGGATTGCGGGAATTGTGGCGTTTGGAAAGAAATAACTTGGTCGATGCTTATTTGGCTCGTCCTCAACCCTGGAGGATGATTATGCAGGGTCAGATTTTTTTTTTTTTTTTTCAATGTCGACATTAGTATTGCTCGTGGTCTGGTATGCATGGTATCCCTCGAGACTAACTCATGGTCATGGCTGTATGGTCCGATCGTGGGGGCCTCGAGGAACACTGAGAAAATGCAACATTATACAACGCATCTATAGTACCTGTAAACTTGCCGGACTGGAGAGACTACTAGTATGGTCTTGATAATTACCTAGTATAGCCAAGGAAGATGAGAAATACCCCTTTACGAACCAAGTCCCAAAAATATAATGTATACTACTAGTTAGAAAGTATTTATATACCAAAAAACCCCAATAAAATCTGTGGCCATCTAAATCATGCTCTCCGTTAAGTTGCTGTGCAGTAGCACGCCAATTCAATGTCATCTTAAGGGGTCTTAATTTCAGCATCTTTGGACGGTATTTTTCTACTATTTTTCAGCTTTCGTCGTTTAGTATCTCCAATCCCGAGAAATTCTGATTTAGAGGTGAAAGTCCTCTATATGGATATTAGAGTCCGGCGCACGGATCGAGCTCCAGGGTCTAGAAGCCTGAGGAGGATGGACTTGAGAATTGCTAGGTACATATATGTTTTCCCTAGCTGAAGGAGGTAGAGGGTTGTGGCGGATGCAAAGGTTGCGAAAATTTGGGAACGGTTATAACGTTAGTAATATAGTGAAGATTCGAAGATGGGAAATGGTAGCCTCTGGGTTAAGTAGTTCCATGTCGATTTCTCGTCGACACCATTCGTCCATCAACCAAGTGAATATCCAGTGGTCCCAGTTTTCCATTCAGTCCGAGAATGAAGCTAGGCTATTGAGGGATTGTAGACGCACGGAAATTTTGTTTATAAATAGCAAGGTTGATTGAGACTTAAAATACTACCTATACTCGTATATATGGATATTCGTAAAACAGTCTACAAAAGGGCTAAAAAAATACATACAAAACATACCGACGACATGATTCAAATAGCTCACCGTTTTGGAATAGCTTGATGGTATATATGGGTTTTTATGGTAGTTGGCGTGGGATGACGAGTACGCGAGTCGCGGAGGCCAAGTAAGGCAAAATAGGACCGCGAGCATTATGCGAAAGATCTACGGAACTCGGTCGGAAGAGCTTCGACCATCGCGAGTTTTATTTCGGAGGGGAAGATATCTAGTTTATATGAAGGTGTTCCTGCGCTGACATCTATAACTACATATGTAGTCGGCCATTTTATTTTAGTGGTTCCATGGTATATAGGTACGGGTATCGATTCTGTGCTTGGGGTCTAGCTTGAGCTTTCCTTTCTCTTTCTCAAACTAGTCTAGTGATGTTTTGTTATAACGTTACTGTTATGCGCAGATACACGGAAGCATTAAGATTACCATATACTAAGATCTGGTGCCTGGCCGTCAACTATGAGACATTTTAATTTTGGCGTGCGCATTCTTGGCTGGGACTACAATATAGTACTTTATAGAATTAATAAACGGTTCCGAGCTTATGTTTTTCTATAGCTTCCAGATCCATATATGCATATTGTGTAGCGTTTGATATACACGTATGTATGGGGAAATGGTCCTGAATTCGAATATTTTGTTGAGAAAGATACAAACGATGCGTATTTTTAAGGACAAAAACGAGGTTAGGATACGGTGTATTCTCCTGACAGATGCTTGATTTTAGAAGTCTAGATGCCGCGTGAATTCGAAAGCTTAATATTTTTCTTGAAAGATCCAGAGTAGTGGTTCCTGAGACGCCTCCTCCGTAGGTTTGCGGGCGTTAACTTCCGCTTGCGAACGAATCCGATTGGGGATTAAGGGAAACTCAAAGACCAAAACAAGAAAAAAGAAATACATTTGTACGCATACTTAGGTAGTTACTGATTTGCCAACCGCCTGACATCTAAAGATGGTAGAGACCGAAATAACATGAATATCTGTTCTGTTGGGGGGTTAGTTTGCAACGTTTGGTTTGATCAGTTCGTTGTTTAAGGAAGAAAAAAGGGAAAAAATCGAAAAAAATAAAAAAAAGACGAGTGGGGGCCAGTTTCGGGAGAAATAAAGCTTGACGTTTGTGAAACAGCCAGGAAGTGGGCCAGACCTGCAGATGGGCAATATGAGGGAAGAATCCCGGTCGGTTGGTTTGAGTCCGGTGGAGGAGAGGACGATAGAGATTACGCAAGCCTTGGTATTCTCCGATCATACTTTTTTCCCTCTTTGCATGGCGACATTCTTTATAGAGCGTCTATCTGTCCTACCCTGTGAGAATAAGTGTAGACCGTGTAAGGGAGGGGCAAAAAGTATAAAGTATAAGGGATTGGATGGGTGTGAATTAACGCTTCTGTGGAACGAGCACCGGTTTTCAAATTTCCCTTATATCTTGCAACTATAGCCCGTCGAGTCACGTCATATAAGTACTGATCCATATAAGGAGGAAAGGGGTATAAGATCGTATCCGCGATCAAGTTATTAAACATATACATACCTACTGCAGTGTTCGGACAATCCAATCTTAAAACTTAGCTTCAACGTTTATCAACCAAACCCTTGCACTTTACATGGACTATATTTTTTCAAGTAACTGGTGCAACATCACACTTTGCTTGGCTTCTTGGGTTTGAAATTGACCCTTTGACAGGTAATAACTAACCAACAAACCGACGGACATTCGACGGGCGAACCAACCGTTTTAGCGCGATAGACTTGGCCTTTTCTTGTAGGGCTGTGCTATTTGCAATTGAGGGAGAAGGAGAAGGTCTTCGCGGTTCTTCGCTCGAAATATATATGCTCAAGGAGTATCTATACTTAGATGCAGCGTATATTAGTATAGACTCTACCGATATACAAGAGTAGAGTACGTACTAGTCCTGGGTAAGTCACGATCGGAATCAGATCCCTCGTTGTCCACGCATGGCATGGCCTTGTTCGGTATACATACATACAATATTTAAAATATAATATGTGAAGTGGTGGTGGTGTCGACGGATTGGATGGGAATGGTTGTGGCTGCAGCGCCGTGCAGCGGTTGGATCCCACCAAATATCTGAGTCGACTGTGATCCCCCTGAAATAAATACACAAAGACACAGACACAGACACACCGACACTATCAAACACCAACTTCACCTGTAACTTCCCTTTTACCTTCTCTCCTTCTTCCATCCTCCTTTCCCCCCTATTGATTACATCGCCAGATATCCATCACCTCCCTCCCCCAGATGCATCCCCGTTAAAAATCAAAAATCCATTCGTTCATATTTTAATTCATATTTTAAACTTGCCTTATCCATTTTTCTTTTTCCGCTCGCGTCGGCTCGTTTGATTTAGTCAAGTCGTTGGTTACATTGGTTGCTTACTAGTAGTTAGCTGCTAACATACTCAGGTATTCGTTTGACATTCTCCTGAACCCGACAGCCAGCCCGCCAGCCAGCGTGACCGTGTGCTGCAGTGTAATATTATTATTTTATTACCCTGCTATTTTCGGACTCGTTCTTAGTCTCGCTCTTAGTCTCTCGCTCTTAGCCTCGCTTTTCTCGTTCTCAGCTGCTGTGCACCGTGCAGCCGCAGCTAATAACTAAAACCTGCTCAACCTAATAAAACCACCGGCTGGTCCACCACTGACTTCTCCCTCTTCAATCCGCCCTCGTCCTCCCGACATATTAATTTTCTTTCCTCTCTCCTCCTCCCTCTCTCTCTATCTCTCATCATTAATTATTACTATTAGTTACGACAGGGAAGAGCTGGTCGAGTCTAAGAATCTCTCATCCTAACTATTGAGAAAAAAGAAGAGAAGAGAGAATAGCCAATCACCGGCGAAAGGAGCCCCACGTCATCTCACCCTCGCCCAACATGCCACCAGCCGAAGACGAACGCGGTCATGATCTCGAGGCCCAGAAAAACCCCTTGATGAAGGATACCGACGAAGACGACGAAGATGTCATCGAGAAGAGTACATCTCAACAGGCCTCCTCGGTCGCTCCTGCTCAGGACGGGGCTGTCAAGTCCTCTAGTGGCGGTTCATCAGGTTTCATAGCGTGGACGATTGTCAATACCCTCGCTACGATCGGAATTGTATGCAATCCCTCAAAATTCAAATCCAAGAATATCATCCTACCCCTGAATCCCGCTTCTCGCTTTGTGGTTTCACAATCTTAAAATTTCATCGAACGTCAACAATCACTTTAAATAAACGTGGAATGTTGATGGTCGATGATCAAAGCGTGATGACGGAGAGGATGGCGACAATGATGATAATCTTAAAGGACAATAAAAAGAAAAAAGTATAGCTAACCACGCCCAAAAATTCGCAGGTCTTCACCAACAAAGCCATCTTTGACGATCCGTCGTTCAAGAAGATGCAGACTTCCTTTGCAGCTTTCCATTTCTTGTGCACGACCCTCACACTTTTCGTAATTTCCCGCCCAATGTTCGGGTTTTTCGTACCCCGCCGAGCCGGTTTCCTCGAAATTGCCCCTCTATCCTTCGCAATGTGCTTGAACGTCATCCTTCCAAACCTCTCGCTCGCATACTCCAGCGTCACTTTCTACCAAATCGCCCGTATCTTGCTCACTCCGTTTGTCGCGTTGATCAACTATGTTTTTTACCATGTGGGTATCCCGCGAAACGCGGTTTTGGCATTGATTCCGGTTTGCTTCGGTGTTGGTATCGTCTCTTACTATGATACCCTTCCGGATCCGAGTAAGCCAACCCAGGTCACTTCAACTGCCGGTGTCGTCTTCGCTTTCTCCGGCGTGGTCGCCAGCAGCTTGTACACCGTCTGGATCGGAACCTACCATCGCAAGTTGAACATGAGCTCCATGCAGTTGCTTTTCAATCAGGCTCCTGTGTCTAGCTTTTTACTCCTCTACTTTATCCCATTCTGCGATACCTTCCCTGTCTGGACCGGAGTTCACCTTAATAAGTACCTTTTGATTTTGTTGAGCGGTGGATTCGCTAGTTTGATCAATGTGAGTATCTAATTTTCACTGCCACCACAGCCCCAGCTATTTGTTTGAAATGGAGCTAATTTGATAATAGTTGAGTCAATTCTTCATTATTGCCGGTGCTGGAGCTGTCAGCAGCACAGTCGTTGGACACGCAAAGACCTGCTCGATCGTCATGCTCGGATGGATGGTTTCTGGACGTGCAGTTACCGACAAGAGCTTGTTGGGTATCTTCATGGCCATTGGTGGTATTGTCACGTAAGTTTCTTCCCGGCAATCGCACTCTCGTGAGGGCCGAACATCGACTAATCGAACTAATTTTTTTAGTTATTCCATCACCATACTCAAGTCCAGGAAGCCGTAATTTGACGCGTTCAGCTTTTAATAAGATTTCATCTTTCAGGAATGCGACAGTACCGAAAAAGTTCTTTCTTAACGTGCTAGGCCATTTAATAGCCTGATTATTCCTACTCCTCTTTTTTATCCTTTCTAGATAGGAGGTTGATTTCCTTTATTCTTCTTCTTTCTACCTCCCGAATTTTTGTTCTCCTTGACTTTTTTCACTACGGGAAAATTGAGCGGGCTGCGGTAAGCTTTGTAATCTATACTACTTGGGTTTATAGACTTTGCTTCTGCTGCGATGGTTTATCCTTTTTCGTTTTCTTCAGAAGGATGGGATTGTTTTTTATTTTATTTTATGAAGATGGGGTTTTTGGGAACTTTATGCGCCAGCAAGGAATTAGGTGGACTTTAATCTGAGCGGGACCTGGACAAGCGACGAAAGGGCTGGGAAGAAGATCAGGAAAGAGGAGACATGGGGTTTTTGAATGTGTAGGCCTACAGAGGCAGGGTGCTTAGCCTGGCTTGACTTGATTTATTAACGGGGTTTTTCATCTGGCGTTTTTTTACATGTCTTTCATGTATATCTTTAATTCCTTTTATGCCAATGCTCTTTTTTGAACGCCTGAATGGCATGTTAGACTCCAATCTTGGTGACACGATGACGGATTGTAGCGATTTAAGCTTTGGAGGTCCCCCTTGGAGGGTATTACGTATGCTCGGTTTGGTGGAAAGTCTATCTTTCCCCTGTGGATCCACTGTCTGTTACAGAAAGCGCTGGTATTGTTGGTATCGCATGGTCTGTTCAGGTCCATTGCCCAAATGGGTTCAGAAGACGTATTCGTGATACCCTAAGATGGTGGTAGTGGAGCAGACAGATATCCACCGCCTTTCTCTGGGCACCACGTTCGTGTGACAAGGGCCTCTTGGGAGAGATTCTTGCGAAGCTCGAGACCGGGATCAGGTCTGGTCTCTCCGTCGTGTAACCATCTTGGCGATCCTAATACAGAAATGCAACATAATCAACACGATATCGGGGATAAGGAGCTCGGGGATTAGGATTAATTGTCTTTTTTTTATAACTTAATTAATTGTGATCGAGAAATATTCAGGATTATTTTGAGATGTAGAGATAGAGTGGAGGTGCTTGGTTTCTGGGTCCGTTTAGAAGGAATGATAGTATTTGATTGAGATATTGGTAAGGTTACCGTAGTATCAGTTCGAGGAGGAGTTTATATCTGCTGTACTAGTTTTGAAGAGTTTAAGGAATTGTTTTTCAAGTTTTAAGACGTTTTAGACAGAATTTAAGGCCTCTTTATTGCGTAGGAAGGTAAAGGAAAGTGAATTCTCCGTAGAAAGCTATCTGTCCCCTCTAGACTCCGACCTCAACCCCCTCCCCTCCCCCCTCCCTACGGAGTACCTGATTCGATATTTCTAGAATAGGATACTTCTTCAGGATCCGGGGTAGTGCATGCGTGGGGTACCGTGCATTTACCTCATTACTAGAGTATGTACCTGGCCTCCCTATCGTGCATGACGTCTGTCTTACCAGTCTCGGGCCTTCCCGCTCCGTGTCCGATATTGCTTTGCAGGTCTTCCCTCCCCCTCCCTCCCACCCTCTTTGGGAATTCCGCAATCTTTCAATTATTTTTTCCCTCGCCAGCTATCCGTCTACAAACATGTCCCCTTCCTCTTCCCCTGCCTCTTCCTTTCTCTCTTCACCTTCGTCTTCGCCTTCACTTCACCTCCACCTTCCTCTCTCTTTTCGTCTTCACCTTATCCTCTCACTTCGTTTTCCTCTTCTTTATATTCGTCTTCACCCTCCTCTCTTTCTCTCTTCATCCTCCTCCTCTCCCTCACCACACCATCTACCATCATTCATCAGAACTCAAGAAACGGAAATGTTGGTCCCACGCTACCTTCCTAATGGCAGTCATAGTCGACGGACCTCCTCTTTATCCTTCATGAGCTATAAACCCCTCCGGGGGGTTTTCACCCTATATTACGCGTCTCTGAGAAGCTAGTTGAGAGGCCATTTGTTCAAGACCACGGATGACCGCCCACAAAAAAAAAAAAAAACGGCAAGATACCTCCCAGTTTCTTCACAAAGACCTCCGGGTCTTGTCCTCGAAGAGCTATACACCCCTCCGGGGGATGCTCAAACCAACTACGCGTATCTGTGAAGCTGGTCTTTTGTTTTCTCCCTCCTTATTTTTTCTTCTAAAAATCTTCAACTTCTCCCACCACCGTCGGGTATGCTCCTTCCTTACTATGCCACCACCCTCACAGACCTCCGGGTCTTCCTCCTTAGGAGCTATATACCCCTCCGGGGGATGCTCCAGCTAGTCACTACTGCACGCGTTGTGGGAACTTTCTCTTTCATTTCTTTTTTTTTTTGAAAGTCAAAACCTCGACTTCCGCCTTAAGGCATCCCACCTCCCCAACCTACCACCACCCACCTTCAAGAGCCTCAGCAACAGGGGTGTCGTTAACATTCCTGATCTGATTAGGGGGTGGGGGCGGGCATGGTATTGGGATCTTGAAATGCTCCTGCCCTCAGTTGCCCCCATCCCCCTGATCGATCAAAGATACGGCCCGATAACGAAGAGTATCGATCACAGTGGGCCCCCCTACGGAAGTATAGTACACCCACTATCCCGCTGGGGATGGCGACTTTCGCCTCCCCTTTTTCATTTCCCCCCCGGGGGAAATGAGGTTGACGAGAAGCCCGAGGAGGTGGTTTTCGGTGACATCGAATATTGTCACTACCGTGAAAACGTCCCCGGCAACTATATTCTTCTCCTTCGACACCTTCTGGGTACTACTGCCAGGGTCATGAGGAGGGCCCTTGGCAGATTGGGGTTTGCATCCGTGGCAATGAGAGGGCTCGAAGCTATGGATATTAATACTGTTTCGGTAAGTGGTTCTAGTATAAATTTATTTATTAGAGTCAATTCATTTCTAACTATTACTTGAATTGTCAGGCCCCATATACATTGGCAACATGACCTCGCGCAGACCATAAGGAATATGACGAGCCTGCCCATTACCAAATTTACTTTACACCGCACTCTCCTCCTCGATGTTGGCTCTGGGCGTCTGGCGCCGGATGATCCATCATAAGATCATGCCTCGCCCTTCACCTTTTCAATATATATTTCCCGACAAAACGAAGCTTTCGTTCTTTACTTCATGGGTATTGAAATGAATTCCTCGAACCCGTCTTCTACACCCTCGTATTTGTTTTCCTTCGATATTGCGGGCCGGGAACAATTTGGCGGCAAAGCGTCCCTTCCCATCCCAAAGAAACTCTGGGGCTCACTACAAAAATACCACAAAATATGGTACGATGGTATACAACCTTTCCTGACATTTTCTTTATGGGCCTGTTCTAACTTCTTTCTCCTCGATCATAAGCTGCAGCTCATATATTTTACTACCTCCACCTTCCGGCTCAATACTATTGGCCCCCGCTGGAAATGATGAAGAATGGCTTCGAGACTACCAGAGACGGTAACACCACCCCGAAAAACGAATTGGTACAAACCCCCTGCTCCAGGTCTCGTCTGATACCTGGCCACCCCGCTCGGCCTGACAGCCGGTGGGAAATGCGCTTGCCCTGAGTGCATGACGCCAGGAAAGAATTGGAAGAGAGCACCGGGCGCCTCTGCAGACGGCCTCTATGGCCGGTTGGGGGAGGGGGCGAAGAACACTGCGGTATAGACGGAAGCCATAACCAGATTACCGGGCCTGGGGAGGTTGGGTTGGTGTTTTGGTTTCAGTGGGGTCCGCCCCACTGAAAAAGAGCTCGGTAGTGTCGGTGGAGGAGGGAAGTGGAGGGGGTTAACACGGGGTCCGCCCCAGTTATACCCAGGGGAAGGGGGGGTGTGGGGTCCGCCCCATTTATGAAACTCTTCGAGCCTCGGTGAGTAAGAGAAAGAGACTATCTTAATAATTTTCTATAATCCCGTTCACTAACGCGAGTTATTGAAAGAACAGGGCATGCTTGCAGCAGAGATCCTCTCTGGAATTGATGCCAAAGAGGATTCTCACCATGCGCTGTCGTGATTGTCACGGGATGGTGGTATCTCGTCTAGTCTGGCCTTGTCCGCTTGGTATATTTTTTTTTGAAAAAGGATATACCCAGTGTGACAGGTTGCTGGACTAATGAGAGGGCCATCATATCGGGTGGCAATCTTTCTTTGACTTCGGAGTTGAGGGGCCCTGGAATTGCTGCCAAAGAAGATTCTCACTGTGCACTACCCTGGCTGTCGCGAAATGATGGCTTCTCGTATAGTCTGGCCTTGTCCGCTTGGTATATTTTTTAAAGAAAAGATACACCCAGCGTGATAAGTGCTAGATTTATGAGGAGGCTATCATTATCCCGGGGGGCAACTTTCTTCTTTGGTAGTAATTGCTCGCTCGCAGTTAGTCTTCTTTCGACTTCAAGAATGAGCCTAGACCCTGGAATTGCCACCAAAGAAGATTCTCACCGTGCATTGTCGTGGCTGTCATCAGAAAATGGCTTTTCACATAGTCTAACCTTGTCCGCTTGGTATATTTTTTTGAAAAAGATATACCTAGCGTGATAAGTCGCCAGATTTATGAGGAGGTCATCGTCCAGGACAGCCTTTTGCTCGTATTCCCTGGCGGGGAGCGACTTCTTCCTCGCGTTTAACCTTTCTTTGACTTCAGCAGATGAGGGGTGGGCTGTGGCGGATAAGCTTCTAAAACGTACGGGGTCCGCCTCAGGTATCTTCAGTTTGAAGTCGATTCCGGGAGCAACTGCTCCCTCGCAACCTTTCTTTGACTTTGGCAGATGAGGGGGCCAGGGGACAAGCTTTTGCTCGTATTATCCGACGAGAAGCAACTATTCGCAACCTTTCTTTGACTTCAACAGATGGTTATAACATTAGGGGTGGTGGAGATAACACATACGGGGTCCGCCTCAGTTATCCCCAGTTATGAACCGACGCGAGGAGCCACGCTATTGTTCCTTCGCAACCTATCTTTGACTTCGGCAGATGGCTAAGGGGTGGTGGGGAATAAGAATTACGGGGTCTGCCTCACTTGTTCTCATTTAATTTGGAGACTGCTGCTGTCGTGGCTGTCGCTAGAAGATGGCTTTTCACATAGTCTAGCCTTGTCCGCTTAGTATATTTTTTTTTGAAAAAAGATATATCCAAGTGTGATAAGTTGTCGGACTATGAGAAGGTCATCGTACCAGGGCAGCCTTTACGTACTCGCTTGGGGTCCGCCCCATACATCAAAAGTCTTGAACACGGATGAGGCCACCAGCCCATGAATGGTCGAGGGCCATCGTATCAGGACGATGGACAACCTTTCGCTCGTATTTTCCGGCGAGGAGCGACTGTTTCCTCACAACCTTTCTTCCACTTCAACAATTAATGCGGTGGTGATGGAGGATAACATCTACGGGGTCCGCCCCAGTTATCCTCGGTTTTGAACCGACCCGAGGACCTACTTTTCCTTCTCATGCTCAACTATTCTTTGATTTCGACGGATGGTTAGGGGTTGGTGGGGTCCGCCCCAGCTGTTCTCAGACGGAAGTCGACGCGGGGTCCGCCCCAGATATGCCCTCCGGCCCATAAATGGTCGGGGGCCGTCGTATCAGGATAATGGACAACCATTTTCTCGCATTATCCAACGAGGAGCGATTGTGCTCCGCAACCGTCTTTGGACTTTAGCAACTGGAGGGGGTGTGGGGTTCGCCTTAGTTATTCTGGGGTTTATGCGGGGTCCGCCCCATGTAAGACGTGCCCTCCGGCTCATAGATGGTCGGGGGCCGTCGTATCAAGATAATGGACAACCATTTGCCCATATTCTTCAGCGAGGAGTGACTGTACTTCACGACCTTTCTAGGAGTTCGATGGGTGGGGGGAGGGCATTGGGATCATGAGAGACGGAGCCTGCCAGTTACCTTGAGTTTCGGTACGGGGTCCGCCCCATGTACGATAGGCCCTCAGACCCATAGGTGGTTGAGGGTCGTCGTATCAGGACGATGAACAACCATTTGCTCGTATTATCCAACGGGGGGCGACTGTACTTCACAACCTTTCACTCTAATTATCCAGCGAGCCACAGGGTCTGCCCCATACATATGAGATCTCGAACGCGGATGGGTGGCTAGACAACTTATAAATATTCGAAAACGATCATACCACGACAATGGGCAACCTTATGCTCGCATTATACAGCAAGGAGCGACTGTATTTCACAATCATTTGATTGTTTGGCTACATTTTGGCGGATGGTGGATGTTCGTGGGGGATAAGGCGGGGTCCGCTCCATACATGGGGGGCTTTGAATACTAAGATGGGAAAAGGAAAGAGGAGGAGGGGGGTTATAAGAACTAGTGCGGGGTCCGCCCCATATGTTGATGACCTTGAACGGATGGCGAAGAAGAGGAGGAGGAGGAGGAGGAGGAGGGTTACAAAATTGGCACGGGGCCCGCCCCAGATATTGATAACTTCAAACGTGGACGGCGAGGAGGAGAAGGAGAAGAATAACGAGAGATAATACGGGGTCCGCCCCAGGTATAGATAACCTCGAATGCTGACGGAGGAGAGGAAGAGTGAGAAGGAAAGAATGATAAGAACTAGGTGGTGCGGGGTCCGCCCCAGCGGCTATTTAAAAAGCTCTGTATGTCCGAGGTGGTGGACTGGAAGTAGAAAGAGGAGGAAGGGGTCGGTCGATAACAATATTGACCACCCCATGGATAGAAGTCTATGGCGAGACGGAAGGAGGAAAACGGGGAAAGGGCCGGAGAAGAAGGGGGCCAAGGGATGGTCGGGTGGTTGAATGATATCAATGGCGAATGCCTTGATGGGGGAGTTATTTTTGGAATAGAATGGAAGAAGAATGGGGATGTGGTGGAAGCGGTGGAGATATTGGTGGTTAGGAGGGTATTCGAAAGGAGGAGAAGATGAATATTGATTCTGAGGACTGGGGAAGTTGGTTAATGCATCCTACAATTGCATAGTCTCGTTTCTATCCGGCTTCGCACCCTTCATTTCAAACACGACGAGACGCCTATGGCTCAACGAGGGAGCTGAGCAGCACGATGTTCGGGGGCCTACCACTCCAAAAGAGGGTTGGAAGGGCGCCCTGCTTGTGTTTTGCGTAGCATCCTTCAGAAATTCCATGGATCCGAAATTAATACTTTCTTATCTTGGGATCTGGAGGAAGGATGGGCCTGGTCTATAAGACCGGCCCTTGGTACCGGTCTGAACTATCGGTAATAATTTTGCCCTGCTTGCGCGGCAAGATTCCAAGAAAAAGGCCCCAGCTTCTAACGCAATTTTTGAAAGAAGGGAGGGATCCCGAAAGATCGGGAAGTAGCAATCAGTCGAGCAACGGCAGAACAACAGAAACCGCAATCATGGGCTCCGGCCCCGGGACGAACAACCCACGGCATCACTTCACACGGGACATCTTCAAGTTGTCCTTGGTCTTTTCTGGGGAAAGAATTTGGTTATATGTCCGATGTTGGGGCCCTTCATTCCCTGTTTATGCCTCGACATCATGGTGCAGGCGATTTAGAATATTCTCCACAAGGTCCGTATACCAATATAATCATTAAGAATCATTATCTAAATTCGTGGCTAACCTATGTTTTAAATACCAGATCATAATAATCATACACTGTCAATTCCACCTGTTAATTTCCTGTGGAAAAATGGGTTTCGACCAATAAGGCCAACTTGGGAACCGACTTCATCTCGGAGAGGAATATGAGGATCTTTTACATGGGAGTACAAGAGGTATTATACGAGTCCGGTTGCAGTGGCATTTCTGTTCACGATTCGCCTTGCATTTCATGGGTTCTTTAAATCGTATGTGTGTATTGACTCTTAATGTCTACCAGAACGAGCCCAAATTCTAGCTAAGGGGATTAGGAGGATTCGTGCTAACAAGTTACTTCTACGACTGCAGACGACGACTATATAGCCAGTGCCACCATGTGGCACCGCCATCGATAAAACTAGGCAATATCCCAAGGACACCTTACAATTACGAAGCCTACCCCAGAATAACCTCAAATACGACTGTCTGCCCCAGCAGCTCACATAGCCACCATGATATACCGGCTCCGCAACATTGGGCGATAGCTTAAAGCGTATTACCTTAAACTTATAAATTTACGCCCACTCTACAGTAACCCCAGAGATTAGGCCCCCGGGCCCTAGACATCATCAAGTGGAGCCCCGGCTTTTTCTTTGTTCATTCCTCGGCTAGAGCTACATTGGCTTTCAACTTATCTCTATCTTTTGGCCTGGGTATGTATAACCCGAAAACGTTTTCAAATCTATACGAGTGTGTACTAATTGCTTTCATTCGGCTTATGGTATAGCTTGCCGTATACTGCCGGCCGCCGGTTCTGACAGCCCATCACCCATAACTTTGGGCAATTGCCTTAAAGGGGCACCATCGTCGCAAACCAATTGCCTGTGTGCGGTGGGCTCCAAAGACTGAATGAAAACTCCTTTGCAAAACCCCGTTGATACGACCTGAGCAACTGTCTTTATAGCCCCCTAGCCGATTCTTGGGGGGGGGGGTTGGCCTGTCGTTTTCATTCTTTTTCTTGGTATGTATACATCATAAACATGCATCCAAGAAAAAAATGAGATGATTGATGAGGGTGCGGGGTGGGTGGGGAACCTATATTGTAGAGGCACGGCATCTTGGAAAACCATTGCATTGACGGGATCCAGATTCGAGGGACTGCTTTTCTAGCTCCCTTACGAAATGGGGGACTACTTCTTGTTTTTTTGCTCGTGGTATACGAGAATCCAGGAGAAAAATGAAATGATGTGTCGTGGGGTGTAACTCCACCGACGAAGTTTCTTGTCGGATTAATACTGAGCGGACCAGTGTCCGAGGATATGGCCGTCGTTGCATGTGGCCGGTCGATATGGCGTCGGATGAGAATTGCTGGGGCTCCGGCCTGACTTCAAATAGCGACGACGAAGAAACGGTGAAGGCCGGGCTCGATTTCGACTCGGAGTCTGAGGATTCAGGGTCGGGATCGGGCTCTGCACCCCAAGTGACAGCCAATTACCAAGAAGCTGCTCTCCAGTTTTGATCTTGATAGGATCCAGGAAAAAAATGAGATGATACGTGTGGGGGTGGGCTTGGTTGGTTAGTTTGATGTCCTGTGTGTAAATGGGAATTTATAATTAGCTTATGTATTAGATCAAGATCTAGAGATTCAAGAAGTTGATACTTCTGCACACAAGTGTATTTAAATTTCTGCCGACGTATTTTTTTAAGATCTTTTGACATGTTACCCTATCTAGAGTTTTATTCTCTTCATAGTATTCTTGTCTAAGCTTCTGCGTATGAAACAGCTATGAATCAGTTGAATAAGATAGATTCAAGACAGTATACCAAATATATCGAAAAAGAATATGTAGACTCCAAATTTCCTAAGCTATCCTGATCTCTGTGGATCTAACATATCCGAACGCCCTCCCTAATCCGACCCATTCCCGATATTGAAAACCATAACAAAATTCATGGAATGTCCCGTCTGAAAACATGCATTGCAATTGCTCTCAAGACTTCCAAAACCTATGAGGACATGCAATTATTGGAAAGACCGACGTGTTCCACCCTTTCTCCAAAAGGTTTCTCTCCAATATAAAACTTTCGACCGGAGATTTTCAATATCTGCCATACATTGAGCCGCCCGACCGCAAATATCTTGAGCCATAAGCTCCAATTCGATACACGCTGTTGGAAGAAGACTTGGGTCAAACCCAACGGCGTCGGCGTCGGCGTCGGCGGCATTCAACTCTTCATGGCCAAAGGAGAGTATCGATGAGTCTATACTTTCAATATCTCCAAGTTCTTCAAGTACCCCGGGGAGGGTTGGGCCCGGATCTTCAGGTTTCAAAGAAGTGGGTATGTACTCCATTCCCTCTTGAATTTCGGGTGGTTGGCGTTGACAACTTCGTTGATGACTTGTAATATTGTCATGTCTGGTGATTCTTCTGCCGCAGATGTCGCAAAAGAAGGCGCCCTGGCCATGGACGGTTTTATAGTGGTTCCCGTATGTCCTTCGGCTGGAGAATTCTGCGCCGCATTTGTCACAAGAGTAGGTTTTCCACCTGCGCCTTGGATGCTTGAATGGGACGTGATTGGATGAATTGGAAACCACTTAATTCAGAACCAAGGAATCATTTATAAAATATTAGCTAAATGGATTGGGTACTAAAATTGAGTCGTACTACTTAAATTTAATTAATTAAATGTATTCATACTAACATTCAGCGAGATGTTTTTTGTTATATGGGGAGCTCATGTCTATGGTTTCAAAAGTCTAAGTTAGCAGTTGCCGCACGATTGAGCTCGAGAACCATCTTTTTAGAATAGAACACGTGACCATGACCACGCCGCCAGCTACAGGCCAGTAAGGATACAGGCTGGCTTATGAAAATATTTGACATGTGCAAGCGATGGGGGAAGGAGCTCGTCTCATATGGCCATACTGGCGCAAAGATATAATAGCTTAATAAGCTGTTCCTTGATTTACTTTGGTGGGGTGGCAACGGCTGGTAGCGAAGGAATGCGTAGAAATAACCGATCGCGATCTATTAATATTGATCAATTGATCATGAGAATCAAGGAAAGACAATAACAGGGGCGGAAAGTTTATAAAATTTATATCTGGCAAAAATATTTTGCCTTCAAATTGAACCCCATAACCTGGTTTGCATAACTGTAAGGCGCCGACTAGGCTACGGGTATAGAGGCTTCAAGCGAATCAACCTATGCCTAAGCTCGATTATCGAATTTGGTGTACCTACATATGCCTCATGCATGCCGCAAAAATTTTTCTTCATTCTGTATGATATATCTATTTTTTTTAGTCAAAGCTTTTTGTAGCTGGTATGGATAGTTAGGCCTGATTCGATAGTCAAGCTGGTCTATCCCGTTTGGGCCGGTTTGTCCTCACTTTTGGCAATTTAAACCTATAGAACATGCCCTCGTGCTAGGCTAGCTAGCAACGAGTGACACCCCCTAGGAATAATGCAAAGGATTTTAGGAGAGGGAGGGGGGAGGGGGGGTGTAGAAGAGAAAAGAAAAGGGGAGGGGAACCTGGCATACAATGCAGTGCAATCAAATCAGCTGTCTACTGAGACTAGGTGATTTGTCGATCTAACCTGGAACGAGACCAATCTAACCCCCGATATCGTATGCTTCGCCCTGCAAGTACACCCACAATGCAGATTGTGCGACTATTTTCCGCGGGGCAATGTGATATATTCTTATATATCTATACGACCCTAGATATTTCCACGACCTGTGAGACATTCTTCGCAAAATATCCGAGTATATGCCGATATATAGATATTTCGAGTCGGTAAAGTCGGGATCTTCCGGGTGTTAATATGTAGAGGGTGGTGGCTTGCGGCAGCCACTCTCCAGCCATGATGCATGCATGATGGATCCTGTACAGCTGCTGGGATCTACATAATTCCTACGTGAAACATCTTGACCAATTAACTATCTACATATGTAGTATGAATTAATATTATATGTATATTCAGGAACCTCGCAATTGGAATGTTCTGGGGTTGAGTTGGCAGTTCATATGATAGTAGAGTAATTGATTGCAGCCTAGGCGCCTGCAGTGTCGACGATCTTGCAAGTTCATGATCCTCGTTTGAGACAAACTCTTTTGATTTTGCATTTTAGACGTTATAGGATAATATTGATATTATTCGCCGCGGGTTCAACAAGTGAATGACTATGATCAATCGCTTCACAATTCCCATACTAATGTAAGTATAAGTATAATCAATCAATTTTAGGCTGTGGTCCGCGAATTCGGTCTAGGGATATATTGTTCGCTATATTGTTTGGTCATAGTCTAGTTATCGAGATTCAACAATCTCAGGCCCTCTATAGGTTAGACAGGGCCTGAACGCCATGAACGAACGGCGGACGAGGCCGCGAGGTTTGAAGGTTCATGCTGATCAGGCCAGTTGTGACATAGTGCACGGAGCCTATAGTTGACGTGACCTACGGTGAAGATAACCGAGACTGAACATAGGCCTAAGAAGGCTGGATCGAACCGAAGCGCGAAGCTTCGAAGCCTGCATGTCGAAAAATTTCCCCCCCTAGTTTGAAAATATGTATGCAAGCACGATTTGACCTTCGTAAAAGTTGCATCGATGATCGACCAGGTAAGCTCGTTATGCAGCCTTGGGGAGAATCCTGACCCATAACGTTACGTTATTGTACCTACATGCCACCGGTGTGTCTGGTCTCGAGGCTAGGTGTATGTGTTGTTCAATCGCCAGATCGGACGAGAATCTTCGGACCAGTTTGGTTACGAGACTGCTCCAGACCTATGAACTCAAATAACTTGGAGAGAGGATGAAAAAAAAAAAAAAACTAGATAGAAAAACTCAGGCATTCAGGCAATTATTACCGAGATTTGTTTCAGTCGCCAACCCAGCTTGCTCTGCCACCTGTGCCACGTGAGCATTAACCTGCACGCAAGCTCCAATAAAAATGACACGATATCTGCATTGCAAGCCTACAGTAGCTCAAATTCAAATCCCACCAACAACCCTGTCTTGAAGCCTATCTACCAGATTGTCTGTAGAGTAAAATATAGATGGATCCTTCAGCGGGGTTTTTCCTTTTCTTTTTTAGCTTCTTTTAACGCCCTTGCAGGAGGCCCACATGCAGGACAGGAACCCCTCGATTCCTTTCCAAAGTTATGTATGTGCACCATATCGATAACTTGCATATATCCTCCAAATCCCATAACGAAGAAGCTACATATACACCTATCCGAAATGCAATGCATGTACATATATGCCGTTATCCCGATGACATCCAGCCTCGAATCCAGGCGCAGGATGACATCATAGATTGAACCACGAACCATAGATGCCATGCGTCAAGGAACTTAAACACTCGAATTCGAACTTACGTCTGATACTGCCTCATAATCCAAACCCATACGCCCGGGAAGCGGCGTTTCCCGATACCACCCCATTCTGGATTACTACGAACTTCCTGCCTCTCGTCCCTCTTTACTAGCAGGACACATACACAGGCGATCGCTGGTAGGCGGAATTTTTGAAGGTGGGAAGTTGCACTTTACTTGGCATTCGGTCCACTCGGTATGTGTTGTGTTGGAAATAGGATTGGGCAGTTGTCGATCAAGTCTTAACTAGCGCTGGTGGCTTGTGTTACACGAAAAAGATAGAGGGGGTATGGGGGAAAGGAATTAAATGCTCAAGTTTTGGAGCTGGTAAGCCTAGGTGGAATGCCACGGTGATTCTGGGAAGATTCGAAACCCAGATCGTTACGTATATAGGTAAGTACTCATATAATTGCCCAGATACCATAAACAAGGCCGAGCGTATGTACGAGAAAAGTTGGAAGGGACAGAAAGGAAGGAAAGAAAAGAGAGAGAGAAAAACGGAGACATCCCTCTTGACTGTCTCGCTCCCTTTCCAAAGCACAAAAATGTTTAATTAAAACTAAAGGTATGACTACTAGGTACATGTAAGTGCCTACATACATAGGGTAGGTATGGTAAGTATATACATGTACTATCCTCCACCTCAACCCATCCGAACACCTATTCCATAAATACTTTTTTACCTTTGAAATCATAAGCCATCCCTCAAAAAAAAAAAAGCCATGGCGTCGGCCGCCGCGCTAGAACGCTGCAATCCGCTGAATCGCTCACGAACGGTAAGAACCAAACACCAAAAAGAAATGGGACGGGAAAATAACGAGACAGAAAAGGAATGTTGCCCAAGGGCCTACTATATATTTCTAACTAACCTCTTGCTTAGTGGGGGCCTCCATTATTACCGTACTTTAAAAGCAGGAAGTTTTCTTTCCAATGAGAAGCCTCCCATTTCGCCTTGTCTAGCTGAGACTTGAGATTTGAAATCTCAAGCTGCCGTGAGTCTGAAGTAGCTGTGGGAGAGTCTGTGCCCCCACCGAGACTAATACCATCACCTGGATTAGACGGTTGGGAGATATGGGGCTGCCCTTGTAGTGATGTGCCATCCATCTTCCTCGATGACGATGTGGCGAGACCTACCCCGCCAGGACTATCGTGTAGGTTAATTTTTGGGAGAGACCGTATTGGTTCAGGCCGCACGTTGATGCTCCGCATGGATACCCGTGGGCCTTTTCCTTTCTTGCCACGATTGGTTTCCGGGGTAGCAACGGAACTATTAGGAGACCGCCGTTTACAAGTTCGTTTGTGGCTTTCGAGATTATCATATCTCGTTACTCTAGTATCACAATGATCGCATTTGAATGCCTTCAAATTGTGTGCGTCTTTCATATGATTCCCTAAGAGCCGCAGGCTAGGGAATCTAAGGTCGCATACGGGACAGCCGTGGATTTTGGGGCTGACACGCTTGCGTCTTTTGAGAGACACAGGGCCAGAGGGATTAGGTGGGCCTGCTTGGGGGCCGGCGGGTGTGATTTGAGGGCTGTCTTGTGAGTCGGGTTCGCGAATTGTTGCCATAAAAATTGTGAAGAAGTCAGGGCTATCGGAGTCGACAGGGAAGGCTGCAAGCTATAATCAGCTAGACCTTTGGAACAACACCTCAAGTGGGCATACTAACCCAAGTCGAGCTGGCTGGAAGGTTGGTTCACTGCAGACTGGGGTTGATCCACAATATTAATCGTGGAGTTCAAGGCTGAATCAAAGAAAGAGTTTATGTCTGCTGGTAGAGTAAGACTAGGGTTAGCAGGAGATACCCTGGACGAATAGTACTTGTATGAAATAGATAGATATCGAATTCTAGAATTGATAGATTCGAAGCTCTAACATGCAACAAGGCTTTGGGGTTGGAATGAATCGGTTTCGTACCCATATTCGGATGGGGCCCAAGCCTATGAAAATTCCCATCTATGATATCCATGATAACTGTATTTATTGACGAAGAAGCCGAAGCCGATGAGCGGAGACCGGTAGTAACGACGCTGAATTGAAAGCTAGATTTCCAGGGAATCGAATTGCTGAAATATTGCGCACTGCCATGTTCTGTATGTTCGATCCAAAGCTCAATCCTGGGGATGTGTGTTGCAGGTCCATCCTTGGCCAACAAGTCTTGGAAGGACACCCAACAGGATTCTGGTCATGTGACATACATATAAGTGCTTGAGGAAGGAACTATGGAATTTTGAGAATGGCGGCTAGCTAGCGCTGTTAAGTCAGCATGTTAAATTGTAGAGTCTTTGACAGGCGGTCGCAGGCCCTTTTTTTGATCCGGGGTCATACAGTGTAGGTTGAAATTATAAGGCCTTAAGGCCACTGTTCGCGGAACATTGGTACGTCAGGATGCGCATTAGCCACCAGAAGTAAGGGAATATCGGGTGGCACGATTGCAAGCTATACCGATCCAGCGCACCGCATTTTGAAGGGCTTCCGAGTCTATTTTCGATTCGGATTATAAGACGTTTTAGAAGGATTTGGGGCTGTTAGTCGAAGTCTCTGACAACGTACCTGGCATATATATATTTGAATTCCCCCCGGAATCCAAATACTCCCATTTCCTCCCAAATATCCACATCTAAGCCGTAGGACGACTCACAAAACTCTAGCTTCGCTGTCTGTAAAATCTGATTTTCTTTGATTTGAGGGGCCCATGTGCCAAAATTTGGAGCTACCGAAGTTCATATTGAACAAATATCTTGTTAATCAGCGAGAACTGGATATGGTCTAATTAACGATGTTAAGTCGAATTTAAGGAGTATATATGTCTTTGGTAACGTTAGCAAGTCTCATAGTTATATGGAATCAGGAATTCGAACTTTTGAATGCAAATACGTGGGGAAGTTAAGAAATGGTTGGGAATTACGATCGTTTATAAAGAAGTTCCTTCAATGTGCAAAGTCCCATGGCACTTAAAGTCTATTCTCCTAAAACGGAAGATTGGTCGGCCTAGGACGCGAAAGTCGATTTTCCCAAAAAAGGTTGCGGATTATGGAGGGACTAAGTCTCGTGACTTGAATTTTTTCCAGGAATCCGGGATTGTTAGGATCAGAAAGGAACTTAGGATTTTAGTCTCCCGATTGGGATTAAAAAAGGGCAAACGATGTTGATAGTCATGTGATTTCGTCCTGACACAGCAGTCTCGAGGCCCTTGTATTGCATAATATTTTATCTAGAAGTACTTCAGTCGGTATAATTAACGATCATAGTACACTGTTGGGGCCCAGTGAGCCGCTCATGAATCCACGCCAGAGAAGCCAGGCCAGTTTCAAAATCTTCTAGAACCCATTTTCTCTGCGGCTTTGAGAATCTTTACGGTTAAAAAGTTTAAACCAGACGGACATTCATATTCTCTTAATTCGTCTTGACTTCTTTTCATTTTATATACAAGGGCTATCTACATCACATAAAACCGAGCAACAATTTAAAGACGAAAAAGGGAAAGTAGTAGGTTAGCTGGTTTCGCATAACCATAGTGGTCTTAAATATATACCACCCTGGCCGCAGCCCTAGACACCCAACGGGCACATCCAAAACGTTCATGTTAATACACTAGTTTATCGTAAATGTAGTATCTGATAACATTACTATTCCAATTTACTTCTATAACAGCCCCTCAACCCATTCGAGGGAATGAAATACCAGTATATATACTGGCTATATTAAGAAAAATCTAAAAGGGGTGTTAAATGCGCTATTAATACATTGTAAAGTTAAGAGATAGTTACTAGACAAACTAGACACAGTCGACAAAGCGAACAAAATGGAACGAGTAATTATATGAAACTAGACAACCTTATTGTGTAAGTCGGGAAAATGAAAAAGTAAGAAGAAGAGGAAGAAGAAGAAGAAGAATGCAGTATCCTACTATATTAAACTTAACAGATTTTAAGTTATCGATAGCTAGAGAATGAGCATGTGGGAACCGGATAATATTCTAAATAGCTGATAGTAGCCATACATCCTAACACTCGCATATGCTGCCAACGTGATGAATATTACCAAGGAAGACAACCCCCACAATCATTAGCTCGAGGCGGGGGTACTAAAAAAGAAATGAGATTTATTTCAGCTTAAGCTTAGTCATCAAGTTAAGGAAACACTTGTCGGCAACCGGCCTTTGCTGACCCTGCGCTGAGAGAATGCGGTTTTAGGCTTGTTGCACAAACACAAATACAACAGCAAACGCAAAAACATGCCCGATGACGGGACATTCAAGATCCGGATTAGTCTCGTATCGATATATCCAGATATAGCTCGACAAGTAATTTCATGTGGGCGAGAATGCCGGTTGTAAATATGTTAAGAGTACGAGACATCGAGACTGATGCAATGCAGCCCTAGTACTTTGAGCAATTTCCAACCCAACAAGTAACTAGTAAGTACTAACTAGGTTCTTAAATAAGTGAACAGCTGTACAGGCATTTACTCCTATGGCCATGCTGCAAAAAACTTTACTGAAGAGAAAGGGCACTAGAGGAGGATATTGATATACATGTCGGAGTAAACTCACACCCGAGATTGCCCGCCGAACTAATACCTGAGTACGTTTACGGTGGAAATAGAACTCAGTGTTTGACGGAAACTATCCCTCCCGAAAACCAATTTCCTCTCCGACCCTTTGTCGATCGTCAGCCCATTTAGACGACGAAAGAAAGATCCACAACCAATAAGAAAAACTACCTCCCTTCAGAAAACCAGGCCTATCAACTCAAGAACCGATATCACCATCTCCGACAAAAATGGCAAATTCAAAGGACCTTGAATCACCGTTCAAACCCCAGCGCGAGAAACACGCCCTCATCTACTGCAAGAAATTCAAAGCGATCAACGACATAAGATTGGTTAGCAATCATGATAAGGGTATCCTGTTGGCAGTACTCGCATTCACTGCAAACGAAAAATTATTCAAAATGTTTGACAGATTAAGCGTCTCTCATCTCAAAGAACTAGCTCATCTATCCGAGATTGCTTTAAAAAATTTAAGGAATTTTGATGGACGGCCGGTGACGACTGTAGTGACTCCTCAGGTACTGACACCCACCGGGAGTCGTTCTCAAAGTCCTTTGCGAGGTGTTACAGGGAGAGAATGGAGTAGACATACGGGACTGCCAGAGATTGAAGGAAATACAGCGTTGGATATGATGAAAATATCGAAACCTTGCGATAATCCGTTAGGTAAGACTCCCACACCGCGCTGTCTTTATAGTATAGGGCAGAACTCCTAGCATGCACCGACACGAATTAAATAGGTCTTGGTATCCTTGCATCTCTAGGTCTGAAAGAGACCTTTCCCGGAATCCCTTCAAAGTCGTTCTCGATATCCGGCGCGACAATGGAAGACGATTGCATCCTCAGACAACAGGATTGTTGTCTATTCTCCGGGTTGGGACTTGCTGGTGAGGAGCGGACTGCCCATCTGTTCCCTCCTTCCTCTCTCGATCCCACGAACGCTGCGACCATCTTGACCTGGAGATTTCTTCACATCTTCCTTGGAACCGCCAATACAAAAATTCTATCAGGTGAAATCTGGTCCAAAGAAAACGGGATCCAAACTACCAAAAATGGAATCAGCGTTTTCTCCAATGAATACGGCTACTTCAACAGAGGGGAAGTAGCCTTAATCCCAGTCCGTCTCACACATGCAGTACAGGGTAGTTATGATTATCTCGACGTACAAGTAGGTCTCTATTCAGCAGGTGAGACGGTTCAGCGCATTAAGAGTTTCGACAAGCTTGCTGTTGAAGAACAGTATATCTTCCGGCGGGGAGAAGCTCCAGAACGTATCTTTGAAGACCCTGGTCGTTATATTAAGGATGGCGATATGATCAGGATAACAACTCCAGATCCAGAACTCTTGCCTTTACCATCATACATCCTTATGTATTGGCGCAGACATCTCTGGAGTACCATCACGTCCGCTGGGCTTAGCAACCCTCCTTACGAGATTGCGGGAGAAGATTCGAGGGACTGTTATCTCCGAAAGCATATGAGTGCTCAGCCGCTCAGGATTAATAGTAGTGATGGCCACCACGGCTATGAGGAAGGTGGGCGGGACGGTTATTTAGTAAAGTATACCGACGAAGATTTACAAAGGATCATTGATCAAGAGGCTAGATTCCTTGATTTTCTCCACGAGATAGCAGTACGAGAAGACGACTTTTGAGACCATTTTTGTATTGGGACGACTCTAGGGTCGGCCGCGCCGCGAGCCCGGTAATGTATGGTCTCCTAACCCAAGGGCCATCTGATATATTATCAGTTTCACACTTGATTCGATAGAAGTTTAAAATATTAGAAATCTTTAAGACTAAACGGCCCTCAATGGTAGCCGGAAAATTTAACCAATACCGACCTAGCCGGTACTTACCTGTTACCACTCTTAGAGACGCATGCAAACAAGGTATTGTGGCTTCACGAGCCACAATGGACTTACCTCTCATACCAGGCGATTCGAGACAACCAGGCGATATGAGGCTCTAAGTCACACGTGCACACCAGATACTGGCATGTAGTAAGACCAGCACTGCAGGGCTGTGGCTAAGTTACCATTTGGTGGTGTGTTGCACTCAACAAGGCGGAAAGATTTCTGGTTCAGCTGGCTGCGCTGCGGGGTTTGACAACTGACTCATATTTTCGTCGTGCTGAGCTTGTGGACGGCATCGAGGGTTTTGACATCACTGACAGCCCCATAACCATAAGTTAAGCATCACAGATCCAAAACCCAGTAAGCTTAGAATAATCTTGTATATTGTATGTAGTATACTAATATCTAGTTAATAACATTTTACAAATCAGAAAAGTGAATGATGTACGGAAGGTGAAAAAAAAAAGAAGTACAAGAAATGAACAGGTAAACAGCTAGAAAATTCCCAGCCCCGTGTCAGCCAATCCAAACAAACCCACCAAAACACCAATGCCCATCCACGCCATCATAAATCCTACAAAGCCAACTACAATTATCGCTGAAATACCACGATTCGTTACATCGCTAAAAGATAAAACGATGACGGAAGCAAATAAACAGCGCTCGCTCCATATCGCCAATAAATTTTCAATGTGGATTAGTGGAGCCGAACATCACCAAGAGTTTCCCACAAGTCGGGATGGTGCTGCCTGAAATTATAAACCTCCCATCTTGCCTTTTCATGCTCCATCATGGTTTTGACTAACTGGGCTTTGAGACCCTGGCCCTTGAGCTTGAGGTCTGGAGGAGGGTTGTTCGAACCAGGGGCAATATCATTCCCTTGATTCGACAACTGGGACATGTGGACGTGCGATGGTGGGGTGGTGTTGGCCTGTTGGGCCTCTTCCAATAGCGGTATAATCAACATAGTCCCCTCAGAGTTACCCTGAGAACTGGGTCGTGGAAGAGACCGCATGGGTTCAGGCCGCAAAGCGATATTTAACAAGTTAACTCGCTGGCCACGTTTCTTGTGAGGACGACCTGTAGTTGGTGCAGTAGAACCCTCGACCACGGTTGTGTGCGATCTGCAGGTTCGCTTATGGCTTTCCAGATTGTCATATCTAGTGACTCTGGTTTCGCAATTATCACACTTGAACCCTTTCATTTTGTGGACATCTCTCATGTGATCGCCCAATGCCCGAAGACTCGAGACTTTACCGTTACATTTAGGGCAAGTATAAGAGTTAGAAATTTTGCGCTTTGCTCTTTGGCCGGCAGCCTTTGATGGTGTCTTCTTTTTGCGCTTGTCGGAAGAAGTGAGTGGCGTGTCGTTTGACGGATTGGCTGGATTATCTGCGGGTGTGGTATGGAGGCTATCTTGGAGAGAAGCCGAATCATAACCGGGTAAGGTTGCCATGAAAGAGCTGATGAAATTGGAATCATCTTGGAAGGCTAGAAACTTAGGGTTAGTCGAAAATATCAACAGGCTATCAAGGTCCGAGCTAGGACCCTTAAATAGTGGGCGCTGTGTGAGAACAAGTTGAAGTTACTAACCTAAGCTGGTAGGTAGATCTGAAGACCCGGCTGGGTCAGCTGGGGCATCGAAATCAAGATAGAAGAACGGATCTAGACCTTGAAAGAGTTAGCAACTTAGCCTTACTGTCATTCTTTGAGCGTTATTGTATCGTGATTAACGTCAGGCACATGTGTATGTGTATGTGTACAAGTTCAAGTCAAGTTGAACATGCAAGGCTGTGTTTATTAGGAGAGAAGGAAACTTCAGCTTGAAATGCATACCCAAGTAGTTTGGATCATGTCCGATGTCCTGGAAGCCCTGATTTACACCCTCCATGATAATAAACAATTTCTGGTAACGAAGACAACAAAGAGAGACTGGTAGGAATGATATGGGAGGTGATGTGATAAGAGAACCATCGTGACATCGAAGTAGGTTTTAAATTCGGCAGGTCGCTGTGGTGGTGAGCCTCCAATCCTGGGGATGTGTTGTGTTCGAGTCCGTGTTGTATCATTGGACATCTTAGCGAGACACTAAGATCCGGCTTGGCAGGGCTTGTCCATGTCAGGCCTGATGTTTTTGCGGAACAGGCCTTCCTCTGTCAAGCTCTGTCAAGGCCTGTAACTCGACTTTTTTTTCCGTCTTAAGGCGTTACAAGGCAAATTAGGGCTTTCAGCAATTTGGATTTGGCTTCAGTGCAGTTTCTTCGGTACCAGTAGTATATGGTACTACTGGTATGGAGCTGTCTGTTTTGAAAAAAAAAAAAACCCTAAGACTGTGAAGTCCACACCCAGCCTGCCGGCTAGATTCTTCCCTTCGATGCTTTGCGTTGGATTGCATTGGAATCGAACCACAGCAAATTCATTTCATAAGCCATCTCGAAACTATATATGTTCTGGCATAGATCAGATCAGATTGGATCAAAGTCTTGTCAGTCTGCCCTTTCGTTTGTTCTGGGTACGAGGCCAGTCCACCCAGTGGTAGGAGTCGTTCTAGTTCTAGCCATAGGCCCAATTGTGATCGATATAGCCATCTCGACTCATATCCAGTCCTAGGAACGTGGAGATATTCGACATCGCAAGCCGGCTATTGCGTATTTTTCGATAATATTTTGGGGATGACAGATCCAGGTGCCTGCTGGGGTTGGGAAATTTATCGCCTTTGGTTTTAAGAATCGACCGTGGTAATTATAACGTTTCTTAAGCTTTCGAGTTTTTCGTATCGATCAAGTTAGCCATGAACCTCCTCGGAGACAGTAGGGTGGAGGATCCAGCTAATATATATATAGATTTTCTGATCGTATCGGATGCAATGCACGTCCTATGCTGGGATTCTAGCTAGTATGGTGAAGGTGTTAATTGTGAAGGATCCGTCTCGAAGCCCCGCTTAGCCTCATCGTTGAAATTGCAACTCGTAGATTTAGGACAGCTGGGGTGAGACATTGCATGCATTCGTATGCGTGAATCCTTTAGGGTACACTGATAACCTTGTAGGACGCGCGTGGCCCATGTACGATGTGCCCATGTATGTGCCCTCAGTCTCGTCAGCGCAACACATTCTCGCAGGAATCTAGGATGGTTAGGATTCCAAAGGAAACCAGGCTTTTACACCGGCCAAGTACTCATCTTGTAGGCGAAATGCTGTTACGAAGTACGTACCCACTCCGTCTCGACCCTTTTCTTTCTTTTTTCTTTTTTCTTTTTTTCTGGTGATATCTTTGATTCTATCAATCCCGTGATTGATTAAACCCCGTCAAGTATACATATATTATACTGTGATTAATTAATTAATATCTACATCCGTTTTAGTTTGGCCGTATGCGGGCGGTGGTATACATGTTAGTACTAAATAAGTAAGTATTTACTCAAGTAGGTAACTTCCAAGGTTATAACATTACCACCATTTAGTATCTGTAATATTATACTACGATTGGACAGACGAGCTCGAGCTCGAGACTGAGGGCCAAGGGCACCATTACGTGGCTCTCTGAAGGACATGCCGAATTTAAGACCAGATATAGATTTTTTTAAATTAAATTATCTACAACCAGTTGGTGTTGTAGATATGATATTATATTACAGCATTGCCCAATGCAATGCAACCAAGACAGGAAATAAGGATATATGTGAAGCCTCCTATACTAACAAAGGATGTGCACATATGATTGCTCTAGCTAAGTACCTAGTACCTAGTAGTAGTTTGTGGTCAGTATGAGAGTACTGCCATCGGTTGCTTGGCCGAGGACAAGTCCTTAAGGAAGCCCTAACTTGCACGCACCCGCCTATATAAATTCTCTCCAACAATATTGCAACAGAAAACCTCCCACGCACCTTCCTATCACCTCCACCTCAGCTACACCAACCTTCAGGCGCGTCATCAACCTCATCTACATACACACACCCCGCACGTACCAGGTATCAATCCACCTACGTATCTATCTACGTTTTTATCTTACCAGATATCTCTACTATATTTGAAACTCGAATAATACTGACTTCTTGACGTATGGCAAGCCAAAGTGTGCATGTGAACTGGCTGTCGAATTCCGCGGTCGTACAGCTGGGGATGAGATGATTCCACCTCTCTTGCTCGCTGGGAGGAATAACATTTTGATTCCACTTCTCAAGATCTCCTTTGATACGTACAACATCGTCCACATGCTTTGGTTTGGGCCTGAACGTTGATAAGTAAGTTTTTAAATTCTTTGGATAGGGTTAATCAAGAGATCCCTACACATATCCTGCTTCTCCTTGCATTTAACTCCTCCACAAAAAAATTACCGGATGCAGAATATTAAAACTGACGTATCCATAGACGAGATCTTTAAAGGTGGTATCGAAATGTCATTCCTCCTGGCAAGCATCACTCCCTGCCTTCAAAGGGCGTGCCAAAACAGGATATTTGCTTCCACGTGAAGGATACGACAATAATACACCCGGGGCATTTTTTCCACCCCGAGGCGTTACAAGCTGCCCATATGCCAGAGATATTATCCTGCCTATGAGAGACCTCTAGGCCAACTTCTAGGCAATGGCGATGAAAAATCGCCTTTTATCGAACATCAAAATGAAGCAGCCGTTCGTCCCAAAACTACCTTGGAACGCGGAGCTAAAGGCGCATTCGGGGGCTAAAACCGCCGAAGAAAAGGCCTCCGGGCCTACTCTAGGGAGTTGGAGTCCCCACGTTTCATTGAAAAAAGGATAACATCAAATCTACATATCCTGGCTCAAATGGCCCCCCAAGTCGAGAGCCTCCGGGCCTAGGAGAAAGAGGAAGAAGAAGAGGCCTCCGGGCCCAGAGAGAAATAAAAAGAGGAAGGAGAAGAAGAAGAAGAGGAGGCCCCCGGGCCTGGAAGAAGAGGACTGGTGGATACCCAGATCCGTGTACCCACCTGCCGAAATACTATCGACGTGGATATATAGGAGTGAAAGGGGGCGGCCTCCGGGCCTAGCGTGGGAAGAGGCGGGGTGGGGATGGCGGTCTTGCTGTTTCGGCCCTTAATGGGCATTAATATACGGCCGCAAAAACCCAAGTGATTGGGCGTATCCGGCGATACGGGCAGAACAGAAAGGTTGAAATCTTGGAATATGTTGTTCGAGACTACACTTGTCGTGTCGTGTAACCATCCATACTGGGAATTTACGAAGAGCGTGGAACAGTGTTCCAAGCAGAATCTGTATGGTTACACGACGTGACAATTCCCTTCCCTGGAAAGCACGCCCGCATCTTGGCTGTATACGTATACCAGGACACTACAACGCCTCCTAAAAAGAATGCGTGCGGAATATACAGGTTGGTCGCTACATACGCATCATTATCCCAAAGGCTAATAGGCTAACAATATCAAGAATTTCGAAGGTATTGGGGACAACCCCCCAAACTCTCACCCTGGGGCGGGAGTTTGATGATAAGTCTAAAGTCTACTTTCATTGTATACCACCAAAACAGCCAGTAGCCCACCAATGCTCCCAAGCGTCCCAAAGAGGACTCTTTCGAATTTTGGAAACCGTATTCCTCGGCAGCAGGCTGTAGTAAATTGTCCCATTCACCTGCTTTGGGGGGGGGCACGGGGATGGGTGAATCCCTTTGGGAGATTGGGATGCATGTCCCTCCCCACAGCCCACAAACGGGAGTACTTTCGTGGGGTCCGCCCCTTGAAGTCTATTCCTCGTGGACCCTGGGAAATGACCTCCACTTTCCGCAAGTACGGACCCTAGTCTATACGGACCCTTGTTCTTAATATGCTGAAGTGCTGTTAGCTTGCACAGCGATGATAGATAGTTCCTAGATTATAAACTAACTAGTCCCTAGAGCGGAACGAGTTGGAGGGAGCTGTCGCACTTGGGTTTGCTGCTCCCTTCGGCATAGAGTGCTTGGGCCGGAAGGCGGCAGGGTTTATGTAGAGGGTTTGAAAAGTCACTACGAACAATGACGGCTGTGGGGACTGGCATTATCTAATACCCGAGTCCTAGGCCCTCAGATTATCTGCTGGGCCATGTAGAAATATAGAGAGTTGAGAGGAAATCAAGATGATATTTACTTTACCTCTGTTGGTGGAAACTCTTCAGATTCTGTTCCTAGAGATGGTACAAAGATAGATATTCCATACAATTAAAATTAAGGCTACAACTATGTACCCCCCAACCGTAGCGAGTCGTCCACCAACGACTCTTTTACACCTATATATAGTACCTATCCTCACCGATATTTAGCAAAAGTGTGCACGCCAAGTATCCATGAAATGGCCTACCAAGCACCATATACACTTCCATAGCTAGATCTTCACAGCTGTAAGAATAAGGATCCCCTGTTGTATTTCCAACCCAAAAAGCGTTGTCGCAAAAAAACATCCCCAATCGCTTATTCTCAGAGCCTCAAAAAAAACTTAAGTCGATTGACCAACCTCCAGGCCCGCCCCACCGCCCCACCAACCATCTCGTGGCCCAGCCAAGTCTCGCCCCACGCATATATAGTACACAAACCTTCAACCATAAAACCCTCCCTACATAATCCCTCCGATCTCCAGACCACACGACCCACCATTCCCTCACTAATCAACCCTCCAAAAAAAATAAAAAAATAAAAATGGACGCTTACAACCCCCTCCCACCACTAACCAACGTCCCACGCTCACCCACGCCCAGCAACGGCGAAGCCAGCGGTACAAATACCCCGGACTATGCAGCCCAAATCGCATATTGGACTGCAATACCTTCCACGGTCTCCGGGATGTTAGGAGGATATCCACAAGTTTCACGAGTGGATTTACAAACGTCGAGTAATTTCTTGGCGAAGTTGAAACCGTCGATGGGGGTTCCTGTTGATGGGGTTAGGAGGGGGGTGGATTGTGGGGCTGGGTGAGTATGTTTTCTTTCTTTTATTTATTTCTTTCTTTCTTTCTTTTTTTTTTTTGGATGAAAGAGGACTGACGGGTTTGATGGAGATGATAGAATCGGTCGAATTACAAAAGGACTTTTGTTAAAACATATGGATGTGGTGGATATCGTAGAACCGGTTTCGAAGTTTACAGAAGAACTACTGTTATCGACAGATCTACCCACCACCGGTGGTAAAATCGGTGATGTATTCAACGTCGGTCTGGAATCATGGGAACCAGAGGAAGGTAGATACTGGTGTATCTGGCAGTATGTCCCCCTTCATAACCCCTCCCTCCCAAAAGAATAAGTACAAACTAACAAACTATATTTACTCCCACAGCCAATGGTGTCTCAACCACCTAACAGACGCCGATTTAATCTCCTACCTCCTCCGCTGTTCAAAAGCCCTAACACCGGGCGGTCTAATCTTCGTGAAAGAAAACAATTCGAACAACTTCGAAGACGTATTCGATGCAGAGGATAGTAGCGTTACGAGGACCGATGAGAATTTTAGAAGAATCTTTGGAGAGGCAGGGTTGGTTGTGGTTAAGAGTGAGTTGCAGAGAGGGTTTCCGGAGAGGTTACATTTGTTCCCTGTGAGGACGTATGCGCTTAGGCCGGTGCATGTGCCGGCTGTGGTGAAGGAGGTGGAGGGGTAGTGGATCTTTCTTTTTGATGGTTAATTGGGATGAGTATTGTGAGGGAGGTTATATATGGGAGATCTAGAGGGGAGATTGTGGAGAGTAACGGTATGAAGGTACTTTTTTCAGATGTTGCAAACTGGTGTTTGGACTTTCTTTCTTTCTTTCTTTTTCATATGGGGCATCATGGCGTTTGTGAACAATCCTTTTCTGTTTTTTTTTTGTCAAAAATTTGCGAGATATACACATACATTCCAGGCGCACTCAGTCAGTCAGTCAATAGAGAATATAGATGCAAATACAATTGATACGATCCTTATTTTTTTTTTTTTTTTTTTAACCCAGCCAAGCCAAAGATTTGAATATGGTACAAGATATCTTCCGTGAAGGTAATAGAATGGAAACCATGCATGAGCCAATAAGAATCATAATTAATATTAATAAAACAAATACATTAGCCCAAAAAAAATAAAAGCTGTTGATAAAGCTAACAAGTCTATATGGAATCGATTCGATCGGTCGAAGTTAAACTTTAAAAGAATAAAAGCCGCAAAGCCGACTTTTGTCGATTATACGTAGCGCCATCCCAAATGCACCCATTTTTTCCCCGACCCCCCTACCAGCCCTGGAGCGAATAGTTCAACAAGGGCAAATAATAGTAAAAAAGAGGAAACTAGAACTAACCCGAAACCAAACTTAAAACGGGCTTCAAGGTTGCATCCATAAAGTTGATGAAAAAAGATGAAAAAAAAATCAAAAATTGTAGTGAACCTATGTGACCATCATGTTAGCTTAGTCACTATACCTCAGGTTATAGAAGACGGGGGTTAATTGGTTTGCATACCCAATCTTCAAATGGTCCGACTTCCATGTAAGATCCTCTACAATCGACCCATATACATCTCAATTCATCGATCATCCGATTCCACCCGCTACCCCTCGTACCAAGAATATGAGGTGCCTCAATCGCAAAGAACATCTGCAACATCCATTCTACATGACACACAAATATTAGCATTATATACCTTGGCAACCACTAGAAGGTGTTGAGAGAGAGTAAACATACTTATGGTCATATCCGTTCGATTTCCAAACTTATTCAACTGCTCCACGGGCCCACCATTAATTCTTGGAATATTACTCCAAATCCACGTCCAATTCGGGTTACTAGTAGTATTAGGACTGATCCATGCGTTTCCGATTTGTTTCGCTTCTTCTATAACCCCTATGTCTTCGGTGCTTATGAAACATGTCTTCTTGGTCATTATCATGTTCATGGCCGCATACTCCTCTGCCCGGTCCACATATTTTCTAAAGGGGATAAGTTCCATCTCGATACCCTTATCACCGTGTCGGACGTGCATGCTAAAACTACCATCTGGAAGCGGGAAGGGGACTTTAGCATCAACAAGTTCGCCTGTGGAGGAATGTGTAACTGCTGTATTCTGGGCTTCATCCAGACGGAGGGCTTTTAAACGTTCCAAAGCCGGACGATTCATTCGCATCATATATGCCGCAGCTTGTGAGCGCCACCAGTACTTCATAGCGTCTGGGTGCATCTCTGGGAAGTTGTTTTTGAGCATTTGTCCGAACAGTGGGGGTACGGCGGCAGCCGACATGTTGATGTGAAGGGGGATTCTCCAGTAACTTTCGAGTTTGAGATGGTTATCTTCCGTGAGATGGTGGGTACTGCTACAGCTGCTGAGGGGTAGGAAGATGCAGTCGAGAGATCTGATACCGCTTGCTTGGCAGTCCGGTTCTAGGAAGTTTTGACCCGGCGAGACTTCGTCATCGTAGATTAGGATACGGCCGTGACGCATGGCGAGGCCGAGGACCCAGCCTGTGCCGTGGACGACGGTGCCTAGGCCATTGATATCTCTGTTATGGTGGAGGACGAGGAATTTTCGGTTTTTGCAGTCGGAAGGGTCGGGGTGTTGCCAGTTGTAGATGTATTCTTGGGCGAATTTGGTGAATGGTGGCATGGCCTGTCATTCTTATCAGTACCTGTATCGATTTCATCAAAGCAGTTATTGTAATTTGGAGGAAGCATTGACATACCGCATCATCCTGATCTTTAATAAACTGCAACCATTCATCCGCTCCATTAAGATCATACATCCTCCTTAATCTATCCTGTCTCGAACTCTTGGTTTGCATTTCTCCCAAGATCTTCTGATCATTCGGTGTTAAGAGTTCATTGTAATCCTCAACCAACCCAGCATATCGTTCGAACCGGCGACTAATACTCGACGTTGCCGTCGCCGTCGTTCGGACTTCTTCAGAAGGTTTCCCCGTAACAATCCGATCTTGAGTTACCGTCTTAGTCTCAACTTCCTTAACCGTAACAGTTACATAGATTTTATTATTATCTTTGCCTTGCTGTCCTTTCTTCCCATCTCCGACCGCTAGATCAGAACCCAGGCCTAAATCATCCGGGTCCATTCCATCTATGTCATCACTACTTCCCTTCGGTTTTGAAGAGGAAGGGGGGGATGGAGGAGAGGGAGGAGGAGGAGCATTGGCATTGTAGTCATGCTTGTGACTTGTATCGTGGATTGGTGGGACATATCCTTGAATGTAATCTCCATGAGCATCGATAATGTGACCGGAACCGGAACCTGAGAGTTTACCTATGGTAGAGTCGCTTACGATACCGTGGTGGGAGAAACGCCAGGCGCTGAAGCAGAGGAAGGCGAAGACGATGGCTAGGATGCCGAGACGGCTTTTTTATTTATTTAAGTCAGTTTTTATGTTCTTTCCTTCTTTTCTCTCTATTTTAATTTTTTATGATGAGGTAGGTAGTAGGAATTAAGATTCACGAGCTAGCTTACCCAAATTGTGGCGGCATGGATGCGACAATGATGGTGGTGGTGATGATGATGATACAGTTGAGCTGTCGATACAGGAGTAGTTCCTCGAGTATCTCAACATGTATATGTGTTGAATGTGAGGAAGGAAGGAAGGAGAAAAATCAATAAATTCCGAAAAGATGGTCCAGGGGTAATTCGAATTTTTGATTATAATCCGCGCAAGACTTCTTAGCAGCAGCCAGTATACGTAAGTAAATAAGCTAAATAAGCTAAGTATGGAATTAATATTAGCGTCGGTCCAAGTGCTAGTGGAGACAAGTTGTTCTTGGATGCATGGATTGCATTGAAGTTGGGAAATGCCAATTAATTTGGGTATCAAGTTTCTTCGATCCAAACAGCTTAACAAACTTAACAAATGTCAAGTCGAAGTTGGTTAATTATAAAGCAAGGGGGTGATATCTATCAATGCCAATCCAATCCAACGTTAACTAACATGCAATGGAACACGTATTACCTTTGTTATACTGTGTAAGTATATATAATTAATTCAGTTAAGAAAAGTAATGATATGCCAATTCTGAAACTTCGGTTTTTCTGACTCCACTAATATAACAGTAATTTCGATTCAACCAAAAGTGTAAGTATCCAATTGTCGAATTCTCGATCGAAGTTCATCCGGAGATTTGAAAAATTTAAGCTTCGGGGTATGTTTGTGATTGAAGCCGAAGCCGTGGTCCGGTCTAAACCTGCATGACTCGCGTATTAATTCGCGTACAGCCGTGACCAGTACCTCTCGTGTGCTTGCTTGCTTGCTTGCAACAATGCAGCGCCTGGTCTTGAGGCGAGCTTATTGGCCCTAGCGAATCCGAATCCGAATCTGCAGGTTTGAACGTATGACGCAACGGAACGGAACGCCAGCGATCCCGAGCTCGACGATTCGATTCGATTCGATTCGATCGAAAGGATATATATCGATGTCACCACCGCACCGTGAATGGAATGTTGGAGATAGTTAGTAAGTTGTATGTAAGAGAAAAAGAAAGGGACAGACAGCAAGAGGGGAAAGGAGTATTTCAGCGACAGTTATCGGAGCAATTGCCATGCAAAAGAGGATATCTCCGTGGTCGCACGTGGGTCGTTCAACGTCTGACTGGCCGAACTTCCGTTCTTGTCGCCGTGGCTGTGGTATTTTGGTGTACCAACACATTTTATATTTGTAAATATAATTGGATAGATACGAGACCGCTGGGATGCACTTTGGGATGGATTCGGTGTGTTTGAATAATAATGTATGTAATGAGAACCCCGTGGTTATTCGAGTAGAGTTCATAGTCGTGTGTATCTGTATATATGTTAGTTCTAGTTCTGGAAGAATGCCTCCAAATAATGAGCATCAACTTCGAGTACCAAAGTGAATAGGTTCGGTTGAAGTAGCTTCGTCAAGGAGTGAAGTCCTCTTACACTTTCTCTAGAATAGATCAATAACCATTTGAGAGATTAATCGAGTCGTCGTATATAATACCTATAATATTAGCTTAGGCGTCTAGCGGTCTTGAAATCAGAGCTGGCATTGGTATTAATCGTGCTGTGCGTACCGTATGATTACAAAGTGATGCTGTCGGTGGGAGAATGGCGGAAGACGTAGACGGCGACGACGTCCTCAGTTCTCTCTATCCCTTCTTTCTTCCTTCCTTCCTCCCTCTTCACCAACCCTCTCCACAAACCTATCGCACCTCACCAACATCAACATCATCATTGAACCTCCCCATCAATCACCACCCTCATCAACTTTACTCCCTCAATCAAAAGTCTTATCAACCTTTCATCTTCAAAGAAGAAAAAAGCTAATCAAAATGTCTTCTGGTCATGATATCAAGTACGCTCGTGAAATGACTTCCTCCCATCCTTCTTTCAAGGTTTGGCAAAAAAACGCCGACGGCATCCGCTCGACCTTGGTCAAGTATGGCGTCGAGTTTTCCTTCATCTACGCCCGCATCATCAATGATGAACAGATTCCTGGAGTCATCATCCATCTCAAAAAGGGTGGAACCGGTCAGGCTTCAGCTAACCTTAGCAATCTCACTGCTGAATTGAGACGCGGGTTGATTCCTGACGATGCTTTCCCTATCTTGGATATTCAAGGTTGATGGGGTTTGTTTAGTATGGTAAGTTACTTATATAATGTCATTTTAGTTGCTAGTCAAGTCGTGTTAGGGATATACTAATGATTACTGGTATATCAAAGACATCATACTATTATCGTTAATACTGGATGCGACACTCTTCCATCTACTTATGAATCACATGGCATGGGATCCGGTTTTTGAACAGGAGAGCAAAAGGTATATATATACACCACCCATCCACCCCTTCATAACATCACTAACACCCACGATGTCATAATCCACAGGTCTCAATTCTATTAAGATCAAATAGCATCAACTGGATTCAAGAACCTTTAGCATTTTCTTATCTACACATCCAAAAACACCCCAGAACAAGCTAAACCCCAATCCTCAATACTAAAATCCCATTCTCATACTCTCTTCCCGTATCAACGGTCCCGTGTAACAAAATCAAAAACCGTAATCGTGTAACAATAAACCCAATGCGTAGCATCACAGCGTAGTCGTGTCACAATGCAATCTCGACCTCACCTAACCCACCCCCAAACCACCTTCCCACCCTTCCAAATCCACGTTCCCAAAATCACCACCCCTTTCCAAATCCACGAAAATACCGCACCAATGGCCCCAAAAACCTTCTTCACCAATCTCCCAGCTTTATCCCACATCTGTCTCGAAGCCTGTGTTTGAAACCCACAACAAGCCGCCAACCATTGCAATCCCATAATCCCAAATACCCCCCCGAATATCAAACTGAGCGGAATAATAACCCCCAAATTCGAGTTCCTAGCTCGTTTGCTATTCAACGCGTTTTGCCAGTTTGTATATTCCTTCCCCTGGAAATCGTCGACTAGGATTTCCTGCGGATATGCAGCCGGACTGTTTTTATACTCCGGAGTATCGCTTCTGATACCCAATACCTCCACCATATTATTATTATTATTCGTATTAGTATTATTATTAGCATTACTAGTATTATTACCATTACCATCAACGTCCCGATCCCCATCAAACGCACAAGATTGATAAATCCACTTGCCAGTAAACGTCGGTAAACTCCCGATATAAGTGAGAATATCCCCGCCACACCGGTCTTTAATACACTCCGCCGTATTTCCGGGTAGGTAAGTAAGCTGACAAGCACAGTTTAATGAGTGATCAGGACATCCTAGATGGGACGTCATAGCTTTCGCGCAGTTTCTGGCGCATCCGGGGAGTTTGAGGTATGGGAGCGTTTTGTTGGGGATTATTCCCATCGTGGAGGTACAGAGGGCTGTATACCATGTTTTTAGCTCTGTATAACAGGTATCTGGAGCGGTGGGGTCGTAGGGGAGACAGATGAGGGGGCGGGGAAGGTTGCAGAAGCAGGATGGGAGAATGCTGGATGAGGATGGACAGAGGTTTTGAGGGGTCCAGGTGTATGGTGAGTCTTTGTCTTCGAGACAATAAGGGCGAGCACAAGAGGGAGCGGTGGAGAAGTCGATTGCGGTATCATTGATGGCGGATACCTCCCGGACGACTAGATTGAGGAAAAAGAGGAGAAGGAAGAGAGGGATGTGAAAATGCGTTGGTATTTGTTGCATTTTAGAAGGCTGGGATGATGATGCGGAAGTTGAGTTTGGAGATGATATGAGTTCGAAAGGGATGACTGTCCGGGATGAAGCTATGAGATTGAAGGAGTAGGATATTCCATCGTCAGAGTTGGTAGATGGTGTTCTTGAGTTAATTGTAATCGTGGGGGGTCTTCAATAGCTGATATTAGAAGACCACTGTCGTCCACAGCAGCTGCAGTCTCATATGCGTATGTATGTGTAGTGAAGTATACGAACAATGAGAACAAAGTTGAAGACCCCTCGCGGATCCCTAATTCTATTTAAACCTCCAAAAACCGAAGGATCAAGATTTAGATCCCATGAATATTTATAAATATTAATATTAATACTAATATAAATATAAATATAGATAGGCTCAGGCTGCCGATATCTCGCCCATGTCAATTGCTATAATATATCGTTATGCACAGGCCAAGTCCTGCGGCTCAAACGTCAAGAGAAAGACTTTCAGCCTTAGTTAGCCCGCATTTCCCATCCCTTCTCTCATCCCGAAACCTCAATTGATCACCCCAATTCAAACAAACAAACTAAACCCGCCCGAAACCCGATTCGACGAGCCGAAAAAAAATATTAAAAAAATTAAAAATAAAAAAATAAAATAAAAATAAAACTAAAAAAGATGAACTATCCACTTCACCACATCTACAACCCCGTCTCGCCTTCAATCCCCGCCATGGCGTCCACTCCCACAAACCGCCGTCCCGGTCCTCCTCTCCCAAGACCAGTCTTCCAGAACCCCGGGAAACCTGCCAGTACGATTCCCATTCCAACGACACCGGAGGAGTTGCCCGCGAAGTATAAGGCTGCCCATACAAGGTACTTATTTCGATGTCTTACAATATTGCATACATACATACACTAGTTTAAAACATATGCTAATGATGTTTTTATTTTATAGGGTCAAACTAATCATCATCGCTCTGCCCATCGCCATCGTCAGCAGTTACATGCTCTATAAACGAGGTAAAACATTTATATCCCTCATACACGCAAGGAAAAAAAAAAAAAGAAGACACACTGACAAAACTATATAAAACATAGTCTACCTGGGCGAACAACCCCGCGCAAAACCCATCCCGGACAGCGAAAGACGAAGAACGATCAGAGAAATCAATAACTAATTCTCTTTATTTAACTTAAAAAAAAGTTATTATCAAAAATTAAAAATCAGAATGAAATAAAAAAAAATTAAGAAAAATATTTCCCGCCAAGATAATCTCGCAATCTGGGAAAAAATTACCGATACCTCAATCCGTACTCCATATCGATAACGCAAAATCCCAACATGACTATAACCAGTTAGCCAGTCCCAACATCGTCCTAGCCATATATGCACACCAGACATCATATCAGACGACCTGTCAAAAGGCAAGGCAAGGCAAAGGGAAAAAGGATCGATCTCGGGTACACGTAGTATAGCGGGTACGGACATATTGCATCGCTTACATCTACCTGATCCAACAATCCACTCCGTCATCAACCGGTCTCATTAGCTTTTTTTTTTTTTGAGCGCCGCGCGCCAGACGGAAGGTTCTAATTTAGGAGTGCGCCGAATATCGAGGGGGTTGGAGGAAGGAACAGTCGTTCAGGTGCTTATTTATTTATAATTACATTCTTTGTATACTCTTTATCAGTTTCTGAGAAACTTCATTTAATGTATTAACGGCCATATCTAAAAGCGATTCTTGCAGCAGCTTACTGAATTCTTGAATTTGAAATGTCAAGCCATTTTTTTGTTATTTTAATTCTTCCGTAACCTTTCATTCCCGCGACTATACTATGTGACCTTTTGAGAAGCAAACGAGGTGCGGAATGATGGTAGATAAACACGAAAAAAAAAAAAGAGAAGAGGCAGTATATAATTACACTGTTGTACCTTCAATAGTAAACATGTAACGATCAAATACACTCTGGTAGAAGCTCGACTAGCTAAAGGTTTCGTGTATACACAAATGGAAAGGAGGAAAGTTGGTTGGTGGTGATCGGTGTCGCTTCGACGCTTTAAATGGCTATATATAAATGTACTTATATATATATATGAAATAACTACAAGGAAAAAACCCCTAAGAATACCGGCTATAATGACCATAGAAATGAAGAAAACGAAAAGAAAAAAACTATTCAAAGAAAGGGTGTGTAGTACCTTGCGAAGAAGGCAAAGAACGAAAGGAGGGAGTTTGCTGAGAGAACAAAGGAAGTCTAAGATACTAAGGAAAGTTTCTTTTTCTTTTCTACGACTGGAGAGCCGTCCTGTGGTCACTCAAATCTGGCGCAGTTTCATGATACTCATCGTTTGGTCCATTATCCTCGAAGGTCGGTGGGTGATCATTGTCCACGCTAGCATTGCTGGCTTGGTCATCATCTGTTTTTCTCGACGATTTCTGGGATCCACCAACTCTCTTTGGAGAGGACCCCGGCGCTGGTGGCGACACTAATCTCTTCTCGACGACTTTCGAGGCACTGCTCGCTGTAGGTCTCGAAAGGCGAGCTAGGAAACCTGGATCAATATGTGTCGACTTGGGACGGATGGTCGACTCCGAAGCCATAGAGGCCCGGGATTGTGTCCGAACTCGGTGTTCTGCACGGGTTGGGGAGACGGATGGGGATTTGGTATGCGCAATTCGTGAATTTGGACGATTAGTAGCTTGCGCTGTTAGCCGGCTGGGTGTTTTAGCACGGCTTGTAGATTTATTTGTTGGTGCAGCGAGCTTTGAAGTAGACGAAGAAGTAGAAGATAATGAAGAAGTTCCATGAAGAGAAGGGCGGCCGTGAATAGGAATACTAGAAGGCTTGGTGGCAGTCTTCGTAACACCAAGGGAGAGTCGATTTGACCTCGGCTTTGGTATGGCTGTAGAGGATTCGCCTTCTGTAGAAGGGCGAGCATCGGTTGCCGTGGCATCTTCAGTCGATGGTTTTGGTGTGCTCTCAGAATGTGTCTTCGTTGCCCCTGGAGCTGGAGATCTCGGCCTTGTAACCTTGGCAGGAGAGGATAGACTGGGTTGCTTAGTATGTCCCCTTGTAGTCGTAGGTTTCGGTGCGCTTGAGGTAGTTGACTTTGGTTTCGGAACGCTGGAAGTCGCAGTAGTAGTCGTCTTGGGAGCGATGGGAGCCTTTGTAATAGGGACCCTGGTAACTGGCTTTGTTTCCGCTGGCTTGTGGACTGGTTTTCTATCGGCGGGTTTAGTGCCGTGGACAGGTACCCTAGAGGAACCGGATGGCCTTGCAATATGGGATGGCTTTTTGGTGGCAGCGTGTGCATTAACCGGTGTCGGTGGCACAACGTTGACCGGGATAGAAGGCTCAGCTGGCGCCTCAATGACTTGTTCAACAACTTCAGGCTCTGGTTCGTGAGACGGCTCCTTAGGAGCCTCTAAGGCGGGCTCTTCAGTGACGGCTGCAGCTTCCTCTGTTGAGACTGGTTCCGGGGCCTTTTCGACTACTGGCACCTCAGCGGCGGGTTCTTCAACAGCTGGTTCCTCTACAACCGGTTCCTCGACAACCGATTTCTCAACAGCCGGTTCCTCGACGGCTGGCTCTTCAACAGCTGGCTCTTCAACAGCCAATTCCTCTACAATCTCCTGCTTTGCCTCCTCTGGAATAGTCTCTGGTTCTACAACAGGTTCTTTGGGCTCCTCGGCCTGTGGCTCGGGTTGAGCCTCTGGGGCAACTGGAGCCTCATCTTTCCCGGCTAATTCCACTGTCTCTGGAGCGGGCGTGGGTTCTTCAACGGGAGCGGGCGCTGATACTGGTTCTATTCAATAACATATGTCAATATCCTATCGTGAGGAATGGAGTGCGGTCTGGATAAGTTTCCCTTACCATCGATAGGGTTTTCTTTGGCCGAAGCCTCTGGTGCAGGCTCTTCTTTAGCCAAGTCTTCGACATCAGGAACAACATCCTTCTGTTCCAAAGCGACCTCAGCGACGGGTGGTTCTGGCTCCTTCGTAACCTCAGGCAAGCTCTCGGGGGCCGGCTCTTCTTTCTTAAGGTCTACCACAACTTCTTCTACCTTATCCTCTACTTTCTCTTCAGCCTTTTCTTCAATCTTTTCTTCGGCCTTTTCTTCAGCCTTTTCTTCGACAGCTGGCTTGGATTCTTCCTTTGCCGGCTCTTCGGGTTTGGCTTCTTCCTTCTCTACCTTGTCCTTTCCGTTAACTTCAGCAGGCTTCTCCACCTTTGGAAACTCCGCTACCTTGGGAGTCTCGGTCTTGGGGAACTCGGCCTTTTTAGGTGTACCGTCTGCTAACGGTCCACCAAAGGCAAACCTGGTAGGTGTACCGGGTCCCTTGATGGGCGATGCCTCTCCGTTCTCGGTCTTTCGAAGGCCAACTACTCCGCTCTGATCTGTTACGGCGACAAAGTTTGTTTTGACCCTTCCAATGGGTTTCGGCTTGAACGCTGGCTCAGGGGTCGCGGAGGCAGAGCTCGAGCCCGCACTCGGCGAGCCTCCGCCGCCTCCACCTCCTTGCTCGAACTTGGCCAGCAGGGCACTGAGGCCTCCGCCTCTCTTTGGAGGCCCGCCAGGCGTCTTCGGAGGATCGGTTGCAGACATGGTCTTCTGAGCTGCTACCAGGTAATCTTGGATATAGGTTGTTGAATATAGTAAGGAACCCCTCCTGGCGGGTGGCTGCAGAAGGTGTTGCGTGTTGTCCGAGTTGAGGGGTTGCGGTGGTGCAAATGCACTCGAACCGTCGGTCGGAGAAACCTCCTGCTGGTCAAAGGCCGGGAATCTAAAAAAACACGAATCGACAGAGATGGATGTGAGCTAAACTGGTCGACGTAACTCTATCAAACGAGGTTGGGTGTCTATGATTTTTTCTTGGGGGGAAGCTACGAAAAGGGAGCGAAACGAATGGGGGCGTGGGAGGAAAGAGAATGGGACCAAGGGCATTACCGACCCTATTTTGGCAGCTTTGAAAAGGAACGGTTTCAATCAGACAGGTTGTTCAAGCTATAGTGCCTTAGTGCTATAGCTTCCCTAGCTATTGCTCACGGCGAGCAGAAGCACCGCCAGCCGTTGGAACAACAGCCACTTCGATGGCTGGATCAGGAAGGAGGAACAGTGACAGCCAGCCTCAGGTTAGATGCTTCGAGACGCTTGTCCCATGCGTATGGGACAGTAATCTTTAGAGAACAGGAAAAAAAAAAGAAGGTTCGGAGATGCAATGCAGCGGTTTGCTAGGTTATATTATGTCGGATATCAGCTGCTTCACTGATTTTGCTGCTGATTGAGCGATAGAACGAACGATGGTGGGAGATGCTGCCGGCCGGTGCTGCTGCTCTCCCTTGTCGAGCTTCACCCCTTTTCGTCTAGCGCCGCTGATGTGTGATGCCCTCGGCTATATAGGTGTGGGGCAGCAGAGCTCGATATGTCCAACAGTGTGGTGGTAGTGGGAGTGTGGTTGGGAGCGATGAGATATGGATACGCTGTGATGTTGGTGATGGTGTTTTGAAAAGAAGAGGAATTACATCGGGGGGAAGAGGGGAGGGGGGAGACTTATGAGGGGGAGGAAGACTATATGGAAGAAAGCCGCCCAGGTTTAATTCATGCGCTTGCTCTTACTCCTCGCAACCACATCCACCATCTCCATTCAATCCAAGTCATGTCAGGTCAAGTCAAGTCAAGTCAACCATCCATCCTTCCCCCATACATCCCATGGCATGGCATGGCTGCAATACAATATGCAATGCAATCTAGTCCAAACCACACCAAACCACCTCCGTCCGTCGCAGCCTCGGTCAGCCAAGAGAGACCCAATCACGGGGCCAATCAGTTCAATTCAATTGATGATTGATGAAATTCAATCAATCAATCAATCGAAATCAATCTCTCATCATCCATTCTTAACAGAGTGGCCTGCTGCTGTTGCCATGCGGTCTCACTTCAGAAAAGGGCGTCTTCGGCCGCCGTAATTTCATTTGGCAATTTCGGCTCTCCATCCCACAGGGCGAATCTGGCTCCGAGACTACCACTAGGTAATAAAAAGAGCTAGAGCCGGGGAAAGGCTTTGAAGGCGACGTTAATTACATTGCGATGTTATTGACAGCGGGGGGCACCCATAATGCCTCCAAATTGTGGTCAAAATTGTGCATGCGTCAGTCGCATACATATGCGCATGTTGCTCGACGAAGCTTCCGCGACGAACATCTTGACTGAATTAATCCTGGCCTACCGGAACAGGCTACTCAGTCCAGAGCTAACTCGCCCAAACGCTCCAAATCGGGAGACTTGTGTTTTGTCTGATTGGTTAGCGATATTCTAGAACCCTGTGCCCACACCACGGAGTACTGCATGCCAGACATGACATGAACATCAACCAAAACTCCTAACTCGAGAGGCGTTGCAATTAGATAGTCTCACAGGCATCAAAATACGTCTTTAAAAAGTGGGGTTGTTTACCCCTCTTTCGTCCATTTTCCTAGAATACAGTTAAACGTACAAGGCAGATCCGAATACTTATACACAGAGCAACTTTTCGCTTTCACAAATGCTTCTACACAGAGCAACCTTTCACAAATCACCACGAATAGAAGAGCGGAAGAAGAATACAAAATGAATGCAATACCACCCATTCTCGCCCTTCCTAATGAAATTCTCGCTAAAATCTTCGGTGACAACGACCTGTCCGATGTGGACATTAGCAGGTCCATCCAAGTCTGCAAGCTATTCAAGGAAAATATTCAAAAATTCGTTGGCCAAAAACTTACGTTCGCCGTTGATGATATTTCCCACTCAGGATGGAGGTTCGCTCGGTGCCTCCTCAGGAACCCAGAAATTGGCGAACACTTCGCGAACATGACGGTAGAATGGCATCGAAGGAATTGGTCGGATTGGAAAATTGACAAAGAACATTGGACAAAAGACTGGGCCTGGACAGGACTAGAGAGGGAGAAGATCTCGGCCCTTTGCAAAAAGTGGGACATCAATGAAAAAACAAAATCAATTATTTTAGGTGGCAAGAATTCCGAAGCGCTGTTGCCTTTACTTCTCTGCTTGACCCCGAACCTGAAATCCCTCGATTTGGGCGAGGTTGATCTCTCACTAGTGGATTTGGGCACACAAGCGTACAGACCTGGAGGCGAAACATACTCAAGCGCACTAAAGCTTCTAAGTTGTGAGTTCGATGAAGATGGCGATGACGATGACGATGACAGAGACTACCATAGACGCAACTACAACTATAGAGTTCAAACGGCATATTACAATTGTCTAAGCAGTTACCAACCGCTTGACCACTCCTTATTCTTTTTTGATAATCTTCGATACAAAGCCAATGGGGATATAGTGGGCCCAAAAACACTGCTTCCTGGTCTCGCAAACCTCGAGTTTTTCAAAATTGCAGGCCCAAAGAACCATAAGAGCTCTGACGAGCTGTCGCTCCACCAGTCGGAGTGTTTTCTAATCCTCCTGCTACCGCGGATTCAATCCGTTGAAATCCTCTCTACATTTTCACATTGGGATTCGCATGAACCACTTAGCGACGGACCGTCAACGTTAAAGCGACTAACCTTCATACGCGGATTTGACGACCGGTGGGGCCCTGAACGTGTCGCCTTCTTTGAAAAAATGTCTAAGATCACTAGTAACTTGGAAAGACTCTATATAAATGCCACTTTCTCTATGTTCGATGGGGACCCTGCTCGATTTTTTGAACCTATAGCTAGGGTGTTTTTACAAAATATCAAGTGTTTGGAATCCTCCAACATCTTAGTAAATGGCGGAGGGTTCAACGAAATGGGGGAATGGAATTTCTATGAGGAGCGGCGTCGGGAGGTGGCTCGAAAACAGAAAGCCTTCGAGTTAATCCGGGGTAAGCTCCAAACCTTGAAAGTATGTAATCCTATTTAGAATATCTTTCCCAATTGGAAGAAACCACTGATCATTTTCTGGCCGAAGCAGCCGCCACCAATCGTAGTCACCAGCAACAAAATAATTCCCAATGTTCTCAAGCATCTTAATCGCAGCGGCGTATTCAACCTCATGTTATCGTGCAAAGCACTCTATGATATCTGCTACCCCGATCTGTGGGCCAGCCTTTGTTTTGGTGGAAGGTACGATCGCGAATATCCCCGGCCATCGGTTACTGCAGAAGCATCGCACCGCTTGGTAAAATCCTTCGAACTCTCCGGAGCTGGGGGCCTTGAGAACTTGGAACGGCTAGAACTCGGCCAAGGTTTCTATATTGCAGTAGATGATTCCGATCGGTCGCCAAATGAGATCCTATCCGCGCTGGCAAACCAAATTGAACTAGGAAACACACCGAAGCTCAGTCACCTATCCCTTGATTGGACGCTTATGGTTGCGAGGAGTAAGTTAAACTAGCTGTTACAAACGCCAGGCTGCCGAACTATGGTATGGTGGCGGGTAGATCGAAAATGTAATTGAAGCTCACAGAATATTAATAGTGCGGCCAAGGGTTGAAGATGAGTTCCATGATCCGGCAAGCCTCCGGTTCTACCGTACAATCAAAGAATACTCACAAAAAAAAACTCCGGAAGAGTTCAGACTAAGCCTAGTCTTCAATCTTCCCAGCCCCCCGAAAGTGGACCCTACCTCGTTACTAGATACCAGAAATCTAAAAGACCTCGAGGTCCTCTTACTGTGGGACGAGAACTTAGCCATGGCAACACTGGCTGCAAATTCATTAGTTGATATACTCTCCGGCTCGCCCAATCTGGAAAATGTGACTCTACGGACCTGGATTGGTGTGAGCTATCAGCCCAGGGGGGAAATCAAGAAGGGAGTAAAGCAGTTATGGGAGGCCCTCACAGGCCTACAAACTGTGATTGGAGGTCTTAAAAACCTGCGTTCTCTGTCTATCATAGATGCGCTCTCGATACACCCTTCCTTTCTCCTCACCCCACCACCTGCCTGCAGATCAGTTTCCTACAGAGGCAAGACGACGACGCTGTGGTGGGAACAGTTTGCAAATTTCCCCTTCAGCGGTATCGAGCGCATGACCTTAGAATGTACTGAACTAGATACCGCCGAAGGAAAGGCTATGAAACGAATAACCGGGCAGGAATGGACACCAGTGGAAAAACTTCTATTGGGCGACGTCAAAGTCTCGACCTTGAGATGGCTTAATATAAGTCCGCCATCAGGAGGCTTAGGCAAAGAAATCGGATACAAGGGTTATCCCAAAGATTTCATCAAATGCATGCTTAAAAAGAACATACAACTCTCGGACGAATGTTTACGACCACTAGCAAGTCAAATCGCAATATCGTATAGAGCGGAGCGCGCGAAGGTCATGGAAAACGTTTTTAGTATGCAGATGGCCAACCTAAAAACCCGACTCTGCGCCGCTCTCGATACATATGCGGAAGATACTGCTCTCCAAACTCTTCGAGAAACACGCTCTATTGGAGAAGAGTTCCAGTCTGAGATGAGGAATAAGCCTGTTGATATGCTTGTACAGCAGTTCGAGAATGAGCTGGGGCCGGAATTTATTGCTAAATGTACAGAAACTCTTAGAGTACAGCTGCGGGAAGGCAGGCCTCCATCATTTTCGAATCCACAAAGGGATCAGTACGATTCTGACGATAGCTACTGACCTAATTGCGACGCAAAGCTGTGGGTTGGGGGTTGAACACATGTTTTTACAAATGTAACGGCCGAGTAACTACTTGTTATGTAGTTCGGCTCATTCAAACTTACGGTTTCTCTACGGTCTATATCTAGAGCTTTGTCACAAGGGACTTTCGTCCTATGCTATCATGCTATGACGAAGGAAACTGAAGAATAAAACCCAAGAGTTAAAGTTGATCCCAACTATTAAACAACTGTCTCGCATGAGTTCGTAAAAAAAACCGGGAACCTTTTTATTATTATTTTCATTCCTCCCCAGATTCCCATTGTCACCGTTCCCCGAGTTAGAAGGTATAAGCATAAAGTCTTGCATGCCTCGCATGAGAAGCCGCCGTCCACAACCCACAGATGCGACAGCTGCATGTAGCATATTCATGCAACCTTAAACTTTCGGAAGCACCTTCCATAAATGGATTTCAAGACTTCGTGTTCGCGAAAGATTTGTTCGTTGAAAAAGTGGAGACTTTGGGATACTAAAAATGTTTTATGCGTATAGCGAAATATTCTGTTTTCTTGAATGACATGCAGATGCGAATGTCACCTTTGGAGGTGTCTTGAAGCGATCTTAGATGAGGCGGGGATTCTTCAGAATATTACAACACACCTCAACACTAATTTCGAAACCACCCGGGTGCACCCGCTGAGAGTGATAGAATTTAGACAGAGACACGAACCTTTTTACCTTCTTTTTGAATTCCGACGATAGTTAGTATTTGCCCTATTGTTTTGTATTCGTTTACATGGGTTCAAATAACAAGACTATATGATCGATTGTAAAATTATGTGTATTGGCAAAAATTTTGGATTTGAGGCCTTCATCGCGCCTAGTACTATCGTTCTACAAATAAATGCATCAAATGCCCTCATTCTCGCACCGAGCTTGTGTATAGTGATAAAATCCTAATACCCGCCTCATGGGTAACGTGGGAATTTACGATCTCAACTACCGGTACACCCCACACGTTGATCTGCTTAGATATAATACTCCATAGCGGAGCCCCCAATCCCCTAATATGAAATTCAAACTAGGCACGGTTCCGATAATCTTTGTCGTATTCACAACGATTAAACCCTCTATCGCACCCGACCCAGTCGGATTGGGCAAGCTCAAAATCCCGATTACCGATTATCGTAACTGGGTAACTGAGAACGCCGCAACCTTCAGCGATATCTACGATAAACTCCGAGAGTTCCTTCAGGCACGTAAAGAAACATGTGCGATCTCGACCGCTCCTGAATATGGCACAACCAATGCGAACCCTGACACCACCCTCAAACATTATCTCTCTGCTATTAAGTACTTACACGACGAAGTCGAGCTCGCCCTAGGAATCGCCAAAGGTCAACCACCTTCTACCGAAGATACGGTGTTAGTTACTCTGATGCGTAGTTTATACGACGGGGAAACATGGGAAGAGGCTATAGGCGTTGCAAACGTTCTTTACAACGTGATGAATATTGTTAACGAAGATATCCCGGACCTTAAAAGAATGGATGCTGGAATATCAAATTCTATTAAGCTACCATCGGAACCAACCGACTTACCTGGGCATTCTAAACAGGAAGTAGTATCACGCTTTTTCACAGACGCGCGATGGAGTCCAGCACATCCATACGGTACCGTTATCCTCGCAGATGCGGGGCAAAAAGATCGATGGATAGATACCTTTCAGACTATTCACAACAATCTCGACGCCGTGAGTAGCTTCATCTATCAATTTAGCAACGACGCCTTGGAGGATGGGATGGACAATCCGGCGTATGCGGAAGTTTTAAACACCAAAGCCTATAATCCTAGGTTTGGAATTGAAAATGCAAGGCCGTATACACTTATTAATTTATTTATGGATGTTAAAGGATGGTATGAATGCTGGGCGCAACCAGCAAGAGAAATTAGTGAGCTGAGTGAAGGGGTGACCCCGGTACCTGGATCCGAGGAGGAGGAAGTAGTAGGGAAAATGGCGGCAATGGGAATCAGTGGCAAGGGCGGATCCGAGGCGGCATAATATGCTTAATATTTCCTACAACAAAGCCAACTTAGGAATTATATCCGTTCTGTGAAGAGATTCGGGGACTTCCAAGCCTAGGGCACTTTGCCAGCTGGTCCTCATTCTCAAATGCTACTCTGTGTTGACCCTGTTATCGTTTACTCTTTGCTTATTGGCCGGTTATTTGTATTCTAACCTATTTGGGATATCTAATATCGGGATACCACACGACAACACGATGCCCGATCTTCGGACCTGACAGGCTAGGGTAAAACATGACTTACCCTTAATATAGCCACTTTATTACCAAGATATTGGAAGTTTTTACGAGGATCTGAAGCTATTGAGCAAATGTATTTGTTTGGCAGTCAATGGGTAATCATTTCTGCTATGTATGTCTGCTACATCGAACTTAATGCTCTCAAATTCCCGGACACCTAAACATTTTCTTGAAAGATTCTGAGATGTACGCTATGCTTATCAAAGCACCCAAAAACTGGATTGGATACTAAGTTCAGTAATTCTTATTCTAAAGGAGGAAAGAAAAAGGACAAGGATTTATCCTGAAACAGATTACTGTCTTATTAGCTTACTGATCATAACTCATGTATACAAAGCTAACTGCCAAGGTATTATGTATCCAGGACTACATATGAGATTCATATACGCATCTATTCGTTGCACGTAGCTACAATAACACCGTTCTGTTTTCGGCAGCATATCGGCGATATCTAGATCTAACAACCTCACATTTGCAGTGCGATACTTTAGTTACTCTAACATAATGGAGAAACCACGTTTTATAGAACAGGTGTCTAACCATTATCGGCTTTTTCTGTTACTAGGTCATATTAATTTTATGACCCTTTAAATTAATACAACATAATGAAACTGATATCTCCAACCTTCGCCTTTCGTTTCATAATCATCTTCTCCGCCTTCCAAAACCTATCCCACGCCAAATTCGAAGGGTGGAGGCCCAAACTAGCCGACAGAAATGAGGTGCCGATGTCTCTCGACGTTTGGACCGAATGGATTGTGTCAAACGCCCCAACATTCCGCTCCATCAATGAGCAAATCGACTTTTTCAAAGAAGTCCGTACTAAAATCTGCCCGTTGGGACCAGACCTCCAAACTCCATGGTTAAGAAAAAAAAGAGCCTCTATACCCCGGAATAGTCTTACGTTTCTTATCCTCGCGTTAGTAGATATTGCTCAACTTGGTCTAGAGAATATGGAAACTGTCCGAAAAGAACAGTGGACACCCAATGGAATGATCGAAACGGCTTCTGCAAAATTTGTTCGTGAGAAGTTAGGGTGGGGTCTAGATCGGGCTAAACTCGTTAATAACGCGACAAATATCGAGCTTTGGCTTAAGACTATCAGCGAAGTGGCTTCTCTCTCTTGGGGTACGTTTAATAATATAGAAACCGAAATCAATAAGCAAAGCATGTTATCAGGACCAGGGAACTTAACAGGCCCAAACATTGTCGAAGAAAGAGCCTGGGAACTGGGGAAATTCATGACATCGATGGAAATGCCGTCCAAAGAAATTCCTTTTGTCAAAGTCGACCTAAATGCCCCGCCTCACATCCTCGGCGAACTTGAATCGTTTCGAAAAGATATGTGGCAATCTACATATAATGCCAATAATTGGAATATACTGGCAAGGAAATTTGGTTTTGATCACCCCTTCTTTGGGAAATATATCAACGAGGAACCGTTTAAGTATGATCCAGATTTTGGCTACCGTGCTGTAGGCAAGGAGGTTACACTTTCAAATTTATTTGACTATTTCCTGGCCTGGTATGGATGCTGGTATCGGCCTTGGGCGGATCTGGTCAATTTAGTACTGAAGCTGACCCCAATTCCTGGAGACAAGCACCTGAATCGGAAAGATACGGATATGAGAACGGATAAGGGGGCGAATAAGGGGGCAGATTATGGGCTAATAGCCCGTGACCAAACATTTAAGATTGAAGCAGCCCGGCGGGTTCTTGCGGACGGTTACCGGGCCCAGCAGCAACAACCGTGGCGTGGTGGGCAATACTATCCGTTGGCGATCGATAATTCAGCAACTAGGGACGTTTTTAGTCAAGAGCGGCTAGCTGAGCCAAAGAAGGAAGAGGAAATGGAAAGCTTGAAGCGTGAGGATAGTGTCAAAGTCGGATGGCCTGAGGGCAAAATTGAAGTAAAGAAAGCTGAGGATGAAACTAAGCCTCACGTACCATTTTGGGCCGAGGATTATAAAGCATCTATACCGAAAGTAGAAGATGTTGGCGGTGGTTTACAGGAGAGAAGACCTAACTGGGGGACGTGGGGGAACGAGATTGTACTAGAAGAGGCCGAGGATCCGGTACCGCAAATACCTTCGCTATATGAAGATAAAATAGAAGAGGAGTTTTAATATTTAATATTTCCTTGACGGCAATAGGACAAAAAAAGTCCATAAAAATACATACGAGGACATCCCTAGCTATGGCTCTGTATCAGTATGCACAATCGCCGGCTGTAGTATTTGGAAGATACACAGTACCCTAGTTAGACCGAATGGCTCGAAGTCACCATAGGATTGTTAGAGATCAACATCTACTGCCGAAGTTTTGTCGGTAGCCACGATAGTGCAAGGTGGCCCGTGTGGCCAGATAGCAACCCAAGCCCTCGGACCTTTTTGAACCGTGGAGTGGGGCCGAAAGGGCCTCTTATAGAATAGTATAATCATCTGGATAGGTGTATTGAGACATATGTACTTAGCATCGGAACCTGATTAGAAAAATGCAACGTTCGTGTGTTGGAGCGAAGCCTGAGAGCTACGAGAGCTAGGATAATCTTCTTCAATTATAAAAAACTAGCAATTCACTGGCTAAAAGTTGTTTCATGTCATATCATCATATCAAAGAGGGAAAACAAAGAAAATTGTAAATAAAAATAAAAAAAAGGATCGAAACTGAGTTAGTCAAACGAAAGGCCAGCAGAAACCATCCCCATCGCAATAGGATGTATTAAAAGTTGCTAGTATAGTACATTTCTGAAATCCTCCGGTTTACTAAAGGGTTCTTTATCAGTATGCTGGAATCAATCAGAAACCACCCCATTGCCCCTGACCGTGGGATTGCTGCTGATTCTGTTGCTGCTGATCGGATCTTGGGAAAACTGGTATTGTTTCTAAGTGCTCGAGCCCGCCCATGGAAATCTGAGGTGCGAGATCCGCTGGCAGCTTGCTTTGCCTAAAAGGGTTTGTGCCAGTGGGTTGAGCGACGTTGAGGCCACCAGAGGGTTGAAAGGATGGAAGTGGGGCTTGGTTGAATCCACCATTTGCTCCTTGCGAAGCTTCGGATACAGAAGGTAACGTATTCTCTGGCTTTGGGCGGGAGAATGGATTAGTACTTCCGGTAGAGGCTGAACGAAGGGGTGCCTGTATCTGTGGCTGTGATTGCTGTGGCGTATTTTGGGAGTAGTCTGTTGATGTGGATGAGAATGTTGGCGCTGCTTGAGGGGCTGCAACCGGGATAGTGGAAGCCCTAGCGAATGGATTGGTTCCGCGGGAAGTGCCTGTGGATCCGCCTGTACCAGTAGAGGCGATTGGAGAGGCAACGCTAGAGCCGGTTGGCATCATCGACTGCCGGAATGGGTTTGTGCTTCCAGTCGCTGATGGTAGTAATCCCTGTGCACTTTGTGGTGTCTGAACCGAGGCAGTAAGGTTCGGCGCGATGATAGGGGTTGTTTGAATGACTGGCTGTGGAATAGGTGCTATGGTGGACTGTGGAGCAGGAGTGTAGCCCCCAAATCCTGCCCCGGTAAAGTCCGTCTGGAGAGGTTGCTGCATCGAAAACGGAACGGGGTTCTGAACGAGGAACTGCTGAGGTACTTGAACTTGCGGAATTTGCCCAGGAACCACGAATCCAGGCTGTTGTTGGATAGAGAACTGGGGTGCCGGAATTATCGGGACCTGGATTTGAGGGGCCACAATCGGCACGGGTTGCTGCGCAAACGTTGGCTGGGCATTGGTAGTCGGTGTACCGCCAAACATAGGGGTCTGCTCATTTTCTATTGAGGCGAAGAAATCGATGAGGTCTCCTTGCCTCTGCGGTGCTGGCACTGCTTGTTGCTGAGCAGCGGCAACTGGCGCCTGTGGGGCAGAGGTTGTAGTACTAGCGGCTGATGGTGTGGTTTTGCTGGTTGCCGAGATGTCAGTAGTAGGAATTTTCTTACCCGTCTTCTTGGCTTCCTGGGCCGCGAGGTACTGCCGTCGGTTGACATCGAAGTCGGGATCTAGCAGGTATTCTTCTAATGCTTTTGTGAGAGAGGTGGGAGCGTGCTTGACGTTCGGGATTTGCAATCTAGTGGCCGTTTCGAGTCTTCGGGCGTTCTGTAAGAATTCAACGGTATCCTCGGTCTGTCTTGTAAAGACTTTGTAGATTTCGAGCGCCCTTTCGGCGTCGTATCGCGACATTTCAAAGTAGTGCTCTAGTAGACTATTAATAAGCGTGTTCGTAAGCTGAGTTGAATATCTGAGTGACTAACCCAGGACATTGATGACCCCTTCATTCACTACATGGAAAAAGGCCAAAAGATCCGAGACGAGCATTCGGAAAGCAGTTAGTGTGATTTCGTTGTCGACGTCGCCGGTATGGAACTATCGAATGGTTAGCCCCTACCCCCACCAAGACCTACATTCCCCAAACCCACGTTGCACTGAAGCAAAGCTCTCATCTGCGTCTGGACGCATTCAACTTCGCGGAGCAAGCCTTTTTCAACACTTAGTCTCCTTAAATGGCCTTGCCCATTCCTCACAAAGTCGACCTTGACGTCTCCAAAGCTTCTAGCTCTTTCGCCGAGGTACTGCGAGTATCTACGAATGTTTTTCCCCTGCTCCTGTACTTTACGAGCGGTCAGCTCGTGGAACTCGATCAACTCCCAAGCTTGAAGCATAGTTTTGCGTGCAGATCCGGTCTTACCATCCGAATAGTTACTGATAGCAACTAGACGAGGGTGTTTACGGAGATACCGGAGAGTCACGTCCTGTTCGCCTTCACGGATCATGAGATGGACGACGATGAGTGATTTGAAAACGATCTGGAGAGAGATGCCGCATTAGAATCTTATCCTATATCGTCGAGATTTTATGGTATGGAAGGGGTATCTATGCGCATACCGTCCATGTCTGATCCTTCATACGGTTGTTGAGGGCCCGAAAGACCTCTGCAATACCAGCTTCACCGGCATGCGTAGCGATAAGGATGTGCTCAACATATTTCGACTTCGGGGCAGCGACCTATCGAATGAAGGGTTAGTCGTGAGGTTCGAGTGTAGTCTGAAGAAGTGTTCCGGCCGATGAATAAATGAACGAGCTAACTAGCTTGATCGGCAGCTCTGGGGGCTTCGGAGACGAAGGGTGAATTGGATCGAAGTTATCGTACCTTAACTTTAGTCGCGCCCTGTATAGTTTAGTTAGCATCCGTTGTAGTCTACCGTATCATGTGATGAGAGAATCAGGGACCGGGTACGGAGTGAAGGGAGAAGGGGGTGAAGTCAGGGGAGCATGTGAGAGTGAGGATATATGATATGACGTTGGGCTAGGATTTTAACTGGACTGACCTTGACGGACTTCTCGAAGGAACTCATCCTTCATCAACCAACTCAGATCCGGCCTTTCTCAGAAAAACACAGACCAAAGATGGACGAAAAAGAACAGCCGAACGAACGAATCTCGAGAAGAATGGTGGCGGTGATGACGATGATGCCTGCCTGCTTTGCTATATACGATACCGGATGCTGTTAGCGAATAAGTCCCGCATTGCACTGCTGTCTTTGGTTTGGCTGTTTGGTGGCCCAAAACAGCTGCAGGGAAACACCGACCTTTCTGTTTGATTGGGCAGCCTGGCACCAAGCAAGCCAATAGCTCCGATTACTTCGACTTGCAGGGCAGGTTAAGCGGCACCAACCACCAAAGAATATTCGATTTTCGGGTTTCGGATTCGAGATCACGCGGGCGATGAGGATGGGGATGAGTATACTGGGAAGATGAGAAGAGTGGGGCTCATATCGAGAGGGTAATCGATTTTGGTGTTTTTATCTCGTTCAGGCCAACCGCTGCTTCCTGAGGAGAAGAACTATCGATCGATCAACCAACCAATCCCCAGGCATCTGCCGACAGCGCCGTACCGATGCGGTGGAGTACCAACGAACGGCTTTTCCCTGCTGAGAGGGCAGTATTGGAAGAGCTGAAGGGGGAGCAGGAGGAGCCTTTACAAGCTTACACCCTCTTTGATGCAAGTACACGTGTCGATGGCAGTCAATGGAGGCCAGGCGGCAGATTGGCACAGGATATTGCCCTATCTAGCCTTCTTTCCAGGCCTCGAGGGATCTTATAGTTGAAATGTATACTGGGTTATACTGCGCTGCGCTGTGGTATCTTATCGACAAAGGGGGGTTCCGTTCAGGGCGGGATTATCGCGAATGGTAGGTCCTCTACGTATGGATAACGGCTACGACCATGATCTCAATGACAGCTGCTTGAAGTACTGTTATATATTGTCTCGTTTGGAGGACCGTTTATTGATTTAAAGTTGGAGACAAACGAAGGGACACCCGGTCCAGATCAGACACGCCTTATAACTATCAGCTGAATGATCATACTATGAGCGGATTATATCTTTGTTCCACTCCAACTTTGCTCTTCTTCATCTCCACGACCCGGCCCGAGCTCGAGCCTGGAGACGCTAGGACAGCCATCGAAAAGTCAAATCGTTTAGGGCAGGTTCCGGGAGGGGGGGTTCCGGTCGCATGGCAGCCATCCACATCCACATCCACCCGGCTATCTGACATGCTATGCAGCTGCGGCTCTTGCCATTTGACCAAGATTGATAGAAATGGACGGCTGAATATGTGGAAATTACCAAACTAAAGACTAAAAAGGAATACTGCATGGACATGTCGTGAGAATTTGCCGTTCATTTCGCACATTTGCACGATTCAATCTCCGGCAAAGGAGGTTACGAAGGAGTCTCACACCTACACTTCCCACGTTATTGTCAAGGATTTCAGGGATTACGCCTGTTGAGCTTAGCCTGCCTTAGCGAACAGTCAATTCGATTCGACTTTTATTGAATGGCCCCACTTGCTTAAATACAAAAAGAAACATTGCCACTTGGTTAAGGGTCTGTTTGGTCTGGTCTGGTCTGTAGCAAGTAACACCGGCTACTCGTATCGGAGTGCATCAATTGCTGCCTGCTGTCACGGGACATACTAGTCTAGGAAATAGTATGTAGCTATACGCCCATAAACTTGAAGAGGTCTGTAAACCTCTCGGACAGGCATATCCCCGCCAGTAACCCCCTTCACCATCGTCCTCTTTTCAATTATCTGTCAAATATACTACTTTTATATTGTATCTTCCGACACAAACAATAAACACCCTCCAGTTTCATGCCTGTCTCAACATTCCCAGACCTAGTTCTTCTTGTCCCTCCTCCTGCTAGTCAGAAACGAGGATCTAGAAGACTGAAATCTGGTTCTGTATCAACAATTGGCTCAGAGATGCCTTCATCGCGTCCGTTGGTAACAAGGAATGTGCCGAACGCCGATATCATTCCGATCCCATCAAGAACCACGCGAACCGCAAAGCCATCTTCCTTCTTATCCTTTCGAACTCGAATTGGGAGGAGGGTTCGCGTGGGTGATGAAAAAGGTTCATCTGATACACTCTAGGCTTTCATCATGACTATAAGATGGGTCCAATGTTAGTAAAAGAGTCCAATAGGAGCTGTGGTAATGGTGGCGTGATGGTGGTTGCACTCACAGTTTAAAACTTGGAAGGATGAAGAGAAAAGAGAAGAAGAAGAAAGCGACGAAATCTGTGTCGATGCGGTTTAAATAGGGAATTTTTTTCCCTGCCAAAAATTTGTGCGTGCGACGCAACACAAACCGACGACATCCCACCTTCTTCCTTTTTTTAGCGCAGGCAGGCGGCAGGATGTGCTCAAGCGACGACGATTACGACGAAGAAGAAGATCGGTCCTGCAACTAAATATGGCCACTCCCTTGCGCGCATGTGTTCGGTGTCAGATCGATGTTCTTCAGGCCACTAGTAAACGACGGTCGAGCCAATCGATAGCAAATGTCCGGCGACAATATGCCAGAATACCCAGCCAATGGGTGTCAAGACGGGCATATAGCGATAATGCTCCCAACGGTCACGAAGCAGGTGCCGATCCTAGGATCACATTGGATCAAATAACAGAACAACTTGGAGTCCCAAAGCCTAGAATCGTCACGCAAACCCAACCTAGATACGCTGGCGAAATTACTGGATTAGATCATGAAACGGAACTCGAATTAACGGACGAAGAGTTCCGCAGGTTACATCCAGGATTGGGGTCCCTCACACCTTGGAGCTTTCCTCTCGACGACAGTTGCAAGACAATCGATGCTCTTAGTGATAATAATATAGGCGAGACGGTGAAAGTACGTGGTTGGTTATATCAGTCGAAGCCTGGAAATACAGCTATTGCCTTCGCAACAATATTACAGGGTGGGAAGTTCATCCAAGTCATTTTCGACAAGAATGCTGGATTCGAAAATCCTCATAAAATTCTAGCCGTTCGGGCGCATACGCCGGTCGAAATCGAAGGCACCTTGCAATATAAACCCAAGAAGGGATCTAAGTTTGCTACCAACACCGGTGAACCTTCTGTTCCCGAAGACGTCGAGAATTTCCACAGAACTCTAGAAATCATTGTCAGCCGGTATGAAGTAATTGGAGACCCTCCTAAGGAGCCGATTATAGCTGGAACCGCCCATACCGGAGACAAGCGTTATATATCAATGCGTACTAGTACGGACCTTCTAAAGGCGCTTCATCTACGTAACAAGGTCTCGCAGATTTGCAGAAAACATCTGGACGAGGAAGGATTTCTAGAAGTCGAGACGCCGTTGTTATTCAAATCAACACCAGAAGGTGCCCGGGAATTTCTTGTACCAACAAGAGCCCCTGGTCATATGTATGCTCTGCCCCAGAGTCCACAGCAATACAAGCAGATCTTAATGGCCGGAGGAATTCTCAAGTACTTTCAACTTGCCAAATGCTTCCGCGATGAAGATCTCAGGGCGGACAGGCAACCTGAGTTTACTCAACTTGATCTAGAAATGGGATTTGTGGATGGAACTACAGTACAAAAGACAATTGAACGGTTGTTAAAAAGGATTTGGTATGAAGTTCTTGGGGTGAAGCTACCCGCCTTCCGAGTAATGAGCTACAACTTCGCAATATCCAACTACGGAAGTGATAAACCAGACACAAGATACGGAATGATTGTGAGGACCCACTCCTGAACCGTCTAAACCTCTATGCCTTATAGGTTTGGTTCGCTGACAGTAAACCGTCTTTGGAACACAGATTCGCCCATTTGAAAGAGTAGTTGAACAGCATTCTCCTCTCTCCCGGACCCCAGTCTACGGCGAATGGAAATATGAGATCATAACACATCCCTGTAATATCAGCAATTCTAGGCTGGGCCTCCTCGCTAGTCAGATAGCTAGCCCAACGGACGGAGACCTTGCTGCCCTCCGTGGCCCAAATCCCGACTGCATAATGTTCAAAATCGGGGAACAACTCGACTATCCCGCCATCCGAAAGCAGTTGACTCGTATTGCGCCGCACCTTAAGAGCGAGCCTTTGGATCTAGAAAGAATCATAGGAGCCATGGCAAGCAAAAACTTGTTACCGACCAATAATATTATCGTTATCGGTCGAAGAAAGAAAGAATTCAACCCCGTAAGTTATAGCTTTATTTCTGTCATAGTCTCACAGTATCCGACCTAACATAAGTCCTTTTCTATTAGGGTGGATCAACAAGTATAGGTGAAGTTCGCAAGCAGCTTTGCCAGAAGCTCATCAAACTTGGATTCATGGAAAAGCTAGTCGGTTGGAAATTTCTATGGGTCACTCACTTTCCTTTGTTCACACCCATAAATCCATCAGAAAACGAACCTGGTCAATCCGGTACCGCTGGCTACAAGTCCACTCACCACCCTTTTACTGCCCCCACCATCAGCACACGTGACAGCCTTTTCACCTTGCCATGGAAAACTCTAGGTCACCATTACGATGTCGTTCTTAACGGGGTAGAACTTGGCGGGGGAAGTACTAGAATCCACGATGCGGAGCTGCAACGCACTATTCTAGAGGACATCCTCAAGGTGCCGTCAGAGAAGATGAAAACGTTTAAACACTTACTGGATATGCTGGAGACTGGATGTCCCCCACACGCTGGATTAGCAATCGGATTCGATAGGTTGATTGCGATCCTAGCAGGGAGAGACAGTATTAGGGATGTTATTGCCTTCCCTAAAAACAATAGGGGACAAGATTTGGTAGTTGGGAGCCCCGGATTGGTGACAAAGAAGCAGTTAGACGAGTATGGTATTATGCTTCAGGACAATGTACTAGAGGGGCAAGAAGAACCAGTATTATCTGTGGAAGATGAGGTAGCAGGGAATGAACTACTAGTCGAGGATTCCGAGGTAGAGGGTGTGAAAGATGTGGAAGTGGCTGCTGCAGAAACTAGTGTTGAGGACAGCACAGGTGCAGATACGGCCACGAAAACTGTGGTACCGGGAAAGCTAAATATGCTCCTAAGTGAGAAAAAAGAAGCTGAAGAGGAGGTTAAAGTACCGGCAGAAGAGGAAGGTGCGGAGACGGAAGATTCTCCACTAGTCGAAGATGTGCCGCCTACCCCAGAGACTACGGTCGAAGAGTCAGTAGAATCAAGTACAGAAAGGCTAGAAGCAAGCGGAGCTGGGGAACGCATAGAAGTTAAGGAAGGGGTGCCAACTGAAGAGGAAATCAAGGAGCCTAGCCTAAATGAAGCCAACGCCACTGAAAGCGACAAAAAGTCCGAGTAAATGCTCGGAAATCATTTTAATATAGACTCAGAGTATCAAAATAGTTGATGTCATTTGTACATATATCCCGATAGGTCCAGGACCAGCAGACTGGAGTGCATTTAGCATCACCAATCTAGTTCTCTAAATCCAGTTTGAAAAACATGAACAGCGGGCAACACAAGCGCATCTAAAACGCAACGTTTGAGCTTCGAGGTTCGGATCTCCAAGAAATACAAATGCTCATCAATCGACGCGAATAAAAGCATTAATTTCAATAAAAGACAACTGGAGGATCTAGGAGGTCAATCATCTTCTGGATCGTGAAATGCATCCGTAATCTGGCAAGTACTTTCTAAGCTATGTTAATTCCCCCCCCCCCATCCGCTTAGGAAATGACTTCTTCCTCCAACTCTTCCACCTAACACACCCGATACTCTATACCTCACGCTCTGTACCTCAGAATTCAAACCTCATATTCAATATCCTTCATAATTGATCGATCGATGCGAATAATCATGATGTTCTTTGGTTGTGCTGATTTCTTTGGTTTCTGAACCTGGTTGCGAAGTTTGTTCATGCCAGTCCCTCGGTCGGATACTCTATTGTTAAGGTAACTTCCCTCCCGACAGTAATAAACAGGTACTCTTTTTAGAGTTGAAGCCGCTATAGTGCTATAATAGCGAAGAGTAAAATCGTCAAAGAGACCAATTTTGGTATATCCTTGAGCGTAGATATGCTAACTGTGCGCGTCGTTTCTCGGCCAACCTCCCCAGGTTGGTTGTTGAAGATACCCAGTACAGGATTGCAAATATTTAAATGGAACGACCAGGAAATCGCCCAATGTAGCTAAATACTCTCGGCGTGGAAGAGCCTTTTACTTGCCTGAGTCTCAATCCCTTATAGATATAGAAGCTTTGCCTAGCATTGGCGGCATTGCTGGTATGGGTATAAAGGCCCTTGCTATGATGCCGGAAAAATCTATCGATGTCTATTACCCAAAGTTTGATAAACACCTCGAAATACCAGTTGGTGCCTACTCCCTCAAGCCATATGAGGGTCGCCTGAATCTAGGCCAGCTGTGGTCTGCATACTCTACGGAACTTCAAGAGACACCTTCTTCTATGGAAATGCTTGTCCAGCCTTCTCAACAAGGGGGCTCAGCAACCCCGGTTTACATCTATGCCCTCATAGGGTCTGATGGCAGTGTTAATTCCCTTTCACGATATCCCTGGACTAAATATTCGAAAATAATCCAAGAAATGTCTCCTATGAGTTTACTGAGGGGTGCTCTCCAGACGAGCAAACCCGAACCCATTTCTAGCATCGACTTGCTTAAATTACTACAGCCATCCGACGGAAAGATTCTCGATATAAATGTTCTCGAGATACATCTCGACGATACCAACAAGGAATTTCTTGTCCGTCAAGAATCCATTATGCTTCTCTTCCAAATCACGATATCGATTGTCTCTCTCCTTGTGAGTCAGACTCTCCCGTCGCTGTATCGCAGAACGGGAGAGACCTTTACTAGAGTCGCTTACTTCTTATTGACTATTCTTGCATTCATCTACGGGACCAGAGTTTTGACAGAAACCTGGAGCACCCTCTCCAACATTCGGGAGATTATCACGTTCCTCGGAAGAACCGGGAACGGACAGCATGGCTGGGCACCTACCCAGCAAATGGTTACCCACATATTTACAGTCTACAGCCACGATAGTGTGAAGCTCGGAACCATCTATTTCATGGAAGCAACAGTTTTAACTGTAGCATCTGTGATGCTAAAACAGGGGTTCGTTTCGGTGGGAAAGTCGGCCAGGAACACCGTTTGGATCCTCTGCCTCCTGGTCTTGGGGGTGTGCGAGTTGGTATGTTATTTGGGGGTACAGAGATGGCAATTCTTGATCCGATTTGCCATGGTCTGGGCCTATTGGGTCCATAGACCGGTTTGTGAGTGCCTGTATCTTGTGTCTGGGGTGGTTGAGTTTTTGTTTTCCGGGTCAAGTGCCTGAGTACTAACGTATGGAGATTACGTGGGCACTAGGCCCTTTTAATTATCATTAATATATTTATTGGATTGGTTTTTCTTTAAAGAAAGGAAGTCGTTTAGGACGCATTAGAGGACTTGAACTGTAGTTTCTTAGTAATTAAAACCACCGGCTTGGTCGCCCTTTGCTCTGTAGTTATGATGGGCATGGGCTCTTTCATACCTGACACCCGTCATAGCAAACCACTTGGGTATACTATGTTCCATATTTAGTTTCGATTTAGAATTCGAAATAGAATTGATTTAAGTATGGTTGTTTAGCAGCCGATCTGAGAAGATTAAATGCATCCTTTTATAGAAATTAAGTTGAGCACGTCTGTACATGTGGCGCGTGCACGCACTAGCCGCTGGCCCTAAGACTCACCTGCCCCGGCCCCGACGTTAGACATTCGCTCAACTGAGCGTTTGTAAATAAATATATAGATTTCAAGAAGCTTTGTAGATACATACCCCGGTATATAATACATGCACCCTCCAAACATCTACATATGTTTCGAGGCCAATGCATCCTTCTCTACAAGTCGATTTAATCCAGCCCTCCTTCGGTTTCTTCCCACCGTGCCTCCCTACCTCCTCCTAATACAAACCTTTCCACTCCCTCCATTTTTCAAGCGTCTACGACTTCTCCTCACTCTGACTAGCTGAGGACATCGGAGGAGAATAATTCTTTCCTTCTAGTTCTCCAAAGTGATATTTCTACCCGCCAACAGCGTCGAGCTACAACCATCCCAGACTCTTCATTGATTCTCGTCGATTGACGTCGACGCCCCAAACTTCTCGTTTAAAAAATTACGACCTCTTCCGCCGAGACTTCATTCGTCCTCCACCCCCTGCACACGAAGGCAATTGAACTCTCGGATCTCGGATTTCAGATTATTCACCAATATCCTACGCTGTTTCCTCAGAGGCTTTTGGAAAGCTACACCATTCGAAGTCTGAAAGTCAAAAATGCAAAGCACAATGCCTAACAAAATGGCTCAAGCATGCATTCAAAATCAAGAGGAATTTGATGGTCTGACCATTATTCATTCATTCCCTTCTGATCCAGATACGACGTCCGAATCCCGAATCGTCACTAAAACAATGGATCCTACTTTTAAACTATGGCCCGTCACAAACCCCACCACTATCACCCCTCACATTCCCTACCTCCCCAATGAAATCATAATGATGATACTAGAATCCCTCAAAGAAGATTCTGAAACAGGTAACATCCTCGACGAACCCGCAGCTCAAGAGTTTATCCTCTCTCTGCGAGAGGTCTCTAGTCTCTGGAACACACTTGTCCTTGACATCTTCTTGCGTCACGTTCATATCACCACTGGTTTTTTCCCAGAAAACTTCAATCCACTCTACCCCGTCACCGCCATGAAAACCTTACTTTACGACTATCAAGGGGAAGGTTATTATGATGATGACGAGTATGACGAATATGACGAGTATGATGAGTATGATGAGTATGATGAGTATGATGAGTATGATGAGTATGATGAGTATGATGAGTATGAAGACAAACCCGAAGATATAGCTTTCGAGCATATCGAAAATGAACTCCAAATCCTCCATCTCTCAGACTACTTTCTCAATCTCCATTCGGAATCCCTCTACGGAATCCGAACTATAACAATCGACATCTCCTGCACAACCGGTGACATCGATCCCGTCAATGCAATAACGCGGCACCGAGACTTTGCGCTGGCAATGATGAATTGCATATCCCTCGAAAAGATCACAATCAGGGCTCATGGAATGAGTCGCCTGGATAGCCCGGATAACGGCCTTGACGCTTTGTTTGCAACTTGGAATTGGGCTGCCACCGAAGAGCAAGGAGAAAATGTTAGAGAGGGGGATGAGAACGCCGATGGTAATACGGATCAAGGGGTTCTATATGGGGAGAACGATGGATGTGCCGGTAGTGAGCTTACGAGGGATAGAATGGTTCAGCGTCCTCCTGGTGCTATCTTCCAAAGGTTGAAGGGACTGATCATTGAGGGATACACCGATGCAACCGCCTTTTCTGATAGCGGCCTTTCTGATCTACTATCTTTTATTCTACGACATCGTACAACGCTAAAAACGATTAAGCTCGAAAATATCGGAGTAAAAGATCACGCTATCAGGGCCAACAGCTCTGTTGATGCCGAAGTGGATGGAGATGCTAAAGAAGCATTTAAGTTCTGGAATAAATTCAGAAAAACTGTTTTGAGAAATTGCCCAAAGGTGGAGGCACTAGACCTCAAAATGGTTTCGTACACGATTATGAGGGAAGGACCCTTAAAATTCACAACAACCCACGCACAGAATGTGCAGGTGCTCGATCACTCTATCATCCACACGGATGATTGGCCATACGGTAAGTTTCTTCTTCTTCCTCTTCTTCTTTTTCTTTCATTTCCTATAAAGTGCGTGTTATAAATATGCTAATCGACAAAACCTGGGTTGTTTTAGAGGCCGAGGTGCGGATGAGCTATGTCCAAAGGTTTAACTCGCTGACAGGATATCAAGTACACCACGCATGCGGCTGCAGGTGTCCCACCTTTGTTGACCCCAAAGACGGAGAAGGAATCGATCTGATAGCTGACAGGCATAGATTCGCGCATGTGGAGATGGATCTGAAAGACGAGTGAACAGGACGTCAAATGATTGAGTTTATCCATAGTTAATAGACTTTATGCCGACAAACAAGATACTATTTTGTATAATACTCCTTCTCTCTCTCCCTCTCCCTCTCTCTCCCTCTCTTCTTTGTCTCCTTGTTATGGATGGGATATAGAGATCTCTAGAGAAGTGTGTTTACGCTTCTTTGTTGCAATTGAATTCCTGTTAGTGGGCGAAGAAATATATAGCAGCAGCAGGCTATAGAGATCGTAGAATTGACTTGAAAGGGAAGAAAATATTTGGAGCTGCTTTTATCCCTTTTTAGATTCAATATGTGGATAATTTACTAGCTAAAAAACAGACTAAAATATTAACGCTAGATACATGCATGATCAAAATGAGGTTACAAACGCCGATTGAATCCATCACGCTCATATAATCATACATTATATACCCTAGAGGCCTATATATATACACGGAGGAACTAGAAAATGTGATTTTCACTAGTTACGCTGATTAGAAACGAAGGCAAGCGCTTATGCAGTCAAGTCGAGTTTTATTATATTTTTATTATATATATTCCTCGCCTATTAATTGCTGATACATACGGATTCAATGATAAACTAAATGGAAGGATCATAAAGGCTCCCGGTATGACGTCGGGGAATGATTCTGAATACGTAATGAGAATCCCCATTTGATTTGGTTAATTGGTCGAAAAAAAAGAAAGGAGGGAGGCAGAACTGAATAGTAGTCTATTGAATAGAAGGAGAGGCGGAGAGGAGGGGAAACAAGCATGCAAACCAGGTATAGTTGAGGGAACTCAAAGGTCTAAAAACTCGAGAACAGAGAAAAACAAGAATTCAACAATCCAGCTGAAAAGCTACCACACCAGAGGGGAAAAGAAAAATCACACCTCCACCAGCCAAACTCATTTATACGATCGTATCATATCAGAGGAAAAGAAAGAAAAGGTTCCAGTTGAAGCTTCGCTTTGAATTATTTCGGTACACGAAGCTACTGCAGAAAAAAAAAAGGAAGCGGAAATAGAGGCTATAAGGAGAGGTTGGGAAAAGAAAAGGTTTCAAACGAACAGAAGACAAAAAGAAACCCATTGTTGCTGTATATAAACTCAAGAAAAAGAGCATAAAGTTTAAGTATAATCGCCAGCTAGCTCCCAGTACCAAAGAAATAACCGTATAGGAGAGAAGTTAACCTGTTATCTCCCAGCAACAAGAAAACCGAGACACTGACGAGAAGGCGAAAAATGGAAAAAACTGGCACCAGACAAGGAAATAACAAGAGCTGTAAGGCAGTAAAGTAAGATAAGCCGGAGAAACTGAAGACTACCCATTTTGTGGACGTAGAGAGGGAAGGGACGCAAGATCGCACAGTACACGCAATTCATTTTATTAAGGGAAGAAGGCTTGGATACTACGAGGTGGGAAGCAAAGAAGGAAGTGCTTAGTTAGAAGGCCAGTAAGATTGGGTGAAAAGAGTAGAGAGTCACCAGAAGATCCTAAAAGGAGAAAAATGAAAAGGGACTTTCTGCAGAGACGCGGGAAAACCGACATCATGTGCGGATGTAGCAAATCTAGAAAGATTGTGGACCTCGAGTAACAGGCTGTCCATGTCGTTAGCTTACTCGCATAGTGCATGGATCTGAAGTGTGTGCTTACAGGAGATTGTGGATAGAGCGAATTTCTCTTATTTCGACCTTTCTTTATATGGCTCTTGAGCGCTGCGGAATCCAAGGGCTTGATAAGCTCGAAGCTGCAGAGTAGCTCAGGGGATACAGACATAACGGCGCCCCAGTTGTCGAATTCTCCACAGTACTGCAGTTGCTGTTAGTTTGATTGTTGCACGTATGCTTCGAAGGAAAGTAGTTGAAGACTTACATTTGGAGCCGAAAATACCGTGACTAGTGTCCTATCGTTGAAGAACTCGTAGCCATCCTCGACAACCATGTGGGCCCGACAAACTAAGTCAAAATCATGTCTCTGGAGGAATTCGAGAATGACCTTCTTTCCGAAGCAGTAACTAACTCCTCGTTCATTCTCTTCCCAGTCGTTCTGCATGTCAGCCGGGTCGGACCAGAGAAGGTCGTTCAGCAGGCCATAGTCGGGTACATCAGTTGGTCGAGATATATTACGAATGTCGTCCATATGAGATAAAGAAGGTGATAAGCCTCCATGGACACAGAAAATCTTTCCCGCAACAACAGCAGCTATCGGAAGCGTGTTGAAGGTATCGACAAAAGTCTTCCAAATCTTGACATTGCAGCGACGTTTGCATTCATCATAGAAACCGTAAACTATTATAAAAACAGCGAAGTTAGGTTTCGTTTTACAAATATACAAATCTAGATGGGGGACAATACCTCTTGTGACGTTAGCACATTCATGGTTTCCCCTGAGAAGGAAAAAATTCTCCGGATACTTTAGCTTGTAACATAGAAGCAACAAAATAGTTTCAAGACTCTGCTTCCCTCGATCTACATAATCCCCCAAGAACAAAAAGTTCGAATTCGGTGGAAAGCCACACATTTCAAACATTCTTAGCAGATCGGTGTACTGGCCATGGACGTCACCAACAATCTTTACTGGGGCCTTGAGTTCAATAAGAGATGGCTGGCTAAGGAACACTTGACGCGCAGCAGAGCAGATTGCGGTAATCTCTGCATTTTTGAGACAGACAGTTTTGGTGACCTTTCCAGCGTAACCAGCATCCAGCAGGCGAGTGATCATTTCATCGAGGTCCAAGGGATTTAAAGCTGACATTCCAAATTGAGAATGACCTCCAGGGCTTTCCTCCGCGATATCAGTTCCAAGAGTAACAGGCAGAGATCCAGCAGGTCTAATTAGAATGGGCTCCTTGGGAGTCTGATGAGTCGTATCCGTAGCCGTGTGTGGACCGGCTTGACCAGCAGGCTTATCCGAAACCTTACCGACTTCTCCTGTTGGTTCGTCCAAAGCGTGGTGGCCTTTACCCAAGGACCGACTCTGAGATGGAGACGGAGGCGGAGAAGGAACCTTACCACCTTCACTAACCGGCGACGTTGGACCTAATGTTGAATCGTCCGTCGGAGAGGTCGGTGGAGTAGAGGATTTCTCGCCCGTTGGTGTGGCGGCAACTGGGGATACAGGTGTACCATGGTTTTGTTGGACTGAAGTTGAACGTTGAGACTTTGCAGAGCGGATTGAAGCGCTATCGCCCTTGTCCAAGGGAAGACCCGGACCAGCTGTAGACGGACTGAGAGTATTGCTATTATCCCTGTCCTTGTCCTTTGACGAACCTGCGATCTTAGACCTCAAAGACCCACGCAGCGACTTGGATGTGGATGTGCTCTCGGCATTATCCTGGTCGTTGGCGTCTTTCCCCAGCGAAGCGGAAGACGAATTCCCTAGTATTCCATTCGAACCCGCTTTCTTCGAAGGCGCGTTTCCCATACTTCTAGTCCGCGATGTATCGTTTTTACCTAAGTGGACTCTAATCGTAATGACGATGTGTGGATGAGAGATTGGTGGAAATGTTACGGGCCTTGTGAACAACACCTATTTAAAAATGGAACTCCGGGTTTTTCGTGTCTTGTGGACACAAGCTATTTTCAGAAAATGGTGGTGCGTAGAAGCACGGATAAAATCGGTTCTGATGGAGGCTATGACAAAGACTCCTGGGCCTAGGGGATAAAAAAAAAAAGGACCGGCCAGTGTTTCTGGTATACGTCCGACGAGTAAGTTCGGAGTCCGGATCCAAGAATGATAAATTGCCTAAAAACGTGGGGCCAAGCTTGAGTCCAGTTCCTCGGAGTCGGCGAATGGAAGTCGATGGTTGTCCAAGCGGTATGTCTTATCTCCTAACGGCAAGTCCTGTGTAGCTTACCAGCCAGAAAAGAAAAACAGGAGTGGTCGAGAATTGATGTAAGTGGGTGGCTGTGTGGTTTTTTTTTCTTTCTAGTCTTTTTCTTGGTAAAACCTAAGAATTCTGATCCTCCAGTGGTTCCAGGAAATTGACGGGAAAGTATGAATAAGAGTATCTAGAGAATTAACCACCGGAGGTCGAGTTAGGGTGGCTCGAAAAGGGAGTTGAGGAAGAGGAGGAAACGGGATTGGGAAACGGAATCCGTCTTGGTGGCGGTGAGAGACCGAGAACGACTAGAGGAAAGGGTTATGGGCTCCAACTTGTAGGGGATTACGTCGCCTTGGACGTCGAGAAGCGGTCCTGCTGTGCAGCCAGAGTTGTGGCTGGACGGTGGCAAAGGCTTCCTTCCTCGTGAACGGGGTTTTTCTTAAACCTTCGAAACCGAAATCGAAGCTGAAAAGATGTCACGGAGGTTTGACCTGTGATGGTGACGATGGTGGTGATGGAAGAAGCGATGAAGCAGCGATGGTGAAGCGATGAAGACGTGAGTTAGTTGGTTGGTGGTTGGCAGATAGATGGTTTGGGTGGATGATGGATGGATGGATGGATGATGGGCGGTTGGCTGGTTGGCTGGCTGGCGTTGATGGAACGTGAAAGGGCGATGATTAAAGGTGGTGACAGACAGCGCTCAGATTTGGTGTTGACTGGCTACCTAGCATGCAGTGCACCTGAAAAGAACAGAGACCTAAGAAGAGCTCAATCTACTATTTAAATCAAACAAGAAGGAGCAGAAGTCCCAGAAAATTTTATGCTGAGCTGAAGGCAGGCTTACAGGCAATTTACATGTAAGTACTGTCCTGTACTGTCCTGTACATACATGTAAGTACTGACTTACAAGTTCGTGCCTTTGTTCATGCAGCAGCAGCACCGGAAGATGTATACGGCCCAATAGCCTTGAATGATTGATCCAGGCAGACCAGAAGGGAACCAGAGAACCAGGGGACAAAGCGCTGTGAATGGCTACAGCCTATCTTAGCTTTTGCCAGTCCTCCTCAGGCCTCTAGTCAACTAGCTCTAAGAACTCTTAGCCCCTGCGCCTAGAGTTTTGCTGAGAAAATACAGAAAGGTGGGAGTCGGCCGGATATATCTCTGTCCCAAGTTTAGTATCTCCGCAATTGTCACTGACGAGATGCAGTCTTCAGAATGCAGTGGCCAGCCTTGTAGCTCTATCGCAGCTCCGGTTAGCTCCAGCTTTTAGTAAACCTCATCAAATCCTTGTTCGGTCCCTTGAAAGCGACAAGGCTTTCCTCTGGCGAGCTTTGCTTTTGAGAGATATTTGAGGGAATTGAATGCAGATAATTCAGTATATAGCTAAGTAGCTTATTGAAAAATGGAAAAGGAAAAAAAAGAAGAAAAAGAAGAAAAAGAAAAAGTAATACTAATGGGAAGACCGAGAAAATTTAGACTCCTTTGAGCATTTATTACAATGAATACGAAGAAGAAAAGTTTTCCGAATTGATATCACCCAGCGGGTCGGGTAGGAGAGGGAAAAAAACAATCTATATGCGATACGAACTGCTTCGATCGATGGAAAGCACATGCCAGCCAGGCTAACCGCAAATATATCGTCAGAACGGCTTGATTGTGGTTGTGTTTTTTTTTTTTGAACAAAAATATTATTTTTTTCCAGGGGTGCTGATATGATATGATATCTTTCTAGACGGACAAGGTCCGGGTGGGTTCGCCTGCATCCTGAAAATAGCTTCCGGCCCGCCAGCGAATGGATATCGCCCAGACAATCATGCTATCAAACTGGCGTACAAGTCTTCTAGATTCCTCATCTACTACATGCGCCCGATGCAAGAACCTACTGACTCGAAAAAAAACAAAAAACGTCAGAAAACGGAAAAACGAAAAAACGAAAAAGAACAAAAGAAAAGAAGAGGAAAACCTAGTGTTCGAACAGGAACATCCGTATAACCATGTGCATACCTGAATGGAAGATCCAAGATGCCTATAGAGCCACCATGGTACAATATTATCTACTGAATCGTCGCCACGTATTCGAACCGGGTCGGAGTTCTGTCACACAGGCGGAGGAGAGAGCAAGCGAGAATTTAAGCTTATTGTTCTTCCAAAAACTGCACCCTGCAATGGTCAAACAGTACGTTAACTATAACTATAAACCATTGAACCAGACTTTGTATCATGCATACCGACATGAGTGTCACATGTCGTCAAAATGAAGTGGTCATGATGCTCTTAGAATGTACATACATGCATACGTATTTATGTATGTATGGGACATGCATTATATTCGATGATACTTCGGGAAATAATGTACGTCTACATATACTCATCTTTGTATCGCAGTTTATGCGGCTTGACGTTAGCAATACTTCGTACAGAATTACAATTGTCAATAAAGACGTCAGTCGAAGCTCGAGCAGCCATACATGTAATTATAAGCTTATCCCTGGCTATGACCATGCGTCGCCGTTGCCCTCAAATTCTATTGGGCCTGATTGTCATTCCAAGGTCCCCATTCGAATCCTCCACGTACAATTGGCCACACTCCACTTAAGCTTATTAACCAGGGAAAAGGTTAAGAAAAAAAAAAAAAAAAAATTTGGCTGCACGGTGACAGAACCGCCAAGACTACATGCATCGGCCTGCCGCCTGTTCGACCCGTGATGTCGGGTTAGCATTGCAAAGTGAAGACCGAACCTGTAATATCCCGTCCTTGCAGCGAGTCGAGTCGAGTTCTGGGTGCGCAAACTGCGCTGCTAGCTGAAAAGAAAAAAAAAACGCCACTTTCAGAACTTCTGTCTGGTTGATTCATACGATTTCTTGAATTGAACCGATTCAACTTCTGACCTCCACGTGGCAGGAAGATGATTCGGGGTCTTTCCAATGCATTAACCGGGGAGGATTTGTTAATCCGCCGACGAGAGCTCTGTGAATGACGGCGTTCCCTCTGATCGATCAAGCACCTGCAACACGGACTCGACACACGGATACACCCGAAATGAATGTTAGTAGGAACTGTCTCACGAGTTAGCTACGTTAAGTAGCCACGAGGACTATTCTCAATTAGTTACGTCACGACTCTTACTTCAGTCCCTCCTGAGACCTCCAAGAGGCAAATCACGAATGCTTTAATCTTAGTCTGGTATCTGGTATTGCTATCCTCAATATGTACATACAGGAATCGAAACAATGGGTATTGTACAAAAAAAGCATGGTATCTAAATGTCACCTTCGTCATTACTATCGTCAACTCCCCCAATCCACAAAACTCAAAGCTTCATTAGTCTAAACCACATTCTGATGCTTGTGCGCGCAGCTGTGGTTGTGCTCTGCCTCATCCTCAATCTTAGCCCATCTCTGGAACTGACCGAGTAGAGCAGCACGTCCTCTAACATTCACAGTGGTCTTATTTCTTGGTGGAACACCCTCCAAGCTCAAGGCGAACTTAGCTGCAGCACGGGCAGCAGCCTTTGCGTTGGCAGTAAGTGCGGACCAGTCAATGTTCTCCAAGGTATCGCACTTGAGATGGTAGCATGGGTCAGTTGGTGCACCAGCTCCGGTGAACAATCCAGAGCTTGGAACACCGATGTTAAGGAAACCGACGTAGTCGGATGAAGTGCCGAATGGAGCGAGCTCAGCTGGCTTTCCGGCGGTCTCGCTGAGGTACTCGTACAATGGTGCAGCTCCAAGGGCATCACCGGGGTTCTGGCCCTGGTAGACGCGGAAGAATGGGAATGGGGAACCAATCATATCGTAGTTGAAGTAGAATCGGACCTTGTCCGCTTCCTCTTCGGGTAGGTTCTTGGTGTAGTACAAGCTGCCGACGAGACCGGATTCCTCAGCTCCCCACCAGGCGAAACGGACCTTGTTCTTGAAGCCCTTGTACTTCTTGAAAGAACCCATGATCTCAAGGAGAGCGCTGGAACCGGATCCGTCATCGTTGATACCGGGACCGGCTTGGACACCATCAAGATGGGCACCGAGCATGACGACGTTGTTTGGGTCACCCTCCTTGGTCTCGGAGATCAAGTTCCAGGTCTCACGGGTCTCGAAAACGCTGTCGACGAGGAGATGAGCGGAGAGCTTTTCACCGGCAACGAGGCGGGCGGCCCAGGCGCTACCGATTTCGAGAGGGATGAGGCCGACGGGGACGAGCTGGCCAATGTTAGCAGCAGAGAGAGTAGCGCTGCCGTAGTCGGTTCCAGGAATGTTGTGGTACATAACGACACCGAGGGCGCCGGCCTTCCTTGCAAGCTTGAGCTTATCAGCAATAGCACAGACACCACGCTTGATGAGAACTAGCTTTCCGGTAGCGTCGACACCAGTCCATTGTTCGGGAAGACACATGGAACCTATTCAATCACGACGCATTAGCTAATCGGCCTCGTCATTATAGCCTCGAGCTTTTGGGGAACGAAACATACCGAGAGTATCGTCAACTGGTGTGTTCAACAACGGAGCAGTGACACCCTCAAGTGGGGTAGCGGGGTTGTACAATAGAGTAATGGCATGGACAGGCTTCCCGTCAGGTCCCTTAACCTCGAGCTTGCGAGTTTGCTCGAAGGTATGGTTGAATGGCTGGATCCAGGTATCCATATGCTTTCCGAATCGAGCAACAGCACGCTCGTAGACGAAGTCTAGAGAGGCCTTGTAGCCGGGCAGACCGAAAGCACGATTTCCGCCATTTTCCTTAGCAATTCTCTGGAGGTGCCACAAGTTGTTTCGGAGACTATTGAGCGAAAGGAATAAATTAGTACTCTATCTATCGATTTGACATCGACACGGAAAGGACAACAGGTATACACACTTTTCAGTCTTGATATCAGCCTCAACCTTATCCAAGGTAAGCTCCTCAGTGGCGATACAGCTAACCGCAAAGAAAGCGGCGAGGGATAGAGTTGAAACCTTCATATTGGCTTTAAAAAAACAAAGAGAATGATACCAGAAAAGCTCTCTTACTCCTCAAAAATTCCAATAGAGATGGATTGATTCTGTGGAAAACAAGGTCACAAAGAATGGGACCTCTATCCACTCTTTATACTTTCTTGCTTCCTAGAGAAACCAACGGCTTCATACCCGAGGAACGTCCTGAAGATCATGACCCCCCCTTACCTCCATACATTCTTCATTGAGTTTTTCTTGTCTTCCCATGTCGTGCTACCAATTGTATTCGCAAAACCGAAGGTTCGGTGTCATCTGCATGGTTCTTGGGTGTATCAACCAGTTTCCTTAGTCGTCGATAGACCGGACGGGTAAAGGGTATCACTCGAAGATCTCAAGATAAGCCCCTAGTCCGCCGAAGAGAAACAAGCATGGGTTCATGCTGTTAATCTATTATGAATTCATATAGCCCAGTTCGAATGGTGCCATTTAAACCATTCTTCGAAAAGCTAAACCCCCTCGCAAAATAAGGAACCGCCACCCGCCTGCGGTATGCAAAATCGCTACGTTCGTTTTCCCCATAAGCCAAGGCTTCGGTATTGCTTAGCTATGACTTGAATGGGAAAGAGATGCCCTGCTCGCGCGACACTGTGTGGTGTTTCCAGGTGCCTAGTGCCAATGCATAAGTACCAGCTAGTTCGGAAAAGGTCCTCAAAAGAATGTCATCGATATCGAAACGCAGGTGGAGGTTTGTTTACGGTGCAAGGTTGAACATATCGCGACATGCGATATCCCAGGTAGTTGCGCTTGGCGCATGTTGGAACTGGAAGGTGCCAAGATTGGGGTACAAAAAACAGCAGGCCGATTTGTTAAAAGTACATCAACGAAAGCTTCGAGAGTAGTGTCTAGAAGCAAGCATGGGGAGGTACGGACTAGTGAATCCGGGGATAAGTCCATCTCGAAAGCGGGGCTTGCGCAGGTACATGTATACAGACGATTGAATTTTGGTCAACTGACAAGAACTATGCCCGGAAATAATGGGGCTTATTTGACTCCTGTGGGTAAGGCTAAGCTATAGCTCTGGCTTGACATTGGTATTTGGGCCGAGAGACCCTAGCTTGAGCGGGAATCGACGGCAAGAAAAGGGCAGTTCGAATAGCCCGATAAATGCTCCAGCAACTTGGCCTCGCAGGGCCAGGTTTGCAACTAGCTACCCAAGTTAGCTGCCGGCTCTCGGGAAAGGTGTTGGAATGTTAGGCTGCGATATCGCGCAATCTTGGACTTGGATTCTTGGGACCTTGGATATCAAGTTAATAGATACCTAAGTTGCCTCACCAGGATTACTTTATAACACTTGCTTTTATTGACTAGGAAGATTTCGACTAGTCCTTTAACTATTCGACGCTGCTTAACGTGGGATCTCGGGATAGATCTTACTCCCCTATAACTCAACGCAAAATACGCAACGGACTCTGTTATTAATTTTACTAATCATCATTATCAGTCTTAGATTGTCTGTTTGCTGAATAGGTTATATGGTTAATTGCCCTAGGAAATTGAGTATACCACTAGAAAACTTCTTGCAACATACGGCCTGCAGGCCTGACCCGGGGCCAGAGATTTAGAGACTTTCTGAATGAATGAATTCATAAAGTTTACGATATGTATACACACTCGAACTCCATTGAGACCACATCGACTATTCTCTTTTGACAATCCTTGTTTAATTAAGGCACATCGAATCATGCTGAATTGTAGATGTGAATTCAAGAACAATCTCTACCTTGGCATTAGACTTTGATTAATTGCAAAACACGGCGTAGCAAACATAACCTAGAGTGGAAAATAATATGCAGGTGCTTAAACGGTGAGAATGGTGATTGCATAGATATATCGTTTTACATGATCTCGCCTATGTTTCGATTAGCATTCTGACGGACAGACAGCTTGCCTAATTGTCAATTCCATTGTTACAATTAATCTTGCGGAATGTACATTTTGTTGATCTTGAACCATCATGGACACTTCCATAATCATTTCCTTTTTTGATATTTTATCATGTGGATATTGTACAGTGCTATCGAAGCTGTGGGTCAAGTTAGAAACTCTGTGTAACGAGTATTATTCATCTAGCGGGACGGATGGATTTATAATACAATTGTACAATCGAATGTTTGCAGAATTTGCCAAGGTTTCTAGCAGTATATCGATACCGCGGATGCGTAGAATCGATATCAGCTTAAGCTTCAAGGGCATCATATCCACCAATGCTGCAACACGGGGCTGGTATCTTATCTTACACATGACTGCATACCCGCACTTTCTCATTTCCTGCCATGCCCAAAGTTTTGAAACAAATGCTAGCGATAATCCTTTATATCTGCAGTTTTTCCCCCAGAATACAGCTTTTCTCGCTTCTTCGGCGAGTAATAGGATTTGGCCATCTTTAGCATTGACGAAAGTAGATTTGACAATGGTTTTGCCCCTGTCAGCCTGCGGTGACAAGCGAGGTGCTGAAACAACGACGCATGTCAACAACTCTAATAGGTCCTGTCAGCACTATTTAACTGCATATTCTTGAGATTTATGCAGAAATCTGATGGATACGGCACCTACTGAATACGTAGGGGGATTGACGGTATACCGTCTACTGCATTGATGATGCTGATATTACTGTAGGACAGGTATAGCTTCTATTATGAATCGTGAGTAAACATATGATTTAGCTTTAGCTTAGGGGCGAGCTCGCCAGCTCAGGGACTATATAATATTAATTTCATCTGAGAGTTCTAGAACAAGTGTGTCTATAAAGGAAGCATGTTTCGACACGATAGATCTGGAATCATTCAGTCTTCACAATACACTTCACTCCTCACTACTTAAGCAACATACACTCCTTTACAAACCCCCTCACTCGTTTCGCTATTGTACAACCAAATCAAGAAGCCGGCTTCTTATTCCATTCCTTCCCGAGAATCGTAATATCATCTATCATTGGAAGTCTTGCAAGTTTTACGGATCAAAATGCAATTAATTCACTTCTTTTCGATCCTCGCCGTCCTTAGTGGAGCCCTCAGCGCCCCCGCTCCGTCCCTCGACGACCACAAGCCGACCCCTGCTAAGCGCGACCCTAAATTCCCATTGATTAATATCGTCTACGAAACCACGGCACCAATCCCAAAACCGAGGCCAGAGCCACGCCCCATTTATGGTAATCCAAGACCAGAGCCACGCCCAATCCACTTTAAACCTATTGTGCACCCAAATCCCATTAATCGAGTCGCATGGCCAGTTATAAAGCCACGTCCACATCCAACCCCCACCAAACCATACGGGTGGCGAGGCAATGGCAAGCTGATTGGAGGGCGGTCTGCAGCTGCTGTAGACCCTGATAAGCCTGTTCATATTTTACCTTTCCCCCAATACACTGGCCCGCCGGTTACCGAGCATCCAGAGGACCCAGAAGAGCAACCGGAGCCAGCGCCAAAACCAAAGCCGACCACGACCACTACTAAGACGACTACTACTTCTACCCCTAAGCCAACTGCAACTCCAGTGAAGAAACATCAGTCATGGAAATGGCCTGCGAAGGTTAGGCCACCTTATTACCGACCATGGTACGGAGTTGGTGATAATTACGAGGGGCCCAGGGAATAATTGCTAGTCACATCGAGTCCTGTACTCAGCCCTCCAAAGGAATTTTCCCAGAAAATACGTCGGGGCTTGCTCTCGACATCTTTTTTTTAAACTTGAGGTTTAAGGTCAAAATTATCATTCCCCACATAATAATCGCCTTTAATATCGACAGTCCGTTTAAAACCCCATATATTTCATGTACTTAATATTTGAGTTGAAGTTTGATTTTTACACCAGTACACAATGCCCCCTCCCCCTGTATCAAGTTACGTTGTAGACGAGCTATGAATCTTTATCCTTTTTACACCTTGTCTCCCACTCCAATAATTGCCTATAAAACCCAGAGTTCGGCCGAGCTTTCTTCCGCTTCTCTTGAACTATTTCCAAAGCATTTCCAACCGTAATCCTATTTTTCCAGACCACTATCGACCCATATCAGGATCCATTCACAATAAGACCGTAACCAAGTTCCTGAAGTAGCACTAGGACTTACGATAAGCTATGACGAAACTAGTACTGCGACTCATTCCCTGTAAACAATGAACTAAAACTTTGCATTCTTTCCCTTCGCCAAAGTTCTCGCTTAGAGCACTATCGATAAACGAAACCCCGTTTTCCAACTGATCGAGCAATTTTTCGTCTGGTAGGTCGTCGAGTTCGATTTGACGGTGATCAAACGGGATTTCGGTATCAGTCGATTCGAGGGTGGAAATTAGCAGTCCAAGTGAACCTCGGGCAATTGTTAGGATGTGGGTAACTCCATGATCTCGGAGATAGGATGGGTTGCGAGCTGCGAAGATACTACATGTCGGTAATACTATAGTTAGTCCAAAAATAGATACTATTGTAGAGTAGGTATGGTTGGAGCGAGCTTCAAACGTACTCCCCGAGATACAAACCAGGTATTATCTCGTTCATCGGCTCGTTCATTCTGAATGATTCGACTGGACTTCTGTGTTGAAATAAGCAGTTTCAAATTTATTTAAAGATGCTACGATATCTTGAAGGACTCGGTAGGTCGATCACATATATATAGCGGTATACAGGTACTTAATCAGTGCTGACGAAACTGGTGATACCATACCATGTATATGAGTACCTCGGTCACACAGAATCAGCTGTGTGACAAATGACGAATATCCAGCCCCATTTAGGATCGGTTACCTAATTTGGTTAGCTTTTGTGGCACCAATGTGGCACGCACATCTGATCAGCCTGCAACGCAGAAAATGCAACGCTTGCATCATGCCCTGCCGATCTATTGGGCGCCACTCCGCGGGCCGGAAAGCCACCATTGGAAGGATCTTCTAGATTATAGAGTATAGCATGCATGTAAGTGGAATAAAGATTTTCGGGTACTATATATATTGTATTACTTGTAGAATACATGCAGATAAAGTGCAACTATATATACCAAAAGGAAGGTTGACCTTAATTATACATGATCGGGCCGACAGAACTGCGTAAGAAGTGTTAAGGGAATAAGGGAAAAGACAAAATAATTGTGGCCTTGTAGGCTCCCAAAAGCGCAGCTAAAGTTATAAATTATCGGGACTCGGGAGACAAGGATAATGAAGTGAAAACCCACGGGGCAACTGCTAATTTGGGTGACCCTGGAAGGTTTTTCGAGATTCAAACTTGTGAATCTGAGAAAGTTCGCAACTTTGCAACGTTCCAACTCGAATAATGAAGGGGATGAAACTATACAATATAGAATAGTAGATTGCGCGGTTTCAAATCAAGATCAAAGAGATGGGTATGGCTACAGCGGGTAGCCTATACACAGGAAGAAGGGAATGGGTCACAGTCGAGGATTTCGCTTGGAAACTCTCGAACTAGGGAAGTATTATTTACAAATAGTCGGACTCCTGTGGCTCGTACTCATCCTTTTCTTGGACATAGCCATTTTGGGCCTCGTCGAAAAATCTGACGGTCCAATGACGGAGACCAGGTCTGCTAACGGCGGCCTGAACACAAGTATGGCCATCAACAACGAGAGTCCTGCTAGCGGTAGGTGGCCAGTAGGTAACAAGCATACGGCGGTACTCGTTGAATTCCTCAGGGAAGTGGATGTTATCAGCGTAGTCATGGATATCGGTGGTGTCCGCAAGTGGGTTGCGGGCTTGTGGAGGGAAGAAATCCCAGACAGGGTTGATACCCTTGCAGTCCCAGCAGCGCTTCTCAAGAAGTCCGCGCTTCTGAACATCTTCGATATGGCGTTTCCAAGCTCCTGGCCAAGTGCTTGGGCAGGCAGCAAACCAGGCGAAGTTGTTGTTGTCGTAGAACCTGTAGTATTTGATGCCGTCGAGTTTGTACTGAACCGGCTTGAAGCCAAAAGCAGCAACGTTGTCACCGTATTCGATGGCAGTGCGATTCAACAAGCAATCATAAATAGTTCGAACTTTGTGGTTCTTGTATGTAGCGTTATTTGTAGTCCAGTAGGAGTTGGCGTTGGAGCTGCTGCGAGCAACCCAGGTAGCGGCAGTTGGGTTCCAGATCTTGTCGACACACTGAGTGCCTGGGTTGTATTTTGGAGCGCCGTACAAGTTGCATTCGAATTTACCGGCTGGGAGAACATTGTTAATCCACCACCAAGTCATATTGGTCCAGTATGATCTCTGACGACCGGGAATGGACTCGTCGGGGTAGGTAATGGCTCTGGTCAAGAAACCATACCAGTACCTTTGCCTTGAGGTGTACTCGCATTCGGTTTCGTGGTAGTAGGACTGGTTGCCCCACCCGCCGGCGAAACCACTACCCCAAAGGCGGCTTGGGTTCCAGGAGATATCCCTCTTAGTTGTAGAAGCAGGGATCAAATCTCTTCTCTGAAAGGTTTCTACCTCAGCAGATTCGCCATGCTGGCCGGGTGGCTGAGACCTGGCAAACTCGAAGTGATCTTCGAGCGCTTTAAGACTAGAGCTATCGTAGAAAGCCCTGCGAGCTGCTTCGGACTCTGGAACAGGGTTCGCGGAGATGGGTGCCAATTGGCTGGCAAGCAAGAGCAGAGAGCTCGCGGAGACAAGTTTTTGGAAGATCATATTGATATTCGCTGTAGCTTGCTGTTTATCAGTTACAAAAGAGGACTGATTAAGCTATTAAGCTGAGGCTGCTGTCTTGAGGTCGAGTCGGGATCGTCTGTCGATCTGAAGAAAGGATCAATAAGAGGATGAGAGGGGTCTTTTATAAGTTTCTCTACCAACGAGAGCCCGTGATCCGAGCTTGGGCCTATATACCGAGTGGAGAATATTCTAAAAAGTCCCTGACGCCGAAAGGTTATTGTTAACGTTCAAGAGACAGTGACCCGTGCTTCACTCTCTTAGTTCCCATTCACCAAATTTGACGCCAAGGGACCAGTCGACCATACTGTGTATGATGCCGCGTCTACGTTGTTGCGAGAGACTAGATAAAATGATGGGCAACGGTTCACTCAATCCTAGTAACCGCAGTCAATATGCACAGGCCGACAAGGGCCCCTGTCTGCGGAATCATCCCCATAATGCTCTGCAAATTCCTGGTTCAGCGAGGCGTTATTTCGAATTGGTCTTTAAGCTTTCTAAAGACCTAACTTCTTTCGGAAGGTCAGTGGTGAGATCTAGACAATTGATACCAGCGAAGTTGTGGCATGGTGGCAGCCCATGGTGTCGGTTCCTGAGAGCGAATGTTCCTCGGCCGACCTTCCAAACTGGCTCTGTAGACTCTCTCAAGCGAGTTGGGAACGCTGCTGCAGGTTTTTGCATATACCCACCTTAGCGTTTCTCATGATCAGTTGCTGCCGTTTCCTTAACGCGAAGGGGGCCGGCCGTAGTATCAATACGAAGGATCGTGATGATACTCTAAGCCTCCGTCTTCTCGATTAATACTGCCTATCAGAGTACTTCGTATGCAGTCTCGCAAAAAAGGCCCCACAGAAGCTACAACACACGCTAAGATTCGATTATGCCCCTCCGGAAAACCCTCCCATGAGTGAAGTGGCAGATAGCAAGGGAAAAACAACTAGGGCGAAGTGTTTACGGGTCCCAGAACCGTTGAGTTTTCATACTGGAGTTCTATGTATGCATCTTGATATCCAGATATCATCCTTCGCTACAATGCCAGCCAGAAGTGAGTTTTCTAATCTATCCCTTTGGATTTCGTTGTGCAAATTCGTTAAGTTTAATGGTAAACTGTCAACCGATGCCATAGTTGGGAGAAATCCGACTGCGCTGTCAGACTTGCGCTTGCAAGCCTGTTAATGGTCTCTTCAGGTGCCGGTCATATCTAAAGACATATTACGCACATCTTTCCGAGTTTGGTGACATCAACAGGGGTCCACATGGGAGTTTCAAGTACGCCACTAATGATAGACCGTACGTGGGAAATCGACCATCTCGCTCAATGCAAGTTCTGATAGGATGGGACGATTTCCGCAAATCAGCCCCAACTATGGACTAGACTCCAATATTTCGGCGACAAAATAATTGAGATCCCAACGCCGAATTAAAGGTCGACGGGCACTTGTCCGCTAAAATACCCAATATTGTCTCACAAAATAATTATAATCCTATAAATGTGTCGAAAGGCTCACAAGTCAAGGCCTTCAAGCATGGGGTCTATTTCTTTCAGTTGGAGTTATCGTACATCCATCCATACATTGTATGAGGTGATGGCAATGATTTACACTGGCTGTGGAGCTATGTGAATCAGAAAATCCGCCAAATTATTCCTTGCGATCGAGATCGAGAACACCTATTTCGAGAACCCACATTTCATTTTGCCCCACTTATTGTCTTGCTCTTCCCAAAAAAGACTTGGGAAAGAACCTAAAGCTCCAACCCATCTTCCGAGAAAATTGTTACGTTATCGCATTAATTCAAGGCTTTGTTCTACATAATCAGGAACTTCGCTCGGTGCCGAAGAACTGAGGTTTCATTTCGTGCGCCAAGCCCGCACCAAGCACGAGATAAGCATATCGTGTCGAAGTTGACGAAGAACATAATCTTGGCATCGAGAGCACACCGTTGACTGATAGGTTTTCCTTTTTCAACGCCAGATGTCAAGCTTGCAGTTCGAATATTTTTCGGCTATCAATGTGGACACCGGATCCATGCGATGTCTGAGAGGCCTGGTTCGAACCCGGCCGAGAACCTCTCAAAGAACAGGTATGAGCATTGCGGCCCTTTCATTATGGAAGCCCAAAATCAATCAATAAATCGAAATATCCAAGATTTGGTTCATCCCGCAGTTTACTGTACAGTACGGTCCTTCGAAATTTAAAAACTTTACACCTGATCACCACTGCTGGATGCCCTTCCCGCCTGCAACTGTGCTGATCTCGACGGAGAGGGCGTCGTGAAATTTTCTTGATTGCTCCGATTGGATCATGTAGACGAAAAATTGAAAAACCCCACTACAGGGTGGTGGAACTAGACGTCGATTGATATCATGTGTGAGAGTGGAGTTTTCTTTCTTTCTTTCTTCGAAATGGTGGTGTTGGGATTTTTTTTGTCGATATGCGTCTATAATTTTTAAGAAAATATTGAGAGACTTGATGGCGAAGTTATCAAAGTGGGACTCAGCTTATTTTGACATTTTTCTTTTCAAATAATTCCAAAATTTATATCACCCGGACATTATAACAAAGGCGGGTCCGATTAAGCTTTCAGGCCAGACCAAATCGGGTAGACTGGGTTGAGAAAACAAGAATTCGGACCTCTCGGTTCTCGAAATCTCTCGACATTCGCCTATTTGAGCAACATTCGAGACGCACTAATGTCGGTGCAAATACCCCCCAACGCATCGCATCATCCCCCAGCCGTTGTATTTCCAACGATGCTTCACGTGCGCGGCGTCATCCAGTCGACAACAATCGAACGGCGGGGTCCGGCAGTGGCTTTTTCTCGCACTGGTTATCCGATTGGGTAAGTCTAGAATCGATGTAGCGTCTACAGGATGTTGAGCTATTCCTAGTTGGTAAGGGTGGGCGGGACTCAATTTATTGAATTATCATCTCGCAAACCTTACGATCCTACCCTTGTTGTTAGTTCGTTATCAGGAGGGGGCCATGTGGGGTATCATGAGAATTTAGTCCAAGATGGCCAACACAGAGGTCACAATAATATACAGACATCAAATTTACAGGACTAGTAATTATGACTACAGCTGCTGTCATGCCAACTATACCGCTCACTGACATTGACCTCAAGGAAAGAATACTTCCCTCCGACCTTTCCAGACGGTACAGTATAGGATTTCAAGAGAACCTATATTTTTATCAAATATAATCGAGATTCAAAACTTCATGGGGGTGCCAAGTTTGAATCGGCGGACGAGATTATTTTCTCGGTATGGAGGCCGTGAATTCCTCATACGTAGGTGACTTCAATATCGCACACAGGAATATGCACAAGGTGCATTTCACAACATGATGAGAAATTTTCAAAGCATATGCTCTCGGCTAACATAGCCGCGTAATAAGTTCGGAGTTTGTGTGGATGGTACCTCAGGTTCCTGATTGCGAAGTTTAGAATCTCACAACTTTGACTCGAAGATAGAAGAGGCGTACTTTAGATTGACTTAGACGAACGTTTGAAACGCGGCAGGGTCTTGGTGCGAATCGTGCAGATATATATTACACCTCAAGACATTGACTTTCTTCGAGAAGACATTTGTTCGTGATATATTATCAACAAGATGACGGCAGGAAACGGTTCATGGTAGTGTCTGCGCCAACGCAAACTAGACTATGCTTGATCGAAGCAGTACTGCGAGGTTGAGAAACAATGGTAATTCAAAAAAATATTCGAACTCTAAAGTAGCAATCATGATCATGGGGTGTTACCCCACAGGTCTTTGCCGTTTCCGCACAAGATCATGAGAATTTTGCCCATATAGCGGTTTTCTTTTAAGTGAACCCCTCTCGGGAAGCTTCTTGGCATCTTCTTTGCATCTCAATTTCTTGATGGCGCAACATATAGCTTCAGACCAAGTTGTCGAAAGTCTCATACCAACTCCCAAGTTTGGTTTAGCGTTGCTAATAAGGACTTTAGTCTCGATAATGTTAGGAAAATTCCCAAAAAGTTCCCCAATAGTTGAAACATCTGCAGGGGCATGCGCCAGTCTGTCGGTAGTCAAGGCGTATCAAGGCGATAAGATAGAGAAAGATGTGCAGGGTACTAGCAGACCCACTTGTCAAGATGCAGTCTGTCATTGATGGAGCTGGCGCGGCGGCGCTCAAGTTATGACGATGTATAAAGGTTCTAGAGGTCGGTGATCTTGTTTTCTGTATTCCTCAAGAAATCCAGGCACCGGCTCCAGACCTTTCCCTTGCTTTTAACTTGATTTGCGGATTCACTTCAAAGTTTTCTTTCTATCCTCAAACCTCTAATCTTTCAGAATGTCTCTCTCTAGTTCCGAGGAGGCTATTTTAACGGCCACAAATGTGACTGCCGGTGTTTTTAACTTGCTCAATAATGTCTGTAGCGCACTGTCTTGGCTAGCACAGGGAGAAGAATGGAGGAAAACAAAGTCCTTGGACCTTTCCCTGAGCATTGCAGAATTTCTCAATAGACCTGAGATTGAGAACAAGACACTCGCTGCCCCTCAATTGGCTCCGTATCTCGGAACTTCGCTGGAGCGGACCCAATTCTTGTTTGACTTCTTCGGTGAGAATGTCGGGATCCCATTCCCCGACTTGGTCGACATGGTCAACCAAGTAATGCCAGCGGCTGGACACCCCTACAATAAGTCGACTCAGTTCATTGGCGTTCTCGTCATGTTCACTGTCTTGATGGCCGCGTTCATTGCTATCCGACTATATTCTCGTATTACGATTAATGGCTTCATTCGTGGTCATGACTACGTTCTTCTTTTTGCCGCACTTGTTGCTTTTGGTTTCGGCACTATGAACGCCGCAAGTATGTTATTCTTAGCGTTGGGTTATGGAAATTTGAGAAGCAAAAAGTGTGCTAACAACCAGCTCTAGTGCTGAACGGCCCAACTCACTTCCAGGGTAACTGGGATCGATCATGGCTCGACTATATTCACGACCAGTACTCCGGAAAGGCTTCTGAAGTTCTCTATCCTGTTGGCGTTTTCTTCATCAAGACCTCGCTTCTACTTTTCTACTGGGGTTTAACCCAGTGGTGGCCCCTCCGTGTCGCCGTTGGTGTCACCTGGGTTGTCTCTTTGGGAAATTCTCTTGCTATGATCTTCACATGGGTCTTCCGTTGCAGCCCTGTTCTTTCCTTCGATGGTAAAATACTTCCAAGCTTTGCTCTCTTCCATATTTATCGACTAACGGGTTTTTAGGTATGGAATATTTCACCGCTAGTTGCAAGACCGACATGTGGCTTAAATCCATGGACATTACCGGCGCGCTCAATATCGTTACCGATGTCGTTATTTGGCTCATCCCTCTCCCATTGGTCTGGAAGATCACCCAAGGCAACCGCGAGCGTCTTCTCGCCTCCCTTACATTCGGTGTCGGTGCTTTGGCCTGCATTGCATGTGGCTTCCGCTTCTACTCCCTTCACAAGATCCTTGCACCTAGCCTTTTGCCACCAGACCAATCCGAGTGGTTGATTTGGGGTATGGCCGAGATGTACATTGCCATAATCTGCTCTTGCGTCCCCGCGATCCGTGCATTGATCATCAAGAAGGCACCATCTATCATCGGCGCCACTTCCGATGTTTACTCTACGACAGCTGATGGCAAGAGCGACGAGAAATCTGCAGACAAGGAGAAAGGTGGCCCTGATGTCCGTGTTGAATCTTCCCGCGGGAGCTCTCCGGTTTAAGCGACGATACTGCTGGATACAGTGTCGGAATTTTGTCTTTATTTTTTCTGAGCGACTTTTCCTTTCTTTGCACGACCGTTGAATTCTTTTTGCGGGGTACCAGGTTTTCTCTTTATACTGTGTTTTATATCACCCATGATTTGATATCGATTGATTGGTGGACTTTGGGGTTTTAATATGCCTGTCAGGCCGGGTTCCTCTGGACTTGTTGGGTTCCCGCGTGTGCATCTGTACATATGAGAATCCGGCCCGCTTTCCCTTCCGTGTTTATATATATTCTACCCTCGTAACTATACTACTAGGGCATTTTCTTCAAGGACCTGTAATAGCCTTATAATTGATCCCGAGTTTTTTAATCACCAACTACAATCCCAAGACTGACTCAATCTTCGTGGTCTTAAACTATACCCCCGATCCTGAGCAATCATTTTCCTTTTCTATATGCTGTATGAATTTAGGCTCCAAAAATCGGCTGATTGTCATGGTAAAGATGTGTGCAACAGAGCTAGCTCAGCTAGCACATGTCTAATACGGATACATGCAGAGAGTATACGTAGCATGAAAGTAGGAAGATACTAAGTGAGTACCATGCTCGCAAAAGAGCCGGTCAACTATTCTTCAGTCGAAGATAGTTAGCACAGAAGTGATTTAGCCTCTTTCGACTCAATTCAAATGGGCGTGAGGTTCTCGATCCCGCGATAGCTCTGCTAGGTTTGTTGAGTGTGAATGCGCAAAGCTGATAGATGTAATATAATTAGGCCTCACGCTTCACACGATTGTATGAATACGATGATCTTCATAGGTTAAACTCAAACAGCTCCTTAAGCTCTTGCCCTATAAGTAGACGCCTATCGATGCTGTGATACGAGGAATCATATGCATATATGTAATTGCAAAGCGACCAGGAATTGTTGCATTCTGTGCATCCCAACGCAAAATGAGCTTGACATAGAACCTATTCAGTTTGAAACACCGAAAATTCGAATGGGTCAGGCCAGTTTCATGGCTAAACTGCTACCCAATGGGATTTGGCGACCGTGGTTTTCAAACCGTAGATCCATTAGCTTTCGCTGACTACATCATGAATAAGGGTTGCATCTGAATATACATAGATATACGTGACCATTAATATTATAATATCCTCGAAATTGTGGATCGGGGTCTACTGTGTATATTTTCAAACCTTATTTCGGCCACCAGCTCAGGGTGAGATTTTGGTCCAAAAGATAGTTCGAATTAAAGTATCAGGCAGGTGTACTGCCCCCGCTGGCACTTATGGATCCTTTCGGAGTAAGCCAGCATGCAACCCCCAAATATGGCCACAACGCATCTACAGGGATACGCAGACGAAACGGTGGCTAGGGAATCGAAAACTTAAAGACGAAGTGTGGAGTAGATATTGACCCATCTTCCATTGACTCTGCCTCAAACTTTCAATTCTTCTGATTATTGAACCAAATGATAAGATTTCAATATAGATACTGAATTACTTATCGTCATATCGATAGGCTCCGCCTCAGATTCGAAACTAGATAGACGCCGTGACAGACGTAAATGCGTTGACAAGTTAACGGAGATGTTACGTAAGTTTAACTTGATGCCTGAGATATAAGGTATAGCCGGTGGCCACTCCCGCCGACGAGCAAATTATAATATATCTCTTTCCATGGTATTCCTCGCTTGTTCGGAAATAAGCCGTACCTTGTTTGTGTTCTAGGCCTTCAATATTCTCAAAGCCTTCTCAAATTACTCTCATTCCCAAACTCGTACGTATTCTAATTTGCAAATTCCGATCCAGAAACCCCATAGATTCATTTATTGCAGTTTCCAATAAGATCTTTTATATCTAGGAACAGGCATAATACGAACTATACACCGGAATTCCCCACTTTCGAAGCCGAAATATTGACGGGATCCACCCTCGAACTTGGTATTTCGAAACATCGGCATCCCAGCAACTATCGTACAAGCCAGAAATATGCACTTATGCACGGAACATACTTCTTGTCCTTGCTTCCCATTTGCAGAGATGGTAAGTTCACCTTCAAAAGTAGAAAAGAACACAAAATACTCCCATTGACACTGCGATTCTCAACACGGCAGATTTAACCATTATGCAATTCAAACTTGCGATATGCCTCAGCTTAATATCTGCATTGCAGGTTACGGGTGCCCCGCTCCCATATCATGGTGGGATACCTAGTTGGGTACCTCAGTGCTCGGATTGGAGAATAGGGAGCCCGTGGCTTCCCCGGCTTTGTTTGAAATAGGTCCGGTGGTGGTGATGATTCTAGGCCACTTTGTATCCCTCTCTTATTACTTTCAAAGGGAAAAGGAACCGAGGGGTAAAAAGGGTTGCATATGTATGCACAAATGTGGTATCGCGAACATTGAACGGGATCTTTCAAGTCCTAGGCTTATAGATCCTGCCTCGCCATTTTGTGTTGATTTCGAAAGTTCAAATCGTGCTTCAAAGCAAGCAGGCTTGTCATGTTTTTCTTACGTAAGAGTATATAGTACTTGAGCTCATGTAAATAGAACATTGGAGTTGCGGTCGGAAGGTGGTAGTATTATCATAGTTCTTTGTATTCAAGTACCTTTTAAAATCTCAACTAATCGGCGTAACTAAATATGCGATTTCAACCCATAAAGGCACAATAGCTATGTTTCCATACACCTGCCTCTTTTTTAAATTTTTTAAGCTGTGACTCCACCGACGTCGTACCTGCATGCTGCAGAACTTAGCGCTATCAAAAGTGGATATCGATTCTTCCACCACTCAGGTTTGATTGGCCGTTCCCTGCTCTCAACACAATTTTCGAAGATGAATGTCCAAAATCCCACAAAACAGAGTGTTCTTGTTACGGTTGATCAATTGAACAGTGATACCATTGTAATTGGAAATAAAACCCCGAGTTTTGAAACAAATGTATTCGGAGATTCTGGTATGAAATAGATGAGTTACCAGAATTTAGCTTTCTCGTGTGATTTCTCCGACACAAGTGCCAAATTGCCTTTCAGGAACTTAGGGCTACCGGTTCAAATCCGGTTGTCTGAAAGGCAATTAAGGCTAAATATAAAACCTTCTCATACAAAGCACCATGATCTCATAGAACTCCACAAAGCCCGGCGACAAGAACTTCATAGAGCCACCAAGAGATCTTGATACCCTGGAATACCCCGAAAACCTGACCTTTCCTGTACTTCTTTGTTTTTCGCAAATTCATCGGGTTCATATTATCCGACGTCTTGATTTTTATATCTCAAAACCCGGACCGGTGAACTCGGTTTGCGTAATTCTTTAAGATCGATTTTCGCTTTTGGGAGGGTGAATCGGGCAAAAGTCAGGGACTATCAAACGGCTAGGGCCATGGGTTGTACCCATGTCCAGGGGCCCTCGATAGCATTTTGATCACTTGAACGTTGATCCTTAACCTGGTAAGGAATTTAGAGACGACTATCCAGACGACTCTAGCCAGGTAGCAGCTGTTCCGGCGGAAGGTACTACCCGTCGACAAGAAACACCCAAATTAAGTTTGCGTAACTGGGGCGTTCCGCCAGCCAAAAGCTTGATATCCGAAACCCACAAATTGCAGAACAGAGTTAACTGTGAAGGAAGACCATGCAAGCGCTATGAAAATGCTAGGTCATAACGAGTTCATGTTTGAGAAGTCATCTGAACCATTTTAATGCCATTTGTATGTCTAAATTTCGAATATAAAAGTCCACATGTTTCTTCAGCCAGTGTTAGTTTTTCTCCGATCAATTATAGATACCAACAGACTTCGATATCGACGCACCTGCGGTTAAAAAAAAGAGCTGCATACAGCTGTCCAACTTGAAAATCGCCAAATAGCGTTGTATTTTAATGCGTATCTGCGATACAAGCCCCTCCCAATCAGAATTGGCACGGGATTAATCGATTATCTGTTGTGGCATGTTACGTAAATGTAGGTGATAGCCTCCAGCCGTCTCAAGTCGTTGTATCGTCGTTATAGTTGAAGTTGCTAACGGGTCGAACTTAATTTCAGAAGGGTTATCAGTACTTACTTATACGCTATTAGCCAATTTCTGATTATCCCAACTGGCCCAAACTTATCGTCCAACCTCCCATCAATAACCGCCTGCTCAGGATAAATTAAGATTAAGAACGTTTTGAACGTTATCCGGCATAATGAAGGTTTCCACAACTTGCACGTGTGCATCGTTACTTCTGGTATCCCAAGCAGCACCCATACTTGCAGCTCCTGTCCCAGAACCACAACCACGGGTATATAGCGAGCCATTGAAGGGTGTCATCAACCAGGGGAAGGAAATTAACGAAATGTCTGTTGGGACGTTGGATAAAGTGCAATGCTTTGGGCTGAAGAAACTGTATAAGAGTTGCTGAAGCTGGCGTGGCAGCCTGCGCAAGCTCGCGCTTTAGGCTGGAACCCGGCTGTTGGTCCCAACAGCTTACGGAGACAAGGTCCTGCCACATACTTCGATAAGGTATGGGTGGATCCCAGAAGTTGAGATGAGTCTTTTCATCCAAAAGAGGAATGTGAAAGCTGACTGCACACCCATTCGTCGTGATAGGGTTGACACATGGCCTGAAGTTTTGGATGAATGTCTAGGATTCTCAACATCCTTTTTTTTTTCTCGAGCTCGCCGTCTCTCCGAGTCTCCACGAGCCTTCCACAAACGTTATGTTATCACTACGCGTATACGTTCCTAGACCTCAAGGTCCTCCTATCAGGGAAAATTGATCCCAGCCGTCATATCCCGTCTCTTTGAAACCCTCGCTACGGCACTACGGCATCACGATAAGGAGTTGGAGTAACTCTGACCGATGCATTCAGCCTTGATTACTGGCTCCTTAGAGGTTTGAAGGAGAACTACAGGATAGTACCCAATGGCAAATATACCTCGACATCCTTAATGAAGCTATTGCTATTAGTACGTATATGGACGGAATCAAGTAAGGAGGTATACGGTGGCGTGATGGAATTTTGGAGCTCAGAGCGGCGAAGCTATTTGGAAATATTTTCTGGTAGATTCCGTGCCATATTCAATTGCCATTGGCCTTAATGTACATATGTGGATATAACCGTCGATCGACGAACGCATTCGAGATGTCATATTTTCAGGTGCACGAGCGCGAGACCCACAGCTCGACTAGATGCCGCGATGTCGTTGGTTAAGACATTGAGTCTTTCGGTTCGCACAGGCTACTGTGCCTGAGCAGAATGAGGCGAGTGCCTCTTGGCTCGTATTATAATGAGGTATGGGGATGGCGTATTTCCAGACGGCGCTTAATGGTGTGTAGGATCGGTTTCCGTTCTCAAATATACTGTCTGTGTGGTTACACTATCTCGATCTCCCAATTCTCCTGTGATATGGACACCTACCTCACCTTTATGTATGTCTCAATTGTGTAATACCTGATAGGTCTCAACTGGTTTTATGAGTTCCTGAACCGTCACCAGGATCTTCGAAACGGTGGAGCCAGGGAGCTCGTTGCTGGGAGAGCCTTACCAAGTGATCCATCATGGATCTGTTAAATCTTGTAAACCAAATCACATTTACCGTTCGCGTGGCTCCTTTAGAAAAAGTCCCCTGCTATGCAGAAATGTGTCTAGGCTAAACCGGAAAACTTATTCTAAGTAGGATGTCGGGCGCCAGATAGCTGCTGGGAGGACACCACCTTCAAAATCAGTCTAGGTATGTACCTGGCTAATTGACCATGCTAACGCCTCATTATTTTCGTTGGAAAAAGTCTAAATAACCCTCTGATTTGAGATAAATACCAATTAGAGCTCGAATTGGATATATTGTCGTTAGCATCGGTTGAACGGCCGCGGTCAATTCCCACCCCCACTGCCCTGACCAGTTATGGTCGATGACGATGAGCCGCCTGCGCAGCTGCAGGTAGGAAAAAACTTTGTCCAAAGCTAGCTAGGAGCAGGTCATGCGCGAAAGGAAAAAAAATATTCGAGAAAAATCTCACAAATCAAAAATCGAAGATATCTGGATAGTTTCGAATTGAAACGGCAAGACGGCTGAGCCCTGTGGTATTTGGTATCCACATATCTCGCCAAAGGCCAATAGTGTTCCACAACTAAAAACCGCTATGCATGCCGACGCATAATAAGATGCAGTGGAAGCGAATATCTCATCGCAGGAAAATTTTATTATCCCTGTCAAGCCATCGCACACACACACACAGGGCGAAATAAAAAATAAAAAATAAATAGAGATAATAATAAAAAAAAGTGTAGTGCTACCGAAACCGAGGAAATTTTGCTCTCCTGAAACCCATGGAATTCGACTTGCCAGATGCAGGATCTTCTGCACAGCTCCACTGCGTCTTTTTTTATTCCCACCCTTCCCAGGACCCTTGTGCAGCCACTTCGTTCGCTTATCCTCATAGCTGAGTGGAATCGCCTGAAAACCGAGCCGTGCGCCAGCCGCAAAGGAGGGCCTGCCCGAACCAACTCTGCCTAACATTCTGCAACGAACAATGCCATGGTGTGTGGGATGATCACAGCTGACTTGGGTCTAATCTCGTATTTTGAGGTTGAAATTATCCCCTTCCGGCAGGACCGGCAGCCCAGAATTCTTCAGACCGGGGTGGTGAGTGATCCCACTAGAACAATATTGCTTCCAAGAACATTGCCGAACTTCCCCTTCGCCAAAAATATCGAAGGCTTTTAGTGCTAATTGCAATTGAATTGCGTTAGACCGTGAAACAAAAGTATTATTTACTTCACTCATAATATGATATCGGCAGAAGTTACATTGTTACCCCGGCTGCTCTAGGATCCGTCACTAGACCGTGGCCCCAGCGCATGACACCGTCAGATCGGGTTGAACTAATAGCCATTGTATTGTCGTGAAATTTGAAAGATAGTTCTGCCCAACACAAAGTACGGATTAACCACTCGCCTCTGTGTGGTTCTTTTTGGATTGACTTCGGAAGGCTACTTCGATAAAATGTCCAATGGAAGATACCAGCGGAGTGGGGCCAACGTCCTGTAAGATAACCTATAGTGACTGCCCGAGCTCCTTTTAATACAGCTCCCAGACAGTAACAATTTGCCGATTCGTCGTTATGCTGTCAGGAGCTCTGAAACATTCTTTCCCGTGACTTCAAGAAAAATTTCTTGATCTGGGGTAACCGGGGTCGTCAGTGGTGGAGCAAGGGTAAGGTAGCACAAGCCCAGACAACACCGAACATCCAGACCAATGGGCGCGCTAGCATTGAGCAGCTTAGCGCTAGTCCTACACTGTCACCTGCTGTTTTTTTTCGATGAGGTGCGAATTAAATTTAATTGACGAGGGAGAGAAAAAAAAAAATCCAATGTGCGCGTCGAAATTCTTCCTCCGTCAATGCGCTCCTAATTTCTTGAGCTCGAGAAGGGGATGGTGAGGCATGGGCACGGCACGCGACTACGGGAGCAATTGGACCGGTCGATTTTTCTGAGACTTTCGAGCATGTGGGTGTCCTCAACCGGGAACTGCTCGGATTCGCTTCGCTAGTGTAACGGATGCTAAGTTTTGGTAGGTTTGAGACCAGTCGATGAGATCATATACTATACACTGTCTACGGCAAAATAATCCAACATTAGTATGAATACGGATGTTGGGCGCGTAAATTACGGTTTAGTGTCCACTATAGCTCCGGCACAAGGCAAAGAGGCACAAGAAAATCAGGGTTCGGGACTAAAGACCTGGCACGGTTTAGTCTTAATTCCAAAATACTCCATCCGTACGTATTCCAACATCGGCAACCCCCTTCGTGCCAAGGAAGCATAACTTTACTTTTACCTTTTGCAACTTTGGCCAGTGCATTGCAACTCTAGACGAACACAGTCTCAGCTGAGCGCTTCAAACGGCAATTCCGCAAGATAGGGATTATCTGTCCCAGGAGCATATGCTAGCATGTTAGAAGGCCTGAGGCATTGGTTGGCAGTTAGAGTGGCACTAATCCAAATTGTCTGAAGATTCTATATTTCCAAACTTGCCACGAGGGGACCCACGTTAGAGGAAGAGGAGGGTAGGTGCAACAATACTATCCGCAGCTATTCCATGACCGTAGGGGTGCCCATGTCCAAGGAGGCCACGATCTAGCATACGCGAGCTTTTCTATAAAGTCAGCTCAACTTCCCCCTGATCGTCATTCTATTCTATCATCAGGTTCATCAATCTTCAAGACGGTGAAGATCGAATACGCAGGAGTCTCCTAGCTATCCTATTATCTTTATTATAGATTTCATCGCCTCAAGGCACAATCATCTCTCTTCGATATTTTCTTATAGCTACTGAAGTAACCTGCAAACCCGACCTACCAACATCTCCAAAATGCAGATCAAGTCTATCATCCTCTTCTCGGCCCTCGCAGCCCCAATTCTAGCTTTGCCAGCTGCTAATCCTGAGGCCCTCGCCCTCGCAGCTGCTGAGGCAGCTCCAAATCACAAGTGGTGCCCATTCAACTCCTGCCCTCACAAGAAGAGGGAGGCAGAACCAGCTCCAGCTCCAAAGCCAAAGCCAACTTGGTGCCCTTACAATTCTTGTCCCAAGAAAGTGAAGCGTGAAGCAGAGCCAGAACCAGCCCCCATTCCAGAGCCAGCGCCAGAACCAGTTGCGGAGCCAGAGCCAACTTGGTGCCCCTACAACTCTTGCCCTAAGAAGATGAAGAAGCGTGCTCCAAAACCAATCCCAGAGCCAGCGCCAGCACCAGAAGCAGCACCAGAACCAAAAGCAGCACCAAAAGCATCACCCGGTTGGTGCCCATACAACTCTTGCCCTAAGAACAAGAAGCGTGAGCCACAACCCATCCCAGAACCCATCCCAGAACCAATTGCGGCGCCAGAGCCAGAGCCAGTTGCGGCACCAGAAGCCGAACCAACGTGGTGCCCCTACAACTCTTGCCCAAAGAACAAGAAGCGTCAACCGGAGCCAGTTCCTGAGCCTGTTGAGGCCTAAGCTAAGTTATCGTCCAGTCCAGGGACGACGACGCCTACGACGGAATGTCCTACGACGACAATTCCAAGCATTCCGACATTACCTTCGTCCATCCAAATTGATACACGTACGAGATGTATCAGTCACAACTGCAAGCACATCATTCGGGACGATGTTCAGGTCAACACTGTCCGTTTTCCTTTGTAATGTCTTTTCTATCAACCCCGTCAAGTTACCCTGGTCGCGCACATGTTTATTGGATCCCATCGAGTGAGATGTCTTCTCATTGAATCACCGTCTTGTAGCTCATCTTTACCCCCTTGGTGCGTATTCAATTCTATACCCTCCTTCTTGTACATAAAAACCTCTTCATGAGGAGAAAAGCCCTGGCCAAGTTTTTAGCCTCTGGAGTTTTTTTATACGGAGTTTATTCCTTGGATAACCGTGCGAACGGTTCTTTATTTCCTTTTTATTAGTATTTCTAGCAGTTTATATTGGTTTTTATCTCCCCCCAATTATGTAATAAGGTATTTTTTTATTTTTTCTTTTACTTTTGGAGCGAAAATATTTGTTTCTAGTGGGCTCCCGGGGGGGAGTTGTCTCGTAAACCAGACTGCCATCCTTTACTTCTTACGAGTAGAGGTTCAAAGGATGTCAGTCTGGCTTACGAGTCAACTGTCGAAAGAACGGAAGCACTCTGGCAGAAAGCCTATACCTGTCATTTCCACACGTTGTCAATCTCGCAATTTCGTTTCATGTATGGCAACAAGGTGCACTTTCATGTTTTCAATAGCTTCAATTGGAAGAAGATCAAAAATAAGAAATACTTGATACAATAACAATCTATTTTACCGAACAAAAAAAGACAATTCTATAAATATTCTAATAGAATTTAAGCAATTATTTCTTATTCGTTCTTTTCAACACCTAAGCAAAGATAACTAACTACCAGGATTATTATTATTTTTCATTCGTGTGCCCACCATGAAAATGTGATGCATGGGTATAACAACTCACAATTTATTGTTACACTCGATCGCCGCGGCGTTGGATAATAGTTAGAGGAGAGGGTGTGGGAGAAATCGGTTAATAAAGCTAGAGCTAGAGATAAGCAGCGCAGCATCACGCCTTCAAATTTCCAACCTGTTGCTGAGCACTGCACACCACCTTAAAGGGTTGGATATTATAGCAGGGGCCAGGCGAAATGAGCTATTAATGACCGACTCGGAAGAGTCCGACCAGCCTCGTGTACGTACTACGTATGTCGTTGGAAAAGATTTGAGAGGCGTTGAGATGTGTTGTGAAGTGGTGGCGTGTTGGCAGCTGTTGTAATTGGTCAATTGCTGTGAGCCATCTCGACTGGAATGGTTTCGGGAGCTTGTCCGTCTGTAAGCTTAGTGCGGAGGACCTTTGCACTCAAGTTGCTTTCGCTTTCGATTCCGAACGCGAGCGTGGTTCCAATTGGTTGGAACCCTGGTGGAAGGTTCCGGGGTCGGTTTGAGGCTAGAAGTTGACAAGGCCAGGCCAAGCTAGCTGGGAGGAAAATAAGAAAAAGAATAAAAGTAATTTGGCAATTTATTGCTACAAAGCTCGTGGAGAAGATGTATCTCCTCGGTGACTTATCTCGCAATCCATTCGATAAGCCAACATTGCAGCGCTGCACTGCCATCACGATTTGATACATGGTACGTACGAGCACGAGCGTGAGCATTGCACTATACCCTTCACGTTGTCGTCGCATTTAGACCAACGCCGTCGCCTGGATTCGGCAATTGTCCCAAAGCGGAAATAATTAAAAAAATCAAATAAAAAAGGGTCTGTGCGACGCCGATAGATGTTCGTTCGAATGTTCTCCACATTTCCAACACAACATCCGCATCCCACCACGTCCATATCTGCGAGGCGTACCCGAGCCTTTCCTTGAAGAGAGGTCTTTGACATCGCTTTCGGGTCGATGTCCGACCACCGATCGATTTGACAGATGGGAATGTGTGTGCTTGAATTTCTCGACGGGTGGATGGATATCTTTGGGCGAGACATGTCTGGACCATCGTGGAGTTGTTGATCTAAATCATCGATCGTACGATATTGTGGCTTGCGCTAGGCTATCTACTAGTATCAGTTACATCTGTCTTGGATACATGTATACCGAATTCCGGACTCGAGGTGATCCACCAACGATTTGGAGAATCAATATTGATCTGGGTACTCGTCAGATGTTCGGAATTACTTTTTTGCCACAACCCTGAACAGGTCCCAGAAAACAAAACATGGCGGTAGACTAGTACCAACTGGTGCATCTACGCATATTCCAACAGCAAAGGTGTCGGTCGGAACAAGCGGCACTGAAAACCTAACCACAATTCCAGTTGTGCAGTTCATTATATGCATTCGCATTACCCCTCTGTTGCATTGCGATAATTACAACCCTTAGAAACTCCCCTTTAACAGGGTGTTTTCCGCGCAAGTTGATACTTGTCTGAAGACCTTGAAACATTCTCGTTATCGAAGTATGCATGGCCTCGAAATCAATGCTGATATCTATAATATTTCTATGAAAAAAAGATTTGACGATTGATTAATCATGTTAGATGTCTTGAAGGGAATTTGAAGTGCTCTAGAAAAAACAGGCGACGCTTAATTTCGTGAGAAATTCGGAGGTCTACGTAGCTACGGATGGTTGTTATACCACCGGTGTGTATCGGTATACCATTCCGAGAAAGTTTTTAAGCTTCTTTCGCATGCAACCCGGTATATTCAAGGCTAGTAACCCGGAGCTACGATACTAGCGGCATCTCTATGCATGTCGGCCGCCCACCTTAAGTGCTAGTAGCGCATTAGGATATTCAATAGCCACTTTATGTTTCTTATAGACTGCGTGGTGATTCATGAATAAAAGTTCTAAGGGGCTATTATGTGCACTTTTTCAGATTTATGCACCTAAGGAAGCTTAATAGCTTATCCCACCCTGCCTTGTTAGATGTCCCTAATGATCGGCATTATAAATTCACGATATGCACATGAGAGAGCGGACCGTTTTACGTGGTGCATGTCTCAATGCTAAATACGCAAAGTCTACGAAGGAGAAGGACCCTAAAATAGTTAACGAAACATAAAAACAAATGCATTAAAAAGATATAAAAAAAATATATGTACAGGAAACGAAATCAAACAAAAATACAACTAAACAAAAAATGATACAGGAAAAACAGACAACAGCAAAAAAAAAACGAAACAAAAAAAGATACAAAGAAACAAACGAAAACGAAATAAAGCGGCGTGGTGAAGAGATAGGGGTAGGAGTGAGAAGGAGACATGAGGGAGAGAGGGGACATGAGGGTGATAGGGGAGGAAAAGAAAGAAAGAAAGAAAGAAAAGAAAACGAACAAGAACGAACAGACGAACAACAAGCGCCTACCAGGCGCCAAGGAAAACTGCGAACTTGTTCGCGATCTTGTCACCGGCTTTCCGGTAGGCCGTCGTTAATGACCTTACCGGAGACCTCAGCTTTGAGGCCCAGGACGGCCGAAGGCCCTGAAGCCGGGACTTTACCGGCCCTTCAAAAACTCGTCGGCGGGGGGGAGCGGGGTGGTGGAGTCCTCTAGATATGAGGAACTCCAAGGGCGTCATCAAAACCGGCCTCTCTGGCGGCCGCGGCGAGGGAACTTCGGCAGGTGTAGTGGTGGTTGTGTGGGTTTGGGGTGGGGCTGGTGAGGTGGTGACCGGCTCGGAGGGCCCCGCGACGTCATGAAGGGCGACGCAAACGTCGACCACTTCAGAGTCTGCGAGGCTGGTCTCCTCGCTTATCTCCTCCTCTACCTGCTCCTCTCCTCCCCCGGTAGCTGGTTGGGTGGAATCGTCGGCTGAGACGACGACGGGTGCGGCAGGCTCTTCGGCTGGAGGGGTGTCGCAGGGTGCGACGACCGGGATGCGCAATACCCGTGTCGCCGCTCCCCGCGCCCACTCGGTCTTCCCCATGGAAGACCCACCCCTCCGAGTGGGATTTGCGGCCACTGAGTTGAACTCCAAAGTCAGGAGTTCGTACTTGCTCATTGGCATCGTCATCGGATGCCGGGCCCAGTAGTAGTTATCGTTGAGCCATCTTGTTCGGCCGTCAGAGTGGACGGCGAGGGCCAGCTGGTTCTGGCAGTAAAGGTGCACCCTCTTGGTGACCTTTTCCTGCCAGTAACCCTCAAAGTACTGGCTGTGGACCCATTCCTGGGGGGTCACCAGATCTCCGTTGATATAGGAGATCGGTTCCCCCCCGTACATGTACTGGCCGACTCGTTCGTCGTACCAGATTCCATCGTCCGGAATCTCTTCTTCCTCCGGGTCTTCTTCCTCGGCTTGCTGGGGTGGTGATTGGGTATCTGCCGGCTTCGGCAGAAGGATCTCAGGGACCCAATCGTCGTCCTCGTCCTCGTAGTCCGACCAACGACCACTTGCGACTGCAAGTGGCGTTGCCGGAGCTACGGCAGCTGCGCACTCCGCCAAGTAGCCACTGGTTGGTGCTGGCCTGGAGTCTGGGGCGGTGGTGGGATCTTCCATGGTAACTGTAGATGGTTGCATTCTGGAAGGTATGTAAGCTTCTGTTCAGAAATTCAGACGATAAGTGTGTAGGTGAGATAGGTATCTGAGATGGGATCAAGAGACTGGAGAAGGAAGCGAGATGAAGCAGAAAGGAAGAAGGGTAGCTAAAGAGGAAGAAGATTATGTAGCTATGCGTCGACACTAGTAACGAGAAATATCGTTGCCAGCTACTGACTATCGAAATCTCGTTGCTGAGCTTTCAAGACAGCAACGCTGGAAATTTTTGCAAATAGGAGCTCAAACACTGCAAGAAATCTTCTAAGACGCGTCCAAAATCGAGAGATAATGATTCCTAGCAGACGAAGAGACCTCGAGACGGAGGATGATATCGAGTACTTACTTGGTATTTCTCGTGAGAGGCAGGGTGGTCTTTAGAGTAGGAAGGTTTGGTTTTGATAGTGAGCTGATCTGCAGGAAGAATTGGAAGCTGGTGAGGATGGTGTTGTCAGAGAGGAAGAAGGAAGAATGGGATGAGAAGGAGAAGTCCTAGTTTTAGGGTTGAGTGAGCAGTCTCAACTCAGCAGCACTGACTCCAGAGATCAGTGAATAGAAAATACATATGTTAAACTACAGCCTGAGATAAACAACGAGCATAGATATCAAAGCTTCCTAGAGCTCCTTTGATATCTCAGTAACTTGAGAGGTCTTAATGATACTAGGAAATGATGGTCTCTCTCTACACCGTGACAGTGTAATTTCGATAAACTAGAGATCTCGGGTACTATTGCAAATCAACAGTCTTGTATTCTGTTACTAGATACTTGCTCGGGTTGCTGAAAGATAGTGAAGGAACGTGGCTGTATATACGTTACGTATACTTCTAGGAGCCATATATGTAGTTTACAGCCCTCGTGTATCTAAAGATTTAGGTACGAGACCGGTCCACGACTAAAATCTTAACGTCTAATACTATCACATAAAGCAAAGTCTAGTCTGACCAGTTCTCAAGATCATCACTATGAAAGGTACTATATAGCCTTTTATATGCTACATGTGTTTGCTAAAACATGACACGAGATTAGGATTAATTTGATGTCAAAAGTGAGGACACAAAACAAATCTACCATACTTGAGCCATTGTCTTCAGCGTAGCAAGATGACACTACAGTACATGGAACATTGAAAAAAAAACGAATTAACGTTCCGAAGTTAAACTTGAAGCGGCGATACTCAGATCTATTTCGTGTACTCACCAGTTATTTGTGTGACTCGAGCGAGCTCGGTGACGACTGCAAGGGTGTGTTGTGTGTATGTTGTATTTTTGTAAGGTTTGGCATTATATCACGGCTTGGCGCCGGCCTCGTATCAGGACTCTGAAAGGCTCAAGCATGGGAACGCGTAATTATTTATATATGGAAAATTTTCCTTAAGTAAGAACTGCTTAAATTAAGCCGCAAGAGAGTGTGGCATCGTGACCACCATCTATATTAAGAGACAGCTTGAAAATGAACGATTGTCTATGGTACATACATTGTGTGCTCACTTAAAGTCTTTCTTCCAACGCCTCTTGGGGAGCAAACTAAGGCCAGCGAGGGATCATAAGTTTTAATCCTCACCTCGACCCCCTTAATCCAGGAATTTATGAACATCAACCCTGTAGTAGAGATGAATTACTTCACTCAACTCGTGCCAATAAACAGCTACTCGATTTGGAACCCATGGCTGATCTAGAAGTTTCACAGCCTGTTTCGTGCCACTCAATCGCTTGTTGCGTCCACCCAGAACCCCTCTTTCATGGCTTCCAACCCCCCATCCTTCCCCAATATCGTCATTCCTCCCTCGTTCGTCGGCATCGCTAGTACTTTTATCAGATGGAGTTGGTGTCCCTTCCTTTTGCGCCTGCGCCTCTTGCCAATCAACTTCTGGGACGGGCAGGATCATATGAACATTGATGAATTTATCGTCCACGAATTCGTGTTCCGCAACACGGCCACGTGCGGAGTAAACCTTAGCACCCGGCCATTCGACTTCTTCTTCATCTGCTATCCTTATTGGCTGAGACAGATCATCAACAATGAGTGTGTATTCGCCGCGAGGAACATTGGGGTCCCCAGTTAGCTTGATAACTTCAAGGCGCTTCTGTGAGCTGCTTGTTGTAGGCTGGTGAAAAAGTAGAAATTCCGCTCCGTGCGGACCGTAGTCACCTGTTTAAATACGTTAGTCCACAATGGAAAAATATATCCAAGATTGCAGGACAAACAACTCACCGACCCAAACTCCTCTATACGGATACTCTGGAGTTGGTGTCCATAGCTCTTCATCCAATTCTGCGAAAGTTTCCACCCTTTCTCCCATTCGGAAGCGGTTTTCAAAGTCACCCGAAGTATCTCCTAAAACCGCCCATCTCCTTAGACGAAAAGCAGTCTCGCTTAAGTGTCCACTCCTTTGTCTTATCTCTTCGGCTTTCCACTTTTCATCTTCGGTTGGCGTGGTTTTGGTTTGTGGTACGATAAAGGCACTTCTGTCAATTGCAGCTCCCGTGACATCATTGAAACCACCGACAGATAGAGATGTTCCGTTAATACTGATATTACTTGGGAGCCTCATAAACGGGCCTCTCTGTTTTGAGTTTGCACCGCTCTTAAACCCGCTAGGGCTTTCGTTTCGGACCCTAGTTTTGGCAGGAATCGTTGATGGGGGCCAAACAGCCATTTGGGAGTAGACATCACGCTGGAATATTGCTTCGGCTCGGAAGTATGTTGCTAGGATTCCCCGTCGCGAAACTGGTATTTCCCCGTCTGCTGAAGCCTTGGAGTTTGGTGAAATTTTGAGCTCGGGTTCTTCCCGAATATTTACTTTCGGATTAAAAGGGGAAATGATGACGTCCGGATTATAGGACCATGTTGAAAATTCGGCTGTGTCGCGAGACGGCGTCCCTGTAAAACTAAAGGCTTCGAGTGTACCAGATATTGGCATATACTTGGAAGCAAGGAGCGATCCAAAATACTGGCGATCCCCGATAAAGATTTTTCGTTTAAGGTAGAGGTGAGGTGCAAGAGCATGATGAAGGGAGCGGTATGAAAGATAAGGATGGGGAGAAGGAAGATCTGGTGAGTTCACGATGTTCTCCCAGAGCGCATCAGTGAACGAGTGTGTTTGAAGAGAGTGGCACGTCAGCGAGATGGCGTAGAGCGAAATGGCAGGGAGATATAAGAGGATTTGATGCAGGATCTCTGACGGAAGCAACAAGAGCCTAGAAGAGCTACCTGCGGATACTGGATCTTGAGGTTCTTCATTGGACCCTTGCCCTTGTTGGGCAGAACTCTCTGGGTTCTTGGCTCCCTTGTCTTCCATAACGGTGTTAGGGTATGACGTCGATAACTCGATCGCACCGGCTTGCAGGGGTATGTCTGCAGGGTCGGAAGTTACTTTTGGATAAAGCTGGCCTTCACGACCTGAATCATTTGCACCGGCGTTCGGTCCACGTATTTCAGCGATGTTGCGATGTTTCTGGGAGCGCGGTCGTTCAGGGGTCTCCGCATGCGACAGCTTCCCCGAATCCCGCCAACAAAAGATCGGTTTATCCGCAGTTACGCTCTGCGATATTAGCAATGCTAAAATCTGCTGGTGTGTCATCGGTTAGTAAAAAGATGCATCCGACTTCCGAATACAGAGATAAGTAAAAGGATATTTTTGAAAAGGGCTAATGTCTCGAGACATTGGGCCTCGGCTTTGCCGAAATGCAGTTGGGGATGTGAATGGTTGTGGATGAGAGGACCTGGGCCGACTTCACGACGCTGCCTTGGTTCTTGTAGTTTGATAAAGAAGAAAGAATCGGAAGAGAAAGGCGGGACGGGTTCATACCTTGAGACTAAGTACTTCTTACGGCCTGTTGATCGACGTCTTGATTGCTGTCTGGGGCGCGCGAGTCTGCAGGTTGGAGTTCTTGGTTTTGTGTCACCGTCATTCACAACATCATCACCAGTTGGGTTGTGTTGTCGGCAGGTCGTGGGCTTGGAATTCATGGATCATGACGGTGGACCGGTACGTCAAGAATCAACTCTTTTCTCTGGACGACCCAAAATCCGGTTACGGCTGGGGTCTCTGCTCCCTAATACTTTATAAATTTATTGACCTGGATGGTTACGGATTTAACGGTCGAATGGCCAAAGGCTTTATTTTCTGTGCGTGAATCAAAATTACATTTGCATATTTGGATGAATAACGGTAGCCTCGAGGCTAGAATAACGGTTGTATGATTAATTGTGCATACTAGATGCATACGACAGGTTTTCATATTTCTACAACGGCTAGCTCCGAATCAACTACTCCCAAAGCTAGCGTCTATCTGCAATCAAAATTTGTATACATAAGAAAGAAATACAATGCTTATTTTTTGAAGAATGACAATGATAAAAGAACTAGAACCAAAACGTTTGTCCAAGATCTTAAGAGCAGTCCGAAGTATCTATTCAAAAAGCATTCTAAAGCATGGGGTGTGGATAATCCAATCTGAATCCGACATGTTAATCGTCAAAGCATACTGGAATGACGATTCAAATAGGTCCAGAGGGATGGGGGGAGGGGGGGTCTAAATAATTGAGGTAAATGGTTGTAGCATACAGCTACGCTGTAGGTGAAGTTTGTTACTGTCGTTCAAAAATTGCCTCTATTGCATACATTGTAATTGTGTCAATGTAGTGCAACAGGGCGAGGGGGGTGCGGGTGAGAATTCCTGGAAACAAGATACAAAGATGCATCGGATGAACGGTACTGAATAAACGTGTGCTCTAAGTTTTCAGCGACTTCCTTGACGTTTTCCAGTCTTGCTTTCTCTAAATTGTTGAAAAGCATCATCTTGTTCCAGCAGAATGGAGGGTCGGTAAATTCGTCTCGAAGCCAGGCTTCAAACCGGGCCTGGAACTCGTGAAGATTCTCAAAATTGAATCTATGTGCACGCCTTGGTTCTTTGGAGCCTGCATTCTGTGGCAACCTCGTGACGATGAGAAGGTATTGCTTCCCCTTTGATGTATATGGATTCGACTGATTCATTTCCTTCAAATCTTCTACTTCGGGTTCTGGAGTTGGCTGTACCGGGAGCCCTGTAGTATTTGAAGAATATGGCGGATGCTCCTGGGTTCTATTTAAAATAGAAGCATGAACGGGAGCCGTACGCTTGATAGTCTCCGCTTCCTGCGAGACTGGGTTATTCCTCGACCAAGGGAGCGAGCCTTCGTCTTGGAGGTCTTGACGAAAAAAGAGATGGGAGGGATTCACGGTTGTGGGATTATCGAAGGAATGGTTTGAACTAGTGATCAAGGAGTTTGAAGGCATTGGAACTTGGATATTTTCTGATGTATCCCGGCTTGCAATCCCAAAATCATCAGGGAAGAATGCGTGTTGATTGTGCCCTTCGAGAGTGGAACTTGTAGAAAACCAATTCGGGTCTAGCATATGCCGAGACTCCAGGGGGATTCTTTGCTCGAAGTCATTTTCTGTGGTCGCTATTGACCATGATGATGCCTCCATCCCCTGTTCCACCTGAGTTGAAAGTGATGCTCGTTTTGAATCGTGGGCGCGGCTAGTTGATGATTGAGCTTCAAAGTGATGGTAACAGTGGTTTGGGTGAACATTGGATGTAGCTATATTTCGAGACATGGGAGATGTGCAATCTCCACTGAGGGGGGAGGGACAAAGTTCAAGCTCATTGTGCATAGGCACTTTCTGATTCTCGAACGGCGCAGGTGTCAAAATCTCGTCTGGCTGATTTGATTTGACAGAACTAGCAACCGACCTAGAAGAGCTAGCTAGAGATCTCCTAGACCCAGTCTCGAAGTCTGATTCATTCAGTCAGAACTCTAGAAATTTATCTTTACTCCTAGCTTCTAGATTGATTGTAACATGAGAACTCACATGGGCTTGGACGCTCTGTTGGGTGCCAATGTGGATTACAAATGTCGAATACGTCATCCCAAGTTTTCGCTGCTCTGACGTCAACAGGTAATTTATTCCCAAAATGATTCCGCTTGAGATGCTCTCTGCCGTTAGAAATATTCGTCAGTTTTCAGCTAGGCTATAAAGTATAGTGTAGAAAACCATTCAATTGGAAAACCGTTCTTACTTGATCCCAGACAAGTTTTTCCTCCGTATAAATAAACAATACGCATGTTCGTTCTTGTCGACATCCGCTTTTGCAAACGGACAAGCGAGTGCAAGCCGCAAAGGCTGTGGTTCCGGGCTATTCCTATCAACTCGTTTGGAGGGTGGTGGGTTGGCATCTTCATTTTCCTCATCCTCGTCTACAACTCGCTTCCGCTTGTAGTCTTCTCTTCCTTTATCTCTTACATAACCACTTGCACTACCCGAACTCTTTTTTCTTTGGTTATCATATATCTTAGAAGATCCTTCCGGATACATTCTGCCAGGCTCTGGATCACCACATAAATCTACATATTTTGGCAAATGATGCCAGAGTCTAGAGTTCAAAGGTATGAAACTCAGGCCCATAGGCATGGGTCTTCCGGCAATCCAGTTCCTGGAGTACCTTTTGGTCCTAGTCCTAGACGGCTCCTTGATAAATTGGTTGAAGGAGTTGCTATAGTTTGCCTTTATAGAGAGTCCATGGCCCCAAAAAGAATTTCCAGGACCTCGGCAAGGATTTCCACGGAAGCAGGGCTTAACAAGTTTGTGATTCAATGCATACCTTTCGGTGTACATGGGATCGGAACCTTGTAAGATGATGAGAGCCAGTTCTACAGGAAGCAGAGGTCCTATATCTCCTTGTTTATGGATAGATCTGTGGCGGTGGGGAAGACCCATGTCATGGGAAGAGTAGAGAGTTCCTGGAGTTCCTTTTTTACTGATGTTGTTGTAAAGTCCAGTTTTAGAGACCAATGAGGAACCAAGTGGGATCAATCCATATCCAATACTGTCCGGAATATTTCCAAGAGTTCTGGCGAAAGTCGTGTTTGTTTTCGAAGATATTACAACGTCCTCATAAGGAAAGCCAGAAACCTTAGGACCATGTCCGGTATCCAGAGTAAAGGGTCCATTAATATTTTGAGTAAAAGCCCCCCAACGGGGTACAGGCGATCGTGAAGCCAAGATTATCATATCGTTGTACAGTTCTGTTCCTGTGAGCTGACCAGATCAAATGTTAGAACCTTGCTCCGAATATGTTCAAACTCACTGAATGCCTGCCCTGACCTCGACCAACGAACTGACATCTTACAAATGTCGGATTTCTCGCTGATGAGACATGCAACCCAGATTGTCTGACACATTGAACATTTTGGAGGTTATTCGAATATTCGAGATGTTCGAATTATTATTTTTGTTACCTGGGATTGTTGAAATACGAGGTTCGAGGTTTTCCAGAAACCTAAATTTCTTTCTTGGTTTATTATAGCCCTGGTGGCGTTGACGTTTCGTAGCTTAGGCAGAACTGGGTTTTTCGAATTCTCCAACGCTTGAAAGTTGGAGAAGTCGAGTCGAATGGTCGCAATCGGGATTGGTGACAAACGCACCGCAAAACCGGGCGGTAGAATCGAATAGTGATAATGAATGCAAATACGCGCCTTGCCTCACAAACCAGTTGACCTATCGCTCCTTTCACAGCGTCCTACTGAGGTCTCAGCTCTGGTTTATGGGACAAAGCTAGTATCAGGGTTTTTTTTTCCGCAATGATTGTGGGGAAATTGTCCAAAGGAGAAGGGATACTAAAAAAAAGGTAGCTTTCAGGAGGGGTCTCGGGGTGTCAGCAGTACTTATAGAGCAAAGAGAATCCCATGATTGTAGCCCCTCATCAAGTTTCTTGGTTTTGTTGTTAACCCCCCCTTTGCCCTTCACAGTTGACTGCGATGCTCGAATAGCGAGTTGCGACGGTTAGATAGGAATAGCAGCTTGCTAGAGCTGCTGAGCAAACCCTGCATACAAGACTGACTATGCTTATTGGGCAAACCCGCCCCACTATTCATATCATGAAAGCTGAACTCTGTGATTGGAAGAATAGAGTGCACGGACAATGCATTGTGACGTTGCTTACGAAGTGGGTGCGGCTGTATCATCGCCCAAGCTTGAATCCTGCATAAACATAGAGGCTAACATGTTTCGTTTGCCTTTCTTCGGCATATTTGTCACAGCCCGAGGGTGCAAGATCTTGGTACCTGGTATCAGTATGTATCGATATCATGATAAAACATGTTTTATCCGATCAAAGTGGATATCATCTTGCGAGCCGACCGTGGTAAACGAGGAGCTTATATCCGCGATACAAGCAGCTGCGCAGCACTAGATAGCTCATGCTTGTATGTACATATGTAGGTACCTGCAACTACGCCTCCTACTCAATCCTTCATATTCCGCACATTTCCCCTATATATTGCAATAAGGCTATGCTTTTTGTTTCCCCTTATCTTTCGAAACTAGCAACAGCGTCGCTTCCGTTGTCCGATACCGAGAATGGTGCATCCGTATATCCATCAAAACCTGATTTATATCTGAAAGCCTTGAGGTGATTTCAGGATTAGCCCCCAGAAATTCCATTGTTTCCCAAGAAAACGGCGGATCTATAAATGTAGCTAATATCCAGGGCTCGAAAAACTGGAGGAAGGTCTCATAGCTGTCAAAGTCAAACTGTTTAGGCCCATGGGGCTCCGTAGAGCCAGATATAGGGTGCTTCCTAGCTACCAAAAGGGTATATCGATTGCCAATTGGTTCGTTTCTAGGCGCTGATGGCGTAGAAATTGCTGTTACCGTCGGTACACTAGACATACTCTGCGTAAGGCTCGGAGTATACGCTGAGGAATTCGGCGACACAAATGATGCAGACGTGTTGATCCCTGGGTTTGGCGTTGGAGGGAATGCGGCTCTTGGAGGGGCGGTACTAGGTGCTGTGCCATAGTGTGATGAAAGGGTAGGGGGAATATTCAATTCAGTTTTTAACACTGGGTAGAGATCCGCGGGTGCAAGGTTCATGTCAATGCCATAGTTGCCTAAAAGATATTGCGGTACACCATCAAACGCTTCTGCTAACTCAGGACCTGGTGGCCATGATATATGTGGATCTGCCCTAGGCTTCACCCATTCGCTGAATTCTCGAGGGAATTCAAACTGGCCTGCTAGATTCGGCTGATATGGTAGCTCTGGATTGTTTTGGACGGATGTATCACCGACAGCTATTGAATTTTGGGGTTCTCCGGAGAGTGGTTGGGGAAAGTATGGGTTTTCTGCTTGTACGATGCCTTCGAGCCCTTCACCGGCCGGCGGTTGGTTTACCGTCGAGGGAGCATGGGGCGCTATAGTAGTCCCACTGAAAGCCTGTCCCGCCGTTGGGCTCGTAGTATTGCCATGGGTCATGCTATTTATACCAGTCTGCCGGGGTGTTTCACAACCAACTGTTAGGTTTTCCGCCACCGGTAACGGTAAACCAATAACAGGCCGGAGAATTTCAAAGCCGATACTAAGATCTAAACGATGTACAGAATATTCCCGGTCAGCAAATTCATATCCTTTCTTTGAACTTAAGTTCGAGGCGTAATTTTTTCGAACGTGGACTTACAGGGACTAGGGATGGGATTGCGGTCGTCCCAATCTGTGATACACACGCGGAAGACTTGATCCCATCTTCTACAAGCGCGAATTTCTGGAGGAAGCTTCTTCTCAAAGTGGTTGCGTTTTAGGTGCTCCCTATAAATATATTTGCGTGTTAATATTTGTACCGATATCCGGCATTCAATGCCCACATTGTGGCAACATCGTATTTGTCGGTACTCACTTGACACCTGCTAGGTCTTGTCGTCCAATCAGCGCACATGCTAAATGGCTTGAAGGCTTCCCCTTTGCAAACGGGCAGGCAAGACGAGAGCCAAGTGAGTTTAGGTCGACGTTTTTGCTTCTTTTCTTGTTCGGTCCTTGATCACCTTCATCCTCTCTACCCCCCTCTTCTTGGTCGTCCCTCTTTCGCTTGTGCGGATTTACACGGGATTCTTGCGTTTGTCGACTCTCAATCCCAGCGGTCTCTGCAGAGCTCTCTGTATAGCCGTCACATTTTCTTCCGCTGTCTCCTTGATCTTCTAAATCATCACATTGCTCAGATTGGGAATCCGGGTAGTTCTCAGCTGAAGAAGGCGGTCTAGAAAACGGCGTCGTAGAGGCTGATTGCGATTTCAGATGATATTCGCGAAGCAGAAAGTACTGAATCAAGATGTATAGAGCTGCTACCTTCACAGCCTTTTCTTCTTGATAGCCAGAATCATCTTCCTCTGTGGAAGGGGGTAGCTTTATTTCATATATGGGATCAGATACTTCTGGTGGCTCGGAAAGGCTGGTTTCTGGATCAGGTGGCGGTCTTGGGGGCGGGGTATCTATGTCCCCGATCCGTGAGTCTTCGTATGTGCAAGAAAGCACTTCACTCGGTTGCAAACTTTGATATCCCTCGTCGATAATAAAAGGGTATGGGTAGGGGCGATGACTAGTATATAATGCTCGAGTGTTAAAAAAAAACACCTTGAAACTCTCAAGCTTATAAAAAGATTTAGCGGAAACTAAAGCACTTACCGTGACGGCCCAGCCCCAAACAGTTCCTGAGGGTGAAGAGGATTTGTTTCCTTGACTACGGGGACAGTATCAACTAGATCCATGTAAGGAGATAATTCTCCTTCAGTGTTTGTAGTAGATGGCGGATATTCACGTCCGTATAACAGGTTTGGGGGCAGTTCTGCCGTTCCTCCAGCTGTCTCATCATCATATTGGAGTTTCAGCTTGTGGAGTAGATGGCGCGTGTTCGCGAATCTTGGGTTAGGTGCTAGCGAAGCTAGGTTCCATTTCGCTGGTGAATCATAAACGGAATAAGCAGTCGCGGTGTAATCGTACGAAACATTTAATGAGCTATATGAACCCTCCGAGTTGGTATTTACCAAGTGGTTTAATGACGAGCCGTTCGAACTCGATGTTTTCTGGGTGGTTACACTCGAAGGTCCCAAGTGCGAGTCCTCTTCTCTAACTTTCTCGTTCTTTTTTTGTATATCTTCAGATTTGGTATATTCGCATTGTTCATAAGTTTGGCATGCGAGATGATTTGACTCGAGAGGATCCGACATAATATTCCTCTTTGTGGGTCTGGGTGAGGGAAGCCGCTTGATCAGCTCTTGGGATAATTCAAACCTATCGTCGTTATGAGAACCCGGCGGCGTGAAAACACAATCGTTGCCTGGTTTCCCCAAACGAATTGGTGTCTAAGAATCATGCAATGTCAGCTCAACTCCTATCACCAAATACCGTACGTTTAACCCTTAGACGTGAGAAAAATTTCAAATTCTACAATTAATTGGAAGATCCCTACCTTTTCCCTACCTCGCTTACCTACACGCCGGTATAATACCTTAGCTCGTCGCTGCTGAGCGCGAGATCTCATTTTGCTGTCCGGGACCCGGTGCAGCTCCCCTGAAGTAGGTGGTGTCAAAAGTCCTGTGGAGTCGAGATAGATTCCACGGTGATCCTCGAGAAATAACTTAGACGGCTGTGACGTTAGTCCTGTCCCAGGGCTAGAACTTTCCTGGCTCGGAGTGTTTAATGACTATCAAAAGCCACATATTGTTAGCCATGCACCCTTGATATCCCGCAGACTGTCCAGTCCTTCTTAGTTAATTAAACTTGCGCATGATAATACATCTGTACGTACAACGTCTTCCACACCTTGGTCAAAAGTTTCGCAACAATTTAAAATCGCTTCTGTTCCAGAATTAGACAAAGACATGAGTTGCCAAGTAGGTATACTGTGAGGATATTCGAAACTGCCGGTTGTGGTATTAATATTTTGAAGAAGATGCTGATCAGGTTGTCTCTGACCAGGATGAAAGCTATCAAGACTGTCCGGGGAGTAAGATGGTGTGTCGTATTCGAAATGAAACTGTCCGTTAAACCTGAAAGTTGATGTTTGGAATGCCTCATTGGACGTTGTAGCTGGAGACCAGTCCTGCTCAGTAGAAAACTTTATCGGCCATGGGGTCTTGTTCAAGTCATGAGATTCGTTTCCATTTCCAATACTCTCCAGTACACCCGCGGAGTTGTAGCCAGACGATAAATTTAAATATTTGCCTTCTTCGGACGTTTGCATTCTTGTCGTCGTCTTACAGCAAACCAACTGCGGAGGCGGTTTTTCCAATCGTATATATATATATATATATATACGTATGACGACTTCGATTAATTAACAAAAGCTGGTGGTTCTAACCCGTTAACCCTGGTTTCTTTGTATTGGTTGGAAGGACACTTCGAAGAAACTCGAAAAAATTGGCTGCAAGTTAAGAAATATCAAGATCAAATAACACCGTTCCAATGCGGCTCCCATGCTGATATTTAAACCCAAATCCTCCAGTGGGCACCCAAGGTACCAGTGCAGACATGATTATACCGAGCCTCACACAGCCTTATGCTTGCGCATCCCCAGTTCCTAGCAATTCCTAGCAAGACGACCGAATTCGGTACCACACCACAGTCTTGGCGCTAGCTTCTCGACGAGTATGATTGGTTCAAAACCTGGCTTGGATTGCTTAATAAAGACCGAAATTTTCTTGTTGTATCGAAATGAAATACTATCCAATAAGAATAATTGAGTAACTTCCTTATGTAGCTTAATTTATCAGTTGTCCTATTTAATGGCGGGAAGCTATGCATATCGATGTCGCTCGCTAGCGGATTAGCTTAGATCCTTCCGACGATGTGCCTTAAGTTCACCTACACCAAGTCGTTTTTCAAGGCAGATTTCCAACGCCAACACCTTTTTCGTTTGTTGGAATATTGACAAGCTTACTCTAGTATGCAGCTTAGGTGAGGAATTCGAGTTCGATATCAATATCGATAGATTAAAAGTTATGATAAAAGCACATTAAGTTATGACTTTAAGGCTCTCTGCTTCATATATTATTATAATCAACCCAGATGTTAAGCTTGCCATACAGTTATGAAGCGTCGTTTGTTTATAAATTCGAACTGTAATCTGGCCTGGGCGATCGATCTCGCTATAGCGCCAGCTGTGTAGGTGTTTGCAACTAATACGCCGTCCGGGAAAGAGTCTACACATTAGACGGTAATAGTCCATGCCATGCATGCATAGTTCTGTTCTTTTTTCCCCAAATACATTGGATCTATAGATCTGGGTACTTAGGCTTACAATTTGTTATATCTTTGCTTTTTTATAATTATATCTCGAGAGCTAATGTTGACATGTCGTTCCCAGAGTCACAAATGATTGGCAACATGTTAGCAGGGTCTTCAAGCGGCATGATACTTGCAAGTGATCTCGATCGTTCCCAAACGTCACAAAGGGAGGCATCTTGGAAGCCTAGATTCTCATGGTAGGCTAGAAGAATGTGGGCTCACGTAGGTTTGAACTTTCTCTCCTACAGTTGTACAAATATTATATCAATCCCGTCTCCTGCGTCCTATAATGGATTTATATCATAGAACACCGTGAATACAGGTCGCCAGTACAGTGCGATCTACTTTATATTAATTATAATATTAGCTGTTAGTATGCGTATACGAAAAAGGAACGTTTTATCTCATCGAACAAAAAATGCATTCATTAACCAGGACCTAGACCGGCAGTGGTACTGTCTATCTATATAACTAACCACCAGACAATCGCAGGCAATTCTGTTGTCGTTATATACATCGATGGAAAAAAAAAACGAGGCCGAAAGCCAAAACCACAAAGCCAAAATCTTGTGTACGCCAGTTCCGGGTATCATATTCAAAACCAACAAGGGGAACAGGTTCAAATATCTCATCAATGATGTTTTTTTCCTTTACCCAAAAAAAAACCATGAAAAAAAAGGGGAGGAAGAACGGAGCGCAGCTCTAATGCTTCTTGTTCTTTTGGGCTTGCGCCCACTTCTTAAATGTCGGATGCTTCATGAACTGGGCAGCATCCCACTCAGCCTCCGCGTTGAGGTCCTGATCCCTCAACTGCTCCAAGGGGCCCGGGGGAATGACCGTCCCCGTAGCCCCTGCCTTGCCAGCCATCGATCTCATAATGTATCGAATGGCACTGGCGGCTCGCTTTTCCGAAAGCTTAGGAGCCTTGTGAGGGCGGCAGGACCGTCCCGGCGTCTGGGACTCGACGGTCTCGGCATCACACTTCCTCTTACGAGGAAGGGGAGCCTCAACCGGAATCTCATCCGCACAGGCGACTACCCGCGAAGGTGAGATGGGTGCAGTGCTGCCCATTTCCGCAGCAGATCTCTTTCGGCCAGCCGTCGCCGAAGCAAACGGCATGGCCTTGGCTCTAGCCGAAGCTATGAGCCCAGGGTCAACATCTCTCATGTCGACAGGGAGCCACAGTTGGGGCCCTCGAGAGCCTGTCTTTAAATCGACAGGGACTACTCTCGGGCCACCAACTGCGGCCGTTCTCGGGGCATTAGTGGCCCCAGTCCTGACTACAATCGGTCGGACTACCTCAGCTTCCACAATTTGTGGAGCTGCAACGACTTCGGCATCTGGGGCAGACTTCACCGCCATGAGCTCCTGCTGGGCCTCTGGAGACAACTTGTTCCAGGCCTCAATGCAGGCCGCAATCGTGGCTTCCAGCTCCCGTGCACTTGTTTTGTCGGCTTCCGCCAACAGTCTCTCCTTTTCGGCGCTATCTGCCTTCTCGTACGCCTTCGTCTTTTTGATGGCATCTTTGCGATGCCGTTTTCGTGATCGACCGGATTCCTTGGCCCGAAAGAGGCCGGCAGCCAACCCTAGCTTCTTCCCAATGATCTTTCGTCTCTTGACAGACTCTGGGTGGCTGCTCGTCCCCTGGGGAATTATTGGGCTAAAGTTAAATGGTCCATATGGGCTGAACCTATGACTTGGATTCGGATTTTCCCAATCGTCAGCCGAAGCCATCTCCTCATTGGCTTGTATCAGTATAGCCGGAGCTGGAACTGGAGCCGGAGCCGGGGCTACTGGCAGGAACTGTAGCTGGGAGTTCGAGCCCTGGACAACTTGGGTTTGTGCGCTAGGTTCAGCTGCATCACCGAACCCGAAATCCGCAAACCCGAAGTCAAACTCTTGATCCTGTTCATTCTTTGTTTGATGATTTACTGTTAGCTAATGGCCTGGCAAGGAAGTATTAATGGGCGGTATTGGACAAGTGAGAAATTCAAAAGCCACAATTTGGCTCTAGCGCTAGCTAGTTGCAAGTTGGCAGACCGGGCTGTTGTTGCATTTCTGACAAACAACACACCTCAAACCACTACAAAGCAGCCAACCAACTCGACCAGAACAAGTCTCAACAACCGAGAAGGAAGAGGGTGGACTTCGTGGCTAGAATGAAAGAGAGGATGGGAAAGGAGGAAAATGAAGTACAATGGAGTATTATGCTTACCAAGAAAGACATTGTGAGGGATAGGACGTGTCAAGACACTCGAGGACGAACACAGGAAGGAAGTCAATGAATGCTGTGGTCGACGACGATGACGGCGTGAACGACCAAGCAAAGAAGCAGGCGATTGAGGATGACGTGATGTCAATGAGAATGGAAGAAAGATGATGAACCAACCAATCGGTGTGATGGCTCACAGGCTGTGATGCGACTTAGGCAAGAGTCGACTTCGGAGAAGAACAAAAGCGGGGAGAAGCAGAAGAGAGATGACTTGAAGAGTGAGAGAGCTCAGCTAAGATGCACACAAGTTGGTTCGACAGGATTATCTCAAGTGATAGACGATGTGAAGCAATCAATGCTTACGAGAGGACGAAGATACAAGACTGAACTACTTTGAAGATGGAAGTTCGATGTGAAGCTTCGGAGGAAGAAGAGGATAGAGCAAGAATACTAGGATGAGAAGAGGACGAAAGGAGGAGAGAGAAAGAGATGAGATGATGAGAGCGAGAGAGAAGTGAGAAAGACGGAAGTGAGAGACAGAGTATGACAGAAATGAGAGAGAGAAGAGGTGGATGGATGTGGGACAGAGACAGAGAAGGATAGAAGTGAGACAGATACGGAGAAGGATAGAAGTGAGAGAGAAGACAGTAGGTGGAAGAGGAAGAAACGAGAGGTGATACTTCAACTCGGAGAAGTTTGGACGAGAGATCACGAGATCAAAGAGGGGGCTGTACCTGCCGAGAGCGGGAAAATGGTGGGGAGTGAGAGGAGACCCGGGTCAAGAGGTGGGGGTGGACATGATTATATACCCGATGGGGGACTTTGAGGGAAACTATTTTGCAGGCTTGGTGAAGACCCAAAAACGTCGGTGAAGACCCTAAACCGTCGGTGAATAGCCCTAACTCTTCCATTGTTCAGGTTGTTCTGCGTTTCCAAACTATTCCATCCGAATTGGGTAATTCGACAATGAGGGATTCTCACCAGTCTACAATTCACATTACCCAATCCATACTACGAAGGACACCAATGATGAGGGCCCCTCAAACACTTGGCCATCAGGCTCACCAGTTCGCCAATCGGGACGAGCCTCAGGCCCTCCTCTCCTCAGTCGAAAATATTTACATGTTTCCCTCCATTAGCGAGGATACATCCTATGGGAACTATTACCATCACGATCGCTATCAGTACAGTAGCCATGAATCGGATCGGATCGGATCGTTTTCATATTATTTCAATCAACTGTTGCTTCAGATTATTAGGCATCAGTCAACCCGAAAAATGGCCAAAAGAGGCTACCACGGGAAGCTATCCCGCAGTCGATGAATATAATAGATTCAGAGTGCGGCTATGCATATATGACGATCGTCTATTGTATTGCGGGCCGCTCTGAGGACGGAATGACCTTCGAAAGTAGACAGGGTTTGCTTTGCCTCTGGATCCATTGCCTTGCCACTGAAGTCGACAGCGGCACAGATATCTCTGCCACAGACCAGCCGAGATCTGTGAACCATTATCCTCACCGATATAGTGTGGCACAGCCGATTCTGCAGACCGATTGCATATATGCATATCGAAACCGCAAACTCGAGGCACAATAGCATTGTATATCTATATTATGCTATACAAGTCGCCCTAAGACTTCGGATATTTAAGTCAAAATTTCTGACTTGGAATTTGAAAGGCTCCGAGCTCAGTCGTGCCACTATCAGACGGCCGTACCGAAGCCATGCAGAGGTACTGCTAAGCTTAGCTTGTCTGCAATGCAATATGTCAGCATTTCTATGCCACAGTCATACCTAACCAATGCATAAAACAAACCAGGCTTAGTGTATCAAGGTCCAATCCGGGTCCCCTCTATAACTACGGAGTACAACCATCACTTATGCACGTCAAGACCCCTGGGCCCCTGGCACCCGTTGAACATGCGGACGAAAGCGACCCAGGCGACCCATCGGCTCGCCGCAACACAGCAGTATCTCCACTATTAGCCCCTCATCATCTTGGCACCAATCACTTCTCGACGGGTCGTACGGCGCCTAAGCATTTTTTGAATACGATCCAGCGACGCGGGTTTCCTTCCATGCGAATTTTACATCAAAACCTGGGAAAGGCATGCGGTGCTGTCTAATTGGGCCCCCACTATTGGACTCGGCAGGGGTATGGGCGGCTGTATTCTGCCCACCGATTGGTTCAAGGTCTCAATGGGCACATGCCGTTTTATTGAAATGCGGGGATTTTTATGCCAGAGACGGATAGATCAGGTCAGAAGCCACAGGAAAACTGAGGAGGCAGCAGCGAATACAGTGCGATCGTTGGCGGCCCGACGGTGCTGCATCAGTCAGGACGGGCACTAAATAAGCCAGAGCGAATACCATTAAATTTCCATGGGCGCTTACTTCTCCTCCTCCTGTTCCTTTTCTCAAATGTTAAAACAGAGTCGATACTTAACCATCCGTCCACCCCTTGAAAAGTACTTTAGACTTGCATTTCATGTGATCCCATATCAACAAGCTCCCGCTCCCTTTCGGTAAATATACGTTCAGCAAGTCTGCAGTACATAAGCGGTGAGCGTCATCTACCGCTCGCTAAATCTCATGAACGAGGGGTGGTTGGGCAAGGAGTTTTAAACGAAACGAAACTCTTCGGCGGAACTAGCGACACAGCAGCTTTATTCCCTGGATAGGAAGGAGACCCGCGGAAAAACCATTAAATATGAAGCGGACGACGAGCATTCGGTTGCAGAGCAACCTCGCGCGCGCGAATAGCGGTAAAGACGGAAGGCAATTGTGAGTTCTTCGCCATTATGCACACTCTGGTGGATTTGCGGAAACGTGGTAGCTGTGGTTGTAACCACGTTTACAACCGAAACTCGTGCACACACGTCAATTTCGGATACATACATCCCTATTGCCACAAGACGCGAGGGGTATCGTCAAAGATATATAATTGCACTGACTAACGAGCGGTTTTCATACATTTTAACTGCAGGCTAGATGCTATTGCCGATGTCCACTATTTCATATCAGTACCAGAAGAGCGACCGTCACATTCGACCTTTGAAAGAGGCACCAAAGTGGGGTTATTTTTAAAAGAGGATACTGGAAGAATACGAATAAGATTCCACGACGCTGTAAACCCGAAGAACTGCGCTTTATCTGGAGGTTAGCAGTCCCCAGATATTTGTAATTTGCCGATCACCAGCTATACAGAGGGGTAGAACTAATACGGTCATTTTTGTAGATATCTCGGTGCTCCGCCTCGAGTTCGGTAATGATCAAGAATGTTTTGTCAGGGCGGAAATAGATTATGGAGAGGATCACGGTGTAAGCTTAGGCAGCGATTGGATGGTTGCTGCCCCGGATGAGTGCAACGAGGGTATGCATAATTGGAGACCGTTTTGTGTCGACCTTTACTTCTGGAAGCATTCAAGTAAGTTGAAAAATCGCTTTAGTCATTCCGAGGGATCATGAACTAAGGGTAGATTAGTGGCCGATTACTTTGCCCGAATTGTCGAAGAGTACCAGAAGCGACTACAAGCCCAGCAAGCCCAGCAAGCCCAGATACAACAAGTACAGGCAGAAGCAAAATTAAAAGCTATTTCGCCAATACGAGAACAGCCGCCATCAAGGACACCGAGTAATAGGAGTTCGCAGTTAGCCAGGACACCGGAACCTGAAATGCAATTGAAGACAAGGACTTCTAACATTGAGGATGAAGACGATGAGGAAATGTTCAAGAAGTAGGTCGACTCTTAAGGTTTAAATTCTAGAGTAAATGGAGAGCTAACCATGATGTGGGATGACAGAAATATCATGTCGGTGGATTGCTTGGACTCCCACACGAGCGAGATTTTTCCTGTATCAGGGGGAACCATGGAATGCAGGGTTATCAAAAACCAAGTTAAGAAGACAACAAAAATACGGGTATCAGCACCAATAGATGGAGGCTATATCAAACTTTGTTACACGCGTAGGTCTCATATTGACCCCGTCGGCTATCAGGGGTGCAAAATTCTAACCGTTTGCTAGTTACTGACCGTAGCTTCCCTTATCAACTTCCCGAGTCCACAGTTCAGGTTCGCTTCATGCTCGTAGAAAAGAGCGTAACTGCAAACCCTGGCGCAAACATCGAGCACATCATCGATGCGGCTCCTGTCGATAGTCCTACCTTTCAATTTGAGCAAGACGACCACGCGCAGATATTCTTGGAGTGCCTGAGAGGCGAGCAACTATTGCTAAATAGTATTGTTGATTGGGTAAGATGCACAAGAGAGCTAAAAGAGGGAGAAACGTCGACGGCGGGGCCTCATCCGGCAAATTTTACATGTGCAGACGATAGACGGGTGCAATTGTGGGAGAATGAGCTGGGTTTTATCAATATTGTTTTTCATAGGCAGTTCCACCTAGTATCCGCATTCGGTGAGCGTTCTCTAACTTACAAGACGAATAAAAACGTGATTCTAATCCCTTTTATAGTCGCCCCGAGCACGCAAGTCGAGGCAGAAGCAGAAGCTAGTACGTTGAAGGTATCAGGCATCAAGATTAGAAAACTTGAGCAGTCGCCTACTCTAGACGCAAAGGAGCCGTGGAGAACAGAAGGGTCACCAGCAGTTCTGAAGTTGCGATTCGTCAGCCCCGAGCGTATGATATCCTCATTTCCTGCCATATAAAACACTACAGCCAACTAATGTTTAACTAGACGTTGTATCGTTCCGAGACGCGGTGCTAAGACATCGAGATGCGACAGCAATGATGTACCCGGAAGTTGCAAAGACTCTAGCTAAATCAATAGCCCATGAGAACCCGGGAGCCAGTGTTCCACCTCCACCGCCCCCAGAATTTCGACATCAGCGGGCAATGTCTGCCTCTGGCGGCCTTCCTCCTCCACCGACTTCACCACCCCAGCAATATCCTGCTTCTCCACAGTCTCCACCAGCCCACCAAACAAGCTTCACAGGCTACGGCCTAACGCACAGCCAATCCGTCCGGATTAATCGCCCGCCTCCCCTCCCTATGTTTCCGGGCCAGCCCGGCTCTTATGTCCCAGGCTCAATCAACAGCCCGCGTTACAACGCCCAACCTAGTCCGATGACCGGCACTTTCTCTCCCGGTAACATTGGCACATTTCCGATCTCTGCCTTCCCCTCGCCACCTGGTGCGAACTCTGCAATGCCATATCAGTCTCCAGCCGCAGTAGCAAGCGGCGCATTACCTCAAATTCAACCTATGAGTAACGCCGGATATTTCCCAGCCACAATAACACCCATGACACCTGGTCTTCCATCAGCAAAATTCCCACCGCCATTGCAAACTTCAATGATCATAACTTCTTCGCAAGCTCAAGCAGCACAGCAAGCCCAGCAAGCCCAGCAACAGCCACCCGCGACACCCATTCGTGAACATATGCGTAAAAATTCTTTTGCGACAAGGAACGACACAATACAGGAGTCTGTACAAATCGAACCCGTTGAGCTCCCTGCGAGTTTCCCGGATGCACCGCCCTATGAATCTGAACCAAGAAAGGAAGAAAGAGACAGCCTTATGATAAGGAGGTTCCCGAAGGATGATGATATCGCCGAGGAAGAAGAGTCCGAAGTTAGAAGCGGGTATAATCCTCTCGGAGGGAACGTTTCTATTCCAATTGCACCTGTCACAACGAGGGCGACTGGAGGCGGAGAAAGAGAACAAAGCGGCGGGGGTAAGATGTCAAGAGTCTGGAAGAAGCTGAAATAAATATCTCCATCGAGCCGGCCATATAATTTCTTTTATTATACTTCACATCTCGATATTTTACGTCTTATGTCCCTTGTATACATTTTTATTTCTGTTTATTAATATTTCTAGGCTTTCGCCCCAGACTAAGGCTTTCGTTGTATGTTATAGCCTTTCCTTAGCCTTTCCCGATGCATCTTAGCGATACCTCTTCCTTGCCATTTATTCTTTTTCCGCCTATCGATAGAGAACATTCCATGCAATGCAATGTGCCCCCGATTGAATCCAATCGAATCAAAGATCCCAACTTACCTAATTCCAGCCTAAGAAAAGCGTTCTAGAACTGCCATCTCCGCTGCCGCGCCGGCCCTGCTAAGTTTGCGTTGTCGGGTCCAATTCCAATTGACAAGAATCGAACGATCATTTGCATTCCGAACGTCACACAACGGCACAGAGAATCTCGAAGAGAAGCTTAACGCAGTGACTAACTAAAAACCCACTCACATCCGCACATGAACAAATGATACCAACCTATTTATCCTTATGAAGTACACCCGCCCAATTCTTTTTCTTCGAGTCTCATCGGGCCGGGCGCCGCTGCAGCATTGTCGTACTCACACTTCACCACCACCACCACCAATCCCATCCTCGAGGTTTGAATTCGCAACAAACACTCGTTCTTTGAGACTGTTCTCTTCAGATACCTCGAACACTTCAGAAGCAATGGCAGAGGTTTCAGCTACCCCAATCCCTGCCGGTCAGACAGGGGAGAGAACTTATGCCGTAAGTACTAAACTGTTATCTTTTCCTTCCTGATTATATTACCAAATAGCCCAGGCTAGGACTCATCAGATCCGGTCTTGCATAGAGATCTCAGACTTCATGACTAATAGAATGGATGTCGGAGTACACAGGACGCGATAACGGCGCTCAACAGCTTCCAGTCGAACTTTGCAGCTCTGGAAGCTCTCCGTAAAAACCCGGGGTACTCGAATCAAAAGTCCTTGCCTGAAATGATCGAGTGGTTCCGGCGGGCGGGATATAAGGTTAGTCGCTATTGCATGTAGACCTTTGGAATGCATTTTTCGTGCATGGCAGGGGCAAAATTACAACATCTACAACACAATTGTGGCCAGATGATTATCACACGAGAAAATGCATAAATTCTTTTTATATAAAATATGAACATGGACTGATTAAGGAAATTAAATAGCCTTCGGATTTCAATAATCTCTCAATCCTCCATGTTGCTGGAACGAAGGGTAAAGGCTCAACGTGTGCCTTCATAACCTCTATACTCCGCCAATATGCCCTATCTCCATCCTACAAATTCCCTAGTAAAATTGGAACCTACACCTCTCCTCACTTAAAAGCTGTCCGTGAACGGATTCAAATAAACGGTCATCCAATCTCCGAAACTCTTTTCACAAAATACTTCTTCGAACTCTACGACCGACTCGAAGAATCTAGTCAAAGGGAGGGTTTAGGCGGTTTAAGCGATGGTACCAAGCCCATGTACTTCCGGTTTTTAACCATGCTGGCTTTTCATACCTACGTGAGGGAAGGGTGTGATACAGTCATTCTAGAGGTTGGGGTCGGCGGGGAGCACGACTCAACAAATATTATCGAAGCACCAACAGTTACGGGAATCACCAGATTGGGGATTGATCATGTCGCGTTACTAGGGAATACTTTGGGGGAAATTGCGTGGCATAAGGCTGGGGTGTTTAAAACTGGATCAAAGGGGTTAAGTGTACAGCAAGAAAAAGAGGCGATGAAAACGATACGTGAGAGGGTAGAAGAAAAGAAAATCGATTTTGAGGTTGTACCAGTTTTGAAAGGGGTAGAGAATATCAAATTGGGGTTGGCGGGGGAGTTCCAGAAAGGAAATGCAAGCTTGGCGGTTAAGATGGTTGAGGAGCATATGAGAAGATGTACTGGAAAGGATATTGGTATTGGAGACGGGAATGTATTACCGGAAGAAGTGAAGAAGGGGTTGGAAACAGCGGTATGGAAAGGGCGGTGCCAGATTATCACGAAAGAAAAGGAAGAGTGGTGCATTGATGGTGCACATACAAAGGATAGTATCATGGAGGCCGGCAAATGGTTTGCGGGCGTGGACCGAAGGTGGGCCCATCCGCACTCAAAAGGCTAACGAAGGATAGCTAATATTCTGAGGACACAGCGAATACAAGAATATCGTCCTGCTATTCAACCAGCAGACAAGAGATGCGGAGCAACTAGCTAAAGATCTCCATAAGATTCTTAAACATCAATTGGGTGGGGATATATTTACGCATGTTTACTTTACAACAAATCGAACATACAGCGACCATACAACCAAACTAGGTGGGTAGCTTATCCTTGTCCCGATTTACCCTGCTCAGCATTACTAATTAGTTTGACAGATCTTATCAGTATTAACATCAGTAGTGAGGCTGTTGATACACTGAAGGTCCAGAAGAAACTTGCACAAACCTGGCCGGAAACCGGGAGCAAGGCTGAGGTACATGTTATGGAGACTATTCAAGAAACTGTTGAGGCGATCAAGAAGCTAGAGGGAAAGAGCCAGGTGCTAGTTACAGGGAGTTTACATTTGGTCGGCGGATTCCTAGAGGTAGTGGAAGACGGAGAAGAAGCGGCCATACTACCGAGCTAGGTTTCCCAGCGGAATTACTGGAAAGGTGAGATCGATTAAGTGCTGGCGCTATCATACATTTCAACATGTTGGTTATTCCCGTTAAAACTTTAAGTTTCATACATAGACGCTTCGTATACGCGTAGCGAAAATTAATATTAAATTCTTCAACAAGCCTCTCGCTTCTTATCTTGTACACCACCTGCTTCACATGAATGAGAAATATTAATCCGTGCTAATTGATATATATATTCGTGATGCTTGGAAAACGATCTAAGAAGGATCCTAAGGAATCTAGACCATGAACTCCCAGACTCCATCCCAAAAGTACATAGGTATTTTCTACAATGCCGCTTGCAAAATATCATTAAATCATCAAGCCTTACCAGTCCGGCTGGTCCGGGGTTTTACACAGTAGAATCGATCATGGGCGTATCAAAAGAGCCTAGCGGAGTTGCCTCTTCTGCCTCTATATCAGGGTCCTCGATGAAACATCCAACCCCTGAGAAAGCTTCGAACACAGCTCTCTCATAATACTGTTGTAAAAGGTAACCACCGGCCAGCACGGTCTTGTTGTTACGTGTATCATCCAACCAGCTATTTCCAAATGTTAGTTTCCGAAATTCATATAGGAAAAAAAGCGAAGAGAATACATACGGGCTCTCATATCTATCTCGATACATAAAGTACCGATTCGTTTCGTCAAATCCATCAACAGGGTCATACTTCTCGGGTGGTGCCTCTTCTGCAACCCGGTTGAGATTCGACATGAACTGAAATGCCGGCGCATTCCTAGCGGCCTCTAGCTCTCGTGCCCGTCGTTCCTGATTCTCTCTTCTCATCGAACTCTTCTTTCTTGCCAGCTTGTTCACTTTTGCTACTTCTGCATCCGGGTTATCCGCCTCTAGGGCCTTGAGCAGGTTTGCTTTATGTTCTGCCTTTTCACGTTTCTCCGAAGCTTCAATCTCGTTTTCAAGTTCCCTTGCTTTTCTATGATGTTCCTTCTCGAATTCCCTTTGTGCTAATGCAAACTGCTGTTCTTGTGCGGCCTTGGCGGCATTCTGGAGGATCGATGACTTGTTCGATTGTTCGAAAGCTGTGATCTTAGCTTCAGTGGCATTGGTATCAACACTGTTGAGCAAGTTAAATGTGACGGTCTCCACTTCTTCCAAGTAATCATTAAATTCCTTAAGTGACGGAAAGTCCTCCTGGCGCTTATTGAAGCTATCCAGCAATCCCCCCGTTAGAAATAGGCCCGCCTAAGTCCTACAAGCTGTCAGGGAAGGGGATAACTAACGTCTTTGCAATTCTTTTCCTAACATCAACCTCTCTCTCGACTTGGATATCCTCAAAGGTCTGTTTCCTAAACTTTTGCTTCCTCAAAATCTTATCACATCCAACGACAGGACACTGCGAAGGTCCTTGAGAGAATATTCTGTCGACACAAGACTCGCACATCTTATGGTAACATTCCGGATTGACTAGAAATCGCATGTTGGGATTTAGGTACCGGGAGGATTTGCAGACCGGACAGATCTCGTCGGCGTCGCCGCCACGGTTTATGGCGTTTTCACGGGCACGGGCGATCGCCGCCGCGGTCGAGGTCGTTAACGACGGCATCGCGATGGTCGTCTTGCGTTATAGAGGCGTGGGGGGAAGGATAGAAGGGATGGTGGGCATGTCGCGAACCAATTGGCTGATGGTTGGTTGGTGGTGGTTAGAGGTAGCCAGGATGAAGACGCGGTTGGGTGCATGGCTGACAGAGCAAGACGGGCTTGGCTTGATTTTTAAGCCGCCCGCAACGACCTCAACGCCTGCACCTTCTCGCCCGCCAAAATTTTTCTTTCTTGGATCCTTCTTCCTTCTTTCCCTCCCCACAACCCCTCCATCTCTCTTTCTTTCTCTACCACCACCAACCAACCTCGCCATGGACGCGATCGAAGTCACCGAGAAGCAACGCCAGCAGCTCGAAGCTTCCGTCGCGAAGCTTCGAAAGGCACTCAAGCATTGGCAGATTCAGTCTGCCGAATACGAAGGGCTCAAAGAAGAGCTCTTATCGCTCCCAAAAACCGCTGGTAGGGATAAAATCCTTGCCATCGCAGACGATTTCGGTGGCGATGTTGTCACCAGAGCAGAGATCACCTCCTTCCTAGGGGATAAGGAGGGGATCAAACGTGGACCGGCGCAGGTTGCTGAGGCAGTCAGGCACCGAATAGACTGTAAGTTAGCCTCTACCTCATTTGCTTGAAGCTCACTATTTTCAATCACTTGTTTGATTCTATTCAAATATCTAAGGATTTTGAGAAACTGAAGCTTATGCGTTTAGACATTCAAGAGAACGTCGACAAAATCGAGAAGCAACTCGAAATTGGCGAGGCGACATTGGATAATGTCAGAATCATCAAGAACTCCGGGCAATTGACGAACGAGGAAGGATTGCCTGTCATGAATATCAGGGAGGACTTGGATGAGAGAGGTGTGGTTATCAGTAAGTCTTCGTTGCGATAACACTCTCAGCAACGAATAAGTAGCTAATCTATCAAATAGAATCGGGCGTTAATCCCGCCGCCAGAGGATCTGCCAAACCGTTCAACGTCACCGCGGCAATCGAAAGCTTCCAGCCGTTGGTCGATACATTGTCGAAGAAGCAGAAAGAGAAGGAGAAGTCGGAGGCTACGAAACCGCAAGAGAAGTCTAAGACAGCTAGTAGCACAGCTTCCAAATCTACACCCTCTAAACCACCCACCTCGGAAAAGAAACCCCCATCACAAGATGCAATCCAGCAAAAGCCGAAACCGACGGTCCAACCCAAGACCCCGAAGCGTATTCAATCGACAGAGAAGGAATACTCCGTACAAACTGGAATGGTTTTGACCGAAAAACGAGTTAAGGCAAAACTCGTCCCGGACGTCAAAGAGGATGTACCACAACCCGCCACCAGAGAGGAGGTATCCGTCAGGGAGATCATTTCAGCTATACCGGAACCTGCATCTTACATGAACACACCCGAGCAAGCCAACCCTGGGACCCCGCAAAAGGAAGGGATCGCAAGGATCAGGGTTCTAGACGATTCAGATGACGATCTAGATGAAGATTCCGAGGATCCGTTCAACAGCTTGCCAACCGTCGAAGAATCGGAAGAAGAGGCCCAAATGAGGGAAGAAATGATCAAATACAACATGCGAGAAATGAATAACATCGTTGCTGAGATTGAATTGGAAGAGGACGATGAAGAGGACGATGACGAAGATTATGACGACGAAGAGGACGAAGAGGATGACAATGAAGGAGAGGACGAGAACGAGGATCAATGGGGTCGATCAAAAGGCCGTCTGGTCTCGGATAAAGTCAGACGAGAGATGATGAAGCTCCAGAAAAAGATCGAAGCCAGAGACAAGGCAGCTCAAGTCGCAGCCGAAGTCGAAGAGGATTCGAAAGCTCTGGCTGCCAATACAGAACAAAACAAAGAAATCGCCTCCCCAGCAGAGGAGCCTAAAAAGAAGAAAAAATCATCAGAGAAAAAGGGTGTCCGCTTCGCAGAAGAGCTCGATATCGCCCCAGCTCCAACCCCGATTTCAAAGCCTCCTTCCAACGCTTCTGAACTTATCGGTAATGAATTTGATGATGAAGACATCGATCCGAGTATCCTTGACATGATTTTTGGTCCAGGCACCGCGGATCAGGAAGCTCGCTACTTCCAAAACACCACCGAGCAGCCCAAGAAGAAGCTCCCCTCCCTCTTTAGAGCCGCCAGACAAGTCCAGAAGGCAAAGGAACAATCTGCCATAGAAAAGGCCCCTCCAGCAATATCCGGGGTCGTTGAAAAAGTTCCACCACCACCAGGTTCTTATGAAATTATCGAACGGGAACCATCCACCACTACTCCAACAGCTCCAAAGCCATCGGGTAAAATGCCTACTCGCAAAATAACCCCTTCCAAAGCCACAGCCAAACAAAGCCAAAAGGAACCAACCCCAGAAACCTCCACCATTCTCGACCCCCTCGGCGCCGAACTCTCAGATGAAGATCGCCCAATCATGGCTGCATCCGTCATCGAACGTGCACCAACTTGGGAAGCCCCATCAACCCTCGAAAGAGCCCCCCCAACCGTCCCCGATGAACTCGACCCAGAATTCCATCAACGCGAAGTCACCAATGCATACTATTCCATGCGTAACAAGCTAATACAACGTCAAGGTGGCTATGTCGAAACCGAGGAGGAAAAGATGGAAGTTCCCATCGACGAGAATTTGGAGAAGAAGAAGGTTAGTAGGTTCAAGGCTGGAAGGGTTAAGAACCAAATGCCATAAAACAAACAAAAAAACATTACTATCAATATTTCGTTAAACTTTGGGATGGGGATCATTTGCATATTACGGCGGCGTTTTCGTGTACTATTATCACCTGATTTACGTGACCACGAAGAACATAGATAATGATTCAATACGATGAAAATTTTAATTATGGGGGTGTGTGTTCTAGTAGTAGAATGGGTCTCGTGAAAACAGTTGCTCTACGCACGTGAAGTCTAAGGAGCTAGTATCACCAATCAAATGGTTTTCTTTCTCAACCGCTTCGTTGGTGATTCCATTGGCATTTCTTTTTCGTCTTTGTGAAAAGGTTAGGACTAAAACCCCTTCCCTTCTTCACCACATGATGAATTTGAATATAACGCAGCTCCAAGATTAATATTGTTATTTGGCGCTCTCTGATGTATACCTTTGACTCGAGGATGATCTCGATCGCAAAAACATAATTCCATAAGGTTTACAATTCGTTTCACGCCAAACATCCTATGCTAAATTTTTAGAGATCATGTTGATAGTATGCATGTAAGTACAAACGGAACCTACCTCACTCGGAAACTCGGCATACACACTGTGAAGTATGCATGTATGCAGCGCTAGCATCGAGGAAAAAAAAAAAAAGTTCAACTCGAGCCGAATTTAGACCCTTTCTTCGATTCACCCAGATTGATATTGAGTAGGTACTTACTTAAGTATATACTTCAAAGAGATATTGACCCTAAAAAACCTTAAGTATCTAATACCTTTCCTTGAAAACGTTTATTAATAAAAACTGTCGACATGCATCCACGTCCAGCTGAATCAGTGTATAGTGTGGTATATAGCAAAAGTTAAAAGCCCAGCTAGTACTATATAGTATCATCAAGATATATTATATCACCTTGTCGCCAGCTTTTGTTTTTATCCATTCAGCCGTCTAAGATCTCTATTACATCCCACAGGTTCCCGCGAATCGAGAAGCCTTGAAAACAAAAAAAGTAAATAAAAAAAACAGGGAAAAATTATTAAAGAAAAGGATTGATCCCAGGAGGAAGAAGAAGGTCCCACCCCCTCACTTGTGATTGTACAGTCCTAGACGGCCATAGAAAAATCGGACAAGGGAGTAAGCGGGGGGAAGGAGCCCAAGCGTGACCAAAAAGTAAAACGCCCCATCGTAAACCAATGAAGAAGCACGGAAAACGCTTTTTCCGTAAATGCGTCAAAGACCCTCGCCGCCCATTTTCCTTTTCCGTTTAAAAAATGTACAGATTTTAGGAAAAGATCATGCATGATGAATGATGAATAAGCTTACATTCATTCATTTAGTCTTTTTTTTTTTATTCGGAGCTTTTCATGCCTTCCCTTGCGGAGGACTGAACAGCCGTTTCGCTTCACACGTTCGCTACTTTTTCGCCTTGGCGGAATAAACCGCATGTCAGGCGTAGACACTGACTGCATGCAGGGAGACTTCGGTGACAGTTTTGTCCGTGCAGAAAGAAAAGAAAACAAAAGGGATAAGAGAAGAAGGTGGAGGATATGCGGTTCGCTCGTAAGGATTAGGGTCAAATTCTGAAAACTTTGAATGAAAAATGAAAAAAAAAAAACAGAGAACGAAATTCCTTTAACACACAATAAAATGCCGTCCCATAAGCCCACGCGTGTATTTTTATGGCCATTCTTCAGAACGTTAACCGGAGAAGCGTTATATATAACAAACAATAATGGAAATTTTGAAAGATTCCTCCAAAAAGGTTGCGCCGGGGTATTATGGTGCCCTCCAAGAAAAAAAAAAGTGCCGTGAATAAACAAAAGAAGAATCAGAACGGATGATGTGATGGGCGCGGCCGATACAATTAGTGCCCAAATTGCGTATATGTTAGTAGGATGCTTTTGATGGTAGCGTCTGGTGCAAACGATGAAAAAGGCTGCGAAAGGCTGAATATCTGCGAGGACTAGTACGAATATGACGTGGGTGAAACAGAAGCAAGGAGCATACTTTCAAACCATCAGGTACTCCCAGTTCTTCTCTTTCATAATCTGCCGCCATGGTACCATCTGCCGAGGATCTGGAATCCATTCTCTTGACCATATCTCGGTCAAAATTTTATCAACGTTCCCTAGGTTTCCGTACTTCGCCATATGTGCAGTTTTCTTCAGCCTCGCGGAAATGATCTGCTGGTCTTGGGGTCGCCTGGCAAGCGATCCCACGATTAAGAGTGGAGATATTATCGAACGTTCGTAGCCCATGTATAGGCTCGGGATATAGTCTATGACGGCGAGCATTTCTTGTAGTAGGGACTGGCATTCAGGATCCAGCGGATTGAACCCGTATACTACAATACGGAGGTAGACTCTAGCCATGATCCTGAATGCCTCGGTTACTGCTTTCCTAAAAGTACCACGGTCCTCAATCAACTCTTTGGTACCATCTGTAACGAAGACGTCCCCTCCGTCAGTCTCAGTTGGCGAGGTAGGACTGGTATGATGATGATGATTATTATATGGAGTTTCTAAGACTGTGTAACCCGAGTTTCGCCGAACAATTCCGTCGACAACTTCGTTAACTTCTTGGGAGGGGTCCTCGTCGCCGTATGAGATATCGTCGTCATCGTCCTCGCCATCAAAATTAGAGTCCACATCTATCCCGTCGGCAAATTCGCTCCCGGAATAGCCCATTTCATCAGCGTGTGGTGACGTGTGGACTGAATTATAGTTGCAATAGCTGTACTCCGACCTCGGACTTCTGTTTTTGAGATCAGTGATAGCGAGTTGCTTGAGATCTCGATCGAAAAATTCTCCCCTGCGGATAAGTTCTGCCTGGATAAGAGGATAATTTTGTAATGACAAGCTTTCAAACTTCCATTGCTCCAGACATGTGATTTCCGATATCAGGTAAAGAACAGCATCTTCGCATCCAGTCATTTCAACAAGTCCATTGACTTTGTTTCGTTGTTCCGGTTGCAAGAATAAAATATCGCGATAAAAGTTCGAAAAGACGGGTTTATTGCCAGTGGTTATAGAAGAAAGAATGTCGAGCCAAAGAATACGAGAGTAGATGAACCATTGTCCGGGATCGGTAGGGCGTTGGTCGCACCAGTTTAAGAGGACCACACAATCAGTGGCAGCTTTGACGTGGACTTGCCAGTCGGTTCGCCGCGAGAAGACTTCGAATGAAATGAGTGCACAGACAGTCGCGGCAATTTTAATCCGTTCTCCTTCGTTCTTGCTATGTGCAACTTGGTGCTTTAGCGATTTCAAACTTTTTTGCCGATGCCGGAAAACTTCCGTAACCAAGGCTTTCCTCTGATGTTCCGAGATATTTGTTGCTGTGAGGTGTAATGCCGTGCTACTAAGGCATCCGTGGAGAAAAGACTTGTTGTCATTAAACATCGGAACAATCAATGCAGAGTTGTACCTAATAACTTGTTCGTCGGAGAGTGCCCGATACGTTACACCAAAGATTGTTTTCAAGTATAAGTTTGCTAAATTGATATCCAATGGATTATCGGTTTGTATTTGAAGTTCCGAGAAATTGTGGAGAGCGACAGTCGCTCTACGGGCGCCATAATGTGCGATTTCTGTATGGCTAGACGATTCGGCTGAATCTGGCACTTCCATAATATCCTCTCCGTATACGTCGACTTCTTCCTCGGGATCCTCCTTGATCGTGCCTTCCACAGAGGGTGCCCGTGTCGATTCCCGGGACGGTAGAGTGCATGTTGTTGGTGGTGATAATGTATGGCTCTGGGGTCTCGAACTCGGCAGGTTAACGGCCCAATGCATACTCCTCATGTTAAAGGGTGAAAAATCCATGGACCCGGATTCCTCCGGCGACGATGTCGAAAATCTGGTCGGAAAATCATTTTCGCAAATTGTTATAGGCAGAGATATCCCTGATATTTGTTCCGGCTGTTGTTGAAAGCTAGTATCGTTGTTTGAAATGGTGGTTGGCGGAGGCGTAGGTGGATTGATATTTGGAAGGGGGGCATGAGGTCTCTGAGATGGCAACTGGGCCTTGGTTGGATCTTGGTTCTTCTTCCGCCGCCTGCTGCGCCTTACCATTTGCTTCTTGATCTCTGCCTTTTTTTCAGCGGCTTTCTCCGGATCTTTCATCCAGACCGGCTGGCCATCGTACCCATCGCATATCAATCGCAGGTGAGAGCACTGCTCACATGCGGGCCGGGCCTCATCACACTTCTTCTTGCGGAAGCGACAAGTCCAGCAACCTGTGAACAATTAAGTTTATGAATTAGAAAAGAAAAAGAAGGATAACTTTATAGAGTAAAGGGAAACTAAGTCTGTAAACAAAGTAAACGAAAGAAAAGAAAATGGAAAAAAGTATAAAGGTTAAACCAACGTACCAGTGCGAGTTCGCACATGTCGAGTAGGAACCGACATGATTAGGGATTTAATTCAAGACTCAAAGACAAAATTGCAAAAGGGCGTGTTGCGTTCGAAGGTTGGGCGTTGGCGGATGGCCAGGTCCATGCAACCGGTAGTTCAAAGGCGATCCAACAGTTGAGAACTTGAATTCAAGGCCCAGGAGGACGGGAAGATGGATGGGACGTCGGGATAAGACTGGTTGTGGGTTCAGTTATATAAAAGCAAGTATACTTCCTCATGCAGAGTAATATCACATTTGCTCGTTTTTGGACATTCGAATATTCGGGACTTGATTTTTGGCAGAAGAAGGGCCGGGGAAACGGGGAGGAGACGAAGTGCAGCACGAACACCCAGGTTTCCGGAATCGAATTAAAAGAGAAGAAAAGAAAAGAAGCAAGAAGAAGAAGAAGAAGAAGGATAAGAAGTACAATGTAGAAGGAATAATCGTATGTATGAAGGAAGTAGGAAGTCAGTAGTAACCGCAGCTGCACGAGCAAATATGGTGCAGTGCAGCCAGTGCAAGCAGACGGACAGGGCAGGCAAGTCCCGTTTATTTCTAGTTCCAGATCGATTTCCTTTGCTGACGTAGTGTGTGCTTGCTTGCTTGCTTGCTTTGTGCTCGCTCGCCCGCAGTAAAACTTAATTAATATGAGTATGGCTTGGGGGCATAAATTTGATTTTGATTCGATTCGATTCGATTCGATTTGATTTGATTCGATCTTGGGACTCGTTAATGATTTTGATCAGATCTGTTTACAAAACTTCATTCAAATTCAAATTCACAACTGTTTGTTGGTTATCGCGAGCAACGTTGCAGGTGACTAAGAAAAAGTAAGGTCAGATCGACTCTAAAGTAAGGCAAGGCAAGGCAAGCAAAGCACGGGCAAAAATAAAGCGGGCAAAGGGACATACGGAGTGTTACTGAGAACAGAGATTTACAGAGAACCTATCCCCACAGGAGCTAGTCTGAGGCTAGCTAGGCCTGGGATGTCGGGATAGGTACGGTAAGTAGGTAAAGTAAGTAAGCAAGTAGGTCAAGTTGCTAGTACTTAATTACAAGACAGGACCCTGTCACAGCGAATTCGCGGGAATCGAAGTGGAATGGAAGTCAAGGAAGTAAAGTAACAAGGACAAGGGACAAGAACGAGAATTCGAATGGAAAAGAAAAAAGAAAGGAAGGAAGAAAAGAAAGGAAGAAAAGAAAAGAAAAGAAGGTGTGTCGAGTGTATGTAGTGTGAGGCAGTGACGGTTGCAATTGTATGTCGATGTGGGTCCCGCTGACTATACTAGCTAACTGCGACGACGACGACGACGACTACGATGGCAACGATGATAAATTTAATTTTATAAAGACGAGACCTTTCCGAGATCGATCAAGCCATTTTATACACTTTCCAAATTTACTATATCGAGAATTGAAACTGTGACTTCATCGTGATCATAAGCTTCTCCGGTCCACACTCCATACTATACTAGCTGGCCATTGCACGGCTGGATGGCCACAGGTCTCAGTTCGAGGCCCGATGCTAAACTTCCAATATGAATATATAACTCACACTACTTTATTTCCTGAGGTTCCCGTGAAATGTCACCCATGGTCACTCTCTGCATTCGAAGCCATGGGAGCACAAACTTAGGAAAATAATAGCAATCAAAATCCGGAACCATTCTCGCGGACCTCCAATGTAGGCCTAGCCTGCCGGCGCCGGAATTAAGTTCTGTTACGGAAAAGACCCACTTTCTTCTAAGCCCAGGTGCTAGTTTGGTTTCCGTCGAATATGTAGGTACTTGGGTAAGTAGAGTCAAAGAAAGAAAGAAAGGAAAGGAAAGGAAAAAAAAAGAGAATGCCTTCCCATTCTGCATCATTCTAGTTGCAGACGATGCTGCCTGTTCCCCGCCTGCTCCTTGGCTCAAGCATCCAGACCCGACATACCCTTACATGTGTGGCTTTTGACAACCGAGCTCTGACAATTGAACGGCCTGCGTTTAAGTCATCTTGCTAAGTACTTAATCATTTATGTACCTGTGTTCTGGCCTCGAAGGGATGTCACTGCTTTGTACGACCATCAAGTCCGCCATGATGAGCCTGTCCAAGATGATTCGCCAGATGACGAGTAGGGGTGGATACTTCTTGTCTAAGACTAACTAACCTTTTGCTTTTTTCCCGAATATCTTGGAACCCGTCCTGAGGCGTTGCTTGGTAACGGACGGAACTGGTTCTCCGATTTTTGTATCCGTCGATGCAATGATTCAGTCGCGGTATGGAAGCACGATACTTTTGCAATACAATTAATTGCACCGAGGAACAAAACTTCGCCAGTCTTGGCACTTGTGAGTTACAGTGTGGATGGATGCCGGGGATATTCTGCCCCCTCGAGCTCTCGCAAGAACTTGCTCTTCTTACTAGTTTCCCTATACTATCATGGAAACTCAAGCATCTGATTTGTCAGTTTGATTGTGCACGGCCAAAAGTTAACTAGTCGGCAGAGTCGAGAGAAAGTAAATTTTTTTTTTTTTACTTCCCGACATCTCTAACCGGGAATTACTCAGGCGAACTAGTAAATTGACTAAGCTGCAATGTGAACTGTCAAGAATCATGTCGACCGACGGCCTTAGGAGGCAGCCTAGGTCGGAGTTCAGCTTCGAATGGCCATTAATGGACTTTAAATTTAAAAACGATGGATTTTATTAAACAAAGAATTAGACTATTGACTACATGTGATGAATATGGTCTGATTTAGGAATTGCTTTCCGGCTGCCTTCAGAATCGTCCAATCCTGAAGCCCTCCTGAGAATTTGCTGTTATTCGCCATAGACATGCATAATCGATTAAAACCAAATCACGTTTTGTTTGTGACTTTCAATTCATGACTAGTGCGAGGGAAAAATGCAGGATCCGCTTTTAGGACCCGCAAAATGGCACGAGGGAGCAGGTCTACCCATGTACCGAACTCGAGGCCTACTGCATCCGCACAGCGAGGCATTCAAACGGCCGGACTCCCACGACGCCCGAAACTGCAGCTAACCGATTACGTTCGAAGCCCCGACCAGCCTGGAACTTGCCGTGGTGAGGGCAGAGCGTTGGGGTATCTTCGATTTCGATATAGACCGATAGCCAGGGTTAGTGAATCGATGAGAGACTCTCGAAACAAGATTGGGCTGAAACAAAACTGCGGCCAATTTGTCCCTGGTGTTCTTTCGATCGCGGCGTTGAGCTTGTGTCTCGAGCTCGAGATCTAGCTATAGTTGAAGCCTCCGATTTCGAAATTTCGAAATTAAATTTTTTCCACCAGATAGCTCTTATTCTGACCAATTCATATGCATAGGGCTGCATGAGTAATTAACCCCATCCTCTGCTTTGCCGAACGTAGTACACACACGCAACTTTCTTCCTGATAATAAGACCTACTCCGATTTCGACAGACCTCTAACGCCATGGGGGTATAGTCAAATTAGATATGACTATTGCATTGCGCATAGAAGTATCTGTATTCCAACCCTAGCTATCTTGTACAACCCCTCTGCAGTCATGCAATGATAGGCGCCTGGGCTTGGATACACATATGAAACTGACCTCCCAAGAATAATAGTATCAGTACATCTAAAAGTACCGACTTGCTCGTCTGATCACTCCTCGGGGATTCGGGGTTCGTCAATCCATGTGCATTCAATCGATCAAAGACAGTCGAAGTCTCAGTCATTCTCGAAATTGTAAGTACGTAAATAATGGATTTGATTCGCCGAACTTAAGGTTTAAACAAAAAGTGCGGCAAACGCAGAGCAATGACCTCTTTCGACCGACTGAGGTTCAAAAATCTCAACCGTTAACGTCAGGGTCAAACATCAAATGGAATGTGCCGTGACCCGGACGAAAGGATGGATCGATATTCGAGACAAAATTCTGAATTCGTCGTCAAAAAATCAAATTGTTCACAAATCCCATGTTAAGCATTCCATGGAGGTGATTGATGTATGCAAGTATGCATATATGCACGGACGGCCGGCGGACTTATTCCAGGGAGGAGCTGGTTCTTTTGGCCGCGTATTTCACATCAAGCCTTCTGCAAGCTTTCGCAGATCCTAGAACAGAATGGTGTTTTTTTTGACTTTGCCCCCTCACGGGTTGGCACGAGCTTCCGACGAAGCGGGTTAGAAGCTTGCACATACAGTAGCACAAGATTCTATCCCAATGCAGATGATAATTAGTACGAGCCCGTGGCTTGCATATACGAGAAACAATCTCAGCTCCATTCCTCCTCGTCTCCTCGATCCTCTACCGAACCTGCAGCTTAATATGCAATCCACAAGCCTCCAAGTACAAAAGATTGAATTGTTAACATTTTGGTGAACTATACCCGCATGATACCCCAGCCGGTTGTTTGCGATATTAATGTCGAATCGGACTGTCATGCACTATCCCAAAGGATTGGCGGAATCTCTAAACTTACGAGATATGATTACCTAACCCTAAGACTAAGAAGTTACAGTCGTACATGTCAGCTCAAAGGTTGTAAAGAACAGCTGGCTCAATTGCTCAATAGCTAACGTTATCATCAATGCGGCCCTTACCTCCGCATATCTTATTAATTTGGGATTGGTGGAACCATTATCCGCTTTCCGCGCGGCCGTATTCACTGGCGCTTTGAAGCAGGGAATAAGGCTAGTCCCGATGGATGAAGGCATTGTCCAAGCAAAGGCCTTATCAGCGCCGACATACCGCCCGAACATAAAACATAAAATACCACACCTCCATTGTCTCTCAACGCAAATCATATCGATACAAAACTTGGAGTGTACATAGGTATTAAATACGCATGTGAGCACGGGCATTCAAACCAACCAGCATCTCCATCCATCCGTTTGTCTTCCAAAAACATCCATCTAACCTTTAAGCTTCCAGGACTTGATTATTGCGCTTCCATAGAGCGAGAGTGCAATCTAAGTAATTTTGTAAATATTACACTATTCAAAATTTACCTTTGGATGTTCCCATATTTAGCCTCACCGTTCAACGTGCTACTACATCGGCACACCCTTCCACCGCCTGCAGCTGTAACCACCCCGCCATCCACCGCCACCATTCTCCTCTTATCCTGTTGACACTTTCTTCTCGCGAGCAGTGGTACTAAAATACTACCTTCGCTTACGTCCATGTCGCTAGTACCATCCTGCCGGTCCTCAATAGGAACTTTAACACAGCTTTTCTTTCTTACCTTGCCCGTCAGACAGTGTAGTCGATCGTCACGTCAGATCTTGTGTGATATAAACTTTAACTGTGTAACCAATCTACCTTTTCTTTTTGCAAAAAAAGGAATTCCCGGGGCGGACGAGAGGAAAAGAGGAATGTTACAGAAGATTTTAAAAAGATAATATAATGCTGGCAAAAAGGTAAAATGGGGCTGTCAGCTCCGGTTTCCGACTGGGTTATACCCTCGTGCCTTGAGTATCGCTCGGTTGAGAAGGTGTTCTGGACTGTTGGGGGGAGGACAAGAAGCACGAGGGCTTAAACCGTTTTTTACCTCGGTATAATTTTTCATCTCTTCGTTATAAGACTCATCGTCGCATGAAATGACATCGAAGAAGGTTTTGTTGGGAAAAAAAGTTGATGATGATACTGTGATCTTTTTTGTCAGCTAGCTCTGGCGAAAGCTCCCACCCTCGATCCTAAAAGGGCGATGTACAGATCTCCAAGGAACCTGGGCCTCCTGTTGAATAGATCGAATTATGAATGTGACCCGAAAAAAAGAATATAGATACTTGCATCAACAGTACGATCGATCTATTGCGTCTATGTGCTTCAAGAAAATTCGCAGGATTTGAAAAAAAAAAACTTTGGATAACAGAGAGCTACGTAGCTACCTGGTAGATGCCTGTAACCATGGTCAGATCATGACCTTACTTTGACATGACATCGTCCGATCATATAAAACCCCTGTCGACATATGCATCTTTCGGCATCTCATGCATGAAATCTTAGACAAAACTTCCTTTCATCTGATATTAGGAAAGGTCCGAGAAGACGATAGCCAATAGATTGCTGGGGTCGCTTCATCGATGGAGCCCGGGTCTCGTCGCGTGGCGATCTACTAACCTAGCTATAGCTACATCCTAGAACTCCGGCCTTGCACCCATGTTATTTGCTGACCTCAGCGGGCCCTGACATAAATATGATATCGCAAATTAGAAATCATATCCGGACCATGGTCGCGATAGTCGATACCCCAGCCCGAACAAGGCCCAATATCCGACCGAATGCATTCGTGTCCAGATATATATCGAGTCATGACAACCTATTCGAACTTTCCTCCGATTATATCAACCAGATTTCGCGCCCTTTAGAAAATACCTAGTCTTAACGCCGTAGCTGGAAGAATTTTAATCCCGAAATCGTTTAGAAGCCGGCTTTTCGAAATTTCAAGTAAGTCTAGAATTAAAAGGATACCTATTCTGGTCCTGTGCCGGAGGTATAATATTTAGATCGCCCTTGTCGCGGACATGTTAAGGAGCTGACGGATGGCCGGCTGCTGACAGATCCGTTTACCGTATAATTTTTGGGGGATCTTTGGCCCGTCTGAGATCTGGACTGTTCGCTGTTGAGTCTCTTGATATTTCACATCACAGGCTGCTGGAAATCGATCTAATTATCCGGCCTCATGATCCATGGAAAATCCTACCTAGGAGATGCTTGATTACGGGCATCAGATCAGTTAAAAAGGATTATTGATGAACGGTCATCTGAGTATTAGGCTGATATCGTGAAGCCTCATAGAAGTGTATTGTAGTCAAGAGCAATCATGCGCTAATCCGAAACAGAAGCATGGGAAGATGCCATAGAAAACAGGAAACCCATCGACAGGTAAGAACATCATTTCTCCACCGAACTCCTAAGAATATGCATAATGGAACGCCAAAAGCAAAAGAAGAGACATTGAGATGTTGAGAATACTGAGAATACCAGTTTGAAGTTCAACGGCTACCACGTAAAACTTCTGTGGCGGCTTCTAGGAATCGGTTCATCTCCTTGACCTGTTCTAGTATACTCCTCCCCCCTCCGATTCCATCATCTTCGCCTAACCCGCACAGGTCCGCAGTAACTGTATCGATCAGTGTATCCAAATGAGCGGTTGTTAGAATACGCTCCTTGGAGGTAAGCTTAGCAGCATTAGCTCCACTTTTGTCTAAGATCGGGCCCATCTGCTGTAGAGTCTCATTTATGTATTGTTGTTTCTGGTGGGGTGTTAGCAGGGGGCATCGAAAAGTGTGAGAGTGTGGGATTCTTACGTGGGCCTTCTCGGACGCTTCTTCATGTGTCTTCCTGACAGCGTCCATTTGACGTGCAACATCTTCACGCGATTCACGCATGCGCATCAACTCATCCCGTAACGATGCCTTCTCTTTCTGTAAACGTCGGAGCTCTGCCGATTTCATCTTGATGTTATCCGCTCTACTGGCCTGTAACGAAGACATATTAGCGTGAATTATTAGATAGTCCGGTTTAAAATGACATACCATGCCAATCAACCTATTCTCCAGTGCGGTCGAGAAGTTTATGACCACTTGCCCCTGGACCTTAATTCTCGCCTTCTCCTCACGGCTTATTCCGTCGCGCTTAAGGAGAGAAAGAGTTTCGAGTTGCTTGTCGATGTGTTCGTGTAAAACTTGGCCAGCAATTTGAATATTGTTAGGTTGTTTCGGAAATTTGAAGTTGAAATCTTTTTGCTTTGCAATGCGATAAACAGTAATATCGAGTGTTTCTTTCGGCTCGCCGTTTTCATGTCGGAGTTTTGACTTTCCAGCCTGCCGTGGGCGTTTAGGTGCTTTTGTGGGTTTCTTTTGCTGTGCTGTGCTCAAAGCAGATCGGGTAGCTGGCTCTTCTTCCTCTTCTTCCGCTTCCTCTTCTTCGAGCGCATCCTCTTCTACCTCCTCAAAGTCTTCATCGATTTCTTCTAGATCCACCGCTCTGGTTTCTTCTCTTTCATTGTCTGATCTAGATTCATCGGCCTCATCTTCCAATGGTTCAGGTTCGACATCACTGAGAATAGCTTCATTCTCAATCTCCTGAGTTGGCGAATCTTGGGAAAGTATTTCCGCAGAAAGTTGTCTTTTCTGCTTAGGTTTTCTTCCTCTCCTCCTGGCAGTTGGATTTGGATTTGGAGCGCTGCGTATTTCTTCAACGGGGGTATTGTCTTCAATAATCTCACGGTCTTCCGGGGGTGTATCCGGACGTTCCTCTTGAACGGTCTCTTCTTCAACAATGCCTTCCTCTTCTATTTCGGGTTCTGGGGTGGGTGGCTTGTCGGGTGTCTGAATTATGTCGGAACTTGGTTGCCTCCCTCGCTTGCCTCTAGGCACAGGCGTAGTTGATACCCCTCGTCTCGTACTGCGCAATCCAGTAGTCCGAACACTTTCTAATGCAGATTCTTCAATTGTTTGGTCTAGCGGTGTCGCAGGCTCCGGTGTAATGCCGACTTCACTAGGTACGTCGGCTGTGAAACTCATCGGCTCCGGAGAGATAGAAGACGGAACGACTTGTTGACTACTTCGTGGTGGTAAAGGTGAGGGAGATGATAGCATTGGAGAGGCATCTGGAGCTAATTTTGAGCGGCGTGTGGAAGTTTTTGCGGTCGACCGGGTCACTAAAATATGTTAGTAGATAGACTAGCGTAGGTATTCGAATATTATTCCTACCTGGTGTCTTTAGGCTCAAATTGGCCATCGCCGACGCTGGAGCCGCCTGATTTGAGCCTGCAGCAGGTGTTGGTCGACCGTTGGCAACGACATCCGGGCTTGATTCAAAGGGCGCAGACACACGTCCCCTTGAGGAGACACTCCTTGCCGGGCTGCTAGACACCCTTCGACGTTTCCTTGCACTGCCATCTTCATCTGGCACACTATCCAAGCCCGAAGGGGTAGATAAAACAGAACTTCCTCTTGACAGTCTCCCAGACCTTCTAGGCTGGGATTCCTCGGCAGCTGGTTCAGGGTCTTTCGCTTCAGCAGGCTCCTCTACTGTCGGGATCGGCCTTTTTTCTGCAGCTCTTTGAGCACGGGCCTCTGGCGGCGTCGCGATAATTAGGGGTATATCGAAGCCAAAGGATTGTGTAACTACTCGCTGGGCTCTAGTAAGGAGGAATCGTCAGTAAAGGATGGAACTTTTATATCAATCTTTTCTAATTGTAAGGGTCCTAGACATACCCTGCTGCCCCCCGGCGACGCTCTGCCATACGCTCCTCATGTCGTTGTCTTGTAATTTCTGTGTGTCGCAGAATCCAAAGTCAGAAGAAGCTAAGACCAAAAGTCGGGACCTGCGTCATCATACCTGACATTGTAAGCTATAGCAAACCAATGCCTAACGAACAATCCAAAAAGCGCTATCTCAAGATTGACGGAGAGAAAGCCTATCACCGTCTCATTATAGCTTTCCTGTCTTCTTATCCGTCGTCGTCGTGGGTTTTATTGTAGCCTGTAGAGTGTATTGATGATGTTGGGAGCTGGTAAAATGGAGTGGGATGTCGCGTTGTTGTTTCTGCGCGCAGCTCGTGGTGGCACGAAAACACAAGTCGGATTTAATGCCAAGACATAGCCGAGTGGGTCTCTTCCTTGCTCGTCTCGAAGCTCCGAAAAGATATCCATAGAGCCTCAAACCTCTTCATCATGCACAGTCCACCACTTTCCAACATTGAATTTCGAAGGAAAAGGCCAATAGCTGAACAAATCTAACCAAGTGCAATGGGCTGGCTATGGGGCTCATCGGGATCATCATCCTCCGGTAACGACAAGGACAAGGCCCCCGATTCTAAAAAGCCTATATCGAATCTCGATCCGTCGCTGGATAATTATTTCAAAAGCAGTACACCAAAGGATGACAAACCTACAGTTCCTCCTCCAGCTGAAGAGCCATTACCAGAGCTCAAGGTCGTAGACTGGTCGAAGAAGCTCGAAGATCAGCAGCAGGACGACTCTGAACCCCCACCTCCCCATTCATTATCTGCTTATGGGGATCGATATCAAGAATACTGGGCGACATATAGAGGTCCTAGAGGGATTAGAGCCGATGGTCCAGAGGCTCAGATGAGAGAAATTGTCGAGGGAATGAAGCAAAAGAGATTTTTGATTGGAAATGCAGCACGAGAGAATTGTTCATTTGAGGAGGAGGCTATGTTCGATTGCTACAAGAACGGCTCCTGGTGGCAGACCTTGATGATGTGCAGAGCAGAGAGCCAGAGATTTGGCAAATGTCAAGAGCAGCAAAAGGTTTGTTAGTTTCTAGAAATAATTTCTAGAAATCTGTCAAGATTTTGCTAGATAAAGAGCACTAATGCAAGTTCATCGTAGGAGTTTTTGAAGGCCTTAGGCTACCTATCAGAGCCCGGGCGGGATCCGGTGGTCGAAGAGAGGATACAGATGCATGCGGACAAATTATTTCGCCAGCAGCTTGCACAAGATGATGCTACAATAGCCGCATTAAAAAGCGGTCAGAATATTGGCGAAGCTGTTGCAAAAATCAAAGCACAGCAGGCTCCGGAGAACACAGCTCCGGACGGTTCTAATCTTAAACCCATTCAGAAGGATACATGAGAGAGTTGCCAATAATTCCTATATAATTTTGGTCTGACGGCAGGCTGAGAATCTTAAGTTGTACATATATGCTGCCACGGCGGAATAATTATGATTACTCGATAGTTGGCAATGAGGAGATACCAAGCCCGGGATTTATGTTTCGGCATGTATTATACTACTACTTAGTAGGTAATTTGAGCTGTGTTTTTGATGTTAAACAGCAAACCAAAGCGCTGCAGACACCTGCAGCCACACGCTGCTCATTAGGCCTAGGTATGCACTCTCCTTTCTTACCCGTTCCGCTGCTCTTTGAAAGAGCGCCAGCGGCTGCAGCCACCATGTTTTGACCTCGCCGTTGCTTTGAGTTAATTACGATACTTTCTGATAGGTCGTTTCCTACAGGGACCACAATGTCTCCATTCGCACTTGGGTGTTGACTCGCCCTCAATATGTTTTCTCTGAGGTTTTGTGCAGGAGGTGGTCGGTAGCTTACTACACTTTCCTTCAGCACTTCTATCGAATTTGGAGCTGATATACGGCCACCGCGAGATTGTCGCATTGAGCCTTTGCTTTGAACTAATGGGTCATCCTGTGGCCTGTATAAAATCTTACTCTCTTTTAGAGATTCAATCTGCAGCTGTGGTCGTTCGCCACTAACGCCTCTCGACCGTGGCCGGGTGACTATGCTTTGCTGAAGATTTTGATTTTGTTGGCCTTTCCCTCTCCCTATATCGACATCTGGGGCAATAATCTCGTAACTTTCATCTAGGTCAATTCTATTGGCGTCATTGACAATCGACGAAGCAAGTTCAGACAATGAGCCAGCCGTACCCGCATCTGAAATACTGTCGCTGATTGGTATTGCCTGCTGAGGGAAAGCGAATCCACCCCGCCCGGCGCCTCCTGCGGGTGATAGTAGAGGCGATGAGATCTCTTGTCCTTCTACGATTTGCGACACCTCGATTTTCTTCTCCTCTTCTATTCCTGAAGCAGTTCGTAAATCGGCTCCGGTATTGATTTTAATGGGTGGCTCTTCAATCTTGAGTATATTTTCGACAGCGGGATTGAGAGGTTCTTTGATTAAGGGTAACTGTTCAATAGCGGCCTCCTCTTCGATAGAGGATAATTCTTCTACGGCAGCTTCCTTCACTATCGCGGCTGTCGGATCACTAACCACAGGCACTGTCGTAAATTTGAATCGTCCCTCTCCTAACCATTCCAGTTGTACGCTGCTATATATGATTCTGTTCGGGTTGGGTTCTTTTTCATACGCCCCAGACCGCTCCATTTTCCCTGTCTTCGGATTCTTCACCATCCTTCCTGCTGAAGCATTCCAAACGGGGACTCCTTCCCATGATGGTGGTAACGTCCATTCCCTCGGATCGGGTAGATTAGGAGACGTCGTATATACCTCGAAATTCCGAAGTTTGCTTAATGGACTAGCGTCTAGCGCTTGCTCAAGAGATCTTATTGTCTCTGTATAAAATGGTGCCCGGGGGTCAGACACCGACGCTAAAGTCTTTAGAGCCGCCGCTTGTCGCTTTGGGCTCCATCTGATCCTTTTAACAGGTGACTTCCCAGGAACGCCCAAAAGATCAACCATTAGCCGATAGAATCTAGCATATTCCTGCTCGATGAGTTCGAACACTGCGGCCCATGTACTGTCCAATAACCCGTAAGGCACGAAACTTCGAAAGAAATTATCCTTTTGCTGACCATTTGTATTTCGATGGTCGAGTTGGACATTGATCATGGGAATATTCCAGTAAGAGGTATCACCTCCCGTTGGACTAACGATCTGCCTCCAAATTCTATCAGATCTGGTTGGAAATATCTCCCTGAAACTCCCAAAAGGTTGATGATATGGTGATCCTATTGGGCTTCCGAGAGTGCCTTTCTTCAACCAGGGATTTTCGGGGTACTTCTCAAGCTGCTCGTCAACCTTTTTCTGATCTGTTGGATCTCTTAGATACTCTAATTGCGGCCTTGCAACATTATAGTGAGAATTTGGATCCTTCTTCACGTCGAAATCCGAAAACTCGAAGGTTTGCGCCCATTTAGCATAAAAGTTTTCGACTTCGGTTGGGGACCGTAGGATTTCATAACGTCTTGCGGTAGGATAGTTCATATCTGCTGCTTGTTTGGGCCAAATAATAAGTTTTGGCTCGCCCTTACAGTTTCCATTTCCAAAGAATGCGATTCCACGAACTGATCGTTCGTATGGGTGCTTGAAGGGTGGGATTTCTTGGTTAGGAGGGTGTATTTGGGGAGTCTGAGATATGCGGACGGCTTTGACGTATTCATGGCGACGGAGATAGTCGCGATTTTCACGGTCCTTGACTTGAGTGTATGGTTGCGTTATTTCTTTACATGCCTTTTCCATGCGGTTATGGGTGCGGTCTGTATCTATGGTGAAAGATTCTTGGAAACGTGGGACTGTTTTGTTCCAGAGTTCAGACTCGGGTTGGAAGGAACGAAGGTCTTGAGTGAGGGGGTTGGAGGTTCCCCATTGTATGTCGACCCGGAATGAAAGGCCGGGAGCAGCGCAAAGGGCCGGTAGAAGGTAAATAGTTTTCATGGTCACATAGAATTTAGGATGGTATAGATTTGGAGATTTTCAGGAACCAGGGGAACTTCTCTCGTGGGAGTGTAGAAAGGTTGTTGTGTCGTGGCGAAGGTATGAGAGCCTTTAAGCCAGAATATAATGACATTGATAATATACATCGCTGGGCGTGTCGGGGTATCTTGCGTAAAGAAAATTATACACAGTCATGAACATTAGAATATATAACCTGAACTGCGAAGTGCATGCTCGGAGCGGGTGAATGGGTCTGGGTAAGAAACTATGAGGACTCTTCCTCTTCTTCATCTTCCTCCTCCTCGTTGTCTTCATCAGCCGAATGAGCTGCATCCGACCCTGATAAGCCACCCCATTCCTCGCCATCATCTGCGAAAGAAGCATCTGCGTCCCCTTCGGCGGCATCTTCTGCCTTTCGTTTCCTACTACTGCCCTCCTTCCCATCCCTTTTGTCGTCGACATCGCACGGTGTGAACCATGGCAGCTTCCCTCGCAAAAAGTCATTGATGACCATAATTGCAACACCATCGTAATCTGGTTCTCCACCTTTAAGCAGTCTACCACCCTTCCTTGCCAACAGTTCCAAAAATTGGTTAGGGTCCTTCCATCCCTTAATATCGTATGTTCTCTCAACGTGGTGTTGTTTACACTTCTCGAGCAAAGCTGAGATGTATTGAGCTGGATTTTCAACCTTCTCCGCACGTACAACACCACGTAATAGGATATCCGTGGTTGTATCGCTATTGGATGGCGGTACAATACCGGGGCAATCGATCAAAAAGATCTTCTTTGTTAATGTGACGTATTGCCACACTTTAGTCTCGCCGGGTATAGGGGCTACTGTGCAGACCTTCTTCTTCCGCAGAGTATTGATGATGGAGGATTTCCCGCTGTTAGGGTACCCGATGAGACCCACAGATATTTGTTTTCGGTCAGAGTGAAGGGATCCAAATTGCTGTAGAATAGCTATTAAAGCTCCTTTACCAAATGAATTATTGATAGAAGCATGGAATGCTAGTGTTGGGTAATCTTTCGATAGATGTCGTACCCAGGCGGCCTGTCAATTTCGGTGAAGGTCAGAAACGGCTCACAATTGACAATGGTAATTCAAGAACCCGGAGAGAAAAAAAGAAAGAAAGAAAAGACAAAAAAAAGCATGTATGAAGCGTTACTAAGAAAGTCGAGACTGCTGAATTGATGGGTTCGCAGAAGCGCCATCCTCGACATTCAACTCAAAACGAAACACAAAATCCCTGGATGTTCTTCGTCAAAACGACGAGATGAACGAGATATTCAACACAAGACGTGCCGAAATCAAGGCGGGATAACTCAATCTACCAAAGTTGTAACAGACCTCTTCGTAGGATGCGACAATAGATGTGCGCTCAAGAAGACATCCTGACAAAGAACGATGGAACAAGCATTTTAAACAAAACATGGGATCGGGTTGAAGAGGAAGGCAGGCTGATGGGTTAAACTTACAGCAACTCCTGTGGGAACCAAGTCGCACTTGTTGAGAACAAACACCAAATGCTTGTGAGGACACTCTTTCGACATATACTGCTCGACAGAGCGGCATCTTGTTCCTAGCGGATTCCTCGCGTCCAAGACGTGTAGGATGACGTCTGAAGAGTCGATAACCTTGTAAAGCTCATTCCAGATACGTTTACTCTGACCCTTAGAGAACACAGCCTCTCTAGCCTCTTCTACCATGCCCTCGGCAGCTGTGCCATTTTCAATGGCATCTTGGATCTTATCGTCATATGATGTTCGGTTCTTTTCAGTTTCGTCCATCAAAGCGGCCATACTTTCAACGGCGAGCTTCGGCCGCTTCCGCTGAGCCTTTGGACCGAATGTTTGAGCGAAAGGCTCAGTCTCGACCTTGATCTTGTTCGCTTCTTTATTCGAAGTCTTAGCATCAGGATCTTGGATCAAAGACATCGGTAGTTTATTCCGTCGTAGAAGGACTGAGCGAGGATCTTTTGCCTGCTCCTTCATCGCCGTTTGGAATGCCGTTAGGGCTTCTTGGGAGATAGTTCGAGTGTTCCCAAACCATTTCCGGTTCGGTTCTATCCTGGCAGACGGCACCTCTCTCGATTGGTAGCTGGCTGCCTTTGTGATATTTCCCTGGGCATCTCTTTGCGCCTTCCCCTCTTTATACATATGTAATCGCTTAAGCTTCTTTGCATCTCTAAACGTAGTTGAGAGCATTAGGATGGGATTCTTGCGCAGCGACGTCGTAGATGGATCTTACCTGTAGAAGTTCTCGCCTTTGACCTTGACATTTTGCATGCCATCGCTGCCACCGGCAGCCTCGATCTTCCGGGCCCGCCGGTTAGATTCTTTCTTGAATGAACCCATTGCGACTGTTATTTGTTCCGAAACGACCTGGTAGATAGAAAATTTTGTGTCGTTTGGTGGTTATGGTGGAGTAATGGAAAGAAAGTTTTGGTGGGAGAAGAGGTACCAAATTTTTTCTTAAAGCGACAACCACAATTTTTGCTAGCGTCTTGGCAAAGATCATCAGATAAGATTAGATGCAGATTAACCACAACAAGTTAGATCGGGTTTGCCTCGTGATATCGCGCTGCCTAAGATGCCCACCACCACTTGACTCACGTCTTCCATGCCCCTCCTCGTTTCCTGAGCTGGCCGCAGCTGAATCATCGAATGATTCTACGAAATCCTCTTCGGAGAACACAGATTCTCCGGAACTTACTCCATAATCCAAAAATATGGGTGTCACTGGCCTCTGGACGGTCGTCCAACCCGTAGCACGGCCGGTCAAGCTCGAAACATTAGCCCAAAAGCGACTGGCGATTGACGCTTCCATCTGGATATATCAATTTTTAAAGGCGGTTCGCGACAAAGAAGGAAATGCACTGAGGAATGCACATGTGGTGGGCTTCTTTCGGCGCATTGTTAAATTACTCTTTCATGGCATCCGGCCAGTTTTCGTCTTCGATGGCGGGGCCCCATTGCTCAAGAGACAAACCATAGTAGGACCGAACCGTAATTGCTGGCTATGAAGGAACGCAGAACTGATGAGTTTTGTCATAGGCAAACAGAAAATCTCATCGTCAAGACCGAAAACTAGATGCCTCGAATACAGCGAAGAAACTGCTCTCCATTCAGATGCAAAAACGGGCCAAGGAAGAAGCAGAAGAAAGGAGGAGGGCACTGCAGAACCAGTACCATAATGTCCGAGAAGAAGAACCTGTTCCGGAAAATCCGGTTTATGCTTCGCAGGTTTTCGAAGCTCCTCAGGAGCGAGTTAAGGTGAAGGCGCCGTTCAGACGACTGGATCAGTATCATCTTCCGGAGATGGATGGCTCGCTTGAGGCCATGAGAGGTGCTAATGACCCTAGAATTATGTCAATGGAAGAGCTCGAGGATTACGCTCGACGATTCGAAGGCGGCGAAGACATCAACCTCTACGATTTTTCTAAAATTGATTTTGATTCCCCGTTCTTTACTTCTTTGCCACCAGGTGACCAATACAACATACTAAACGCTGCGAGGATAAGATCTCGTCTACGTATGGGCTTGTCAAAAGAACAATTGGAGAAAATGTTTCCCAATCGCTTAGAATTTTCTCGATTTCAAATTGACAGGGTACGCGAAAGGAACGAATTGACACAACGGCTCATGCATTTGAATGGTATGAACGACGATTTGATTAGTGTTCGCCGTGTAGCTGGAGAAAAGGATCGGGAGTATGTACTAGTCAAGAACGAAGGGGCGGAGGGTGGTTGGGCACTGGGTGTCGTTGGGCAGAGAGGCCCAAGAGAAGGAGAAACTGTGCATAAGGCGATTGTGGTCGATGAAGAAGATAAGGTCGAAGACGAAGATGACGACTCGGAAGATGAAATAGAGTTTGAGGACATACCGATTGAAGGTCTCAACAGACTACCGAAACTAAGAGCGCCTCAAATCGAGCTAACTCGGCACCGCCAAACGTCTGAAGAACGTGAGATCCAGATGGCAATTAGACTCTCGCGGCAAGAACAACAAAGGAAGGCTTTAAAGGATTCAGAGGCCACTATCTTCATTCAAGATGACGATTTAAGCGAATCTAACGAAGCTGAGAATGAACTTGATTCTTTATTTGAGGATCTTGATGATGCCAAGGGCACTCGTGATGAGGACGAAGAGTTGCGAAAGGCCATTGCTTTATCCCTAGAACGAGATCAGAGAGAAGGCGAGGAAGAAGAAAGGGCATTAGAACTGGCACTTAAAATGTCACTCGAACAGGACGATGAGAACGATTCGGGGGCTACTGTTCAGCCGTCGAGTAACTCGAAACCGAGAGCTGCGGAACAATCACTGAACCCGAACAAGCCGAAATTCGTAGAATTTGACGACATCGTCCCGCCTGCTAAATCAAATATCTTCTCTGATACGGCGCCTTATAGAGTCTCGTCCGACCTACATAAATCTGGTCTCAATAAAAAGCACGAAACTATCACAGCTAAACCCGCAAATCTGGAGAATGCCTCAATAACTAGTTTCAAGGGAGTGGATTTTAATCCATTTGCACTTGAGGGGGATGGCTTTACCCTCGAAAATGCGATGGAATATCCTACAGAGCCTTCGAATACAAATATGCAATCAAGCAAAGCGAATGATTTTAGTTTTGACAACAATATTCTTCCATTTGAGAGTATGAAACTAGGTGGTTTAGCCGGGCTCCAAAAAAGACTCAATGATGCTAAGGCCAACCAAGTCGAGGAGAGAACAGAAGAACAACCTAAAGTTCCTTTACCCCCTTGGTTTGCGCCGGAAGAGAACAGCGCATTCAAAGCAGGAAAGGCAGGGTATCAAGTCGATAACTATGATCGCGAGGATGAGACTGAGCGAATAGTGTCAACTCTCCCAGAGCATCTTCGTCCAATTGAAAATCGGGCCTCTATACAACCAAAGTCAAAACAAGTCATCGTTCTTTCGGAGGATGAGGATAATGATATTCAAATGGTTGATCTTACAAATTCTAAGCCTCAAACTCAAAATGAGCTGGTCGCGCTTAGTAATGAAACCAATGCCTCCAACCGGAAAGCGGTCGAAGTGGTCGAAGCGATATCCCCAGAGGTGGAGGCGCAGGACAGTGATGAGCCTGTAGAATGGGAAGCTAGTGACATTGAAACCGGAACTCCACTCATAAGGGTCCCTGCAGAAAACCTAGCTGCAAATGAACCAGAATCAGAAGACGATGCCGGAATGGACTCCGAAGAAGAACAGTTGATGCATCAGATGCGAGCCGAAAACGAGGAGCATGCCCGATTTGCATCTACGTTCAACCAGAGGTCTACCGAGCAAAATGCAATGGACTATGAACGCGAACTCAGGACCTTAAGGGACCAACAGAAAAAGGACCGAAGAGATGCCGATGAGGTTACCAAGATCATGATCACTGAGTGCCAACAACTACTTCAGATGTTTGGGATACCCTACATAACTGCACCAATGGAAGCAGAAGCTCAATGTGCCGAGCTCGTCAATTTGGGGCTTGTTGATGGCATTGTGACAGACGACAGTGATATCTTCTTATTCGGAGGGACGAGGGTTTATAAGAATATGTTTAACCAAGCGAAATATGTAGAGTGTTACTTGGCGAGTGACCTCGAAAACGAGTATAGTCTTGATCGAAAGAAAATGATTCGACTGGCGCACTTGCTAGGAAGCGACTACACCGAGGGGCTTGTCGGCGTTGGACCGGTAACTGCATTAGAAGTACTTGCTAACTTTGGCGGTGGTGATGATGCACTACACGACTTCAAGGCTTGGTGGACAAGGATACAATCTGGCTTTCGTGACCCGGCAGATGATAAATCGAAATTAAAGAAGAGTTTGGTATGACAATTTCCGTCAAAAGCCTATCTAGAGCGAATTCTAACACGGATGAATAACTAGAAAAAACTGGAGGATAAACTCTTTTTACCACCAAGCTTCCCAGACGATCAGGTAGACATGGCATACCTCAACCCCGAAGTCGATAAAGACAGTACGCCCTTTGAATGGGGGGTACCAGATCTGCACGGCCTCCGAACCTTTCTCATGGCGACGATCGGCTGGACTTCAGAACGAACAGATGAGGTTCTAGTACCAGTCATTCGTGATATGAATCGGAAAGTTGCTGAAGGACATCAAGTTAATCTTACAAACTTCTTCTCTGGTAGTACAGGCGCTGGCGCTTTTGCACCGAGAGTTAGAGAAGCGAATAAGAGTAAAAGGATGGAGAATGCACTTATGAGTTTACACAGGCAGTCGGTCAAACGACAAGGAAGTAACTTAAGCCTCGACGGAGAAGGTGAAGAACATAAGAAAATTGATGAAAGCTCTTCGACCGATGAGGAGCTACAAGGAGTTGTAAGCTTGAATGGAAGGGTCAGGATTACTAAAGGGAGCAATAAAAAAGCTCCTGCTAAGAAAAAGAGGAAGACCGTAACTAAAGATAATGAATCAGGGTCGAGTGAAAGTGAAGATAACCCCGAAGTAATTGAGGACTTGAAACAGAAAGGGAAAAAAGTTAAGGCTGCGGGTCAACCCCGCAATTCTAGTGGCCGTGGGAGGGGACGGGGACGGGGAAGAGCAAAGAAGACATAAATTAAATTTATGTAATACCTAATTGAGGCCATGATCAATAGTTATCTATTTACAATAGGAAGCCGTTAAACCACTGGCGATATTTAGGGCTAGCGTCCTGGAGTACTTCTACAATCATAAGACTTTCATGTGGCTTGCATGATACAGGATGTTATAACTCTAAAACTTCAACTCCAACCCCGCCTACCACTAACCTCCGGTCCTTACCACCTGTGCCAATAAGCGCGAGGGACGAGACATCGGGAACGCTGACATATATGTCTTCTACAACTTCGACGCTTTCTATAGCTGTTCCATCATTGAGTTTAATGCACCACCGCTTCACTTGTTGGTCCACGCTAGAACTGAGGAATTCGATTCCTTGTTCTTTATGGTCTACCACCGACAGTGTGCTGCTCAATGGAGCAAGTGCTGTTACTGCAGACGCATGTGCTCTTGCCAACAACTTAGTTGTAATTTCATTAATCATAGTACCCATCTTTTCAGGATTTTCTTTGCATTTGATTCTCGAGACAGATATTGCAGTATCGTCACCTCCTGTCAACATCAAAATCTCATCCCCTTCTAGGTTGTATAATTCCAGAACTTTGATACTGTTCTGGTGAACAGGTTGCGACAGGATCCATTGATCGGTTCTCAGTTTTTCGGGTACCGAGGCCGATACTTGGGGATCTTTTAACGATAACGCTACCAAATTCGATCCAGTTGATGATTTGGCCGATACGCCACAAACAACCATTGTCTGTGTAATATCCCAGAATGTAACGTGTCCATCCGTTCCTGCCGTTAGCATCAAGATGCCCCCATAAGTCGTAAGGTGAAACCGTATCTGAAGTAAACAGCTGGTTTTGTAGTGGCCCTCAGCTATAGTCGTAAACTTCTTTTCTGCGATATCATATAACGCTAATTTTATGGAGGAATCCGAACGGACCATGCCGACTAAGAACCCGTAATGGTCGCCCTTTTCGGTGTATACAGCAGCAGCGTCGAGTCCACAGACCCTCAAATCTGGGAGACTCTCGGTGCTAACTTCGTATACTGCCTCCTGTAGCATACCAACCGTTCCTGATTGAATCTTGGCTTCTGTGTTTATTTTCCAGCAGTAGACTTCTTCTACACTCCCAGATGAGAACAGCCAGCCGCCGCAAGGTGACCAAACAAGATCCTGAAGTCCAGTTGTGTGTGTTTTTCGGAATGTCAATGGTAATAATTGATTCGTTTCCTGATCTAGCGACGATAGTCGTATAATCGTATCTTCGGCACCAGTCGCTATGATCCCTTGAGACGAGATAGCAAGAGTTTTGACTTCTCTTCCGTGGAATGGTGTTTGTAACAGCGGATTGTGGAGTATTTGTTTGAACTCCACAATATAGCACCTTTTAGATTTGGTGAATACGAAAAGTCCTTCGCTTTGGGTATCCTCATCTGCACCGAAGCTGAAATCCCAACTCCGATTCCCACCTTCGCAATCATAGCTGGCTGCTTCTAGTCCGAGTGTTTGATTCCAAAGAACAAAGTCACGACCTCTGAAACCGTAAATAATTTCATAGCCCCCGTTCGGGCTGGTCGTGAATTTTCGGTAGTTTTCTACCCTCGGGACGGCGGCTGGATAAACTGCATTTAGTTCGACTAGCTCGTACTCTTGTGTATTCGTATTTATGAAAACTTTATGGAATTTATAGGCACCGCTACGGCCCGTTGATGTAAGAAGCAACTCAACAGAAGAAGCTGCCCCTGTATTGACATCGATCTGTGAAGGGTCTCCTTTCAAGCCTAGTGATGTTATTGATTCGTCGTCATGAACGTGCCGCCAAATTTTCAGAGATTTAATACTAGTATCATCTGATGTCAGACTGTAAAGCGCGAATGCGCCATGTCGGGAGCCCGCGAAGCAAAATACTCTCCCTCCACAAGTGTAGACAAGAATTGCTGTGGAAGGGAAGGTTTCTGGCGGTATCAATGACCACGATTGTGCTATGAATGGCTTTTCTGCTGTCTCAACATTGATTCTGAGTAGTTGGATGGGGGTATCGGGTTTAAAGGTTGTAACAGCAGCATAGACACTATGTGTATCATTTTTGTTCTGACAGTGGCTGAAAAATATGTCAGAAGGTCGGGTGTCACAGATTTGTATCCAATCTTGATCTGGTGGGTTGGTGGGTGTAGCTGGTAGATAGCGGTGCCAGGTCTGGAGTAGAACTTTCCCGGTATTATCACCTAGGGCAACGAGGTGATTGTATGTTCCGTCAGTCTCAAACCTCCCCGCCCCCATCGCTGAAAGATTTTTAATCTGTGGCCAAAAGCCGACTTTCTGCCACTCGGTGCTAGGCTTAGACAAATTACAATGTAGTAGCCAGCCCGAAGACATAGCGACGATAAAAGAACGACTCCCAAGTGCGACGTATTTCCTGGGCTCATCTTTAATAGACTTCCCTCCCGAGGCTTGTGGTGGTGGAAGGATTTCTTCGAGGTTGGCTATGGTTTCCTTGATAGCAGGCGTCTCTCGCACATCCTCTAAGATTTTCCATGATGCAATCCCACCATCCGCACCTCCAGTAACAAAATGCCGTTCGGAAGGGTGTATTGCTAGGCTCCATATGTTTTTCCCGCTTGCAGAATGGAGGTTCTTAAAAGTTTGTGTGCAAATAAGAGGGTTCGGTCCGTCAAGTCTCATAGACCATACTTTGGCTGTTAGATCCTCGCTGAAACTGATTATCCGGACATATCCTTCCTCGGCCTGCAGAAACTTTACGCCCCAAATTCTCGCTTGGTGACCCCATCCGATAGCTAAAGGCTCTTTGACTTCGCGGCAACCTTCTAAGCCAACAATATCCGCCTTGATATTCCATAGCCTGATTGTACGGTCGTCGCTGCAGCTCGCAGCATACGAAAAGTCTGGAGATATAGAAACCCCGAAGACTGATCCCTCATGAGACAGATATCTAGCGGACAACTCGACTTTCTCAGGAACTTTATCCTGTGAAGTGTCTAATTTCCATAATAATACCTCGCCAAACACTGTTCCAGCAATGGCCACGAGATCATTGGTCGTCTGGGTTGTGGAGTCTCGAAAAAGTGTCGCTGAGTAGAGCAAGCACCGCTCCGGGCTTGGGTACCATCTGTACCTGGAAGCCAACTCGATACTTTGCTCATGTCTGTATGTTAAAATTGTATTGTGGGCTGTCATCATTGCTATCCTTGGGACGTCGCCATCAGGTTCTAAGAAAACTGAGTGTAGAATCCAATCTGGGGCCGGTATTTCATCCTCAATCTTAATGTTAAAGCTCGGGTCCATAAGATCAGCCAGATGAATGATCCGGAATCTTTTACCACCCCAAAGGAGCACATTAGCATTCGATGCTGGCCCTTCATTCTGGGTAGGCGAGCTAAGCTGAATGCCTTGGATCCGTTCTCTCTTGAAAATTCGTTTCCTCCACTGTAATGAAGGCTGAGAATTCGAAAGCATAAAGAACTTGAGCTCCAACCCGTGGCCAACGAGGAGGTCATCCCCGAAGAATGCCAACGAGGTAACGGGTCCTACATAGGATCTCGATTTCATGTTTCCTATTCACTGAGGAAAAGTTCGCTATGGTTTGGAAATTGCATTAGGTTGTCAGCTCGACGGGAAGCATAAGTATGGATAAAGATTTGTTTCAGAAAACGATGGCATTGCATTGCATCCCAGGCCAGGCCTTTATACACATACCTGTAGAAATAGGATGGTACTTGTCGATTATTACGTTTTCGAACCGTAGCCTTGACTGAAGTTCCTTATTGCGGGGCTCTTTAAAGAGTGCAACTGCGACAGGTCAGTGACTAATCCTCGACGAGACCTAATTACAAGAGCAGTTTAAATTTAGGGTTGTTTCCTGTAGCTCTGGGCATGCGACATATTTAGAATGCAACATCCATCCCATGCCTTGCAAGCTTTTTAGTCACTAGGGAGCCCGCCGGACCCCTGGGAGTACTCAACCTATGGCTCGGGGATTGTACCGGGGTGTCTCGGCTCGCCACCGGGGTGATTACACCGGATTGAGAAAAACAACACTGCGTTGCCCGTGATTTTTGGAAGACGGCTGCGCTGCCGGCTGCTATCATATGGGGAGTTGTTCCATTGGTCACTTCCCACCCACTAACGACCCGAACGCGAACCTGACTGTAACAATACCCATCGTTATCGTTCTAGCACGCTGCGGATTACCTCATAGCTCGATCCGACCGAGACATACAAAGCCCGCTCACTCACCCTGGACATTCGAACCATTCAGCAGGGGTCACTCGCTGCAGTGCTGCTGAACGTGAGACGCATGTAACCATGTCCCAACCATCAAACAAATCCGAACCTAGCGATGGAAGACCTCGAAAGCGTGGACGGCCACCAAGTATTCATAGTAACTCATCGACTTCAAGGCAAACCTTGATGAAAAAAAGAAAGGAAACGTTGACACCAAAAAAACAACCCAAGCCCGTAATCCCAATAACACAGAACATTATCTTACTGGAGTCAGAGTCTCCGGATTCTAGCCAGCAGACTTCAGGAAACCAATACAATGACGCTATCTGTGTCGTATGTTGGATGCCTTTTTGCATTCGACATTCCTTCCCTGCCCCTCGACGGCACGCCCCAACATCAACGAAGTGGGCTTTGAAACGCGATGATACTAGAAATTCACATGATGCTAGGGGCAGGCCAGCTTTCGTTCCTTGTTCTCACGAAGGCGCCTGCGATCCTAAAAACTCAAACTGCTGCTGCAGGGATGAGAGCGTTTATTGTGAAAAGTTTTGCGAGTGTCCCGCGGATTGTCCAAGAAGATGGAAAGGATGTACATGCAAGAGCAGCAACCCTTGTACGGGAGGAAAATGCCCTTGTGTTAGAGAAAATCGGGAATGTGATCCTGATCTTTGTCTAAGTTGCGGAGCGGATGAGCAACTCGATCCTATTCATCAAAGATGCCGACCAGAAGACGAAAGTGTGGCGTCTGTAGTCGCCAACTCGACTACCAAGCGGGATGTCAGGCTAACGGCTTGCCAGAATGTATTTCTCCAGTTAAAAGAGCCTCCAATGACGAAAGTAGGGCCAACAAGTATGCCATTTAAAGGCAATGGCTTGTTCGCAATGGAGCCGATAAAGAAGGGTAGTTTCGTTGGGGAATATACCGGAGAGGTGATACTGGAAGGGGAGGCCAATCGTAGGGTCGATACCTACGATAGTAGCACGATATCATTTTTATTTGAGATAAACTCAAGTAAGTACAACGGTTAGCTTTTTTTGATTGGGGGTTCCTACTAATAACGATGTGACTAACCCGGTTGAACTTCGTTGATAGCGCATGAGATTGATAGTACCCACTATGGAAACAAGACCAGATATCTGAACCACTCTGAATTGGAGCCCAACTGCGGGCCAAAGGTCCTTCTGGTGAATGGGATACACAGGATTGCATTTAGAGCCCTTGAGGATATTGAACCTGGGCGAGAACTAACGTTTAATTACGGGTAAGTTTGGTGCACACTAGATCTATGTTTTTTTTTACGTTTCATAAACGATACTCATACAACCCATTTAGAGAAAACCCCTTCCAGTTCGAAGCTGTGGAGCGCGAAGGCGCTGCCGAACGCACTGTTATTAAAAATAAACTCCAGCGTTTGAAAGAGACGTTAACCCGGACGGAGAGTGATCTCGAGGCCGAAGACGACATTTCAACCGACGGGCGTGAAGAACGACGACCGGAAATAACTACAAGAAGGCATTCTAGGCTACAATCAAGGCGAAGGAGGCTTCTTATCATTCCTGATTCGGATGAAGAATCTTCGGACGACCCTATTGCTGCGCAATTACAACGCGAGAGAGATAAGTAATGAGGTATCACTCGAGTCTCAATGGAAGGCGTATATTGAATAAATTGTATTATTTTGGCTTCTCCTTGAAGGTGGAAGAAGTTATCTCGAGAAGCTACTTCAGGTCTAGTTTTCTGTTCTCTTACTGTGCGGCGCTCTCATAGAGGTCTCAGCAAATATTGGAAGTTTTAGAACTATTGCTCTCATTCAATTAAGTGATAGGCTACTATGAAATTGAGTTTAAGGGTAGAAAAGGATGTTCGCGCTCGCCCCTCTAACGCTGTGCTAACGAATTAGACATTCCGTGCCTTTGCCTGCATCTATATTAATGGAGGGGTTGATAATCAACTAATCTAATTTATCAGAAGACAAATAAACCATGCAATTGCGCATCAAGTAAACTATTCTCTTTAGATAATTTCTCATTATGGGATTCAAGATCCTTGATTGTAGTCTCTAACTTTTCGAGACTATCCCTCTGGTCTGTGATCCCTTTGTTTAGTATTCCCACTGCGGTCGGTAAACAGCCCTTTGCAATGATCTTTTGATGTTCCGTCGTGTCTTCGATCCCGGCCATTTCAAACTCTTGACGAACCTTGAGAAGTTTGTTCTTGCTGTAGCTACAGAGCATGACCCGAGCCACTTCAGGATGTTCATCCAACATCGAGGTAAAATCATCTCGTTACAACCATTTGTCGAAGTCCACTAACTCGACGATTAACTCAAAAATCGCTTTCAGCCTTTTGCAAGCCTCCGGTGCTGTAATTTTACGAAATTGCAGCCCTCGAATTAACGTAACGATGTACTCCACTGAAATTGTATCAGAGTGTTCAATTTCAGTCTCTAGAAGCTCGTATATATAATCCAAGATGTGATCCGCGAACCCGCTAACGCCGAGGCAAAGGCTCTGGTGGTAGATTTCCGAGACAAAGGATGGGTGTTCGGAGTGGGAGATAACTCCAGTATAAATGTACCCCAAGATGTACCGAAACTGTTGTAGTCGAAAGTAGTCATGTCAACTTTCAAGGGCCTCCAGGGACAATTGTCTGGGGCCTTCGAGTTGAAAAACTCGAATTTTTCGGCTAGGATAGCAAGGTGGCCCTTGATCAACTTTTTCTCTGGGCTAACATAGAGCTCTATATCTGAGAATCGTGGGTTTTAAGAAGTCTAATATGATTGCTTGGTTGTTAGCACGCCCGGGACGACCAAGACTAGTTTAGAGTAACCAACGATGTACCTTGCGAAACCAGTTTGATTGCGATCAGGGTCATCATTTGCTAACCATTCATCGTCTTCGTTATCGGAAGCCTCTAGTGGTGCACTAACTGAGTCTCTTGAGTCATTTTCTGTATCCAGGAGGGCACTAGTAGAGTCTTCCGGGGCCGTAGAGAATTTAGGCTCGGTATGTATCATAGAAAACAATCTTTGCAGTTTGCCGCCACCGACGAGAGTCTGTTAAACAAGTTCGTTCCATGGCTGTAAGATGGTAATTGCCGAATGGTAGAAGGCATCGTTGAAATACCTTTCTGTTGTAGGATCCATTGCTAGTGTTTCTCCAAGGTTCACAACGGAAGCGTCTGATGTTTTGATGGCGCTAGAAGGGTAGCTTAGTTGTTTATCGGCTCTTTCCATTTGCCCCCCTGTATCCTGTTGTTGGTAGCGAAGAAGAGTTTATATCACTTTAACGTCGATGTTTCTTCTTGGTATTGTTCGTCGCTGCTTCAGAGGCTTTGGTTTAACTTATAGCTCTTGTATTTCAAACACTGGGTACCTAAGTACTTGAGTAGGTTGTAAGTAAGGAGGTAGGAGGTATACCGGTAGTCTCAATAACAATAGAGGATTAAGATTGCATAGAATGAGAAGTGCTTGTAGGAAACCTCAGAAAGTGGCAGAGGAGAGCGCTTACAATAATTAAGCTCGTAACATAATACTACTCAGCCTAGGCCCTGTTGCTCCGGTGCACATGTGGCGTTCTCGTGTTGATGCTGTTGGATTGTGAGCCAACTTGAACTCGAGCTCGAGTTCTACTGTACATATGTCTACAGGTCTGTATAGATATCTTGTCTGTAGAGATGCGCACGTGCATGACCTGCTTCATTCGATCTAGAATCGATCAATACTTTGAATTTGGTTTGATTCTGCCAGGCCAGCGAGGTTTTATAATTCAGTGGCCTGAAATATCGATTCCACTAAGATCTAACTGCAGCTAAGTAACGTTACCACCTAGATCTAGATGATCGATGAGAAAGGAGTTGATTTTGGGATATAGCAAGATAACGATATACAAAAGAAAAATTGGGACTATTGCTTGCAAGATAAAGAAACTTAACTCCACTAGATGACCCTAAATAAAAGAATATGCTATATGTTCAAACAAAACTGCAGATGCTGCCCATGGCACGCCGATATCAGAATGCAATATTACGATGTACGCGGAAGCAAAGAGGTATCAACATGCAACATCAATCGGTCAGCTAAGCCAGATCATGGAACAACAAAAAGAAACCCATTTCAAACCAGTCGTACTTCAACAGTTCCATATGGATACGCTTATACTCTTTCAAAACCTCGAGGCCACTAATCCACTTTGCGACCCAGTCTAGGAACTCGATGATTTGCATGTTTTTTAGTTCGGGATGTTGTTCGAAGGTGAAGGTAAATGTCAACTTCTCCTGGTTCCTGGCGTATTCTGCATTTTCTTCGTGTTCCGCCACTTCTTCTTTCTTCCCTACCTCTGTCTCGTTATCATCTTTGTTCTCATCCTTTTCCATGAATAGGCATTCGTATTTTTTCTGGCATGGAACGACTTTGAATGCGACCTTGTTAACCTCGACGACGTCTTTCTCCGGCTCAATTGGCTCATGTAAAAACAACGGGTCCTCGAGAATGGCGCATTGTAGTAGGTTGACGTTGAATTCCTTCTCTTTTTCTTCCATGGTATCGGATTCTCCCGTCATCTGCTTCATTAGATCAAGATCGTATGTCACAGACTCGATCTTGCCATCTTGGATCACGAATCTCCATCCAAATCCAGCACCAATCTTATGCATGCGGGGGCAGTAATTCTTCTCCGAGACAATATATCGCTTGGTCCGGGTGTCCTTAAGGACTATGGCTTCTTTCCACGATGGGAAGACTTGGAAGCAATACATCTGGTACTGCCAAGGTAGGTGAGAGAGTATCTCTATTTGGATTTCGGCCGGAAGATTCAATATCGTGAGTTTATTCTTTTCCCGAGCTTCGATTCTATCCGTCTTGAGAGTAGACATTTGTCTCTCCAGTTCCGATATCCGCCTCTCAACGCTAACAATCTTCTCGTCCATTCCCGTCCGTCTTTCCTCCATTTTCTTTTCTTCTTGTACAATCCGGCCCTCCATCTCAGTAACGTCCTCTTCGCCTTCAAACAGTCGTTTCCTCTGGTCGACGATCCATCTCTCTTGTTGTAACATCTTGCCTTCCTGGTCGAACATTCGCTGTTCTTGAGCTAGAATTTTCTTACGATGCGCAAGCATTCGTTTTTCTTGTTGAAGCATCCGTCTTTCGTGTTCGAAGATCCACTTCTCCTGGCCGATGAGGATGATTCCGTCGTCTTCCTCCTCTTCTTCCATCACAACCCCTTCATCCATATCACTACCAGGCTGGACAAACACCAGTGGCTCGTCCAGCATATTTTGTAATTCGGCCATTTCATCTTCGAGGGTCCTGTGAAGACTCAGGTCTTCATCTTCAGATATTTCGCCTTCCAGTGTACTTTGCAAACCAGGTACTGGCGTTTCTTCCAATAGTTCGGCCATGGCGGGTGGCTAGAAACCGGTTTCAATGCGGTCCCGAGGATAAGACCGAACGAATCCTCCAATTTATAAATTTACCGAATTTCTCGTCCTTCCTCTTCTTCTTCAAAAGAATTCTAGAACTTCTAGAAAGGAAGAAAGGGAAAGCCCCCTCCAAGAAATAAAGAACCAAGGAAAAGGAAAAGGAATGAAAGAAAAATGAAATAACAAAACAATATAACAACTATACGGATTCCTTCGGCTTCATTGGGAACAGATAAGAAGGAATTTAAAAAAGTTAACAGGGACAGGCCTAGTATTAAACTAAAATATAAGACGGGGAGGGGGGGTTTAACAGCATACTTAAGATCCTACCCATTGTGAACCCGCCATTCGTTGTCCTGTTAGGGACCTATTACTCGCAAGCGGACCTTATTCGTAAAAGGTACAGCCCTCGCATGCTTTGAAATCCCCTTTCAGCAGCCAGAAGCGTTGCGGGGTTTTGTACATTCTGCACCATGAACATGTTTACACCACCTCCCCCAAATACCTATTCTAACCCTTCAACCGATTTCAGCAGGGGCGGGAGGGAACTCAAGGAAAAGAAGGTAAAAAATGCGGAATCTTCGCCAGATAAGTCAAGTCTCCGTTGACTTTCGGGGTGTTGACGACTTCCAACAACAAAACGAAAAGAAGAAAAAAGTCATGTTTTGCATGCAGCTGACGACCTTAGTATCTCCGGTTCCTTGCTATCGAGCGCTTTAGTTAAAAGCCCACTAAGCATTACTACGTGCTTTAGCATTATGTATTGGTACCTGCTACTAAGCTTGATTTTCTTGTTTAATCCGAAGCCAAAACAGTCAAGTTAGGTCCGCTCAAAATATAGCGGATTCCAGCTGGAACCCATCCATTCCGCTTGCACATGCCCAACGCTGGGATTCAGGTACGAAATCGGGGTTTATTGGCTTGCTTGGGCCCCACAATTGGCTGAAAACCGGTGCTCCTGCTCGGATTTTAGGCATATCGTTCCCCTTTCAGAGGTGTCCTATGCGTGCCTGTTCGTTAAGCAGGTTTAGTGGCCCTGCTTTGGACGGGATGGTGTGGTTTTTTGGTTCTAAGAGGGGATCCACAGGGGCAAAAAAGCGAGGGGGTTCTAGACCGGAAATAGCCTTTCAAGTGATCTTGGGACGGATTCGGGATAGAATCATGATTGGCGGCGTCGGCGAGGCTTGATCAAAAGATTATCGAGATTAGTTCAGGTTTTGCTCAGGTTACGCAATTGCCTTGCATATTTTTTGATATGTACATGTATGTACTTAAATTCAAGCATGTTTCGACATCTGTATGTAATGCCAACTGTCATGTCAGATCAGGCCCGCAAAATATCTTGAAATTTTGATACATCAGTGGCTTAGATCAACCTCTTTACAACATCATCAACAACCTCCTGCGTCTTTGCCTTGCCTCCCAAGTCAGGGCTCAGCAATTTCCCCTCGGCCAAATTGGCGTCCACAGCCTCATATATCTTTGCAGCAGCCTCTTCCAAACCCATGAAATCCAACATCAGAGCGGTACTCCGAATTGTAGCAATGGGGTTGGCGATCCCCAGTCCCTGAATATCTGGAGCACTACCATGGCATGGCTCACCAATAGCAAATCCCTCTCCAACATTTGCAGAGGGCACGAGGCCCAGGCTGCCAACTAGAGCAGCTGCACCATCTGACAAGATGTCACCGTATAGATTCGGCGCCACAACAACGTCAAAACACTCCGGTTCCCGGAACATTCTGTAAACCATTGAGTCAACAATTTGCTCTTCGACCTTGATATCCTTGTATTTATTCGCCCCTTGCTTGTCGGCTTCATACACAGCCTTCACGGTCTCTCTGAACAGACCATCTGTCTGGCTGAGGACGTTACTCTTGTGTGTAATTGTGACCTTCCCTTGCTTGTGTATAGACGCAGCGGGATTCGCCGCTCGCTGTCGGTTCCTTGTAGCCGCGATGTCGAACGCCATTCTTCCAATGTTGGTGGAGGCGTAGGTTGATATCCTCTTGATAGCCTCAGCCACAGGACCCTGCGGTGTGTCATAGGTTTTCTCCTCCTTGACGTAAAGATCTTCGGTGTTCTCACGGACAATGACCATGTCTACGGGGCGATTGTTGGCTACACCAGTTACGGACTTAACGGGACGAACATTGGCGTAGAGGGATAGCCTCTTGCGGAGGGCTACGATTGGGGACGAGTAGCCGGCGACTTTGGTGGTTGGGGAACTGTTTTAATTGAATGAACCGTTAGAATGTTCCCATACCATGGTATTCAATCCGACAATAGCAAGTACCTAATAGCTCCAAATAGTGCGCCATCGCAATCATTCTTAAGGACTTCAACGGTATGTTCTGGCAGCGCAGTCCCTGTCTTTTGGAAGGTAGCCCAGCCAGCCTCGAGATCCACGAACGATAGTTTGAGGTTGAACTGTGAAGCAATGGCCTCTAAAACTTGTCGACCAGCCGGGATGACTTCGAGACCGATGCCGTCACCAGGTATGAGGCCTAATTAAGCAAGTTAGCGACTTACTCGTATGGTAATATGGGGACCAAAGGAGGAAGGTACCTATTCTGAGTGTTCGAGCTGCTGCCATCGTGTCGATATTTTTGGCCAATTGGCAGTGTAAACTGGTACACGTATACACCTGAACTTCGTCCTCTAATATATATGACTGAAAAAATACCTCGGATAAATCGTTAATGGCCTTAAATTCGGATGCCCACCAGGTCTCGGACGAGCGTCCCGATATCGGTTGGAATTTCTTCCTTGAAAGGCTAACGCGAACGAGGGGTGTTGCATCACCGCCACATGTTGCAAAGTGGCTGGTAAACCCAAATATGGCGCTAAATTTTGTCACGTGACCGACGCGATGAGAAGCCAAGCATCCTAAACCGGAAATTCAATTTGACAAACCACAACACGCTAGACTGTCGCGCCTTTTGCACTTTACGCGTTGTTATGTCCCCTTTCAGGCTTCGGTCTCCTGTCTTATAAACGACCTTCTCCATCCCACTTTCTTCCCGTATTCTCCTTCTCAGAGATCGTCAGAACCTTTTACTATTTAATCATCATACCAGGGCTGCTTCACCTCGTCTTCCATTGGGTACCTATCAACATATCAATCACACATTCCTTAATCCACAATGGTTGTCAAACGCAAGCGCTCCCAAGACGACGACGCTATGTCCATCTGTTCCACATCCTCGGATCACTCGTCAAATAATGTCATGATGGTAGACCAGGATGCTATCACTCAACATCATATTCCACTCGGAGTTAACTCCCGGACATTAAAACGATACAGAGACTCGAGACCAGATGAGAAGAGCGTACACGGTACGTTTTGATACATTTTTGCTTATCTTCGATAAACGTCCTAACGACCCCTGTTTAGATTACACACTCTCGAAACTCTACTCTGCACAAAGACCTTCGGATGTTCAACAAGTAGCGCCACAATCTGCTATTTCACCGGCATATACTCCAGTTAATCAATCACATCAACCAGCTCAGCGAAATATCACATCTTTCTTCAGACGGGATCCATCACATATGACGACGTTTACCGGGAACCAATCTGCGCCGCAAATACGTACAACGACGTTGTCATGCGCGGATTGTGACTCCGTTTTACAAACACTACCTCATGACGAAGAAGGAGAATGTTTCGCTTGCCAGGGTTGCCGTAAAACGGTTTGTGGTGGATGCTCTACTGGTGGAGTGGAATGGGGAATGGAGAGACGCTGCTTGGAGTGCACTCTCAGATAGTACACTGAGATCAAAAAGGAAAATGAGAGAATTAAGGATAGTTGTTATCAGAGCGTTGGATTTGGTGGTTGCAAATATTGATTCAATGTGTATTTTTATCCCTCGATCTTTTTTGAGGTGAAGGGGCGTTTTTGATGGGACTTGACGGTGTTTTTGTTATTTGCCGGGAAAAGTGCTGGCGTTAAAAGTCTGCTAGTTCCCGTTATATTTCTGAAGCTTGTAGAAGCCGGCTAATTTTGGAGACCAAACATGAGAAATCATCTGAACTTCAATCTCAATATCACTTTTTACACTATAGTGTTGACCTTGAATTCGAAGGTTGTGTCATGCATGAAACCCTCCTCTCGCATACCCGACGGAGTCCCCAGCCTGCAGCTAATATATCATACCACGGTAGAACAACTTCGTGTGGGAAGTGCAGGGATTACAGAGACGTCGGCATTTCGCCTGAAAGGTATTTTAGACTCCACCAATCCAAACGAAAGTCAAAAAGGGCGATTCTGCCTTGCCAAGTACCAAGATAATCGTTAACAAAAAAACCCGAACACCCGCCTTGGAACTTTTGGATTAACGTTTCCAAGACCAGAAATAATTATATAAGTGCTGACAACTTGGTTTAAACTTCGGACATTAGGGTATTTTGACGGTTCATGCTCGGTACTCTAATCCGTAGACTAGTTCAAACTAGCTGGATTTGGAGCGAAGCCAAACCCGATGTTTCTCGATCCAAACATATGAGCTTCCCTACCTTTTTACTATATATGGATAGCCGAGCGCTCGAGCTATAGATCTATAGAAACTGTTATGATAACCCTATTCCGGCAGAAGTTTTCGGGATGTAGGAAGTCATATACCCGCTGTTCGAGACTGTGATCTATTGGATAGTTGAGAAACAATAGAGCCTGAGGCCCCGCCCCCTCATTGTTGGGTATATGGCCATCTGGCTAACCGGCCCCAGGTTACCAGTCTTCAGATTCTCCTAAGCTGCAGTGCTGGGGGCTTTTAACGGAGAAACCGGGCTCGTATCATATATGTTAAGCTGTTGAAACTGCTAGGGACTCTTTATATATGATCGTACGCTAGCTTAGTTAATGATTATTAAAGTTGTTATTGGCGGAATAAAAGAGATCCCTCCGACAATGGTATGCTTCCAGACGGATGCAATCCTGCTCACCCGGTATTTCCAAGGACTTGATACTTCGTAATTTAACCATTGCTTTCTTGTGAGATTTTGAATTCTGGACAGCTGATATCGATGGCAGACTGGCCACTAGTACAACTATGTCATGACGTCTATAAAAATGGGTCGCCCCGACAATGTTAAGAATCAGTCTAGTCTTTTTTCTAGTTCCACTTTTTCTACTCCCAGGAACATCTCATTACAGCAATTAAGCAACTGCAATAGGGCGTCTTGCTCATTTTATATTATATTAGTTGTTTAAATATATTGTCAATTCCAACAAGATGAAGTCGGTACTTGTCAGCCTCTCGGCTTTGGTTGGGCTAGCACAGGTCGTGGTCGGACAACAGTCCGTATGGGGTCAATGTATGCAAACAAGACTAGTTTTTAATAAATCAAATTTACGAAGAAAGACTAACACCTTATCTTAGGCGGTGGCATTGGATATGCAGGCGCTACTGTCTGCGCTTCTGGGTCTTGCTGTACCTATCAGAACGCATACTACTCTCAATGTCTCCCGGGGAGCTGTAACCCAAGTGGAACCCAAACCACAACAATGGTAACCACGACATCTCGAGCCGCCACCTCTACGACGACGAGCGCGAACAACCCCGGTAGTACCGCCCTCTCACCTGGATGCGGCAAGGGGGCCACCCTGACAAGCGGCACGAAGTCCATGACCGTCAACGGAAAGTCACGACAGTATATCCTTCGTGTCCCAAATAACTACGATCAAAACAAACCATACAGGCTTATCTTCGGTCTTCACTGGCTTAGTGGAACAATGACAGATGTGGCCACAGGTCAAACCGTGCAAAGAGATGTCTGGTCTTACTACGGTCTCCAGCAACTCGCTAGCGAAAGTGCCATATTTGTCGCTCCTCAAGGTCTAAATAACGGCTGGGGAAACTCTGGCGGAGAGGACATCACCTTTATTGACCAAATTATATCGACTGTTGAAGCCGGACTTTGCGTCAACCAGAAGCTGAGGTTTGCAACCGGTTTTAGCTACGGCGGTGCAATGTCCTTCTCTCTCGCATGCACTCGCGCAAGTGCTTTCCGCGCTGTGGCTGTTTTGTCTGGTGGCCAATTGAGTGGCTGCAATGGTGGAAACGATCCAGTTGCGTACTTGGGTATTCACGGTATCTCAGACTCGGTTCTCAATATTTCCGGAGGCCGCACCCTTCGGGATAGGTTCGTCAGGAACAATGGTTGCAGCTCAATGTCCCCGAGAGAACCATCTCAAGGAAGTCTTACACATGTTAAGACGGAGTACACCGGTTGTAGGAGTGGCTATCCAGTCACATGGATTGCGTTCGATGGAGGCCACATTGCTGCACCTCGGGATGGCGCTGGAGGCGATAGCGGCGCAACTTTCGCATCTCGAGAAACTTGGAGTTTCTTCAGCCAATTCACCTAGTTTGTCTGTATATACTATTCAGAGTACCATAAAAATTTTGTGGCCTCGAATCCTCTTTAAAAATGCTCTGCTTTTCTGCAACTTGTATATAGTTAGATGTTAACTTAGCTCGCCATGAGTGATCAAGTTCCAATCCTGTAGAAAAAAAATTTTGAAGGATACCTGTAAAAAAACATACTCTAAATGAGGTCCAGATTGAAGATAAATTTGAATCAAAATAGTAGAATCACGGAAACAAGATGTCTAGTACTCATATTTGCTTGTCAACGTCGTCCCGTCTAGAGCTATTATATAGAGGAGCTTTACAATATAGAGTGTGTTGCGTTGTCCGATGTTGGGATCACGAAGTCCCTGGGGATCGACCCGGGAACTCTGCCGGTATTAACACGTGACCTCGCTAAAATTACATCCCTGCAAAAATTTCCAACTTTTTCAGTGTCGCAAAATCGCCAAAAACTTCAATCCTCAACTTTCAACCTCATCCACCTTCCCTCCACTAAAACCCTCTCCAATTACCAGCTCTTCGTGAGCTTTCAACTACCAATAATGGATATCCATCGCTGTCGCTTCGTTGACTATGTACCGTCTCAAATACATGCAGTCGCCTTCTCTCATCCATCCGAATACAATCCTCAGACACACCACCTCCCACCCTCTCTTCGTCTCGCAATCGGTCGCTCCAATGGCTCTATTGAGATTTGGGACCCTACGACTTGCTTCCATGAATCCACACTCCATGGTGGTGTAAAACGTAGCATTGAGGGTCTCGCTTGGATTCGTCAGCCCCATTACACCGTAAAACATACCGAACTCCTTCGTCTCTTCTCAATTGGAAACTCCACGGTTGTCACAGAATGGGACCTCGTAACCGGAAAACCCCTCGCACACTTCGATTGTGGCAAAGGTATCATCTGGAGCATAGCTGCTCAGCCAAAGAAGTCATGGTTTACGGACCGTTCGCAGCCGAACCATAAAGCAGAGGAAGAAGCATCTGAGGATAAAGAGGACCCTGAAGACGGCGCCTACCTCGCTGTCGGCTGCGAAGATGGTTCCCTAGTAATCATCTCAGTCGGCGACACTCCTGGTTCTTTATCACTGTCCAAGATCATCCCTCAATCTAAAGCCTGTCGGGTCCTCTCCCTCGCATGGCAATCTCCCACGACCATCATCGCTGGAACTTCAGACTCCAAGCTCCGTGCCTTCGACACTGTCACCGGACGTACCATAACCACGATGTCTGTCGCCCCTAAATTCAATAACAAGCGCAGAAATGCAAAGAAACGAGACACGTACGTGTGGAGCGTCAAGTACATACCTTCCAATGGCGGATGGATCGTTGCAGGTGACTCGCTTGGTGAAATTAGCGTGTACGATGGGAAGCGCTACACACTGCGCCAGAAACTTAAATCGCACGGTGCAGACGTTTTAACTTTAGAGACAAATGCCAATGGGACCCAGTTCTTTAGTTCCGGTGTCGATAAGGTTACGGTCAAGCATGAGCTTGTAGGATTAGGAAAACGTGCAACCTGGACTCAAGTGGTGAAGAAAAGGTTCCATAGGCACGACGTTAGGGCTATGGGCGGGTTTGAAGCTGGGGCGTTTAGCGTTTTAGTTAGTGGTGGCGTGGATATGACACCTGTCGTCGTCCCCTTGAGGAAATTTGCTGAGGAGTACCAATATACGTTGTCTGCACTGCCACAAGAGCAGCTCGTAGCAACTACTGTCGGGAAGGCAGGTTCTAGACTTCTGGTGGCTCGTTTTGACAGAGAAGTGAAGATTTGGAGGATTAACAGCATCGATGAAGTGGAGGCAGCCGATGACGTCGAGCTTTATGGAGCTGTTGACGACGATCAAGGAAGAAAACTTGTTGGTGACATTATGGTCAGCGTATGGTACCCCATGCCTGTTTTCCGAATCATGAACCGGAAATGCTAACTAAAACACAGACTGACGAGAACATTTCATCGGCGGCGATATCACCCAATGGAGACCTATTGGCTATTTCGACCATGGCAACAATCAAACTATTCCATCTCCGACCCCGAAAATCCACAGTTCTACTGCGAATCTCCAAACTGGAATTACCGGAAAAGATAGCGACGATTGGCGCCAGAAAAGTTATTTTCTCACCCGACGGAAACTACTTGGCTTTCTTCGCTCCAAATTCTGAACCCTATATCTTCAAAATCACCGCTACAGTTGATGAAGATGAGAAACCTACATTTGAGTTTGGAAACCTCCAGCACTTGGATAGGAAGGATCGGGAAGTTAGCGTTTCAGGCAATAAATTGCAACGAAAGGACGGAGTAATTGCATTAGGACGAGGTTACGAACGACAAGTTAGCCGAGCTTGCTTCTCTCACAACGGCAAGTACTTGTTCTCCGCTGATGTTGGCGGCTGGATGGAAGCTTGGAGCCTAGAAGATGCAAAGAAAGGGAAATGGAAGTTGATCAAAGCAAGTCTCCCACGACTCCCAGCTTCGCCCGTCGCCGCAGGATTCAGGCCGCCGGTTACCCTCGAGTCTGCCAAAATCGATGGAGATAGTTCGGAAGTCTTCGTGATGACATCAGATCACACGCTTCATGAATTTGATGTTCTGACCGGACAGGTTACTGCATGGTCTGCAAGAAACTCTGACCGATTACCACGCGAGCTTTCGAAGCTAAAAGATAGGTGTTTTGGTATGAGTGTGGTGGAAGAAAAGAACAAGGGAAGAAGATTGTGGTTTTGGGGCCATGGTTGGGTGTTTATGATCAATATTGATCGGGATTTAAATGTCATTGGCCCGAAGAAAGCTAAGAACGAAGACGCTGAAGTGAAGGGTACCAAGAGGAAGAGAGGGGTTGTATTAATTAGTGGAGCAGGAAGTGAGGCGGTAAACGGCGGGAAAGACATGGTTAAAGGAACTGAGGTTACTTTGATCGGGAAAGTCGCAGCTACCGAAGAGGACGAAGGGGCAATGGATGTAGAAAGCGATGATGAGTTCCTGTTGGACAAAGTCAGAAATGATGTTAGAAAGAAAGGCGATGTGGAGATGGTGCATAGTGAGAGTGAGGATGATAGTAGCGAGGAGGAGGAGGAGGATGATGATGACAATGACGATAGCTCTAACTCTGAGAGCGAAAAGAGCTCAGACGAGAGTGATAAGGAGAGTCAATCGGAACTTTCGGCCAGTGAGCACCTAAATGATGACGGAGGTGTGAAGCTGGACGTCGAAATGGAGATTGACTCTAACGCTCCAAATTCAACTGAAGTCGTGGTTCAAAAGAAGACAAGCCGCGCAACACCACACTGGCATACATTCCAGTATAGGAATGTAATGGCTTTCCTACCTATTGGCGATCCAAAGGAGGATTTAGAGATGGTAGTTGTGGAAAGGCCAGTTGCTGATGTAAAGTTGCCGCCGGCTTGGATGCCAAAGAAAGATGCGTCCCGGGCCAGAACCCAAAGATTTATCTAAGCGGGATATTGTAGGATGTATATTTATTTCGATTCTGTCCTAGTTTAGTTTGGAGTACCCAGGCATTAGTTACTTTGGAATTTAAATTTAGAGTGTAATATAGTTAAAAGTTTTGAAGAACACTCAAGTTACGATCATGCGTTCTGCTCGGGTCGATAGAAGGTATTTTGCTGTTCATACAGGTCATACGTCGTCAAATTAAAAACTGTGACTATCTAACTGGAACCCAGCCATCCTAATCCATCCGGCCTAGTATACAAATGATTTATGAAGTCGTCCAGCCAACATCCCCGATGATATTGCGACCACTCTAATCGTAATACTTGATAGTATGATCCAACCCTGCCACGGCCACCCTGCTACCTTCCTGCGGGTGCCAGGCCGCGCAAGTGATTGCTTGGTCACTCGCCTTGATCTTATGATACATCTTACAAGTTTTCCAGTCGAAGAAGCACACCCAACCCAAACTGTCACCAGTCATCAAAAACTGTCCGTCAGGACTAATATCCACATCGATTGCATAACCCGCGTTGTTATGACCTCTGAAACTCTTCTTCCTGTTCTGCCTAAACCTCTCGGTGGTCGCGTACACAACAACCTGGTTATCTGCCGACTGTAATGCCACGTATTTCCCATTCGGGTGGAGAGCGGATCGAACCATGGAGTACATATACGGCTCAGCAATAAACTTGATAGGTACTGGAATACCATATTCCCAAGCTCGTAAACTCTTGTCATCGGAAGTAGAGATAAATCTCCGGTTCTCGTCCACGAATGTAAGAGTGTTAACAGGTCCGAGATGGTGATCGTATTCTTGTACTACGGCTGCCGTTCTAGTATCGAATTGCACGATCTTCTTGTCACTCATACCGGCGATGAACTCGTGGTGTTTCGATTCATCGGGGTTGAATCGGATTACGTGTGGGATTTTACCTGTCGAGAAACGGTTGATACATTGGCCTGTTTCGGTATCCCAAAGTTTCATTTGACGGTCGTAAGAGGCAGAAAGGAATTTGTCGCCAGAGTTGGTGAAGGTTATGTCGTTTACAGATTTGGTATGGCCGTCAAATGTGCGTAGGAGCTCACGATTGTGATAGACATCCCATAACTAAAGGAGGTTTATTAGCATTATTCGATAATATTTTAAGATGAACAAGGGTGTATAGCTTACCTTAATCTTGGCATCTGCTGAAGAGCTCAATAACAGGTGACCACTATTAGGGAAGAAGCGTATAGCGTTGATAGGCTTGGTATGGCTTTTCCAAGTGTGAATAAGCTTCTTCGGAATAAAGTTCGGTGTGCTGCCTGATTCCTTCCCGAGGTTGAGGTCCAAGTCCTGGGGTACATGCATGTACGTCCGCCCAAGGTAATCTCTCTCCTCGCTACCATGAAAGGTAGTCTGTTCCACACCCGAGGTATTGACATTGAGATATTCGGCACCGGCTTTGTCGATAATCGGATTGGATACCGGCGCGGTGGCCTCCTCTTCGTACTCAACAGCCTCGCCTGCATCTTCATCCTCTGAAGACTCCGATTCATTCTTGTATGACGCCCAAGGACCCAGGTATTGTCCAGGTCCATCAACTATAGTCGAATCTCCCTTCTTCTGCCGCCTTCTCTTGATATCTCTCGATTCTTCCTTGCTAGGTCTGTACTCGACTGTATTCCGCCCACCATACAAAGCCACATTGGTCTGGTCTCCCACCATATTTGTCGGATTACTCGGATCTGCAGCATACCCTAAACTCGCGAAAGTCCTATGTTGTGCTAAAAAGGTCGCGTCTGATATTAATGTTTCCTCCGCGTATCCTGTGAGCAGATTCTTCCGTTTTAATGTCCCATCATTCGAAGTGAAAGGATTTGCGGGTCCAGCAGCCGGTTTGTAAAGGTCATCGTACGCGGCATTGTAGGTCATCGATTTGTCCGTAGGTTTTACGATAGCTAGTTGGGATGTCATTGGGTCCTATATTAAGCGCGATACTTAGTTATTTGAGCAATTAGGACTAGAAAGGAGAGACGGACATACGTCCAGGCTGACATCGGGCGCAGCTGTGATCGATGGGCCAGATGGTATTGATGGACCAGTGGCTGGCGACTCATCGTCGCTCGAGCCGTAGTCGACGAGGGCCGCCATAGTGGACGTTAATAAGAATAACTAAGTAGTCGAAGAGTTGGGTTGCTGAATTAAAAGTTCAAGCTGTCTGGTTGACAGAAGCGTAGGATGTCGTGATGATAGAACAGAGAAGCTTTGCGACTTTCAGACTTTCAGATCGCGAAGACCACGCCTTTCAGGAATCTTGGCATTTGTTGATGGATGACTAAGCATGGCCTGGATAAAATACAACAATCGTAGTGTGTTGTATTGTACCGAGTTCTCACCGATAGATTCCATCTTGAAGTTCCAAACTACTGAAGTTCTCGTCAAATCCCGTAAAACTCGAGGATCGAACTCAGCTAATCAAATTAAATTAAACCTGCTTATTCATCATGGCAAAATGAAATTTACCCCTCTCAGCATGCTGAAGCTTAAGATCTTGCGCACGTGGTGCAATCACTACGAAACCACCCGAGCTAGAATACTACATTAGCATTATGCATTACATTATAATAAGGTAAACACCTAGGTATATACATACGACAATGGTTATCGAAACTATAAAGATAATATTATATATATAATATGTAAGTTCCACTATATTAAACTAACTATCAGGTCTATAGCTTAGAGGTCTACCACCTGTTCCGAGTGGTAGATGGAATTCCGTATGGGGCGTCACATCGCAAGCTTTTGATCTTCGGCCGCGAATAAGCATTCTTAAGGCCAACAGGTCCCCACTGAGACTCGTCCCTTGTCACCTTTCCAAGACTACCATCAACCAATATTGGCCGCCCTTCACAATTCTCAGTTATATAAAACCTGCATGTACAGTTTTCAATTTCCCACCACCTCATCTGAATCCCGCTCTCGCTTGTATACGGACGCACATCCGATACACGAAGACAGGATCCTCTGCCAGTAAACATCTCTATCACTGCATCGCCTTCCTCCGCTTCCTCAGCCGCCGCTTCCCTCGACTCCGCGTCGAAAGTCCGTAGGGGTATGTTGAAGTTTCTTTCAATCTTAAGTGCTTTTGTTAACCCATCCACTTGATTGAGCCCTTTGACTTGATCCCCTAAATTCGAAATAGATATTTTACACTGGGAATCATACTGGGTGGAGGTGGCATAGCATGCAAAACTCTTGTAAAACGTTCGTGGATTACCAACCCTTTCAAGCCGGCCAAATCCTTTTGTCTTTTCTTCTAGACCAATGTAACCTGTCGTTTGGGGTAGCCCGTCGCCGACAACCATGTAGCCATTACAATCACGATTTAAGAAAAACTGACAAAAACAGTACCCAGCAATGAAATACTCCTTCAGGCCATCATCCGCAAAACCCGGGCCCACATCTGTGTCGATATTCCAGCAGGGTTTCCCCCCCTGCTGATACGCCCAATCATCTTGGGGGATGCGCCAAAAATGTGGCCGGTTTCCCGTTGCAAAAAAATCTTTAACAGCTTGCCCTTCGAGCCAAGTTGGTCGTTGGGGAGGGTCTTTCCCGAATGGATACGCTCCCCATTGCTTACCCTCATAACTAATCAAGCCTAATCGACAAGCTGGGCTTAACCAGGGGATGGTAGGGTTGAATAAGTTTTCCCCAAGAATGGTTCCCCTTGGTTTAAGCTTGTTTCCATGAATGCTAGCTGCAGATACCAGGTGGACTTCGATGGATAGGAATAGGAAACAAAGTGTCGCAATAGCGTTCGATATCATAGCGGCAAATTTAAACCGGCGTGCGTGTTTCGCCGGCAATTACACGCTTTGCTTAAAAACGATAAGACCTCAGAAGGCTTGAGGCTTCTAATTAAGTTAAGGAGGTCTTAGTACTATCGAGGGTATCGTAATTCTGATTTCCTAGGAAAGTAATAATATTCTGGTCTGATCCCGAATAACTCAGCTCGGTGGAAGAAATTTTGACAAGGAAAGAGTAGAGCGAAACTAACTTAATATGCTCCTGCCCATGCGTATTCTAGTAAAGCTGGAATGTAAAGAAGTGCGCGCGGGTGAGTATATTATATACCCACACCGACAGTACTGCAGTTAAGCACAATATAAATAGTGTATGCATGCCCAGGGCGTCTTAAGTAGCTTGTCCCCCACCACTCGAAACAATACTTCTCTTCCAAGCGGTCCTAGTTTTCGTCCACAAATGTTTAAACTTGTGATATTTCCAAGAGATGATCATATGAGCTCATGGGGGTCTAATACAGTCCGCACAAGCAAAAGTTGTCTACATGCCTAACAAGAACAACCTCTCGAGGGCTTGTCTAATGTTTCAAGTCCTAGCACCAACTAGCTAGTAAGGCTTATGTACCGTACGGTTTTAACCTGCTGCGAGTCGTTTGAAATCTGAGGAGCCCAGTACAGCCCCAAATCAAGCGAATTGAGAAAAGCTAGAGACCGTCCGAGGTGGCTACCTAACGCATGCAAGGTATAACTTTATAGGTGTTAGGCATGCCGGCACGGCGTCTCGATATGGGGGGATATCCGAGTTTGGGGGTTTTCCGAGCAAAACCTTGCCTCAAAAACGCCATTTGAAGCAATTTATAATTTAGCCTATGAAAATCTTAAGTATATAAGTCAGGACGTCCTGTGACCGTTGTAAAACCGATCGATATATATCAACTATTAAGTTCTATCCGATAAGTTCGCTACTTGCTATATGTATACATGTACATATAGTAGCTGGCTGAGTTTTATAGAGTTCGTTGTAAAGCTTCCTTTGGTTACGCATATAGTAAAACACAGCCTCGAATCTGTTATAAGTTACTTGGTTGTATAACATTAGTTAACTACTATAGTACTAACGGCCGTTAACCTTCAGGTAATATTATAATACGCCAGCGGCATCGATGCAATCTATATGCTATAGCTACGATGCGTTATCTTCGAAATCCAACACCCTCGCACACTACCTGTTACTCCATACATCATGCGATACATGTATGTTGATGTTGCAGTGTTATAAAACTGCCCAACCCGAGAGATTTACAACCGTACAAATGTTATTGATGAGATATGTATGCTTCTGCCTATAGCTATAGGACATGGAACTAGAGCTAGTCTGGCGGTAAACCGATCTACAGTTTGAATATCTAAACCATTATCTAGGTTCTCGGGCCAATGCTGGCCACACATCTATAGATGGTTTTATACGTACTACACACCATAACATACAACTATACTAAGTTAATTCTCATGATCAGCTCAACCAAACCAATGAGTGATTGAACTTATAAAATATTAATTATACATTTGCGTGCGCATGTATTAGCCGACTATCACGAATATTCCAAAAACTGAGTCGATTTTGGACCACCACAAACACTCCTATTGCTTATCCCAGTAAACAACTACCGATATCGCGATATCAATTGCGAAAAAAAATTTCTTTTGAAAAAAAACTAGGATTTGGGCATACCTCTAAGTGGTCAAGATAGTGCGATGTGTCATCTAGATAATACCGGTTGAAATCCGTGTACTTAAACAAACATCCAATTAGTATATTTAAAAACTGAAATGGGTAAGAGCACGTTGGTAAATCACAGAGCCTGGTCTCGCCTCTACATAGTATAACCTTTACCCATGCAAGTGACAGGGATATAGAGGCCAACAGTACAAAGTCACTGCAAAATCTTGTGCCCCAAACGCCCTTGTAGAACCGGGTTCACTCAAAACTAGCTTCAGCTGGTTAGCTTGCATTAGAATGTTCTTGAAATTTGAAACAGCCGCTGGTGCTTCGCCGTCCATCGAGTTCTGAAGCTCATTCCATAGATCCTGGAAAAACTCTCTTACCGTCATGCCCATATACTTTGGTACACCAAGCCACGCTGATACCGTCATAGCCCCACAGCAATTATAGATGACCCGGGTGGTTTTGTCTATCCCATGACGTGCTGATGGGCTTACCGCTGTTAAGTACCCATTTGAGTTAGTACTACCACGAATACTTCGAAGAAGCGGTTCGTCCAATAGAGGAGAACCAGTTATATCGATAGCTTTGTTATTCAGTCTCGACCAGTGTTTAAACTTTTGTGTGTCTCTCATGAGCCATTTACATAATGCATCGCCCCTTAAGCGTCCTTCGTTCGTTCGTTGCCACGATAGTGCCGAGTGAATGGTGAGGTAATAGTTGCGAATTGTCAGTAACTTGACAGCGCAGTCTAGTGTTATATACCCATGAGTATCCCTCAACTGAAACCGATGAATGGGGAGGAGTTTGTGAATATATATTGGGGCACAGCTGTCGTTTCGGATAGCTTTGTACCGGAGGGATGTGGGGAGCGAAAGGAAGACTTGTCGGAAGAAGCGATGCGTGCTACTAAAAGCAAGTTGATCGTGGATAGAGAGGTAGGAGTAGATAGCTATAATAACGTCAGCGGGCAGGATAGATACGGGCCCCTTCGCGGGTTCTTGGTATCCAGTTGATGTCGTGAGAGGCCTCATGACTCTAGGAAAGTGCTACAGGAACTTAATTACTAATGCCTTCGCCTTTTCGCTTTCTGATGTTGAGCGCGAGGTTATGATGGTAGGAGAATTCCACAGGTTTCAGCTAGAAGGGGTAGTATTTAGAGCTAATTAGTATATCGATACGAGTTATAACTAGTAATCCGGTATGGAATAATGGTAAAACAAGATTTAAGAGCTATAGTAAGTTTAAAATTTAAGAGTGGGCCCTAGAATGCGGGGATGCATCAATGCAATGGCATATATACACCGACATTTATGTTGACACTAAAAATCTGGGGTTGCAATCGATAGCCGAAACGAAACCCACAAGTTCAAGAACCCGGGTTATCCATATTCTTTAGTTTGGATTCCGTCTGGCCAAGCCCGCCTACCTAGCTACATATCCAAATCCACGGATACGAAATAAGATAATGTGGTATATTTTGCGTTGGCGATATTGTTGCTAATTTCCATGCACGTCGTGCTAGTTCGGGTTCCAAAGTCTTGAGCTCGTAACGACTGCAGATTAGATCTTGCGGATTCGAGGACATGATCTTAAAATTATTTCCTTTCTATATCGACAGCTAGAATTCCATCAGCACATGATGCATGTTTCAAAGTGATAGACGCGCTTTGTTCTTGAACCCCCAATTGAGGACCTCGTCACGAAAGAGCAACGCTTGCTGTCCCGCGGACTCGAATTTCATCTAGTCTATAAATGGCTAGGCATATGAGTCCCGGATGCGGCGGGATCCACCTTCACTCTGAATATATTGAGCTGCCCAATCAATCGGATACGATACACTAGGATTAGAGGAGAAAGTATGGAGTATACCCAATCTAGACTTAACAGGCGGAGAGGACTACGATTGGCCAAACCCAAATTCTAGAACTGCATTCGTGAAGCGTCGCGGGAGTAAAATGTGACAATGAATGTTCTTGCGGGGCCTTACGTAAAGCTAAGGCTACCCCTCATCGAAGTCAAAGTTGGCATTCAACATAGCTTCAACCTCGGTAGAATAATTAGTACTGCTTAGCATATTGAGATTGCCGGCAATTGTCTATATATTCACCCAGTCCTGGTCTCCTTCACGATTCGAATATTCAAACAGAATCTCCGAGACTAATTTAAATATCTAGACTTTAAATATTCTAACTTTGCAAATTAGTCTTCACGGATACTACAATGGCGCCGTCAATCGAGATCACCAACTTGCGCCTTCCACATACTTCAAACCTTCTTGGAATAGATGACCCAACTCCTATAATCTCATGGTCGTACTCTATCCCATCCGCGCAAACTGCTCCATCCTGGCAGCAAATCACGTACATTCTATCCCTTCGGAGTTGGTCTCTTGCTAGCGGCTCGGATTCTGCAAAAACTTACGTTGTGGTGGGCCCGCAGGGATATTGTAGCGGGAATATACTATGGCCAAAAGTCTTCCCGAGAGTTGAATCTTCTCATGTTTATGAACTCTCGGTGCGGGCGATATTTACAGGAGGAAAAACCAATGCACATGGAGAGTTCGGAAGCCCGGGTGGTGATAAGTTAGCGCCAGAAGGAGAATCTGCAGAGCAACTGGCAGCGAAGTTCACCGTTGGTCTTTCCGACGCTTCTATTGCTTCAGGTGTCCTGAAGTTCGAAGGCGGTATCGTTGGAGGCCTGAACGGGTGGTATAAGAAAGCTCCCTCCATAACGCCAATAACTACGCCTTGGAGCGCCCAGGGTTGGGAAAAGCCAGAACCCGTGCCGGCATATCGAAATACTTATACTCTCAAGTCAAAACCTCAATTCGCCAGAGTCTACGCAACCGGCTTTGGTGTTTATAAAATCTCTATCAACGGAAAGGCCGTTAGTGCTGAATCAACCATGAACCCTGGCTGGACAGAATACGCTGTCAGAATGACTTACCAAACCTATGATATCACAGAGCACCTTCAAGCCGGTGATAACGTGGTTACTGTTTGGGTGGCAGACGGGTGGTACCGTGGCCGTTTAGGGCTTCCTCATAAGCGTTGGTCAGCTCGAAGAGGAATTTACGGCAAAGAGACCGGGTTTATGGCCCTTTTTGAGACATTTGGGTCAGAGAACCAGAGTTTTTGGACAGGCAGTAGTAGTGAAACTGGTTGGAAATGCATCCAACGAAGTCCCATCCTCGAAACGGAGATCTATGACGGAGAGCACCACGATGCCAGAATTAGCATTGAAACAGCCGGGGAAGATGAATGGAAAGATGTTAAACAAATCCCGGAAGTTTTTGTTTCTGAGCTAAGACGTCCTGTTATAAACGAAAAAACCGTCAATTGGAGAATCTTAAAGTGGGATATCGAATCTTGGAGCACTGAAACAGCAACAAAGGCATTACAAGCACAAACCGCGCCACTTATTCGGCACACGCAGACATTCCCATTGAAAGAAACCATCAGAACGCCGAAAGGGAAGATTATCTGGGATTTTGCTCAGAATATTACCGGAAAGATCAAGATAAAAGGGTCTGCTCCTGCAGGAACAAAGGCTAGTTTTTGCAGTTCCTAGTACTAATAACCCACATTAACCAACTTCTTTGTAATAGTTGACGTTCCTTCATGTCGAGATCCTTGACCAGGATGGAGAAGCCTGTTGGATCATCCTCAGAGGTGCTAAAGCTACTGATAGTTATACCTTCAGCGGCAACGGTGTCGAAGAGTGGGAGCCGGAATTCACTTTCCACGGATTTCGATACGTCCAAGTTGACGGTTTGCCCGAGGGGGTGGAGATCGAGGCCGTAGCTAAAGTATATGGCAGCGACTGTGACAAGGGGCTTTTGAAATTTAACACTACTCACCAGGACCTTAACCGATTTGTGGAAAATATCCAATGGAGTACCAGAGGAAACTTCTATTCAGTACCAACAGATTGCCCCCAGCGTGACGAGAGATTAGGCTGGTAAGTCTTAAACTTATAAAGCATGGAGCTTATCGTTTAAACGCCGGTACACTAACTTTGATACTACTTACAGGAGTGGTGACATCAATGTAGGTTTTCACTGTTTGTGGTTTGCGAGGGTCGGGATTTCCTCAAGCTAATTGTCTTACGATATAACCTCAACAGCTATTTGGGCCGACAGCAGTCTATATATTTGATTGCTACACATTCTTAAAACAATGGCTCCAAGGTCTCGCAGATGGGCTTTACATAGGTGGTTTCAACCGACCTCCCATTGTGTATGTTCCGATACGCCCAGTATTTAATTCAACGTTGCTAACTCTGTCTTAGCTCTCCAAACGCCTTTGAACTTCCTGGGTCACACAGACCGATGGCGATCTGGGAGGATTGTTTAGTTGCCTTGCCGTGGAATCTTTACAAGCAGTACCGAGATCCTAGTCTCCTCGAAGCCCTTTATCCCAGTATTAGGCAATACTATACTAAAGGTATTCCGAGAAACGAGGATGGTCTATGGGTAGACTCTTTCCAATACGGTGACTGGCTTGACCCCACCACTCCACCAGAACGCCCAGAATTGGCTCAGACGAATCAAATCTTCATTGCCGATACCTGGCTCTGCAATATCTCACAGATAATTCTCAACATTGCAACAGTTCTTGGGAAAATGGAAGACATTGAATTGTTCAAATCCTCAAAGGAGAAGGTTATCTCGGCATGGCAAAAGAAATACCTAGTACCTATTGATGCATCCATCTCAGAATCCGAGGAGCCTCAACAGCTTATTCGATGGGAACCAAACGCTGAAGACCCAAATCCTCCAAATCCTGTCCCAGATTCGCAAACAGCATATTCATGCGCTCTTACATTTGGTCTTCTCCCCGAGAGCTATATTGAGCCGGCAATTCGTCGCCTGCACCACCTTGTCAAAAATAAGGCCAACTTCCACATCTCCACAGGGTTAGCAGGAACCCCTGAAATATTTTATGCTCTTTGTTACCCCAGGAATTTGCCATCGACTACCTCGCAGGAGCACTTAGAATCCGTATCTCTAGCATATAAACTTCTGCTAAAGAATTACGATACCCCATCATTCCTCTATCCAATCAAGATGGGAGCAACTAGTATCTGGGAGCGTTGGGATTGCATCACCAAAGAGGGATTCGCAAATGTCGTTTCAATGACCAGCATGAATCACTATGCCCTCGGAGCTCCCGGTAAATGGATATTTGAAAACATTGGGGGTATCAAATTAGAACACGACGACCTTCCCGTCAGCGGTGTTGTCAACGCAGACGCAAAGGAAGGTTGGAAATTCATATTTGACCCTATTCCTAGCGTTGAATTTGGGGTTCTAAGCAATCAGATGGAGTACGAAAGTCCAAAAGGGAGAGTGGAGTGTAAATGGAGCTATAGTACACAAGATAAAGAGTTGTCTGTTGAAGTCGCGGTGCCTGCGAACTGTGAAGGAGAGATCAGGATAATCGGAAAAACTGTGCAGAAGGTAGGTGCAGGAAAATACTCTGTCAAGAAGAAGTTGGATGAAGTAGACTGGAAGACGTTGGAGGCATTTTAGATTGCATACCACGAGCCTAAGTTTAAGATAAGTTTGCATAAAATGTATGTTGAAGGTATCATGATATCAACAATCTTGAATTATCCTATTTACTTAGGTATATAATCATGTTTGACTGAAGCCCAGTGCGTATCAAATTTTGTTATCGGCGATTTCCTTCTACCAATCACCACCCTCTGTTTTAATCCATTTAAAGTCCTATTTTAAAATTGAATTATTAGTTATCTCTCATTCTTGTGCTTGAATCATTTAAATAACTTACCGCTGGGACCAAAATCGGTAATCCATCACCAGTCGCAAAAACCCCAAGATGCGTACCAACAAAGTTTTGCCATCCCGATGGATAACTCTGCATCCATTTACTCTCTGCGCTAGCAACCCAAGTAGCTTTCCTATCATGGCCCAAGCTGTACCCCAAGGTATACTTATCCGCCTCACATTTGATCCATAACTTGACTGTTCCTGTCTCCGGAATCTCAACGTACGTCGTCTTCGCCACCGGTTCCTTCCCGGTTCTAGTTGTTGCTGCGACAACTCTCTTTCCAGTTTCTGGATGGAGCGTTATAACTATATCTTGGTGAAGCCAAGTGCTTAAGAACGCAGTCACTCCGGCTTTATGTCTCGCACTGGTGGGGTAGAACTCCAGTTCAGTGTTAAACACCGTATTGATATCTTCTTGTTTCCTCAAGAACATTGCCGGGGTCTGTCGGTCGCTCAGAGTATATACATTCCCATAAAGTCTCAACCACCCTTTTCTGGCCTTAAAGCTATGGAACGCCTTTGTTGGTGTTCGTTGTGTATAGTACCTTCTGTCCGCAAATCCATTATACTCCCCGTTCCAGAAATGATCTTGCCATACCTTTGGGCGGGGCTTATTATACAACCCTGAAATTTCGAAGGTGATATCCTTCCCGCCGTTTGCAATTGGCCAGCCATCTTTCCAGGTTACAGGCGCTAAAAAGGTTTCACGTCCTAATTGCGGAACTCCAGAAGAATCTGTTGGATTTTGAGGACGAGTAGCGAGGAATACGGTGTACCAATCCCCGTTGGGGGTTTGTACGATATCTGCGTGGCCAGTTGATAAAATTGGCTGTGAGAGATTACGGCCGTTGAAGACAAAGGGGTTGTATGGACTAGACTCCCAAGGCCCGTGTAGGGAATTCGACCGATGCCACATAGCACGATGTTGGACTTCAGTACCTGCTTCGGCAGTGAGGAGATAGTATGTTCCATTGAATTTATAGATGTGGGATCCTTCCGCAAGGCGGGGGGTGTTGATAGGCAGCTCGCTGCGGTAGAAATACCGGGATTCAGTCAAAGAGTTGCCAGTTTTGAGGTCGATTTCAGTTATCCAGATTGCGAAGTATCCGGAGTCTGGATCGATGAAACCAGAACCCATTGTAGTTGTAAGGTACGTTTTACCATCAGTGTCGAAGAAAAGGTCAGGATCGAAACCCCATCTTAAGTTTAGAGTGTTAATTCCGCATATACATAGCCAGGGAGCGTACGTTGGGCTTTTATGATATCATGATCGAAGGAACTTACTGATCGACATAGATCGGGTCGCCCCAAGAGGTCTCGTCCAAAATGTTTTTGGTGCTAACATACATGGACCGTGGGGTTCCAGTAGTATTATCCGGCGGACTAATAACGTCAAACCTGTCACGCAGCAACGTTGCATTAGCCCTGCATTATTCCTAATGGCCACCAATGCACGGGTTAACTGTACACAGCATGCAAATACATACCAAGTTGTAATCATATAGAAAGTCTTTGAGGCTTCGTGGTATCGTAAAGTTGGGGCAAAGATACCCCCACTAGGTGCAGTTCCGCGCAGGTTCAACTGCGAAGGGCGATTAAGTGCATGGCCAATACATGTCCAGTCGATCCTGTATCAGCAACAGTTTAGCAACACTTCATGGAAACTGTACATTTAGAGTTGAATATAATGGAGGAAATTCATACAAGTCTTTCGAATGATAAACTGGAACCCCTGGAAAAAATTCGAATGTGGAAGTAACCAAGAAGTAATCATTCTCGACCCTAATGATGCTTGGATCCGGGTTGAAACCTGGTATAATGGGGTTTCTGAAAGCACCTATATTCGAAAGTTAGATCCAAGGTGGTTCGAGGATATAATCATGGTCGTATATATCTATCAATAGGGTAAACATACAAGAAACGCCAATTAGCAAAGTGAAAAGCAGTGTGGTTAACATCTTGAAGGCTCCAATTAAGTCAATTGTTGCACTTTTTGCGTTGCCCTTGATCAATTGACTAGGTTGAAACCGCGCCGAACTACATATACAGCTATTCGATCAAGGAGAATGTATTGCAAATTTCAGCAAACAATGGCTCTAAAGACGCATATTTATACTTTTCAATTTATTATAAATCTAGGTCATCCATGGCATCATCGGTTATATTTTCAACTCGTTACGAAGATCAACGTTGCCGGAAATGCGAAATCCTGGAGAAGCTTCATGGTACGGGATGTATACCGGCTAATATTGTTACTGGGATTCTGGCACTAGTTATCGGATGCCCGGGTGAACCAAGGTTTGGATTTGATATGTACCGTGGTATATTTCAGCTAGGTTGCCATCGTGAACACCCCAACTAGAAACTCTTGCTTAAAGTTATTATCATGAATTAGGCCCATGGGGTAGATTAAATTAGGATTCAATATAATTTATAACTTCTGCTTTTAACATTAGCCTCATAAATACACACATCAAAGCTCCTCTTCCATCTGTTGATCTTGATTTTTCGGTTTACGGTTCATCCTCGCCCGAGATTTTCCCCCTGGTCTAGACCTGTGGCTCGATAGATCCGAGATATCGATTGGTTCGTTGTTGGTAGCACTGGTATCGCCTTGGTTAGGCTCAAACTCAATCAACATCCGTCCTTGCTCGGACTCCTCCTGAATTTGAACTTCGGGCTGAACTTGAACTTCGGGTTGGATTTGAACTTCGGGTTGAACTTGAACTTCTTGAAGCTGAGCTTCGGATTGTGGTTCAATCTTTATCCCCTGTTGGGCTTGGGCTTGTGGCTGGGTTTCTGTCTGTGTAGTAGAAATCGGAGCCACATACGAGTTTTCCGGCGCCTCTACTAGATCTTGCATATTAAATTGGGGCCGAGGTTGTATTCGAAACTGGGCTTGGTTATCGGGAATCGGAATGGTCGCAAGATCTTCATGTGGTGCCATCAATAGACTTTCCATGTACAACTTCGTCAATTTCGGGTCATGTGGGACATCCGACATCAGCTCCTCAAGTGTGATTGTATCCTTTGTTGTATAAGGCTGTCCTTCGGGAGCCCATTCAAGATTAACATCTTCCAAACCTGGAAGAGGCGTAAGCTGGTCTATTATCGTCACGATTCTATTCCATGCAGCAGACCAGCACCCATACCATGCCCAAATATTATCAAATAAAGTTACCGGTAATGATCGCTTCAGACTCACCCCCCTATAAGCACCCCAACTTTCAGTTTCAAACAGGTTAAAATACCTATAATGACCTAGTATCTTTACGATATCTGGATCGTTCAGCTCCCACTTCTGTGCGTATTCACGCCATAACTCAGCGTCCTTTACCCTGGCTCTTAACATCTCGCTTCTTTTCTTCCACTTGCCAGCCTTAAATTTCAGGGTTGGTAGGTTTATCATTGCCGTCTTTCCCTCCGGGCCCTGACTTAAGCCACCGAAGACGCTTCGTAATATCACCAACATTCTAGAGATACGATCAGGTAACGTAGCTCCGAATGGTGCTGGCTTAGGGAAAAACCCCAAAGGATCGACAAATTCTTTTTTATTGATTTTATCAAGCGTTTCCCAGTGTACTTGAAGTGTATCGACATACTCCTTTAACCAGCGGCGGCGGTTGATCATTACATCTCGCGCCTCAGCAGGAGGTAATTTCCATGCTTTACTAACTGCCCTCAACCATTCAGGAATCTTTCGGCCTTCTGTCGCAGCACCGACGACATCAAGTTTGAGCATATTTTCAACCTCCCCTTTGAGAGCAAAGATGAGATAACCAAAAGAATTGGGTGTAGTTTGAGGGGCGAGTTGGCCCGAAAAAGTAGTTTGTGGTTCATTGGGGTTGATGCCGAGGGGGCAGATTTGCGCGCGGGTCTCTGCGAATAAATTCACTTCTTCGTTGAAAGCTGCGAGTACCCTCTCGTTCTCCAAGACCCATTTATCAAACTCTGGATTTAGTCTGATGTAAACGAATTCCCCTTCTCTTCTAATTAGGGGGACTTCAGGTACGCCGGTGACATCTCCGGCAACTGCTTCTGGATCCGGGTCTGGAGGAACTTGGGCATACGAAAAGCGGAGAGCCAAGAAAGATATTATAAGCCATCTTCCATATAACGATAGAAAGGGGGTTAGGGAGAGAAACCGCATATTGGCAAAGGTCTCTGAACATCTACCGCCGAATAGTAACCGAAAAGTGGCGATAATGATGATATGCCACATGGCACTCACGAGATAAGATGCATTTCAAGCCACGGGGTTTTGAGGCCATTCGATCTAGATACCGTTCATTCATACGAATTCATTTGCCCTTCCCGGCCTGCAAGTCATCCAAATCAGGTTAGCCTATTTTCGCTCCACCAATAGAATCGAAGGAACTATCACAAAATCAACACTTTCCTCAACGCGCCCTTTAACACACTCCCCGAGAATCCCCGTACGATCGTCAAAATCTGGGGTAAACGGTTAATCCGAGGAACAACCATGGAGAACCCCCTAGTCTAACGGACTAGAAGCACCCTATTGCATGCCATTTCCTCTTCACCCATCTGTCTATCCGAAAACACTACCGAATCGGCCACGGCAATGTTTTACCCCTCATCCTGCATTCATCCGGCCAAATACTCCACACTGAAAGCGGATACGCACTTATGTGTTATGTATAGCATCGAGTCTAATCAATGCGACTCTTTCATGATCATGTTGTGATATTCTCACACAGAACTTTCGGCCTCAAGTCGATATTGATATTAACGACTGCCCCACCGTACTAGTAGTCGAGCAAACATCTTAGCTTCCGATTCCCGACCCTTTTGCCTAAATTCACCCAGCCACCCCGCTCATACATCGTTCCGTGCATTTAGGTAGACAGGTTTTCAATTTCCATACTTAATTCTTCGGCTTTTTTTAAGCCTTTTTCTTGACAATCGCTTGTTTGATTTCGGATTCTTTGGTTCCCGTTTACCAGACTTAAGCCTATATCTTAGGCTATATTGATTGTGGACCTCAACAACGGAGTGGCGCACCTTCAAAATGTGGATACCATGATTTAGCGGGAATAGTTATTCCGGGATATAGAGTACTGCGTAGATCGTATCGTAGTCCAACAGCAATTCGTCTCGGTTTATAATTTTTTCTGCTTTTTTCCCCTCTTTGAGAATATAATCTCCCCGTTTAAGTTTCCGTGGCACAGTCGAATCTCCACGCCGCTCTAACATAACCAACTCCTTAATTACCCCCGTGCTCTCGATATGCCATAATCATAGTGTATAGAAAAAAAATAATACACATGTATTTCGCATTCATCCATTCATTCCCGTGTTATATATGCCGCTAACAGCTGTATCTATCGCCTCCCAATTCATCCTTCAAAAATTCCACCAAACCTTCAATAAATAGTGAAACTCAAGAGGATCCACGACAATACAGCCGGCAATCCAAATTCTTCATAACTCACACTAACGAGATATAACCATGCTCAAGAAAATGATGTAATGATAATAGTAAGAATAGTAATATAATGATAATAATAATAAGGTCATAAAAGCTCCCAATGGATAAGAGGTACATACAACGTTCCATGGAAGTCAGTAAGAATATAAGACAAAAACGAATCCCCATCCCAAAATCAAAAAAAAAGGGCGAACCAATTCGCCAGACCACTCCCAAAGGAAGGGTTCTAAAAGGATAAAATAATGGAAGGGTGAAAAATATTTTGAAAGAATAAAGGAGCAATAATTGTCGCACCATAAAACTCCTGGCGAAACATAATACAAAAATGTGTAAAATCAGGAGAACTCAAGGGAGGGAGGGAGGGAGAGAAAAAGAATAAAATAATAGGTTACCCTGTGCGTCCTGTTGAAGGGGAGGAAGAGAGGTAAAAAGTAGACCCACGAAATAAAAGTATCAATAAAATGGGTCCTGATCAAGGGTCTTAGATCATGTCTTACGAAGCGTAAGAGCCAAAACCCGTCCAACCACCATTTGTCACCGAAGTGTTTCCTTCAAGAGATTTGGAAAACACCAACTTTTCTATCCAACGACGTTAACCCCAACATCGAAAATTCTCATATCAAACTTCTTCCCCGGCGAGTGGTCCACAATCTTAACATGCGGCGCTAGATCAGGATACAACTCGGCAAACTTAGTTCCCACGCTCCAGTTCTCTATTTTCCTAATATGAGTTTCGAACATCGGATTGATAACGTATTCGTTAGTTGATTGCTCCATAACCGTCGACATGGGGTCGTATGGCCAATTTACGGATAATGTGCCAGTGTAAGGGATGCTGAATTCGGTGTTATTGTATTTTTCGGGGTGTTTGGCCATGGCGTCACGGGACATTGGCCTGTGTTTATGTTTAGTACGAAATAATCACACTATTGTAGTAGTAACAGGAATGAAAGGTATACAGGCACATACCATGGCATATGATCGAACCAGATGGGTCTAGCCGTAAATAACTGTGAAGGGCGGGGCTTAATATACTCCGGCATGTTGTCGTAACTCTCTTGTGTCGGGTTGATAGCCCACTAAAAGTGCAAAGGTTAGCCTTATCGACTATATATATCAAGAATTAATCGCTTAGTTCAAGCAAGGACATACCCTCATCCAAATATACAGCACATAAACAATAGCAACCCTCTCCGGTAGCTCCACCAAATCCCCAAAAGTATCCACGATAGCCGCCATCACCTGCGTCAGTCCATTTCTCGGCGGCCTTGACCCAGGACTAACAATAAATGTAATATCTGGCTGTGGCGGCCCTGCAAGAACAGACAACGGTGTTCCATTAACACGATGTAATCTCGCCTGCTCTTCTAGAAACTCGAGGTAGACGCGGTCAAGAATACAGGTAGGCGGTAAATGACGTGGCATGACCTCCCAATGCCCGTTTGCGCGGACGCAGTAGGTCCCTGGGTACTGCACGCTAGGGATAGAATAGACAGTCGAAACTGGTGAGCTAGTAAGTAGCGACTGAGCACCAGATATACGTCGGCGGATTTCTGCTTGAACTATAATATTAAGTATTAGTTATACCAAAAGAAAGTATGCATAATGGAAGAAGAAAAAGAAAAAGGAAGAAGAAAGTGAACATACAGTTCCTCACGACCGGATAACCAGAGAGATACATACCATCACTGGATGCGCTACTTGTCAAATCTGCTAGAGACCGCTTCCGGGCCGTGTACTCATATGGCTGATCTTGTATTTGTCGATACCCATTCGGCTTAAACCCTCCATGACACACGAAATCCAGGCTCATTGCTCCAGCAGGTGCATCCTTCCCGTTACTCGACAGTGCAATATTATCACTTCCGTGTTCCGATTCGACATATCCAGGGTGTCCAACAGATTCAGCCCTAACGCTAACCGGCGATTTACTACTCAACGCCAGTCCGGGCCTTGCCACGATCCCCGACGAAGTGGTGGAACCCGGCACGGGCGGTGGTTGTATTCCATTCCTTTTAATACTATCCAACGCATCCAGTGCATTGTCTAGTTCTTTCCTGAGTTCAGATGTCTTAAACTCCCATTCCCCCTTTTCATTTTCAAGTTCCTTGACCTTGAACTCTAATGATGTGATTTGATTCTTTGTCCGAGTACGAATGGCACGTTGTGCATCTCGGTCATGTGCCCGTTTGCGAGCTAGTTGTTCGGCTGTGAGACTTGATATCGTTCGGGAGCGGGTCTTTTTCTTCGGAAGGCCCGAATCAGCGAGGTTCAGTGAAGACCCATTTGTAGGCGACTGTTCGCCACTAAGGTCATCTTGGATGTCGGAGCCATGTGGAGAATAAGGCGGTGGACGCTGGTGAATGCCTGAAACAACGTCTTCGGACGACTCGCTGCGTTTAAAATGGAGATAGGGAGAGTCACCCATCGGGAAAGGGAAAAAGGGAAGGGAGTTCGATATAAAGGGTATTTATTGGAATTTCTGTTTTGGTGACCAAGTCAACCCGGAATCCTAGCCGGGTCTGTACCGAGTTCCTTTTTCTTTTTCGATGATACTTTCTAGTTCCAAAACCTCCTTTGGTCCACCCGAGGTAGTGGGTCAGGAAGCGACTTGCAGCGGGTAGCCGGTGGGAAAGCCCCTCGAAGCCTTGGTGGTTAAGAATTTCCCGAAACAGGAAGAACTTTAAAATATAACTACGGGGACCTCTCGAGAAAAATAGCCTATCAAAGGCATAAAATGTCCAAGAAGAGAAATGAAAGTAAAAATGATAACCAGAAAAATTAACTTTCGCTCTTCCACCCAAGATCCTTCCACGAGACACGCACCACAACCGAGCACGGAATTGTGGAGCAAGAGTTCGGGGTTATAGATAAGACAAGCGTGATCTAAAGGGCACCTACAGAAGCCCGAACAAACGTCAAGATTTGGTGGCCCGTTGCATGAAACAAGGGAATGGGGAGACAAGCAACAGGGTCTGCTGCGGGTCCGCCGAATGGCCTTACGAGAAAAATGCGGTTCTCTTCTTTTTTCCCTGGTGGTGGTGCACGAATCATGCACACACACACAGCACAAGAGATACGACCCGAGTGGAGGGAAGGGGTGGGAAAGGTTATTTTGGCGGCTACGGTAATTAGCAACGTGATAGTGAGTTAAGGCATGACAAGCCGGACTATCGGTGGAGATGAGAATGAGGCGGTAGGACTGTGGTTCGGATTCGGAGGACAACAGATGGGAAAAGTGTCAGCAGATGGGGAAAAGAAGGGGGAAGGAGGAGAATTCCAAGAGCTGAAACGGGGATTTTTGCGCGAGGTGGCAGGGTTAACAAGCGAGAACCTGACTCGTGTATAGGAACAAGAGATTGACGACGGTTCCAACAGTCTGGATACAGACCCACAGGAGCACAGAGCTTAGTCGCATCGACGCAAGGTTCCTAGGCAGCTTGCTAGTGAGGGTTCTTCAGTCGAGTCCTGGTGTGCATGGGTGGGAGTAGTCGAGATGTATCAGGCCACCCGGGGTACGTACAGTTTTCTTTACAAGCCCGTCAAACTCGAGACAAACAAGGGTTCGAAGAGGTAGTACTGATATATAGGCCCTCATTGATTGATATTAATATAAGGGTGAAAACCTTTGTTTAAATTTGCTTATACTTGAGACTTACATACATAGTACATGTACATACGTAGGTCCTCAATATTTGACATTTAGCCGGGGGCAAGCACTATGGCGATTTATCAGCAAAAACCTTATCCCAAGCGGAAACCTCCAGATGCGAAAACTTAGCTAATAATCCGGCAGCACCGGATCTCCGAGTTAATAGTGACTTCATACCTATGGCCTAGCCCTCACCCAAATATCCGATTTATAATATCTACATATGCATATATGACTGTCAAATCCGATATTAGATACTACTGAACCAGGAAGGTTACACAGAGTAAACCGATCATGGCTCTATGCCGGGAGCCTGGAGCTAGGGTAGGTACTTTGCTAATATGTGACCCATGGCCATGTCGAAGCTCAAAGTTCGCAGGTAGCTTCATGTGGAGGTAGAAAATGCATGATATAGAACAGGCAAGGGGAGTGATTTTACAGACCAAGATTCGAAACACCAGGATGCAGTCGGAGGCGACGTTCACGACTACCCGTCTACGTTACACAGACATGACTACCTAACCACCACAAGCCTAACCTGCAACAACACACCAAATCCCAAACTTAGGTAGGAACATGGGCAAGTAAAACGGCTAATATGGTCCCGAGAGAATCTTCATTCATATTGCATCCTTCGGTAGTTATGATAGATATATGGTTATCTTCAGCTTAGCGCTAAGGTAAAGTAGAATACAGATTCTCGTTCATTAATCATGCATGATATCAAGCAATTTATATTTATACCCACTAATACCCACTGATCTATGTCAGGTGAATGTACTAGAACGTAATCGCATGTTTATAGGCCTGGTGTTCATGTTCTCTCCTCCCACCCAGCCCTATCATCCTCACTATCTGATGGACTCGCCGGTGCCGTCTTAGTCTCTTTCTTTAGAGGCTGTTCGATAATAAACAAACTCGCCGCAGTCGCCACAAACGAAAAGACAAACGCCATCATAAACGGCTGTTAAAAGTCAGCATCCATTGAAATTTAAATTAAAAGAATAAGGGGGAAGAATAGAAACTTACATATCTAACAGCCCCCTCATAAGCTGCAACCACGACTGCCCTAACTTTCGGCTCTAATTCCTTCAAAAACTCCAAAGTCCCCGTTGCTCGTCTTACAATCTCCTCCACCTCTTCTTTCTTAACAACGCCGCTCAATTCTTTTCTCAAATCCGCTCTTAAGCTCCCTTGTAGCAGTGTACCCCCGACGCTAACTCCCACTACACTCCCCAAGCTCCTAAACAGATAACTGACCGCAGTACTAACGGCCTGATCCCTGTTCCCGCTTCTCGCAATAAGGGCTACAAGCACCGTAGTAGCTCCAGATCCACTTCCAAACCCAGCGATAGCGAATCCACATCCTATCGCTACGAAATTTCTCCCAACAATACCCGTGAACAGAATCACAACACCACACCCGAATATCATACATATGTACGATATTATGGTCAGCGTGTAATATTTCCCTGTCTTTTGCATCAGTATCCCACCCCCAAGGCTCCCACTGACGCTCCCCGCGATAGCTGGTAGCATCCTAAGCCCACTCTCGGAAGCATTGAGGCTCAGCACTGCTTGAAAGTACAAGGGCATATAGAACAAAGCAGCAAAGAATCCTCCCATCCCAAAGAAATAAGCAATATAACAAGATAGAAGTCCTTTGTCAAATACAATTCTCGGTGGTGCAAAGGGGTCGGATGCGTAGAAGCCTTCGATAAGGAAGAAGGCTATGAATAAGGCCACCGAAATCGGTCCAGTTATTAATACCATTTTGTCTGACCAGGAAACGTTACCACCACGGTCTAAGGCGAGTAGGAGGGTGAGAACCGCAAGAACAAGAGTTAAAGCGCCGGCAAAGTCTATACGCTTGAATTTCTCCCACGTGGTTCTATCGTTGGCGTCTGGATGTCTATGTGGAATGTTCAAGTTCACAGAAACCAGAAGGGCAGCTAAAATTGTAGCTGGAGCTTGAAACAAAAACGCCCTATTCCATGTTTAGAACTACCATTTATATGCAAATTTGTAGAGATCCAGATACGGAGTCATACCATCGCCATCCGATTCTATCAGCCATCAATCCTCCCAAAGGCGCACCAGCCGACGCACCAGTAGCATAAATGACATTTAAAAACCCTTGCCAAGTTCCCCTCTTATGCAACGGCACAATATCACTAACGACAATAGACACCAGAGTCGTCATGCCACCACCTCCGATACCCGCGAAGGCTCTGGCGACAATAAGCTCATCCATACTCCTTGCCAATCCACACCAAGCACTCCCAATCGCAAATGTGATATATGCGAACAAAAGACATGCTTTACGACCAAATATATCCGATAATTTACCGTAAAGGGGTTGGAAACAAGTGGTAGTGAGGAGGTATGCGGATGCGATCCAGCTCATTTTAGAGAGTTGGTTGAGGTCCGAGCCAATTTTGCCGTAGACCGATGCTACGATTAGGTTATCCATTGCCGCGAGGAAGACCCCGACAAGAAGGGATGGGAGGATAGCGATGAGTGAGACATCGGTACGATATTCATGAAGTGTTTCTTCATCCTGGGGTTGATGTATGGTATCAATATGGGGCTGGGGAAGCGGATCAATGTCTTCCTCCGGGTGGTGGTAGATCAATGGCGTTGTCTCCGAGGCTGTCATTTTGGAGGGTTTAAATGTTAACCGACTATTCGAATACCAGATTCGACTTGAAAAAAAGAAAAAATTCACGTATAATCTATGAACCCATAAGCTATATATATAAGCAATTGGTACGAATATAAAAAACAGTGCGGTCTTGGAGAAGAGAAAAAAAAATATGGCTGAATGAAAGAGGAACTAAATCACGCTTCGACTTTATAGCTAGTTCGTCAGACCGCATGCCACTAGATTGCATTGAAGGACGGCAACGCGTGTGGAGCCATCAGCCGTCGTGTGCTGGCAAGGATATCGCCAATTGCGATCGAAGCCTATAATTAAGCTAGTCAGCCCATCCCATGGCCCAACAGTATCACCGTAGCACCATATAATCCTGTTTTTTTTTAAAAAACAAAAAATGGAACCCCAAAGATTGCAAATTGCCGCAGCAGCTAAGTACCAAAAAAGACGTCGGTTTCATTTTAATTTTGATTTTCTCTCCCTTCAAGTCGATTTATACCACGAGTCCATTGCATTGCATTGCATGGTCATAGCCATTCGTGCACAACGGGCCACAAAATGCAACAGGAAACGCATCTGCTACATAGCGCTACCCTCTTCGCTGTACCTGGGTAGCCTCGGATCCAGGCGCTCTTGAGGCAGAGACTTGATATCGGTAAGGCGCATACACAGAAACTACGTAAGCAATTATATGGTCTGTAGCATAAACACTTCGTTAGAATTTAGGCTCAAAAGTATGTATACATATGCCATTTATGTATTACATCTCAATGTGCTGACACCGAAATACTTCAAGCAAAGAAATCACTTCCCTCAGTTAATCGATTAGGTTCGTCAGACGTACTGCTCGCCTAAAATTATATACAGTGGCATCACCCGGTCCCTCAAATGGTGTGTGTAGTACAAAATATCATATCCCAGATTCCCAGATGAGTAAAATTCTCTCAGTTCCTTCATGAATTCAACTGATGGACATATACCTTTATATTGTTCCGATCCCATGACTCGCGAGCTCGGCGCCGTGCGTTTAGGCCAAGATGCATCAAGCTCAAATACGCCACCCTTGGGAAAAACCCTTCTTGGCCTCGTGGCCTGATATAATAAATCCAGAGGAGAAATATACTATATCTTCCCAACAAAGAAGGATAAGCTCCTTCAAAGTTATCAGGTCATCTCAAAGTCTGATTGTTCAGTTCCTTTAACTGCGTCATATCCAAAGAGCTTCGAGAATTACTCCTCGAACCCTCCGGCCCATCACTTCCCTTCACATTAACAACCAGTTCCACCAAATTCGGTGCCTGAAAAAATGGATAATAATAAAATAGACCATTTTGTTTCCCCATCCACAAAACTTCCCAAGGACGTGCGATACCGGTCACCGAAATCGCAGCACTCTTCAACGAAGGTGCCGGTACTACCAACCGCCTTATAGCTATATTAACATCTTCTTCTTCCAGAATTTGATTCCCCAAGAACTCTCGATCATCCTTCCCCAGTCGAAAATACTCAGAAATTAACTCCTTTCCTGTCCAATAACAAGCCATATCTTGTGTTTTCTCGACGAGGAACTCTAGTTTTCTGAGGTTTTGGTAGAATGGTTGTTTCGATATGCTGGCGTAGACGGCTACGAAAGCATTACCCTCTGCTGCTGCAGGGATCTTGTAAGAAATATGTAACTCCGTTATATCGGGGAAGTAATCGAGAGACGAAGTATATGTTCTCAAGGCTGGGATCATAGGATCTCTATATGTTCGAATTTCCTCGTCTTCATTCCAAACCGGATCCGGATCCCACTCAGAAGGGTCTGGAAACCGAACACACCTATTTACACATTAATATTAGCTTCTCTCCTGCAAACACTGATTAAAAATAATCATATAAACTACCTAACGTATTTCCTATACATTTCATACTTCCCACCATCTCGAAACGCTCGAACTCCATCGGATGTAAGAATAATACGTCTCAGCCGTAAAAGAAGAGTGAAGTCATGACAGACACTAGAGCAACGCGCAAGGTTGCCTAGATCTCCTTTCGCTAGATTTTGAACCACAATGTACGCTATATCTGTAGGTAGATGTTCGAGTGGACTTAAAATCCTAGGTGTCCCTGGTTTCATAAACTTGGTAGGAAAGAGGCTTATTAAACTCGTGGCTTTTTCTTGTGGTGCTGGCGGGCGCCTGTCTTGATGCCGGCTCATGATACTAAAAAAGTCGTAGATGAAAGCCCAAAATTATTCGAGATGAACTAACCGGCACATCACCGACATCTTTATATAGTTCTTAAATATCAGCATCTATGACCTTTGAATACTGCACTAATCTTACCATTCTTTTTTGTAATACTATATTGAAACTCGCAAGGGTGTATTTACCTATAGCTCCGCAGCAGCACGGTCAATCGGCTCCGATTGCGTCAGAGTTGCGGTGGCCATGGAACCCTAAAAAAGTAAATCCAACATATCGATTAAGACAAAAAGTTCGCTGATTATTAATACCGGATCCGCTTCAATATATATTCCGACTTTATGTCCCCATATGGCCATGCAGGTTTTCTTCGGGTGTTTTTTAAACATCGGGACCCCTGATCAGCTGAGAGGTCCTTAGGCCTGGTTCGACCGATGTAGAGTGCATAGTGTTAAATGTGGCCTCGAGCTCGTGCCCCCGCTGCAGGAAGTCCTCCGCTGAGTCCTGGGCTTTCTTGTATGCGACCACCGACTGTTTGATTTTAAAAGCTCCCGTTAACCAGTCGTAGCGTTAGGCACTTGGTGGGTTCAAATTTTTGCTTGAAACTACTTAATTGTCTAGATTTTATTCTAGCATTTAACATTTCTTCATTTAATAACAATCTCAGATAACATTACAACTAACCTAATTGCATTTTTAGAAATATCGCGATATCGCGATTTAATTTCGATATCGAGTCTTCACCTCCCTTTCGAATTCACTACAACCCCACAAACGACTCGGCCCCCACAGTACCACAAAATTTAAAACCAACCGCAAGATCAACCCTTTGTGCAACATGTAACATCTCCTGTATGCACCATATGTACACAACTTAAGCTTTATTAGTGAATCTATAACAAGCCTCCAATAAATGTGATCTGACTAATTACCCCCCGTAATAAAGAATACTAGCTACAAGCTAGAGTTCGGTACTTTCCGTTGCATATGTGGTACATCGTCATGCATGGGACACCCGAATACCCCGCTATCCGGATCAAGAAGGTCCATTCAAATACTTTCTAACAAATTTTAGCTTTAAGGGGGACTGGTATCTTTAATCCGGCCTAATCAGGAGCCAAGGGATCCATGAGGCCTCGGTTCCAAAAGTTTGTATGAGCCCTGACCCATGCTGTCTCGATTGAATGTCGGTAGAGAACACCAGGATCATCAAATATACTCCCTTGATTGATTGGAAAAGTTAGAGTACTGCTGCATAAAAATAAAAATAAAAAATTTCAAATTTTCCTCCTGAAAAAATCTTTGTCAATGTTGTAACATAAAAAGGAAGATGATAGGCTACGACCGCATAGATCCGGCTATTTAATTTTCTTACCGGCACTGCAACTCTATAACTTAGTATTATCGATAATTATCTGGGAGGGAAAAAAAATACCCTCCTGCCTGAAGAGATTTATCTATAGCCAAGTATATTTGAGAGTGTTCCTAGGATCATCCCTGATATCATAATTAATTAATTGTAATCTGAGTTCGTCTGATGTGAACCTAAAACTAAGGATAAGTGAGCTGGGTCAACCTCGACACGACGGGATATAGAACTTAAGTACTTGAGTATCTCGTATAAACATGCGTTAGGGTGCTCGAATAACCCACGACACAAATGATCAATTAATATCAAAATTACCCCTCATTCATAAAACCACCATCTCTACCATCACGATATCACTAGAAAAGTGTTTAATAACCTCCCCGGGTGGGTGGGTAGGTAGGTAGGTAGGTAACTATAGACAAGATCGATTTCATCAAACCCTCAAGCCCCTCCTCAACCCACCCACCACGCCGTCCACAAACCCTTCAATGACCCCCTCCTCAAACCACGACTTGTTAAAACAAACCGCAATCCTCAATCGTCCCTTGACCGTCCATATAAACAAGCATCCAGCCCCGACACTAGCCACCGAGATCCCGAACCAAAAGTCGTCAACTTGTTCCTTCAAATACTTCTCCACGATTCCTAAACTACTGACTACAAACCCCGAATTCCCAATATCTCCTTCTTCCACGCCCTTTTTCGCAACTTCCTCAAGTCGGTGGGCCAATAACGGAGAATATGAGATGTAATCCTCGTTATTCTTCCACTTGCTTAGTTCTTCTTTGACTTCTTTGGCAAATTCTTTGAAGTCTTTTAGCCCATTATCGTTTTCAACTTCAAAAACACTGAAGGTGTCAACAAACATGTTTCCTCCAGCTTGCAACTTCCCTTCTCCCTCAATTAATGGTCTATAATTCACAGACACAAGATTGCTTATTGCCCTCTCCTTCTTCTTCTCCTTCTTTTCCCCCTCCTCCTCAATATCACCATACTTTGCCATCGCAAGAGCATTAGCAGCCATAACCGCATTTGTAACCGTAACTCCAATCTCCCTACAAGCCTTCACAATCCTTTCTGTCTCTTCCTCATCAAACTCATGTTCAACCCTTCCATAAGGAACTTCGGGAACAGTATCCATCCCCACACCATCCTTGATACTAACGGCAATACTCTCATTCCCCAAGAACCTTCCAGAAATCCCCTCAGCGGTCTTGACCATCTCATCGTTCAAGCCAAAGTTCTTTTCATGTCTCCAATTTTTCTCCCCCAGTGTATCAAACAAAGAAGGCGGTAATCTTCCAACTTCATTTCCAAATCCTGGGGCCGGAATCGTCTCTCCAGTTCTTAGTATTTTCAAAAAGTTGTTGAGTAGGATGATCGACCCAATACCATCACTTATCTGGTGAGGGAGGTGTAATACCACTTCTCTTTTCTCCGGAATCCAATATACCTCACCCGTCTTTGGAACCCTTTGATGCGCTAACACCCATCTCCCTCCTTTTTTACCAATATTGTTATCATCATCACCTACGACAACAATAACCGTCTCCTCAATCCACCTCTCAACCTCTTCATCACTCTCAGGAGATGTATAAACCAACCCTGTCCCATCATCATTGATAGTAACAGCAATAATAGGATGGTGATATCGAAGTGTTTTCCATGCTGATTTAATTTGTGATGGAGTGTATGTACCTGAAGAAGAAGAGAGGATTGCACCGGAGGTTATAGACCATTGTGGTATATGAGGGTTTATAGTGGCAGCGTAGTAATGTGTTATCTTTTCGATTGGGTCGAAGGGAGTTGTGTAGACGTTTGGATCGGTGGCAGAAGGATGCCAGCGGGATGCCATATTTTCTTCTTTGCTTTTTTTCTCCCCTTCCGTCTTCTATTGATATACGAGGTAATGGTTTGTAACGTGGACTTTCTCTCGTGGTGATATCGATCTCGTGATGAGGAACGTGGGGTGGATGGGCAAATTAAAGTGACGTCGGTTGAATTGTTGGAATGTAAAGTAATGTTGGGGGATTCGATCGATCGATCGGAACGGGGATATAATAGAACAGCGTACAGTCAATGTACTACGCTATTTCGAATTCGTGAAACTGGTGTCGCAGCGAGTATCCTTACACCAGTCGAAATAATGTAAAGGAAGATAATACTACTAGTATCGGGATTATATTTGAGAAAAGGGAACTAAAGAAGGAAATGGAAGACCTGCGGAGCCCAGCTAGCAAGATTGAAATTGATTAATTATATGCCTCTTAGCTTGCCTCTCCCTGCTGTCAAATTTGGTAGATAATCGAATAAATTAAGATATGATAAGGTTTCATAAGGTTATATCTTAGTTAGAAAACCTGCTCATCAGATCCCCGCATACATCTATCTTCTTATCTTTTTGTTGTACAACAATGTTGGTTAATTTTATGTATGCAAGAGCGGGGCCGATGGAGCTCATGGACATGGCTGTATGAAAATTGGGCCTGAGAAGGTTACTGGATATCCCGTCCTGCAGTGTATTCTCCTTCTTCCCCACTCCATTGGATTGGGTTTCCCCCTTGTTTTCCCCTCCTGTAGCATGTACATGTAGAGAACTTTGTAAAATACGAGAATTCCATGCTGATTCGCTAGACAGCGGTGGTACCGGTACACAAGTTGAGATCTTCCATCCTTGTCACGAGTATAGTAACGTCGTACAAAGTCTTTCGAATATGGTTAGTGAATACGACACCCTTTTTAATCATATTAAGCTCAAGTAAGAGGTAGACGATAGAGAGAAATGGAGATAACGAATTTATATTATTATCCTTTCGTATTCAATCCAAAGAAAAAGAAAAAAGAAGAGCGAATACAGAGGGAGTAGAAATAGCATCGGCCGGCTTGGAAAATTTACACACAACCATCGAATAAGAATCAATCAATCATTCGTAATCACCTAAAACACAAGAACCGTCCCATCGACATGCCTGGATGTCGATATACCCTCCAGGTATTTCGCCTCCTCTCATTATTATCATTACCCATGACCGTTCTCCTACCTCCAGCTTCCCCATCAACATCTTTCCGAGGAGGTTTCTAAACCGCCTCAAGACGTTTCCTAGCAAGCTTAACATCCTCATCTTCATCATCAATTTCCTCTCCAACCTCTTCTTCATCGTCTTCATCCTCATCGTCATCGACTCTTCGCTCGTGTTCACCTGCGGAGACCCAGGAGCCACGGTCATCGAGACTGACTCCCTCGGTTTGTTGACGTCGTTTGGTACGGTGGTTGCGTGTGCGGACGCTGAGTGAGGATTTGACGGCTGCGTTGCCGGGAACCCAATTTGAGAGGGCGTCTTCGCAGTCTTGGATGATACTATAATATAAAACAATACCAATTAATATCACCCCCTTCAAAAAAAACTTCTGTTGTAGTTCGAATGGAAAAGAAAGAACTTACTGCTTGCTATTTTCATATCCATCATAAGCCGGTCTGGTCTCACCAGGAGTGACAGGATTATCGTCCACAAGCTCCAACAAGTGTTTTCCGTAACCTGCGATCAATGCCATCTTTTCGTTATGCTCGCGCATAGCGTCGAACATGTAAGCGAATGCCGCCTTTAGCTTTTCGCGAGTGATGTTTGAAAGCTGTGCCTCCGCGACTAGGGATTCTGCTTCGGCGCGGACGAGTTCCTGTTCTAGTACTACGATCTTTGGGGAATTTGGTTCTTTGTATTTAAGGTGGGCGATTTGGTCGGTTATCTTTTGTTTACCTGTAATTTCAAGGATTTATTAGATTTTATAGACCTTTTTTTTGGCTTGGATGTGGTAGTATAAAAGGGAGGGAGGAGGAGCATACGATCACGACTAGGCTGCACGGAAGCCTCAATGTTTCGGATAGACTTGATGGTAACACGATACTGATCATAACGATCAATAAATTGATCTTCAAGTTCACCAATCTCGTAGATGAGGACACCGAGTTTGTCGGTGACATCTGAGACGTCATCGTCGGCTTCTTCACCCCAGATGGATAGTTGACGGGCGACTTCTCGGCGTTCCCGGCTAACGAGTTCCATAGAGCGCATTAGGTTCTTTTCCATCTTGACGAGCTGGGAGAGCTTCTTGGCGAGATCCGGACCACTTTTTTTTTCAAAGTAATATTAGTCTTCCGTCTTTTGGTCAGCTTCGCGACTTTTTTAGGAGGGAAACTTACAATGCTCCAGCGGCAGATTTTCTGAACGTGTGACCTGTAATAAGAATCAACAATCGAATGTCAGTATTCTGGCTTCAGCCGAATCAAGCCGTCTAACAACCCTCCCACGGGGATATCAGAACTAACCAAAGTTGCTGCGACCAAAGAGACGACCAGCTTTGGTGGTGCTAGGCGGAGGAGGCGGGTTTTGGAGCTGGGACTGGGTCGGAGCCCGAGCGGATCTCATGGAGTAAGTGCGATGCATGATGGGCGGTAATTTGGAGTATGTAAAGAAAGTGGTTTTGAAGGTTTTGAGGATTAGTTGAAAAGTTGGTGAGGTTGAGAATTGAACAGACAGCTAAGAGCTGACCTGACCTGACCTGCACGAGTGAGTGAGAAAGCACGGAAGTCTAAAGCAACCGGACGCCGCGACAAACGAAAAACCGAGCTTGCGCCTGAAACGACTGGACAAAAGCGACAAAAAGTATCGAGGCTGTTTGCGGCAGTATAAGATATCAACGACCACAGCAATTTCCTTATGAACCAGAGTATGTAGATAGATAGAAAAGTAGAAGTAAGAGAGAGATCGAGGGGAGGAAGTGGAGGGGGAGAAGGGAAGAAAAGAGGTTTTAAGTATCTCCAACCACCCTTTTGAGCTAAAAGACAGCATTCGCTTCCAACGGGCTTAAACCAGACCAAATGCGCCCGCAAGCCCGCAAGCCCCCGGCGATTAAAATGGATTATACTTTTCCTTTTTTTCCCTTTTGACAAATCCAATTGGTTCGCCGGAAGCTGCGATGGAAGGGGAGCATAAAAAATCCTGGTTTTTGAGCAAGGAATGGGGACGTGTAATGCAATGGAGTTAAGGTTAACGAGTGTGAGTGAGCTGTGTTGTGCGGCCAGGTCGAAGAACTATGACGTTTGTCGCCAATTACATTCAATCGATCGAACCGGGTTCTGTGAACTACCCTGAAAATACTTATTATCAGGGTTCAATAGTTAGTTACACCCTTGACTACCTCCAGAACAATTAAATTACTTGAGTACCTAAGTAGTATATAAAACTTCACGATATCTTCATCAACAGATTAACTTATATTCAATTCGAGTGACATGAAACGTCGGCCGGGTCGACATACTCAGAGCATAGCAACCCCGCAGAAACCCCACTTTGCTAGTTACCTGGTCGTTGTCTTGGTGTCTCGAATCCGACCAAACACTCCGTTTCCAGTCGACCATTTCATGCTTCACCACCAACCAAAAAAAACTTTGTTTCCATGGAGAGCCAGATCGAAAGGCTAAGAAGGAGAGGCTGGATTGGATTCGGATCTGGTGACGTCATGCTTTAACCAATCGGAACCTCTTTTGGGATCTGCAACATGGCAACAACACACATTCCCTCTCTCTCACGTGCTTCCCCCAACTCATTCACGATATACGTGACCTTCTGACACCGGATACGAGACTACTTCTGACATACGCGCACTCTCCTTCGACTTTGGTTTACTATTAGTGGTAATTATTCTATTCTCCTTCTTCACTGCGAAATACTCCTCGACAGTGTCCCAAAAGCCATCAACTGCCATCTCTACATCCCCCCATTCCCAAACTTTTAACAGTGCACTATGAAACCCGATCCATATATTTGAATGTTCCCTTCCATCAAACAGTTTAGAGAGTTGGTGGTAGTATGTACTCAATATTGGTTTTATTACTATATCTGGGTCAAAATCTTCTTCTAGCACCGGATGCGTGGAAGGGAGGGAGGCTTTTGTTCTATGGAGATTTGAGATCTCGTGGGAGAGGACTTGCAGGTGCTGGAGGTGCTGAGGCGGGAGGGGGAGGTTTTTCATGGCTTTACTGCTCTCTTTAATATTTGGATTAGGTACTTTGGTCGGAGTGCGGGCAGCTGGTCCCGAGACTAGGTCAGGCATGGCCTTATCTGAGACGGTTCTATAGCTATCTAGGAGTACCCGAGTGTCAGTTGGGTAGTGTCGGCACCAGAAAAGATCGCAAAATTGAGAACAAAACCAGTTTGTAGTTCTTGAGATCTTAGATTACTTAGGTCATATTGAACTACCGTTTCAAATGCAAGTTCATATTTTTTGTCAAGCCATGTTGCACTAGTCCTCGCGATATCCATCGCAAGCTTGTGCTCGATCCATAGGTAGTATCTATAAGCCACCCGTATCAGATCTAGGCAACCTAGTTCTCTGACCGTATACTGACTAAAACATCCATATCCTCACCTAGTACCCGGATAAAAGAGGTACTAAGACAAGCAAAGCTATATACCTACATCCCCAGATTCTTCAAATCCTCCCCAAGCACCTCCTCACCAACAACAACAGCCTCCGCTGCAACAGCCACAAAAAACACCAATGTCTCATTCTCCATACTCGGGTTCCTCCATCCATGATACGTTCCTATGTATATTACATATTATTGGCCTTTTATACCCTAAATTCAACTTTATAACAGTACTTAAGACTGTAAGCATTAAAAAGTACTAACCTCTCTGAACAACCACATCCCCCCTCCCAAACCTCTTCTTCTCCCCACCATCCAATAAAACCTCCAGCTCCCCTTCCACAACAACTCCAAAGTCGATTGTCTCGGTTCTATGTGCTGGACACTCTGCCCCTGGTAGAAACTTATTCATTACCGCTACTACTCCGTTTTTTACGCCAATTCCCTTAGGGACATAGGCTTCATGTCGTTTAATGTCGCCTTCGTCTGACAAGACGGTAGGGAAGGTGTGGGTTGTAAAGACATTACCAGCTAAGAGTGTGTTGTAAGGGGGGTTTAGAGGAACGAAAGCGATTGGTGAGGAAGAGTGGACTGTGGAGGCGCCGGAGGGGGTGGTAGTTGTTATGATTTGGGTGGGGGCCAAATTAGACATTTTAAATTTCCTTTTCAAGATTTTTTGGAGTTGATTAGGAGATAGTAAATATATGGCGATTTAGTGTTAATTGATTGTCAGGGCTGGATATTCCTTTTAGCTGACGCTTTTGATTATTGAGTGAAACGATGAATACAGGTGATAGCGGGGTTAATTGGGGTGACGCGTAAGCTAAAATAGAATGGGATATTGATACACGGGAGGAGTTGACCGTAACGTTATGGGGCTGAAAAGATCTAGACCGGACTTCAATGAGAATATAAAAGATGGAATCTAGTGTATATCAAAAGCCCCATTATTATAATACATATAAAATATATCGGTATCGACGTCTATAAAGAACGCAACAAATAGAATGTTTGTTTATTATTAATTCCGAGAACTGTTCCCTTTAATTTGGTTAATCAGCACGGCTCCTCACGCCTCTCGATGGGAATGTTATAGTTGATTCGTTCTATTATTCGTATTTTCTCCATCCTTATCTAGTTTCTTATCACATCATCGAATACGAGGCTGAGGCGCGGAGTTAAATTGATCCAGTTGCGAAAGACTAGGGCTGAAACGCGTTGTCCCATACAAAAATCCAACAAAGTCACTGGGATGTTGGTATGATTCGTGGACATATAAAGTTCAAATTTAGAGTTAATTTAAGTTTCTAGAATGGCAAAGCTTAGACGAAGTTGGTAAGAGGCTGTGGATAAGGTTTAGAAGATGATTTTTTATTAAGAGTTTGGAGCTTAGACCATCAGAAACGCTGGAGCTAAAGAACGCAATGTATGTACTCGTGAGAATGAGGAGGCGATTCTACGGATTGTTTTCTTTAGAGTTACTAGGAATTGTATATTCTTTACCGAGCAAAAATCTTCTATAAGGCTTGAATCTATTTCACATGCTTAGATATTCTCAATCGTTTGGGGTCTCCATCTAAATCTAACCCTAAGTCCACTTCGTAGAGCCAAGTAGCTGCTATCTTATTCACGAAGTAAACAGTGAATTCATGATTGAAATTATAGTCTATGAAACTACAAACCTACAATATATGAGATTTTCTACGGCTAACACCAATCTTAATTTTCAAAATATTAATTTCAGAGCTGATCCCTGACCGACTGACCGATATTACGACTTCAATTCTTCATTTCGAGTGTTTTTATTAAACGCACAGAATATATCTCAAGCGATATATTAACTTACCAACATTCGAAAGTCATATTTTAGAATGATTATGCCATGTTCATGGATGTCTATATCATAAAGTCGTTGGATTGACTGTAGTAGTGTCGTAGGCAGTATCGCGATATCGTCGATCTCGAGATCTCCTGCGTAAGTATATACCACTTCCACGTGGAAGTATTACAGGGTGTATAAATCTTGTAGAAAGTCAAGTGAATGTATAACATTTGATACACAACGAGCTTTCGTGAATCTCATAGTATTACTTACCATGACTAGCAGATGATCTCGAGATTTCACGAGTTTTTCGATTTTCGATTCCTGATAATGGGTCGACACTCAGCTGTCGCCTCCCGTCCGCAACCAGCCTTTCAATTTCTTCGCCACCAAAATTTAAACCCCAGATATTTTCCAGGAGGAAAATTCATTTATACACTTCCCGATCATCCTCAAATCTTCAACTTCCCGGAAAAGAACGCCCCGGGGACAGCATCCCCCCCCCCCCTTCCTCAGCCTCCAAGTATACAAAGGTACCAATACCTTTCACCTCTCATTCCACACAAAGTCTGTGCGATATATATCCAATATGCACGATCCTCAAGAAGCACGCAAAGGGCACGGATCTCTGCACCTTACATCCCTATCATCCCTCTCTTGATCATGCTGCAAACGTAAGTACAGAGCTATCAAATCAAACCCGGCCGCCTACATTAGCCAGTTTCCAAACGAACCCCCCGGAAAGGCGTACGTAAACCTCCTATTCAAAAAAGAGCTTAGGATCACTCGTTGATGCATAGATCGATCGATCACCTATCACCTACTGCCCATGATGAGGAAATATAGTTATCGCCAAGAAGAATAGGTTGCACTGGTAGGGAAGCTTTATACCGGATTTTTCATGCGGCTTGTTATGCGGGTGGTTTTCTAGCTTTTGAATGCTTGCCTGGAAGGTGAGGCTACTGAATTATGGACATGGTTTTATCATTAGATGCCAGATACTTGATTTTGCGTAACAGCGGTAAAAGGAAGGTTTATGAAACGAGAGTGGATAACAGGTATAGCAAACTTGTCCCACCAAAAGAAAGGAAAAAAGGTTAAAATAACCAGTCTACGGTTGATGGGGTAGCGTATATCGAGGAGTGATTGTAGCAGATGATACCGACTTCAAAGGTTCACTCATCATATCATACCCTCGTTTTTTTCATCTCAGAGGTTTGTTTATAGTTAGTGAGGTCACGATATCCTCAACGTAGTTTTTGGTCAACTATCCGCCTGCCATCCAAGCCTATCAATATCAATATTATCAAGAAATGTGAGAGCTACAGGCATACATAGTCATCAATCGCCCGATGTACACATGCATGTCTATCATGAAACCTCTAACCCAACTACATCAAAATCCTGGTTTATTCCTCCACACAAAGCATTCAACCAGGCTTACAGCTGCCTAATCCTGATGAAAAAGAAGCCTCAATCCTAATACCCTGGCACGCCCGCGCATACGAACAGGAAACGAAACAGCACAGAGCGAATGGAAAAGAAAAAAAAGGTTGTGGAAGAAAGTGGAGACGTAAGCTTCACTGGTTACGCAAGCTTAAAATCTTGACGAGCTCGTGGTCTAGTTGTTTCTTCGGAATATGTTCTTTCTCGTTATATACCACATTTACACAAGCGTCGGGGATATACGATGCTTATCACCCTCTTTTGAATGTGTGGATACGTGTGTAAAAGTTTTTTTTTGTATTTCAGGCATGTGGTCAGTCAGATGCTTGTCTTGTGTTATTCTTTGCCTCCATAGGATGGTGAAAAGGTTAGGACGATGCGATGAGTGAACACGTCGTGCAATTCGTACTATAGTGATAATATGGTTATTTGGAATGACCTGTTGGCGTATATATAAATTTGCCAGGTGGTTTTCAAAAACGAACCAGCCGTTGTTGTATTTTTGGCGGGTAATAGTATCCTACTGCCAATATATGACCGCGGCCACCGCGGTCAGTGGGGTTTTCTTACTACCGTTGTTGCTCCGCCGGGGTGATATTATACATTCTTACATAATATATCCCTAGATAGGGCTTTATATTATTTTTTGACGAGACGGGCTCCTGAGAGAATTGAATATTCATTTGTGACAAAGAACACTGTGAAGCGGCTCAGTTTTTCGGCGCCGAGGAGTCTTTTATATTCGCCTGACCCGTGGCTAAAAAAGCAGTCAACGTTGGAAGATACGTACGATATACGCAGATATATAAAGGAATTCAAATCATATCACAATGTTTCATTTTTGCCTTCACAGAAGAAGAAAAAAGAAAGCGAGAGCGCGCGGCGTCCTGCTGACCCAGCGCAGCTCCCAGGGTTCAAAAAGAATGTTTCCTCCTAAAAAAAATCAAAAGGAAAATGAAACCCTTGGAAGAATCTGACACGCCATGCATACGCCATTGATACATGCGTATCCAAATTCTTATGTCTATGTGGACGTCCAATGTCCAGATCCCGCACCGTAACGTTTATCTTTAAATTTTAATTCACGCCTCCGAGGTGGTTTTTTTATACGGGAACCCCCAAATGAGGAATGTAATTACGAGGTTTGTTGTAATTGCGAATGGGGTTTTATATGTTGTGGAGGGGAGGTGACGCGTCCTTCTGCTGTTCCTCCGGGCAGGATGGGAATTCATCCAGCGGGGGGCAAAAAAAAGCTCGGGAAGTATTGGTATGGGAAATTATGTTGGTCCAATGGGAATAAGAATTAATTGATAGATGGCGATTTCATAAGCTTGAAGACGATCAATGAGAGGAGAGAAAAATCTTCTGTTCCCATGTCGTAGATCGTGATACCTGAGACGTTGGTACTACCGGGAAGCGAGTGCTGTGCCCGAGTTTATTCGGGGATATCTCGATCAATTGGACTATGGCCACGGGAAAGGTGGAGAAAAAGGTTCGTCCGACGGATATATGAGTTTAATAGTGATCGTTACGAGATGAGACCTACCTTTTAGATGTCCCTTCAATGCCAACGGTATCGTTTAGTTTTCGAGACACGGAGGATTTTTGTTCGGATTGGAAGAAGTTTTGTGTTGAATACGTGCAAAATGCAACAGCTGGAGGAGTCTTGGCATGGGCGATCGATAAACCGGCGGACACGCAAGCTTAGACAGAAGAACATTCCTCAGCGGACATCACATGGAGTTTTGGTCATTGTATAGCTGGTTCAGGCCGGTCGGGTACATCGAACTGACGAGTTCAATTTTGACGAATCAAAACTAGCTGGTCGGTGACGAGGACCTCCAGCTTTCTAATGACTGTTTGCAAGTCCCGGTTACGTCAGGGGTTTACTGTGTCATGGAATTAAGATGTGGCGGTGAAATTTCTTAGGAAACGAAAAAGAGAAAAAGAGAAAAAATGAGGGGAAAGGGTTTTTTTTGAATAATACAAATCCTCTTTTTGTGTGAGAAGAATAGAAATAAGTGGGGAGTGTGGCGAATGCGCGGCTGTGTAATTGTTGAATTTGACAGTCAAGAGCTGGTTCAGGCCTCGGGTGTTCGGAGGTGAAGACTGGATATGGATGGGATGTCCATTCTTGATCGCGGCCATCCGATTAGGAAGACTGGTAGGCGCTTTCTAAGACTAACTGGGGAGCAATATGTGAAACGGAAGCCAATACCAGATGTTCGCAAAATAGAGGGGGGGAAATGTTTCGAAGCAGAGTCGACAGTACTGCTGTAGTTGTGCAGGACTCGAAACGTTCCCAGGGTATGGTGGGGAGACACAGAGTTTTAGTGGCCCTTAACTTAGAATTCATATTCAGAGGTTGACTTTTCTCATATTCCGCATACAGGACCAGACATTCGTATACTTTTTCTTTGTCGACATCATATGTATACATCCAGGATCCAGTTTCGAAGATTCGATAGAGATATATCACGGGCCACTCACGATTCCCCAGATTGTCAGCGGTGCTCTATCCCAACATGCAATCCTCCACGCCGCCTGCTCCTGCTTAGCGCAATATTAAAATGTTCCCGGCGAAAATGTCCAAACCCATGGCCAAGGGAAAGGAACAAGTGATATCGATGTGGTGTGCGAGGACGCGTAATTTTGGCCGTCCGGACAAATTGCCAAGCTTCATAGGCTGCAGTGCAAGCATGTTTTCTTTTGCCATTGCGTGTCCTCCGCCACACCCCTAACGAGAAAGAAGGAGGAAGTCGGACTCGGCCCAGAGTTCTGCGCAGTTGCGTAAGCTGGCCAGGCCTAAGGCTATGTATTTGGCATGGCCACTTTGGAAGAGAAGGGAAAGTGTGCGGTGCGGGCCCATTTCTCTTTTCATTCGATTCTTTATTCATTTTTAGTCTGTTTTTTTACCACTATAGTATCGATACTGGTCTGCTGCTGCTGCTGCTGCCGCCGTGCAAGGTGTCTTCGGATTTTGATTTGACTTGGATTTGGACTTGGACTGGGACTTGACTCGGTTCTCCTCATTTTTTTGCCATTTGCCATCCATCCCATTACGAATTCGAGTTTTTTCTCAAAACTGGACGGACTTGCCTTCTCTTTACGACGCATCTTACTCCCTCCTCTGTTTTATATTCTATATTCGATTTGCTATAACTGAGTAGTGTACTATCTCAAAAGATATATACTCTTCTACGACGTACGATTTTAATTTCTTCTGGCTTGCCCCCAACCCCCCCCTCATCATCCTCGTCTCAGGGATTCAGCCTCATCATCCACATTCATCACCCATTTTGATATCTGGCCCAAACAGTAGGAACCACTAGCACTGTTGATTGATCTTGCATTGCACATTCCGACATCTCCGACCTCAAACCAGATAGGGAACAATAAGTACATAGGAACGAACCAAGAGGGAAACGTTAACTCGACTCGTCAGCTCCCGGCCGTTGAGTCTTAGCAGTCTAATTCCTTTTTTGCCTCCCATATTTTGGAATAGACAGAATAGTATACAAAGGTATATGGAGGAATCATCAACCTGAGCTTACGACTTCCGGGCAACGACATCTGGGACGCCCTCCGGACCCCCCTCCCTTCTTATACGATCCATATGCGCAGGTGAACGGTCGTCGTCGTTGTCGTCGTCGTTGCCGCTCGTGAATAGTCTGCCCGAGCAAGTCGTCGTCACCCTGTGCCCGCCCGGCAATACATATCTCCTCGTCCCCCATCATCTTCGTCTCGATCGTTCTTGTCCCTCTTTATCCCAGTACTTGTGGAGTGATTTATTTCTTTTCCTCGGTACTACTATACTACTGTTGCCCGTTTTACTATTCCTCTTCTTCCTCTTCTTCTTCTCCTTCTTCTACTACTCCTCTTCCTCTTCTCTTCTATTCCCCGCCCGCTTGGATCGAAATATAGGACGACATATATCTGCCCCTTCGACATCATGGATCACCAACAACAGCAACCCTTCAGAACTGACCCGGCAGAGGTGGAGGCATGGGCTAAGGACCTTACCCAGCAATTCAGTCAACTGTTAGCCACTCAACAGACAAGACGTGCTCAAGAGGCTTTAAGGAAAAGAGTCCAGTCGACTTCAAGATCGCGGAGTCGGTCGCCTGTCCCTCCCGCTCCCCTTCACCGACATACTCCTTCACCTGCGCCTCCGACTTCATCGTCGTCTGCCGCTGCCAGGTCTCCCAGGCCGCCGCCTGTACCGCCAAAGATTCCTAACAATTATCCATCTCCTTCTGCCCAATCTCAATCTTCATCGTCATCGTATATGACTCCCGCTCCGACATCACCGCTACCAATGTCTCCATCGCAACCGCAGTTCCAACCCCAACCCCATCCCCAACCCCATCCCCAATATCCATACCAACAACCTTCTCAACAATCCGCTTCCGCTTCCGCCTCATCAAGTCATTTAAGACCTCCTCCGACTCCCACCAGACCCTTCACAAGAGTAAATAGTGCACCGACATCTTCTAACTTACCACCTCCTTATGTTGCCGTCCGACCTGTTCCCCGACAACCCCAGCCTCCATCCGACTCCGCTTCAACACAGTTTAGGAATTTCTTGATGGGTCTATCGGAAACTCCAGTTAGATATGAGAATCCTGGACTGTTAGATAATGCTTTGAGTGTTATTCCTTTAGACCAGATATATGGCGAAGCCGAAGAGGAGCATATGCTTTTCAAGGCTGAGGCTCAGAGTTTAGGCCAGTTCAAAGAAAAATGGGGCTATCAAGACTGCGTTATCAGAGCCCTATTAAGGTACGACGAAACATACTCCTCCGTTCCTTCAAAGGTAAGACCAATCGTATACTAAGGCGTCATTTTTTTTCCAGGTGGTTTAAACGTACTTTCTTCACATGGGTCGACTGTCCAATCTGTCCCAACTGCGGATCAAAAACAGAACTCCAAGGTCTAACGCCACCCAACCCTGATGAGATTGTCCGAGGTGCGACAAGGACGGAATTATACAAATGCCCAAAACAGGATTGCCAACGACACGAGCGCTTCCCAAGATATAGCGACGTCTGGGCATTGCTCGAGGCACGAAGAGGACGATGTGGTGAATGGGCAAACTGTTTCAGCATGTTGTGCAGAGCAGTCGGTGGACGAGTACGCTGGATTTGGAATTCAGAGGATCACGTCTGGACCGAGGTCTATTCTGATCACCAACAACGATGGGTACACGTTGATGCTTGTGAGGAGGCCTGGGACCAACCTCGCCTGTATACGGAAGGATGGGGTAAGCAGATTGCTTACTGCGTCGCGTTTTCGCACGACGGTGGCGCTGCAGACGTTACTCGACGATACGTGCGGAATCCACGAATGCACGGCCTACCGAGGACTAGATGTCCCGAGGAAGTCTTGCTTTATATAATCGACGAGATTAGGGAAAAGCGACGGAAGAACCTAAGCAATGAGGATAAGAACCGACTGATGAGGGAGGATATGAGGGAGGAACAAGAGTTCAAGGAATATGTCGCTGCTGTACTTGCTGCTGAAGTTGGAGCTGGCGCTGCTGCGCATCTGGAATTGCAACGGCCGTCTGAGGCTGAGAAGCGGCCGCGGGAGAGTGGTATGTTGGCATATCCCGATATCGCATCGTCGTCACCATCGATTAGGTTCTAACAGTTTATATCTAGGACGGGGAGAATGGGCACGAGTTCGAGGAGAAGATGGTCAGCACAGCGGCCCTGCCAATCGTCCCGGCGGACGCGGCGGACCCTGACTCTCTACACCTCATTCCTTCCACGTTTATCCTCGACACCCCTACCCATGTCGTGCATCCGTTGACATGGGTCCACTGGCATACCCTTTTGCGCTATAGTTTCGACTTTGCTCACTTCATGCGCAGGCGAGCGCGCTACCTCCTAATCGCTCTTGTCAATCCCACATATCATCCGTCGTCGTTGTTTATAATATCACCATCACCATCGCCATCGCCATCTCGTTTATATATATATACTCAATCCATCGTCGCCATCCTATACCATCATACCATCTGAGGCCGTCTCTACCTCATCCTTTCTTTCAACATTTCCCTCAAACATACTATCTTTGTTTATACGCCCTCTTAGATTCCGGACCACTCCGGGTTGGTTCCACTTTTTTGTTTGAGTACAGTCTCTAGTGCAAGAAACCTTCCACTAATCGCTGTTTGCTCTTTGTGTTTTTTCACTACAAAAAAATAATCATTGGCTGGGACTATCATTGTTTGCTTTACATTTCCTTTGTCATTTTCTCATTACTACTTGTTCCGGAATTTAATAACAAGCATGTCGCCACAAAAAGGTCTTTCATTTATACCAGGTCTCCTTTTTTCCCTTCCATTTGGTATCTTTTTCTTGATGTATCATTGTCAGCGTGTCGATTTTCGGTTTCCTTACTCTTTTTCTTATATCATCCTACTACGGCTGGGTTTTCCTTTTATCTTTGTAAGATTTTTTCTTCTTCCCTTTTTTACTATTTTCCTTTTGTTTATGTCAAGTATCAACTCCTTTATCACCTTCACCTCAAAAATGTATCTGAAATGATACACTTTTGAAGGGAGAGACGGAAAGAAAATGGAGAGCTATGGATTTTTTTCCTTGGGAGAGAGAAAAGAGAGATAAGTTAGGAAAGGGGGGAATCAAAAGAAGACCAATGGCTTCTCTTTCCGCCCTTTCGTTCTTTTTTGTCTCTTTGTGCATCAAGAGGAGGGGCAAGAGACAAAAAATCTTATGTTACATAATTTTTATTTATTATTATACCCCTCTATTTATTTTTTTCCTTTCTACTATTATTACATTCTATGATATCTTGGGTCACATTTTAGATCGCTTGTTTTCTTCGTGAATTAGGCCGTGAGGATTTGAAATTTAAAGATGGTTTGGATTAGAACGGAACTGGCGTGCTGGGATTTAGGCTAGTGAATAGGATATCTTTTTTTGGTGAACTCGCACCCGTCTTGCCTCCAGACCAGGGCTGCGTATAAAACAAAACTAAGGTGGTAGGTGCGTATGAGGAGAAATAGGGATTATTTAGGTCTATGAGAAGATATTAGGAGGTTATCAGGTCTGGGTCGAGAGATATTATAAATTAGGTTGGCGCCGTAATAAAACTTAGGACGATATTAGGACCTGAATTAGGACGAGGTCCGGGAAACAATGCTGAGAATTAGGTCGGCCAACTGGCTACCGTTTGTTCAGCAGCCAGCCCACAAACCTAAACGCGGTCAGGATCGAGAAATCGTCAGCCCTAGCTTCCCTTAATAGTCTTCTGTCTATATCAAAAAATCAATATTTAAACAGGTCTGTCCTCCCTCTAGAGTAGCAATTCTAATCTACGTTATCATCAACTTCCTATCATCGAGTCGGGTATACTAGTATACCAGTAATTAATTGATTTTTTTTTTTTAAAAAAAAAGATAACACTTACCCCGCCCCAGTATCCCGAGCGCTTGCGACCACGATAAAGTACTTAAGTGTTCCTCGGTGTACACGTTTTCTACTTGATGCAGACATGGGCCGGGTCTATATATCCTAATTGTTTGTGAATTCACCAGCCGCCTTCTTGTAGAAAACCCTCGGTTGAGCCCTGCACTTTCGCGATAAGTGATTTCGAAATTATAGGCGATCTGAGGTATTAACTTCGACCTTTAGGGGTGAAAAGGATTGGATGCGCGATATCATTCATCATCATATCGTTAATCCGTCCATACACGTAAAGCCACCCGCTGGTGTTGTTAATGTGGTATTTTTCAACATGTCTAGGCTATCAACTCCAGGATTGTGCAAAATGTCCCGCCGTATATTCATTTCTAGGTTGACAAAATAGGTATCTAACAATAGAATCCCATATGCACATCCATCCCAAGGTATCCCAGGCCCCTATCTTCTTGTTTCTCCATCTAGAAGTCCGAAGCCCAGGTTTGTTACACAGCCAACATTTTGTCCCTTCTTTACATAATTCGAATGGCAGAGCTAACTTCCCTTCGCCAACTCCGCCCACAAACGTTGCCAAACGAAACCATTGTAACTGTAAAACCCTAGAAAACGAACCAGATCCTAAAAAATATAGTTATCCGGTTGATGATCCGATATCCGGGTAGAAGTACTTCTTTTATACCCTTCTGTTCGCTTCTGTCTTTTTCCCCCAATTGTGCAAGAAGTGGGTCTAGTGTCTTTCTGTTGTACTCGTTTCTCATTTTTGGGGGGGGTAGACAACTCTGTAGGTTTATGGTTCTTCGTTGGTTGATGACGCGGCCCCCAGGCCGCTCGCTCCCCTCCCCCAAACCTGCACTTTTTTTCTTTCCCTTGGCTTTGCGCTTTGCTATTTGAGCCTCTTTTCTTGAATATCTACACAGCATTGTGATTGTCATGCCAGTATGGACTTTTTTACCCGAGCAAATCAGGACGCACGTCCACCCAAATGACACATGGCTGGTAAGGGTCTATTAAGGTATTGGTAGACGAGGTGGTTAGTGTAAGTAGTAGCAAAAGTTAAAGTTAACTTGAAGAAAAGGTCTTTCTTTTTTTTTCCTTTCCCTCTTTTCGAAGGGGAAGCAATGGGTTCGAGAAGATTGGCAGTTTTAGATTATGTAAGGTGAGATTGCTGAGCTTAGGGCGAGATTTTTTACACGCTTCTTACTGACTTTTGTTCTTTTTCTAGCGGAGGGAATAATGATTAGGTATTATGTAGTGGGTTTTAGTAACCTCTTTTTGGGTCTGGTATACACCAAGAGGTGCAGGAAGACATTGCCGTGATATCCGAGCCGGCCTTTAAGCAAGCCTTGTACCCTAAGTATGTACATACTTGTCACCCATGATCCGAGAAAGAAGAAAATTTTTCGATTGAAGAACTAATTATTTCTAAGTTGACAACAGGAACAACGGAATTCCCGCACTAAGTTAACTAGAAGTTACTCTTCCGTTCAATTAATTAATCGGAGGTTGGTTTTAGGCATTGTTATCCGCTGACAAAGTACGGAGTATTTGATAGTACATCCTGCGTCGGAATCTGCGGATTTATATACATGCGCATGCGGATTATCCCATGGGACATTAAGGTTAGACTATATTACCAAGGAATTATTGGGAAGCTTGATAACGTTAGTACATAAACGGGATTCTTCAAGTGCTTTTTTTGGCTTTTGTTTTACATTTGATTAGTTGGATGCAGATCAATGGAAGCTAACTGGGGATGAATGTTTGCGGGTTTTATATTGATGAAATAATTACTTAGTCTGATCGATCGATGTGAAGCAACTAAGACCTACGTGTCGACTAGGACATCTTTGAGGTACTCAGTATTACATGAAGGCTACATTCTTCAAGTTAGGTAAGTACAACCTCATAGTGGGAATAATGATAATGTTGTCCGATTGAGCTCCTGGTTATGCTGTATTTCCGCGAGGGGTCGGTTTACGAGTTTACATATTCAAGTATATACTTAGGTATCGAGACATCATCTAGGTTATACTTCCGCAATGTTCCATTTTGGAGTACGAAGGTCACACTTGCATTTTGACAGATGTTCCATATGCGTTTTCTAGTAAGTTTCAGTTGGAGATCATCCCGCGAGCTAAATCTTCGATCTCTTAGTACAGTGCAAAAGTTTGCTCTATAAACATCGGGTAGAACCGCAGGTAAGTGGATAGCTCTATAATTTTGTTTGGTACTTCATTAATGAATGACGTGAGGAATTGATAGACTTTGGAACTAATATTTGACTCGTATTGTAGACACAGCCCACACCGTTAACCGCCTTTGCGGCCAACGTGGGCTAGGTATTGTTTGGCATGATGCCCTAAGGATCTAATTTGAATAGTCGTGTTCCTCCGCCTGTTCCATACATCTTTCCACACTAGGTGCTGCCTACGGCTTCAATTACTTTGAAGGATTTTGGTTTGCCTTATAGATGAAAAAGGTACGTTAAGGTGTTCCTCTATGAGAGGGGCTAAATGCTATTTGTATTCACGAAAATGGAGCTATTGATCCGGGGAGCTAACGCTAGAGTTGCATAGTCCCATAACGAAACCACTTTCCTAAAACTGTTGTGGTTTTATGGCTAGTTTAATATGCTAGAAATGTATCTATATTTTGTAACCTATGAGATATTATGCTTTTTTGAATACTCCTTTGTTCTTTTCTTTAATTCTAGTGTTCTATTTTGTTATTCTTTTTCTGGTGCTAAGGATTAATTATCGCGGATACAAGATCTTCAGAGTCTAAATGTAACTCACCTGGACCATGCCCTTGGGATTCCTGGGATGAACATGCGTGGGTCTAGCTTTTCAACAGAGTTTTGAGTTTTTATTACATTGTCTGTGTTATTTATAGCGATGTTTCTCCTTATCTCGTACTAAACCTCGGGGGTTTTTCACCGCAATCTCACAAGTTTTGACCCAAAAATGTTACCGTCTTCGAGACTATAAGATTTTATAATATTGATTCTCACCGCATATACTCATGTAGGACGAGGCAGGAGGATTATGAGAGGAGAGCAACCAAACTGTTCGGGTGCATGTTACACCTATCTGGCTGTGCAAGTTTAGCGTTTCATGCAAAAATATTTCGTTTCTATAGCATGCACTAGGCTCGTTAATTCTGATTTACGAGATAATTATCGTTCCCAGACGGCCAAAATTGTAGCCTTTGTAGCGTACAGCGCTTCTATTAGACTTACCTCAGACGCCAGCCCCGTATTGCAGACGCGGTCTACAGTGTACTTTGTTTAGACGCTACTATTAGAAGTCGTTAGATCGCCGCCTGTTCCGCAGCTTAGCTAACCAGCTAATTCTGTTTTATGATTTTCTAAATTTACATTTTGTTTGAAAGATGAATTCGATCGACAATTTGCATATTAAAATTGTATATGCTCTGAGCCGGTTACGCAGCATGTCCACCCGCTCCCCTGAATCCGACGATATATAGAGGTAGCACAAATGCATGGCGAGGTGTGTTTCTATTATCTTGTGAACCAAACAGCTTGACCCCTGAGATAAGTATTTCTACTCTAGCGCTAAGACTACTAAAATTGTAGATGAAAATATATTCGAAGGAAAAAGTGTCGGTTCATATAGCGGAATACTTCATGACCCACCCCCATAGGTATCCATTAGAATTGAGCAGGTCTGCATCTGCATGCTGCAGTAGCGGCCATCGATGCATCGCCAGCAAGGAACGTTGCAACCTTGTCGTCGGGCCAGATTTCTAAGAAAGTGAAATTTAAGCCAACTGGTTTGCATATCTCCGATACGTCTATGTTACACAGTATAGAACTATATTTGTCCATGATCAAGTATTTGAAACATTCTTTGATGATTCACTTTTGTCGTTCTATACCATGGGCATGTCCAGGACTGTCGTGAGATGCGCATCTGTGTTGCAATGTGTGGTAGATTCTCCCCACCGCGATCTCGCTAATCGGGGAAACCGCATTGAGCCGCTGTTGTCGTCGACCCAAGCTCCCCGCCTTCATTAACAGTTCGATTGTAACCCCTCCATTCCAATCCCATTCCATTCTCCCAACCTCCCAACTTCAACTTCGACCTCAATTTCAATTTCAAACCCTCACCACGACCATCACGATAACTCCAAATCAATACCTCATAAACTAATACCTTTAACAAACCATTTCATCTCCATTAAACACTCTCCAAAAATAATAAACAAAGATGACAAGTATCAGACCAGCAAGTCACGCCGGTAGCTGGTATTCCAAGGATAAGAATACCCTCGACAGCGAGTTATCAGGATATCTGTCCCAGGTACCTTCAACCATTGATGGTATCGGCGAGATTCCTCCAGCAGGAGCTAGAGTAATTATTGCACCGTATGTATCTTCTCTAGACTCTGATATAGTATTCTTTTTATTTTGGAAGGGATAATAGAACTGACTGGGTAGAATAGGCACGCGGGGTACTCCTACTCCGGCCCCGCTGCGGCATGGGCATATAAATCTCTAAACCTTACAAACATGTCCGTTCCCCTTGCTTCAATACATATAAACCGAGTATATATAATATCATCTAACCCAGAACTTTTAGAAAACGAGTCTTCATCCTCGGCCCTTCCCACCACATCTATATTAACGGCTGTGCTGTAAGCTCCCACGGAGCCTACGCCACCCCACTTGGTCCCCTTCCCATAGACACCAAAGCAACCCTCGATCTCATCAAGACCAACTCTTTCAGCTTCATGAACCAGGTCGTCGACTCCGATGAACACAGTATAGAAATGCATCTCCCATACACCTACAAAATGCTCTCCACCTTCTTCGGTCCCACGGACATCCCACCCATAGTCCCCATCCTCGTGGGAGCCATAAACACCGAAACCGAGGAAAAATATGGAAAAATCCTATCAACACACCTAGACGATCCCGAAAATGCATTTATCGTTTCTTCGGATTTTTGTCATTGGGGTAGTAGGTTTAGTTATCAATATTACATCCCCCAGCCGGGTAAGGATGGTATGAGTTTGAAATCAAGGGGGCATAGGGTTCCCGAGGGAGGGCAGGAGATATGGAAGTCCATCGAAGGGTTGGATCAAGCGGCAATTGAGGCTATTGAATCGGGAAAACACGAAAATTTTGTGGATTATTTGAGCCATACGAGGAATACGGTTTGTGGAAGACATCCTATCGGGGTTATCATGGCGGGTTTGGAAGAGGTGCTTAAGATTAGGGCGGAGAGAGGGGAGGATGTGGAGGGGAAAGGGTTGTTTAAGTTTGTGAGGTACGAACAGAGTAGTCAGTGTAAGAGTGTGGAGGATAGTAGTGTTAGTTATGCTAGCGCTTTTGCGGTTTTGTGAGAGCAAACTCTTGGATAGAGCTATGGATATAGCGATATTGTCTCTGGGGAGGGGGTAACCCCTTTGGAAGACGTGGATTTAATTAATGGGAAGGATAAGGATTGTTTTTGTTTTTTTGGAAAGGTGGGGGGTGAGGTTGGCGTTCATTGTTCGTTTGGAGGGGTGTGGCGCACTTTTTATATCGATATCATTCGGGGTATACAGTAGAAACCTGATAGAAGGTTTAGCTAATATAGCATTATCATTCAACCATGCATGATTCTTCTTTTAATGTGTGAGGGCTCGAGAGCCGAATGTGTATGAGGATATATAGTGTATGTTTCTTTTTTTAGGCTATGTGAGATATCAATCGCTAGACATTACATGCTAAGGGCACCTCGCCATTATAACGAACGAAGAAAAGGGGAATAAAAGTGGAAGAAGGAGGAGAAGCCATGCATCGTGCAAGGGAAACGGTTATATAAAGAGAAGGGAGAAAGAAAAACGCCATGATACGCCTAAAGAGAGGTTTTGTATGAGAAAACAAGTGGTATGCGTCTCACTCCCCGGTATTGGTTCGAAGGAAGAAGAAGAAGTCGAAGAAGAAAGAAGAAACAGAAAAACACCCCCGCTGTCAAACGTAACGGTCATCACCATATAAAAATGAAATAAAGGCACAAGGAGAAAGAAAATATAAGATCACACACTCTCCAATATTAACATCCTACAACTGTCCCGGTCCTCTCGGACTCATCGGACTGCTAGGATTACTCGCCCCGATAACTCTTACCAACGGTACATTCAGATTCCCCGGCTGCTCGGCCGATTGGCCGGGTACAGGTCTCCTCCTAGTCGCTGCGCTCTCGTTTCTCGTTGGTGGGCTAATGGGGCTCATATAAGGCGGTGCATCACCCCAATCCAATCCATCGTAACTCGGCGGCAACCTTGTCTCGCCGATATCCGCGCCCGTGAGCAATTCAGCCGAATCTCTCCGGTCCATACTTCCTCGGCCGTCTGTGACATTGGTGTTCAACGACAACATTGAGCCTGCACGCGAGCGTCTACCAGTACCGGCAGTAGCGTTGTCGGCGAGTAAAGGTTGGGAATCCGATGATGGACCGTTATTCCTGTTTGTGGACGTAGATCTCACACGACTGCCATCATGTCTCGCGTATCCGACATCTGCGTACGAAACTTCAGAAAGCCGCCGTGTTCGGTCGTTTAATATAGCTGCGGTAAGTTCACTTGCCGTCCGTCCACTTCCTCCGGCTTCCATATCCATAGCTGTCAGAGAAACCGAAGATCCGTTTCCATTGTTGTTTCCATCGTTTCCAAGTGTTGTTACGCTACCATTTCCAGATCTGGATTCTCTTGCAGCCCGTTGTGCTCGTCGTTGGAGTCGGAGTTCGTACATGGCCTGCATTCTTTCTTCTCTGCGATCTTCTTCCTCATCTGCTGTTTCGGGAAGTTGAACGATAGTATCGAGTCCCTCACGTTCACCTTCTCTTCCGATCGTGCGTTCCAAATCCATCTCTGCCATTTCACGGTACGGTGGGAGGGTAATCACACTCCTAACGCTATTTTGCCGATCTAGCGCTCGATTTGCCTCGATATTTGCACGAGATCGAGCCACACGGTTGATACGTGCTTGGTTTTGAGGCCTGCCCGAAGAATTGTTCCCACCGGCGGCTTGGTAGCCCATTACATCCCAATTTTGCCATTTCTTTTTCAGGAAGGAACCTGGTAGATATTTTGGGTCTTTATAGCGTAGACGGATTGATTTTAGGATTATATAACTTAGGAAGGCGAGGATTATGACACCGATTATGACGACGATGGTCTGATTTCAGAGATTGGATTCGTTAGTTTCTTATGTATTCTGATATATAAAATTCGAACATTCATTTATATCTATGTATAGATATACATAGATAGATAGTTATATATCTAGGAGGGATTTTGGAAGACATACAATTACGATGCCAGATTGAGTATTTGTCATATTTAAACCATTGTTTCGGTTATTTGCACTAGAGCTTTGAGTAGGCGTAGGCGTGGGAGTGGGAGTAGTACTGCCGGAAGGCCTGAGAATTCTGGTGGGTGCTGATGAGGGGCCATCTTGTCGGTCATCGGTGGGATTCGGTCTGGCTGGGAGAGTTGGTGATGGCGAGTCTTCGGACTGTGGCGCCCGTGGGTTGGCTACATTCGCCTGCCGGCGCTCGATGGGCTTCGGTATTAAAGGAGGTGCCATTGCTTACACGCGAAGCCGAGGAGCTCACAAAGCAGAAAAAGAACGACGGAACAAAAAAGAAAGGGTAAAGATGTCGTCGACAGCAGCTTCAGCAAGACCTATGAAGCTTCGAAATATGAAAAAGAATTAAAGCTGGGGAAGGGTAGGAAATAATAAAAAAAGAAGATGGAAGGGAAAAAACGGCCGTGTGTGTGTGGGTGAGAGCGTGTGAGGGAGGTAATGTATGTAAGTATGTGGTAAGCTCGAAGCAAAGCAAAGCAAAGAATCGCGGCTGACAGACCCCCCTTCTTTTCACCAAGCAGGAAAAATTTAAGAAAACAATTCCAAAAGATCCGAAGATGTCAAACACCCGCCCTGTCTGTCGGTGTCAGGCAGGCCAGGCAACAGGACAAAAAAACCGGGCTGGATGGTTGGTTGGCTGCTGCCGGCGTGCTTGGGCTGGGTTGGGCTGGCTAACCAGGGGCTGAGAATAGAAATATTTATAAGAATAGCGTCTTATAAAGTGACTTAAGGAGCCCGGCGGGCTTAAGCGAACTGAAGGATGCGGTTTAGCTCGGGCACAAGCAGGTATTCACTCTTCCTTCCTTCCTTTCTTTCTTCGAAAATCAATATGATGCTGATGCTTAGTATCGACAAATGTTGACAGCGACGGTGATGTCTGATAGTGAATGGAGAGACAAAAGACAAAGACAAAGACCGAATTCTCCAGCGAATATGGAAACAGGCAACGTAACTGCCGTTCTCCGCCAATGTCTTGACCGAAGCAGGTGATGGTCGCGCCGTTTGCTGCTTATGGCTCTTTCCTGGCTTGGACGCTTAAGGCTGTGCACCCCGAATAGTAATAGTAACAGCTTTGTTACAGCCAATGGTTGATGATGCTTTCTCCTGGAACTATTCCTTCAGCAGGTGCTCGCTATCGTATCGTATTGTGTCGTATTGAAGCCAGTGAGCGAGATTAGCTTGGAATTTTAATCGAATGTGACGTTGGATTCGATCTGAACCGAAGGGGCCCGGTTCCGTGGATATTATCTCTCTCTCCTTCACTGGGATCAATAAATAAACGGGTCCCACTCGGCTCAACCCTCTAAAAGAGTGCAATCGAAGGTGCAATTGACGATGAAACAGGATGAGAGATCTAGATGGATTACGGGGGGAGGCAATATATCTATATAAGCCAGAGGAAGAAGCTTAATTCGAAGGATTCGACTGAAAGATGAAAAAGGACGACGACAGAAAGCAGGCGCAGTGGACCTGAACAGCCCAGTTTGTTAAGCTGTCACCGGCGTTTATTGGCGGAAGCTCTGTAACGACACAACTTTTGTACAACTTCAACGGTCCGGAGTTATGCCCATGATTTGAATATTTAATTTAATTCCAAGACGAGACGGGGGAGGGAAAATCAAAAAAAATCAAAAGGCTGTTTCGAAAGCGAAAGAAGAGGGCAGATTCAATCCCGACGGAGAATGAAAAATTACAGAAGGCTGGTAGGTTGTATATCTGTCGGCTGCAGGACCATTGCGCCTACATACATACAACATACATCCTAAGTACATGCATCAGTATGTACTTCTTACTTCTTTTTAATATAATACTGACTTCGTACAGGTACTGTAAGTCCTCTGTGTGTGTACTTTTGGGAGTTAAAATTCGATGAAACGGCCATAGTCTACGAACCAGCAGGGCTGCAAATACAAATCATTCAGGGTTTCTAACACCCACGCCCTCACTAATTGGCCAATCCTCAATCGAGAGAAACCGAAGAAGAAGAAAAAAAAGAGGGCCCCTGGTGCCCCAAAGCTAGCTAGATAGCTAATCACTCCCCGATCTACTATCATTTTCAAAAACGAATAGTACATAAGTATATATGTAATTAACTAAGGATAGTATGTCATTTGCTGCGCGTAAGCTTCGGAACTTTTACCTAACGAAGCAGAGTACATAGTAAACGAGAGGATAGCCCTCGTTTTGACCGAAACCCGAAACCCGAAACCAAAAGCTATCATCCAGCTAAAAAGAGTAATAACCTATAGGGCTTTGCTTTCCCGTTTAAAGACCGTTTCCCGCCCGAGTGGGTAAGTCAAATATCTTATACATGGTGTATTATATGAGATCTCGTGCCGGGGAGGAGGCGGAGAGGGGAGAGGGGCGCCGGTCGGGCTGACAGATTTTCTTTTCCTATAGGGAATATTAATCCAAATACTCGTTTATGCTAAGGAACAGCATTACGAAATGCCCGGGATCAAAGATCTCATTCTTTCCATCTTTTTCTTCGTTCTTGCAAAGTTAGTTAATTAAGACAAGAGTCCAGATCTTACGATCTGAATTGATATTAGTAAGCTCCTGTCTGATTAGCAAAATCGAATTGGTTCTCCCAGTACAGTTTTGAGGGACAAGAACATCTTTGCAAATTTGGCTTTAGATCAGTTGGCTGTAATGTTAGTTTAATATACCTACTTAAGCTAATTAAGCAGTTATACCGTCGGAAGATACCACATGTGCACAACTTTGTTACTTAGAGCGTCGTAGAATATTAGCAAAAGTATATATGTGAGTACGGATGTCGAAGCCGACGTCAGCCAATATTCCACCAGATCTTCCCCAGAAGCGCCGGGTATATATAGTAATCCCCACCTATGTGTGTATACGACGCCGACATACATACAACTCCCCACTTTCTAGATCATCAATTCAATGCGACAAGAAAACATATTAAAAGATAGACAGGCAGATATCGATAGATAGATCCCTTATCCTTTTTTTGTCATTTCCCAAATCAATCCAACATGCATACTTGGCCCCAAAGGCAAAGGCTTATTCGTAGATCTTATTTTTTACTTCCCCTCTCTTGTTTTTTTGTAACGAAAATCGCCCAGATTACATGCATATACGGCTCAGCCTCAACTTGGTCGTTTCCGCATGATACGGCTTCGTTATGAGCATCTTTGTGTGTGTGGGTACCATACCGAAGCTAGAAACTGTGTGGTCGCTTGTGATCTTGCCACCCCTCTTACATGCACATGGCCGGTTGAGATCTTGAGGCTGATTGACATACCTGCCCCACTTTCGTACCATTGAATTTGAATGCTTCAATTCTTTTGGATGATTTTTTCTTTGTGGACTTGAGATCAATTCCCAATATTGATTCTTTAGTATTATGATCGAACGATGAGATTGGATTCGCGATTTAATTTAACCACCATTCCCCAACATCTACAGTTATCTCATAACCCAACCAATGTTGCCAACATTGTCCAACCCCTCTGTGAAATCCTCAAGTCCAAAAATCAAAAAAAAAATCATCCCGAGAAAGAGAAAAATGTAGAAGGCTAAACCTCCAAACAAGGAAGGTTCCACTACAACAGCGAAAAAAACAAAACCAAAAAAAGTACCCAAAAAAAGATTTCACTCAAAAGTTAAAAAATTTGAACGCTGTCGTCGAAAGAAGAAGACAGAAGAGAGAACTTGTTTGCCGGCACTCAGAATCGAACTGAGGCTGTATCGGAATTGCTCCATTCTACTGAAGAATAGTCCACAACGATACGTACTAACCACTATACTATGCCGGCTGCTCATTTCTTGAGGCACCGATTTGTGGCGCGGGTATTTGAGGTTTCTGATCAAATGACCCTTGTAAATGATAAGAGCTTTGGTAGACGTATTGTATCCAGTGTATAATGACACAAATTCTAGAAGCATAATTAGCTAATTCTATTCTCCATGGAAGATATATCCTTATGACCTTAACGGTCGGAGGTTGCGTATGGCCACCCTGCATACTCGGGAATCGAGTTAATATTATAATTAAGGAATTAATTATTAATATTCGGAGCAATTGCATTAATTGCAAATGCAATGCACTCTATATGTATAGTACGGACTTATAATCATACACACTACCGGCCTACATTTTCGAGCACACGTATAAATAAGGAATTCGAATCAAGAATCGCCCGCTCCTGGAAGTTACATATGATATTGACTATCTTATGAGGAAACTATCTTAACTTTAAATCTATCCACTGTAGGGTGCTCAAAATCAATATTTCGAATACCGATTTTCGGTAAAATCAGGATTAATAATGGTGAAACCATAAGCATAGAATCTCTGACACTATCATTATAACTTTCACGGGGAACGAAAAGAGAGGGAATAAATATATATAGTAAACATTTGAGGAAGATATGTAGAGAAACTAAGATACAATGGTAGACTATGCATAATTCTGCCAATAAGACGATATTGGGATTCGATTCTGGGGCTGGTAAGCAACCTGTCGTCTGGCATGTCTGATCTAAGAAATAAAATATTCTCCAGACAAAATGACTTAATTTCTCATCAACAATGTTTTGCCAGGACACCGTTAGGTGAGGTATACTTCTCGTGTAAACATGTCGATGGCTCAACTTATATCATGCCTGCTAGATACCCTTTAACCTTTAACCTTTAGACCGAACTATAGGAGCGTGAAAAGGCGATAACAGCCTGCCTCCTCTTTCGGAATTTAGTCTTGATATTGGTCTGTAGCTGTATACATGTAGATTGTCTCAAAACCTGAGCTTCCGCAGTAGAGATTGCTGGCTGTTAATTTCGTAGATTTTGATCATGATGATATTGATAAGATCTTGGTTGGTTGGTTGATTTGGTGGTTTTGGGACCTTGAAGCCTCTACGGGAACATTATTAGCATTTAAATAAAACGCATTTTGGTACTAATTGTCTCGTACCCAAACCTAGAAGTGTAGGAAATGTATGAAAATACGGGTGTTCGCACCTTGAGTACTACCATATGGCCATATTTGCTGTCATGTCGCTCCATGGAGTTCACTGTGAGCGGTCCCTTTGGGTAATTTCTGCGTCTTGGGGGGTTCTTACGTCCATTGTAGCTCATGCCGCCGTGGTTCGGGTTGGTTACTTAATACCCAGAAATTTCGGTTATTTAGTTCAGCTTCGACACAGGTGGCCTAACATGAAGTCCTTAATTGTGCATGAACGAGTATATAAAGGTAATTCGACAGTCGTAGGAGGTCGGAAATAAGAAAGTGGAAGGTAAGAATACCGAAAAGCATGGCACAGGTGCTTGCCATTTATAACTTAGAGGCCACCACAGATATATATTCTTATTTTGCATATATGCTTTATATTTTATAAATTTGATTTGTTTATTGAATCTGCTTCACCGATAGCAGATCTCTCAAGGATCCTCGACTTACGGCGAGATTGCAAGTTTAATGGCCTTACTTAAATGCAAAATTTTGAGTGAGAATCGGAATAGGATCCACAGTGCATTGATATACCGACCTTCCAGTGAAATAATGATGCTAGTTAGTCAACATGACTACATAGGCCCAAATAAGTTATAATATAACCCGAAAGTTGATCATCCCTAAGTCAAGGTTATACTAATGCATAAGCTTAGAGGGTAGCTTTTTATACGCTTGGACTATCTGTACTTACATCTCATCAGTTTTAGGGAGTACCGCTATGCAATGTACACCACACTTCAATATTTTGGCTGGCAGTTTATTGGTGTTATCACGGTACACCCGCTGTAGCTACTTACATGAACTACAATGGTCCATAGTACTTCTTGGATTTCTTAGAAAAGGGCGGATTGCAAAATATTCAGGGCCATACTAGCTTTCCCATGCTAACCGCGGCTTTCCAGATGGCATGGTCGAGCAGCAGTTGGGTTTAAATTCCAGAAATTTTATATGAATTTATATTAATATATTTGCCTACATGTAAAGGTAATGAGTGAGAAAGAGTAGCCATCAGGTCCACAGCACGCCGGCGGCCTTAACATTAGCCATCAAGTAAGCCGTAAATGAAGAAGTCTAACGCAAAATAACTTGCACTACCCACCTTCAGACTACGTACTACCGGCTACCACTATCATATATCGGCGCTCGCTCTTGTCGGCTGACTAAGCAACCGATGGTGTTGGATTTTTGATAGGTCGGTTTGAGTTGTGTTGTTTTGGGAGCTACGGAGATCTACAGGTTGACAACCTCGATCACCTCAACAATGCAGTTGATCGAAATCGATATCACTAATGGGATGATATACGGAAGCCAAAAGTAAAGGAAAAAAAATATCATTACCCCCCTGCTCCCCATTCTATATAAAAGGGAGGGGAGAAACAAAAAAAAACCACAACTATTAAAATTCACGGGGAGATGCCATTTAGGCATCGTCCCCGAACGTCATCTCCGTCGTAAAGGGCCTACCTGCCCACGCCCTCCACCCCCTCGCCTCCCCATACGCAAGCATCCTCGTATCAGGGTGCCCTCGCGCAAACCCCCTCATGGGGATGCGCTCGAAGCTCCCCTGAAACTTCCCCAACCTCTCCATGTGCTGGAAATCCAGCTTCAAGACCCTCGTTTGGTCATGGGTGTCATCACACCCATGCCAGCTCCCGATTGCCAAAAATTTCAGGTTTGGCTTGATGTACATTCTCTTTCTTTTCCCCTCGGTTGTCCGAGGGTACTTGGCCGACATCATCCGGAACTGGCGGACCCCCAGTGCCTCGATTAACTTGGTGACCTGGGCCGGGTCAAAATCTCTTCGGGCATCCCTTTGGGGATGCAACAAGCGGATCATCCTCAGGTTTGCCGGGATCCTGAGGTTTTTCTATTAAGTAGGAAACCAATTAGCAAAACTTCATCTAGTTACAGGTCTTCAAGAACATAGAAGTTTTTCAATTCATAATTAACTTACCAAACAGAGTACCCCAGAACGCCTGCCGCTGGCCTGGTGGAACTTCATAAAGGCCAGTTCTTCGAGGTTGGCCCAGTCCTCGAAGTTGTCATTGTCCTTGTCTCGGCTATCTAGGGCCTCGACCCAAAGGTACTTGACGCTATGCTTCTGGGTCGCAAGCCACTTATAATCGAAATTTTGCTGGTACGGCAAGGCGATGTGGAGGTTCTCTAGCGCCGGGAGGCGCTTGAGCAGGGACCGCAACGTTTGCGGATCCCGGAGGCTGTGTCGAATCTGAAGGGACTTTAGGTTCGTCATCGACTTTGCTAGGGCTAAGAGGACCCCATCTGAGTCTGGGCAGTCAACGAGACTGAGACTCTGCAACGTCTCAGGATTGAAGAACTTCGTTTGTTCGTAAACCTGGCCGAATTTCTCAAGATGTTGCAATTTTAATTCTCGAAGCTGCAACTGCTTCTTCCATTTCCCTGGGGTAGTGGGGAAGAGAGCGGACGTGTCTGGACTGTGGCTGGGCTCCGCTTGCCCAAAGACTCCGATGATCTCAGAAGAGAATTCCAGGTTGAGGACCTTGAGGGTGTCGGAATTCGCGGTAATCATGTCCCAAGCCGGGGCAATGGATTCTGTATCCCATAGACTTTCTATATGGGGTAGCCGGGCCCACGTTTCTTGTGTTCGCCCGAGACGGATAGACAATGTCTCAAGTCTCTGAACTCCTTGCAACTCTTCTTCGCAGTGCTTGGGCATGAAGTATTTCTGCTTGAAGTTGAGGGCCAAGTCTTTGACGAAGTTATGCTCTCGGAGGAGCTTGACTGCAACTCTTCTCATCTGAAGGTTGTGTCCATGCAAACTGTATGCGTAACACGAATTTTAGCAAAGCTTCATTATGATTTAGTTTGAAGAATAATAGAACAACATACTGTAGGGTACGGAGGTTAGGGAAGCTGGGCGTCTTTAGGTCGTCAGCTGACTGGTAATTGCCTTCGTCCACAGGTTTGTATAGGTCAGATGGCTTTGTTGGGAATAACTCAATGCTCTGAACATATTGAGCTGTCTCATCTCTGAGATTATTGAGCCCGGCAAGATTTTGTGTAGGTCTGATAACCAAACGCTTGGATAAGCGCTCAACTGTGAATTGATTCAATTGGTGGCAGGTGAGGCGTAGTGATGCAAGATCTTTCTTCTCAAGCTACAGCAACATCACCGTCAGTTTTTTTTTCCCCCACACACAAAATCAGGATATATCGGAGTTGAATACTTACACGATCGAAGAAAAGGAAGGCAACTTCTGTTGGAACATTGAGAATGTGAGACTTTCTTGTTATGGTGACATGGGGGACGTTGGTCTCAATGCTTGTGGGACTCATCTTGACCAAAATTATTAGATGGGTATCAGGTGGATCAAGCGTGAGTAATTCTGGTGCTAAACTGATGACGATTTGAAGGATGAAGGTATGATCAACTGGTCAGGTCGTAAAATGCCAAAAATAGCTGCAAAAAGCACGTGGGAAAGAATCACAGCTAGCAGCGACGGAAATTCGAACTCAAGGGTAGAGAAGCCGTTAGAGAGATCACAGCTTTATAACTTGTCAGAAGGAATGCTCTAAGCAGTTACAGTGAACTTAGAAGGATATCAATGGCAGTGTCGATGATTTTGTGAAGGTCAGCTGGGTGCTGGTGGAAGTGATGATGGAGGTGATGAAGGTGGTGAAGGTTGGTGAAGGTTGGTGATGGAGTGAGGATGAAAGGGAAGGGAAGGAGAAGAAGAGGGGAGCTGGAGGTCATAGAGGGTTGTGACAGTCGAGCTCAGCCCTTCACGTCTTCAGCATCTTCAACTCCAGTCACCGTCACAACCTCTATTCAGGTTCTATTGCACGAACATACCTAGTATGCGAACTCGAGCTTCCCACTTTAGGGTTGTCACGAATCTATGGAGCGAAGATCCGTCGAAGACATTCTATATATAGCACGAAGATCATATTGTTTCTGGTACTTATAACCTCATCTACCAAACCGCAAAAAATGATACCTCCGCTCATCAACTACATCTTCTTCCGAACCTCAATCGTTTATTGAACAAGCAGAGCCATGGATCCCACAGCTCCAATCGAGAGAGAAGCATGCTATCTCTCCCTGTCACCTATCGCTCCAACGGTCTCTCCTTTCACATCCCCTCCGCAGTCCCCTCGAGATGAAAACTATGATTCCGAAGCCACCATCGAGGACACATCCATCATTAACGCTAGCGATAGTGATAGCGACAGGGAGATTGAATATAACAACGAAGAATACGATGATAACGACGGCGAGAACTACGACCAAGATTACGAAGTGGATACTGAAGAGGGCTATAGAACCCAGGTTCCTGCTGATACCCAAATGGACGACTCACAACCCCGATCTTCTCTCGCTCACCAGTCTGCGCCAATTGGGTCGCTATCCCAAGATTTGAAAGTCTTTTTCGGTGATGATGACGATGAAGATAATGATAATGATGATAATAATCAATCCCACCAAGACCTTCGGGGTTACATCCGACGTAGGCCTTTAGTCAAGGCTAACCCACCCCCTAGACGATTTCGCGGCAAGTCCTACGGAGAGTACTATGACGAAGACGACGACCTGTGCGAGTATTCTTGCATTATTCCCGATTCGAGTCTCCTTGATCGACCTCAAAATCATGAGATGGAGATTGTAGCAGGCCCTGAAACAAACAAAGAGGCTGAAGCGGAATCAACTAGAGACAAGCATTTGGGTTTAGTCGAGGAATTGGTTTACGAGACTATTACTATTCGCTATGCTGAAAATACAAACCTCGCCGCTTGCATGGAACGTGGAAGAAAATTGAAGGAAAGGAGAGTGCCAAGACCAAGGTATAGGTCTGGAGAGCAAAAAAGACTTGAGGAAGTGACAGAAATATTGGAAAGAGTGAAGAAAGAGAGCGAAGGACGGAAGGAAAGGGAGAAGGAGGAAGAGAGGATGCAAGCGAGTATTCTTATAACTATGCAGGAGGGACACGGAGAGACAGAAGAAAAAGAAGAAGGAAAGCGACAGGAACCCCTAAAAAGGCTACCGAGGCTGAAGCTTATAGTTAACAAGGACAAAGTCTCGAAAAGACGGTCCAAAGCAAAGCCCCAGGCTCGCTAACAAGCGTTTCTCTTATGTTTAAGGACCATCTCGTATAGCTATAGTAACCGAACTCACAGTGTATTAAATGACCATCTACTCTACAGAATCTCCAATTTGAAAGTCAGAAATTCAAAACTATTATATAGGCTGCCTTCCGAAGCCGCCAAAAATGCCTGGTTAATCGGAAGAATACTACTTGGTTATTACCGCGTCGATTAACGTAACTTTAAACTGCTGATGAAGGTACTCATGAAAATAAGATAACTTTTTTTGGGAGATGTTTTCATCGTCATTGGCCATCTGGATATATCGATATCATGATGGCATGAAAGATAGGCTGGTGACGGGACTAAAGAGAGAAATTACAACAGAGTAGGGGGAAGTTTCGTGTTGACCGGCGCCCATGGTTCCTGAACGGCTCGGCTCGGGTAACTCGATTACCGGGGTGGTGCGGGAAGTTAACAAGAACACAAAGTTTATTACCGCCCTGGCTTTTTATCGTGCAAATGTGCAAACGATCGAGATTTTATATCGATTTTGCAATTTTGCGATATGCATATGCATAAGTCATTAAATAGCTATAAAAATGGCCTCCTCATTCATCACACCCAAGTACCCAAAGAAGAATAGCTCCAGTCTAAGAACGCTTGGACCAAGAACGCTTTAAAGTATTCTTCAGTACTGTTCGATCCAATGGATCAGAGCAAACCGGCTTTCTTTTTCGCCATGATAAGGCTTTAAGCTAATACAGTACGATCCGATCCTGACTAGAACCATTGGGGACGTCGAGACAAATTTTAAAAAGCGTATGAATCGAATACCTTACCAACAAAAACTTTTTTAGCTTCTGACATAGTTGTACTGCAGTTCAAGTTATTATCCAACGAAAGCGTCCAGCTCACGAGCGTACGAGTCAATAACCCTCGTATGTTCGTATCACGACATAATTCTACAAAGGAACGAGGGAAGATCCATAGAGTCGAGGCTGGGTTTTTCGTTGGCTTAAATTTATAAATGAACACGTCAGAAAGCCTTCGCAGTGCAGCTCTGCATGCATGTTGGTGGAATGGTATTTTGAAAACTTTCCCATGACTTGATACACCCCGACAAATTCCGATATGGCATTTCCATATGGCAAATTGAAAATACCTGCCTGATTGAAACAGGCAAATCTGCAGTATCAAGCCGTGTTGCTGTAAAAACCACATCCGTTTGCCGCTGGTTATGTGCATCAAGAGCTAGCCGCTAGAAAACAGAGTGGAATTGACTAGCTAAATTTGTCTATGCGGGTGGATCCAGTCATGCATTGCATTAGAGTTCCTGACAATCCCACAAATTATCTCATCGATATCGTGCGTGGTCTCCCTCAAAGCCATTCAAAGCCAGAGAATTCCAATCCCGCACACATGGCGTTCTAAGCACGGATCCTTGGTCTTGGCTTGGTTAGAGGGTTTTTACGAGGACCTTCAGACGGCGACGGCGAGGCCCTCCCCGCCCCCGCATAGGTGAAAAGCCATACCACGACTCTACTCACCTAGGTATATACGTACGTTACCAAATCTATTCTATTAGTTGTATGTCTGATTGTCTATCGAATAGTTTATTTGTTCATGGAACTTCTTGTTTGGTTACTTCTTGAAGTATGTGTTTAAGCTGGTGAATACATCTACACCAATTCCTTGTACGTCCTAGCCAAGCTTACAATATATATTGGTGTTATTATAGAGTAAAAATGCATGCAATAAATCCAGCTGATCATTTAGCTAGTTTCGTAGTACTAGAAAGTTTAGTTGCATGTATGAGCCTCACGAAAAGAGTGTAAAATCCCTCTTTCCAATTGGGCGAACTAAACTCGGCTTGGAAGCGATTATGCTTAAGCTATAAAATCGTCAATTATGCCTCGCGCTTCGTACATAGACGGATATATAGTAAAAGCCCGACTATTAAGCATTTCCGGACTCACAGCAAAGGAAGGAACCAAAACTTTGCCTATGTGCTATCCTACGTCACCCGCCCTTGTACCTTTTATCCATACAACAAATGCAAGATAATCAGCAGCCCAAGGTAAATAGAAGAATGTAAAATTCTACAAATTAAATTGGGCAATGTGTAGGAAGAGCCGATTTCAAGGCTTAGCCATTGGTAGTGCGGCGTCAGCACACGTGGATGGAAAAGGGCACTGATAATCGTAAACATGCTTAAACCTCATATGGATATGGAGGCGTCTGTAAAATGATGAGCTCTTTTGGTGTTTTATCGATTGGAGTCTGATCGCAAGGGGGCTAACTAGATAGCTATGGAGTTTAGTCTCGAGAGTGGGGCAGCTTGTACAATTATACATATATCAAGTGTTAACGGCTCGGGCTCCACAACCCGTTGATTGATTGGGGTTCACTTTAGGAATTGTATGAGTCCCTTGTCGATAGCTATGTGCGTTCCTAAGAACGTACGATGTATCTACCTTCCATACATGGATGGTTGATCCGGTCGAACGCCCAACGTTACGGCCGTGATAGTTTTCAGACAACTAACTGAAAGAACCTATATGCATACGGCAAATACTATATCCGCACTCAGTTTTGTGCAGCGACACGGCTCGCACTGGTTCTGCACCTATGCTTGTAGTATATACGTATATTTCTGAGCTGTACGATGTCAATATAGAAGCGTGCCAAAAATCTATAAGAACGGCGGGTGCTGCCTGATTATCGATCCTGAACACCATCCAGAACCACACACAAAGCCGTTTGGTAAACTCCGTTCTTAGCTAACGGTATTTTCAAGTTTTCAAATTGACAACTGGTTAGCCTTTCAAACAACCAAGATGAAGACCCGAAATTCGATTTTGGCGATTTTGGCATCTTGCCATTTGATTGTTGCTGCTCCAACCTCGCTGCTGGTGGAGTCAAACAAGCTTAGGAGAGGTCTTAAGATATCCCAGCTTCAAGCACAAGCTACAGAACTGTATGGCATTGCCGCCCGCAATAATGGGCATCGTGCAGCAGGTTCACTTGGTAAGTTAATGTGCATATCCACAATACATATTGAAGGCCGTGTGTTAATTTATATGTACTATAGGAGCTAGTGAGACGATAGACTGGGTGTATGGTCAAATCTCACAAGACTATTATAATGTGGAGATACAAAACTGTAGGTGTTGGCACTTATAATGGCACTTAAGGACTTGCTGACTCTTTTATTGGTGCAAAGTCACATTCAGTAACTTGCATATGGAAGATACCTTCGTCGTTGATGGGACCAACGTGGCTGCGTTCTGTTATTCAGACTCAGGGGACATTACAGCACCTATCACCGTTTCAGCAGAGATGGTCCGCATCTCAAACAACGGCTGCCAAGCTGTGAGTATTTCAAAAAATTCCTACTTCAGTATACTTTAGCTAATATGAAGGTGTACGTACTCAGTCCGACTATGCAGTGGCAGCTGGCAAGATTGGCATTATGTCAATTGTTTCAGGAAGTTGTGGTGGTACCTTACCAATCGCGGACTGGCTTAGAGACGCTGGAGTCCTCGGTTTGATCTACTTGACCGATATAGACCTCCCAGAAGAGGTGTTAACGCCGGGACCCAGCAGTACCCTGAAGTCGCGCGATGCAGTCGACCCATTGGTTTACTGTCTTCTCCATACATCCAGATCTCAGCCCGTTCTTGACAAACTACAGCCCGGCTCCCCAGCTATCAGCAGTACCATAACACTCAGCCGTTGGTACGAAGAAATTCACACCGCCAACATCATCGCTACAACTAAAGCCGGAAACCAAAATTCCGTCATTGTGGTTGGCGCTGGTACAGATTCGGCAGATGGGTCTCCTGGCATGAATGATAATGGCTCTGGTGTCATTGCTCAACTTGAGATTTCCAAGGCTCTTACCGGGTTCTCCGTTAATAATGCTGTTCGATTTTGCTGGTGGGGAGGTTCATCACCTGGGCTTGCAGGGTCCAGGTACTATCTCTCTCAGCTCTCTGCAACTGAAAAGGCGAAGATTGTGATGAAACTCAGTGGGTATATGTTAGCATCTAAAAATTTCGTATGCTTCTCCGAAATCCCCGAAACCACCCTACATGAAACTAAAGCTAACGTGTATCAAATCTAGAAATATGCTGTTCTAGATGGAGATGGGTCTTCCGAACCAATAACCTTTTTCCCTAGTTATAGCAGTGGCCTTATCGAGAAGGCCTTCAATGACTTTTTAACTATCGAAGATAACAAGCCTTCCGTTCCTACCCTTGTAGGGGGCCAGTCTGATCACTTTGCCTTCTTTGAAGCTGGTATCCCTGCAGGTGGTATTACCACAGGTGCCAGGCAATTGAAAACAGCAGCGGAAGCCGCACTCTTTGGTGGTACCGCAGGGCAACCTTACGACCCTTGCCACGAAAAAGCTTGCGACAATTTGTCAAATCTCAATTACCGCGTATTCCTCACCGGTACGAAAGCTATGGCTCACGTCATTGCTAAGTACGCGCTTGACATCACTGGGTTCCCATTCCCACGCCCTCCTGTCTAAACTAGACTAAGGACTAGTCTGATTGTATAGGTCTATAATCATAAATAATATAATTTATAAGCAGAAAAACACTGCTATTACTTCATCTTGAATCCCAAATTTATCTCCATTCACACCTTATACGTATAAACTAGATAATCGTAGCCTGGTAGCGCTGCTCACGCAACTGGCGTAGTAATTTATTACAGACCTCTTGCCCGGCTATCGAGTGTTGAGACTGACAGCTTCCTCGCGTTGTTCACCAGAATCCAACGTCCCGTTTTGGTCAGGCAGCAGAATGCAACGGATACAACACACCGAACAAGTGTCATGAAGCTCGAGCCAGGCTCGTCAAGTGTTATACCAGAGAGAATAGATACACTAGTACTATCGTGGCTTAGTTCGGGAAATGGTATGCACCCAAGAATATAGTATACACTCAAATACATATCTCTAACATCCCCATATCAAATCATAGTCATGTATACTGTCATAGCTCGTTTTTAACTTTACACGCTTTCTCGTTACACAAAAACACTAATCAGAAGCGCCAAATTGCTCTTTTTATTGACCATATAGACGAAGAACTACCTCTTCAATATTTTCTAGCATGTTTAAATTACCTCACAAGAAATTATTTCACATCATCATCAAATCCACATGGTACACGGAATTCATAAGCGCACAATAATATTCAAAAACCATGCGTCTCGAACTCCTCTATCTAACGACCCTATCCTCTATAGCCGAAGCCCAATGGTCCTACCGTCTACTCTACACTCCCATACCCCGGGACGTAATATTATGGAACACAAAGCCCATTTCACACTATCCCAAACCTTGCGCCGGCCTTTGTCGGCGTTTTATCGGTCGTAAAGCCAGAAACCCTGGCCCCGCATCCGTGGACCACAAAAAAAGAGCCCTGACCGGTATAGCAATCCACCAACCTGCAAATAATGATAACTTTAAAACTCCAGTGATGGCGAAATACGTCGGCTTCTGGTCGAGTTATCATTGTAGAGCGCTGCCGAGGTATGTGATACACTTCAGGCAGGAGTTGAATACTATGCAAGAGATTTCGTTTCAACAATTCGATATGTTCATTCCCGGGTTCAATGCTAGTGACTATAATATATGGGGGTGGGGTGAGATTCCACATGGAGATATAGTCTTCGGTAGTATTCCTCCTGGTGGGGTCGCATTTAGGGAGGGTGGAGCTCGGTCGTGGACTGGGAATTATCTCGTGGTTGATAATATGGTTGCTGTAGGTCCACGGTCGGTGGTACATGGAGAGTTACGAGCAAACCCCGAGTTGAGACCGTCGCACTGGCATATCAATATGGGGGAAGAGAATTATGAGCGGCTCACGAGGCCGAAAGATGGAGTTACACCGCCAATTTTGGGTGAAATTGTGAGTTATAGGTACTACGGTCCAATAGCCCCTGAGAATGTCAGGACATACGAGGGAGTGGATGATATATTGAACATTGAACATTTGAATCGTGACATACAAGGTGAAAAAAGAATCGGAAAAATGGAAGAAGAGCCATCATTACCTCCCGTGTATCACATGGATGAACAGAAAAGAGCGATTCTAAGGGCGTATGTGCAAATCCACGGAGCCGAGTCTGCTTTGTTTGCACTTCAACAGATGATCGACGAATATAGGTTTCAGCACTATATGGGGATGTTGACTCCTGAGTTGCAAGAAGCTGCAAGGAGGGATGGTATCATGCAGCTTCGGGTTGCGGAGAGAGCGGATAGGCTAGCTGAGAACCATATTCAACGCCAGGTGATCCAGCAGTCGGAGGAAAGTAGAGAAGCCTTTTTTATTAAAAGTCGCGCGGATCTGCAGCGTGAAAAAGATACCGGGAGGGACATGATTTTGTTTTTAATAAGTGAGATACAGGAGCTCGATGGGGTCGAGATCGGGCCGGACGAGGAGGCCCAGTCTGGGGACAATCAAATCGAGCGAGATACTGGAAATTTAGGGCAGGGGATTGAACGGCAAGAAACGGGCCGTATTCCATATGCTGGAGTCGAAAATAACAATCAAGAACTACAGAACGAAGGTGAATGCGAACTCGAGGCTGAACTACCTACTGCAGCTCAGCTCTTACCGGAATCCGACTCTCTTCCACTTCTCGACTTCGGACCTGTATCCAACTCCGAAATCCAAAGGTTATCGGAAAAATTGTTTAATCAAAAGAACCGCTTCATCGTCAATCTAGATACCGATACTCAAAACGAGCCTGCTGAAATGGAAGAATTAACCATAGAATACTCCAAACCAAAAGATGAGGCTAAAGAGCACATAATCGAACAAGAATTCGATGAAGTTCAAGCGGACCGGTTTATCGATCCCGAACTCCGAAACGTGATAAACTCCGAAGTCGAAAACCTCGTAAGATCGGAGTATGGGGGGTTACTTCGGTCTGAAGGATTGGAAAATCATCAAGGCGGTTTACTAGACCTCGAGGAATCTTCCTCACTGAAGATAATTGATGACGAAGAATCTCCTAATCAAAGGCCTGAATCTGAAGAGCCCTTCGACAGGATACCATTAAATCAAGCGGCCGAAGGGTATGAGAATCAAGACCTCGGGGAATTGGAAAGGCAGCGTCCCCCTATTGATATGGCAGTTGAAAGTGGAAATAATATCGCTTCCCTCCAGCAAAACCATATTTCCGAACAGAGCTCCAACAGCGAACAACAAATACCGCTAAACCAATTAGATGTAGACTCAGATGACGAACCAAGATTTGCTTCAACATTTGGACGGGATCGGTACAGAAATAGAGCTCCACAACTAGAAGACTCTCCACGAACCAGACAACATATAACCACCTACGGACGAATGAGCTTTGGCGATTGGTTGGCGACTCGACCAATTCAGGTAGCAGCAGGACTTGTAGATCTTGGTATAATCCCTAATTTGGCTCAAGAAAATGATGATTAGGATGGGGACGTCCCAAACGAAATAATTAGAGGGCCTAATAAATAACTAAATATAGACCCTTATATCAAATCGGAGTTATTCTCGTAAGTCTCGGTCTAGGTGTGTTGGCAGCGTGATATTTTAAGTTTGGAAGTGCCCTGAGAGTGGTCTAGCGGGCTCTGTCGAAACTTTGGCATTGGGGACCTCGAGGACCATTACCTCGATCGAGCGTGAGAAGGATCAAGTCTACACACCAGACCACGAAATTGTGCTGGCTTTAAGGAGAGGAATCACATTATAATTACAGTTACTTAGGGCCTTCCGTGTATATGTACATCACTACTAATTAAACAAAGACTCGAAAAGTCGAACTTGAAAGAATAAAAATAGAGACGCATGCAAGAAAGAAAAGCAAAACAGCAGAACTATGTAGATCTAAACCATTTTAAAACCCTGGTATCACGAATTGATATAAATTAAACGTATCATGGAAACGCCATGACTATACAAAATTATCTTCCTCCTCTTGTTTCTTTAATAACCGTCTAAAACTCTCACTCCGGGTAATCAAATCCGTAAAGTTACCCTCATCGACTACCCTCCCTTCTTCCAAAACCACAACTCTATCCGCCATCCTCATCATATCCGTCTTATGCGTCACCATAATTACTGTAGTACCCCATCCTCTCCATCCACCACTAACTCCTTTATTTTTCAAACTCCACACCGAATCTAATACCGTAGATGAACTAGCAGCATCCAACCCAGCTGTAGCTTGGTCCAATATCAAAATCCTCGGATCACGAACTAAGGCTCTCGCAATTGCGATTTTCTGTAGTTGCCCTCCTGATAGACTCTCATCTCCCATATTGAGTAAGGTGTCATATCCGTGTTTTAATCCATTGATCCACTCCCCAAGGCCGGCTGCGTTTGCAGCATTGATTATTTGCTGGATTTGTGGGCCACGTTCGCCGTGCATGCTTCCCGAGAGTTTATAATGCTCGTTCGAACCGTATAGAATATTTTCTCGGACAGAAGCTGGGAATAGGTATGGGTTCTGTGGAACTATCGCTATCTGTCTTCTTAAGTGTCCGATATCGAGGTCTGAAGATTGATATCCAGAGAAGATGACTTCACCCGAGCTGGGGGAATATAACCTCTCCATCAAGGATACCAGAGTACTCTTTCCTGATCCAGAGCTACCAACAATAGCGATAAACTCTCCGGGATTGATCTGTAAATTAATACCCCTTAAAACTGTCGCTCGTCTTCTTGATGGATACGAAAATGAGACATCGCGAATGATCAAGGATCCATCTAGATCTATTTTGCGAGAGCCTTGGTTTTCGTGACTGATGGATTTTAACTCGAGGAGTCGAAGAACTCGGCGTGCATAGTCTTTACTTGCAGAAACTTGGGGGACTATCCGCAAAGTTGCTGCGCTATTGGAAAGACTGAAGAGAAGCATAGAAAATACTGTGAGTGCTTTCTCGAGTGCTAGGCCATTTTGAACGATAAGACGAGCGCCGTACCAGAATAGCAATGCTATGAAGAAATGACAGAGTATTAATAAATGTATCCGCCAGGGTGTAAATAGACGTAAGATAGCTTACCAGTTGCTAGAAACACTCCGGTGTCACTCAACCCCACCGTTAAACCCGTACACACCGCGCGTTTCCTTCCCGCACTTAGGCTTCTCCTCAAGAGTCGATGGTGTTTATGATCAAAGTACCCCTTCAATGATAAAGTCCTCACAGCCACTATATTATCCAACATATCTCTCAGAAAGATAGCCAGCTGTTCAGACTCTCCATTACATCTCTCCTCGCACCGTTCAGTTACCCATGAAAATACTCTCAGAACGAGTAATAATATAGGTATTGCGACAAGTCCGACAGCCGTAAGCTGTACATCTTGCGTAAAGCTCCAGCCGACACCAATTCCTAATATCGTTAACGCACCAACCGCGAATCCCAGCTGCCGCCCGAGCAAATTCCTCATCTCTTCAGCGTTTCCTTCTAAGTCCTGGGCTATCCGGCTAATCTTGTTTTTGTCGACATCGAACCATGATCTTGCCTGGCTCATAACCAATCCGTATGCCCTGATCCTTACGGAATCAATCCAGCGTTGGGCCGACTTTTCGAGTAAGAAAAGTTGTAGAGAAGAAGTGGCGGCGTCGAGTAAGGCTATGCCGGTAATCACTAATGCCCAAAACGCAGCTTTGGTCCCTGTACCAGAAAGATCCGTAAAGAAGATGTAAACCAGGCGAGCCAGCGCGAAAGAGAAGGCCGGAGTTGCGGCAGCAGAGACTATGCAACATAAGAGACCGATGGCGATACCAAGTTTATCTGACCAGTTGGTATGTGGGCCAATTGTAGAGAATATGTGACGGAGTCCTTGTTGGCCTTTTATCATAGTCGACTTGCATTCTGGTTTTGGGGGTATTTCTTCCATGCTTTGACGGGTTCGTCGGGGCCGTTTGCGAGATTGACTTGTCGCGCGCTTGATAGTTTGAGAACGGCTGGGGACCGGCGGCGGCGCTGTAGTAGCTCTATGATTCTGGAAGGTCACCCTGGACGGATTGAAGGATTTATGAGCTCTCGGGGCGAGTGATTGTCTGAATGCGTTAATAGAATTTTCTACAAACGGTAGAATCGTGGTTCTATTTGGACATTGGTTTTCTTTCTCGGGGTCATCCATATAGCAGTCTATCAACGACTCTTCGTAGCAGGATTCTGGCGGAATGGATTCTTCGTATGGAGTTTCCACATTCTTTAGAAGATCTGCAAAGGGCCCTTGATAGAGTGCCTCTAAAGTTCTCCTTTCACCTACTTGTACAACCCTCCCAGCATCCATGACATAGACCCAGTCGTTCGGTCGAATATCAGACAGATTATGTGTGATAATGATCGTCGTCTTGTCTTTACGCCACTCTCGGAGAGTATTCATGACGAGTACCTTAGTAGCTTCATCAAGTCCTGTAGTGGGTTCGTCCAAGATCATGATAGGGGTGTCACGGAGCCGAGCGCGGGCAAGAGAGATCCGTTGCCTTTGACCGCCAGAGAGATTTGTACCTCCTGATCTGAGTTTCGTACGAAGACCATTGGGTAGACCCGTGATTACTTCAGTAAGGAAGACATCGTCACAGACGCGCCAAATATCCTTATGAGTTAGGTTGTCTGTATTTGCCTTTCCGAAGCGAATATTGCGAGAGATAGATTCATTGAATAAAGCCGGTCGTTGGGGAACATAAGTTACGTTGTCATGGATCCATTTGCGGTCGAGCTTCTCCAAAGGATTCTCGTCAATGAGGATGCTGCCGGAGTTATGTTTCCAGACGGTAAGAAGGAGGTTTGCAAGAGTGCTCTTGCCGCAACCGGATTTTCCTACGATGAATACAGTCTCGCCTGCGTTCACAAACATCGATAGTCCATTAAGACTAGCGACGTCTCTACGAGACGGGTAGTGAAATCTAACCTATTCCAAAATAAGCCTCACGAAACCAATAGATAAAAAGAGTACTATAAACTTACATCTTGAAATGCAATAAATCCGTTGCACTTCCTAGGTGAAACCCCAGCTCTTCTCCTCGCTAAGTCGAATTCAACATCTACCATCGTCAATCTTCGTAAATTTGACGCCGCATACTTCCCTTTCTCCAACACAATAACTAACGGGAATATAGTTTCAATCTGTTGTCCCGCAATAAGGCACGCCCAGAAAGCAGTCATATACCCAGAATACTCTTGAAACGTTGTTGTTATTGTTACCAGTGTCGTAGCATACCAAAATCCTTGCACGAAAACCATAAGGGTGAGAAACCGCAATATGGCATTCTGAAAGGCAGCGTACTTGGCGATTCTATTGTACGCTAACCCTGCAGCTTTAACAGCGGTCCCATAAAGGCTTATTTCCATTTCCTGACCATTGAAGTATTTAACGGTGTCGATACCCTTTACCGCGCGAGAGATGCTCTGAGCGGCAGAACCGAGTGCTAGTGATTGTTGACCAATACCATTTTCCATCCCGTTCGAAAAGAAGGCGACGGCGAGAGCCGCCACCGGCATACCAGCTAAGCATATCAAGGTTAAATGCCACGAAAAATAGAATGCTATGATAAGACATGCAACAGCGGATACGGCCGCTTGGAGTAATAACCCCAAAGGCTGCGAAGCCGCGAGTTGAAACTCGGTAATTTGACTACCTCAATATCTCAAATTAGTTTATCTTTCCTAAAGACAAATGAGTATAAAAGATGACTTACGTATGGCACCGATTCGCAACTCTTAAAATTTCATGTTCCGTATTATCAAACCATTCCAGTTCCTTTGCCATTAATGCTTGATATATTTCCGCCCTCGCACTCTCTGCTTGTAACTCTCCAAACCACATCCACGAGCAATAAAATGTACCATAAGCCAGCCATCCCCCTCCAGCTAGAAATACATAATATTTAATCCACTCCGAAACTCTTGGTAATAAATCCGGTGCAGTCACCTCCCCTCGCCCATAAAGCGCAAACTCAGCGAAGACATGGCCGAGTAAAATAGACGAAATAGGGAGCACTGCTGCAGACACTAAAGCCGAAGCAATACCGAAAACGAGACATACCGCATGCCCTCTGCGCGTGAATCCAAAATAGGACGCCCAGGTAGCATATCTCCGCATCTCTCGCTCCTCCTCCGAGTCCTCAAGGTATGTGTCGTGGGGTGGGCACGGTGTAGATGCAAACGGAAAGTTGTGTAAGTTATCCTCGGTTTTTGAATAAAGTAGTGGATTTGACTCGGTATTATTCTCTTCGTATCCGCACTTTTCTGTAAAATGGGGGTCGACGCCTTCAATGAGTGTATCTCCGTCCAGATATGAGAATGAAGAGCCAACGGAGGCAGCAGGAGAAGAGCACCATGGCGCCGCCTCGCCTCCCGACTCGCTGTGGATGCCACCTAGATCCGTGCCACCTAAAGGACTACATGGCAGAAGTAGGTCCAGTGTTGGTTTTAATGGGCGAGGGGAGGGAAGCGGCGCAGAAACGTCGCTTGGGGTGTCATTTGAAGTATCAGAATCCGAAATGTTGGGTTGGCAACTGTCATCTGAATCTGAATCTGAAGCTACAGCCGTTGGATCCGAATTACCGCCCAGGTTGATATTTCGGTCTAATTTCCCATCAAAGCCCCATTCCTCTCTTTCGAGCCATACTAGCCCCCTGTTACAACCATCGTGGGTGCCAACAGGGGGCTCTTGGGAGTTACACCCTTGCGAATATGGCGGTAGTTCGTCCAATGTGTTCAGTTAGCCTCTTAAGCTTGCGTTCGTCGGGATATATTATATAACTCGGGTGGACACCAATGCTGTTTAGCGCAGGTGAATTCGTTGGTAGGTTTATATTTAACAGTAATATATAAGTACTTAGGTATCTAGGTACTAAGCACCTGCTGATATTTGAGACTACGCCAGGAGCGGTTGGCTCTGTTAGTGCAATATATATATATACTAGTATTTAATGTAATGTTGGATCGTAGTTATTCGAAACGACGGATGGATGAGTTCGAATCGAATGCGAATGCGAATGCGAATGAATGGATGGGATCCGAGATCCCAAGGTGAAAGTTGCGAGATATACTGAGAAGGGGTGTTAAGAAGAAGTTTAAGATTGAAAGGGGATGAAGACAGTATTCCATGGTTAGGGAGAAGCCCCGGCCGGTATATGGCATATGCATCGGCCTTCAATTTTGGGCTTGGAAGGTACCAGCTTTCCATTGTTAATTGTTGGAAGTTGGAAAGGCTGTTCCTAAATCATTTGTGTTGTTGTGTTGTGTGTGGCAGAATATGTGTTGTACGCAACCAGTCAACATGCGCAGAGCGGTTCTGAAACGCTCTTCACAGTTTTTTACCATGTCGCAGACGGTCTCAGAGCAGCTGCCAGCTTGTCATGTACAAGCAAGAGCCTAGCTAGGCTATCTAACCTGCTTCCCGTGCCTGCTAGTTTTGTCTGCAGGGTAGCTAGTGGGATCGCAGCTAACATTAACAAAACTGCCGCTATATAGATCCAGAAAGGTCATGTCACGTGACTATCAGGAAAGTGTTGTGGCATGTGTTGTGGGTGCAGCAACCTACTATACGGAATCAGATCCATCACCAATACGCAATTTATAGAGCTTCCCTACCATAGTTACCACCCTCAACCACCTTCTCAAAGCTTCTAAGCGAGTTAGTTAATAGTATATCGATCTCGGACATGGTCCTTTCTCAGTCGTCATATGCGCCTAGCCTGAGGTTGTTATATTGCGCAAGCTGCCAATATATATTAATATTTGTTATTCGCTCAACTAAACCCCAGTCCCAAATCAGACATAGACGAAACCGATAGATTTTATGGCTTCATGCTCTCGAAATTTACACTATATTCATGGGTTACAAGCAACCGTAATGTGGCTCAGCTATGTCCAAAGAAACACACAAGTTGCATTGTCTCGTCCCGTGGCCGAGGTAGCCTACGGACTCGTCTATGAATATCGACCGGGGCTTGTCCTCGGAACAGAATACCACACATCCCAACACAGAAGCTCGCCTCCCAGATATCCAATGGTTGTAACACGAAAGCCTGGTACGAAACTACCTAGGTAGGTTGTAAGTTATAAACCTGTAAATTATAATCCAAAAGAAAACGGCACGATGTCTGAGTTAGAAAGATCTGGACTACCCATCTGAGAGCGGCGCATGCACATACAGCCATAATGCAATGGTTGTCCGTATTATTGTATATACAGCCGACTTCCGACTTCCGACTTCCAACTCCCCCCTCATAGTCGGCGCAGTCGTACAGCATTTAATTAAGAAATACTCGTTTATGCAGATTTTGTCAGCAGATAATATATTTTGAGTAGGCACAGATTCATGTCAAACCTATTATGGTTTCAAGCTATAGCTAGCTGGCTTCAGAATTTAGTCAACCGAAATATTAGAAATTGTATATGTTCGTGAATTGGTTGGGTATCCGATGTTGACATGCACGTTTGGATTGTATGCCAGGAACCCGGTGGGTGGCCCAGACTAGATACATATGCGGTATTTGTACTCGCCTGCTTATAGACCTTAGATATATATATGCATGGGTGTGTCAGCTTCTACCATGGTTTTCAAATTGAATTTATACCCAAGTAGATATACGAACAGCACACATGCCCCCATTTCTTCCATTTCCTCCATTTTGAACCCTCCTACTCGTTCTTCTTCCTTTTTTTAAAATTTTTGGTCTTAAGACCCTCTGTCGTAGGAGGCAGTTCCAGGGTTGTGAAGATATAACCCAAAATCCTAAAATCCAATGCCCCACGTTTACAATACCCGGTCTTGATTTCAATTATATATATAATGGCCCCCTTCAACATAAGATCTCCAGGCCTCTCCAAACAACCCTGGATTTTCATCATTATCTTTGCATCTGCAATTTTGGGCAGGCCTCACGATCATCCGCAGCCCCCAGCCCCAGGGAATACTTCCCACCTTGAAAATCCAAAACTTCCTGTATACAACACCACTATAATTCCTCCCATTTGTCCTTCCGGGGGCATTGAAGTATGCAGTGACGTTGGCATTGCAAACAAAAATCGTCTCGGCCTGCCAACAGTTTCCGCCAATCTTACAATCGATGCGGCCCAAACTACGACAAGCGCTAGTCACGAAGCTACGAAAACTCCCATAGATTTATTAGAAACACCTATAAATATTGAGGATATCGATCTAAAAAAAGACACCAGCACCACCACCACGGTCGATAAAAACAACCCCAAAAAGCTAGAACCAACGTCTCAAAAGCGGCTTGAAGTCCCTGCTGAATTTTTCTATAAAGCCGGAACAATGGAGATTTATTGCCCTAGGGGCCTTGAAAGCCTCAAGCATGCCAGACAATTTACTACCGAACCACGTATGGTAGACCTTGAAATATGGCGGATATTCGACAAACCTCGCTGGGACAGAATAGTAGACCTTCTAAGAAGGGCTACGCGCGCTGACGAACTATTAACACCAAAAATTCACAAAGAAGTGATGCCATCCATCCTAATGGGTACAGAGAAGTGCAAGAGGGCCTGTAAGTGCGACAAAGAAGGTCGTATCGTGCCTCATACATTCCTAGCTCCGGAAAACGCCAACCGCTTATACAGAGGCACTCCGAGGTGGAAATCGAGTTGTGAGAACGCTTTTCAAGCGGCGATATGTTTTTTTGTATTGGGTGAGACTTTATCCCATTCCTCGGGCTGTGATCATCTGGATCGGTCATGCAAGGTTCCTCTGCATGCCGATTCTCTATGTACCATTAACAGAATCCTAACTCCTCGATTCCATAATTAGGTTGCGCTTGTTCAGTAGAACTGGACAGCCACAAAGTTCCAGGCTCCGAATATGCCCACCAGGATATATATGCGTTCGCACGGGCTATCGAACGTATACCCCCACAATTTCGGTTTCGACCGGTGGACGATGGATATGAGGTTTGGGACGGGTGGACAGTAGATGAATCTCGTAGACAAGTGCCCGGGCAAAGAATCAGACCTAGTTGGAACCACATGCCCCTACGATCCGGTCTACCGCCCCGATACCAGAACTCCGGGGTTCTGACACCCCGCCAAGTCGCTCAATTGAATCAAGAGCTAGTACCTCCTATGTACGGGTCGGATGGAGAAGAGTTATATACCCCAGAGATCACACCTGACCCATGGGCGACTGATTACCGACGAAATGTACTCTTGACTCTAGCAGCCGTGCCAGAGTACCCTCGACCGCCGCCATACCGCGGTTGGTTCCACGATATGAGTCCTCCTTACAGCCTGGATCCTCCTCCCGGACATCAGAAGTAAATTGTCGGTGTAGATATTCTGCAGTCTAGGACCAGTCGATCAAATTAAGTCCCATATTCCGGGAAGGTTCCCGTTTAATATATCTTTTATGCTGGTCTCGAGCTCTTATTTGAATTCGGCTCCGATATCCACGATCCTTTTGTATGCCTAGTTTATTAATATTATTCCAGCTTCAACTATTCTGCCCTCGCTATTACTGTGCCCGTATCTTAGTGCTTTTAGTATGTCACTAGCGCGCGCGCACTATACGACCTTTTTGCTGAACACCCCTGAACATGACATTAATCCCTTCAAAACGAGACTAATCAATTCTAGCTACTCTGCAACATACACTATATTCTACAGCTATAGCTACTTCACCCAGGTACTTGCCAGTATACCCACCTAGATTTATAGCCTAAAAGGTGGAATCATGCCAAAAGGGAATAACTACCAACCGCTGTAACACACACAAATGAATACAGACCTTGAGCGAAAAATAAAGCAAATGAATAAGTAAAATAATGGTATCTAACGCTATAGAATCCGCAAACATGGCACGGGAAAGAGCTTGGTCGAAGCGTCGTTCTCAAAACATTGCCAGTATCACCTACCACCTACATGTCTCCCAATGAAACCTAACATGTACGTAAATTAATACACATACATACATACATACATACAAACACCTCTAAGCCTTCTTTGCCTATGGATGTGCTTGGTTATAGATCCAATCGTTCAATCCCAACTTATTCCTAACACCGCCCGAAAACTGTATTAGCATGAAAGATATACAACAGTCATGAAGTTTGCACAGACACCAACATACCTTGCGATTTCTATGGCATAAAACTGAAAAATGTACTATTAGTTAACGAAAAACAAGGGGGAACGGAAGAAATTCAAAACGGAAATACGAGCGAAGGGCGGTAGTTGTTGGTGGGAAGTCGTTCTTACCTGCATTCGAACGGCTGTGACGTCGAAGAATCATTAGCTCGATGTCACCAACATCAATGCATTTAGAAGACAAAAACGTACAGAATATCGTAGTATTTTGATCATACTCTGCCCCTGGCTCCGTCCTCAACATAGTTCCGAAATTGAAATCCTTAACCTAACCCTCCCCACCAACACCATTAGCATCGCCACAGATCTAGATTCATTCTAAAAGGTCTCTGGCGTACCTTATTTTCATAGACGTTAACGAAATTTCTCCACTTCTCCTTCCCTTCTTTGCTCTTCATCTCGTCTTCATCCAACTTTTTCGAAACATCGAGGTCTGGAAATGTCTCTTTCAAGTGTTCGTAGATTTCGTCGTCGATTTTGGTGAGTTTGAGATCAGTGCCACGGCATCGAGTTAGGAGCTCCCAGTGAGTTTGCATGTACATGACGGCTGTATGCGAGTTATATCGTTAAAAGTTATTCGAGGTATTCTCTGGTGATGCTTTTACGGTGCCATGGTATGGTAGGTACCTTTGACGGCGAACTGCTTCTCGATCTAGTCACAACCATTAGTTACAACTATCACCCTTTTACAAGACGGAGAAACTTACATCCTCGGAGTTTTCTGCCGTTTCGGCGTTAAATACGGAAGACATGGCTGATGATATTTTATGTGGCTGTCGTGGTTGTGGTATTACGGAGAGGAGTAGTCGGTGAAGGTTGAGGAGGGATGAGGGATGGCGGGGCTAAGTTTTGGTGGGATGTTTTGCGACAACCAAGCTCTTTTTTTTTTCCTGTTTGGCCCCACCGCGCGCCGCATTCGATGTGATTCTTTATCACCATGATGTTTCCAAAATGTTTCATGTTTAATTCCTAAAAATACATAGAGATGATTATATTCAATAGAAATATCCAGTATCTTTCCTCTCAATAGGAACCTTAATACAAATCACCAAAACCGTCGCCAAATCGTGAATGCCGCACCGTAATTATACATTATCGCCGCACAAAGCCTCATTCGCTTCACCTAATAAAAAAACCCTTCACGAAGAAAAAAACCCAAACTCCAACCTCACCTCCCCACCGCCATCCCTCGAAGATCCACCAACCTCAATTGGCAGCTTTTACCACCCTCGCTGTCATCTCTTATATCTCCCAGATGAGGGCCAGATCTCACATAATACGGCGACAATGCCGTTCATTCGCTTCATTGTCGACCGTTGCCCGTCCCACACCTCTAAGAACACTGGTTCCGAGAGCGACAACGTCCCGAACATCGGCTTTAGCTCCTATATTGCTTGCTCCGAGGTGCACATATGGCGTTAGATACCAAAGCGCTGCTGCAGCTTCTCTGTAAGAGCTACAATACCTTCAATTGATCCGTTTTCTTACTTTACTTTATTTTTTTTATTTTTTTTACTAATACGGACGAACGGGTATATACAGACTAGCAGACGCAGCAGAAGGCGCCGATAACCTCACCGCAGATGGCATCCTCAGCCGTCTCGACCCCAGCGAGCTCTCTCGTCTCTCTCACCTACGAAACATCGGTATAGCCGCTCACATCGACTCCGGCAAAACCACCTGTACGGAGCGAGTCCTATACTACACCGGTCGAATCCACTCTATCCATGAAGTCAGAGGTAAAGACTCCGTGGGTGCCAAAATGGACTCTATGGACTTAGAAAGAGAAAAGGGTATCACCATCAAATCCGCTGCTACGTTCTGTAGTTGGTCGAAGAAGGATGATAAGGGGGTTGATCAAAAGTACCATATCAATTTGATCGATACACCTGGACATATTGATTTTACTGTTGAGGTAGAGAGAGCTTTGAGAGTTTTGGACGGGGCGGTTATGATTCTTTGCGCTGTTGGTGGAGTACAATCTCAGACCATTACCGTTGATCGTCAAATGCGCCGTTACGATGTTCCAAGAATCTCGTTTATCAACAAACTCGACAGAATGGGCGCAAATCCTTTCAAGGTCATCGAACAAATGAACCAAAAACTCAAAATCCCGGCGGCAGCGGTACAAATCCCCATCGGTACCGAAGATCAACTTAAGGGTATCATCGACTTGGTCAGAATGAAAGCTATCTATTTCGAAGGTCACAGAGGAAACGTTATCAAAGAAACCGATGATATTCCAGAACACTGCAAGGAACTAGCTAAGGAAAAGAAATCGGCTTTGATAGCTGCTTTGGCAGATGTTGATGATGAAATCGCAGAAATATGGCTGGAGGAACAAATCCCCACGAATGAACAAATTCATGCAGCCATTCGTCGGTCTACGTTGGCATTGAAGTTCACACCGGTATTCATGGGTTCGGCATTAGCAGATAAGGGTGTCCAACCCATGCTCGACGGTGTCATCAACTACCTCCCACAACCTGCTGAAGTCAAGAACACAGCTTTGGACCGAAAACGCAAGGAAATGCCAGTAGCATTGATCCCACACACACAAGCACCGTTCATCGGACTTGCCTTCAAACTCGAAGAAAGTAACTTTGGACAGTTGACTTATATCAGAGTGTACCAAGGAACACTCAAGAAGGGTGGATTTGTGTTTAACATCAGAACCGGGAAGAAAGTCAAGGTTCCTAGGTTGGTTAGAATGCATTCCGACGAGATGGAGGATGTGGATAACATCGGAGCTGGTGAAATTTGTGCGGTGTTCGGTGTGGAGTGTGCTTCCGGTGATACCTTCTCGGATGGACAACAGTCTTATACTCTTGTTAGTATCCATCTTCCCTTCCTTCCCTTCGTTCTATCTATCTATCTATCATATATACCCTCGAAACACCCAGCTAACCCAGACATTCCCTTTTATATATAGCAATCGATGCACGTCCCCGAACCCGTCATCTCCCTCGCCATAAACCCCAAATCCAACAACCAAACCGCCAACTTCTCCAAAGCCATCTCCCGCTTCCAACGCGAAGACCCAACTTTCCGAGTAACCCAAGACCCAGAAACCCAAGAAACAATCATCTCGGGTATGGGAGAATTACATCTTGAAATTTACGTCGAAAGAATGCGAAGAGAATACAAAGTCGACTGCGTGACCGGTCAACCAAAGGTCGCCTATCGCGAAACAGTCACCCAGAAAGTTACATTCGATCACACACTTAAGAAACAATCCGGCGGAGCTGGAGATTTCGCCAGAGTAGCAGGATCCGTCGAACCAACCGGTGAACTCGGAGAAAACATCTTTGAAAATGCAATTTTCGGTGGAGCTATCGATGAGAAATACGTCTTTGCCTGCGAAAAGGGATTCAGAGCCAGCTGCGACAAGGGACCATTATTAGGTCATAAGGTCCTTGGTGTTAAAATGACAGTTAACGACGGTGCAACCCATATCGTCGACTCCTCAGAAATGGCATTCAAAATCGCAACCCAACAGGCCATGCGAAAGGCGTTCAAAGACGCCCAAGCTATCGTTTTGGAACCGATCATGCGTGTATCCATCTCAGCACCCGCGGAGTTCCAGGGTGCTATCGTGGGGTTGATGAATAAACGTAATGCGATGATTGAGGATACGGAAATCGGAGTTGATGATTTTACAATGTATGCGGAAGCAGGGTTGCACAGTATGTTTGGATTTTCGAGCGTGCTGAGAGCTGCTACGCAAGGTAAAGGAGAGTTTACGATGGAATTTTTGAAGTATAGTCCTGCTATGCCGCAGCATCAGAGGGAGTTGATCGCAGCACATGAGAAGGAGTTGGCTGCGAAGGAGAAGTCGTAGGTGAGGGGAGTATTATATACTTTTTACTTACTTTTCCTCCCTTTTTTTTATATATATATTTTTTTTGGTTAGGAGAATATTTGGCATCATATGATATCTCTGGATGGAAAAAAGAACAAGACTGATATGAATTAGATTTATTGCTATAGTATATAGACCCCCCTCTCTCTTTTTTTATAAATACTTATGTATGTATTTAAGTATGTATATACCTCCCATGACATCCACCTGTATCATATCCACCAAAGAAGAAGAAGAAGAAGAAGAAGAAGAAGAAGAAGAAGAAAAAGAAGAAGTTGAAATCGTTGGGTTTTGTCGGATGGAGCAGCAGTTTCTATATACCCACTTTTCCTTCTTTTTTTCGTTCTCACACTGTATATACCACAATTTGTTTTAAGAAAGGGTTTCCCACATGGCTGAATGGCACACACGCACGGTTGGAAGGAAGGATAAGACGTCAGAGGTATGTACCATGGCGAAACGGGGAATCAGGGACATTGATCATAGCACACGCAGGAAAACGTGGCATTTTCTTTTGTTTTTTTGTATATACACTTACTTATATAGATGTAAACTAGAATCGACAGGCCAAATCTTCACTTCACACTTTTACACTTTTACTTTTTTATAATTACTAGCTACGATAACTTTCTTTTTGAAATGAAGAAAAGATCTTAGCTTGTGTCGTAATTGAACACACGTATGTATGCATATATGTATATAAAAAGAAGTATATATGAGAAGCAAAAAGCTGAAGATCAAGAATTCGAAGATAAAAATATGATTTTTGAAGGAAAAACGATGAGGGTATATAAAGGAGAGTTCATAACAGTTGGATTTTAATTTTTAAGTATTTCTCGTCATTCAATAAGTGAAAGAGACAAAATCAATATAGAAAAGAAAAGAAAAGAAAGAAAGAAAAACGCCAGTCTTTAACGCCAAAAAGAAAAAAAAATGTATAACAAAAACCTCCAAACCCCAATTCATAAATACCCCCCTTCCTTGAAAAGAGAGAAAGAGAGAGAGCTAATCCAAGTGATTGTAAAGAAAAAGTAAAACGAAACCTCATCTAGTCTTGTCTGTTTGTATGGTATGGTATGGTATATTAAGAATTACCATTATCCTCTTCCCCCCTCAAAGAAAAAAAAAAATAATATCTTTCTTCTTTATTTTTCTTCTCTTTCTTCTTCTTCTTTATTTAATTTAAACCTGAGTATGTCTCATAGGCTCATAAGGACCTTCGCTCTTCCCATAAGCCTGTCCGTACTGCTGATGCGGCGGTGGAGGAGCCGGTCCACCACCTCCCAAGTAAGGCGAAGCAACTCTTTCGTATCCCTTAACGGGACTTCCACTCCTACTAGCCTTCTCGCCCTTGATAATTCTATCCCTTCTCCCACTGCAGCAGCAAGTAGTCAAAGTCCAGAACAACATGGCACCGAAAGAAACAGCAACACCGATAAACATCAAAGTATAAACCTGTCTGTTTATAGAACCCCTAACGCCGAAGGTATTAAAAGTAGCATCGAAAGTCTTTGACAATGAAACGTATAAAGCGATGTTGATGACCGAACCGGCGAGTAAAGTCCAGAAAGCGAATACTGCGGCAAAAGTGGTGACGCAGGAACCCCAACGGGATAGGAAACCGAAGAAACCCAAGATGAATTCTAGACCCGTGGCACCGATTCCGACGATGAAACAAATGTATTGGGCACGGGTTAGAGCTCTGACGGCTTTGAAGTAGTCGTTGACTTGGTTTGGGAAAGTTAGGTTTTTGCCGTTATTCGCTTCGGCGTTGATGATATCGATGATGTTGAAGTAGAAGGAACTAGATGGGGAAGAACAGTTTTTGACGTTCCATTCGTTGGTGGCATTGTCGAATGTTCCAGAGCAGTAGCTGAAGAGACCGGCTTGGTAGAAATCAGCGACACCGACGAGGTTGGCGGTGTTTTGGATGGATAGGTCGACGCCGATTTTGTCTAGGACGAAGTTATCGAGATTTGTGCCGGGGATGTCGGCGAGTTCTTGAGGGGCATTGATGTAACGGGTGTCGAGACGGAGGAAGTAGAGGGAATTGAGCCAATTGTTGTTGACGTTTGTTTGGCCGATGAAGGTGGAGATTACGATCAAGACGGCTGTGGCGGCGGTTGCCAGTAACGGCACGGAAACGCAGACTGCACGTGCAGCTCTACCCATTGTTTCTTTTATTTTATTTTATTTTATGATGCGAAGATTGCAATGATTATGGTGATAATGGGAAGAGGAGGTTGGGAGAGGTGGTGGTGGTAGTGGTGTTTCACAGGACGTAGGTATACACACGATCTGTCTACAACCTCAGAAGTACTAGTTTAGATACTTCGATACCTTTTCTTCACAAGTTCGATATAAAAGTAGAATAGATAAAATAGAATGAGAAAGAGAGAAAAGTAAATTCATTCATGCAGGACGGATAGTGTGTGGACCACCCAGCTTATATAAACCATTCATACCATATCATATCATACCATATGATAGTATCTACATTCATTCAGCTCGCACAGCCGGCGTGTCAGTTAGAGATCTTTAACCCTGTTCAATGCTGGTCAACAGACAGGCCATACACACATACTTCATACTTCACGCTGGTACTCGAATACCTGTCAGCCTCACCGAAAGAGAGAAAGAAAGAAAGAAAAAGAAAGAAAAAGAAAAAGTAAAAGAGTAGACGGAACATTCCCTGCGGTCAAAACTGCGCAGTCTCAGGAAGTACCCGTTACATCAGACGTATTGCAATTGAAAAGGGCCAAGGAAGACCGACAGAAAGGTTCTGTCTGCTAATAATAGTTTTTGCACACTTTGCTTTGCCCCCGGGAAAGCTTCGAAAAGGGAACGTACTCGATCGGGGCTGAGCCACCACCACCCACCACACTTTGAACATCAGTCAATACTACCATCATCAAGATCAGGCATGGGCGTGGCCATGGTTAGTAGTAGATCCACCCTTGTAGGTATTATTATGTCTCGAAGGAAAGGGAAGAAAGGATCATACAGACGGTTTCCCTTGGCATGCTTACTATTTGTCACTTTTTTCCCGTCTCTACAGACATAACTCTAATTCTGCTATGGAAGTAGACGAGGAAGAAGATAAGATGCCCAGATTGCGGCTGATTAGATTAATTCTCGGCTCTCAATCGTGCATCTATCTACCTTACATACTTACATACTTGCATACATATATCTACCGTTTGTGTAGTCAAAAGGGAAGTGAAAGAGAGAGAGAGAGAGAAGTGGGTAATCACCATGACGAGCTTCACAAAAAACCCACCCATGCAAAAGTATCCAAAGTTACACTAGTGCAGCTGTACTTTTACCCCGTCTCGCACGGATTATACACATACAAGTATAGTATTATATAGTATATAGTATACAGAGTATGTAGTATGTAAGCTTAGTTTAGTTTTGGTCGAGCTCAAGCTGCCGTGCTCGCTCACCACTTAGCTTAGGCAGATACCCCACGACCACCATCAACTATCCATGCATCACGTACGAACACACACATACCGTACATTCGAAAGAGACGGAAAAAAAAAAAAAAAAAAAGTAAAGACAAAGACTGACTGCAAGTTTATTCCATTTCGAGTATAATTCTTTCCTTCCTTCTGCATCCAGGGGATGACTGGGGAGGGTCAGTGTGTATGTACATGTAGGTGAGGATGATATGAGATGAAATGATACACTCTCTCTTTTCTCCTCCACAATTGCACAAGGCTGTTTTCTACTTTCTTTCCTTCCTTCCTTCCTTCCTCCATGCATGAAAAGATAAAATAAAAATAAAAATAAAAATAAAATAAAAAACGGGAGAGGACGTATGTATGTCTCTTAGATCCCGACGGAATACTCCCCTTCCACTTGGTTCACCATCCGATTCATAGAAACTCGCTTGTCCTTTCTCGAATTTACCACCTAAAACACACCCAAATAAAATTCCGTTTTCATATGGCTCTGTCTGTACTTGTACCGTCATCACGTAACATTGCATTCCACACACAAAAAACCATCTCAAACACTCAAATCCCCCATATATTAAAATCAATTCTATGAAACAATATATGTCCCTTTTCCTTAGGATTTTAATCTTCTGTTCGCTATCGTCCCCAAATTTATCGTCATCGAAGGAAGAATGTGGGTTGAAAGAGAGAGAAGGGTAACTTACGTACTCCCCCCGCGGCGCAGATGTCGCCAACGCTAAACAGTTTCGCCCCCTTCAAATTCTATTAATTGCAAATCCAATGCGACACCACTCCTCCTAACTAACTAACTAATCATATCTCTCTAAGTAGTTAAGGCTCCGAATCGCGCAAAGCCAGTTAACTTGATTGATTACCCATATGTAATATAAATGATTCTGACTATGAGACAAATCCACGGGCTTAGCTAGAAATAATTGCCTTGCCGCGGATATCTACATACCTAGGTATATATACCAAGATCTTCTCGGGATTGCGTATTCACACTAGTCTACCTAAAAGTTAACATGCACTGCGGCCGGCGCAAGACATCGTTATGAATATAAGATTTAGCCTAATATATATAAAATATATAGCGATAGTACATTCCATCAAGCTTCTAGCCAGCTAGCTTCACACGTTATCGATCTAGCTGTGCCATGCAGATCATCCATTATATATATGTAAAGGATCAATCGAGTGTAACAATGTAAAGGAATATGGAAATATAGAAAAAGCCACTTTAATATACTAAACGAATAAATGTATATCGCTTTTGTTCTTAGGAGAATAAGAATAAGAATAAGAAGAAGAAGAAGAAAAAGGTAAAATACGAAAAATAAACAAGTCAGAACCAAAAAAAACACCCTCCCCATTCGCCTGATCATAGTTAATCCCAAAAACTAGCAAAAACAATTCAGAAAGGAAAAAAAGAAAGAAACATCGCGAAGGAGAGCAAAGCATGATCGTGAAAAACCCCCCGTGCTCAAAAAGAAAAGAAAAGAAAAGAAACACCGCCGAAAGTAACAATGGTAGGTGCGGTCCGTGTGATCACTTCCCACTCAACTGCCTCCCCAAACTCCCCATCGCCTCTCGCCACCCCATCCCCTCCCCGCCGACAACCCTCTCCAAATACTCATCCAACTTCCATCCACTCATCCCCTCTCCATAAACAGCTTCAGCTCTAATCCCAACTTCCCTCATAATATCTTCTCCACTGACGGAAAACCTCACTCTGACCTTCGCTTTCCTCTCCATCACCAACATATCAGCCATAAACACCATCCACCCATTCTCAAAACTAATAGTACTAGGATACGGTCCCGCAATCTTTCCCATCTCTTCCAATAAACCAGAAGCTCTGTCCCATCGTTCGGAGATGTGCTTCAACATATCCTTAAACTTTTTGAACCCTGCTTCTCGGGCTGATGTTTGAATAGCCCCGATGAAAAACTTTTGCTGCGGAGTCGGAGCAGTCGTATTCAGCAACGTCAGCTCCACGGGAGACTCCTTGTTATCCGGCCGTTGGGCATTAAACCTAACCGCCAAAGCTTTCTTGTAAACCATCTCGAGGAAACAAGGACTTTCGGCTTTCTTCACCATCCACCCAGTCTTCTCCTCAAGCTGACGAACGCGATCTAACACAGCCATCACCTATTAGTAAAGTCACCGTTGACGTAGATACCATTTTGAAATAGGAAACTTACCGATACTACCAACAACCTCCTCCTCCGTGTATCCTTTGTTTGCTTCTGCAACCCTTTCTGCACTTTCAATAGCACTCAGACATGTTTCCCTTCTCTCCTCCCGCCCTCTAACCTCCCCTTCAAGTTCCTCACTAACACCATTCAATCTCTCCAACTCCTTCTTTTTCTCCTCCAACCTCTTTTTCGCATTCTTCAAGGCTTCTCTCTTCTCCTCAAGCTCTTTAGGATCACATCCTTCAATTTCTTCCTTCCGAATCTTCAGAACCTCAAGCTTCTCTTCTAACTCGTTCTTCTTCTCTTCTAACCCAGGCCCCAACTTGTCCACAACCTCCCTCCACTTCTTCAAACCCCCTTCGTCAACCTTCAATGATTCCAAATTCTCAAGAGCCTTAGATTTGATAGTCTCCTGCAACCCCTGACGCCAGGTATACCAATCACCCCTAGCCTCCAACCTCGAACTACTCTTGATATTCTTGAACTGTAAATCCATCACCGCTCGCACATCGGGCGGTGCCAAGAGATACTCTCTGAACAACCGTGGGTTCTCTTCGAGTACCATCTTCTCGATCTGCTTGAACATTTCTTTCCCCTCCTTATTAGAGCGTTTCAACTCTCGTTGTAACTATTGCAATCATAAAATCAGTAACCCCTCTTAGACCCATTATCATATACAAAAACTAGAAGTAAACTCACATGTTCATAAAGCTCTAAGAAAGGTCGAATAGTCAACTGACCGTTAATTTGATCACCAATTGAAACTTCCTCATCGTTCATTTCAACCCCTAGCCCCAGGATTGCGCCGGTTTGCCGTCGATGCTTCGTAGATGTAATCCCGTCCAAAAAAGAAATTCCAATCATAGAAAGAAATTCTTTCATAGGCATATTCGGAACATCGGCTTCGTCTTCTTCCTGGTTATCAAGGTCCATCGCGGAGTCACTGTCGACCTGAGGTGGTGGCGCAGACTTAGCGGGAGTAATGACAGCCCTCGATGGTCCAAATACATCTTCGTCCTTCTTCTTCTCTTTCGGGGCCTCCTGGACCTCAAACCTAACGGAAGGTTTCTCAGCAGCAGGCGTCGTAGCAGGAACCGGAGTAGGTTGCTCTTCCAAGCTCCTCCTCTTCTTCCTAGCCGGGCTCCCCGAAGGGCCGGGCTCCAAACTAGAAGCTTCCGCAGCTGCAGCCATCAAATCACCCTTAACGGCGTCAAACGACCGCTTATGCCTTCCCACCGATCCAGCGGAAATCAAGTCTAAACCTTTCTTAGGCGTCATTCTCTCCAACATCTCTTTGATCCCCTTAGCGCCTTTGACGCCCTCGGGGCTTTCAAACATAGCAGCGGCAGCACCTTCCTTCTTCTCGTCCTTCAAATCTTTAAGAAGCTGAGAAAGTGGTCGTACTCCTGGTGAGAACGGCTGTACTTCTGAAGTAGCAATTGGCTTCCTTGCACTCAGTATCTTTCGAACGGATGGCGACCCCATCCCTGGTTTGGAGATACCGACACCGGTAGGCCCCCGAGTACTAGGGGACTGAGCGTTCATGTTCATATTGGTGAGGTGGACGCCAGGCGAAATGATACCTGCGATACGTCGTTTGGCGGAGAGGCCATGGTCGAGAACGGCGACCTTGCCAGTACCAGCAAGAGCAGTAGCTTTGGGGGTCGGTGTCCCTTGCTGTGGAGTCCTAAGACTACGTCTCGGAGTTGCGGTCTTCGGAGTCATCTTTGGGGTGGTCGTAGCCTTTGGTGTAGGCTTAGTTGTGGATTTCTTCGTTGAATTGGTGATCTTTGGAGTTTTGGACGCGGCCTTCGGGGTCGAAACCTCGGCTTCAACTTCGACCGGGGCAACAGGCTCGGGCGCCACAACCGGCTCGGCTTCAACAGGGTTTTCGTCCTGTGGAGTCGTAGTCTTTGACCTTAGAGACCTCCCTAAAGACTTCGGAGTAGCCTCTTTGCTCTTCTGGGGCGTTGCAGAACCCTTTGGCCGTCCCCGCTTCGGCGTTTCTGCGGCCGGTGGAGTGCTGGTGACGCTAGCAGACCTTGCTCTTGCCTCTGCTACAAGCGCTGACAAAGAGGGATTAACATGCATTGTAACGGCTGTGAGATCTGCAGTCGGGCTTTGTGGTTCCTCGACTTCAGGGATGGTCGCAGTAGCCTCAAATCTTGCCTGTTCGATAATCCCGCCAATTGCAACAGTCATATCCATGTCCATACTTCTAGTAGTGTTTTCATCTTCTGGCTCTGACTGGCGCCGACTAGCAAGGACCCCCCCGATTACATTTGTCAACTCCATACTCATATCCTCGTCTCCGTCATCGCTAGCCTGACCAGGAGAAACTACAGACTTGATACCTCCGATAGCCCTTGTTAACTCCATAGTCTGTTCATCGTCGTCTTCGTCGGGGCTAAAACGTGGGAGCTTGGGGTATGCAATGGATTGTGTAATCGATTGCGTCCTAGCCGAGAGTAATCCAGGCCCGATAGCCCTTGTGATCTCCATCGTCATCTCCCCGTCATCAGTACCCTCACTAACAGTCGATAATCTTCGATTCGACAGAATTCCCGGGCCAATCGCTTGTGTGAATTCCATGGTCATATCGTCGTCCATCAAATCATGAGCACCTCTCGCTGGGGATGGGCTCGTGATAACTCCTCTTCCAACAACTCTTGTAATTTCCATCGTGGCTTCATCTTCATCTTCGTCCTGGCGCATAAGTTCTGCAGCGCGAGGAGCAGATGAGAACCCTCTTTCGGGATGACTAAGTCTCGGGTGATCATGACGTCGCCCCGAAAATGGCATTTCAGGGTTCGAATCTTGTGGTCGGGGTGGTGCAGAAGTAAAGTTGGTTTCTGGGTGACTGAGACGTGGGTGGTTGTGCTCGCGGGCGATCCAAGGTGTGAAAGTCGCAGTAACTTCATTTCCATCGACAATATCCATACCGTCGCTATCGTCATCATCATCATCGTCTGACGCATCCGTTCTAGCGGTAACCGAAGGCGAAACAACGGATATTAAACCAGTATCGTCCTCATCAGAGCTATCCTCGGGCGCCAAGACGCTCTCTGCATCGTCTGTCATCGCTGGGGACGAAAAAACAGAGCTTGGTGTCGGCGATCCCGTAAACTCTTCCGTTTGGTCAAATCTGGCCATTGGAGTCATCGGTTTTCTGTTTTCTTTCTTATGTTCTAATCTCGCGGATTCTGGCTCTGGAACCTCATGTTCCACCTGCTTCTCCGGGGTAGAAGGATGTTCCGCATCGCTAGATTCGGCTTCAGAAGATGCAGCGGTATCGTTATTTGCAGGTGTGGGTGTAGCGGCTGCTGCTGCCCTTGAGCTTGTAGCAGGCGTCTTGGTATTGTTGGTTTCATTCGATGGAGGCGTGTTTGAAATTCTCATCTCCTCCAAAACGTGCATAGTAACTTCCGGGTTAAAGCTAACACGACGGCCACCAAGCGACTTCCGACGATTTTCCCTGTGGCTCATAGCAGCAGATCGTTGTGCCTCACGCTGCTGTCGTGCCTGCTGTTGCTCTTTCTCTGTCTTCAATGGAACCATTATTGGTGGCGCAAGCACCTTAAGCTTGCTTTTACTATTGAACGACGGAATCTGTTGCAGTGGCGAAATAGGAATTGGTGGTTGGAGGATCGATTTTATAACCTATATTTCCATAATTTAGCTATATCCCGCCCTCAAGTCTTTATTTTAAAGATTTGATTCCGTACTTTCTCTTGTTTCTGGTCATCGACCGCGCTTTGGAGCTCGCCGGGTCCAAGCGACTTTGAACGCGACTTCTTCGATGCGCCAACTTTGCTTCCACCATTCTCCTTATTATCTTCGGTGGCAGGTTTCGACAACGACGAAGACGGTACAAAGGCAATTGACTTTCGGGAGCCCCGTTTACGGACTATTGGTTCAGGCATGATTTATTAATTAATAAGCCGTGAATGGTTCTGAATCTCTTTTCGTAGGAGGATATAGTATTAATGTTGTAAATTTCGGTATTAGGTGTAACTTGAATGTTTGGAGTGGTATCTTCAAGCTAACATTGCAGGGGGCAAGATGGTGTTTATATCGGCCCCGAAAGAAAACAAAAACGATTAGTCACCGTCGGGCGGGGTATCGTTGAAATCTTCCGATACCTTCTCGTAGTGGCAAAATGTACAGAAGATAAAAAGGTATGTGTGATGAAGCACACGACTGATGACGGAGTGGTGGGATGATCTTGAGGTGAAGGTGTGAGAGGTTGCTCCTGTCAACACATTTGGCCGGTTGCATCCCCAGAAGACGCGCTTTTTGTTGTTGTTTTGTTTACAAGATGTTCTTGTCACGCTAGTCCAGAATAGGATAGATAAGCGATTATCAACACATGTAGCTAAAAGCAACACAATTTGGTATTCATGTTTGACGTTGTTCAGATTACTATATTAGGAAGTAGCCCTAAGCCCTAAAACACCCTTTTCTCTCCAAGGGAAAATTATACCGCCAAAGCCAAACACCTCGAAAATACCCATCGACACACTAGAATCCGACGACACCACCCGCAAACTCCGACGACACCGACCATCCCTCCCCGTCGACACCTTCAATCTGCAATAATGGCTACCGAATTAACCGTCCAGTCGGAACGTGCGTTCCAGAAGCAACCACATATCTTCCTCGCCCACAAGGCATCCTCGCAGAAGAAGAAGGCAGGAAAGGGCCGAAGATGGTACAAGAGCGTTGGATTGGGCTTCAAGACCCCAAAGGCCGCCATTGAGGGTGGTTACATTGGTACGACTATTACTCCGCGACATAGAAGATTTTTCCAAGGGGAATATGTGATTTGAAGAGGAAGACGAGGAAGAGCAAGATAAGAAAGACATGGAGGAAACCCGACAAACTTCGACGAAATGGTCGCGAATCGATGGGATATCGAAGAAGCAAAGAAAATGCTAGGAAGAGAATAGGCTGGCTGACAGTGTCATTTTTCGGCGAAATTATAGACAAGAAGTGCCCTTTCACTGGTCAGATCTCCATCCGTGGACGTATCCTCTCCGGAACTGTCATCTCCACCAAGATGCACCGATCCCTCGTCATCCGTCGACCATACCTCCACTTCATCCCCAAGTACAACCGTTATGAGAAGAGACATCACAACGTACCGGCCCACGTTTCGCCGGCTTTCCGTGTTGAGGATGGCGACTATGTTACCATTGGACAATGCAGGCCATTGAGCAAGACTGTACGTTTTTTCCCACCATAACCTTTTATCAAAAATCGCGAAAAACGACTCTTTACAATAGCGAAAACCATATCAAAAGGATGTGATAGCTAACAACGATATTTCTGAGTTATATAGGTCCGCTTCAACGTCCTCCGAGTACAGAGCAAGAAGGCCAAGGGCTCCAAGCAATTCTCGAAGTTCTAAATGACCAAGCAAAAAAATCAAAAGCCCATTCATCCTTTTGCTTTTTTTATTATAACTTTTACGGGAATTCTGTTACACTGTTACATTTAATGGCGTCGTCGAGAACCTTTTCCTTCCGCTTTCTTCTTTGTCCTTTTTACTCGTAATATATATCTACATACCTCTACCAATTTTTTCCTCTCACGCCGTCGTCACTTCAGATTCAGACATCAGACTCTCTCACTCACGCTTTGTGTATACACACCATCACCATCCTCAGCCCGTCGCCGTCGCCGAACGAATTCGTGTTTTTTTTGCGCCCTTTGTCATGATACCAGGACGACAAAAGAACAACGAAACCAACAAGTCACGATTTGGTTTTGCTGAATAACTGTCGGGAGGTTACAGGGTTTTATATAGACGACCTCTCGTGTATGTTTCTTAGCCGAATTCACATCAGTCAGCAAAAACCATACTATCGTGTTCTTGAAGCTCCGTAAACGATACCCTTAAGTGACGGGACAAAAGAAGCGCCCCATTCGGAGCTCATATATCATATCTGAACATACCATAACATAGAATGTAAAACGTAAAAAACCATCATGAATAAGGAGGGTATCATAACATCTAAAGAACCAGAAGACACTATATAATAACCATAAAACCCAGGTGTAATACCAATTAACACGATCTTGACATCTAATCTCGAAGACATAAGACCGATTTTTATGCATGTTAACTATCATCCAATTCCACAAAAATTGAGAAACTCCTGCGACGGGTCAAAACCTTCCCCACGTTTATTATCCCTAAACCTCCATCCCATCATCCCCATCACTGGCCCTCCCAATCTCCTCAACCTCAATCCTAGAGATATCAACCCCCATAACAACCACCAATCCCAAGTACCTAGACGTCAAATCAACTTTCCTCCCCATATCCTCCAACTTAAACTTCGGAATCCGGTATTCGTGTGTTCTTGCGAGTATTAAATTTGCATCCTTCATAAAATAAAAAATATAAAAAAAATAAAATCCCATATCAGCGTTCTATATTCCCCATTATACAGCTAAAAGAAAGGATTCAAAGAATGTTATAAATACGCGATCAGTACACTTCAACTCCCCAACAAACATCCTAGTATCATTCGTAGTTACTCGTAGAGTCTTGGTGATGAAGGAGTGGAGAAGGGCGTCGGGTTGTACTGCAGTTTCCATTGTTTTTGAGTTTTTCCTTTTTGCTTTTTACCCGGCGGTAAAGGGTAGAAAAGAGGTGAGAATGGGAGTGTGTTAAGTCTTGTAGTATTGTCGACTCGACTCGAGGATTCTTAGGCGTTCGCGGATCCGGTCTTCAGATCCTATGAAGCTTGGCTGGAAGGGTTTTTGGTCCTTATATCGTAGCTATAAGCTCTTGATGTCAAGGTGTGTGGTATTTTTGGTGGGGCAACGCAGTTGACTAGTTTCGTCTCTATTTATAGGTGAATATTAATCTCGGAGCCAGAGGGTGAATATGAAAAAGTTGGTAACGAAGAGTTTGAGAATCCCCAGAGTCTAGTGGAATAGGTTACATACTCTGTCTGGCACGGGGTCTGTTTACTTAAGCAAACCCCTTTCTGTAATTGTTGCTATCAAAAGTGGATTGAAATAGAAGTCGAAGAATTGAGGAAGCAGAATAAAAGTGTATGCTACTCCCTCTATGGCTACTAAAAGGATAATATACAAAAGGATAATATAAAAACGAATAGCTCCCCCATGAAAGCTCAATCAAAGAGCATAAAATCGCTCGAACAATCCCACAGTGCAAATGATAGATATGCAAAATGGGTATCTGACAAATAAGAGAAAATCAAAAGTGAGGGGAGGACAGAAAATCAAACGCCGATGTAAATGCAAACGAAAAGTGCGAGTTTCAAACACGCAACCTGATAGGAAATCATACTAAGCACAAGATCGCGCCGTATTATCAATACGTTGCCAACAGTATTATAGACTAGTGCAAATCAGATTCTGAGTCAGAAAGACCAGCAAACCACTTCTCCTGTAGCTGGTCTAACATAGCACGGACTTTACCCTGGTTCCCTGGCAGCCCCTTCGCAAGGTCTGCGTGTGAAATATTCAGGTCCTGGCGCACACCCTCTTTGCTAGAAGCGATGGCGGCGTTAGCCCGCTATCTATGTCAGTAACCAAAAACTTAATCTCGGATAGTCGGGGTGGGCTAACCGCCTACCTGAATAAGAGTCCCCATAACCTGCTCCGCCCCATCGATCTTCAAGACTTTAGGTCCTCGAATCATCGGCGACACTGCAGAACCAGCTTTGACTGGTGAAAAGGAAATTTGGTCTGCTTTTCGCTTGCTAGTGTTCGGAGAACTACGCGATGCTCCGGGATATCCGAGCTGGGATGAAGAAATCGCTATTGGTGTGACTTGGACCACTTGATCTGGTTGTGGTTCCCGGCGGCGTGGAGTCTGGTGTCGAAGATTTGGCGAGGATTGGGTTTGGTAGACCTGGACTTCGCATTCTTCTTCCTCCCCTTCCTCTTGACCCCCCTTTTCGTCGTCGTACTCTTCATCACCTTCCACTTCTTTACCTCCCTCCTCTTCCTCCCCCTCTTCCTCCCCCTCCTCTCCACCTTCTTTCTCACTCTCTTCGCTCTCTTCGCCTTCTCCCTTTTCATTTTCAATCCGTTCTCCTTTGTGGGCCGGCTTCATCTCTTCCATTTCATCATTCTCATCACCGGTCTGGTGTCTAGCCTCAGCAGTATTTTTAGTCGCTGTAAACCGTTTTTGGTACGTATTATCAGCAAGGTCGTCATCTCCATCCGGCGAAGAAGGTAAAGGAACCCCCACAATCCTCTTTACAGGTGGCGTATATTTTTCGGCCACCAATCTGCGCAAAGAAGGCACAGGTGTATTTGTCTTCACCAGAGCACTTTTAACCTTCTTCGGAGTTTGTTCACGCCCCGATATTTTTGGTGACTGCATTGATGACGCAGGGGGCGGATTACCATCCAGAAGAGATTCGGCGTCAGAGTTCTCAGACACCTCGTTCCGCCGATCAAATGGATCTATTAGTTTGGAGCGTGGGGTTGATTCCCAGCCGTCAACTGGCGCGTCGTCAGAGTCATCTTCGACAGATTGGTTTGTGAGTGTAAAGACATGTTGTTCGCCAGGGACTAGGTTTTTCGGTTGATTAACTGTTGTCAAGTCCGCCGTTTCCTTTCTTTTCTGGTTTGCTTGAGTACCCGGCTGTGTTGACGTTTCAATAGTAGAGTTGTAGGGTTCGAAATCTTCTGGAAATCTACAAGTAGGGGCACCAATATCCTTTGGCTCAAGATTCGGTATCGCTCGCATGTGTTTCTGAAGTTCCTTCCTTGGAAGCGGCCAGAGGGCTAAAACAAATACACCTAAGCATGATATATTACTTCCTAGATATTACAGGGGTTGAGACGCTTACCAGTGTGCTTTGATAGTTCCCTCGCTTGGTCTTCAGGGACTTGAGTTCTTTCAGGTAAAATCTAATATTTATTAGTTATATGAATGTAAATGACAGAGGACGGAAAACATATATCGGTTTACCTTATCTTGATCCTTTTCGTTTTGGATAAGCTGGAGCATCGTATTAAGCCTAGTTAAGAGATCCTCGGGCTGCGGCGGTTCCGTCATTTCAGTGTCCGGCCGACTAGCTTCCCGCGCCTCAGGAAGACTAGCCATTCTAGGGACAGTATCCGACGGTTCAGCCTTAATAACGATGGGAGGGCTGTGTGATGACAATTGCGGGGAAACAGATTTCTCCGTCTCCATTGCTTGGAGTTGTGGCATCATTTTCCGAGGTTGGGGATGCTGTAGGCCGGTGGGAGGTTGTTCGTATTCACTACCAAATGGAGCCGGCGGGGCAGACCCGTTTCTCTTCTCAAAACCGGCAGGGGTTCTTCGTCCATACTCAGGCGTGGATTGCTTGGGATCATCCTGGGCTGAGGTTTTTCGAGTCGACGTTTCTCCAACTTCCTTCCTTGAGAGCCTCAGAGTTCCCTTTTCAGGTAATGGCGGAGTCGGATCCAGAACAATAGGTGATCTAGATACCGGAGTGGGGGCGGAGATTTGGGGAGAATGGCTATCATTTAGTCCTGGATGAGACAGCCTATCGTGTGCCTTGCGTTTAGCTGAGGATCCATTCTGTGTAAGTTTCATGCCAGATCTCGCCCTAGGGGCTTCCAACAACGCCGGCATAGAACGCCTAGCACTCAATCTACCCATCTTGCTTTGTAGCCCATTTGATGAATCTTGATATTGTGATGCCATATGCACAGTAACACCTTCCATTGGATCCCCATCGAGAGGAGGAGGAGAAACTCTATTCATAGGGGTTCTAGCATCTTCCTGGCTACGCAAGGATTTCGAACTCGCCTTCTTTGTTAACTGGGGGAAAGATTTGTCTTCTGGTACCTTTCGATGAGAGGCTGGAATGGCAAGAGAACTATGTGGGCGTGATTGGTTTCCTGGAACGGCAACAGGGCTTCCAGAGGCCTTCTGGGCAGCCTCGATGGCTTGCTGCTTCTTGATCTTAGTAAGAGCTGCTTGCAGCTTTTCCCGACCAGATAAATCCACCACCCGAGGAGAGGGGACCATGATGCTGGATTCTCTGTGAGGCGCCTCTAGACGAGGTTGTTCTGCGGGCTTCTTTGCTTTCTGAATAGGTTCCTCCTTTTTGTTCTTCCTCAGTTCTGAAGGACGTGAGGAGCGAACACCCGACGCTTGTGGCTTAACACGGGTAATCTCAACCTTCGCCAAAATCTTCATAGCATAAAAATCCGAAATATGTCTATAGACGGATGAGGTATCTCCCCCAGTTTCGAAATCGCCTTGCTGTGCCCTTACATAAAGGGTACGCATGATTTCACTGAAATTATCGCATTCCACTGGATCTAAATCATATCGGAACCTTGCTATTCTTTTCTCTAGATCCAGATTCTCTCGGTATTCTTTCTCATGTCTAGTTTTGGAAACATGACGAACTGACGGGAATTGGGTTGCAAACTGAGGGGTGCCTGTCGTCGTCTCCTGGGATTGGAAGGTGATTTCGGGGTCTTCCTCAGGGGAGTTTGAGTAACCTTGGTTCTGAAGGGGACGGTTGGTGCCTGGTATTCTTAGAACAGGGGTTTGTGGTTTGTTCTTCAATAACAATTGGAGGTCCCTGTACGCCTGCCGGATCTCGAAAAGCCCTCCAATTGGCCCCTCGGTATGATATATGGGCTCAAAGACATTCCTCCGTGCCCTTCTCACGGCTGTTTTGATTTTGCCTTCAGTTTGAAGTCGCTTTAAGAAGGTAGTCTTTATGCTTGGAAGTTTCTGGAACTGTCTAGGGCTGATAGATTGTGAAAACCTGTACCAGGCTATTTCGCCATACCATATTCCAGCAACTTCTTCGATTATTTCGGTAGACCAAAGATCCAACCCAGGAATCCGTATGGGCAGGACTGGGAATTGGTTCACAATGTCCATGAGCTTCCAGTTATCTTCGATTGACGGTGGGGAGATATCATGTTTGGATTCTGCTGTCGGAATTATTTTTGAAATCTCGATCTCAAGGAGTAGTCCATCTGCTGGCAAAAAATTATTCTCCCATCGGTAAGTACCTATGGAAGCAGCGATCGATGGATATTTCAAAGACTTCGGGCGTTTCGGTCCTTGTCTAATACTTCTGGCGAGACTTAATTGGTCATTTCTTGTAAGACCCTCTTCCCAGCTTTTAGAACAGGAGCCTGGGAAGCGAAAAATATATCGTCTAATCTGGAAGACCGCGCCGGTTTTGATAAGGGCTGGATGAGCAGTCCAACTGCTGCAAACTTTGAACAAGGCTGGGATTGAAACATGGCCGTCGGTGACAACAGCATTGAACGGTTTTTCAGGATCGACTTCAGAGGTTAACTGTGAGAGTATCGTCAGCTAAGTCGAAACTTTCGTTTGATTGCTTTGTTGCTGGCACAGGTGGATTATCTCTCTCCTACTTGAACAATTTGAACGTAATGCTTCGTTTCCCTGAGTGGAGACTGAATATGACGAGGAGGGCTCCAGTCTATTGGTGCAACGAGAGTATCGTCATAGGAGAGCTTGCAGTGTTCTGGTTTCGGTATGGATTCTAGAATGGGTTTGGATTTCGGGTCTGATTTCAGTTGGGCCTGGTATTCAGCTTTGGCTGCAGCCTTTAATCTCCAGTATTTCGATATTTTGCGGGACCTGTTGATTTGGGCTGAGTTCCGTTGATTTCGAAGCTGTTGGCTAGCTTCTTCGAGCCGTTGAAGCTCAGCTTCGAGGTCCGGTTTGATCCATTCGTGAAGGAGATTCATCGTGGGAAGGTTGGAAGGATATTGTATCGAGTAGTGAGGTAGTAGGAGAAGGAGAAGGAGGGAGAGTCAAGTTCATAGTGATATCTGAACAGCCATGGACAGTCAAAAGCACTTAGCAGGCACTGTGTTACATTTGAAAAAGGTGTTGGTAGTGGTTACCTAAGTAACTAGATGGTGATAGCTGAATTGTGTGGGAAACACGCGACGCGGCAGACTAATTTGATCAATCCATCTCCAAATTCGCCTCGGTCACGCCCCCAGTCAGTTACCTAGCGAACTTGTAGTCCCGGTCGGTCGGTCGATCGGTCGGCCGGCCGTTGTCAGTGCGGCGGGGCAACACCACACATTATTACATAGCGCACACTCACTCTATCGATAAGGCCCCAACTTCCATGCCACAGGCCCAGACGGTTACAGTGCAGACCTCAGTATCCATCACTACCGACATGGATACATGGTATGAGGCATATATCTAACGTATAGTATGTATAAGCAAGTAAACGCATCTACCCGCATAATGCGCGACCGCCCGTCGGATTCGGATGGGGCCCGCGCTCAGGTACGGTACATTACAGAGCAGGTACTGCATTAATCCGCTTGTGCTTGAACATCCTGCTTGCTGCTACTGCTGCTGCTTGCCGGGGCCCATGTCATCCTCGTTAGATGGGATGGATGGATGATGCAGGATGTGCCCTTGCCAAGACCTCTGACTTCTGTCGTCAGCCAGCATGAGCTGTTCTTGTTTGTCGAAACCATTTATCCTTTGACTGTACTCAGAACCAAATTAAATCCCAATCATCACCATCATCACCATCATCACTACCGCCACCATCCAATACACTACAATATCGACTATCAGGCTCAGATAATGTCCTAGAGGGAGCGCTGTGGCCGGCTATTTCGATATCTCCGACTAGCTTTCTTTGTTCTTCTACCATATTTCTCTGTCCTGACAAATACCACCCATATGTTACTTAGCTATCAGTACTAGGAGCTAGCTAGCTGCTTGCCCTTACATCAGTCGCCACAGGATATCACCGCCATCTTGGTATAGCTAGCTTCAACATTCCATGTCTTCAAAACCGAGGAAATCCCGTGAAACCAGTGCGTTAGGTCAGGGTTAGCTAATCCTTCGTCTGCCACGCATATCTTTCCCCTCGTACCTGTTCTTCCTCTTCCTCTTTTTCTTTTTCTTTTTCTTGTTTCTCTTCCTTCTTTTTTGTAGGCTTTTCGTTTCGTTTCGTCCATCCCGAGTTACGCTAGACCAGCTGGGTGACTGACCTTGTGAAACGGGGATCGCCTATCTTTTCTTCGCCGACCAAGCTTATAGAACAATACTATGGACCGTACCAGCCAGCGTCGCCCGTCACTAGATAGTATATCTTCAGTCCTTACGCCTTCGCAGCCGATAGACCCAGCCGTTCTCGATGATATCCATGCCGTCGCTGCGAATTCCCCCACTTTGACCAGCTTTTCCCTTACTCCCTCTCGGAAGAAGATTACCGTTCCCGAACAGACAGGTCTAAATCGCATATATAGCTTGGTTAAAGGAGTTGTCGGGAGCAGTAAGGATGGCCCCGATTCCCCCTCACGGAAGTCAAGGCATGAATATGCCGGTAAGAACGACGATGCTGCCAGTATTCGGTCTGGTTATTCGCATATCGAAGCTACTAGTGATCTCCCACAGCTAGTATCCCCGACCTTTGCTACGAATCCGTCAAAACCGGCCGAGTTCAGTCCCATGAGTCCTTTCCAGGAGCTTATATCGCCTATAAAAGGTCCGACTCGTAAAACTGCTATGGTTGAACGGGCGGCAACTAGGACGCCACAACCTGAGGAGCGGGGTCGTCCCGTTCGGGAGAAACTTTATAGCGACCTTAGTCGGGCCAATAGCACCAGGTCGCTAAATTCGACGGGACAAAGAACACCGGCGTCTGCGAATTTTCCTCGTATTGGGACACCATATCAGACACAGGCTCCTTTTGAAAATGCAGACTCTCCGGCTGAATTTGGGGACGAGCAGGATTACGGCTCTTTCGCAACGTCCTTAAACGAAGGGTCCGCCGTTTTGGTAGATGCGCAAAATCGACAGGGCCACTCTCGGAGAGAGAGCTTGATGAGCGTAGCATCCGGACAATATGATCCACTAGGAAACAAAAGAGTCGACATCGATCTGGATAATGTTGAGGAACAAAATGATCCGGATAACGATAAGGCTAGTGAAATATCAACCGACGATGATGATGATGTTATTGAGATGGGAGGCTATCTGGGGAAGGTCTCAGGATTGGGGAAAGCGCTCAATGATAAGAATCTAGAGCTAGCAGCACCCAAAGCTGAACCTGTGACGTCAAATACTACAGTCTCTGCAAAAGAGGGACGTAGAACATCTACATCCACATCTGCAATACAATCTCCAATCGTTGCAAGCTTTTCACCAAGCGCATCACGACATCAATACCGGGCGTCCATGGATAAAACGATGGAAATCCCCACCGAAGATTTATTAGACAGAGATGTCATCGCAGAACCTCTTCCTCACCATCCTTCCCTAAAATCACCACTACTCGCCGCGGAAGAGGTTCCACAAGAGGACATTTACCTTGTCAAAGATACCGACTCTCAGGTTAAACCAAGCGCTAGCAGTCTCCTCGCCGCGGCTATCCTAGACACCGACGAGACTGTTAGAATCCGGAAACCCAGGTTAAAAACTACCACCCAGCACGGCCTCCTTCAACGGGGGTCGTCTTCGTCGTCTGTCGCAACCGGAACAACTACAACTGGTAGGGGAGACCAAGGGACCGTTGAAATGTCCCGAGCTGTCGGAAACGATACCTTCCCGACAACCGTACAAGGATCATCCAATCTTTTCCAGAACGAGGCCAAAGTCGGTGCGACCCTCAGGCAGCTTCGACAAGGGAAAGGTTTATCTAGAGACTTTTGGATGAAGGACGAGAACTGTAAGGAATGCTTTATTTGCCAAAGACCTTTCACCACATTCAGGCGAAAGCACCATTGCCGTAAGTAAATCAATAAGCAGCCCGATGGTTACAATCTTAATACTAACATATTCCAGGAACATGTGGTCAAATATTTTGCTCGAAATGCACTACCACTGTCGAAGGTGATAAATTCGGCCACAGTGGCGGTATGAGGGTCTGCATTAATCCATGCCTTCAGATTCTCGAGAACTATCAAGATGACGATAGTTCCGGCACTGAAGCCAACTACTCATTCAAGCCCAGTCGCCGGGTTCCTTCGGGTAATGCCCCAAAGACTCCAAAAGGCGGCCGTCCAAAGTCCGGGGTATTCGATCCACAAACCAACACTCCTAGGAAGAGGCCGAATAGGATTGGCACCAAGCAAGGAGCTGCCCTGGACTATGACTCTGGAGCACTGACTCCGAGCCGTCCGAGCAGTGCACGATCTATGCGGAGACCTGTCAGTTCTTACAACCTTTTCCAGCAGGTCCAGGCTCCCGGAACACCCACCGGCCGGAGTCAACACTCAAAGTCGACGGCCAGATGGTCTATCTTTGGTCAAGTTCCGAGTCCTGAGTCTAACGCTTCAGAAGATCATCGAGCCCCCTTCCAAGGTCCATCAAATGAAATACTCAAAAACTCAATTGCGAAAGATAGTATCATTGACCCCGAGCTCGCCCCATACATGAGCGACGAGGATGCTGATGGTGAGGATGAACCGATGGGAATCTTTGCTACTATCGCTCCGAAATTCCAAAGCCCCCAGGAGGATGACATGATGAAACAGATTACCGCCAATACAAATGCATTATCAACCTTACCAACGGACAATAACGGGACCCCTGGGGAAGTCAAGACTATCAGGCCTCCGACTCGTCACAAGAAAACTGTGTCGATATCCGCTATTCTACCGCCTTCTAGTTCTCGATCACACGGTATATCCGCTCCATTGCAAGCCCAGTTCCAAGGACACCGAAGACGTAAGTCCGGGTATAGCATGGGCCCACAGACTCCAGTCGTTTCACAAAATTACCTTGCACTCCTTCAAAAATCTAGTCACAAGTCTCTCCTCACTCCGGGGAGCAGGAATTCCTTCGGTGCACTTCTAGGAAATATTCCAGTCGACTACGGGTTCCTTAAGCAATTGAAACCAAAGGCCGAACTGAATACACCTTCTACCCAGCATGTTAAACGACTTCTCCATCAGATGCTCGCGGCCGCCAAGATCGACAACGTTAAGGCTTGGGAAAATGCGTTGTTGCCCGCCATCTTCAAATGCACGGATGAAGTTAAATCGGATGTTCGAAATGGGGAGTCTATCGACTTGAGACACTTTTGCAAGATCAAGAGGATTCCAGGCGGAAAGCCGAGCGATACTCACTACGTTAGCGGTGTTGTTTTTGCCAAAAACCTTGCCCTCAAATCGATGCGAAGGACCATTTCGCACCCAAGGATTGTAGTTGTTGCATTCCCTGTCGAGTACCATCGGCACCAGGCTCACTTTATGAGTCTCGAGCCAGTTATCGCTCAAGAAAAAGATTATTTGAGAGCAATGGTTAACAGGATCCTTTCTTTGAAACCGAGCATCGTGCTTGTGGAGAGAGATGTTAGTGGACTAGCTCTTGAGTATCTTCGGGAACAAAACATCGCTGTTGCCATGCGAGTCAAACCAACAGTTATCGAAGCAGTTGCTCGGTGCGCACAAGCAGATATCATCATGTCGGCAGAAGAAACCACCTTTAGATCTCATCGCGTCGGGAAGTGCCTGTCGTTTGACGTCAAGACCTATGCGCATAAGGATATCGCAACCGCTACCAATCGAAGAACCTACATGTATTTCTCGGGGTGCAGGGCCGATCTTGGGTGTACTATTGTCCTCCGAGGTGCGAATGCATCGGTGCTAGCCAAGATCAAGCGAATCACAGAGTTCATGGTTTACGCCGTTTACAATATGAAACTGGAGACCACCCTGTTAGAGGAAGAAGGGGCTATCATTCCGGACTCCGTTGTCGAAGGGTCTTTAGAACGAAGTGGAACCCTGAAGCCTGATAAGTTGGCTGAAAGCCTGAGATTGAATGCAGATACGGCAGCCTGCGCTGATGTCACAGCTGAAGCAAGGGCTAACGGCAACGTTATTGCTGCTCAGATCTCAGAAGAGCCTGTTGCTATAGCTGATGAAAAGGCTAGCCTGAGGGAAATCGAGGAACCCAAACAAGAGGAGCCCCAGTCCAATGACAGCCCAGTCGAAAATGAAAAACCGAAGGCAATGACCCAATCTGGTACCCTGATTCCAGAGTCCACAGAGGATTACCCAGAGGACCTCCCGGCCCCTAACTACTATAGCGAGTATGTCAAAGAACACGAGAACAAAATTCTTTCGGTTTCACCATTCATCAAATTCGCGCAACCGCATCTTCTTATGAGAGCTCGTGACTTTGAGCGGCGTCTAGAGTTCCTCAAACGACAAATCAAGCAGCTTACCGGACCCGAACTGAATGTAGATGCAAACGGCGAGGTAAATGAGCCATTCGAATTGATCACCCCAGAGATGTTGCATGGACAAGTCGCTGGCAAAAGCCGCAAAATGAACGAACTAGTCCGTGCCGTCCACGAAGCTGAATATGACAAAGTCTTGTTTATCTACGAAACTCAAAAGAAGCAATGGGAAAACTATCTTGCGCAGAACGAGGATTTGTTTGACCCGCTTGAGCATCAGCGTATTGTCATGCTGTATAGTATGATAAGTACGGACACCTCAATCCCCTGCCGTGGGCCCGAGAACATCCTATTCGAGTATTACAACGATCAGGACGATGATGAAGAGGAATATACTCGAGACAGAGACTATTTTCGAGAGGCAGACTGTACTCTCGGGCAATACGTCCATGACTTAATCCACACGAGAGACTACCTCTGTGATACAGGCTGTGGAAAGCCAATGATGGAACACCACCGGTCCTATGTACATGGAGAAGCCAGAATCAGCGTTCAGGTTGAGGCATACCCGACACCAGTTAAGCCCGACACACCCGATGATATTCTAATGTGGAGTATCTGCAAGATCTGTGTCGATAAGACGCCGACGACACCAGTTCGCATGAGCGATTCAACATGGCGCTACTCCCTTGGCAAGTTTTTCGAGACTGGTTTCTGGAGCGTTGGACTGAAAACGCAAAAGGATGGGTGTATTCATGATCTTCATCGCGACCATATTCGTTATTTCGGGATGAATGACCATGCAGTCAAGATTGACTGGGCTCCTATCGCCCTAATGGAGGTCACCGTGCCACGACCGAAAGTTACCTGGAAGCCAGAACTTGATTTGAAGATGAAGAATGAGATTTATCTCAACATGAACAGCAAGATCAACAAATACTGGGACTCTGTTACCCAACGACTGGATAGCATCAACGTAGAAGCCGCCGTCGCAACCGAGAACATAGAGGCGTGCAAAGCCGAAATTGAGGCTCTTTTAATCAGGGCTGAGGAAGAACGAAGCTGGCTTGTGGCAAAGCTCCAAGAAAAATACACCGATTCGCGGTATTACGAAGTCATCCCTCTCAACCGAGCAATGCGAGCACTTCAAGAGCGAGTCTCCGATTGGGATAACGTATTTTCAGACTTCTACGAGAAATTCTTCCCGTCCGAGAAAGATATCGCGAGGATGGCTACTGCCCAGCTTCGGAAATTGTTCTTGGATAGGAGTTCGACCTCGAGTACCGTACATACCGACACTGAATCTACGACTACAGCGGATAAGGAGTCTATACAGTCCGTTATTATGGATGATGGGCCTGGAAGTTCTCCTACGAGTGTTCGGAGGCCATCGCAGATGAGTCCAGAAACTGCACAGGAGGTCTTGACGTCCGTAGTTGATGATAATACTAAAGGACCTTCGGAATCTTTGGTAGACTCTAGACAGAATAGTGTTTCGGAGCATATTGGGAATCAAGCGGATTCTACGGAACTCAAGGCTGAAAGTGAAGCAGAAAGGCCGGCGGAGTCTGGACGAGATGATTCTAGCTTGCATGGGACATCGCCAGAACTGCCTTCTAGCCCAGAGATGACGAGAGCGAATTCACTGTCTGCTAGCGTCCAGACTATCCCATCCGTCACCGATGAATCTTCGCATCCTGTTAGCCCTGCTAATAGCAGCCCGGTCCTTGAACGCTCGATGTCTAAATCGGTCGAGAATACGGATTCGCCAGCTACATCTTCAATGATAGGATCTCTTGAAAATAGTCAAAGGCTTGAAGAATCTAAAGGGCATGTGGAAGACAAAGATACGAAACAAGATAAAAGCCACAGCGACGACCATTCTGCCAGCGATCATACCCCGACAGCCGCGTCCGCTATACCCGTACCAGCCAAGCCTTTAAATCAAAGACGAAAAGGACCAAACCCTCTCCCACCCCCCGGCCGCCAAAGCACAATCTATGGATCCGGAAGAACAGGTACTAGCGGATCTACAATTTCAACAGCCTCGACTACCCGAGCGCTTGGGCTCACACAATCTATGCGTCCGACCGATCTTCTTAGAAAGAAAAGCGAAAAGACGGGCAAGAAGTTACAGAAGCCGCCTCCCGAACCGAAGCCTGACCGCCAAAAAGCCGAGAAAATCAAGATATCAGACCGTATGAGGCATGTCACGACGACTCTCGCTGGTAAAGGTCACGCAAAACAGCACCCACAAATGCAAATCCCTCGCTCCCACCCCGGAACAACTTTTGGCTCTGGACCTCGAGTTTCTAACCTTGCTAAGAGGTTCGAGGAGCTTAGTAGGGAGTTCCAACGTGAGAGAGAAAATAATGAGAGAAGAACGTTGGCCAACCGACGATCAAGGGCTTTCCCTGTGGTTTCAATGAAACCAATGGTGGAGGTCTTTAAGGATATCGAACAAGCTGCCCAGGAGGTTTCGGATGATGAAATTGAAGATGCGCCAGTTCCTGAACCGCAGAGTGTACCTGTCCCTGAAGCAAACAAATTTGCTGAAGCTATGGACGCAACTGAGCATACTCTTCCTAGTCCAGAGGCCCAAGCAAAGCAACAAGAAGAGGAAGAGAAGACCGAAGAAGAAGCCAAGGAGGAACTACCCGAAGAAAAGGCATCTGAGGAAACCCCCGGTGAACCATCCGGAGAACCTCGACCAAAAACCGCAGAGCACGAGGTTGAGGCGAGTGATACAGAGATGTCGCTGGTTAGTGATAGTGAATCATCCAAGATATTGTCTGCCGTCGCCGAAGAAGCTCTCAAGGTCCCAGAGGTATCCGACGAGATTAAAGCAGAGGTTGAAGCTGGCTTGCAGCGAAGTGAGAGATCTTCGTTGATGAAACTTTTGACAAACTTTTGGTCTGAGCGATCCTCCAGCGGATGGAGTGCCTTGGATTACCCGCTTATGCCATCCGATCATGTCTTTAGCGATTCTGACGTTATCGTTCGTGAAGATGAGCCTAGTTCTTTGATTGCATTTACGTTGGGTATGCCTAGTTACAACTCAATGTTGGCACAATTGAGAGCGGATGCTATGAATAGTCTTGAAAGCTCCGTAGGGACCATCATTCACGAAGGAACGACACATCATCACCATGAGCACCCCAACGAACTTGATCATGCCGTTCAAAGATCTTTACTCCGGGAGACAGGAACCCATCTTCGATACCACTTCCCCAGAGGTAATGCGAGGATGTACTGCAAGGTCTTCTTCGCCGAGCAATTTGATGCACTTCGCCGGAACTGCGGTGTCGCCGATCGGTTTATTGAATCGTTGTCAAGGTGTATCAAATGGGATTCGAAGGGTGGCAAGACGAAGTCAGTTTTCTTGAAGACTTTGGACGACCGTATCATTCTCAAGCAATTATCACCGATTGAGACGGCCGCTTTCCTAAAGTTTGCGCCCTCCTACTTCCATATTATGTCCGAGGCATTGTTCCATGAGCTCCCAACGGCTATAGCGAAGATGTTGGGGTTCTTTACAATTTATATCAAGAATCCAAATACAGGGACGGAGTTTAGATGGGATTTGTTAGTGATGGAGAATTTGTTTTATGACCGGAAGATGTCGAGGGTAAGTATTGACTTCTCCTCTTTTCTTAGGTGGAGAATATTTACTAATCAAACTCTACACGAAAAAAAGACATTCGATCTCAAAGGCTCTATGAGGAACCGATACGTTCAGGAAACAGGCGAGCAGAACGAGGTGCTCCTCGACGAAAACATGGTTGACTACGTCTGGAAGAACCCACTTTTCGTCCGAGAGCACTCCAAGAAATTATTACGTGCTAGCTTGTGGAATGACACGCTATTCTTGGAACGTAACCAAGTTATGGACTACTCATTAATGGTGGGGATTGATGACCAGAGAAAGGAACTCGTGATTGGGCTTATCGGTATGTTTTCAGCCTTTCTCCTCATTCGAAGGGTTTGCCTTTTTGGCCGAACAGCTTATATGCTAACTTGTGCCCCAAAATAGACTGTGTCAGAACATACACGTTTGACAAGAAAATTGAGAATTATATCAAGTCGACGGGTATCGCTGGAGGGAGGAATAAGCCCACTATTACGAGTCCTAAGGAGTACAAGCGAAGGTTTAGAGAAGCGATGGAGCGGTATGTGTTAGAGGCGCCGAAGTACGTATATCCCTCTCCTCTCCTCCTTCGCATATGCCGTCCTTCTTCCTCTTTTTTTTTTTTTTTCGAGGCAGTGCAAACTATAAAGTTGCAATGTTGCTAACCCTTTTTCTCTTGTGTCTTTTATAGCTGTTGGAGACAACCAAGAGTCACTTGGTTGAATCCTGTCGGTATTCCGTTTGCTGCGAAGAAACAGCTCGAGGAGGCGCAGAAGAGGGAACAGGAGATGGCTGCTGGAGCGGCTTAGGATTTTGCGTGGTTGTGGTTGTTTCATAATTCGGGCCCCGCTAGGTGATCGCACACGCGATATCCGAAGGTAGTGCAGGATACATCTTGTTTTGCATTTTACATACGTATTGAAGGGGAGATGAAAGGGCTTGTGATACTACAAAAAAATTTCCTCCCATGTTTTTTTAACTTCCTTTTTTTTTTTTTTTTGTCCTTGATTTCAGGGAATGGTTGGAGGAGGAGATGCGTGGAGCGGTTACACAGGTTCCATTCATCTATTTCACAAGGAAAGAGCCTGGTTTTATCAACATCCACCTTTACATTACATGTTACACACCTTGACACCTCCCCTCCCCCCAACACAAGAAGGGTCACCGAGACTACCCTCCCCCGTGCTCTTATTCTGCGTTTTTTCTTGTTTGGTGAAGCGTTTTCAAGCGTGGAGTTGGATTCCCTTTCTTTTTATTCGACGGCGTAAGATGTGGGTTATCTTTTTGGAGGCCAAATCGGAAATATGCAGAAACTTATTATTGAATTATCATTACGGGAGTGGAAGACTGCACAATCAATCGAACAATCATATGTTAGAGCTATCGCAGCAATTAATACGATAAAAGTAAACCTTACTATACTACAACCGCACCCACTTTATGGATCAGAGTGTTCATATTATATTTGGGTTTTAAGTATTAATTAACGTTCCTTCCTCATGAATTATTCCTATCATGGCTCAATTCGCTGCGGGCTTGGGATTGTAGCCTCGGATGCTAAAATCAGGTCCGTGCGTAACGTTTCTTGCTCCGAGTCTTGGCACCACCGTGCGAGCAAAGATTAAGCTTTCTTGGTTGCGAGTATGTGGGGCCGTTCGGGATCAAAGGTTTGGTTCTTTATAGATTTCAGGTATATATCACAATCTAATAAGGTTATATTATAAATAAACAATTAGGTCAATTGATATCGATATGTAAACCTGTGGCCTAATCTAAGATATAGTGTAGTAAGTAGATAGACGATAAAAGGAACGCCACATGCAGACTCCATAATATATAATGACAAGGTAACGCCGTTTCTTACAATCCCTCTCCCAAACTCTTTCTTTTCAAATTTTATAAAAATGAGGTCGCAATCAAAGGTTTTAGGGTTCAATGCATACAAAGAACCAATAGAATAATACAAGTGTGAATTTCCCTCAACAAAACAAAGTCATTGCAGGTCCGGTACTCCATTCTTAAACCCAGGAAAACAGGAGCAGTCATTGGAATTGACTATAATCATTATTACAAAAGAAACCCGACCCTTTTTGATTTTAAACAGAAAAAAACTCTCCTACAAAAAAAAAAAGGAGGGGTATGATCAAGGAAAATGTAACCAGTCAGCTGAGTATCCAGCGTCCAGATATGGTGCACGACATTTATCCATAAGTGTACATCTTATCGAATCGATTAATTTGTTCCAGTTTGAGTTGCGGTTACCGACGAATCTAGCATTTTCGGTGATTAGTTATCAGTTTCTGGACCAAATATTATTGGTCCTAGGAAATTTGGAATTATAAATATTGTACTCACGCATCGCACTCGACCGCCATCCAAAGTTGCATTATATGCATAATCATCGCGTCAGTTCGGTTTTGTGACAGTTTTAGGTTTTGGAACGGGCTACCGTCGAAACGTGGGATGTTGGAGTATGACCTTTTTAATTGAGAGAAGAGATTTTGATTAGTATATTTCTTTTTCTTTTTCTTTTTCTCTGTCTCTTTTTCTGGGAAGTAGGCCAGCTGTTGCAAGAACGATTACGTCCGCCTCTGATTCGATTCGTGCGTAATCCAGCCGTGTAATATTCGATTCGTTCCACAAAATAGCGACGCGCACACATACATGCACATGCGCATGCCGTCCATCCCACAAATCGAATGTAACCTTTTGAAGCTGAAAAAATAATACGACAAACAAGGCGTCAGAAATTCTAACTTACCAATACCAGCTTGGGTTTGAAAAGGCGGTACTAATTGGGTTTATTCCCGTAGTTTTCCTAATTTCCTTAATTGCATCTGGATCTTCGGTTGTGACAAAGGCACGCTTTCTGTATGTTATTGGATTTCGGAGGATGAAGCGTTCTGCTGCAACAATGTAATCGCGGGTGCTGATTAGACGGCCCTCAATCGCTTTATCGCCATGACGGATGTGTATTGAAATAGTAGATGGCAGGAGAGGAAATGGGACGGTGTGGGGTCTTCCCTAGCAGTGTTAAATATTGTATTAGTCGAAATACCACAGAACATAATTAATATAAGATTCCATAAAAATCTCACATTTCCATCTTTATCCCTGACGTTTGTATCCACGGCTGTATGAAGGGTCTTATTCGTTCTCATCTCTACCATTCGAGCCAGAGTCTGCCGGTTCGGGCGAAAGATATAGGCATACATTTGGGCGTGCCACCAGTACCTCAAAAAGGCGCCAGTAAGGGCCAAACCGGTTTCTTTCATATACGTCGTCAAAGCTACGGCGGGTAGAGGTGGAACAAACTTGTTACCCCCAGGAACTGAATGAATTGATACCTCTCTCACGGAGTTTTCCGGTGTAGCATACGCGGCGCAGGAAGTAATATCTTCCAGAACACATTCTATTGATGCGTTTCGACCTCGATATTCACCACAGTCTTTGCTCATCAGATTGCCTCCTGGTGGGTTGTGGGGATCGAGGACGAGGATACGGCCGACTGAGATTGCGAGCTCGAGTTCTCGGAATATAACGCGGACGGCGGCGCCCAGGCCGTACCAGGGGGCCTTTTCTTCGAGGATGTAGAATTTTTTGCCCTCGCAGCTTGCAGGGTGTTGGTGGTCGTAGACGTATTTTTGGGCCCATTTTGTTCTTTTAATACCCCGGCCCAAGAGTTTTTGGAAATTAGAATCTCGAGTTTTGGGGGGTATGAATAAAGAAGAAGAAGGTAAACTGTTAGAGAGACTTGAGATTCAACTTACAAAGGTGCTAGTCCATCATCGTCTAAACTTTCAATGTGATCTTGCCAACCCCCTTCACGATTGATTCCATAAAAGGTATTAATCTTATCCAACTTTTTCTTCGAGAGTTGTGCTTGAGACCCAAGTGATGGTAACAACTCCCGTTGCTCTGCCGTTAAAACTTGTAATAAATGTCTTTCATCCGGCGCCGGCAGGGGTAAAAACCATGATCTGGAGTTCTGGTAACCCATAGGGAAGTCGGCTTCAATCTGTTCGACATCGAGATCTTTAGGATCGATTATTGGAGCAGATGATTTATCGGTCTTTGAAGCCGCGGGCTCCTTCGGACTTGTCGTCGTGGATGTATCAAGGCTTTCGGTATACTTCGACCGTGAGAGATTTAGCGAATCGCCTATGGCCTCAAAGTTATATAAACAGAAGCATATAGACATGAAGAAGATAGCTCCGAAGGCTATCTTCATGGGTGACTGTTTTGTCATTGTTATTACTATTATGTTATCGTGAGGACTAGCAAAGTCATGTGCAGAAGAATCAAGAAAATGGGTATAGTTTTTTTTATTTAAATGAAATAACTGTCAAAAAAGAAAAAGTAGAAAAGGTTGACGACGGAATTAGCTCTTATAACTAGTATAATAAAGAGAGACTATTCGTCTGTCTTGCCTATGGAAAATCCCCTCGAAGGAACGCAGGCGTGCAGGCCACTCCATTGCAAAACGGCGGAGCTGGTCTGAGTGGTGAGTGACGTGATACAGTCTAAGTCATTATGTCCGTTTTGTATGCATACTTAATTCCTCCGAACATGAAAAACAGTAAAGGGCCCCATTATTACTCTATTCAAGTACAATCAATCAAATGGACGACCAACAGGTTCACACTTAGCTTTGCGAAATTTGGGCATGGTCCGATTACTATATATATTTATTAAGAGGAGAGGCAAATTCTTAATGAAAGATAACAAAATCCGACAGACGATTATGAAATGACGCTAGTTCGTATATACGAGACTATTTCGTGTGGATGCTGATTGTAAGTTGACAACTGTATACCAGGCCTAGCTATAGTTCCGCGTGGTATACGTATACATGTTATCTGTAAGTTCTGCAACAGAGCGTTGAGATTATATAAGCCTCCAAAAAGTGTTTCGGTAACACAGGATTTTGATTGGCGGTTGTGTCACTTGAAAAGGGATGTAACCTCAATTTTCCTTGGCAGTTGATATCGAATGTGCATTTCGCCCATACCGTTTGCAGGCGGAAATCATTTCGAGTTGACAGGCCGGTTCCCGATATTATTTTATTGAGAAGAAAGATTTCCTGAGTGGGGTTCGTTTTTACCTCGTTGGAAAGAGGAGCATTTTTCCGACAACAATAATTATATTAATTATAATATCGCATGGGCGATATCGCCTTAAGGAATCCTATCAGCCACCCATTTTACATCCGAGAATTGCATTGCGTTTTCCTAATACTAAATAACATTAACTATGTGCTTTCCAAACGTATACGCGTATGTATCGATGTATTTAGGTCGAGAAGTTCGATATATCTACGAGTTTAAAGATTTCTGTGTTAATGGAACGCACTGGCCAAGGCAACGTCGATCGTATATGCGTATGCTCACAAACAAAAGCTTGACATTGCTTGTATGGTCGCTAGTGGGTTGACAGGCAACGTTGGTGTAAGTTTCAATCTTTGATTTCGCCGCCTTCCCTCGGTGCAAAACCATAGTTTTAAATGTAGGCGTTCTTAAGACGGGCAAAAATCAGAGCCTACCTTAAATTGTGGAATGTGGATGCACACCCCTATCCTAATCGGCACATATATAGTTAGATATGGGACGTAGAGCGGGTGCTCAGAATTCCCGATAATTAATTGCCTCGTTGTAATAAAAGGCTAAACCTATTGATTGATTCATTGCCCTAAATAATGCCTGCTGATATAATACCTGCTCTTGTTTTACCTTGATTTTTCGGATGATTCGACCGGAAATCAATATCGTTTACATAAAATTCTTGGGTCAGATATAGATTTTCAAGATATAGGTACAGAAAGGGAGCTCGTTTATCTACTCATGGATCTGATTTCCAGGCTGAGTGAGCCAAGGTTTAGCCGGGGTGACCCAGGAATTTGGTTTCTACAAGCTAGTACCCTGTCTACATACCTCTAGAGACAGTTTTTGTTCCGATATTGTCTAATCTGGTTTCCAGGATTCCGCGAATGTGAAGCGAGTATAGATATATGCAAGTATGTTTATGGAATATGGGGTTGCCTAACCTCGAGATCGCCTAGGTCCAACTCGAGGTTATAGCTCTAGATCTGTATGCCCCATGTATATAGTATGTGCCCCTACGCTTTGCATACGCGGCCAGAATTTCGGTGTCCCTGATCATGAACCACCCGTTCTGGAACTCGGGGTGGGAGTCTAGAACGAATCTTGGAACTCCAGAATTCTGGATGCCGGGGGCCTTTTTCCGTCTTCTTCTTAGATAACTATATATTTCTAAGTGCCGGGTAGGCTTTCCCGTTATGTTATCTACCCGATGCGCATACGCATACGCATTCTGTGGATGAATAAAACTATTATTGTTGCTGAATCTATGGGAAAAAAAGCCGGCATAGGCAGGCCAGGCAATTAGAGCTTAGAGAAGTCTTGATAAAAATCATAGATTAGAATACTGGATATAGGCTGTCGCTTTTAATATTATAATGCCGGGAAGCCACCCATAAGTTCATAATGCCGACGAACCAAAGTTATCTTCCCAATCTCAACGTATCTTATTCATAATATCGCATTCCTTGTAGATCTACGTAGTTGATATTGGAAAATTCAACTGAATAAATAATATAAATCCAAGACTATCGATATGTCTATATCTATTGGCTATATGTCACGCTCGTATCATAAGAAATATAGGTACGCTTAAGCTTGCCCCGACTTCGGATTTTTCTCCCCTCCTCCTTCTTTCTTTCTTTCTTTTAAGAGAAACCAAAGTAATAAATTAAATGTTCAAAACACAAGACACACAATAATCAAAGTTCCGAGCCTTAATCTTATATAACAATATTTATTCCTAACCCCTAAGAGAGCTAGTGTATAAAGTTAACGCCGTCTTGAGTTAACGTTATACAATAAAGTATCTCCTTCGAGCTCTTAAGGTCCTTGTACCCCTATTGCAAACGATAGTAAAGAAGCCATCCACCAACCATTACAAAAAGCATAATAATTTTGGGAGAGAGCTTCGCAAAGCGTCCATGGCTACCAATTAGGTAATTAGTTAACTGCTAGATCAATCTCAGTAAATAGCTAAAATGATCGATTATCAGTCAGTGGCTTTGGGCGTGGCTATGTGAGGAAAGCTGAGGATTTTCACTACCCCAGTTGTCGAACTCCGCTCAATATAGAAGCTCAGACGGCTAAGAAATCTAAAGATTATATTATATACGCAATGAGTAAGTAATCATGCCTTCTCTAGGGAGAGGGGCCCGGATGGGAGCTGAAGCCCTCCTAGCGGCCACTAGCTAAGTAGTTCGGCTACAGGAGTATGGAGGACATGAGACAAGAACTATTAATAAATGTAACCTGCCACTTTCGAGATGTCGACAGCCTCAAAGGTCTCTGAGAACTTTGAATCTTACGGGAACTCTTACGGGAACTCTTACGGGAACTCTTATCTATTTTTTGTTTTAAATTTAGAAAACAATCGAGTTGTTGTGATAGACGTAGATGCATTCTTAGTAATATATATTCTGATGCTCCAGTCTTGGTCATCATGTTGAAGCTCGCCCATCCGAGGTTCAGTATCACAAATTTAGACCAAACATATACCTCAAGCCCCGTCTATGACATTTATCCTAGGTTGAGAACCCCAGGCCGCGCGGCACACGGCAGCGCCATTTCCCACAATTGCAATCCAGTTCGACAAATCGAAGGCTCAGCCGTCTAGTCCTGATTCAAAATGTGCAAAGCAAATATTTTGTACCTATCGGCTCGCTAGATTATGCATCGACGATTGTACCACCTAGTCAATGCTTAAAACTTTAAAGCCACATGTATATAAGCTTTACCAATATCTTCTGATTGTCATTTCAAATCGCTGTACCATATCGTTAATTAATTGTCAGCGGCGAATCGGCAGACGCGACGGGATTGGTATGCATCTATGGGAAATGCTTTAAAGGAGCATGTTACCACCGATCAAATCTAGTAATTATATATATAAAGAACAGGGAATGTACAACGCCGATGTGTTTTGTGGGTCCGTGGGCGCAGCTTGCATTAATTCAGGTTTCTCGATATCAATACGGCTAAAGATATTATTGATCTATAACTTGTGCAGGTAACATGATACCAAGGCATTGGGTATTCGGATCGAAGCACGAGTACCAATAAGAACTTTCGGCACAATAGTACAATTATCTCTGCCGGCTTTGGCGCTTTCCAGATTGTGAAATATGTCGTACCACACTAACCTTTGGATATGAGATTTATTCAAGCTCTCTTACTTATAAGGAAACAAATATATCGGATCCGCGGCCAGATAAGGTTTCCAGACCGAAGCCTAAATCGATAGTTACAGAATCTAATATATGTATATCCAAGTATCTCTGGCTGCTATGATTGGTACCATCGCCGTAACGTTGTGCATGTGCTCTTGTGACAAATCCGGAATTTTCTGCAAGAACATGCATCCTTTCAATCCCCGCTTAATCGAAGATTAATCTGCGGCTGAGCAAGTACTGAAGTCAGTACTTATCTGCTTATAGCCATCCGGAGTAACCGACCCAATGCTCCAGTACCATAATGCCGGAAGCAATTCCTTCTGATACCTCCGCTTAAGGTAATTGTCACGATTTGATACATATGTACACATACACTATTTGCGTTAGAATATTCAGCCAAAAAAAAATTTCGGTGTTGAAATTAGTCACACTGCTCGCTAGAGTGCTTTAAATCCTTGTATAAGCTTGTGCATAGTATCTATCCCACGATGTAGGCGTGGCTAGCATGTGGATCAATAAGAGCGTGATGAACGTTATGTGGGACGGCCTGTCGGTGATGTCTTAACTAAGCCATGAGCTAGCACTAGGTATATACCAGACTTCTTTCTAGGCCCTCTCAAGGCCTGAGTTTCCACTTGGGCTACCTAAGAGCCTCTTCAGGCCCAAGCTTAATAATAGAATTTCCTCGGTAATCAGGTAGGCATGAACAATTAAGACTATCAACTCAATATTGTCCCACGACGTGTTACATATTCGGAAACCCCCCTAAATGGGGTAGCACTAAAATCTTACCACAGATTTCACCTCAAATCAGGAATCCGATCATAGAACGGGGGGATTGAACCATTTTACCCGGAGTTATGGAAAGTCGATACCCGTTTTTGCAACTTTTCGAATCGATTGTCGGTGTATTTTCCTAGAACTTATTCGAGATACTTTCTAGAGTCCAGCTTCGAAGGATCCTAGGAGGGGGTTTGCATATCGTAATTTCGTTTAAGCTGCATATCAGCTTGGTCCGGTTCCCCATGATTGATTATGTGCATCCAACGTCGAGGACGAAAGTACAGCAGCGTGCATTTTCTAAAGAGACCAGAACCCTAAATTCTGATCGAGCTTCTATTTTGGGAGCGACAAGGGTATTTGCTTTGTCAATGCTAACCTTTGGGTGGCCCAGCCTTCTGGATCGAATCGTTGTGAGAGGCTGCTGTTGGCTGGACCAAGCGAGCGAATCAGCGACCAGGATTGCACTCCTGGGTTTGACAGACCATGCCGCACAAATCTCCATATTCGCGCGCTTCGTGATGACGGCGGCATTGGCTCTTGATCTTGGGGCCCTTCATTCTCGGAGTGGCTAATGGGAATTTGATCATGATGTAAGGTTTGATTACTTCCTGCGAATGAAGCGCAGGAATTGACATGGTTCTTCTCGAAGGGCCAGTTTACCCGCTAAATCAGAAAGAGATGTAAACATCCTTATTTCGGAGATTGAAGTTAATAAGATATACCACCTTGCATGCTGGAAGCAAGGTGTCGACGAGCTCCAATTTCACTATAGTACTAGCACACATATTCCGGAAGGAAAAAAATTTCAACTTCAGTCGCAAATAGGGAGGTCGAGGTATCGGGGTACTTTTATTACAGGCGCCCTGCATACGCTATGCAATGTACACGTTCTGGGTGAGATACTTCCTAGACTCAACTAGTCCAAGCTAACTTAGCTCCCGTAAGCTGATGGTGGATTTTTTTTCTATTATCATTGCGCTCAGGACTCAATTGAAGGAACTTCGGCATCGGGATTCCCCATCCAATCACATCCGTTGTGGGATACGATCATGAGGGATTGTTTGTAATTCGCATTCAAACAGTGAAGTGATCGGTTGCTGATGGCATCATTCGGCGTCGAAATACCCAAAAAAATCATGGTAGGTGGTAGTGAGTTAAAGAAGTCATTTGCCCCCACTATCAGCGATATTACGAAAGGGGGCGAAAATTCGAGATAATTTAGTTATGTATGTAGACGTGTGATCATTTGAGAGCTTCTTGCATCGATTAGCTCCAACTGATAATCTTGCAGCCGGACGCCAATGGCTTCTCAAAACAAATCGGGGAAAAAAAGAAGCCTGCATCGATGTCAATGCACTTTTTAGTTTGCTTTGCATACAAGATTATCTGGCGAGATATTGCGGAGGAGGCACAATGGGAAAACCCGTTATCGACATCACCTTGCGCTTTCAAGGAAGTGTTTATCGAGGTCCCGGTATCGTGTCTACCAAAGACGGCATGTGTGAAATTAACTGAGAATTTTAGTATGTGAAACTGTGGAGCCGGTCGGATTGAGGGGAAGGTGTTTGGAAAGTGCTGCCGCTTAATACCCATGTTACCTCCCACCGACGTCGTTGACCAGTCAGGAAGGCTAGACAGTCTGGGGAATATCGTCGCGAAAAAGCACGATGCAACAGAGATATCTCTCATGACTTGCTTGTCGATGAATAATCCAAAAGCCTTGAAGAATTTTGCAAAGTTGATGTTCTGTTTTCCTCTGTTATTCAAACCAGTTTGGGGATATCTCCGCCGGAATCCAGGACCGAGAGGTCCATGCTGCCCAGCCTTTGGAGATTAATTTGCCTTGTGCATTGATGCCAAATCGGTATGTATGTACTGTACTGTTCTGCACTGGATCAAAACGTTCAGAGACCTACATGCAATCGACGTATTTTTGGCAAAGAAACAGTGATATAATTCAATCGAATCGCAGGCAAAAGGGGTGGGATTCAATGGAGGGATTGGTCTTACATACCCGCGGTATGTACGTACATATGTACTCTGTATGTAAATATGTACATGTACCGCCGTCCTGATTCCGACGTTCAAGCATCCTTCGAGTGCGGCGGCAGTTGGGAACATGTCGGTGCTTCTTGGAGCGAGACCTTGCTCTCCAATCAAACTGTGAAAAAAACCCACAGATTTGCGCCTCCTTCCAGACATGGGTCTAAATCTGGCGTGCATTCCTTTTCTTCGCCCCCAATGCCCCACATCGTGCAGGCAATTATTAGTTCTTGCATTGAGCAGCAGCGTTAGGCCGACTGTATTCCCAGTGGTACGGCCCCAGTAGGCAGGCAAGGCTCGATTGTATGGAGTCTGAAGCAGCGCCCAGCAGGGTTCAGTTAGGAAAGTTGTAGCACAGAACGCTGTAGTCGGTACTTGCTTTTTCGCTAGGGGCCCAGCATGTTACGGAGGCGTTCGAGGAGCGAAACAAGCACCAGTAGCACGGGTGGACTCGGTTGGGTTGGTAGTGGTTGGTAGAACTTCTCCTTCCGCTCTGAATGGGGGGAGCCTCGAGACTAAAACCGAGTGCAAGATTATATAAAAGGTAAAAGGGCATAATAGGCATAGGCCGTGGGGATACATAAAAACGTCTCGTCCCCCCATCCGTCCCGTTAGTTCGTTTACATAGAACAGTCCTCCGTTTAACTAGTCGTCGTCTCATCTCATCTCATTTCGGGCCTCGTACTTGACCACTCCACAGAAACATTCCTTTACAAGTATCGATAAGAGTTAGTAGTATCTAAAGAAGTATATACAATACCTAGTATTTGACTGTACAGGGAACGATCGCGAACGATCTAGAACGTATTCATTAGAGGTTATCATACACTGGTTGTCTGGCCTCTTCGATAGCTTCGTTCATCCGATATCAAAAAGAAGAAAAGAAAAACAAAACAGGGAAAAACATTTAAACGATTATTGTCGGTTGATTCATTCATTCATTCACTCATTCATCATTGCGTCTTTGGTCTTCTTGGATCTTCTTGCGGTCCGCTCCACTCTTTTATCAGTCATCGAACCTGACGAAGTTCCGGCCTGGCCATTAAACCCAATCCGTCAACTTGCAGAAACCCAGGCACGTCACCAGAGCTCCTGCATACACACAAGTGAGAAGGATCAGTCACAATCCTAAAAACAAATAAGAGGGAAAGGGCTGGAGTACATACATCCATTTCATTCTTGCTGCAAACAGCCACTCAAATTACATATTACTGGGACCTCGGAACGCGCGTGTCTTAACATTCTTTGGCGACTCCTCTGTTCCATTACAACGTCGTACCTACGTTACGACAGGCATAGAATCCTATTCCGACAGCTTACGACCCCTCGCATACAAGATATTATATAATTTATATATAAAACCCTCTGAATTCGCCATGGAGTTCGCTACCCGTCGACCAGCTCTCCCTCTTCTCAGCCACCAGCGACGCACTTCTGTACCACGACTTTCAATCATCATTAAGGACGCTCGCTTCCCAGACGCAAAGCATATCATCTCTCCCATTTCCCCAATATCTCCACGGGGAAGGTCTAAAAATATTGCGACCGTGGTGGTCATGTCACCGCGTATCTTTTCGCCTGTCTCGACTCCAAAGATCCTTTCGCCTGCTAGTTCCCGTCGCGGAAGCGAAGAATCAACGGCTAGTCGCCGCGCCTCCAGAACATCTATCAACATGGGCAGCTGTCGACGAAGAGAAAGTATCATCTACAGGAATGAGCAAGAGTATGACTCTGCTACCACCATTGTTGAAAGAAAGGTTACACCCGAAGATACCCCTATGGATGAAGACTTCCCATCCACAAAGAACTCGGTCGCTCCCTTAGTCACCAAGGTCCGAGCATACTCTATTGCAACATTGAAGTCGAGGCGAAGGACTACCAGGGCCGCCATGGCCATGCAAGAGCAAACACCAATCATCGTCGGCGGCCAAAGAAGGCGGTCCAGTATCGTTGTTGTTCACAACTGTTCGCCTCCACCCTCAGCCACTCGAGAGTTCTCCGAAATGCCAGAAGAAAGCGAAGATGAGGACTAAACGATACCCTCAATCCTTTTTTTTTTCCCTTTTCAGCTACTTCTCTTATACATATATACATTATTCTTCTCAACAACCACCTTGACTGTACATACATCACTTCCATCGGGTGGACTTCTCTCTCAACCTCTTTTTTATTTTCTCTTTTTTCCCCCCCGGTGTTATATTGGCCTGGATAGAATGGATTGCTAGGCTGGCTTGGGAATCTTTTATTGGTCATGAGTGGATTATTGGACCTTCACGAATATTTGAATTTTAATCAACGAACCTTACGACAAATGTCTTCTTTCTGTATCATAATTTCACAGTTCTTCTTTTTGTTTCTATTTTATTTTTCGACGACTTGCTATTGGTTCAGGAGTTTTACGGCCTTCAGAAAGTTTTTCTTTCACGATTTTTGATGTTTAATTCTTCAATGTCTATTGCTTCTTGTATGAAGGTACCTAAACAGGTATTCACGCAAAACCTGATTCGAGAGATTCAATGAATATGCGTTATCAATGATCAAATCAAGTCATGACAAATCCCCTGCATCAGAGAAATTATGTAAAACCCGAAATGCTCGCCCCATGTGCGCCCGTAGAAGCTAGAAGTTACCACCATTCAACCTTAAAGCCTTGAAATGGTGTTCTTTTGAATTTCGTACCACCTACCAAATTCGTCAGAATGGCAGATGCAAAAGCCCCAAGACTCACCTGCCGTGCCGTGCCTTTTCCAACGTCCTTTTCCAACGTTCGTAGACGTTGGGAGACAAAATTTTAAGTTACGTTTGACGTCCTGGAACAGATAAAGTGTTTGAAACGTATTGTGGGTGGCTGACGTCTCCTTTTTCAGCCGTTCAACAACATTCGCCGGTTGAAGTTCGAAGTTATGCCTTTGAAATGCATTTACTTGAAACACGTCTGCAGCCCCGGACCCCAGACCAGACTAGACATTAATATATCCTCGAAGACTTCCATGCACCAGATGATGATAATAGCGTGCACATGCGAATACGGTGCCGTGCTTATGGTTTCGAATATAATTCAAACCTCGGAAAGAAGGTGAATGGGTTGATGGAGTATTGAAGATGACATGTCGGCATGTCGATATATCAATATATGCAATATTGATACTTCCTTCTTCAATATCCACCACCCCCGCAATTGCTCTTGCCCTCGTCGCTGCCATATCAGCCGCGTCTAAGACCAACAGTCAGTTACCAACCCAGCTAACTAAGCACTTGCCTATGCCGCAATCGCAATCTCGATCTCACTCAATGTCAACTGAATGCGGCAGATAAACGGTCCTTTGAGACCGTTGTGTTGTTGTGTTGCAACACTAACCAACCTTTGTTGAACACAACACATAATCCCCGCCGAACAACACCGAACCCAACGATCAAGACCATCGTGGTGCAGCCTCCGTTGACCAGGAACCCGGCCGGATTGGTTGGAGTTCAAGTTCCGTTCCATGTTAGCCTGGCGTCGTCCGGTGCTACAAATTTGTACCACACGGACAACACAATTCTTCACATTAAATCCTCAGTTGTCAATCAGGAGGACTATCAATCAAAGAACCTGAGCAGTAAAACGCGCGAACCGATTTGCCTCAACCTCAGTGGCCTACCCCCAACAGCTTTACGAGATGCCCAAACGAACCTACTTGAAAACACTTGGTATTCAACGAGATTTTGGGGAGCTGTGCTTGGGAATTCAGTCGCCGGTGCCTGCCCAGACTAACCACTTGGATCAGATGGAAAAGTTGGAAAAACAAAGCCCCTCGGGCTCCGGTAACCAGAGTCGAACTGAACACGGTTGAACTCTGGCCGTTTTTGATGTCCAACTACCTGCATCTCTAGACTCGCAATTTGGTCACGGAATCAAGATTTGGCATTGAATGCCTTTCCGCTATCGAGATACCCATTCCAGAGTGTAACTGTGATATCTCAGGCATTGGCTTTCTTCAGACCCTCTCCACCGCCAAAAATCCCAAAATCTAGCCGAAAGAGCATCTGGTCAAGAGTACTCTTGGACGAGTCAGGGATTAGGGCCAACACATATATCTTTCTCATGTACCTCCTCAGCTAGGCTTAACTTATCCCATCTCCGCAAACACCACCGAAAGCCTAAATAGCCAAATGAACGACAATAGACATTATCTAGACGCCCAAAACTTTCCGAAGAACCTGAAACAACTGGTGAACGGTGGTTATCGATCTCTCGGTGACATAAAGTACTCAAAGTTAATTGCTGAGGTGCTGGTCTCGGCTCATCGATATCCCCCCATGTCTATGAATCCAAATCCTCGGAAACGGCGCCGCCTCCCTACTCTAGTCCCCGCTCCTGACCCAGTGCCTGGTCAACTAGAATCATCACAGAGGACCCCCATCGAGATAAAGTATAAGAGGCATCAGGCCGCAAAGGCTTGTAATGCCTGCAGGCAGGCGAAAGCGAAGGTGTTTTAACCTATCAATCTTGTTAGTATCTTAATACCGGGTGAAACCTAACCAAAACTTCCGCCTCTAGTGTAGCGAAGACAAGCCAGAATGCCAACGGTGTCGATCCAAGGGCCATGAATGTCAATATGCGATTGAAGATCCAGGGGATAATCGAAAATCGATGAAAGAAGACTTGAAATCACTACAACTCGAAAATAACAACTACAAGGAATTGATTGACTACATGAAAACTGCAACCCCTCTGGCCTTGGGAAGAATAATTGAAGCCATTAGAGACGAGGCTTCGGTGGAGGATTTGATGTTCATCATTCGGGATGACGGCAATTCCACGTTACTCCCTGCACCAGAGAACGCAGCATACACTTTCTTAGGCAACGCTGTTTTGGAAGATACAAGGCCAGCCGTACATGTGCCGATACAACCGAACTTCGGACTATTTGAAGACAAGCATCTCGGTAATTGGAAGATGGCACCTTGGGCAACAGCATCTGGCAGTGATGAAATATTGTCGCAACTGGTATCCTCATTTGTCTCTTGGGACAGCCAGCATACGAATTTTTATGACCCAAAAACATCCGGATGACTCTAGAAGGTATGATTAAATCCAATATTTCAGGCTACTTTGTATCCTTTCATGGCTTCTGCATTTTTAAATGACTTTTCTTAGGGGCTGCCCTTAGGAAACCGTGATCCCCCCTTTAAGCCGAAATATGCCGATCATACCCTACACCAGCGACACTAATGTATATTCCTTAAATGAAAGATACGCACGTTGATATTTGAATTTGGCTAACCTGTGGGTGCTTCCTGAAGATCCCTTACTAGGGTCCCGATTTGCGTGGAACTTTAGAGTCTAGATACTCCGACCCATTGGCCTGTGGAAGGGGCAAGTCAACTTTGGCACGTTGAATACCATAACCCAACCCTTTATTATCACTCTTTTGGGTTCATACTATGCAAGGCGGTCAGTTCTGATAGGTTGGGCAGCTTAAATTGGATGCTCTTCCAAACAACTCCCTCCAACTCAATGACCTCTTGTCAGAGGGCCGATTGCAAATCGGTTTGGAGGCTTTTACGATACAAAAAAGGTATCAGGGCTGCCAGCGGAATCCCGCAAAAAAAATATTGTATTGGGAGCTAGGAGCTAACCAGAATTTGTGATACACTTCGGCCATCCATCTCGGTCCAATAGGTATCAATCTTCTATCCTTATGAGGATTACCCATATTTTTGCCAGCTTGTTTCCACATAGCAGACACGGCTATTTATTTTACCACCGGCTAGCGATGGATATTTTGAACATTTCCTCTCCCTAGACGTGAGAATCTAAGTGGCTGAGCTTTACAGGTTGATGTGATAACATTAGCAGACCACCTGCGTTTACGTGGTTAGTCCTACCTCGCGGATTTCCTCAAGACCTATTCAAGGGTGAGAAAATATCCTATGACAACGTTCCAATCGAGTTGAAAACTGAAGCTACGCAACTTTAGACGCATGGTGGCACCGCATCGACAATTGATTTAACTGAAGGAAGCTTATGAGCTACTCGGCTTTTGGCATTCTCAGAAGATTGAAATCTCCTTTGACTTGGGTACGTACAACGAGACCAGGTACGTATAAATCACAAGTGATAATTGTAGTCTTGCATCAATTGTCGGTTTGGTATCTCCCTAAAATAGGGCGCCCAGCTAGCCAGGCGCATGCACTAGCTTGCTGTGCATGAATATATGATTGAAGAGTGCCACTTACCCTATGAGGATTTGGTCCCAACTATAGCTAAGTCCGTGGCAAATTCTATCAAATCGTATCAAATCGTCTACTCGAGTAGCCAGCTAGCTTAGTTTGATCCATTGCAAAATAATCGACCTCATCACAATCCGGGCTTGTTTGCCTTCATGACAACTGTATCTATGTATCAAACTTTAGCTTAGCCCAAGGTTTTTTGACAGTCTTGTAACCAATTGCGGGCCACCATAATTTACAACATCTACAACACAAATTTACATCCATATTACGAAATCATTAAATTGTCACGGTCAATTGATCGAATGCACATTCCAGTTAATAAAAGATTGATATAGCCCCCACCTTAAAGGCATGGGTGCGTTTCTTAGTGTGACACATACTGGGGAAGGATTGTTCAGGACTTGAGTGTAGACAGGTGGCATACTGAAGCCAGAAAATCTTAGGATACTTCCCATGCTAGTGGCTCTCTAGGCTAATATACACTCGGAAAGCTATAATCGGACCGGAAGGATTCGTTTCAGTTTGTAAAAGGTAATTCAAAGTGCACGTGTGCACGTGTGACATTCAACCAACTTGTATAACCAAGCAACTCTACCGGGTATACGATTCGCTCAGGGTTCGCAAAGCCAAAAAGACCTAAAAATTAAAAGTGATATCATAAATTCAGCGGCAAACGAGATTTCTGATAGTAGATGATATTTGTACAATGACCAAGGCAAAATTCAATCTGCGGAGATGTAAATCCAAGGGGTAGTATCTTGGTGAATTCCCAGTATTGATGATCTCGAGGAACTCCCTCTCGAATAATCACTGACATTTGCAAGCTGTACTTCTTCCGCTTTTTTCTTTATATTTGTCATCTATATGTATCCAGCCACCCTGTCATAGTTTTTCGGGAGTGCTGTGGGTTGAATTTCAATCCCGCAGATTTTTCCGAGCCTCCGGATACTATTTTTCCGGAATATATTTTATCTTTCTTCGGCTGGGCCAACTCGACATGCGAAACAAATTTATTAGGGTTCTTTGGTTGCCTTACTTGTATTTTAGACACCTTACAACGAACTTTGCCTCCTTGATACCGATTCATGTTATCCCCTTAGACTCTGAAAATCAATCGAGCCCTTGAATTCACATATGATGCCACAGTTTTGCGCGTTTAATTCCCGAGCACGAGTCCGACTAGTTTTCTTCAGTTGTTATTGATTTTTAACGTTCTTCAGTCGGTCTCCGTTGTTTCTTAGCTTTATGGCTTGACGGTACAAGCGAAGAGACGAATACCCTCTAATCTAAAATATTCAACCGTGGCATGTGCTATATTTTGGTTGAGAAACTTGAACGCTGTGGTTTTGAACAACATCCACCCGTGGAAAGATTCTACGGGATCTATTGACTAAATAGGTAAAGGGGGTTTACTCTAATCTTGTCTCAAGTTCTCCTCCCACTCCATCTCTATCGTCGAGAGCCTCTGTATCTATATGGTTGAGGTTGTAATAAGGAATTCCTATACATATCTAAGAACAGCAAAAGATAGTAGAAGTAGAGTCATTGCTGGTCCCCGAGCCGTGAGGAGTTCTACTTTTTGCTAGGAGAACTATTTACCCTCTCGGGCACCGCGATTGGCGCACACGGCCTTAAGTTGAAAGCAGTGGGGTTTTGAGGAGTCTGTCCAAAATACAACATGTCTAGGTCTGGGAACGTACGAGATAAAGGGCGACAGATCTGCAGAAATTGCGTCTGCTTCTATAGATGAAAACTGGAGTCAGAAAAAATCGCTAGGTATCGATCCTGGGGTCCTGATAGTTTTGAACAGGCGGTGGAAAATCGGGGACCGCAAATCTCGGCTTGGTCTGATAGATCAGGGCGCTGAGTAAATGATCAAGTACCGAAATGACACAAAATACTGGTGATAAAGGAGACGTCGGTCGAGGGCGAGTAAGTGGCTAGCTGTCGTGGTTTTATTCGATTGAAGGCTAGTTTTCAGTGAGGCCATAAGGCACTTGAAGTCTAATGAGAATAGGGGGCCGTCAAACCTGATGGGCTGGAAGTTGTCCACTTTGTCCTTGATCTCCCGGATTCGGTCCGGACGTCCTCTAGAAAGTGTTCATTGAGGTTATCAGTATATATGGAGATTCAATTGATCAACAAAAGGGCCAAAGTGTGTTAATGGTGATAGGTAAACTATATTGGGAGGCAGAGCCTTAATCGAAAAGTGTCAGTCTTGGAAGCCATACGTGAATGATGAAGGGTCTGCTGTTATCAAAATTCCAAATATCCACTATAGTACTACCAGATAAAAAATTTTAAAAAAAGGAGAAAGCTTTTGACGCATGGAAACTCATACAGTTGATATTGATTGACCCTATCAAGGCACAGATGAACCTATTAGATCTTGTAAATTCAACTTAACTAATTCATAATAATACAATTCTATCCAAGTTTACGGGCCATAGAAAGACCAAGATTCAAAAATGCAACATGCTGCGTGCTATACATTCCCGAGGTTCACAGATTTGGTCTTCCACAGGTCCGGTAGCCAACAACCGAACATCTCGGACCACCTCTGCATGTTGCACAGGATTCTAGAACCTAGCTCATAATGATTCAAGACTAGCCCCGTATATCAAATAACCTCCTTCTAAGATTACAAAAAACATGGAATAAGTTGATTAGTCCAGGTTTGGCATGTGATTTGAATCCCAAGATATATTCAAATATTAGGAATTCTGAGGAGGAGACCCCGCATTTCAAACCGAGTAGATTACACCCTAGCAGGACAATGCATATACGGCAATTTCCCTCGCGTTTTGACTTCAAAGAGAAGCCTTGAATTAATGTATTTCCCCTCTCTCCCTATCTTTAAATCTAGCCCGAATTTACGCACATGCATACACATGCGCGTGCGTATCAGCTCGTAAATTCGTCGACTGCAACTAGCCTCGACCGCCAACTAGTTCCCTATACACCAACCGCCAAGTGTGGTAGCTGAATATATAGCCGAACCCGCAGATACAGGTCATCCACTTCAGGAGTTTCCTCCCCCGATCTTCTGAGGCTGTATTTTTTCCATGCAATCTTGCGACCCGCCCCCCATCTCTCATTTCCCATCCCCCATTTCCCAAGTCTCTAGACCTTTCAGTTCTCCCCCCTAAGGAACACTCCTGTGTAGCTGCTAGCTGTAAAATCGCGACGTATCCCGTGTAAGTCTTTGCTCCTATTAAAAATGTGCGTAGATTCCTAACACGTTAATAATATCCGATATCCACATCTCTCTTGCCAGTAGCTACAGAGCACTACGCCGTAGTGGTCGCCAGTCTGGGGTTTATGAAATGTATGTGATAACAGGAAATAATTGTACAATGCGATGTCGCTGAAAATCGGCGAATATGATTTTTTTTTTTTTTTTTGGCGTATAATATAGATTCGTTCCATTCTATCTTCCACTCGTACCTAACTAGTTGGTGATGCCGCGGAGGTCACTTCAGATCGAGCATTGCGCAAAGAATAGGAAAATTAGATAAATCTGCCACCTTGTTGGAAGGCCTCAGGCGGTGTTTGGCGGGTTGCGAAATTTTCTTCTCGACAAGTTCTTTCTAATCGCATTATTTGGGCGCTCAACGGGGAGATTTCGAGGCGGCGTGGAAAGGCGAGGATACTGGAGCTTTGAATTTCGTGCGGGTTTCTGTTTGGACACCGCATCCACCAATACCGTACTTCGCAGGAACATTGGGCATGCGGTGCCTAAGCTAAGATATCAGTAGCTAAGCAACCACGCAAAATACGCTTCGCTTCTTAAGCAGAACCAGCATAGGAAAAATCATCCAAATGCACCTTCAGCGCAATCCAGTCGCGGACCCAAAATCATAAGTTTTGGGGTCATAGTGCGTGTTAGCTTAGATATTTCTGCTACCGACGCCGGCGCTTTTCAGCTCGCGATGCCAGAATACTTCCGTGGTCGCACCAAGGTATCTAGATATATCAATATTGCCATTTGGAACAAATTAATTCGAGGATCGCCGATTGCGCTCGAGCTGAGGAAGCCGTAGGATTCTAACAGAACTTGCTGGAATTCGAGTGACAATTACCGAGCTCTTGTGATAATAACCTACCAAGTCTTTTTTTTTATCGGGCTTTGTGCGCACAAGCTGTTGGCGCGCGAAAATATTTTTGGTTGGCGATTTCGACATAATGCGCGCCGACACCGTTATGAGTAGGAGCAACCGAGGATACTAATGTTAGCTATATTACTCAGGACTACATGTTTCCCGAGTCTCCAAAACGAGATTCCGTAAGAAAAACTTGTATCTCCAGATGTGCGAATCCACGGTAGATGTGTTCGGTTGATGGAACCGCAAGGGCTTATGTCATGAAGCATGTATGTATTGTGACTTTGTAATTATATCGGCCGGAATACCGTTACAACTGAAGCAAGCTATGTAATAAAAACGTCAATGCACTCATACATACATTACATGTACATCGGCCGTCCGCGTCCGTCCACCGATCCGAATACACGTTTTCTCTGCAAGGGTCTGATAAGATTGAGTTCTTGCACCATACATATGCATCTTGCGACTGGAGCCGGGGCCCACCCGTTTGTGGAGCTCAATTGAAATTTAGGGAAAAAGCCACCTTGTTGGGATATCGGGCATATGGAATTGTGATACATGGCGTGGCCGCCACTGGAAACTAGCACAGACGCTAGAACAACATTGCAGCTGACCAAACATAGCCGTAAGCTACCGAATACACTTTGATCCTCCAATTAGAAACAACATCCATGAAGATTTGTGGATTCTGCTGGCGAAGAGGCGAGAGTGAAAAAAGTGCAGTCTGTTTGTTCGCCCAGAGTCTTGGTATTTATAGGGTTGAAGGAAACGGCGTTGCCGACAGCTAAACTAGCTTCGGAGAGTTTGGACAGTCTAAATTAAATCCCAGTCGCCATTCATCCGAATCACACATATCCACCATGGAGCGCTTGGCGGCGGTGGCCAGGTGCTATCACGACTTCGAATTCATGCAGATAACGCCTAGAACGAGTGGCCGGAAAGACTATGTATGTAAGTACCTTAGGATTCACGACATTGAATCTTCAAGATGCATGTTTACAAGGATGCCATTCGCATGGTATATACTGGTATCAACAATACCAAGACGGTTCGTATCGAAGATCCCAAGTTTTAGATATTTGATATCAACACGAGAGAAAAGGATATCAGGCATGTCTTATCGAGATACCGATATCTGGCGGAAAATGTATTGGAAGATTCGTAGATCGTTACGAAGCCTCATTAAAGGTAAAATGCATCATAGTGCATAATTAAAATAATACTGAACATGATCATGAACCTGTTGTCTGACATGCATCGAACAAAGCTTGATTCACGGCTCGAACGTTACACAAAACGTAGCCAAAGCTCGAGCGGCCGCAATATCAGATACGAGAAATGTTAACCCGGTCGAAGATTTCAAAAATAATTGATCATGAAAATTCATATCAACTATGATCAATACAGAATGTAATATAATTGTATCTAATTAATTTATAAGATCACTCGACTTCTATGTCGTGGAACACATGCATCTACGGGACAACCTAAGCAGTGTGTCAAACCCTTGAATTGATCAACAGTAAGAAAATAATATGTAATATTAGGCACCCATTTTTGACATTCAGAAGTCAAGTAATCAACCTATAACCGGTTAACTTCCTCAATACCCCAAGTGCAAGGGTTCTACTCCGCATAATGCGAAGTTAAATAGTTCCGGGGCGTATCCTTGTGGACTAGCAAGGGCCTTCTATGACAGGGGTGAGCTATGACCTTCAAATATATCGAAATATCAAGGTACTTTATTCACGATCAATATATGTACGTAAATTTCTAACCATAGACTATCGTGTACTTCCAGCCCCTAAGGCCAAATTGTTATTTGATATACACACTAGCTAACCATAAGTTTGGGATGGAGTTAGGCTTATGTATTCTATTTATTTGAAAGTATACACAAAATCGTGAGAACATGTATTCTATTACATAACCTATTTCCTAGGTTTAAGCATGTCTCGAATGTATGCCTTTGCAACTGCACCGATAGAGTCGTCGCCTGCTAAAAATCTGATTTGGCCGTCGTTAATGGGCAACCTATATTGGAATCCTCTACATTTAGGATTGGTCTCGAATGACCTAGGTTCTTTATCCATATCAGGCCCTGATTCGACTTGCTGGAAGGCAATGCAGCCACCAAAAGGCCCGTTTGGCGCGTCGTTAAAACATTTGGCCAAACAAACATTTTTGAGGGCGCCGTATTCGCCAGTGCATTTCAAGTCTTGTGGCAGCTTGAGTGGCCATTCCCAGTTCTGATTGTTGCATGGGCTGGCTCCTTGAATTCCCGGGGAGACCACTGGTACCGTCATATTGACCCATTCCTCTCCTTTCCCCGCTTGATCAAGCATACAATAGTAAGGCCCAGCGCCATCTGTTGTCTGCTGGAACATAGTCACCCAGAGCCAGCCTCCAGCTGTGACAATTGGTATTTTACCCTTCTCCCTCAGCCATTCGATCCAATTTGCAGTGTGAATATATGCGCTGTTGTAGAATGGGCGGGCTGGATCCGTGCCTTTCAATTCGGGATGGTCAACAACATAATATTTGCTACTGCTAGCGTAATATGTTCGACCGCAGCCAGGGAGATGTCTCTTTCGACATTTTGAACAATTCGTATCGTATAGTGGGCATTTTTGACAGTTTTTCACTCCCCTGCAAGCTCCACATTCTGTATCAAACCCGGCCGGACACAGGGTGCATTTCCTCTGTCTGGCGCCTGACCCATTGGGTGTCATTGCTGGGTCGCTAAAGACCGTACAGTCTCTTTGGCCGTCGACGCGGCTATCTACTCTTCGGTTCGTATCTTCGAGGAGCCCGATACCGTAAGAACGAATCTTATGGTTTGCGTTTCCGTAGGCGCCCGTGATGAGGCAGTGAGAAAAAGCGGATGGAACCAGAGCGGTCACCGCATAGAGGACAGCCAACTTCATTTTTGGAGAAATATAATGAGCGTACGATAGATAAACTATCTAGAGTAGAGAACGGAACTGCTTCAAAAAAAAAAGCGGAAAAAAAAAGAACGACTAGCTCTTTCTTTGGCAGGATGTTACATAGACTCGAGCGCGAGGAGGGCAAACTATCAAATCTTCCTGCCAGTATCGATGTTCTAGTTATAAACTTTTACCAGTCGTTATAGTATCACATATAATCTACTTTAAACAATGCAGAATAGAACTACGAAGCTATAGGAAGCAGTCGCAAACGCGCGTAGGCGCCAAGCACGCGGCATCGCCAACTTTAGAAACCTTTCCCTCAATTGACCAAGCTGGTTCTGTGAAACTATTTGGGCATAGCTAGTCTTGTTCCACAGGCCAGGTTGTAGTAGCGGTATGAGGTTTGTATATCCGAAATTTATGCAATGCCGTTTGCCGATAGTCGAGTTTACGCGTTGGGGTGTTACAACGTTGCAATGCATTACTCAACACCGCAGTTCAGACTCGTCTCTGGTTGCCAGAAAAAGTACCTCCCCGCCCAAGATACGGGCCGTAAAATGCCGTACCTGAAATTTTAGAGAGAAACGCTAATTGATACGCAATCAGGCGGTCTATCAAAGTTAATCTAGTCACTAGATCCGATTCTTGTGTAATGACAGCTTTTAATGTTATTAAATGTCATGTTGGCGGTCCGGATGCCATATATTCGGTAAGTCCAATATTATGTTTCAAATGTTTCACTCTTTTAGCTTTTTAAGAATAAAGCACCCATAGACCTCCTGTCAATGTAGTCCCTGAGACATAGATATGTGATATAACGGCACCAAAGAAGCACTCCCCACAGACAATTCAGTATTAATTTGTCTTCCTGAACGGCAATGTATACTCGGTATCTAAATTTATGGCCTTAGATATGGCCCACCGACTTTGATATGATCGATCGTGTACATATCCCTGGTTGAAATGCTACTCTGCTATAGCTACCGTATTCCTTATATTTTCATCACAAGACCCTTTTTTGCTTGCGCTGCATAAGCAGGGGTTATTGCCCCTACTGTTAATGCACTGCATTCATCCTCGACTTTGACTGATTACTAGTCTCATATATGCATATCTTTATTGTACATTCAAATTCATTTCTTCTCCATTTTGTCGTGCAAAATTTTTGAAAGTATGTATAGAGAAGGTGCTATTTGCTGGCGGCCTGAAAGCCGGTTCAATGATCAATTGACTAAGTCGTAACCGGTCCTATTCCCGCAATATATATCGAATGGCAGGGGTTCGTGTTTTGAGGGTTTGATGTAACCAACGGAGAACCTTATTGACATCGCTTAAGATATCTAGTTTACCGGGCCGATAAAATACTTTTCTCAAAAATCTTAATGATCTTAGTAAGGATCTAAGATCAATCCCAAGATTTGATCTCTCTTTTCCCCTCTTTCTTCCTTTCTTTGAGATGTGATTCTTAGGCAAATTGTGTGCCGGCTCCGGTACCAGCTTAACCATGATCTGAACGAAACACCCATGGTAGAAAACAAGTTTTGTATCCTTATGTACTATGTAGAAAGAATCAAAGTTCACGAGCGAAGGAGAGGAAACCCCGGCAGCTTTGTCTGCCGTCCGGATAATTTCTGGATTTTGTTCCGAGCCAAAATATATGAAGCTCCGACCAAGGTGCTTTGCAGCTCGCAATAGTACGCTTTCTATGGACCAGGGTCACCCAAGAATTCAAGCCGGTTATCTTTTAAAGCTGCCTAGGACCCATATATGCTAAAAGCGATGCCCCCTGTCAACCGTCTGTGGCTGCAGCCGACTAAACGACTTGTACCAAGAAAAAAGGCTTGTATTAACCTTCAATTTCATGGGGGAAACAACGAGCAACTGCTTGACAGGTGTCACAAACATAGTTCAGCCTGTAGCTGCTAGATTGATAGATTATCAATTCTTCTGATTATGTATGTAAGGGTTCCCAGATTACATGCCTAAGAACTTTCAGAAGGCTGGTTATCATCTTCGGAAAAACCACAGTAACAATTGCAAATCTCACTCACTTATCGAATGCAATAATTAATTGCATTTTGTTGCTTGATAATTATGATGTCGCATGCATGACCTCCTTTAGGGACTCCGGTACGAGCAATGTGCTGACGCTTTGCATAGAGTTGGGAAGATAGACGGTCGGACACTCGAGCACCCAAATGATCGATGCTTTGGCACTCGTCAAGATCGTCGATAGACCAGCCATGTGCTCATAATGCCATGTGTTCTAAGGGTCCACTTTTGACGGGTCACGGCAGCCAGACTTCCGTTACGAGCAACTGCCTTCGAGTCGAACCAATCGTCCATAGAAGAATTGGTAAGGAATTGGCGTACGTGCGAATTGAAGTGACATTATTCGTACAGTCCATTTTAGCCGGTTTGCATGGCGTATGCCAATGTCGGCCCACAGCTAAATTACGCCAGCGAAAAAGCTTTTTTCTCTCTGGAACGCTTAACCGAAAAAAAGAAATTTGGAGGCGTTTGGCAATTCCATGTGTGCTTGTTGAGGACAAACTTCCTTTGGTCCGGCATCTAGAGGCATGCAAGTGAGAAGCACGTCTTAAAACTCCTTTTCATATTATTCAACCATCGTGGCTTCGGACAAATGCAAAACCTATTGGCTTGGAAGCTTGGCCATCGCGGTATCGGTTGTTTTTTGAATCCTTAGCGGAGGAAAAGGGCTCACCAGTTCGAAAAATTCAGTAGCTATTCCTGACTTCGCAAAGCAAAGTCAAGACCAAAAAAATCCTAGCCAAAAAGTCTTAGTTTTCGCGACCAGAGAGCATTCGTCAAAGCTATGTAACACCAAGAGCCTAGTGAAACCAAGCCTTTTTTGTCGTAAGATTTCTCCTTGTGAGAGGCTGCGGTGACTTTATACCGCATTTGAGGAAGCTGGGCAGCCATCTGCCGTCCGCTCTTTCCGAAAAGCTCATATTCCCTCGTTAACCAGGCAGCTCTGAACTTTGAAGATCATGAAACTGTAAGCGGTCAGGGTATGTGAGAAAAAGGCCTGGATTGTCACCCACGCTTTTTTTCCTTGCAAAAAGCAAGTCTGCAGCACACTGCAGTACTGTCATATTGCCCAAATATTGCGGGGACGCTTGCGCGGGTGGATGGGAATTTGTGGGTACACCCCTGCCTGAACGACCTGCGGGTGAAGGTGTTGAGAATTCGAAGGAAGGGTGACCTTGCTTGAGGACATGCCCAATCTCGGACAAAAACAGGTCCGTTAGATAGCGCTAGTGACGGTTTCGCACGTCGCCAGACTCTTGGGAGCAACTAATTTGCAAACCTCTGGACCTCGTTGATCGAATGATGTGGGCCGGGCGTCGAGGCTTGGCCTCAAGTCCGTTAGACTGAGAATCGTACGATGAGGCCATGGGCCATGGGGAAGCGAATCTGGAGTTATGGAGAAAACTGGAGTCAGGTATCGATACTCCACATCCATACTCGGACGTAAACCGGAGTATGGAACCCGAGCGTGTTCTATCCTCCAGCTTTCGAAACTTTGAATGCGCTTATACGCACTTGCGGAAATTTTGCATGATCTCATCCTAGTGGCCAGCATGCTTTCATCCCCAGATCGTCGCCCTTGGAGGGTGGGATGCCAGGTATATAAAGTGCGACTGAGGACAATGGATAAACTCGAGCAAGAACCCTGGATACTCCGCTATCTTTCCTCTTCATACCTTGCCAGCTTGCATTCCTGTCAGCAGCTTAAAGCTAGAAGATAAATATATAAATACTTATATATATATCTACCTTCCCGCCCGAGAAGTCAGCCTACAGCTCCAGCTCTAGCCTCCTGGGAGAAAAAACCTTACCTTGCACTTCAACGACTTCATCAAGAATATCTTCTGTCGAACGCATATATCAAAATGTCTCACGAAGCCAAGGAATACACCAACGGCGCCAGCAATGGTGTCAACGGCGCCCCTCTCACCCAGACCGAGTCTATGCTCCCTCCACACGGAGGTGCTTTCATGCCTGGTAAGTTGATAATAAAAAAATAAAAAAATTTTAAAATTCGGGTGCGCGTGTCTTTGCAGTACTAACTTTGGATTGCCCTCTACAGGTCCATACAAGAAGAAGCAGTTCCGTGAATTCGCCAATCCTGCTCCTCTCGGTCTCTCCGCTTTCGCCTTGACGACCTTCATCCTCAGCTTAGTCAACATCGGCTCCCGCGGTATTCATACCAACTCCATCGTGCTTGGCTGCGCCTATGCATACGGTGGTCTCGTCCAATTGCTCGCAGGAATGTGGGAAATGGCCGTTGGTAACACCTTTGGTGCTACCGCCTTGTCGTCATATGGTGGTTTCTGGATCAGGTAAATCGCACATCCTTGCCAATCATCGCAAATCCGAAGGAAAACTTGCTAATTCGAGTGTAGTTTCGCTATCATCATCGCTGGTGGTAACCAAAGCTACGGTGTCGTCGCTGCCTATGGCGCCTCTGGTCTTCCAAAGGAAGTTGTTGAGAAGCACGTCTCCTCCGCCCTCGGATTCTACTTGACCGGATGGTGGATCTTCACCACAATCCTCCTATTCTGCACTCTCCGATCCACTGTCGCCTTCTTCTCCCTCTTCCTCACCCTCGACATGGCCTTCCTCATGCTCTCCATTGCCCACTTCCAGACTGAAGAAGGTGGTGCCCCCGGCAAGAACCTCACTGTCGCTGGTGGTGTTTTCGGCATGATCGCTGCTTTCTTGGCTTGGTACAATGCTTTGGCCGGTCTCTTGGACGCAAATAACAGGTTAGTACTAATAGCCAGAGTCTTGAAAATACGAGAATTATTAGCTAACCGTTTAACAGCTGGTTCCCAATCCCAGTCCTCCACTTCCCATGGAGCGAGACCGGCAAGGCCAGAAAGGCCGAGACCTCCGCCGCATAAATCAGTACAAAGTAGTTTCCTTCTTTGGAGGTTTTGGCGGAGTGATATATATGTTCATAATTGTTCGCAAAAGCGAAATGTCGAAAGTTCTATTTTTTTCTATTTCTTAGTTATTAGTTTAAACCGCACGTATGATTAATTTAATAACGAATTACGTTATGGGTTTCACCATACTTCCTCAATTGCCGCATTCGCAAATTTCGTAGTCCTGTAGTTTTTCTTAGTCCGGTTTTTTTTTTTTTCGCTTGCTTTAAACGTTCCATTTTGCATATGATCGCGATCGAAACCTGTGGTATCCGCCGTTATCCACGACCGAGACATCATCTTACACCCGCCAAACTCGAGAAACTTCGCATTTTCGAGGAGCTTGCCCATCCGAGCTATGGGGAGCTCAGAAAAAAAAAATAAGCTGAGCTGCAAGCTGCAAAATCTTCATCCCGGTATGTTGCCAAATGGAAGGTGAAAATCGCAAAAACGACCAGGAAGTGGCCTGTGCGGCCTCGCATACGCGCCTGACCGTTATGGGAATTTCCTGGAGACGGGTCTCAGATCACCAAAATAGGGCTGCATCGACCCCAAAAAAATCGAACCTTAAAAATCGTAAAAATCATGAAATAGACGGCATGTGAATGGCTAGAACTTCTGTATACGGGAAAGTCCGTGAGCTGCATGTTCTATTTTCTGCGACGACGGTCCAGTGGGGAAACAATCCGATGCACTGCAGGGTCGATCCTCACTATCCACTTGCCCGGGCAGACTAGTACCAGCAAGCTGCAGATACCCGTCCCTGAATATCTCCACGTGGAAGCCATGCGGGTAGATTGCGTGGAGCTAGGGCCTTTTGAGGTGGTGGAAAGTTTATTCGCCTTGCAGCTTTGAGCCGTGAGCTACCCGAACCCGGAAGGCTCTATCGGACAGCCATTTTAGGCAGTAGGCCATTTTAGATATCGCTGTTACCACCCCTATGGGTTTGCGTATCCTCTTATTACTTACATTTTCCAATGGTTGGCGCCGCACGCGGTGTGGATATCGATGTTGAAGCAGTTGAAATTCGAAAAATTTCGGAAAGCAGCAGCACATAATTGTGTTGACTACTGACTTGTAGTACAAAAATACCACAATCCTTCCTTTTATATCCCAATTCATCCTGGGGCCAAAGACGTCATTTCATCCCTGTTAGAATATATATTAGCTGAATAGGTCCGGAATCGAATCCCTGGTGGCAGCTCAAGTGGGTGACGAACACCTAGAAAGCAGTCAATAAAAAACCGAAAGATTCTTAATCACTTCTTGAGCGACGCTCGTTGAGGCTTATAAACCTCTCGGAATCTTGCCTTGGTTAACGTTGTTCAAATGCTTGACCAGAACACGTTTTTTATAAATGTGAAATTCTCGTTTCGATGACTAATTCACCTAATTCGTTAACGCGTATTGAGCGGCTGGTCAAGGTTAGACGATCGTATTAATATTATGATTGGCTCAGTGCAAGTTTTATAACCATACTAGTTTGATCGCCCTCAGCTATACTCCGTATAGTAAGTTATGATAGCCCAAGCGCCAACCCTTCATCCACGGGAAGAGATTCAACAACATGCCATACCCACCCAGAGCTTGCTCGGACTAGATTGCTCCTTGTCAATTCAAAAAACCTCGGGTCGAGTAGTATACTTAGGTTCTCCTGAGCTAAATCTATAGGATAACTTGTTGTGGGTTCCATAAAGACGCAACAGTGTCGAAATCGAGATACGCTACGGGTAGAACGATTCATGATTTTAGTTATGTGGTATATCGCAAATGGGTAAAACAAGGGCTTTAAATGGATATATATCCAAAGCCGTGCCTATTTTTTCAGGGAAGCCTTACATGTTACTGTCTATAAATCCAACGCTAAACGCGATATCCCGGACCGCGGCCCGGATCGAACGGAATGGCTCCCTTTGCACTAATAGTGATAGAAAATCGTCATAGCTGAGGCCGAGGGTATCTGAATCATCTTTGAGATCAAGCACAGCGTTCAAAAGATGGAAATTGCAACCGGTAAGTACTTGAAGTTCATCACGCCTTAACGCGACGGCTTCTTTGTCATTATATTCATCGGTACCTCGGAACTGAAGTAGACCTGGTAGTCGTTCGAGCTCCTCGTGATATCGCCACCACCATACCATCTCGATCTATTAAAGGATTAGCTCCCACCCATCGTATACTTAACCAAAACAGAGGTGCACACCGTTGTAAGCCCTCCAAAAAAGAAACGCCCATCAGTATGGATACGAGATCCCTGATCAGTGCTACTTAATGAATTCGAACTCCGTATCAGAATTTGATCAAAGGAAATCCGTCTCAGGTTTGACATGTTCCTATCGGACAGTATGCCTCTACAATCACCGGCAATGATGGTAGAGGGGTTTCCATAACTCAAAGTTTCTGCTCGGGTCCCATCGATTATGAATATAGGTTGAACGCCGATGTCATGCTCATAGTCCGTGAAATTTATCAGTTCATCCCATGAACTCATTTCCATCAGGTACTGAAATTTTTGTGCGTCTCGCGCATACGCAAGAGCGTACGAGAGCCTAACTTCATGGAAAACCGACCCAGAAAAACTTTGACATTCTGGTATGAAAATGACCTTCCTTCGACGCATGAGTAGACAAGCAAGTAATGCGAGGATGTATGATTTTCCCCAGCCTGGAGTACTCTGTAGGACGTATTCGCCAGTTCGTCGGCGCATCAGGCCTTTGATATCATGGTAAATATCCCAAAAGTTGACCCGGCCCATAAAATGGAGATGTTGAGCCGCTTGATTGGTATGCTGATGAGGATAGAGACATGCGAAAGGGATGCTCTTTCGATTCTTCGGATTGGAATATGCGCCTGGGCTGGGATCGAGTCCGGCAACTTCGTCTAGGATTGATAATGCAAGGTCACGCACTATCAAAATCCCGAGGAAGCAAAGTTAGTTAAAACAATCTAGTAGGGAGTATCCTCGGGCAAATATTTACTTTGACAAGAACGAGTGCGTGTCAATGCCATAATGAAAGACTCCGAAGGAACAATATGATCAAGTCTCGAATTAACGAAGATTGATCTAGAGCGGGCTATCTGGTGGCTCCTGATAAATAGTATGTTTGGTTGTTTATAAATTGTTTTTTTTTAAGAATAAATTTTGAAAAAAAGAAAAGTTAGGTTATTGAATCGTTGAACCACTGTCTCGATCTCTAAAACTCGGAACTTAACTCTCTGGTGGCCTAATACCTGGTCTAATTTGCATCATGGCTCCACCGGAGATGCACGCCGCATATAAAATAGCAATCATCTTTTTATACGATACTGTAAGACGATATCGCGATATCTTAGTATAGTAAAGTAACAATTATTTGTATGTCTAGAAATCGACATGTTCTATGCGCATGCTCCGCATATCCATGTCAACCCAACGGGATAACAGCCCCTGTATATAACCCTTCTATGGCCTTCCCTGAGGCAATATGTACTATTTACAAATCATTTTGAACCCGCCACATATAAGTAAGAAACCATAACCTAGGTATTTACGCCAAAGGACCTGAACTTAACATAAAAACGCAAAGAAGCCCAGTGCACCCGGAATACATATAGCACTCTGGCTAACCACGGTGTGCAAAACCAGCAAGCGAATGCCTCTTAAAACTCATTGCATTGAGAATTAGGGAAAGAGCAATCCCTCCGCTTTTTCAAAGTCCCCACTTGTCATATTTAGAGCGGCTACTGCCTTAAAATACCTTGCCCCTTCCTCTAGTAGCTGGTTCAATGGACCAGGCCAGGGAGATGAACTGCTCAGTTCCCCCAGTTCAGGTGTGCTAATGCTAACCCGGAGTCTATCGTACGGATTATAAAGGGCCTCACTGATCGCTTTTGCCCATTGCCATGGTTCCGAGAACCCATCGGTCCAACCAGCATTAAAGTATTCCCAGCCAATAACCCCCCCAAAATTTGGATAATTGGTACGCAGTTGTCGAATGACTTCAGTTAACCGCTTGTGGGGTACAAACCCCGACCCTCCGTTTCCCGGGTTTGCAAGAATTCCTAGGACGATACGAGACGGGTCCCATTTCCCAAGCGTTGCTATAGCATCGTAGTACCTGAGATCACCTGCGTTCCCCCAGCCGTTATAAAATTGGCAATTGTACCAATCCACCAGTTTTCCTGACGGGCGAGTTGAAGATATTGCCAACTTATCAAGGTCGTTATAATCGAAGCCGGAAAGTCCCACTGCCCAAGGCTTTGGAAACATGGCTGATGCGACGGGCGACATTGCTAAAACAAAGTCCGGTCCTAGGTCTGCATCCAGGCGACGCAAAAGACGTAATGGTACAGAGATATCGACTCGCTCTTCAATATCAAGATCAATACCATCAATACCATATTTCCGAATTATATCCAGCAGCGGAAGATAATATGCTTCGAACTAAATTTATTCAGAAAGTCACATTAGTTCTAAATCCCATAATATATTCAAACTTAGGTGGGCACATAAGAGCGAGTATATTTGAAATCAGCGGGGTTCCAACCTGTTCATCTGATCCAGACAGCCTGTAATAGCTGCCCCTCGCTGCCCCTCCTAGTAACATCAGAACCTTGATGCCACACTGTTGCAATACCCTAATTTGGGGCCAAATATAGTCGAATCGAGGGTCGTCTGGGGGGGCATCGTTTAAGTGGATATTTCCAGGAGGGTCATTTATATGCACCGCGGCCAGATAAATGTGGGTAATTCGAGTTCTATGATACAGTAATTCCAACAAGTTCAATGGGCGGCCTTTCGGTGTCGCGAAGGTTTGAATCCAGACTTGCGATCTCGGTCTAGTCAAATATACAGGCCCCAAACCTGGTCTAGACCCTTGGGTTGTATTTTGCGGAATAGCGAGGGAAACACACTGCAAGGAGAGCTGTAGATAGAATAATACTCGAAAGAATGTAGTAATTTTAAAGTTCATCGTGCCAAACCAGTGGCATCGATTTATTGAAGATATAAGATATAGAAGTATAGAATAAAAGAACCCATTTCCGCATGTCAGATCAATGCTATTATATTCCGAGGATATTAATACACTTTTATAGTGCTACAAGGGTATCACCAACAGCATGAGCGCACCCAAAGTCTCCCAGCCAATTTAAATTCGGTTGATTACATTCAGCTGAAGACATACCATTCTGGCATTAGATCGAAACGACGTAGTTCGAAATTCATACCATAGTTCAGCAGCAGACGGAAGATCGGATAGGACGTTACAAATAGAAGTGGCTTCGTCATTCCCTATTTCAAACCGATCAGACAGATAAAGCCACAGGTTTAAACTTATATATTGGCCCCAACCTATGCGTAGCTATTTCCTGTACTCAAATCGCGCTGTTTGGAATGGATCATCATTATACAACAATCTTGGCGAAATGATCGTGAGCATGAGACTTGCGTGTTCAAGCCAGGAACATTTACGATCCAGCACGGCGATGCAAGATCAAACAAGGGGCACGGAGTCTGCCAAATCATTGATGAAATTTTCCTCGGTGGCTCTAAAGATTCTAGTAGAATCGATGCTGTCCGATCTGTGGTTCGATGTTTGGAACGGGCCGGTTCCATACATTACTTCGTAAACAACAAATTCCAACGTCTTAATTAACCCTCGGCTTCGTAACCGAGAGCCTCGAACATTAATCATAGTGCTCCATACAAGGCCAGACTGTATAATAGGATTAAGACCGCATAATGCAGGAGGTTTCAAACAAGACATCTACCAATAAAGTACTAGACTTAGGTATGCTGAAGTTCGTTTTGCGGATTTAGACTATAGTTCAACTAAATATAGATATTGGAACTCGAAAATTAACAATATCATTTAATTATAAGTAAACATATAGGCTATCATTAGTACTAAAGAGCTACCAAGCTTTGCATTTCGTCAGATGCCGTCGTTAGGATAGTATTGTTTAAGATAAGATAGGAGTCTAGGAACATGATAACAAACCAATGCCCAGAAAATCGATATTAAGATATCGCATGCACCATCTGACTGACAACTTGACCTCGAAAATCCCACGATGGAATTTTTGATTTGTGTTAAATAAAGAAGGAAACCAGGAGATTTAAGTCCAAAAAGCCTCATGGCAAAAGCCCTCCCGAAAATACTTTTTTTTTCGTAGCCAGTACCATCGAGAAAGGTCACTTTGTTGAAATTTTGAGTTAGTTGTTGCAGATTATAGGGACTCCGGCCCGCGATGGCGGAAATAGCCCCACCAGTCGAAGTCTATTTCCTGGCTTTGGACGGTTATAGTTGTGTTCGATACCATGGGTGAAACCTTCGGATTTACCATTTTAGGTTGGGCTCCGGACGTTCTAGGATTATCCGAGTAGCACATGCCGTAATATGTAGATTGTTTCCATGATCCTTCTAAATGATCCGTCGATATCATCTGTTGTATACGCGACATGGAATTTAATTTGAACCACGCAATTGCAAAGGCAGACTCAATTGACAAGCGCCGCTGTGCTGCCATCTTCCAACGTAGTCAACACAAGCCACACCACAAATAGGACATTGATGGATCCAAGGCTTCAGATTCATGATTGATTCGATGATAGATCAATGCATGGAATCACAACCGGAATACTACAATGGTGTAGCGAAGCCCCCGCCAAGTTCGAGCAACGAAATTTCATAGGCGGAACTACATGCTAGTCCCGCCGGTAACCCTGACTAGCACCATGGTACGGAGTAGAGTTTAGCTCTCATGTTTCAAGCCGGAGCACACAATTCGGATATTCAGGAACAAATTACAGGGTTAACTCGCGCTTGTGAGAAAATTCCACGGATCCATTCATCCCATCGCTTCGGTTAGTATATAACCATGACGTTTTATATTACCAAGGGATTATCAATATAAATATAGGGATACCTTGATCGCCATTTTTCGACAAGCCGGCTGCTTGGTCCCGCCTTTGAATCCCGCCTACCCGGCCCTGGATAGTATCTCGTATGCATATCCTAAACCCGGAGTCGAGCCGAATACAGATTACATATCTGTATAAATACAATGGCTTGCCCGGTTGTGAATATGCAAGGACATGTAATCTGTGAAGACTTGCAATCCGCAGTTACTTCGGAATCATGGTTCGGTACACATCTGTCCTTCTGGCACTCGCCGCAGGCCCGGCTCTAGTAGCCTCTGCAGCTTCTCAATGCTACAACTGGAAAAATGTCAAGATTGGTGGCGGTGGTGGCTTTGTTGATGGGATTGTATTCAATCCAAGCGCATCTGGAGTCGCATACGCACGAACTGATATTGGTGGAGCTTATCGATTGAACTCCGATGATTCTTGGACTCCTTTGTTGGACTGGGTAGATTCTACAAACTGGTATGTACGTCGCAAATACTACCATAAATGCTAGGATGTTCTAACAAGAGAAAAATAGGAACTATATGGGAGTCGATGCCATTGCCACTGATCCTATTGATACCAACAGAGTTGTTATGGCCGTCGGGTTGTACACAAACGATTGGGACCCTAATATGGGATCCATCCTGCGCTCAACAGATAAGGGCAATAACTGGTCTGCTACTAAGCTACCATTCAAAGTTGGAGGCAACATGCCGGGAAGAGGAATGGGAGAGGTGAGTTCATGAATTTTCCCGATATACCTACAAATTCGATCTACGAATCCAAAGTCCACAGAGCGTAAGCCACAGTTCTAATTAATAAAAACCTTATATAGCGTCTCGCGATTGATCCAAACTCCAACAACATCATTTATTTCGGTGCTCGCAGTGGAAACGGCCTTTGGAAATCTACCGATTATGGTGCTACTTGGGCTAAGGTCTCCTCATTTACTTCTGTTGGAACTTTCGTTCCAAACCCATCTAGCAGCAACTCCTACGAGCGTGACATTGTTGGAATTGCTTGGGTTACCTTTGACTCCACCAGCGGGTCTAAGGGGTCTGCTACCCCGAGGATCTTTGTTGGTGTAGCTGACAAGTCGAATTCCATTTGGGTCTCTACAAACGCCGGTTCAACCTGTAAGTCTTTAAATTTCTCTTTGTCAAATTTTGATGTCACTCGCGAAGCCCCTTTATTATAACTTTACTAATGTGAATTCCGAATTCATAGGGAGTCTTGTATCTGGCCAGCCAAGCCAAAGCTATCTACCTCACAAGGGTGTCCTTTCTCCCTCAGATAAGCTTCTTTATATCACATATTCCGACGGCGCAGGACCATATGATGGTGCCCTTGGTGCCGTCTGGAAGTACAACATTGCGTCTGGAGCTTGGACAGATATTACCCCAGTCAGTGGAGGTGATCTCTACTACGGATTTGGCGGCTTCGCCGTTGATCTCAAGAAACCTGGTACCATCATGGTAGCAGCGCTCAACGCCTGGTGGCCAGAAGGGGTAAGAAATCCTGATTTGACTCTTTTGCTGGGTAGATAGTCTTACTGACACCTTCATCCTTCGATAGCTTATTTTCCGCAGTACCAACAGCGGTGCAAGTTGGACTAGAGCTTGGGACTGGAATGGCTCAGACAGAACTAAGCGCTTCACTATGGATTCCAGTTTGGCACCTTGGCTAAGCAATCCTTCGGATGAAGTCCCAGAGCCAATTGGATGGATGATGGAAGCTCTAGTCATTGATCCCTTTGATTCTAACCACTGGTTGTACGGAACCGGAGCAACAATCTATGGTGGCCGTGATCTGACCAAGTGGGATACTGCTGGTGGCGTCGTAACTATCAAATCACTCGCTGATGGTATCGAAGAAACCGCTATCTTGGGTCTCCTCTCCCCTCCAACTCAACATGTCAAGCTCGTTTCCAGTGTCGGCGATATTAACGGATTTATTCACGACAACTTGGATACTCCAAGGACATCTGCATCCCAATTCCACAACCCCAAGTTTGCGACTACCTTCTCCCTTGACTATGCCGGCAACAAGCCGCTCAACTACGTCCGTATCGGTGGCGATGCCGGAAACATCGCCGTTTCTACCAATGGAGGTGTTTCTTGGTCTTCGCACTCTCAATCCTCGGGAACTACCGGATCGAATGGTTTCGTCTCGTACTCCGCAAACGCAGATACCATCGTATGGAGTACCACCAATATCGGTGTCATCCGCTCCGCCAATGGTGGAAGTTTTACAACTGTATCCTCTTTGCCAGCGAATGCATATGTCGCTGCTGATCGTCGCGATAACACTGTTTTCTATGCCATTTCTGGAAATAAATTCTATGTTTCCAAGAATACCGGTGCCACCTTTACCCAAACTGCGACGCTCTCGGGAAGCTGGGGTTATAAGATCGTTCCTAACCCCGGAACTGCAGGAGACGTTTGGGTTTCCACTGATGGTGGTCTCTTCCGCTCCACTAACACTGGTACTTCTTTCACCACTATTAGCGGGCCTACATGGGCTGCTCACTTCGATCTCGGTGCTCCAAAGACTTCTGGTGCATATTGGTCGATTGCAGCTATGGCTACTATTGACGGAAAGAAGGGTCTCTATAGATCTGATGACACCGGAGCAACCTGGGTCCAGATTAACGACGCCACTATGGGATTCGGTACCGCCGAAAGCAACAGAGTCGCCGTCGATTACTCCGTTTACGGAAGAATCTTCGTCGGAGGTGGAAACGGACGTGGTATCTTCTATGGTAAGTAAAGAAATATCTATGGGAATATTTAGACTTTCGATTGTTGGCCGTTTTGCTGGACCAAATTGCTAATTCCTCTCCTCACGACAGGTACCCCATGCGGCGGAACCCCAACGTCGACTACTACTGCTGCAACCACTACAAGGGCCACTACGACCTCATCGACCACCACCCGCGTTACCACTACTCCAGTGACCACCCCATCGACTACTACAACAACCGCCATTCGAACTTCCACAACAACTAGCGCAGTAACAACCACTCGTTCTACTACAACTACCACTCGTGCCAGTACCACTGCTAGCACCACAACCACAACAGGTAAGCTTCCTTAATCAATCCCTCTATTGATTGTGTCAGAATATTATCTAACACTATAATCTAGCCGGTGGTGCCCTTCAAAGCCAATGGGGACAATGCGGAGGCCAAGGCTGGACAGGCCCCACGGCGTGTGCGCCTCCTGCGACCTGCGTCTCTAGCAACCCTTACTACTCCCAATGTTTGTAAGTTAAGGGTGTAGGAAGGATTTATATATTGTAAATATGAGGTGGAGAAGTCGGAGTCGTGTACATACATAACATACATACATAATTTTAAATTTTGTCAGCCTTGAGGAAAAATTAAATGCTTATATTGGGCTCAGAGGTTGATCAAATAACCTATGGTATCTATTGGTCTATAATCCATGGTTCATGAATTCAGCGATATTGCGATATATCGATATCGATGGTTACATTAATTTCATAAGTTAAGCTAGCCCTGAGACTAAGTTAAGTATGTTAACATTATCTCAAAATTGTTCTCGGCTGCTTTATATTTATATACAATCTAGTCTCAGGGCCAGATGCCAGCGTGTCGTGTTTATAATATTACCACTACAAGGGATAGAACCCGTTTCAAACTTGGGGCAGGCAGATAGGGCCAAGTTTAGGTAAATTGGTTTTATATACTTAATATATATCGATCCTTCCCTTAGCTTCGTAATCATAACATTACTCTCATCGCCATGCATATTTTGCGAGCACGGGACAAAGAATTTTCTTTGAACTTTACAAATGAAATTACACTAGTTAGAACCTAGTTAATATTTAAATTATGTACATACACGGTAGTGTCAATACTAAATTTATATTCCGAGAGCACCCGCCCTCTACTGTGTCTAGACTAATTCAGAAACAACTCCGGTCAATCCTGGGATTTCGTTGTGTTGGATTCTGCCTGCAATTACCGCCATCAAGTGGCGCAGTCGTCTGTCAACAATTGAGGCTGGTGAGAAGGTCTTATCATGACCAGCTACAGGCGGTAGTTGCCTGTCGATATCATTCGATTTGACTCCCATGAACCCCATGACCACAGCCTTCAATAGTAAGATAACTCAGGAAAATCATAACAAATCCCACGCGCGAAATACCGTGGAAAACTCCCGTCGTCAAAACAATAGACATGTAGTTATGTACGTTATAGACACGTCTACCTTGATGTTAATTCACATTCGCCGTCGTGTAAGCGGCTCGCATGTATGTATGTATGCATATCTGCATATGCATAACTAAGTAGACATGGCGACATCCTTTTTTTCCCTTCCCTCTTTTCTCTATCATATGCAACTTTTCTTCCGACTCCGATCTGTGGACCGGACCAGGCATATCCTGGGATTTGGCCGAAGCTGAAACTAACTTGAGCAATATTCGAAAGGTGGTGGTGCTCGCTACTGGTTGCCACCGCTCCAACATGCAGAGTTAGAAATCAATGGCATGACGATCAACCAATTCACTATCAACAATGTTGGAAGCCTCGTCGGTTTTAGGGGGTAGGTTCTTCGGACCAACATGAGTTTTTCCTTTAGCCGGCAGGTGTGATGTTCAAGCCGTCCTAACAATTCTAGGTTTTTTGTTAGGGGCCCCAAGATCTGGACAAGATGTTGGAAGGAGAAGGCGGTTATAACACTTCTCTTTCCCCGCACGGCTTACAAGTCGGCTATTGTGGATATCGATATACAATTCATGAATAACATCCATGTTCTTAAAAGTCTGATTAGAGAAGAAAAACTCTCATGGTGTCTTTAGACATCAAACTGAGACACGGCTCGTCCAAACTCTCACTTGCTGTGCAAAAGCATAGCTGTTACCTAAATACTGAAGTCATTACTCGGGCGAGATCCAACTTTGACTTACAGGGAAGCTTCAATTCTGCGACGTCAAAAGCTTGACTGGGCCCTATATACCCATTGAAAGCTCCGGGATACCATGATTCAATCTTCAATATAAACAGGTATTCGATACCGGTAGCCGTAAAAAGATACCTCAAATCAAGTAACAGAGATAAAAAAAGACCGCAAAAGCGGGGCTAAAAACAGTATCGATTGAAGATCGAACCGATGGTCCGGGTTAATAATCGCTGATGCTTTTTACACCCTGCCCAATGGTATCCCACGTCTGGCATAAACTGCCAGACTGCGTCGTAGTTTTCCCCACATCAGGTCCAACGCTAATCAAAGGGCAAGGTTATCCCGAGGAAGGGATCCCGATTTATGTCTATCGATGGCGTAAGATTTCCTTCCTTGGTTTTGGATATCCCTCTCAGGATAACAGTTCTGACGACTTGGAGGCATTAACACCCATATTAAAATCTGCATGCTGCACGTCGGTGCATAAACCGGTAGATGGAAGAATTAATCGAGCAAAAGGTAAACAACACGTTCTATCAACCTCAATCGACACGAGTTTTTTTTGCAATTTTTCACATGGAATCAGAGGGGACGTAAACAAAAGGTAGCGGATTGAGCCGTCGAGTTGTGCCTTGCATTGCATTTAGAGAGTGATTCATAATCTGAATGTCGACCGTCGGTATGGTATCTACCTACTTCCTTACCTACCTAGTGTACCAATTGCAAGCGCAAGCTATCTAAACGAAGTGGCGGGTTAAGTTGGATGCATATGCAATGCTCGAAGCCACGGGATCAGAAGGTTGGTACTCTGTACTTATTTTGAAGAATGGTAATATCATAAGTAGTAGAGGTGTTCAATTAAGAGGTTCAGCTCGAGCTATCTGCTAAACGAGTGGCGTGGTTGTTCGCTTGTTGGAATGCGGAGGTATAATTTCAATTCAGAAATGTTGATACATACCCTGCACCTCCTGTGATAGTGTAAACAAATTGTTATTTTTGCTCGCCGGTCTAAAATTCAATATCGAAATGGCGCAGGATGATACGTTGACAATAATGGATTGTGCTTTGCAATATTGTAGACACACACACACATACACGCACGGCGAAGACAGAGATTGCCTGTCATATGTTTCACGAGTGCGAGGAACGGGAGAGGGGGGTATCAAGAGATTACACATGCATGGAAGAGCTCGAGAATACGGGTGGTTGCTCCGAAAACAGTACCAATGTAACAGAACTTTGTGATCTTTAAGGGTCTGGCATATTTTGTCGACGGCTGTCGACTGATCACTGTATTGTGGCACAAGGAGAATGCTTGTCTACAGACAGCTTTTGTGTGGAACTAAAGATGAGCAAGAGCTTTGCTCGATCGTCCATCGTCTGGATTTCATTCATTCATTCATTCATTCCCATTATTACTTCGCCTTCATGGTTTAGTGAATTCGTGAATTGTTCCTGAGATAGCTTGTGCTCATCTCAACCCTGTTGGGTAAGTCTTTGCAGCATTTGGACTAACATTTGTCGAGGCTATTATGATGGTTGAATTTGTGAAGGCGAGGTACACATGCAGGATTCCTTGAGGAAGTCTCGAGGTTTCTAACCGGGGTCTTCAACGTCATTAAAGCTGTGATCTCCAATATCAATACTGGTGTCTCTGTCTGCATGCATCCGACAATCCTCCTTCCGTGTCTCCTTCCAGCAAGTCCATGCTACGAAAGCTTCTAGTGAAACCGTGACTGCAAACGTGATCAGAAATAAAAGAAAAAAGAACATTTCCAACTGCCTAGGGGCTGGCTTGTTGAAATGCAGCCCAGATCCACTGGCGAAAAAAATTTTCTCCCTTAGAACGTTGTATGTTAAACGAAGCTTGTTGGTTTTGAAAGCTTCCGTCGAGCTCCGTAATGCTGTGAATTCGACTCATCCGCTTATAATTGCAAAAGTGCAAAGCCGTCTAAACGAATGGCTGGGGGTGGAGTGTAATACGCGATGGATTCTCATGCGCAAGAGACACTAGCTTTAGCTCGCGTGTTAACGAGCACGCGACGCGATGCCGACGTGCTAAAGAGTCGATGCGAGTCTCATGTATGTAATGTGTGTACGTACTTTGTACTATGTCGACGGATGCGAGTGCAAGCTTTGCAAGCTAGTTGTGGAAAAAAGAGTCAAGGCCATATTTGGAAATTGTTATTCTGGAAGAAACCCCGTTTGGGAAGAATCTAAATTTATAACTGTTTCGACCATGCCTCTTTCAGGGTCGGTCCCGTTTCGCTTAACGCACCAATGATACGGAGACGCCGCACGATCCGTCGGCCGTCATGCAAGAACCTTGCCTTTCGTTTTGAGCCGGGAGGATGGGTGTTTCAAGTTGATCCCCTACATACGATGTAGGAGTCGGGGATGTGGGCTTCCCCCGTTGAAATTGCTACACCTGTGTTTAATTGGCGTCTTGGATTTGGAAGGTATTTTGATGTTGTATATTCAAAGTTATATTTGATTACTACACAGTACTTACACACTCTTCCAAAAGATCCATAATTTAGGAGAACTTTCGGTTATATTAAAATCCAACACTGTCAAGTTCACGATTGATGGCCTGCGGGATATCCCCATCGCAAGTGCAATGATGAATGAGATGTCGAAGACCATCTTTTTCTTTTCGGTGCTGTCGTTTGCGGCAGCTGGAGATTTCCAGGATCTCGGATTCTTGAGGTGTGGGACTGACGTGTCCTGTGGCGCATGCTCTCCCTGATCATGCACGCTATCTGTGGCTTTCACCCTTTGAAAGTCTAACTGAGCCTCATTGCATGGCTAGCGGGCCAATTGCCGGCGGTCGAACCTCCACTTCAAAAGGTGGGGTCCCGAAATATGGTGGCTGGATTGGGACGTCCAGGCCCGAAACTGGCCACTTTCAGCTGAATCCGGTTAATTAAGTGCTGGTGGGGTAGCCGGTTGGTCTTCTTTTCGTCCTATCATCTGTCGATGCTTGGTCAACATGAATCTGTCTGCGGATTTTCATATTTGCTTACTCGGGAAATACGAAGCAACCGCAGGCCGTTGGTTGCACAAACCTTTGGTAAAAACCTGGTAGAAAAAAACCTGAACGGTGTCGATGATTTATTGGAGGGGCAAAGTCGAACGAAAGAAAGTAGAATATTCGTTCAAGCAGGTGACTATTGGACCATGGAGGATCGAACACAAGCTTTTTTTCTCTCTTCACTATCTTGAGAGTACACACTTGCTCCGAACCGCCTGTAAACCGTCGAAAAGGGAACTAAACTCCGAATGCAGGTATACCATCGTGAAACGCGTGTAATATTTCATTTTCGCGTGGTAATGTGAAAATTTTTTCAATTCTTTTCGGTTTCCCTTTTAGCTCTCGGGTCCCAAGACTTTGCTTGAGACGGGCTAGACGCACGTCGATGCATATGTATGCACCGGGAACATAATTGTACATACATAGCACATACATACATATCTAGATCCTTAAACTATTCTTGTGGATTAGGACGGGGAGAAAAGTGTCCACGACCGAATGGACCCAGCTGGGTCCAGTGTTCCCTGGCGTGCAGAGCCAACCTTGTGAAGAGCATAAGATTTGTCCTGCGTTAAGGGATAGGAATCAAAAGGGTGTATGGCTACTGCGATCATACCGAAAGCAGACGGTGCTTGTACCGCGGTTTCTTTTAAACGAGATGTGCGAGCAAATTGCAAAATTGGCGGGTCGGAGTTAGAGCGAGGGCAAAGCGTTGGAATATCCCTACGCATCCATCCCTCAGCTCAATTTCCAATAACGATTCTATCTCAGCCACCAGCGTTGGATAGTGGAATTTTGCGGCCGCAAGTTTAAATACACCCCAGCGAGGTTGTGCCTTGAGGTCTGATTGCTAAATTTGCTGTGCCGGACGCCTGAAGCTGCTTCAGTGCGTAGTGGGGCTTATTTTGGGGGGGTGACCTCATCAATTTGGTATCAGTGACTTCAGTCAATGACACCATTTGGTGCAATCGGTTTCGTGTGAAAAGGTAGAAGAGACAGGCTGCATACGGACGGAACATACTATTAGAGCTGGAACCTTATGAGGAGGATACTACAGGGCATGGGTATCAGCCAGAAGTCTCAGCGGGCATATTGGCCAACCCCATTTAGCAGTAGCAATCGAGGATCATTGCCGGTTTACCTCCTTCGCTCTTGGTTCCCATGCGTCAGAATCTCCAGTCAGCGTCGAGGAATTAATATAATTGTGCATGACCGATTCCACCATGTAAGGAATAAAATAAAATAAAATAAAATAAAAAATAGGTAATAAAAAAAATTCATGGGCGCGCAAACACGTCGACCCCTTTAACCTTGTCCAACCGATTTCTAACCTTGTAGCCTTGAAATTCTCCAAGTTGGCGTTGGAGGGGTTGGGGTGAATTCGGCCATCGCATGGCTGGGTTTGTGGAGACTACCGACTAACAAAGCACTTTAAGCTGGTTAAGTGTAGTAGGCCTCGTGCTCTTCTTCTCCTTCGAATCTTCTTCATAGTTTCGTTGACAATGCAGGCAAAACTTCATGGGTAATTTCCAACTGCAACCTTTGAATATTTCACTGTTGGCGCACATGCACATACACAATGAAATTGAAGATCTGTTGATTTCTTTTCCCCGCAAGTGCAGCGAGGGAGGGAGCGAGATGAGTATTAAGTTGGAAGAACAAAGCGTTCCTGCATCAAACACCTGGTTTCAATGTTGAAAGTGGCAAAGGAGGCGATGGCTTTAAATTTATGAAGGGAAATTATGTTGAGAAATATCCAATGCATGAGGCAGTAAAATTCCGGTGCCTTGGCTCACGTTAGTACCTTGAGCTAAAGCTGCTGTATACAACTTGGATCTTGCCCACAGGCCTTTCGGTTGCGGCGACATGAGAGGTTACTACAGATGTCCTTACTTGGTACCTTGGGTATCTGTAAAGAAAAGGAGCTTACCTATCCTGAACAATAAATCGTCTACCGTTGTCTCGTCGCAAGACTCCTCAACTGTGTCGTGCCTGAGTCAAGGCATCAAAGTGGGTGTTAATTAACATACCGGACCGTGTTTTGTCCTAAGAACGAACTTTACCCGCCAAAGACATCGGATTCGAATTCCTCGAATTCACTTTTTGAAAACAGGTACCGTTCCTTTGACGTGTAATGTACCTGTTTCGTGTGTGTGTGAGGCCTAGGACGAGAGAGGGCGTATTTCCCTCGAGATCTCCGCGCGCCTTCTCCTCGCTTTGGGGGGCTTTTTTGTTTCCTCCGTACATACGAGCGGGTATGTGCCGTAGTATACACCGTGGGAGAAAATAGTTCCCATCTGGGCTGCCGGTCGTGGCCAAGTCGACACCAGCTAGTTAGGTCCCGGTTCCTTGTTATAGGTAGGTCTGGGGATATGTCTAGTCCTGGATGCGTGTACTGCAAAGGCTCGCCAGCCAAGGTTAGCCCTTTTTTCCCATACTAGTACGCCCGTGTGGGTGCCCTGTAATTCCTTTTTCCTGGGGTTTCTTTCTTTCTTTCTTTCTTTCTTTGTGTCTTTCTGTCCCAACTAGTCAAGGAAGGGGAGAAACCAGGAGAGGGACATCCGTTCGAATGTTGCAGAGGATTGTCTGGCAAGTACTGGGTTAGTCTAGCCTGGCTGTTCTCCTGTTCTCGCACAGCCAGCCGGGGCAAGCAACCAAGCAAACAAGGACGGACGAGAACAAGAAGTAGGTAGGATTGTTCGAGGCAGGCCGCAACAGGACGCTAGTTAGTTCGTTATACATAGCAGAAGCAGAAGCAGTGTGTGTGTGTGTACATCGTGGTATACTGAAAGTACGGTATAGTTGTATGTAGTTCATAGTGCAATCCATTCCTATTCGTCGTTTTGTCCCTTATTCTTCCTTTTTCCTCATCATCCACTCATCGTCCACTCTTTCCCTTTCCCTTTCCTTTTCTTTTGTTCTGGTCTTGTCCTCTTTCTTCTTTTATCCTGACACTCTCTCTTCCCTTTTTCTCTCTTTTCATCGTCGTCGTTCTTCTCTTCCTTCTTTAACCCTCTTCATCCCCCTCGTCTTGGGTCTGCCTCTACTCCCCAGGCATTCCATTTCCGAACTGTCAATATCTCGACATTCGAAAAGAGACGATTATCCGACTCTAGATACAAGTTGCATACACCGACTGCAATCTTGTATCATACAATCCTTGGACTCGTCCCAATACGACCTTGAGGACCTGCCGCTATATATCGCAATAGCACTCCTTATCTGTTTCAACAGGAGAGATACAGGTGGTCGTTTGGATTCACCTTGGTCGTCTCGCCACTTTCACCTCCAGCCTTGGAACCGTAAATATCAACCCACCCACCACCCTCACCTTCCCACTCTCTCCCACTCTCCCTCCATCCCTCTCTTACGCCATTCCAGTATCCCCCTCACCGGTACTGGTCTGTCCTGGTTCTTCTGTATCTTGAACTTATCTGCTGGAAGGACGACTTCATAGCGGAGAACCCCCGGACTTTCACCGCCTCTCCTCGATTTGATACGGTATCCTCAGCCACTTGCGGAATCGCTCTCTCCCTTGTAAATTTCAGTTTATTGTAGTTCGTAGCACCTTGCCTTGTAGTTTTTTTGTTAGGTTGTCTATTTTTTCTTCTTTGATTCCAAAGAGATATTTGGTAAGTCTCTTCAGTTTTTCCCTTTTTTGATATTCCCGTTAGCGTTGTTGGCCAGTGGAAAATTTTCCCCTGGACTTGGTTCACCAGACCAGACCAGACCACAGTCAATTTTTTCCTCTCTCTTTCTCTTCTTTCTTTTCTGTTTTGCCATTTGGAAATACCTACCTCGAACACATACAACCATCCGACGGTTTGATCCATCGTCTTCTCGAATTCCAATATCAAGGAATCTGTGCTGGATTCTTTGCCTGCGAGGTGGATTTCTAAGCCTGTTGGTATTGGTGACTGTGTTGGCCTGTAGTCATCCTGTCCTGTCCTGTCTTGTTCTGTTCTGTTCTGTCTGGTTGGCGTTGCGCCTACTGCAAGAAAGGATCTCCACACCTCACAGCCTTCTTCGTTAACACCATCCTCCCCTATTGCGCTCTGCATCTTCCTTTCTACCCTCTCCCTCTTCATCCTCTTCGGCTCTTCTAGAACCGTCATCATTACCATCATCATCATCTCTCTCTCCCCTTCATCCCCCTAAACCACTCTACCACCACCAGCAGTAGCAGCAGAGAGGCATCACTACCATCATACTTGGACACCAACCTTCTAACCAAGCTTTTTTTTACAGTGCACCTTGCCTGTATCTCATCACATTCATTCCGAAACATCTGCGAAAGGTAACGAGACTACGGTGGTTTTGTTACTTTGCTGGATATATTCATCCGAGAACCGTCGGTTTCTTCAAAGTCAGACGAAAGGACGCCTAGGAGACGTTAACTCGTTGATCCTCGCGCTTTTCGAAGAACTTGAGATTCGCCGTTGGAACAACAGTCAAATACATTTCGACATTAGATATACTTGCTCTTCCTAGCCTTGTATGCAGTCTTCTGTCGACAATCTCGAATCGCTCTGAGGATTCTCAACTTTCCAGGGGTGCATATTCTCCCTTGCATCTCTAAAGTCATCCCCTTCGTCGACTATTTCTTCGGTCAAATACATTCAAACTGGATACTCCAGCAACTTCAGCTTCGTTGTTTCTTTAATCTAACTATAGCCACTCTTTTACCTGTCTTTACAAAGTCGACATAAAAATTTTCTCAAAGAACATCGGATGCTCCTTTGCCAACTTTGAGAACCATATCATCGACGTCCATTCATTATCTTTAATATTAATATTAATTCCCAACAACCTAAACAATGGCTCAATACTCTGCTTCCTTGGGAAACGGTGGTCTCACTGTTAGACCTGTCAATGATCACTTCTTCGAGAGCGAGGATGACCGTGATGGACGATATATTCGAAGCAAGTCCCGCGAGGCCCAGCGTTATGCCGCCGAGCAACTTCAAATTATGGCCGATGAGATGTCTAGGGCTACTGCAGACGAATACCAGGAGGACATTCTCGATCACATGGAGCGCATGGAGGCCGAAACCCTGCCTGACGTTGATAGCATCGACATCCAAACGGAAATCCAGTGGTTCATGCGACCTTACTTGCTCGACTTCTTGATTGAGGCTCACATTGCTTTCCAACTTCACCCGGAGACTCTTTTCTTGACCGTCAACCTTTTGGACCGGTACTGCTCCAAGCGTGTTGTGTTCAAACGACATTACCAACTTGTTGGATGCGCAGCAATGCTCATCGCTGCGAAGTATGGAGACAAGAAGGACCGTGTCCCAACCATTAGAGAACTCCAAAGCATGTGCTGCGGTTTATATGAGGAGGACATGTTTGTCCAGATGGAACGTCACGTTCTCCAGACCTTGAACTGGATTATCGGACATCCTACTGTTGATAACTTCCTCCAAATGATTCTATCTGAGGTTAGCTACGATCCTGAAGTGGAGTACATGGCTCTGTATCTCAGCGAGATCGCAATGTTCCATAAGGATTTTGTTAGCACGCTTCCTTCCGTCATGGCACGTTCTGCCCTCGCACTTGCAAGACACATCCTTGGCCGGACCCCGCCGCCACAGTCGGACTGGGCGATGTCATACGATACCACCACCATCGTCCTACTGTCGCAGCACCTCCATCGTCCCTCCCAGGTTCTTGTTCGTAAGTACTCGAGTGCTCATTATGGAGCTGTCGCGGTTACTTTGGAAGACTTCATGGCGAAGCAAGCAGCTATTGCTCGACGGCACACAATCGCCCCGCGGGTTCGCCAAATGGCCCCCCAACCACAGATCCAAGAGCCGGAGAATACCCTCGCGCCGCAGCCAGCTACTGTAGCCCCCATGACACCTCAAAAACCCGGACCAGGACCGCAACAGCAGCAGATGCCACATGGGTACCCAACACCTCCAGAGACGCCAAATGATGACTATTTCGAGCATCAACAGGCTATGCTTGCGGCTAAAGCTGCAGGCGCTGGTGCCCTTGTGCCTCAGAACCCTGCTACACCAATGCCAACCCCTACCTCCGTCCCAGTCCAACCGGCCCAAGTCTACCAATTCTAGAAGTTGAAACCGAACCCTCTACTCGCAAGCACACTGTTTTTCTATCATTCTTCCCAACGCTCAAACATTAGAACCGACCAAACATCACATTCGCAGATTCAAACAGGAACGCTCTTGAACAACTTTTCACACCCGCCTTCAAAAAGTTTAAAAGCACAAAAAAAAATTTCGACTTCATTTTTTGTTTTCATGTCAGGAGCGTTGTCATCTGACATCAACTTTTGAATATCCGGTTATCATCGCTCAGCAATTTCTTTTTTGGCTGTCTGATCAGTCAACTCCGACTCAACTAGGGCGTTGTTTCCAACATCTCTCCTGTTCTTCGGAGTGGCTCTCTCGGTGCTCTGCCTGGTTTTCTTTTTGCTGAAGGTTCTTATTCTTGCTATGGTTCTTGCCCCCCACACTCCTGCATATTCGTGATCTTTAGCGAGTTTCTTCTTTCAAGCGATTATGGCTTTTTTCTTTCTTCTACATTTCCTTTGTTCATATTGACTTCACCCAATCCAAAAGAAAATAAATATTCCAACCCCCCCTAGATGCACTTTTTTTTCTTCTGCATTGCGTTCTGTTTCATCTTCTCTCTCATTGCATATCAAAAGAATCGGTCGTTTTACTGAGGAGGTTAATACTGCAATTTCATTTGTACTCCGTTTTGCAAACGGAATCGGCACAAACCACGGATGGTCAGATTGTTTACATTGAGGAGGGACTAAGGTCCTCCAACGAAGCTGTATATAAGCAGCAGTTTACTGCTTCTCTTGGGTTCAGTTGGAACGGGAGAGGCTGGATGGCGGATCGAGTATACGGTTTCGCTGTCACTAACCTTATCTCGGTACACATGGTCCATCTTACCTGATGGTACCTTCCCGAATATCACACTATTCTTTACTATCGCTTCGTTTGCCTGCAGCCTTCGCTGTGCTTCGCTTTTCTTCTCAACCTACATTTTTGTGCATTCCTACCGACCTTTATTCTTTCGAACCCTTTATCCTCTTTCAACCGCTTCATCTCTGTATCACCTAATCAACGATCCTACTATCAAACTCGAGACACCTCCCAATCTCGAGTTACCTTTGGAAAAGCTGGTCCCTCGTATTCTGTCATTTCCAGTACCCTATACCCCGAGTGCGTTTAATTCCACCTATGTTCTTCTTGCTACACCCCCACGTTTTAGACCTTCGACAACTTTAGATTATCCCCAGTTCCTTTCTTGTTTTCGTCGGAATTGGCTGATGGAGCCTTAGGCTATTGTAATAACCCCCATTTCCCCATCTGCTATCCATCCTTTCCCCCTTCTTAACCAGAACATACATGCTTATCCTTTCAACCCTCCCTTCCTTTTTATGCCTCCCTCTTTGGGATCTTTCGACGGCCATCCCACCACTTTACAAACCCTTTCGTTGTATATTATTTAACCTTCATTTATAAATTCTGGTGTGGCGCAATTACCGGGTTGTTTATCTCGTAGTTTTGATGCAGCCATGATGCAGTCTCTTATGAATATGAATACGACACCAGTGCTCAGATGTGACACTCTCCCAGATCTTTGATATCTTTCGATAAATGTGTTGCCTTGTTGCAATTTCTAAATCACGTGATATCGTTTTTTCAGGCACCAAAACATCGCGTCAATCCTGTGGGAGCCATGCGACAAGGGTGAAAGCCATGGCCATGAGGCCTTCCATGATCATGACCTTCCCTAGCTTCCCTCCAAACCCAACCTAAACCACATCTTCACTGTATGGCTACCAAACAGTCTGTGGGCTACCAAACACCTGGTCAAATACACTTTCCTTTATTACACATTTCTCGAAATCATAAATGGAAGTCCTACAGCCTTCTAATACTCTGGTCGATGTCGGCCAGGTGCTCGATGGGCTCAATAAAGTCCAGCGCGAGGCTGTCACTAGCGAAGCTGAGGTTTTACAGATCCTGGCTCCTCGTAAGCTCATACATACGCCTTCTATTTGACGACCAATGAACTAACATTTGTTTCTATCCTCTGCAGCTGGTTCTGGGAAAACACGCACTCTAACATCAAGGGTTGCCTGGTTGCTTGCAAACGGCATGTACCCGTCAAATATAATCGTTGCTACGTTCACCAACAAGGCTAGCAAGGAAATGAAAGAAAGGATCTCCAAAATGATTGGCGGGGGTCTGGAAAACCGGCTTATCATCGGTACTTTCCATTCAATTGCTACCCGATATTTGGTGGGTTTTCTGGGTTCCACGAGCGTACAAGGCGGTTGTAGCTTGAATGACATTTGCTGATATACATTGTGGCGGCGTAGCGGAAATATGGCCATCTGATTGGACTCCCATCAGGGTTTGGTATCGCCGATACTAGTGATAGCTCTGCCATTATAACTCGTATTATCAAGAAACACAAGTATTCGACAATGGATGGCAATGATGCGGGGGGTATTAAATCAAGGATATCAAATCTCAAATCGAAGATGCAGTCCGTGGACGACTACATCGCCACGCAGAAGAAGAGTAACCACAACGACGAGTTTTCCAAAATCTATAGCCAATACGAAAAGGAACTCAAAAACTCAAACCTACTAGATTTTGACGATTTGCTGTTGAGATGCTTGGATCTCTTGAGAGCTCACCCACTTTGTGTTTCCAATATTGAATCAGTTCTGATTGATGAGTTCCAAGACACCAACTTGGTTCAATTCGATCTTATGTGCCTGTTCGCTTCGAGGAGGAATAAAATCACGATTGTTGGTGACCCGTAAGTACATTATTGGACAATCAAAGTAACCCAAAAGTCTCATGCTAAAAATTACAATAGTGATCAGAGCATTTATGGCTTCCGTGCGGCTGAGATTGGTAACCTGAGGGCCATGCAGGAATTCTACCCTCACACAATTGTGGTTAACCTTGAAGAGAACTATCGATCATCTGCTGCTATCCTGACTTGCTCGTTGGAGGTCATACAACAGGACAAAACAAGACCAGAGAAAGGAATCACACCTACACATGAGCTTGGTATTTCTCCGGTATTGCGCGAGCTTCCAACCCCCGATGCCGAAGCTCGATGGATTGCTCAGGAAGTTACCCGCCTAAGAATCACCACTGGGAATTTATTCACCTTCGATGATATCGCAATTCTGGTCAGGTCTGGTGGTCTTGCCAGGGAAATCGAAACCCAAATGACCCGCAATCGCATACCGTATCGTCTTCTTGCTGGCATAAGATTTTTTGAGCGAGCAGAAGTCAAGACAGTATTAGACTACCTCCGTGTCATCTTCGACCCAAACAACAATGAGGCTCTTCTCCGAATACTCAACACCCCGCGAAGAGGACTTGGGGATAAAGCGTTCAAAGAGTTGTCGGCGACAGCGGAAAAAAAAGAGACGAGCATCTGGAACATAGTCCAGAAAGCAGCTCGTGGAGATATTAAGGTTGGAGGTATCAGTAACCCTGGCATCACCGGATTGAGTAAATTTGTCAAGATCATCAGGGATACTCAGAACGCGTTCAAATCAGACCAGACTAAGGACCCGGAAATAGTTGGCAAGATCATTCAAACATTATTGGAAAAGATTGATTACAAGGTCTATGTTGGCGAGAAGCTCCAAGGTGAATTTGAAGATAGATGGCAGCACGTCGAAGAATTTATCACGCAGGCTGTTGAATTCTGCGGAAACGTAATGTCTGGTATTGATGAAGCCGATCTTCCTGACACGGAAGCCATAGGAAACACTGTGGAGGAATCTGCACTAATAGGTGCCTTGGGAAAGTTCCTCGCAACCGCAGCGCTGGCCTCTGTTAAAGAAGGGCCAGAAGCTGCTGGAAATGGAGATGGGACTGGTGTCTTGACTATATCCACTATCCATAACGCCAAAGGTATGTTTTAACTCTGTAGACTAAATCAGACGGTGCTAATTGGGATTAGGTCTCGAGTGGCCAATAGTTTTCGTACCTGGGTGTTATAATGGATCTATTCCACACTCGCGCGCTGAAGACCACGACGAAGAACGGCGGCTGCTCTACGTCGCGATGACTCGAGCTCAAGCGCTACTCTACCTATCATATCCTTCTCAACTCTGGGACAGGAAGTCAGGTGGTGCTCGTAAGTTTCCAACATCTCAGGAAATCCCAAAGAAGAACCCCAGAATCGCTAACTACAGGCTCAGAGGAATCCAATCTCTGCTCTTTTCTGGCTGGCGGTAATATGGGTATTTTGATGACGGACCGGGGACCGCATATTACGCCGGACAAAATCCTATCTTTCAGTAATATCATGTCAAGGGAATGTCCTACCCCCGAAATGGTCCAAGCAACAATCAATGCCGCCGGCCTCTCCAATATTCATGACGAAGTGGAATCTGATAAACCCAGCCAACATGGAGGCTTGGACGAAGATAACTATGGTTCTCAGCTGCAGTATGGTGTCAGAAAAGGATACCAAAGGTCATATAGCGATGGATTCTCCGGCTCGTGGTCCGCTTCTACAAACAATAGAACCAACTACTACCCGTCTACAAGCCGAACAACCATGACTTCTAAATTCTCCATGCAAACAACAACGATGCAAGGATTCAATACGGCTAAAAGCCATATGCATACCTTGGTCAGCTCGCAGCTCGAATGTGAAGCCGACACCCAAAAAAGGTCAACGAAGAGGAAATCGGATAAGATTTCAGATGATAATCTAGGATCCCAGCCAAATCAACAAAAGGTTTCTAAGAAGAAAACAGACAAAGGCAAGTCTACGAACACCGTTACTAATTATTTTCGGAAACCATCCGATGACTTGCCGGAGCCTCAACCTGTTCCGAAACCTTTGGAGGCTATTCCAAAGAAAAAGGAGAAGCACATTTACCTCTCATCGTCTCCGGAGAGACCACCTCCAAAGAGTGATATTACCGCTCAGAATAGGCAACTTTTGGATGAAATGCGTCGCAATCCGCCAACTTCTAAGTTTACATCCGTTGCGGGAATGATTAGCGAATCCACTTCCTACACTGCGCCAACAACTATGAGTCGCATGGCTGCTGTTGTTACAAGTGCCGGATCTAGCACTAGTACCTCGTCGACGACTACTTCCAGCAAAACTGCAAAAACACTTGGTTTGAAAAGGTCAATGGGGGGCTGGAGCAATCGTCAGCATAAGTAGCTGAGGTATTGCCGTTCACGTTTTTAGAGCCTTGAATTACCTAAATAACGATATTAACGCCCGTCTGTTTCCGCCAAATTTAGGTCAGGTTTTGGGTGTTGGTGTCGCATTAAAACATATTGTTTTAGTCTTTGAGCATGATGTGATTTCAACATGTATACAATATGGTGGTAGCTTTGTGGATTCTGGCGTTTGGATTCTGGCGTTTATCCTTTTTAGATATCTAATCGTACATTGCATATGGGGGTGGCATTGCGGATTGGTGTTAATCCGGTTTACTTGTTGACATCCTTTTGTATCATATCCTTTTGAAGATACAATAGACTGCTTACCCTAAAGTGTCCACCGACTTAGGTACTTCCCTCGTGATGAATTTCCGCTATATCCATAGGATTAATATATCGTAGAATCCCAATCAGAAGTATATGTCGTCAAAATCAACCATATGAGATTAGCAAAGTATGTACAACCGGCAGGCATATAATATACAAAATAGACTTCTTTCTTCGACGTAAGGTATCCACCGGCTAGCCGGCATGAGCCCCAACAGACCTTCCATTATCCTCATTTGTTTTTTTGATACGGCAAATTCACGATCTCGATCTGACAAACCGCCAAGATGAATCCCCCATCGGTGTCTTCCCTTCACATCCGTTTCGAAGCTTTCTATCCCTGCCGCTGTTTATGCTTCTGGTTTTTCGAGCATATGATGTAAAGATATCCCTTCCTTCGAACGCTCTATAGTTCCACCCCAAAAACAATTAACGATCAATCTCCTCAAAAGTTTTAAAATTTTAAAAGAAGAAAAAAAACATACCTTACAACCACTACACAACTTCTTAACCGCACTTCTAACCTTCATACCACGGATCTGAGATAACGATACTGGGTTTTGAGGTACTAGTGATAACGTAGGTCTTATACTCGAGGTTATAAGGGACATTTTCGGTTTATATGACGATGATATCGATTGGTTCGTAAGGGTGGCGAGGGTTCGGAGGGTCGTTACTGAGGATGCTGGAGTGGATAGAACCCGTGGGAGGGCCGTCGCCGGGATACGGCGAACGACTTGTGATAGCATTTTTCTTCTTCTTTATCCCGGTGATGGTAGCTGGAGAGCTACCGTTCCGTTGTGAATGAAATGGTGTGTGTAATCTGCAAAGCGTTCGAGATCGTTGTTGGTTGCTTGCGAAACGTCGAAATGTCGAAACGACCTGGTGGCGCCACAGATGAAGTTAGATTTCAGATCACGTGGTTGGCGGGAAAGAGGCTGAAAAATGCAACTGGCCAACACAATTATATGAGCGGTTGCAAAGGTTTCACGGAATAGAGAAAACAGAAGTGATCAGAGGTGCAAAGAAATTAAGGGGAAAGGTACCTACTAGCTGAGTAGTATCCAATCCATTAAAATTAAGTAACTACTTAGGTATTCAACAATGTACAAAAATCCAAAAAGAAAAACAAGGAAATTCAATCTAAAAACCACACTCAATGAAGGACCGCAACGCTGGATTCGCTCCCCTGTCACACCAAAAACCGCCGATGGAGGGGGAAAACAGTGCACTACCAAGCTTGTCGCATCGGTTGCCACACGGAATGGACGAAAGCCTCGTCAGACTAATTAGACTATTGCTTTTGGGTTTACTCTATTCTCTTCTTCCCTTCCTCGAGGTGGATGAGTCGAATGCTACTAGCCCCACGCTCGTGTCGGGCGACCCATTTGCCAATTAACTTATCCTTAGCCACCTTTCCAAGGGCGTCACTGTAACCTTCATTGGCCCATGAGAGATTATTCAACTTGGGCCAGTTCACCTGTTACGAAGCGGATCCTGTTAGTAGTGGTTTTAACAGAAGAGAACGAGAATAAATATCACTTACAAAGAGCATCCCATGATTCTTGATGAAGATTCCGGCCCATACAACAATCAATAGCGACAATCCAATGAAAATCCTTAGTGCGAGTATCGTTGAGGGATCGGATGTGGTAAACATCGCTGCGATTAGGAAAATCAAAGCGCCCAAGAGGATATATGGGACACTCTGAATGAAGACCGGACGCCTGTCGACAAACATAAGGCTGGATGTGATGCCCGATGTAGCGGGAAGATAGGTGCCCAAGAAAAGATCATAGGCATCCTGACGTGGCCCATCCATGAAATTGTTCAAATAGTAGCGAGTAAGAGAGTTGACACCGTCGGCCAGAGCTCCATTTGTAGTTCGCTTGCCTGTCCGTGTAAAGTCGGTCTTGAGAGCTCCGGTTCCGGAATATGCGCGGCTCACGACATCAGCATTGTCAGCCCACACTAGAGTCAAGAGTTATATCGTTAGCAGAATGCACTTCATACAAGCCAAGGGGGCATCTTACCATTCCTGAAAAGGAACTCGAAAGCTGCGTATTGCTCGATCGTTTCGCCTTGGTTCAAGACTCCAAGATCGACGAGTTGTCGGTTCAAGGTCCACCTCGCCAACATGCTCTGGACAACGTTTGTCCGATCCAGGCAATCCATGCAGTTTGTACGGACGACAGATGTTTGAGCGTTTTTCACTGTCAGGCCAGCAAGTCCTTCAGTCGCATGGAAGTACTGCTGCTTTTCAAGGGCGTCTCCAAGCTGATCTAGCAATAGCAATGCGCGGTGCCACTTCAAGCCACGACATTCATGATGGAAATCGAAGAAAATGTAGTGAACATGGTCGACAATGCTCTTTTGTTGTGTTGGTTCAATAGCGCGGAATTGCTCCTCAGTCCGTAGACTGGCTTTCTCTCCTTCGAGAGGGCTGGACACTATGGACCTGATGACACCTTCGTATGCCTCTTTCACATTTTTCTCTCTGCCGCTCTGGTTGACGAGGTTTACACAGTAGTTATCGCCATAGAGCCTGACTTGCTCGGCAAAGTGTTTGGTAGCCGCCGCAGCCGGGTCGATGTTTCGGATCAGGAGCTTTGGAACAAACTTCAAGTTATTGACTTCCGCCCAAAAGACTGGGACACTCCCTCTTGTTTGGACGTAAGACATAATTTGGACCTGTTGCTTCTCTTGCGAAGCTGTTTTATCGTACCCAGCCAGGCCAGTACCAACGCTTCCAGTGATAATGATCTGTTCAGTTTCATTGAAGTTGGATACGTTGCCATTCTCATCGATACCTCTCGAGAAATATCTTGTTCCGGCTCTAAATCGGGATCTCCTGGTAATCACAATGAATGACAATGGCGTCGACTTTATCGCGGTAGCCGTGATCGACATCATTCCAAAAATAACAGGGAGAATATAAGGATTGATCTAATCAAGTTAGAAGACATGTTTATAAAAGCTCTAGGTTCTGGAACATACCGCAGGGCTAGCACTACTGAGGTCGATGAGGTCGGACGATACATGTCGATTCCAGAAGAACCTACTGTCCGCCTAAAACACTGTTATTAGCTTATGACCCTTCTTCCGAATATAAAACTCTCCACGTACTCTCTGCCACAAAGGTAAGCTCTGGTCTGCATGAACCTGACGCTGGAAAGTATTCGTAAGGTCGAAGGAATACGAAAAGTACATCGGGCCCGTTCTTAGATGGGTAGTAAGGAGCTGCATGTAGGTGTCTTCATCGGTATCCTATCGAATAGTTTGTTAATTTATGAACGTCGAGCCGGTATTTGATATACGGGAGGCTACGAACATGCAGCGGCTTTTCTCTCAGAGGCAAGAATTCGGTAGCCTGTATTTTATAGACGGCATGCTCATTGATCCTTCCAACCTGAGCGGCCTTCGTAATGACGATTAAGTACTTATCTACGAACCCAGGTCAGATTATTCATTCGTATTCAACCTGAATGCTGTGGACTTGATATCTACGAACCCAATCTCAAACGAATCATGCCAAGGATACCAGCAATACTCGTAACCCGTTTACCACCCGTCATCGGCTTGTCGCTGAGCCAAATATGGCCAGACGGCCGATCGACGACCAGCGTAGGTGCTGACGGGTTCGACGGCGATGTAAAAGCATAGTGAGTGGCCGAAGCATGGATGTTTATATCACGATAGGGGAACAGCGACGCCATGTCGATATTCTGGCCACGTTTAAGCAACTGTCGAGCTAGGGTGAGGTCTGGTTTGTTGAAGGGTACTTTTGGAACAGCCTTGTGAATGTAGGCAAGGGGAAAACGAATCGAATGCGAATATACCACACAAGCGACGGATGGTATCGACGAAAGGAGGTAGACCGATCAAGTGCGCGCACTGTTGGGGGTTTTGCAAGTGAAGTTAAGGATGTGGAGGAGAGAGAAAGAGAGAGTGGGATGTGATCACAGGCCTGGCATATTAGGTATTAGTTATTACGGCCATGCAGGTTGACGAAATTAAGACACACTCAACCCAACGCGGCAACACTTGCCAAGCCTCGAGCCAGGAACAGATCAGATCAGATCAGGACAGGAAGAGGGTAAGTTAAGTAAGTTAGAAGAAGAAGCACAAACCACCACGAAACGCCTTCCACGATCCCGCATTACCCCAGTCGGTGCGACAGACTGTTCCTGATAAGCTGAACGTCCCTGCCACTACGAGCTGAAACCTGTCCTCCCCGAGCGTTTGGCCATAGGCATATCCTATATCCGAGCCACTTTCATCGATACCGCCCTTTACGCTATATCGAACCCATTGGGATGCCTTCGTAGCGTGTCCTTTTCGGTATAAACCTGCAGATTAGAACAGAAGCACCGAATAAACGGTATCAGGCGTCGATTTCGGGAAGGAATGGATCGAAAATGTCTCCTGGCGATAGGAGCAGGCGCTCTCATCAGACTAGTCCTTTTTACTGCATTCCCTTCGTTGCCAACGATTCTCGCCCAGAGAGTGGAGATATCGACGCCAGTCACGTCCTATAAACGCCGTATGTTGGGTTAGCTACAATCACGAAAGGTCAGGAATAGAATATTGATATTGGCAATATGGTATAGTGCAGGAAGGTATTTACCTTTATACACACGGCGTATCACCATATGATGGCGGGGTCTTCCATCAGGTATGCACACCATTGATTGATCGATTGATCGATTAGTTGGTTTAATTGATGTAATGCCCCCGGAGTTATATGCTCTCTTCAACTGACACGATATTATGTACAGGCGCCACTACTGTTATCGTTGTTCTCGATATTGCCGCCTTCCACAATTGTTACAAACTTGCTCTACATCCTTGCCGATATCTTCTCTGCTATTTCGTTGATTCGGATCGCATCGTCTGGCGTTCCCACTGTTACACCCCACCATGTGTCTCCGAGGAAGGCAAATTCATGGCCACCATGGGCGATTGCTGCTGCGTAAGTTACATACTATCAGACCGATTATACCGGGATTACCTTACCAATTCTTATGAGATCAGATTTCTCTTCAATCCGTTCACAATAGCGACTTGCATTGCCCGTCCTACAATTGTTTTCACGAATACGATAATATTACATTCGATAGCTGCGGCCGTTAATGGTACTGTACCACCAAGCAAAACCTCGTTATCCAACATTCGCTAAGGCTATTTAAATTAGGTCGACGTGGACCGGCATTCGTATCCATGGCTATGGCGTCGTACTTGTCATTGTATCCCGCATTACTGCTCCCGCCACTACTGTTTCTCACATATGATTCTTTAAAGACCACATCAAAGCCTTCAATCCAGGTATTCAGCTGCCACTACCACTTAATATCAGCTTCATGCTTACGTTCTATTCTAGGCGTTTTCTGCGATTACCACGATCATGCTGAGTATAGTGTTGATGATATACTTCAAACTTTCTCACATGATAACCGGGTCCTGGGAGTTTGTGGCCTCAACCTACGGCGTTCACTTGCTACTACCAGATCTTACACCAAATGTTGGATTGTGGTGGTACTTCTTCATCGAGATGTTTGACAGCTTCCGAGCGTTCTTCTTATGCTTGTTCCAGTTGCACCTCTTGATATACGTTCCACCAGTTTGTCTAAGGCTGAGGTACGGATAGATATGCATAGTAGATGCTTAAACATCTTTGACTGACATGACCATACTCTTGCCTAGGAAACAACCGTTGTTTGCATTAATTACCCTAATTGGTATTTCCTCAATTTTCAAATCCTATCCAGCAATTGGTGATACCGGTCTTTATCTATCACTTCTCATGCTGTACAACCATACGTTTTCTCGTAAGTTTAGCCCTATCTGTTTTATGTTGCGTTTACCTAACTAAGACCATCTACAGTCATGCGATACACTTTCTTCCTAGCCGCTGCCATTCTCTACGCAACTTTCCTAGGGCCGGCATTTTACTACCTATGGGTTTACGCCGGTAGTGGAAACGCAAATTTCTTCTATGCAATCACTCTAGTGTGGTCTATATCCAATGCATTGATCGTAGCAGATGCGATTTATGCTGCCCTTCGAGACGAGCACGAGACCGAGCGACCGGAGTTGATCGGAAAGGATGTTGTGCAAATATAAACTTTGCCTTTTGTTGGAATGCGATAAATCTTCAGCATGTTTCTTTGTACATATTTTTATACCATCATCAAGCATATTATCATAGGAACCATAGCCTGCCTTTATTATGTCTCTAAGATCAAAATACAGCGATTGTGCAGGGGGTATCATTCAGTATCCGCTGGTTGTATTGCTAATTCACTCGTCTTCATCTTCGTCTCCACCTTCATCGTCAGTTTCATCGTCGTCGTCTTCTCCATCCTCGTCAGCCCAAAACGCTTTTGATAAAATATGATAGGTAGAAGGCTTTATTGTGCCGTTTCTAAGGACCTTTGGCTCCGGCGAGATCTCGTCCAAATCGTAGCCCTCCCTTTCATAGAACCTCCTCGCACCTTTATTGCTATCAAAAACCGTCAACATAGCTTTTTCAACCCCGACTCTCCGTCCAAACTCCTCTGCCACATCTAATAACTTCTTCCCCAACCCAAGTTTTTGATGATCCGGCAAAATATCTAACTCATATGTATATATCACCTCCGAACCTTCCTCCTCTGTGATCATGAACTCAAGGAACCCGACAAAACCCGACTTGTCATCGGACTCGACAACGGTAAGAACCAAATACCGCATAGCAGGATGTTTCATTTCCTCCTTTTTCTTTCGTGGATTCCAACCCCTTGACGTAGCTTTATACGCCGCTGACATGTTTGCTTCCAGTAAATCGAAGCAGTTGTCGAATACATCAGAAGGCAATGTTGATGATTTAAATAACTCGATATTGTAGGATTGTAGAGTACCATTGCAGGTGTTGGTGGCGAATGTGAGAAGGGAGGGGTCGAGAAAACGCGACTTTAGTTCCTCGAGTGAGAGCGAGTTGGTCTGTACGATTAAGCTTGGGGAAGAGTCGGCAGAGCCTTGACGGGGTACTTTAGAAGTGCCGTCTATTGAAATGGAGGCGTGACCGGATGATAAAGATTGCGGGGCCATTCTTTTTTGATGTCTACTCAATTATGTCTTGAGGATTAATCGTGCTTGTGTGGCATTTGGTAGATTTTTGGAGATCGAAGAGTTGGATTTTGTATATCGAATGTGTTACATCAATTTATGGTGTCGATATACGCACCAGCTTCGAGATTAGTACCTTTTGGATTCGTTCAAGCTCAACGGAAGAATATTCTAGGTACTCGGATATGTGTCATGGGAATACGTTCTTGACCTGAGAGACACAAGCAGGTTGACTGGCCGTATCAGAACCGATTCGGTATGAAACGCTTTATAAAGTCGCAACAAGTTGCAAGTTTCTGCGCGCATTGAATTCGAATATTCAAAATCGAACATCTTAAAACTACATAGCTAAGTAACTATCGATTCGGTTACAGTACACTGGGCCCTGTGATCCAATGTTGATATAACCCTCTAAAGTAGATCAGTCTCGTCCTTGATTGTGTTCCAAATATCTAATTTAACCATACATCAATCCCTTCTCGGCCATAATGTATCGATGTCGGCTTCGAGGCAAAATCCAGGCCTACAGTACCATCCTTCGAGATAACCGGTGAGGTTTACGAATGCTATGAAATGAATAGTTCCACTAAGAAAATTAAATTGTAACTATGATGGATATGAGTTCAGCCTGTCAGTACGCTGTATTCCCGATTACCCCATAGCTAAATCATATGGCCATCAAAACTAAGCTACAGTCTAGTGTTATAGACTTAAAGCACGCCCTAAATACTAGATATCAGTATAGATCTAAAGCCGTAATATAATCGAGTTATAATCTAACATTAACCCTACTTCGATACACAAGCATATATCATGTTTGTTAGCTTTGGTCGATTAGCTATACGCTGGTCCAAAGTGTACATGGATTCATGGAATAATTTCTAGCCCTTGATAGGCTTGACAATTAATATAAGGGTCACAGGGGAAGCAGAACTATGTAGAAATATGATGTATATGCATGATACGTAGAAGTATGCTAGGCATCCTAGGTCTGGGTACGAGATAGTTAATTTGGAATTATAGAATGGTAATATTTTAACCCTAGATTAGTCTCGTAACCTTAAATTTAATGCCTGAATTGTAGATCAAGCGAATAATGGGTCATCCCGTGTAGGGACGAGATTTCCAAATAATGACTATACCAGGTATGTACTTATGCACTTCATAACTTGTCTCGTACCCAGACATGGAATTCCGGAAGCTCATATATGCATAACCAAGGAATTAAAAAAACGGTTCTAACCGCACTGGGGATATCGGTATTCAGCGATCAATAGGCCCGAGCACTCTTAGCCGCCGCTATATGCATATGTATTATCTTTCTGATGTTTTTCATGCATCAGCGATATGAATTCGACGTATGTATACAGCTCCAGAGCTCTAGATTGCTCGCTCTAGCATGCAGATGCGATAAACTGAGAAGTCTCAAATTTATAATTTAAATTAGAAATTCAATGTCGAGGTGATCAAGTTGCACTCATGCATATACAGTGCGACGGTGCTTTGAACTCGTACTCAATTAGTTAATAGTCACGAGGTCAGTGCAACCCAGCTGCATATTAAGACAGGAGGGCTAGAAGCCAGCGATAGAACGAGACCGGACATTTTATTTTAAGTCTACTAGCTAAGATCGGCCGTTTCCCCACGCTCAAAGTCCGCCAATAAAACAAATACAAATAATGCCGAAGTTCACTACCGTGGATGAGCGAGCTCGAGGCTTTCCGCATCTACACAATACGGCAGCCTCGTGTCATATCAATCACATTGACAAACTGCATATCTGCGCGCGGCTGCAGCTGCGAAGTGCAGTACAGTGCAGATGTCACACTGGCGAAGTCAAAATACTAGTTTTTTTTTGCGTTGCGCACAGGAAGTCTTGGCGGAGAGCAATGTATTTCTCACAACAGTCCAACAACCTCAAATCCTAAACTACAACAATCCACCCAGTTTTAAAACTAGAAATCAAGGTGTGGTGCGGGGGAACCAGAAATCGGGTGCTATGATCGCTGCTTTCAGAAGATATGCCTCCAGTCGATCTGGTGCCAGGCTGGGACTGGATCGGGTACGTTCCGGAGCCGCCGTTCCCTCGTCAGCATTGCATTTCAATGGAAACTACATGTGTCCACTGCGAGCCTCGTTTTTCTCTGACAGATGTATCGACAGTGGATTCAACGGTCCCGGGTACTCGCATTATGGAGAGAAATACTACGAACCGTACGACGTAAGTCAGGGGGAACCTACGTCGATTTTGCCTGCCAAAAAACAAGTCCGGATTTCAAATTTATCGGGTCATCCCGGCTGACGTTTTGGAGGGTGAAGACATCGAGGACCCGGCCGCAAGGGAAGAAATGCGGTCTTGGGCAAGACACGAATTTAAGCGCAATAAGAACGTTGAAGAGATGGTAAGTATCTCCAATTTCCAGGAGTTACATGGCGTAATATTTGCAGTTCTATTTGAGCCTAATATCATGTCACCGTGGGTCCACCATGTTGAATCCGCAGACGCAAATTCGTTACCTGATATCAGTAAGACTACCCTTCCCCCAACCCCCGCTTATCGTCGATGTCGACAACTGTACAGATGCATCCTCAGCCCCCTACACCCCTGCATTTGTGGCAGAATTGCGCAAGCCAGCCTAAAAGTGCTCTCTCATTTTTGTTTTCCTATCCGCACGCAGGCTTCTAGGATAGACCATGATGGATTGGAACTGACGCAGTAGTTGTGCTAATCTATATATAGCAAGGAAGACACGAAATGGAAACTATTAGTCAGTCGATAGGGTACAGCTTCAAAGGATAGGACATATGGGGCTTGGCGGGTTAAGTGGGTAGTCCTCTATCTCAAGTATGCAACTAGTGAGTTATTGCAGCTCTATAGTCTTGATTGATTGTCTAATAGTAATTTTATTGGTGAATTAGGACAGTTGGGCAACTTAGTACCCCGAAGTGGTACTTATAGGATCGTCTTGTCGAGGATGTATACATCTGAAATTGCGGAAGGACTTGAGGGTACATACATGAGGATCGAGCTAGCCCCCCTAGAGCTCCCGTACCGGTGTCAATGCAAGAAATCTTACCCGGGCCATAGGTAACCCTTGACCATACAGCTATAGCATATGCAATGTATAGTCAGAGACTTGACTGATGGGTATTAGCTTAGATAGTTGTTGGCTGTATCTAGCCGTTGGAGACGCAATGCTACACGATCTTACAACGATCGATCTTCTTGGTCGATATATAGCCAATCCTTCTCCAATCGATATAGATATTCGGAAGGATTACCAAGTACCCGGCTACGAAGGAATGGTGCACTGCAGCTCACTGAGTTGGTCGGGACCCACAAATCAGAGTCTAGACTGCGGATTTGTGGAACCCACCTGCCTCGTAAAAGAAAGCTCAAACAGCTGTCGAACAGATAACAACAGCTGGCCGGGCATACACCTTGCAGTTGCATTCCAAGCCCTTGTGTGCTGCACGATGTTGGACTGGATGCTTGTCAAAAAGAAAAGATACTTAGACTTCGAAGAAAATTTTGCGCATAGTTCGTTCCGACCCGAAAACGTTGAACGATTGGTGGGTCACCCTAGTTCGAGCCAGCAAGTTCGAGCTCCATGGATAGGCTATTCATCAAGTAGACGAGAATCGAAGCTAAGTCAATGCACGTTATATCTGGTATGCATATCGTACAGAGAGCGCAGTTGGACGAAAAGGGAATATGGAAAACCTCCCGGGTCATGGTTGCAGCTATCGGTGTCGGTGTGTCGACGTCCCGGGATATATCTCCCATGACGATATATATACATCAGTGCACTGATGCCCGGGATACAATCTGGGTCAAAAAGCTTAGATAACAGCGATCAGCGCCAGATTGTCCTTCGTAAGATTCTTTCCCGCTGTCTTGTTAATATCCCCAATCAGCGGAAGTCTAAGCGCATGACATAAACTGGCGGCAGAAGCAAATATACATCGAATTGCAAACAAGGCGGGCCCTTGGGCCCTCTTTATCCAACATGTGCGCTAAGACGATGCATCTGACACTGTTCAACCGAGAAAAAAAAAATTTTGCCTACGAGGCGACGGCTCTATCACAGACATAGCCTCAATTGACCCGCTCCAGCGTGAATTTTGAATGGTTCTTTTCATGAAACCTCTTAACTCTGGATATATATAATGAGACACTTCCTGAGGATTCAACTAATTGGAATCGCCCCTCTACCTCCATAACGATCCCGTCCTTCTTATCGCTAGAGAGAATCTTGATTTTTTTCAAGCCGAGTCTGACAGGCAGCCAGACTCGAGAACACCCGTATGCCCGTGAACACTAGGTATATTGAAATCATACCACCATTGTTGGCATGCACAGGCACCGACGTATCTGCACGCATGTCAAGGGGTATATCATAACCTAATATCAAGAACATCACCCGGAGAGATACGATTGAATCACTTGCATATTCCACTAACGAATGTCTCGTGTCGCTATGCTTAATCCTCGCGAAATTGTCTTTAACGAGCGGGGAAAGTCTAACTCCATATCAAGACAGGACTCGTGTTAAACCCTCCGCGCGCCGACTCAGTTCCTTTCCTACGCTACGTATGTACAAAAGTAAACTTGACACCACGTATTTTTTAAAACCCCCTTTGCTTTTTCAAATCGTCGAGGTTTTCGATGCGGGTCGATTCGAGAAGAAAGACACGGGATGTCGATATCTTAGCATCGATGCAACCAAGGTAAAACCGGCGAATCCGGATGGGTTTTGACCCACCATCTCATGCGATAAAAGCCCCCTCGACTTCTCATGTCGTTTCATTATACAAACCCTGGCTGAGGGATTCCTAGGTCCTTGGTTGACAGGCGTCTACCTTGTAGGAAAAACCATCTCTGATGCTTACACAGCATGGACATTAGTTTAAGATTGATATTCGACTGGGCGGGAGCCAAAAAGTAACGCAATCATCCATCCCGCTCGTCAAAATTATAGGCCGGAGCGGCACGAAACGGGACGTTTCTCTGACAGCCAGGGAGGTAGATGATGTAGAAAGAAAAAATTTTCACAAGCATTGGGAGATGGTTCGCTGGCGGTGTTCATCTTCTTTTAGTTCTATGCACGTATAAATCGTCGCGTTATGCAAAACGCCCTTTCCGTCTTTCCTTGCTTTCGAAATTCATGCATCTCCATCCTTTTGCCAGGTCGTTTCGAAGTCTCTTCCCCCCTCTCTCACCCCAACTCCTAAGTCTTCAACCGTTTTTTCTTTTTCTATTTATTTTTTCGCTCACCACCCTTGAAATCGGCTGCATACTCGCCTATTCATTTTCAAGTCCCGTGATTAGAAATGCACCGGAGCTGTTGCATTGGAAAAAGTGTTTGCTGGGTTAGCATGTCCTACTTGCAGCAGCTCATGTATGTGTGTCGAATCAACGTGTTCTCAATTATGCATCATGCGGAAAATATGTACATTATGCCGGCTAGGTGAGGAGAAAGGCCCACACAGCTACCTAGCGGTCAAATGCAAGAGAAAGGGAAAAAAAGCGGGCAATCCTTCTTCGTTCCAGGTTCATCGATTCGATATTCTTCTTTTCTCAGTACAACGTACCCTAGAAGCATATACTCTCGCTACAACTCACATTTGAGACAGACATCACGCCATCACCTTTTTATAATCTTTCGACATGGGGATGCGCTGGCCAGTGCTGCAAGATTTACAAAGGATATGACCTGTCAATTCGTCATCTTTGTTTCGAGTAAAGCGAATCTAGAGGCACCATGAAAGTAGAGGAGATGGGGGAAAGTCCCTCAGTTACATACCTACGTCGATTTCAGACTGAGCGGGCATGGATACTCAAACGGAGTTGCTGGGTTGCTGCATGATTTTCATCGCTGATAGATGCAAACTAAAGGGTTTTGCAGCTGGAGAGTCAAAACACCCGTTTGCTCCCTCGTCATCCACCCGCCAGAATATGTGTACGTATGTATATCTGGATAACCGGCTCCTGGCTTCGAGAAAGGTTCGAGACGACCGTTGGCAGACGACCGTATGTAAATAGTGGAGATAATATGTCATATGCACTCCCCCCTCTTTTCCGATTGTCGCATTGGCTATGGAGCTGTTTGTTGGAGGAGCTGGACTGTACGCAAAGAGTTCCTCACTGTTGCTGCTGCTGTGAAAGAGGGGTGGTCATATGACTTTCATGCAATGCGTGCACCCATAACCAAGACTAGCGGATTCCGACGGTGTGGTTACGACCACTTTGGCAATTTTTATCCATCATGTACCAATAGCCGGTGTCGATTGCCCGTCGTTTCCTGATTGCACCGCTCGCATGGATCTAATTCGACATTTTTTCTTGATTGTAAAGTCCACGCATACATACATACGTGCATACATACACCGTATCTTGCCAAGTAGCGTGCAAAGCAGTACGAACGGGACTGTAGACACTGCCGTAGGTTTGCATCTCGAACATGGTTCGCAGGGGAATGATGACCTTTCTTATGCACTGCATATGTACGTATTCGCTGTCGGCGCTTAGGTTCTTCTTTAATACATCCGGTTGGCTGGGCTTCATGCACGGTTCTCCCCATGCTCCGCCAAGGATATTTGACAAAATAGGTATGGGGTCAGCCGTGTGCGTAGGAAAGCATCGATGGCTCCCCGGTCCCCTGGTACCAGGTCCGGTATCACGGAACCATGTATGTTCCCAGAGCCCAGAGCCGGGTACCCGGGATACCCAAAGTAACAAGGGCGAGGACCTCAGCTCAACACCAACCGCGTTATCAGGTTTGAAACACTCATCTCTCTTCGAACTCTCTTTTGATTTTGATGGACGAGATGTGATTGAGAGCTGTGCGTGCCCGCTCCACTCATCGAAGCCGAAGGACTGGATAGGCCAATCAGGACTCCAGAAGCTTCAGACCCGATCGATGTTGTATGGCATCATTGTGACTGAATGAAACGTGCCAAATGTTATGAGGTCAGCCATCGGGAGCACTTCCGGTGATGAGGCCTTACTGGATTATTGCTAGCTCTGGAATCCTGCGATCCTGGCGTCTTGAGCTAGCTCCTTCCCATGCACCAATCCCGAGCAGCTCCTTTCGCTTCCCCTTCGCTTTTTGAGTACCGTTTGTTGGTCCTGTTAATGTTAACTACCTACCGTGTGAGTAAGTAAGTATGGAGTAGTTAATGATAGCTGAGTCTGCGGTGCAGTCTAAATGCTGCTTCTTCCTCGTCTCGCTTCTTTCCGGATTTCATACATTCATCGGCCCCATCAGAAACGTCCCATTGGCTTCCGGGCCGGACTCACCTGCACGACAGTCATGGCTCCTCCGTCCTCTGCCCCATCTGCATCCGCATCTGGAGGTCGCCGAAAGCGCGCGAGGACACAAACCGAAGATCCAGCACATGATTCTCAGACGACAACGACGACACCACCAACGCGTCGAAGCCAACGGACCAAGCTGACCAACACATCTGTGCCTGGCGAGACCAATGCAATTCCGGTAAAGAAGGAAGAAGTGGAAGAAGAGGAATATTCGAAAGTCACCAACAAGAAGGCCCCTAGGTCGAAAGCTAAACCAAAGCCGGTGAAATTGGAAGATGAACTAGACGATGCTGGTCCAAGTTCCAGCGCCACATCGGCTTTCAAAAAGGCAGTTAAGCAGGAAGACACGCATCAAGCTCAAGAAACCCGTGGGTTCTGGCTCATGAAATCGGAGCCAGATGTTTTCAGCTACGAGGACCTCTGCAAGCACGACGGACCGGCCGGCTGGGATGGTGTCAGAAACCACGTTGCAAAGGTCTGTCTTGCCTGTCTTGCATTTCTCTAAAACCCAATCAACCAGCATCCATCCTCCTTTGCGTTAAGATGTCTATCAAACTATCTCCACTTTTTATTTTATTTGTTTAAAAAAAGAACTACTGCGGTTTCCATCGATTTTAGCTCTAGCTTTAGCACTAAAGCCAAAAACGCCATCTCGCAATTTGCCAGTGCATCGGCACTGGTAAATGGGCCGTCAGGCGATTGTCCACATGCCATGTGGTATCTTAGCGAGATTGTAGCCTTTTAGCCGTCATTTTATGACAAAGGATTAAGATAGTAGTGGGCCAATCTGATTAACAATTATCTTGCAGAATCATTTACGGTCAATGAAAGTGGGAGATAGAGCTTTCTTCTACCACTCAAATTGTAAGGAGCCCGGCATTGTTGGGGTGATGGAAATTACCCGCGATGCCTCAATTGACGGTAAGGAACTCCCGTCCCTTGGTTTATTCTTGCACGTTTCTTCTCGTTTACGTTAGCCCATGGGTTATATCGACTTAAAATTGCCTGCTATTGAAGCATGCTAACACCTCGACATGGATCGCCGGTCGGTCCTATGTAACCTATTGCATAGAAACCCAATTCGACCCCCAAGCCAAGTATTACGACCCAAAGGCAACCACCTCAAAGCCTCGATGGTACCTTGTCCACTGCAGGTATGTCGATAATAGCCTTTTAAAAGGGCCTCCCACCATCCCGAATATCGCTCGACATAAGCTCTCCCCGGGTGTGGTTATCTTTTGTGTGAATGGAATTGCCTGATTGATGTCATGCATGATAAAAACTTTAGTCCTATCCGGAAGCTCGGACGCCAAATTACACTGGCGGAACTGAGGACGCATTCCGGTGGTGTCCTCAAGGAGATGGCACTCTTTCGGCAGACCAGGCTGTCTGTCAGTCCTGTCAGTCCTGCAGAGTTCCAATTTATCCTTGACTTGGAAAATAAACCCGAAGGAAAGGATACGGATTAAACCCGGTTGGGACCGGGGAAGCGTATCCCGGCTGGTCGAAGAAAGAAACTGCATTAAATTCCAATCTCATTAAATTGAAGAAAAGAAAGAAAAAAGTAATAAAAGTCGCACTACAATAGAATATAGCAAAGCTTGCAAAACTTTCCTGGGTTATAGGAAAGGGATTAGTCGTCATTTAATGACCCCGCTTTCTGGATCGACTATCGATTAGTGTCCCATAACTAGTCGTCGCTGGGACACATTTTTATTTTTTTCTTCTCAGGTGAAGCGGCATTTATTTCAATCTGCGAACTCAAAACCGGCAACATCATTTCCGTACCCTCGTCTAGGGGACTTACTGGGGGTGGAAACCTCCTGCGGTTAGATTTTTTTTTTTTTTCCTTGCCAGGTGGGATGATGGATATTTGGGTATCAATTAATAGTGGAGAAGGATTTCTGGGAATTTGGCTCATATGTTACCAACCCAGTCTCGCGGAACCAACCCGTTTCCCTATTAGTCCAAGCTTAATGTTTCCCTGCCCCGGGACCGTGGGCCGGCATATCATGATTACCCACAATGCCCCAAGCAACACGCAATTATGCACACACCTAATTACATAGCAGCTGTGTGTATCGGTTTCTTTGGGAGATATCACGCACCTTTCCATGAGGAAAATGTCCACACTGGCCGTTCAAGGGGATCCACACTCGTACGCCAAAAGAACCCAAAAAAAAAGAGAACCTGTTGGTGTCAAATCCTAAATACGAGGCGAAAAAAATGGCTTCCACGTTGGGCCAATGACCCTAGCTTCGGGCGTTTTTTCTCTCTAAACACTGCTAGAAGTTTTTTTTTAAAAAAAAACGGCAGACCGTTTACGTAGGGCACTGGTGTGCAGAGCTGTCTGCCTCACAGCGCCATCTGCTCGTTTGTTCGTTTCGTTTTGGGGAGGCTCCACGGTCCAAGGGGCGAAATGCAACACGGTTTTGTGTTGCGTCGAGTTACGACGTATGGACGACCTGTTAATAGCTTCTCATGAATCGGTGATCGATCAAGTTTTCTTTCCCTTCCGCAGAACCACGGGCAATCCGCTACGTTGACACTTTGTGCCGTGTGCATACTATGTTCTATTTTCGAAAGAAGAAGACGGGACTACAGTTTCGTTAACCGCACAATTAACATTCGGAGCGATCCAAAAAAGCGGCCGGCCAACGGACGCGGCCGCTTTTCCTGCCTGTCTGTCTGCCTGCGCAATGCATCCACCGTTTACCCTTCCCTTTCCGCTGCAAAGAAGGTGGTTTCTTTTAAAAAAGTAAACCTTTACTGTTAGAGCGGGGAGGAGAAAAAGACGGTTCCAAATCCCAAGACATCTCCCACCCCTCCTCCTCCTCTTCCTCTTCTTCCTCCCATTAGCTTCGTCGCTGATGATTGATTGTTAAAAGAGGAGACGGAAGTTTGAACACTTCGCTGGGATCCTTTATGTAATTTACCTAACTGTCGGGTTCTCCAAGGGAGTCCTTCTGGGTAAAGCGTGTCGTCAGCAAACAGCCCTCTTTCCTTCCCTAAATAAATACCACACACGGAAAAAAAAAAAAACTCTCCCAAGGCCCGGCCGGCCAAACGAAGGAGACCACCACACACACACACCCCCCCAGAATGAAAAGGCAATGTCCTTTTTAACCACATGCAAGACCCGCGAAACATCGGCTTTCGCTACCACATCCCGTCCAGTAGGAAGCGAAGAAGTTACCGTGCGAAGGAGGCGGTGATAGAATTAAGAAGGTCAAAGGTTCAATGAAGTTAAAAATTTTCCTATCACTTTAAAAAACAAAAAATAAAAAAATAAAAATAAAAATAAAAATAAAAATTTAACATTCCTTCGCTTCACAATCTATGTCTCTTTTTTTTTTTTTTTTCGCTACCCCGCTTTATAGTACTGCTGATCTCATACTCAGAGTGGATTAAAAAGGTTTCAGTTAGCCGTAAAGTCTTCGTTGATAACTTTTCTCTAGTTCTAATTCTTCAGCTCATGTGTGCCGGACCATATTGAGAAAAGCTTGAACCTTTCCAGCGACGGTGACGCCGTGCGATTCGTAGTAGTATGGATAAACAGAGAGAGAGAGAGAGCCCTGTATCGTATGGCACTAGCCGTGTATTCAATTCAATTCAATCGGGGACCCACGCCCTGCTCGTTAAACTGTGATCAGGCGTCGAGCTTAAAAAAAAAAGAACCGAATTCCTCTTTTTCCCAAAAGGTCATTCTTGGCCCTTTTTCCGTGAAAAGCGGGAAAAAAGTAAGTGATACGCTGTTCCACGGAGTGAACGATCTTGCAGTAAGCATCATCATCACCATCATCATCATCCATCACCATCTTAGAGCTGAAGAATTTTAAACAAAGCGCAACTGTCACGGTAATGCACTGCGCGCGTCGACCTTGCACACACATATACAGAAAGTCTACGCCATACCGGCATATGAGACTTATCTTCTTTTGATACTCTAACTCGAAAAAAAAAAAAATCTTTGCATCCCAGCCACGTTTCCCCCTTCGATTTTTAAAATTTTTGGGAGCCCCCCCCGAGGTGGGAATGAAAAAAAAACAAAATAGTATCCCACGCCTATGGGTGACCTAGACATCTTTAGTGGGCCCACCTATTAAGAAAGAAAGAAAAAAAACTCACAACGCTGGAAGGAAACCCGGGACCCGACAAGAAGGATATCCTCCAAGAACAGAAAGAGACGCGGGAAGAGAAAGACACAGATATAGAAAGAGAAAAGAAAAAAAAAGAAAGAAAAAAGGAAAGAAAGGAGACAGAGCATCGGTCTGGGTAGAGGCGAACGTTTCTCTCCTAAAGTTCCATCTACGGAAGGTCATGACCTCAAGTCCCTCTCCCATGGACTAGAAACACCGGAAGGGAAACCACTGACCATGGAGATCTATTTCCTGAATACATACATACCTTGCTATGTATTGCTTCAGAGGTCACCAGTAACCAGGTATGTTGTAACATTGATAGGCTGTTGACACCCTAGGTATACAGGCATGGGAGGTATCATCTACATCTCCAACTTGGAAGGAGGATGTATGTATACCCTGACGATGGTCTGGAATACTTTGGCCCCCCTCCCTCCCTCCCTCCCTCCCTCCACTCTCTTTTCAACGTTTGATAAAAGCGGTTGGAACAATAGGGATCCTCCCAATTCGCCGATTTCATTTAGTCTACTTTATAACATAGTGTACAAGTCTTCCGACATGTGCGTCAGCTTTTTATGCATATTTTGCCTATGGCTTCATTTTTCCTTTGAGTACATTGTCCAAGAAAAAACAAAAAAAAACAAATACTTGCAGCATTTCGTCTACGTACATACGTCGAAGCGATTAATTGTACCTTGAGTGTATATATTTGTCCCGTAGATGGTGAAACATTACCTTGATAAGATAGCTCAACTAGCCGTCGGAACTTGTCTAAGATTTAGTCAGAAGGGGGAAAAAAAAAACAGAGAGAGAGAGAGAGCTAATTTGGTCAGATTTATCGACGATACAGTATCATATCGATAATAGTCTCGTTAAAGAGAGCTAATGGTGTAATCCATGGGGTCAGCCCCTATCGTCTACATGGTGCCTTGCAGAGTTATCAATCCATGATGCTTGTCTAGCCAGCGCACTATATCTGCAAGTTTCACTTCAGCCATTGTGGAATGTGCAAAATATCTCCCCCCAAAAAAACATAAACCACGCCTGGTTAGAATGAAACGAAAGTTTAAGTAATATTTCTTTGTGGATGGATGGTTTGGGACAACCATCTACACCGGGATGAAGTAGAATCAAGCTTGGATTTGTTAAAAATACAACACGGTTTCTGCCACAAAGTGACAGGGTTCGCAGTCTGGCCGAAGTATAAAATTTAATAAGGAAGAGGCTAATGTTGGTATGCATGCGCCAACACGTTGGAAAGGGTGTACGGCAATAGAAAAGAAGATTGGTATGAGAGAGAGATAAGATAGAAATATTTGGTAAGGAGAAGAGGTAACAGTTGAGTAAAAATGGTAAGAAATACATAGTGAAGAAGTCTGAAGGTCTTGTTTCCTGTGATCAGGTAAACGATATCAAGGTTAAAATATGAAAATACAGAGAGGACCGCCCATCGCCGAAAACGTAATGTAAAGGAAAAAAGACATCTAGATGTAACGCCAACACAGAAAATACTCGTCCCGTTGAATAAAAGCTGCTTCAGAACATGTCAGCTCTGATAACGTCGACAGAACAAATGAAACGCGACCAAGCGAAGGTGCATAATTTGATCCATGGCGAACCAGCGCTGTTGTCTGTAAAAGGATGGATACTGATTTATAGGAAAACTTTTTTGAACTGTTGTTTAGACCTTGATATTGCTTATGTCGGAAAAAACATAACACCTGACCAAACGCCGTAAGATATTGGAAAAAAAAACCGGAACAAGAAGACAGAGAAACGGTCCCGCGAGGGACGAAATGACACCCATGAATATTGTGAGCTCGAAGACTTTTTCTTTTCGTTTTGCCGGCGTGGCTGAACTTTTTGTCTATTAGTATACTTTTTTTAGAAAGCACGAATCCGAGGCTTCGAAGGCTAGAGCGTGAAAATTTGGATGAACAGTTGTCGGTAAATCGTTGTATTCGTGGTGCCAAACATATGCATACTTGTGCGAAGTAAACAAACTATCGAGAACCCCATTCGGTCTTGATATCCCGACCGTTGATGTGTTCAGGGATTGATTGAGGACGAGGATGGTGTAGTGAGCCATTGCGAGACTTCACGTTGTATGTTTCCATCAACGGTCGGTCTGGACCATCATGGGCTCCTACAGGCATACCATTGGGGTAAACCTGGCCTGCAGAGTAGGCTCTGCCGACTCGTCGGCCCTCTGTCGAGAGAGTACGACTGAGTGGGATACCGGGGCTTGCAAGAGCTTCCTCCCTGACATGAGCATAAGCAGGAGATGTATAGGGACCTTCGTTCATTAAGTGTGGCTGGTTGGCTCTTGCCATAGTCCTGGGCGAGAGCTGGAGCCCGTGATTATTGTGTCGTGAAATTTGTTGCTGAGGGTTCCCAAGAGATGATGATATTGTGTTAGGGAGCGGTGTCCCGGCGTATCTCATTGCGAGATTCCGATAGTGATCTCTCTCTTCTTCAACGACCTTTAGTCGAGTCTCAAGCTCAACTATTCTGGAGCCCATCTCTCTTTCCCTTTCCTTACGCCGTTGCCTAAACCTAGCGGAGGCGCCAGCATTTCTTCTCCTCTTCTCGTCAGCTAACTTCGAAGCAGCAGTAGTATCTACAGGAATAGCAAGGCCTTCTAACCCTGCAAGATGAAGCCCATATGTGGATGGCTGGCTATTAGTCCGACCCATAGGCGACGATGAATGCCCTTCATGGAAAGGGGGGTTCATTGGGTAGACAGGACTGGTCTGTGAGTAGCTGGGGGGCAATGAATGTGGAGGTTGAGTCCTGGAAAATGGTGAAGAGCTTGGAGAAGTTGCCATGGAGGGTTGCGAATGTGGAGGTTGGCCCTGAGTATGCTGTCCATTGATCGGTGGGAAAGGAAACCCGCCTGCTGGGTGCATTTGTCCAGTTGCTGGTGATGCCAAGGTAGCAGGATGTCTGGGAGGAGTTCCAGCCGACGAGACAGAGGACTGGTGTGGCTCGATCATTGGGAGCGGACCATCTCTCTGCTTGGCTGATGGTGGAACTGGTTGTTTAATGCTCCTTGAAAAGGATCCGCCGTGATGTGCACCTTCCTTCATCATAGAAAGATCGTACCTATCAGTTGGCGACGGAGGATGTGATCTTGTGAAAGGAGGTTGATGAGGTGTAGATGATATTCTCTGAGGTGTGTCAAGCTCTGCCTCGTCCGCATTCCGTCGTCGAGCGCCTTGACCGTCACCCCTATTGGGGGTTGGGTTGAGCATATTGCTCACATCTAAGGGTCTCGAGGCACGTTGATCAGGACTAGGGGCAGCAGAGGACGCAGCTGACATCTCAGAGCTTTGAGAAGGTGGCATACCGCCATAAGGTTGCGACTTCTGAACGAAATCACCTCTGGCGGACACCTGCCCAATGTGTCTAGAAGGTTCATCATGGTGCCTCTCGCTATCACTGCTATCACTGCTGCTAGACGCAGGCGAGTGAGGAGGGTATGCATGCGACATAGATGAAGGGTCCCTTAGCTGCGCGGCAAGATATTGCCTAGGCCAGCGGACGCATTGACGGCCGTCGTCCTCCTCACGATTACCAAGCAGAGATGGCGATCTGCTGCGAGGAGGAGGGGACAAAGGATACTGAGGGCGAATTACAGAAGCCAAACCCGCGACTTTTGAGAGGAACCCTTCTGAACAGTTTTGTATAGAACGAGTGGGCTTGGGGTTTAGTGTTGTCGCTTGAAGGTAGTCCACGGTTTTGGCAGGAAATAGGCGAAGGGATTCCAATGCAATAGAGGCCGACTGGAGAAAATCAGGCGGCAGAAAGGCAGGTCCAAATAGGTGGAAGGCTTTTCGCTATACAAGATGAATCTGTAATTTCGAATTGCAACGATTGTCCAAATGGAGTAGAAACTCGGGGAGGGCTGCAAGCTGCGCCGATTATGATGATGAGTTCGATCGAGTAAATCCTGAGATGTAATAAACTAGGAAAACGAATTTCAAAGCTAGGTTATCTCTGAATATTCAGATAGATCCTCTTTCTTTCGGCGAATTCGAACACAGATAGATACTCGAATCCGTAGCAAATCTGTAGCAATATAATATATCGGGTCTGCTCTATGAACGTATGTATGTGTATAAGTATATACGCATGTAGTATGTACCGTATGTAAGCAAGCAAGTAAGTATGTATGTAATGTAATGTAAAAGAAGATAAGAAAGTGTGCTCTTAGAAACAACCTGATGGTCTCGAGTGTGGGACACCACAGGCTATAAAGTAGTAATGTTGCGGGAGCACACTGAGCCAGCGCGAGCACCCTCCTCTAGGCCTCGAGTCTGCACGCACAGCATCTCGAGCTGGGTGTGGCCGATTTGGCTCGCAAAACACCAATGGGCGAGAGCATGGGGTAGACTTTTCCCTTGAGGTGTGAGTGACTGGGGAAGGGTTGCTAGCGCGATACTTTGACGATGCAAGAGAGTGTGTGCAATAACAGTCGGGTACAAATTGTGGCCCATATGGTACCTTTTTCTTTTTCCAAGAAACCTGGCCAACTTCATGCTTCGTTTTTCTGCCAGTCAAGTCACCAATGTACGGGGACCTTCCCGCATTCATTTAGCTACCGGCAGGAACCTGGTGTGGGTCCTTCGCCGTTCCCGGTATCGAGTAGGCTTTGACCCTTGACAAACGCTTAAGTATCCTTGTCGACATTGCGTCGGGGCTGTCCCGGAGCATCCTATGGACTCGGTCGGGCCAGGTCAGGTCAGTGCATGCATTACATGTATGTAAACAACACTGGCTTCAAGGCATCCTTGAAATATCTGGTGCACTGGGGTCTTCGAACTGACCTAGTCTGGAAATATTCGAAAAAATAATAATGAATCCGGAGTCAGAAGAAAGAAAGAAAGAAGCATGATGATGGGAAGAAGAAATATTAATTTTCCTTCATTAGCCAGCCAGAACTCGTGAGAGGCCGGCCTTCCCCCCCAAGGATGCTCCTCTTGCCGTTGTCCCCGAAAGAAACTAAGTAACCTCTCTCTCTCTGTTCTTCTTCTTTGGGGAAGAAAACTCTTCGGTATCCAACTTTTTAAGATTGTTGGAGTGAATGTTAAACGTTTCAGTGATTCTGTCTTTGGCAGCTCAGAATAATAGTATACCAGTATACCAGTATACTTGGTCAGTAAATGCACAACTTGTACAGCAGATCAAGGTTTCCCAACCGATGCTCCCATTTTACCGTCCCTCGCCAGGTATCGAAGGTGATAATAAATCGTAGACGAAAGGAGTTACCATGGCATAGGTACACTACCAGTATACCTGGGAAGCTAAGTCAAGTAGCCGACGCGGAAGCGGGTTGAGAAACAAGCGGTTTCGCAACTTGGGAAACGTGGGATGTCCCAACTTCATGCCGTCAAGGACTAGTACTATACGGTATGTAGTTATCTGTTGGAAGTGAAGGCCCGCCGACTAGGGAGGAACGATAGTGAAATCCACAGGATCATTACAATAGTACATGTTTTTTTTGATTCTGCTATACTCATGCTTGTCATTACTTGATCTATAAGGTGGATTCCCTTGAACTCAATCGATCCTTATATCAAATGTGGAAATGTGGAGACAGGCTCTCCTTCCTAACTATTTACGTCTAGTTCTCGCTTTGCGGTATCGAAATAGGGAAGTAATAACCATCCAGCCATCGTCGTGAAGAATCTATTCCGCATGGTTGGAAAAAAAGAGATTCATTCGAGGACTCGCGCCGCTTCTTGTTTTAAGAGTTTTAACATTTGGAAATACGTCCGTCGAAAGATGTCATCTTTTTCTCTAGGGCCCTAGGGGGGAAGAAGATATTCCCGTCTTAGGAATCGATCAGGATGGGTATGATGTATCATGATAGTCTCCAAGACGAAAGAGAAGATTAAAAGTGATAGACATATAATCTCATGCCCCGGTCTTTCTATGAAAAAATATTGCCGCACTACTAGTTATACAGACAGACAGACAGAGTAATTTGGCAGGTGATGATCCACGACGAAACAAAAAAAAAAAGATTCCGGCGAAATACGATAAATCGTGATGGGAAAGTTAGCTAGCCAGAAGGGCCAATAGCATAAGTATACTAATGCAACCCCAAATTTAAGTGACATTCCGAAGGCGTCTTACAATAGCAATAGTTGTGAAGCCCAAGAAAAGATCGTGCAGTTCCCAAGTGACATCCTTGCGAACGCCTCACAATCTGACACATAGCCAGTCACATCACGCTTCAGAGCGTTGTGGAAAGTAAAAAAGTGGACATCGAGTTAGCCCGCAGGCGGTCTTGCGGTCTGCAGTCTGCATTTTTTGCATGGGGATGTAGCACACGAAAGAAAGAAAAGAACATGTTAAGACCTGAAGTAGAATTGTTTGACGAGATTTCGGTTCGACTTTAATTAGCAAATATCATAGTTCCAGTTCTGTTATTGCTTGCTGCTATTTTTTCCCCTTGGATAAAACAGATCCCCCAAGAAAAATAAAATAAAAAAACTGAAAATAAAAAAAATAAAAAATAGAAAAAAACGGAACTAACTTCGAGTTTGAATAATTAATTCCGTGGGGGGTAATTTTGGGTCTCTCATGATCTGGTCCTTGGGAACCCATCTACCTGAAATTTGGCTCGCTGACGTTTTTCCTGCTCTCTTTTTTGGACGGTGTGGCACAAACGGACAGGGAATACGCGAGTCCCGGTAACTTACTGGCTGCCCGCCTAACCCAGATCCCTGGAACTGCTGTCGGCCCTCCGATGAGCATTCGCTTTCATCCCGCTCTCTGGTCGAATTCTTCCAAATCGTTGTGCGCAGCTCCTTTTTTCTTTTCTTTTCTCCTCATTCTTACTGACAGATGCGAATTAGAATCGGTCTGGGCCGTACGTTACTTGGTAGTTAAGTAAGTAAGTAGATAAGTAGATCACCTGCTCGTCAAGCTGAACAATCACGTTTACAACAAGAGAATTAAAAAAAATAAAATAAAATAAAATAAAATAAAAAAAGTTAACTGTGACAGGACATGACATGACATTCCTCGCAAAAAGGATGGCTAAAACATTTGAAGTTTGTGGTTCATGCTTTTCCCGGTCTTGAGCCCCATTCGCTGGGTATGTCCGCTTGGAACTGGAGCATGAGCCAATCTTGGTCCCACCATCTCCACATCTCATCGACCCGATGCCCTTGAAGCATTTCGATATTTGCGAATGAGTGAAAAAAAGGATAAAGAAAGAAAAGAAAAACGCCATTTCCCCTCAAAATAAAAAAATAAAAAAATAAAAAACCTCACAGAAGAAGGAAGAGTGATGATTTCAACAACCATGTTCGGACCCGACACTCTGGAAATTAGACCCTTGTGGCAGCGTCTTCAGTGCTCTAAAGCGTTTTGGAAATTTGGGGGGTCCGGGTCACAGGGCCAATTCTGGTTAAGGCAGCAGAGCATCGATCCCCACCTTTGGTTCTTCGGTACAATCAATTACAATTACTCTGCATGATACAATATCATTGTTAAGTTCTGTCCCCCCGTGGCCAATTGCAACATTCTACAGTGCACGATGCGATTGTGTGTTTTCCAACAAGGATTGTTATGGAATACTCCTTGTTATTCATGTTCTTCTTGCCCATGGTATCAAGATGTAAAAACCAAAGGCGAACAGACACTCAAATCCGGGGTTTAACGTTTTGATTTCCCAATATAATATAAAAAAAGACGATATACTACAGACGGCTAGCTACCGGAACCTTATCAGCTTCCAAGAAGAATCCCACAGACCGCTCTGGACAATCTCTCGTGTTGTCTGGGACATTATAACCAAACAGGTTCTCGGGAAGAGATTCATTGGATGTCGATACTCCAGGAATGAGAGGCTTGATCCACTTGATTCAGCGAAAGTAAGTAAGTACAGGACATTGGAAGTATCCAAGTACATAATACCGTCTCTCATGATCATGATTCATCCCTTTTTTTCTGGGAACATCCCGACGTTCCGGTTTTCCCCTCACTTCCTTTTCTTCCTTCTGCTCAGCCGTGTCGTTTCTTTTTCACTCTGGGGGACCATGGCAGACGAACGAGGATAATGCGAAATATAGACACAATAATTTGTCAAAGCAGAGACAAAAACCTATCATCAATTACATGTACATCGACAAGAAGAAAAGAAAAAAAGAATCAAAAGACGGGACGGCAAAATGTTTCTGATGAGGCCACTAACGCTACACCCAAAAAGCCGTATCTAGCTAGTAACGTCATCGAAAGTCGTCCCCAATGAACCCCCCCGGGCGATTTCGCGCCAAAGAAGGGATCGTGACGGCTCGTTGGTTCTGCTTACTTCCCAGCACCCACACTGACGGGTCATTTCCCGATAACTTAGTTTCGTTTGCTCTTACTCTCTTGATATCTTATGGATCCTCTTCAGCTGGCGCACATGCACACCCTACTTCATTTTAATTTTGGATCAATGTTACTTTACTTTGCTTTACTTTACTTTACTTTGCACTTGGCTTTTATGAAAAGGCGAAAAGAAAGAAATCTACTTGTGAATATGATAAGAAAATGAATATATCTGTGACTGCTTGCTGAAAAAGGCGTTTACATTTCATCCGATAAATAAATAAACCTCCCTGTAAAAAACACCTAACCCTTGTTTCGCTTTAATTTGACGTCATCGGCGAAGATGCTCAAAATAAAACGAAGACGAACCAGTTCATAAGAATAAAAATAAATAAAAAATAGATAAAATAAAAAAAAAAAAAAAAAGGAACAAAGTCCTAGACCCACGGTCTTATCCGAGACGGTGTCCACTGGAGATAACAAAATTCCCCCCCTTCCCCTCCCAAATCAAACCAGTACCGTGAGCCGCTTGCGGAATTGCAGGATGTGAAAAGGGAAGTAAATGCAAGGGATAAGCACATCTCAAAGCTCCGTTCAGTATCATAAAGGAACTACACCATTCACGGTCAAGGGGGGGAATTCCTTGGCTCAGGCACGAAAAGGAATCCTATGATATATGTAAGTTATCCGTTTAGTTTTAGCGGAGAGGGGCAGTACGTACATACTTAGTACTAGTGTATGGAGTATGTAAGGAGCAGCCCGTATCATTATCTGAATATAAAGTAATAATGTGGCGTGCGATATAAGTCCTTACATACTATTATCGGGGTCGAAGGGGGAGGGGGCTCTTGCATCTCATTTTCGATTGGTGATCTTCAAGTCGAAGCCATGGTAAAACAATCTGGGGTGTGTGCTATGCAAGTGAATTTCGAAGCGATGAGCAACCATCATCCCAGCTGGCTGCACAAAATACTCGTCCAGACCTGTCACCAGCTGCAGCAATCATGTCATCTGCCTGACGAAAAAGAAAGACAAAGGAGTCCAATGAAAATAAAATAATAATAATAATAATAATAAAAACAAGATTCGATTCGGTTCAATCACCAGGTACCGAACACATACCAGGTTTCTCGTGTACCAGGAGAACGACGAAAGCTAAGTCTAGTCGAAGGGATCATACATACCGACTTGCTGGGGGTTGCACCGAATCGCAACGAAACATACATACATCCCCAGACTAAACATACATGTATGTAAGTATGTATTTAGTTAGTTAATTGGTCTTCACAGCTGGTTTCGTGGACGCCACCGTACCGAAATGGAACAGAATGTTGCTGTTGTGTCACAGGCGATGTCGTCAATCTACCCTACTTCACTGTTGGTTCCCGTACCCGTTCCCTTTCCCCTCAGGCGAGAGGCAAATGGGTAAAAAAAAGCCATGAGGCATGCAGATTATCTGCAGGATACCTGATACCCCCAAGCGAAGGGCCGCAATCTAAACTCTGTTGTTTTTAGATACAATATACGCTGTGTATGTAATATGGGTTCTAGTTATTCTAGGCAGTCGGGTCTCCCAAACACGGGTACCCAGAATGTTCACGATATGATGTTTCTTTCCCCGGCCCTAAGAATATCGATATCGAGCTAGTCAATTGGAATATCATGTTCAACCATGTGCTACTGCTGTACCGCGATAATCGATAACAATAGAAATCGAAGAAACTTAGCTCTCGGACGGGAGAGAACCAAGAGCTGCTAGTTATGTTTACGAGCATTCCCCATGCACTGTAACATCACCCAAGTAAAATTACAAAACCTTCAAGTCGACGAGAAAGAAAGTAAGTAAGTCAGAAGAAAAAAAGCCAAGCACAAAATCATGATATCCCGTATCATATCAGGGCGTCCCAGCTCCCGGAACGTCCGCGAAGTGGATATCCGGCTATCATAATCCGTAGCTAGCTTCGCCTTGGCTAGCTTAGTACTCAGCGGACCGTGCCTCGAACATCATGGTCTAAAAACAGCCTAACCTTCACGCTATGCCAATGGATTTCACTTTAATGACATTCAAATTTCGCCATATTAGCTCGGTGGAGCTGGGGGTGCACGGTGGGAACAAAAGACGTTGAGATGAGGCCATGACCGATGCCTATCTAGTAACTAACTTTTATGTGCTAAACTAAAAACCATTCATGCAGTGACTATCACAATTAATCAATGAGTGAATGCAATGATGCGGAAAAGAACGAAGCTAAAATCTGCCTAATTGTGACTAACCAAAGCATCGACTTGGCCTTGAGGTTCACAAAAAAATATGTATTGTAGAGAAGTTGACCGCCCCACTTCCCAGGGCTAGGGTGTTTAGAAAAAAAGATGCAGCCACAGGGAGCCAGGGTTCTGGGGAAGAGGTAAGCAGAACGCCTCAAGGGCATCCCAGACTACGCCCCAAAGTCCAACCGCACCACCCAGGAAGGCCAAAACCCACCAGTCGGTGATTACTTAGGAGAAATAACACGCTTTGTCTCTCTAACTCTTGTGGGACGAGATAAATTCATATCGAACAAAAAAAAAGCAGGGTCAACGGTAATAATACAAAAAAGACGATTGTAATCGATAATATATCCAACAAAGGTTTTATCAAGTGAGATGGTGAAACGCGTTGACCATGGTGAGCCTAGATTTTTCTTTTCCCGTTATCAAAGTTGTGGAACCGGATTCGAACACGGGATGCAGCAAGTCGTTGAAGTTCTAGATCCTCATAACCTTTTGTTTTTCTTTCTTTCACTTAGTCGTTGATCGATCGAAATCGGGGACGACTTTCTTCTCATCTGTATCACATTTTAACATCTATCTCTTTTTTTTTTTTGTGTCGTTTTCGCAAAAGGGGGATGGTCTATATGTGAGATATCCTTGGCGTGTCATCGGAGAAGTTGGGATTGTTGGCTGTTTATTGGCTTAGAGGGCTTCAAGCTAGTTCGAGGCGAAGATATGGATGCGGAATCGCCTTGATGCAAAACGCCTTGCATCGGAGCATCATCCGAGACCCAACATCTAACTTTGGAACTTTTGATATGATTTCCCTTCTCTGATGTGAATTCTCTTTTTTTTTTTTTTTACAAACATTAGCAACAAGGCAAATCATCTGCTCGTTACGTATGTATGCAAGAGACATATAATTTCAATGTATTAAGGAAAATCTAGAACTATATGATTTTTTACAACCTGTTTCCTAGATTGACGTGCACTGCCTTCGCCTGCGTATACGCCTGAAGGCCATACTCACCAAGTTCCCGACCGATACCTGTCAATGAAATTTGAACGGTTAGCGGGAACGCCGTTGAAAAACGATGCTTTACATAACCCCCCAAAAATCCGGCAGTTAATTGGTGATAAAGGGGAAATTATAATAACGAACTTACCAGATTGCTTGACGCCACCGAAGGGGATTCCGGTGTGTGAATCGTTTGAGCTATTGATCCATACCATTCCAGCTTGTAGTTTCGCTGCGACCTTGTGGGCACGTTCGATATCCCTGGTAAACACTGCTGCCCCCAACCCGTAGGTTGTGTCATTTGCCCTTTCGATCACTTCTTCCTCAGTTTTGAAACTTGAGAAGCAGACGAATGGGCCGAAGATTTCTTCACGAGATATAGCCATGTGATCTTTTACACCTGCGAAAATAGTAGGCTGGATGAAGTAACCTTTGTCACCGTGCTTCTTTCCTCCCGAGATCAACTCTGCTCCTTCAGATAGACCGGTTTCGACGTATCCCAATATCTTGTCATACTGAGCTTTCGAAACTTGAGGCCCTTGGAAAGTGGTTTCTTCAAATGGATCACCGATCACATTGACCTTGGGGGCGGGTCAGCCAGGGCCTTTTTATGAGGAAAGGAAAGGGAAAGGGAAAGGGAAAGCTGGGACATAAGGCTGCGTACCTCAGCCATGAACTTCTTGAACTCTTCGATGAACTGATTGTATATTTTCTCATGCAAGTAGACTCTCGAGGTTGCAGTGCAGACCTGTCCCATGTTGCTCATGATGCCAGAATGAGTCCATTTGATGGCTTGGTCTATTTCGGCATCATCGAAGATGATATTCGGGCTCTTTCCTCCGGTCTCGAGGGTACTACGTGCTCAACAGCGTCAGTAAACATTCAGTCTTTACCAACCACGGGCGAGCTACTCCGAGGCCTCACTCACATATTCTTCAAATTCACGGACGCCATCTTCATGATCTGCTTTCCTGTGAATGTGGAACCGGTAAAGGCAATCTATGATACACAGCGTTTATTAGATCGGAGTTCCGTTATCGCCAAGGAGAAAAAATAATCGTGATCCATGCGGTACGAGGAACGGCACGGGATTACAGACCTTATCCACATCTAGGTGTTGCACAAGTGCTGCTCCAGCAGTCTTGCCATAGCCACTAAGGACGTTGACGACACCTGGAGGGAAACCAGCTTCTTTGATGAGATTGCACAAGTATAAGACCGACAGCGGAGTCTGCTCAGCTGTTTTCATAATCACGACATTGCCCGTAGCGAGAGCTGGTCCAAGCTTCCATGCTCCCATCAAAAGTGGGTAATTCCATCTTTCTATGGGTTAGCATGACTGACCTGTTTACGGAGAATCCTGTCCTCGAAAAATTTAAAAAGTAAAATGAAGGGAGGACTAGACTTACGGGATGATCTAAGAAATAACGGTTAGCCACACATCATGCACATAAAATGTTGGATTTTCACATCATCGGGTCGACAAACCTGAGCACAGACGCCAATCGGCTCATGCCTAGTGTAAGCAAGCTTCTTGGGAGAAGTATCAATAGTTCTGCCGTAAATTTTATCCGCCCAACCAGCATAATGTCTGTAGCACTGATTAGCTGCATCCAACAACAAAGGGAAATTTCAAGGGTTTAGGTGTCGAATCGTGTCTCCGATTCTTGTTTTTTTTTTTCACGTACCTAAATACTTCAATACACCCCGCTACATCTTCATCGAAAGCCGTCTTGTACGGCTTTCCGTTATCCATCGTCTCGATGGTAGCGATGATTTTCGCATCACGTTCCACCAAGTCGGCGAGTTTGTGCAACAACCTGCCTCGCTCAGATGTCTCGATGTCGGACCAGCTTGGGTCCTTGAAGGCCTTCCTGGCTGCAGCTACGGCAATGTCGACATCGTCCTCTTCCGCGGCGTATACCTGGCATATCTCTTCTTCGGTGCTTCGGAGGAGTTATTAAAAAGTTATATTGACCAGTACATCTATCTCTCTCTTTCTCTCCCTCACACGTACGCTCCCTGGAATTAATATAATACTTACGATGGATTGATAGTTGCGATTTTGTTCCCGGCCTTGGACTTGACCCATTCTCCACCAACAAACAAGCCAAGCGGCTGTTGAAAGACCACTCCATTGGGAGCTTTAATCTCCTGCGTCAAGGATGAAGACATTGTTGAAAATAGTCGGCGGTGCAGAACGGTGGTGGTGGACTGCGAAAAGTTACGGGACTGCGAGAACCTGAAACTTGTGTTTGGGGTGACAGGAATATATAACTGTTGTAATTGAGGGACTCTGCAGCACAAAGAACCAATCCTCCGATTTTGAGCCCGCAGATGTTGAAAATTACGTAGAGTTTCCTGTTTCGTAAGTATCAGCGGGCGGCGGATGCATTCCAAGCTGGTGGAGCGAATCATATATCCCGGGGGAAATCAGGGTAATCTGCTAGCTAGTAGGTACCTGCCGTATGCATAACCTCAGGAATGTGAATATGTATGTAAGTATGTATGTATGTAAGCTAAGGATTTGATCACTTGGGCCGATCCGATATTTAGTTGACCACTCGTTCGTAGCCGTTTGTAAGCTTTTATGCACGTAAACACCCCGCGGGTTTGTTTATGCACGATACCGATAGCCAGATGTGGGGTTGGAGAGCTCTCGTTATCTCAAGCTCGAAGACGGCATCTGCAGATCTGAACAAGCTAGAATCAATTAGTAACTTTTGTGTTTCTTCTCCCGTAAAACTTTGATTGATAGTCGATAGTAAGGCAAAGCTCCCCAGAGTAGAGAAATATTGGACGCTGAAAGTCGCGTTAACCTTAAAAGACTGCTAGTTAAGACTGTATAACCGCTTACATAATTACTAATTGCTTAAGCACTTCACTTACCAGCTGTCGTATCTACTTATTTACACTAGTAGGTAAGTAAGTACTTAAGCACTAATTAATTAATAATAGTGGCATTATATTCAATGAATTCAGACGTAGACGGTCTGATAACAGTTCGATATCAGCAGAGATAGCTATTGATATCCCGCTCGTAAGTTTTAGATTTGTAAGTCGGGTTAGATTACCGGCGGGGAGTTTTTCAAAGCGACGGTCTGGACCTATTGCAATTGCCAGTTATTTAAGTAGTCTCGAGAACCGGACCAGCATTGTCTCTTCGAATTCTTTTTTGTGTTGCATTCACGTAATGGCAGCAAAGCTGTTCGACGACATGGCAACACATCCCGAATACGTCGGTTGGCAAGGCGAAGGAGGATTCAAATGGTTGACTACGAAACGGGACCGATGCCTCCATCTGGGCACATCTCGTTGTTGCAGATTTACATATAAAACGAATACTACCCTTGATATGATAATTTTAATTCTTCAATTGTTTTCTTTTGTTTTCTTTAAAATAAAATAAAATACAATTGACTGACGATTTCTGTAAATATAATAGATGCTAGATGCAGTGCAGTGCAGAGCTTAAAGTTTGTCCCACCGTGCCTATATGCATTGGTAGTAAGCAGGCAAACGGCCAACGTCGGAATCTCAGCTCTCCTCTCGATGCATCGGTTCGGCCAAGCGGGGCAGATGCGCCAGAGCTCCCGTCGGAAACTAAGAACACTAATCGGACGGCACCACGCGAATATTAATGCAATGGTTAATTCTGGTCTCTCAATCGAATCCCCCTTTGCCGATTTCTAATCTAGTCTTCCCGTTCACTCTCATACAAAAATTACGTTTAAACGTTGACTTAGCACTTGGAAACATTCGAAACTCTCTTTCTGTCCTTGTGTAATCGCGCGATCATCCACTCATCCACATCCATCTCTCTCTTCAGCCAAGGCGAGGTCCAATCGGTTACCGGTATCCATTTTGTCTAAGCGGCTTCGTACCCGTTTATTCCTGCAAGTAATAACCACTCTCTTAGTCGGTTCCAATCGGCCGAGGTCGGTTTAATAATCTGCCTGGTAAGCTTAAGACTTTCGGCTATTCCGACGTCATTTCTGCGTACATTCACCGCGTACCGGGACTACCCCATTTTCCGTCCCCGTAGTTTGGCTCCTTAGCTTTGAAGACATACTACAAGGTATGTGGTTATCAGGCATCCTCAAACTGTAACTGCAACTGCAACTGCAACACGGCCTGGCAGACTACTCTCCAAAAATTCACCCGAACACGAAAGGAGGACGGACTGACCCCACAATTCTCAGATATACAAGGGTTATATTTACATACGAACCAAAAGGCCTAAACGAAAAAGACGCGGTGTCGACGCACAAGCAGGCCAAGATATTTGGAAGCCCGCAAATTGTCTTACTAATTAAATTTCTAATCGGGATGTGAGTTTGTCTTTGGTCCTTCCTGGCATCAGAGCTTGTATACCGAGGGTTTTTTCGTCCAATATGATGGTCCATATAACCTAGGCTGACGATATCCTCAAACGAAATGACTGGATGCACAGACACTTTTGTGATTTAAAAGCGAGCACCAATGCCCCGTTTTCCATCCCTTCTCATTTCAGCTGCTCAGAATACAACAAGAGGCCTGAGGGCACCGAAACAGTATCCACTGTCTACCAGAATCTTCGCAATGACAATGGCAACGTCCTCTCACACCGTGCCTCCGGTAAATACATTTCCAGTACCTTATGTGCTTGTTCATAATGGTACCCCCAAATAAATAACAATATATTTCTGTCTTTCTCCACCTCTTCGTCAGCCAGAGGATCGCAGGCTAATAAATTGCCCGTTCTGACGTGTGACATTAGCTCAAAGACAAATCCTTGTTCAAGGAGAATGTGGCATTCGTTAATGGCAAATGGGTCAAGGCGAAGTCTGGCAAGACATTTGAAGTCTACGGTAAGCTAGGTTTATCCTTGAATTAGTAGGCAAATATGGAACGAAGGAAAAAAAAAACCGTTTTATTGCGCACGTACATAATGCACATGTACATCGGAGTAATATACTCTAGGACATGGGCCGCAATATAATCACGATAGACACCCATACTACCCCATATCTCAAAATAGCTAACTGAAATGGAACTTCCACTTTTTGTTAGATCCTGCGTCAATGAAACTGATTGGTACCGTCCCTGAGATGGAAACGGTCGACGTAAACGAGGCGATCGATCATGCTGCTGCAGCGTTCAAGGATTTTAGAAAGACGCTGCCTCGTGAACGGGCACGGATGCTTAGAAAGTGGTATGATTTGATGTTGGAAAACAAGGAGGACCTTGCGACGCTGATAACCTGGGAAAATGGCAAGCCTACCGCCGACGCGCTAGGGGAAGTCAACTATGCAGCCGCTTTCCTTGAATGGTTTTCAGAGGAGGCTCCGCGACTATATGGCGACACGATACCAACAGCCGTTCCAGGGAATCGGGTTGTCACGGTTAAACAACCGGTTGGTGTTTGCGCACTGATAACACCGTAAGCTACCATTCCGAAATAGTTCAAACCATGTTATCTTTCGAACAATAGGTCGAAGTATTATGGTCATGAAACAAAAACGCCTCTATGAAACTTAAGTCATCGACGGCAAATAGTAGCCAAATGCTAACATGGAGTCTATGGCAGTTGGAACTTCCCTGCAGCTATGGTCACACGAAAACTTGGGCCTGCTCTCGCAGCCGGGTGCACCGTTGTTGCAAAGACACCCGGTGAAACTCCCTTCACAGCCCTCGCCCTTGGAGAGCTTGCTCAGCGAGCCGGTATCCCGCCCGGCGTTGTCAATTTCGTGACAGCGCTAGACCATACACCGGCTATTGGCCAACTGTTATGCGAGCATCCTACGGTCAAAAAACTGTCCTTTACAGGAAGCACAAATGTGGGGAAATTGTTGATGAAGCAGTCGTCATCCACACTCAAGAAACTTTCTTTTGAATTGGGAGGCAATGCTCCACTTATTGTCTTCGATGTGAGTGAATTAACTAACCAATTACATGGCCTCCATTCCGTTCAGCTTCTCATTGGCTTCCGTTATCTATAGGATGCCGATCTCGAAACTGCAGTCACGGGCGCCATCGCTTCGAAGTTCAGGTCGAGTGGTCAGACATGCGTCTGCGCCAATCGGTTGTATGTACAATCGGGTATATACGACAAATTTGCTGAAAAATTTGCGGAGAAGGTCAAGGGCTTCAAGGTCGGGTCGGGATACGAAAAGGGTATAACACATGGTCCCCTGATTCATGGAAGGGCCGTCTCAAAGGTCGAACAGCATATTAAGGATGCTGTATCGAAAGGTGGCCAGGTCCTTGTAGGTGGCCAGAGACTACCGGACCTAGGTGAGAACTTCCATCAGCCCACGGTGATCACTGGGATCACGGCGGACATGGATATTACCGGCGAAGAAACGTTTGGCCCCGTGGCCGGGATAATCAAGTTCGACTCAGAGGAGGAGGTTATCAAAGCGGCCAATAACGCAGACGTCGGACTCGCGGGATACTTTTTCACCAAGGATGTCCAAAGAGCCTGGAGAGTAGCAGAGGCTCTTGAAGGCAAGTTGATTATGTTTCTTTGATATTAATATTATAACACATTTCTGACTAAAAATGCTAACTGCTTCATAGTTGGCATGGTTGGTATCAACACCGGTGTCATCTCAGATGTTGCTTCTCCATTCGGTGGGGTTAAGTTTTCAGGATTCGGACGAGAAGGAAGGTGAGTTATATTCTGGGATATTGAGAATTGATCGGGGAATCGGAAAGTTGAAGCTGACACGATGGTTTAATTAGCAAATACGGCATTGACGAATACGTAGCTATTAAGACAATGACTTTCGGTGGAGTCCAACATCTCTAACGGATTCATTGAAAGTCAGTTCAGTTACATACCATGGTCACCGGATTGTCCTCTATGCCCTGTACAATCACCCAAAAGTCTGATGCTGAAGATTTGATTCAAATAAAAAAGGCCACGGGCCACGTTGGTATCATACCGGTGACTTAGCTTACACGGTTTGATAGGACGTACTTTGGTTACCTACGAACAGAGCTATCTACAATCTGCGACATGTTGCAATATGCAATATGCAATTAGGCGTGCATGAAAGGGCCTTATACCAGCCACCAGTAAATTATCGATACGCTATGTTTCGTACAGAATTACTTGCTTATCGAACAGGTCTTGCAGAATGCAAAATGCCCCTCCCGCAGAAGCATACCATTTCGGGCCTGACGATACCCAGTCCAACGTTGACGTGGAAGTGCAGAAATGTGTTGCTCAGTAATCAGTAGCCAATCGATGGCATCATATGTCGTTCTTTGTAGAGCAAAGTCCAACAATTGTCAGACCCCGAAAGGCTCCGTTGGGAAGGTAGGACATAACGTAGACTCGACAAAGTGTCTAATAGTTATTTCTAACCTCGATCAACCCTCTTGAATTCAGACATCCTTGAGGAACTCCAAGTCTTCAAATTACCACATTTGCCAATTACGCTTGTAAGCTGCCTGTTCATTCCCCCTCAAGACTGCTCGAGACATTTGGGCGACGGAGATATGCCCGATCTAGACCAATGTTGCAACACGATGCCTGAATTAACGCACCAACCGAGACAGATATCGGAACCTATAGAATCAGAGTCTCATATCAGCTAACTTATCCTCAAGCAAATATGGCCGTCAATCCTAAGTTTGCCGCTCATGTCTTCGCCGTTAATGGCGGAAGCCGACCTGTTCATACCCTCGAACTGTGTAAGTCAGCTCTTCGGGTAACTGCGCATTCGATTGGAACTGAATAGTTCCCGATTTGGGTTCTTGTCATTTATCACATTTTCAACACATCCATTACGCAGGAGTTAGGCTGACCCGCTGGCCCTCGCCTTGTCACATATTTTCGGGGCGGGCCTGGTGTAGATCTCGATTTTGTTTGCCCTGTAAGTGGCGCGCGCCTTATGTTCGGGTTTCAACCGATGTTGGGTTTTTCATATGCTTGAATGCATGCTTTATATTCACGATCTTGATATATCGTGGTGGCCAACTTGTTTCGAAACCAACAGTCCATATCCCAGGAGAAGGCCCGTGGACAAGCACACTAAAATCGTGGAACCTGTTGGCCCACCCGGGTCCACAGTTACTTGTGGATTTGGCCGGGGACACCAAAAACTAAGCCCACCCATATTGCGAATTATTTCCCACTTCTGACCCCTCTGGTTCTGTTGAAATCTGTTGGATGAGTTTGCACAATGTGTATTCGCCCTTCCTTGTTCCCGTGTCTCAGTGGGCGCAGAGGAGGCTTCAGCCGTCCTTGCCGCCCGGCTGCCAACTAAACTGCAAGAAATAGGGTCTCTTTTCACATATTTCCTAGTCTCAAGTTGCTTTGTCTTTCGTTCGGGCTGAAGGGATTCTCTGCGTGAACGCTCGGTGCCGACTCAGCTTTACGTAAACAGCTCTTGGGAGCTTTGATAACGTTACGGGAAAGCTAATTACTGGTTCATCTCGATTGTCCGATGCATAGTACTCTGCTAAACTTTGGAAAAGGTACGTTTGGCCCATCTTCCTGTCCTTGCTAGTGTGGCTACGGAGCACGGCTCGCAAGCCGTGAGGGAGTTATGTCGTACGGGTGTCGATGTGGGGACTCCGAATCTATGGAGACGACTATTCCTTATGTGGTCTTTTTGGACTTCAAATACGAGGAAAAATAAACTACATAAGCATCACTAACATTCCTGAGCTTTGTTCTTGTTTGATATCTTAGGATCAACGAAGATGTGATCCCTCATCTTCAGGCGACGAAGCCTGATCAAGTGGAGATCATATTCCGCCAGGTACGTATTGCTGCGACTTCCTAGACAAACTTACTCCCTACATCCCTGATCGAAAACTATCTCGAGACGATTTCTTCATCGGTTCATGTTCCAGGATCGCGCCCCATGAGCATGAGTCTCACGTATTTTTCGGTACTTTGCTAACCGAATTTCGCCTTTGAAAGCTTATTCAACCGTGGCATCCATCGTCCACTCTGGTCCACGAGTCTGCACTCGCCGTTGAGAAGGTTGCCCCCGGGAAGTTCTGGGAGTACTCGAACGCCCTGTTCAATGCGCAGAAGGAGTACTTCGACGTCAATGTCGTGAATGAAACCCGGAACCAGACTTACCAACGGCTGGCTGAGCTCGCGGGCACCGTGGAAGTCGACAAGGATTCGGTCTATAAACTCTTGCATATTGCAGATAAACCGGATGGAGATGCTTATAACATCGGGAATCAGGTGGGTTATCTGTTCTTTTCGTTGCTTTGTTTGGTTCATATGCTTTGCTTTCCTTCTTTCCTTTTTTTCCCCGGTGCACATCCATGAATATAGCTAGCTCGTTTGTTGCTACTATAATCGGAAGACCTTGGAAGGGAGGGAAGGGAGGTTGGCGAATTCATGTCTATCCATCCATTGATTTGTGGTACGGGTAAGGCCGGAGTACATACAAAACTACCATTTGCTAATATCTTACCTGCTCCAACGGGAATATAGGTCACGAACGATGTCAAATTCATCACCAAGGCAGCCAGGCAGGTATCTGCACATGTGACGCCTACTGTGTTTTTTAACGGGGTTGTGGAGAATTCTATCAGCAGCGGCTGGGCTTTAGACCAGTGGAAGGAATGGATTGACAACAACGTGATTTGAATCAACGATAGGGCGGGAAAGAACTGCATGCAGTCGACAATACACGCCTGCGAAATTCCTGAGAAGAGGAAGAAGAAGACGGGAGGAAAACCGGGAAACTGAAGGGCCCAAATGCAAAAAAAATTTCGATTATGCTTGTTTCTTTTTTCTTTGAACCTCCTTGCTTTGACTTATAGCGTCATCGTGCTTATATGCGCTCGAAAAACAAATGACAAGGAATCGAAGGTCAAACTTCATGGATTTCTGCATCTTGAATTTATGCCTTTTGGGATAATATATTGGATAGAAGTAAGATTTTGATATGGATATTAAAGGAAAATCCTACCTGGCAATGTAATGCAATGTATGCTTCGTGGCCGAGCATACATGCTGAACGAAAAAAAAAAAAAAAAGGACACGACGATATGGCTAAATTCAGAAGTATCTAAGGTTAGGCAAATGGGTTCTGATGATTGCTTACTGCCGGTTCTTATATTTTGAAGCCCGCGGCCCGGGGATACATATTGATGTCAACGTCGTCTTCTGAAGTTCGTAGAGACTTAGAGGTTTGTACTATTTGACCTACTTCGGGCGGTAGATTGGAGTCCCTGGGTCCTCGGGGCTGTAGACGTCTATACATTATGTGGGTCCACTCTAGAATCCTGCATATCAGAAGCCCTGTATACAGATATTTACGTACGTAGACGAGATCTCGAGGGGCCATGCATGCCTCGGGCTTACAACCCAGAGCCAGTTATTATTATATTCACCGAGTATTCAAGATTTTGTCTTCGACTTATTGAACTATCGGGTATATGGTATACGGTAAATCCTATTACCCTCCGTCCAAAACATAAACAGATACCAATCGATATATATCGTAATCTAAATTTCTAGATTTCGAAATTCTAAATTAATTCAGAAGTTTTAATTTTGAGTAGCAAGCTTATCGAAACTGCGAGTTAGTATATAGATAAGACTGTACATTCTGACATACATATATTCCTAATTAAGTACATACATGACTAAAAACTCTTACTACAACCTCTAATCTATACCCATCAATTCATCAGCTGCCAGTTGTAAATTTCAAGATATGCCTTGAAGGGGGGGGCCTAAGGGGGGTGGAGGAATGCTGCTTATCCATTATCCCAGGGATTGTATCTAAACTGACAATTGATTAACAAAATCAATCGAACAATATGCTATCGGGGGGTTCGCGGTTATGTGTCATATTGACTGTGCCACATCTTACTTCCTTTTTTTCTTCTAAGAGTACTTTGAAATATAAGTCTTTTGGATGCATGTACACGTCGACTTCATCATGAATTTTTCGGGGAGGGGGGGGGGGGCTGTTTTTTGCCAGACCTACCCCGGATTTTTTTATGGATAGAACAAATATGTAGGAGAAATTGGATACCATCCTGACACCTCCCTCCTGCCCCCCATGGGAATCTAAGAACCTTTGTGGCTAGGATTTGATTGGAATTCATTTCAATTTTTTCACCCAAATTTTTTGGTTAAAACGTATTCTTATATTCGCATTGTTTTCGCGTATTTAACCGACATGGAAGTCCCTAGATAGCTTTCGACGTAACTCAGCAAATTTAATTTTAAGCTGGAATTAAGACGACGTAGGATCAAAAGTTCCTAATTTTTTGAATGTTATTCCTAAATAATCCTCAAGGCCGGTACTTAATTATCGAATCTTATGGTGCCACATCGATATTGGTACGTACGTATGTGTGCCAGCGTATGTGTAATGTGTAAGCTTTTTTGAAAGATTCTTTTTTTTGTTTTATGCGTCGGGCCTCACAAAATCCAACAGATGGTTTTGTACAACGAATACAATATAGTATATTAATATAACCGTCTGGTCGATTCCTTAAGAAAATATGTTATATAGTTACTAGATAGGTGTATTTAGTTTGATTTTGGGTTTGAAATAAATTAGGGATAAGTAGTATTTTTATAGAATGAAATAGAGATATATCTCTCTTGCTACTTTGACATGCGTCTCTGAGTTGTGGTTAAATGAGATCGCTGTTGGTGATAGTTCTATTGTTTGGCGGTACATTACTTGTCGTTTGATTTGATTGTACAATTGTTGCAGCAGGGTGATTTCGAAATTCATTCGCAAGTCCACGTGGCAATGTAGCACAAGATCTTAATTCTTAAATTGGTATATCTTTTTTTTTCTCGAGTTAACATTGGCTATGGGGGTTTAAAAGAATACCCAAAAACCTTTACAACGGCAGTGATTGATGCTGACGAAGATAGTTATCGTAAATATGAAGGCTCACCTAGGTTATCTTGTATAACTATTAATTATAAACTAAGCCGAATGTTAGTATATCTGCTGTAATGGATGTTTAAGTTTGAGGGAATATATCTACTGAGATACGCGCCCATTACTAGTTACTCTGCAGCTGAATGTTTCTTCCATGCAAATATTCGGATTGGCGTATTTTAGGACAAGTATTCTAGTTAGATGTGCTAACCATTCATTCCTTACAGCTTTATTAAGTCGACTGACACTTAGCGCTGCTAGACTTTTTTTCAAAAAAGTAGAGTGTAAAATATACACTAACAAAGTGGGAATATCTATCTATCTATCTATTTATACACGTTCATCTAGTTATACTCTCGGGTAAGATATAACATTATCTTTATGCGGTAGCAGTACAGCTACCAAGTCTCTGTACGACACCCGCGCAACGGTCGCAAGCCTCTACCTCACTCCTGGACGTATACATCCAGCATCTTGGACACTTCTGGCCATTTGCTGGTACGGCGATCACTGTTCCTTCCTCTTGTAAGAGGGTAAACGGTTTGGAGTATGACCATGCTCCTTCATCTAGATTTGTGGGTTGTGAGGTTGAAACGTGAACTTTTGAGCAGAGGAGGATGGCGGTAAGTTCTGATTCTGTTGAGATGGTTTTTATATTAGTATTCTTCTTCTTCTCATCTATCTATCTATATATATTGTGTTTTAATGGAGGGGGGAGGGGTCTATTAACTTACCAATTTCATTCAAGAATTTCTGTGCTTCACCGCCCTCAGGAACGACGAGGATGATATCCGCTTCCAAGTTCGCTCTTAGACTCTTCGCGTTTCTTGCATCCTCAACCACGAGATTAACGGCTTCTACGCAACTATCAAAGGATTGGAATTTCCTTCCTAATTCCTTTGCAGCTTCGCTTGACCACTCTGCTGGGGGTTCGACCCATTGACTCTTCACAGGTTGGTCCATATTCTGTGTAATAGCCGGGGTAGAGTGGCTCCAGATCTCCTCGGTTAGGAGGGGAACGATTGGAGATAGAATGTTGAGGTAATGCTTGAGGATGTAGAAGAGTGTTGTTTGTGCGGATGCACGAGAGATGCCGTCGTCAACGTAGAGTCTGTCTTTTAGGATGTTGAGGTAGAATGCTGATAGGAATACTTTGTTGAAGACGTTGGTTGAGTGGAAGACTTTATGGGTTGTTGTTAGTAAGTCTTTTGGGTGGTTTGGCTCAGGGGGTTATGGGATATGGTTTAAGATAACTTACTTTTGCTAAAGGCGAAAGTGTCATACTCTGCCTTAGACGACTGGTTTAGCTCTGCAAGTCGATATAGAGCGTATTGATCGATCTTGAGAAGTTCATTGTATGGTACTTCTTTTCCATCCCAGTCCCCGAGGTTTCCGAGTAAGAATCTACCTGTCATCCTATATTTCCTCAGGGCCTCCTGTGCAAATCTCAAGACTTTTTCGCCGATGGTTCCGTCCGCTGTAAAGTCCGTCATAGCAACCCAAAGTCTCAAAGTATCTATATCAGGGCTTTGTTCCTTCTTGGCCGGTTGTGATGACTCCGCTACGACTTTTGGCTTCTTTTCCGCCTTCTGTTTCTTTGCCTTCTCAGGTTTCTGTGCAACTTTTGCCATCTGGCCGGCTCGTTGCCAATACGACCCGTCAATGATTTCTTGGGGACTGATGATATTCCCCAAAGACTTTGACATCTTCTTTCCCTTCTCGTCGAGAACAAACCCATGTGTGACAACTTTCTCATAAGGCGCCTTCCCTGTGCTCGCTACGCAAGTAAGAAGCGAAGATTGAAACCATCCACGATGTTGATCCGATCCCTCGAGGTAGATGTCCACCAGTGCACGACCTTCCCGCTCTCCGAGTTTTTCGCGAATAAGAGTCCAACTAGTTCCACTGTCAAACCAGACGTCCATAGTCTCCGTTCCACGTTTGTACTTCTTGTCACGGTATTGAGGGGCTACCCATTCCTCAGAATCCGGGTCAGACCACCATGCATCTGTACCTTTCTTCTCAATGACGGAGATGATGTGTTCAACGCTTTCTTCGGTTAGGAGAGCATCACCGCTTTCAACTTCATACAAAGCGGGGATTGGAACGCCCCATGTTCTCTGCCGGGAAATACACCATTCGTCACGTCCTGATACGTAGGCGTGAAGACGATGCTGGCCGGCTTCGGGAACAAACTGTATTTTTTCAATTTCGGAAATAGCAGACTCTTTGATCATTTCTACACCGGCGAACCATTGTGGGGTTGCACGTTGGATGATTGGGAGTTTTGTACGCCAATCGTAGGGGTATTTGTGTAGAAATTTAGGCTGGCAGCCGAGGAGGACGTTGTGGTCCGAGAGGAGAGAAATAATTTTGTCTTGTCCTGCGGAGAGGACGGGGAGTCCAGTTAGGTCATAGGTGGGCAAAGCATCCGAAGTATAGTTTCCAGAGTCGTCAACTGGGGAGAATGGCTGGATGTTGTGTTTCTGACAAGTGAGATAGTCTTCCATGCCATGGCCCGGCGCGCAGTGGACGAGACCTGTGCCAGTGTCTGAAGTAACATAGTCTGCTGCGAGGACTGGATGCGGAGAAGCGGTTGAGGGGAAGAGAGGATGGTTGTAAGTTACATCCAAAAGAGCCTTTCCAGGGATATCTTTGACAATAACTTCAAGTTCTTCATCCATGAGCTTTTGCAGATGTTCGACCCGTTCCTCACCTGCCAAAAGCTGCCCATGCTTCGAAGAATTCACTACGACGTATTTTAGATCTGGATTGATTAAGATGGCAAGATTTCCTGGGATGGACCATGGAGTAGTAGTCCAGATAGCTGCACTGATAGTTTTGTCGACGTTGGGGAGTGAGGAAAGGTAAGAGCCTAGGTTTGCAAGTGGGAACTTGACAGTAGCCGCTTTGCTATTATGGGCCTCATTATACTCGAGCTCAGCTTCAGCAAGAGCAGTTCTTGAACTAGGCGACCAATATACGGGTTTGAAGTGTCTGTAGATGAGGCCTAGGATATTACCGTCAGTACATGGATAATTTTTGACTTTATTATGTATCTTACCTTTCTTAGTCATTTCTTTAAACACACGAAGCTGTCGAACTTCATATTCCAAGTCTACCAGCAAACCAATTAGTAAATAACAGTACGATATAAACTAGTAGGGAGCGAAAGAACATACCCATTGTCCGATAGGCATTTTCCCAGTCGCCGATGACACCCCAGCTTCTGAATCCAGCTTTCTGCGTTTCAACCGTTTCTGCAGCAAGCTTTCGGGCCAGTCCACGTATTTCAGTGGCATGGAGATCTTTATTTTTTTCTATAGCCTCTGCGGGTGACATCATAGAAACGTTTTCAGTTGTGCCACGGATATTTTGCAGAGCTTTAAGCTCGATAGGAAGTCCATGACAATCCCATCCTGGAATATATGATACCCTTTTGCCCAATTTGATGTTGTATCGGACAATGATATCCTTCAGGATTTTGTTCATGGCATGACCTGAATTGCACGGTTATTAGGTATTAATTTAGATCGTATTCCTAATGAAGTAATACAAAACATGACCCCTAACCTGTATGTAGAGCCCCATTTGCAAATGGCGGGCCATCGTGAAATACGAATGTTTTATCACTTGGTAGATTCTCCCACTAGAGGGTGCAATATATCCATCTCAAGATTAGTTTCATCCAAAAGAATATACTAGATACCTATGTACCAATTATGCAAGAAAAACTCGAGAACTGACCTGCCACTTGTATAAATCATCCGTACATTTCTCCAAAAGTTCTTTCGCAGAAGCTGGAGTCAGGCTACTTCTGATAGGAAATGTTGTAGTTGGTAACTTGAGGGTATCCTTCAGGTTAACCCTGGAATTCATAGTTGCCGAAGTCATGATGGATCTCTTCCCGTGCTTTGTGATTTGGAAAAGAGACCTCATCATCTCGAGCACCCGTGACCTTTATGCTTTCTCACGGGAGGACCTTGTAGTCATACATGTGAGTCAATTGGGGGTGTTGCCGGTTATGAGATGCGGTTGGCTACATGGAAGACCGGTTCCTGGTAAGCCTGGTTCTCTGGAGTCGTTACAGTGAAACTTGCAGTACTTGAAGTTCGGGTCCAGCTAATGACTAGGACCCCACATTGATGGATGGATGGGAAGGGAAACTAGGCAGCAGCGACGGCTCTCAAGCTTCTCATGCATGACATTCAGGACTTACTTTTTGCTCGGAACCGGCATATATGCATCTGCATCTGAGCTATATCAAATTCTCTTCTGTGGGATTTCTGGAACGGTGCGCGTGCGGCAGTCGCAGTAGCACAGCAGAGGTTTTGGTGGAAATTTCAGCTGGACAAACACCGCACTGCTGCGTTGAAATGGACAAACATCACAACACATTCGCTACCAGCTGCAGGCACATGGCACGAACAGACAGCACCCTCAATATGGTTGGTATAACAGACAAATGGGCAGGATCGGATTGGCTTTGACAATTGACGGCACACACACATCTCCTCGCATGAAAACCATTCGAGCTGGTTGGCCCCACGTGAGAGTTCGCTAATATCTGGTTATACATAGATATTCCCTAGGCCCTTCTTAGAACCCGAAGCCGGACGGATCGGAGGCGTTCCATCCCAGCAGGCTAAGCAAGAAAGCATGGGGGCCATAATACCACTCTGCTGTAAAGAGCACCGCGCGTCGAATCGAAATATTGCAAAGCAGACCAGCCAACCATCTGGACGGTTGGGATGCTGGATGGGCGTCAGGCAGCAGCAGGCAAAGCCCGTTAGTATATGTAGCTCTCGTCCCGCTGTTGTCCATGACATCTGGAGCTTGATTTAAGCTTAAAAGGACGGCATGTCATGGAAAGTTGGAAGCTCTCTCATGTTGTACTGGTTGTTTTATTAGTCCCCTGCACCTTTCCGGTCCCTTTTTAACGACAGCCTGGGAGGGAGGATTCATTCATTGCTATCGATTCAATTCAGTGCATTGCATTGGGACGCCTCAGCTCTACATCTTAAGTGTTACATACTTATCATAGTACGGCAGTACGGCAGCCACAGTGCAGTATTTGCTGTTATCGAAGAAACCAGGTCCGACTAATAACCGATCCAGCTAACCAAGGATAGTTACTATCAAAGAAGGTTATACGCCAATGCTGCAATAAACCACTCGGTCGGTCGTCCGTTCGGTTCATTTTCCTTCTGCCTCGCGCAACCGCTTTGATGGGTTTGATTATCTTTCGGAGGGAAGTTGAGGGAAAAGACCAAAGACAAAAGTCTGGGCACGTGCGTTGTTGCCTCCAACAGAAAGGAGTCCGGACGGAAAATGGATGAATTGGGCAGGCGGAATTCTCCTCCCTGATGTTCCCCAGTTACTTAGCATTCTGGGCTTGACCGCTGGCTTGCTGGCTTGCTTGATTTCTTGTCTTTTGTCTTGTCTTGTCTTGTCTTGCCCTGCCTTGCTTTGCTCACTGTATACATAGTAGAGCGTTGGAACAGGACTGGACATGGACGGATCCGACGGGCACTGCACTGGAACGAACTGAGCCGAACTGCACTGGACTGGACTGGATTGGACTGGGCTGGAATTGAACTGGAATTGGTCTGGGACTGGGCTGGGAATTGGTTCGGTCTGGTAAAGAGGGGAATAACTGCTTAGTTAGGTTGAATGATAATACAGACATTCTTCCTCGTCAATATACCCATACCAGACGATACTATCCTGTCCTATCCTATCCTATCCCATCCTATCCTACCCTATACTTCTACTTACGCCATCTCGTAGAACCGCCATCTCGTCGTCTTGCAAGCTTGTGGGCGGGGTCTCGTGGGGGTCTCGTAGCACGCACACCGAAAGCAAAGCCGTTTTCCCCCCCTTCCGCTCGAACTATCGAACCTATCGCTTGCTTCTTCGGTCATTATTCGGTACAGTGCGGTGCATGCAGTGTATCACGGTGGTCGTCTTTACTAAGAATAAGTACTCACTTACTTAAGTACTTACTTACTTTAAAGATTATTTTTTTCCCCTTCTTGTAGAGGTCCTTTCAAGTGCAAAAGAGAAAAAAAGAAAAGAAAAGAAGAAGAAGAAGAAGAAGGAAAGAGAGAAGATAGAAAGAAAAAGAAGGAAGAAAGGTATACATCCATTCGTTTTTTTTTTTAAACAATATCGAATCGAATGAACAAACGATGCACACGCACCGCATGGACGCAGCAGCAGCAGCAGTAACCATACACATACTCTCGATAGTTATAGTCGATCCTGCTCTCGAAACAGCTATTCGTTATTCTAACGTCAAATAGTTAGAATTCCAAAGCAAAAGGTTCCGGCGTTCCGAGTATCTTAATCTTGTTGTATCACATCTTTTTGCTCGAGCAGGGGTTGGCTTCTACCTACACCAGCCCCAGGGCAGGTTCTGTCCTTATCTCACGCGACGTCACGGATCCCGACTTCTTTGCCCATGTTCTATAATCGCTTAAAGATATTCCGACCGACTGTGTAAGAGCGACGGCGACTCTCTATTCTTTTCAACTTTAAACACGGCTGGGTGTCTCTTTTTTTTCGTCCGGAGTTTGATCGATATCCTTCTTTCCTTCTCGTGTGGTACAGTGGAGTCCAGTCGACAAAGCTGCTGCTCGTAGCGCACATGCAGCAGCAGCATTTCAAAATTCAGCCCGGCGGACGGCAATAATCCACACCAATCACTCGAACCACTGCATCCCACCTGCAGACCTTTTTTTTTTCTTGGTTACGAGATTGGACAGTTGTCTTCCTCATTGGGCCGTTGGAAACTTGGGAACCCCATCAAATTTTCCAATATTGGGAGATTCAGGTCCACGGAATTGTGATACGACGATAATTTTAGGCCCTTTCGTCTGTTCGCGATCGGTTTTCCGCTTATAGCTGTAAATCCTTGCCTCGAGTCACAGTTTTCTGCTTGGATCAAGTCCCTGTTCGAGCTTTAGGCTCGTCCTTGATACCATATGAGCTCAATGCTAGACCGCTCGGTGTAAGTTACCCCGTCTTTTGGCCCTCGCTTCCGCCCGGATACCCCGAGAGACATCTCGATATAAAAACATAGTTCCTAAGCGCTGTATTCTTTTTAGATCCATATCTTCAGGTCGATCGCGAAATGATAACTCGTTAGACAATGGAGCGAGGAAGAACAGTTCGGCAGGTAGTTCTCTATCTGTCGCCTCCAAGGCAGCCAACGGTATAGGTCACCGGAGGGCGCCGACCAATGGATCAAACCTCTTCCGCCGGCGACATATCGATGTCATCGTTCGAAACATCCTCATAGCCTTAAGGAAACCTAAACCTTCGGAAATCCATCTAGTATATCATCTTATCAGCCAATTAAATGCGATATTACAGCTCCAACGCCGTTATATGACCGTTTCAGAGTCGACATTTCTGGACGAAATTGTGACAGTACCAACCCTATTGAAGATTATCGATACGATTACAAAGGAGGACTTTGTTGGTTGGCAGATTGCAAGCCATACGGACCATGGCTTGCTTTGCCGTGAGCTCCAGCTTAGGACAATTATTTGTGGATTGAGGCTCTTGAGACTTCATGGCCTGAAAACCCTTGACGGGGAGTTACTAGATAACCTGACAAAGAAGTTGCCATCTGCCGCGGACCCGAACAGGAGGAAGGATGTCGATGCGGCTGGTGAGGTCGATGTGTATAACTGGAACATCGGTAGGTCAAAAGCATGAATTATGCCTCTTATTTCCCCCGGATGCCATACTCATTTTCAACACATAGATTTCTTGCTTGTTTATATCCGGAATTTCCTTTCGAGCCTTCCCGAAAGTCGGACAGCGAATGCTGCCATCGTCAGCAAGATCATAACAAGCGCCTCAGGCCTAGCGGACGACCAAGCCGAAGTCATTCCTTTGAAGATTCTCAGTAAATCAAGAGAATTGTTAAGCCAACCAGACATCTCAGACTCATCTCAGACAAATTGGCATAAGATATATATAGATTTGGACGACCTCAGCTGGAGCTTGGTAGAATGGCACAAACGAGCCAAACTTTCGCAGGATATAGTACCCGATGCACAGGAACACAACTTGCACCTGATACAAGAGATCGAGGAGCTTGTAGTGGAGCAGCTCGAGTTAGTAATGGATAGACAACTGTCACTCCTCGAACAAGCGGAAAGCGAAGATACAGATGCCCCGGAAGGCAAAGATCCAGAAACCGTCAAGAAATGCTCCGATGACGCTCAACATCTTGCATATTCATCTCTCGACCTCCTCCAGCAACTGGTAATAGGAGCTCTAGGAGATGGCTCATTAAAACGAGCCCGCGAGATTTCGATGCATGTTGTAAAGTCGACGACCAAGAGCAGTCTCCGGTGCAAAGCTTTCGACATCCTCTCCATATTAATGCAAAAGGGCGTTCTTTCTTTGATCCAACTTGATGCAGAGCTTAAAGGCTGGGACGTGGACAGCAGCTTCTATTTAATGGTTTTGGAACAACGGGATAGATCACAGTCTGCCATGTTGACCAAGCGAAGACTTGACGAGCAAAGCGAGGTACAAACGGACCAGAGCATATTCAAACTTCCTGACAAAGAGCTCGATAATCCATATCAAGAACCTGAGCCGGAATCTGCATCACAGGTTGCTACCTTGAGCTTTAGGTCGCGGCCGAACGTATCAGTCCCCCTGCTTGCCGACTTGGATGAGTGGCGGACCTTCCTATCTGAGATTGAGTTGGAGCTAGAGTGTGAAGGCAGAAAAGGTACCGTCCACGGGAACTACTCAACCATGGATATAGAGGAAGCCGTTTTAGCTAATGCGAAATGGTTCTAGATGGTAAACCTTCGGATGATCTTGGAATCATGACATGTGGCTGCGTGATGTCGGAGAAATTTGCCCGATTCGAGTTGCAACGCAGTATTGTGAGTAACCTCATCCCTGTTCGATTCATCCTCTCAATTGTGGGATCCGGACCACATGCTTACCGTAGCTTCTGCATTAGTGCCCTCGCTGCCATAGAGTGACGGAATGGAAACACCCTGACGACAAGCTAAGACGCATAGCAAAGGTTGTTGCTGGCAAGCGAATGGAAATGGGGGTTGTCCTTAACACGAATCACCGATTTAGTGTTGTGATATCCTCGCCGGGTGGACCGGATGAGTTTGAAGATGGAGCTTCGAGTGAGATCGGAGGATCCACTGCCCCGTCAGAAATTGAGGAGGCTATGACAGTAGGAGCGGGGGCGGGTGGATTCCCCAAGGAGGTTTCTTGGGATAGTCCCTCTATCAAATACACGCCATCCATTTTTAAAACCCTATTTGGTGATGTTCGACCACGGACTGCTCAGCGTAATTCTGGAAAGTACGTTTTTGATACGCCCCTTCTAATCTACCGTTCAACTAACCGATATTGCAGCGATTCCGACGGGTCTAGAAGTACATCGCGAAACGCCTCTATCACTGATACTGCAAGTGAAGAGAACCTGGCTGTCCCGGCGCTGCTCTCAGGATCGCTTCCAACCCGTTCAATGGGTGGCCGTATGGGCCCCAACACGATGTCCCCGTTGGTGCCTGTATCGACAACGAAGCAAATCATCGGGATGGGGGCGGGGGTAATGCAACGAAGACCAAGCGGTTCTGACCGATTCTCCGACCGATCTGGCCCGCCTTCCGCGAACGGTGGAGCATACACCGAGCCTACACCTAGATCACCCGGCAGGCCCTTAGGAAGTAATACTCCATACATACCCAGAAAATTCCAAAGGCCGGCTCCGCTAAATACAGATGTATCGTCAGGTGGTATTTACGGCTCATATCCACGATCTGGGACCTTTCCCACATCGCCCATAGGCGCTCCCTTAACGCAAACCTCGTCTGTAAGCTCGAGACACCGAACACCAAGCCTTCCGGTTGACACTTCGAGGGTGAAACCGATGGGTTCTGTGCGGATGCATTCGCCAAGTACTGCTCATCCGGAAGCCGAAGATGAGGCTGGTCCATCAGATTACCATGCTCCGAGGAATAATGATAGGATCGCCAACTGGATCGATCGAAACCAAGAAGTCCCACAAGAGAACACAGTAATCCGGCCACCTTTGAGTCAACAGGAGGAGCGTAGACACAACAAATTCATTAAGAACTTCCCATTCTATAAAGGTAAACCGTCCTACCCATCGATAATTGTGAAGGGAGGCTAACACTCCAGAAGCCGAATACGTTCACCACATTCCAACCGGGGGTCGGCTACGTTTTGCAGATATTGTGGCCACGGCGATTTCCCCCAGTTGTACGAAGTTCGTTCTTCTAGAACGGAAGAAGTTCAAAGTATTTTCGATACTATCAAGCGAGAGGACACCTGAATTGCTCTGTGCTGGGAAATGCACCGGGGAGTATGGTCCGTTTTCAAACCAATACGGTCTTGTCTCCGCCGAAGACCGAGTCATGAGCAAGGTTTGACTATCTGTGAAGGTTCTCTAGTTACATAGCGAGCAGCAATGCTAATATTGTGTTCTCTAGCAAAAACGATTCGAATATCTTTTCGCGGCTTGTAGCGACCAATTACTTGCCATTGCTGGGACAAATGGCACGCTGAAAGTTCATGATTTGAGGGAAGACGGTCGGACAGTCTACACTTATATATCCGAATCATCTGATATTAAGTGCATGGTGAGCATAGCGGTTTCCCATGGCATTCTGGAAGAAACGTCACTAATACAAACTAGGCGATGTCCGGGGACGGCTCTACGATTGCACTTGGAGTAGTCAATATGGAACATGGTAAAAATCAAACCATGATTGTTCTCCACCACCTTGACACAGCGCCAGAAACTGGAAACGGCGGAGTAGGTTTAACAAAGATTATTGTCCCATACACGGACACAACGGGAACGCTCTCCTTCTCCGACGATGGCGTTTACCTCGCTTGCAGTACCCTCCGAGAACCTCGATTCTTAGTTTATGATCTCGCTGCCCAACCTCCAAAGCTTGTTATGAAATCATCTCGAAAGCTCGATATTTCGCATGATGCTGAGGGAATTACATCCGTTAAATTCTTTCCGGGGAACCGACTCATGTGCGTTACTAGTGTTGCTACTGGTGCTATTCCCATTGTGGTGGATAATTGCATTGGCCTCCTGGATTCGGCAGGCCGTCAGGAACCTGTCCGCCTTGTTACCAGACTCAACTCCGTGGGAGATAAAGTACACGGGTGTTGCACATCCCCAACTGGAGAATCTCTCGCGGCGGTCGACCGTTCCGGCAACGTATTGATTCTATATTTCCCCTTGGGGCTATTGAATGATGAAGGAAGAAGACCGAGGTGTCTGAAGGTGGCGAAGGTGCAGGGTGCGATCAAGATGACAGAAGCGGCGTCAATGTCGTTTTCCCCGGACGGGTATCGACTGATTATTGTGGATCGAAAAGGCGATATCACAATAATTGACTTTGCGGAGCTGGATGATGGAAAGCTCAGTAAGACTACTGCTTGGGAGTAGTACTTCGAACCACTCTGGATTTTACGACTATATATTTCCCTTTCGACTATTATTAACTTGGAGCCTTTATGACGATTTGCATGTTTTGCAATGATCTGACAAAATTCGTTCATTTCAGAAAAAAGTATCCTTTTGACCCTCCTTGACTCCACGCCTTCTATTGCCATTTTCTTCCGGCCTGTTTACGCTTTATTTAATATGATACCACCATTCATGACTTGTTTTTTCTCGGAACCTGAGCGCTTTTAAAAAAATTAGTTTTAACTGCTCTTCCCCCCAAAATATTTTGTTCTTGTTTAAAATTATAAACTAGCAAATGTTACATGTTACAACGACACCCTTTCCCCTCCAAGTCCATCCTTTTCAGTTGCAAAATATTATTGTCATGCACTTACGATCCGCGGATCTGTTCATATAATATCTTTCTTCCCCTCCCCTCTTTTCACCATTTCTTCTTTAAATTTTTCCTTTTTTATTATTTATTTTACTTACCAAAGCTTGGTTAGATCCTCTGGAGGTGGTTTCTATCTGCTTAATCGGTCTTTGGAATTCGAAAATCTTGTCAATAAAAAACAATAGTATATACCTCCAATCCTATTATGGTTGTAAAAAATAGAGTTAAATAATTGAATCCTCCTGTATTCATGGCATCATAACTTAAACTTCATTCAATAGTCTCGGAAATCGTAAATTCATATTCTCCTGCAGTTCTTGAGGCTGTCTACTCTTTGGAACTACTCTGCTGAACGCTTCATTTAGGCAAATTGTCGATTCGCCTCTCGACTCTGGGTGTGTAGTCTAGTGGTTATGATTTTTCCTTTACAACTTCTGAAGTTGAAATTCGGAAAGGGTCCTCAGTTCGATCCTGAGCACGCTCAATTTCTTTTTGCTCTTTGAGAAAGCTTCTTTTTCCTTTTGCTGGTTGGGAGTGTCGGTTACCGTTTTGGTGGAGTTTGCTTGGCGTAGGATAATCGAAAGGGTTTTGGGTTTTCTTTGGGTGCAGTATGTTGGGTGGCTTCGATCGAGTTAGATATCACTTTTTATATTTAGAATTTGTAAAGAATTAAAGGTTCCACTTTAAGGATGTTGGTTTTGTAGATTTGCGGGGGTAGTTAGTTTAATGATGAATGGTTTTAGGCGGCTTAGCTTCAACGGTTAAAGGGCTTTGTAGATATGCATATGTGGACTAGTACCGAGTTCGAAGGTGTCTACAATGCGGTTTAGAGGTCTTACTACATATACATACTGACTTCTGTGATAAGTTTTAAGAATAAGCATATACGTACTTAGTTAAAAGGAAACTACTTTTGTGAAACTTCGGAGAACAGAGCAACAGCTAAACTATTCAAAGTATTCTACAGAATATTACGAAACTCCCATCCAACACCAATTCCACAGTATAATATATAATACAGATCGATTGATTGATTCCCCCCTTTCGTGGTAGATATAAACCGTGCATGACATCAATATACTTCGATTAATCCTTTGCCTTCTTCTTTTCCCGCTCGATCTTTCTCCTCTTACCCTCTAGCCTCTCCTTCTCGTCCTGCTTTTTCTTGTTTCCGTATTCCATTCTTTCATACAACTTTCTCTTCTTCTTTGTCATCATCATCTTTTGTCTCTCTACTTCACCCTCTCGTTGTTTCTTTTCCTTGTCTAGCTTCTTCTTAGCCTCTGATTTCTTAGACTTCTTGTCTTCCTTGTAAGCGACCCCCTTGGCTTCGGCCTCCAATTCGCGTTGATGTTGTAGTTGTTTTGACACTTCGTCGTCTTCGGACTCTGCATCAGATTCTTGTAGTGCTACTCCACCATTCTCCTCGTCGTCGTCTTCTTCTTCCTCTTCACTATCATCCTCGCCCTCACCGGCAAGCTCAGTGTTCATACCGCCCCACTCTTCACCTTCACTGCCCTCGGCCTCAACGCCATTCTTCTCACCTTCTTCCAGCATCTTGACATCTTCCTCCTCTTCTTCCTCTTCTTCTTCACTTTCACCATCGTCTTCCACTGGCACTGTAGGATCGTACTCTCCTTCGTTCACCTTGACCCATGGACTCAGATGTGGTGGCAATTCTGCACCCTGTGCATACGAATCAGGTCTTAAGACCCTTCCGGCATTCACACAATCCCAGATATACTGAGGTTGCACATACAACCGGCCCAAAACCTTGCCCCTTCCGGCGTTCACACCTTCTTCTGCTTCGGTTCCGGCGGGCATAGGCGGCAATCCAACCTGGGGAGGTCGGTCGACAACTTGAAGTGTGATACTTGGGTCTCGGTCGTCTTTCGTGAAGGATCCTTCACCAAGCACTGCGTCCCAACCGATTCTCTTACACCCGAAAGATCTCAACAAGAATTCCAGCGGTTCTCTCGGTGCTTCACGGGACAGGTATACCGTCCATTCCGAGAACATGTTGGAGGTCTTCCCTTCTCCTCCAAGATCTTCCGTAGGCTGCTCTAAGACATCGGTCGTAGCACCATCCTTGGAAGGTATGGCTGTGAACTTATCAAGTCCCTCATTGATCTTCTCCCCTTCTTCGGTTGCTGGAACGACAGCGTTCTCTTCATCTTGTTCTTCGCCCTTCTCTTCGATTTCCTTGATTTTATCTCCCAAGGTTTCCAACTGCTTACTCACATCCTTCCTAACCACAAGATCCCCATTGGTTCCGTTCTCCAACTCCCCAACCTTCTTACTCTCCAAGCTAAACGCCCTCAAACCAGCGCCCATTTCATCCATCTTCTTATCAAACTTTGGTGGATACACCAATCCTTCCAAGGTATACAACCTAAACAGCACAAACCCCAACAAAGTCGTATAAAAGTCCAAGAACGTAAGCATGATCCTAAAATCCACATCTCGCGGTACGCTTTGTGCGAATTTATAAGGAACAAGCCAAAGTACATCCTGTCCTTGAATACTAGCCTGGTAATAAATACCCTTGATCGATAAAAACGACTTTTTCAACGCATGTTTCCGGATAATATAGTGCTGGAATTCATTCGCTAGTTTGGCGCAGGTTTCTATTGTCTTTGATGGGATATCTCTGTTCGATGGGAGATTGGCGAAGAGGAAGACGGTGGAAAGCGCATCGTCAAGATCACGGATTGCGTCCGTAAAGGCTGGGTAGCGCTCTTTGATGATGTGATCGAGTTTTATACGGGGCTTGTGAAGATCTTCGAGACGTTTGGCATCGGAGAAGTTGCCACGGCCGAGGGCTTTGGTCAGTTTTTTGCTGAAGGTCTTGTGCTCGCGGAATTTTTGGAGGACAGGCTCGTGGAGGAGGTATTGAATGTCCTTGGTCTAGTTTTTATTTAATATCCATTAGCCGGGTCTCATTTTGAGAATCATATATTAGGGTATGGAAAGTTTTTATATACGTAGTAAAAGGTTACTGGGGCGGTAGAACCCTTGTTGGCTTTCTTCTTGTTACGAGGCTCTCGTGGGTAGATTCCTGCAGATGAAGTCAATTTGTATTAGAAAAACTCGTCGCAAAGAGTCAATTGATCCAAATTATGGATGTAGGTATGCATACCCTTGAAGATACAAAGTCTTCTAAAATCTGGTAAGGATATTTGGAGCTTGCGAACAGCCTGTGTCCTGGTGATGAAGTTTCTGGCATTTCCGGCCACGCCTAAATACGATCAAATGATAGAAGTGTCAGAACCAAAGCCATAATATTATTAAAGACTCTATGAGAAATGATGTACCCTTCTTTTTAATTTTACCCATTGTGCTGGTTCTGCGATGTTGAGAGATATGTAAGATCGGTAAGGTTGATGTTGGAGCTTGTGGAGTGGGAAGAAGTTTCGCGACCAGAAATTTTTCGCAAAGCTTAAAAGCGAAAAAAAAAAAGTTTCGACCTGCGGCTCTGTGGAACCATCGCAACACAAAAATTGCAACACGATGGGTTAGCTATAGTTCCGACCAACAGGCTAAGCCGTACAAGACTACCCCAGACTATATTTCTCCAGACGATTGCATTTCAAAATAGTTATTGTACACAGGTTAGTATAATCCATCGAAGGCCCATTAAGTTCTAATGAAAGGTCGCTAGCAAAGAAAAAAATGAACGAATCGTCTCCCAAACTCCACCTGACAGGTTGTTCGCAACAGAAAACGAAAGTAATGAAATAACCCTTCACAACCACACTGCCAAAACGGGGAGGAAAAGAGAACACCGCTTGCAAGGCGCCTGAGAAATGCTAAGATCCTATGCAAATGCAGAAACAAGACTTCATCATCAATCATACAGGAGGTCAGTAATAAGAAGGCCTCCGGTCGCCACCAGATCTAAATGCAAAAATGTCGGGGCCAAACGATGGTTAGTGTACTAAAAGAAATATATTCCGTCTACTTCTCTGTCAGCTCTCGGATCTGAGCCCTCAATCTCTCATTTTCATCCCTCAAAAATTTCACTTCTCCTCTCTCGCCCTTAATCAACCCTTCCAAAAACTCATCCTGCTGCTTAAATTTATTTTTCATCTCGGTCTTTAGAGCCCCCATTTCTTGGTTGAATGAAGTCTTCAAATCGGCGATCATATCGTGAATGCTCATCATCCCATTTTGTGTGCTGGTGGCGGACATAGCTAGTCCACTACTCCTCATATTTGGGGAACTGCCCCCAACATTGACACGTTTATGTGGTTTACGAACTTCCTCTGGCATCCAAATATCTTCTGGGACTGGTGACTTCTGCTTCCCCTTGCCCTTGGAGGCCAATCTAGGCGCATTTCGAGAGGTCTCCTCCCTAGTAGCTTCATAAGGATCATCTGCCGCCTTTCGTTTAGCACTACCACCTTTTGGTGACAACGTCGGAAGGTCAAGATACGGTGGGCCATCGATTTCCATATCTTCATCCTCAAATACGAGATCCGAGACGGGTGGGAAACTCCCTTCTTTCTTCTTTCGTTTCTTTTCTTCTTTCTCAGACTTCCTTCGCTCCTTTTCTTCCAGCTTAGCCCTTCTTCTCTCCGCCTTCGCATCTGCTTTGCTGCTTGTAGAGTTCTCCTTACCCTCCACACTTTCAGGAACACTAGCATCATTCTTAGACTTTTGATTAGGAAGGTGTGACGAAAACAAGGATAAGACTGGGTGTCCGTGTCCAGACTCTAGTTTAGCCCGAACCTTCCGGAAATCTTCAACCGCTTTGCTATCAGTCGAAGGAAGGGGAGGCCCTGTAGGTAGTGTAGAAGGGGGCGCAAAATCCCGACTCTTGGGAGGCTCTGGTCTTGCCTCGTCTTTCAAGGGTACAGCGGGCTTTAACTCATTGACTTCTTCTGCTTGTGGAGCTGGTTCCGGGGCTGGCCTCATTGGTGGCGGTGGCGGTGGTAGTTTCTGCTGTTTGAATTCCTGATCAAGCTCTCTTCTGACTTGTTCCTTTCTCGAGCCCTTTTGTTTCGGTAATTCCGTCATTGCTCGTTGAACGGATTTTACTTCCCCTGGAGCAACAACCTTCTTCCCAGGGGTTCTCGGCTTCGCGATGGCCAAGGTTGGGGACGAAACACTCGGTCTCAACAATCCCTCCTCATCTTGTCGGATCAATTTGTCAATCTTGTCGCCTTGCTCCTTGTCCGGGGAATGTTGAACAGATCGAATACTCAATCTTGCACTTCTCCTCCTAGGGGAATTCTTTAATGGCTCAGTCTTGACTGGTGAAAATATACTCATGTAATCCGTGGTGAACCCTTTTTGAAGATCCTCCCATGCGGGTTTCTGTTCCTCAAACGTTTCTTCAACATCTTCCCATGAGTCTTCCTTCTCGGCTCCGGGTGGAGCTTTCGGGAGAGGCTTGTTTGGGTTGGGAGGAACCCGAGTCACGGGCGATGAAGGAGGAAATTCGATTGGCGCCGCTGGCTTTTCTGCAGCAACGATGGGTTCTTCCTCTTTCGCTGTTGGCAGAGTCTGCTTAAATTTTGATTGGAGTGGCGCGCGGCTAGCAGGAAGGGGTACCGAACCGTTGGCCCTGCGAGTGGGCATACTAGAAGGGGTAGATTCAATAGTGGTAGCAGGTAATTTGACATCCCCTAGCTTCCACCTAACTTCGCGGACCCTGTTTTCCCGTTCCACTTGGATTTCGTGTAACCGATTTCCATCTTGGTCATAGATGTAGCACCACCCGTGAAAAGTTCCAATAGCAGCTAACCATTTGGTGCCTTTCTTCCCATCTTCAGACCTGATGGCAAGGCATGTAGCTGGTGCCCCGATTTTGAAACTGCTAACAACGGTCTTCTTCTCGAAATCGAGAATTATGCATTTCCCATCTTCACCAACTGATACAGCTCTGGCTTGAGGGCATGGGATAAACTCTGCAGCTGTCAGTCCCTTTCCGCCCATCATCGCATCATGCAAATGGCCAAATGCATGGATATGTTGTCCAGTTTTTGCAGTCTTTGCGTAATCGTACGCAGCTAAAACACCATCGGCGAATGAGATTAAAAAGATGTTCTTCTTCGTAGGATGAAAAGACGCTAGGATGGCTTTCTGGTTCGAGGCCTGCGGCTTCAGATGGTAGGTCGTTCTAAGACTCAGGTTGTCCAAATGAAGAGTTGGTGGGTCCTTAGATGCAGAGAGCACAAGAGCTGAATCAAAGGATGTTGCAAACGTGGTGACTGGTGAGGGATGCGGTTTGAGGATCTCCGAGAATTTATCATCACGAATATTGTATGTTTGAATAGCATTTCGGAGTATAATATTCAAAAAGAGGTTTTTGCCATCGGCAGCATACTCGAGCAGGCGAGTGGACTAGAAGGAATATTAGCCATTGGTGCTATATATTTGTGCAAAGATGTACTGCTAACATCAGTTCCTCTGAGTCTGTAGGAATTCGGCTGTCCTTGTTCGATCCTATGTAAAACGACAACCAGAGATCCAGCCACAGCGAGGACGTTCCCTAATAATGATATCATATCAGTGGATGTCGTTCCATCTTTTCGATCCGGGGTCGATACGTACCATCCTTAGCCAGCCTAGCAGCGACAATGCCTTCGGTCCCGGATTTAAACACCGTGTCATACTTGGTGTTTATGCCGTCCCAGACATCGACTTCCGTGGATGTTGTGATGATAACTTTCCAGGTCGGTTCAACATCCTGAGCTGGCAGCTGTGACCTGCTACTGCTTCTGTTCTTGAGCCGTAGTGACATCGTGGGCGATGCTGAAGAGTCCGGCGCTCAATCGGTGCGAGTATCGTATGTTATTTCATCAATGTCGTTGGCAAGGCTTCGAGGAGACGATAGATTGATTCGGAAAGAAAAGGATAGCTGGGTGGTTACTGGTGTTGACGCCTGTTGGCGACGATAGTCTAATCTGCGACAGCAACAACACGCGACGACGGTAAACAACCCGACATCATGTGTTGCCAAGACTGTTTGTCCACTGACTTATCTTCTTTTCCGGACACAATTCCGCCAGCCAAAAATTCAATATCCAACGTCGGCCGCAACACATTCGCCCCGCCAGCTCTCTTCAGTGCAATTCTCCTCGACGATAGCTGTCGGAAGGTCACCCGACGGCCTCATCCGGCATCCTTTCCCCGACATAATACAAACAATCCGACACGATGTCGACAGCTGCGCTTCAATCGTCGGCTTTCGTCTGCCGCTCTTGCAGCCGGCACCTTCGTCCATGCTTGCCTTCCTCGGCCACCCGTGCCTTTAGCACCACATCCTCAACAGATGGACCATCGTCATCCAGCCCGTACAGTCCCTACTACGTCGACATTCCTTTCCCACCCCAAAGATACGCCCCTTGGAAACCCCGGGCGAAGGGTACTCGTCCTGAGCCAAGGAAGGTGTTTCGCAATGAGAAAGACAACAAGAAGATATCCTTAAACTACCTCGCTCTCGTCTCGAAAGAGCCCACCGTGTTCTCCAACCCCGGCGAGACTGCTCCGGCAAAGGAAAAGGCTTATATCAACTGGAAACAAAAGATGGCTGATTCCCGCCGTCGTAATATCCGTGATGGTCTTCTTCAACTCCATTCAGAGAAAACTCGTCGAGATGAACAAATTGCACAACGGTCTACGCAAAAACAGGCTCTTCGTGCTAAACTTCTCGCCGAGGAAGACAGCGAGGCAGTAAAGCTTACTACACCGACTATCATATCTGCACTGCAGAAAAGGCATACTTTAACAGACCCAGGTCGTGAAGAACGCCTTGCCGAAAAGCGTGAACGGTACATGAAGCTTGAAGCAGAAAAGCGAGTTGGGCGACTTGAGGAACTCCACGAGCTGTATATTCGTGCCCACGAATTTATCTTCACTGAAGCACAGCTTGATGAACTTATCAACAAAGAATTCTCGCTCATCAGTCAGGCCGAGATGGTTCACATGCAGCCTCCAGACTCCAACCAGGTTGTTGCCAGGCAAGCTAAGACAGATACGGAGGGCCAAGGCTTCTTCCTGAAGGACGAATTGGTTTTCAATGCCTTCACCGATGCATTGACCGGTGGTTCCAAGAGAGGTGATCTCAGCAAGAAAACTGCGGAAGAAGTACTATCAGAATATGCGCCAAATATGGCATATACCGGCTTTGGATACGGAGAGAAAAAGCCAACTCAGCCGACAACAAAGTCAACTTCCGACCTCTTCAATATCTTATAAAACCGGGGTTAGGCGGGGGTTATTCGAGGTCGAGGTGTGTACATATAGTTTCTCAGATATATCACAACGGCAGTCCGTGGCAGTCTCGTAACCAGATTTTGTCCGTGGAGTTACATGTAAATATTTAGGTACTGGGTTGTTAAACGAATACTACCTCTAAGATTCGTTGCTATAATTAATTTAACAAAGGTGCGCCTTTTAGTTAACACGTCTTGACCCTATCTAACCATGTGCTGCGACTACTATCCTTCCATCCCTTGCTAGCGTTATTGCTCTATCGTCTGGACTATCGGGTTAAAATACTCCACGTTTTCATTACGTTCGATTTATAATTAGTTCACGTTCAAACCTTCTAACCCTTCCAAAGCCGCCTCCTCGTCTACCTTCTTTAAAACCTTTTCCATTCTCGAAAGCCCTAGCTCCAATTCCTCTCTAGGTGTCGAGAAACTGAATCTATACCACCCATGTTCTTCTCCAAAAAACATCTCAGCACTTCCAACATAAACACCTCCGTCTATCATTTTTTCCCATAGAATCTTATCCCGCTTCTGTGCCCCTTCGGGTTGGCCGGGAATATTAGTCTTCCCACCAGGAATCTTCCCATCATCACCCTTCGGTAACTTGATCTTCGCCAAATACCGCCTCAGGTCGGTCCAAATGAAGAAACCAGCGTTGGATCCTGCTACATAGGGGATACTATGCTTCTCGAACCAGTCAACAAGAATTTGGTAGTGTTCTCCCAGCTTCTTTTGGTTTTCAATTACAAACTGGTCGAGGAACTCATGATCGTTAAGGATCGTTCTCCAGGCTATATCTGGTAGAGAACTCGGCCATTGGAAAAGTCCGACTGCTACGACAGCTGCCAAGAAAATTTGGTCGTTCCATGGAGAAATTAGGCATCCCATGCGAAGCCCGTTCGCACAGAAGTCCTTAGACATTCCGTAGACAACATGAACCAGATGTGGTGAAATAACCTCCCTAAGACCGGGAACTGCGAATGCGGACGTGAATGGAGTGGCGCTGGTATTCGAAGGCGTGGAGTAGATCGAAAGGGCATAAATCTCATCAGAGATGAAGTGTATTTGATGGGAGTTGCAGAATTTGGCGTATTCCTTAATGACTTCGGGGGTCTAGATAACCTAATCAGTGCTCCATCCAGAGTTAATTGCAATTGAGCGACTTACATAGCATTTCCCGAGAGGATTATGCGGGCTAAAAGTACGTCAGTATTCCCTATATGTAAATTTCTGAGGGTTCGAGAGTCAACATACTTGCAGAGAATAATTCCTCGAACCTTAACACCATTGTTTCTTTGAACTTGCAGCTCTTTTTCATAATATTTGATCGCCTCGGGTCCCATCGGATCCACATCCTTCAAGCTCACCGGCACCAGCTTTAGCTTGCTCCTCCCATACAGGTCATGTGCAAACCCAGTGTATATCGGTCGTCCAATCAGTATAGCATCGCCCTCATCAGCTATAGTATGAAAAAGTAGATCCAAAACGCCGCTCACACCGATTGCAGTGTACACGTGCTCAGGCTTTACTTCAAAGGTCGGAGAGAATTTGCGGTTGTAGAGGGAAGCAAGGGCTTCCCGCAGGATAGGGGAGCCACCAGGGCCCGCGCCGTAAGTTAAGTCATACGACGTAACTTTAATCTAATATTTTAAAAAAAAAACCAATTATATTTCAGGTTCTCCTCGTAATTAATAAAAAAGCTGTTGTTTCGGGTTTTTACCTTATCTGCGTAGTAGTCTACGAGTTCTTTATGCATAAGACTGTTTTCTGCGACTCCCAGCGAAATACTACATTCCAATTGTTGTATTAGCATGGAAAACTTTGATATTCTCTAATTAAAGTGACAAGCATTGTTGTTCTCATTGAGATAACTTACATTCCATTTGGATTCTTTTCTTTGTTATACATGTTCTGGAAGACCTGATTTCCCAATTGACAAGCTTAGTTAGCTCGTTGAGGAGCTTCCACGATATATGAGTAGAATCCCCATTGCATCTGAAGACATACCTTCATGAGGCCAGCCATCGCGCCAAAGGCGTCAGCGCTTTCAAGGGCTCGCTTGGACAGTGATTCCTGCATGGTTGAACCCATCTTGTCGTCTTCTGGAAGTAGTTGCATTGTGAAAGAAAACCAAAGCTGTTTGTCGGATTCTGTCGATATTTAAAACAAACAGAGCCAATTAGGTACAACGGTAAGGTTAATCGGCTCCGAAGATAACCTCAAAGGCTAGTGTAGTGGGTATCAGATCCGACAAAGCTCCAGACAGTCTAGTCCCTTTGAATTGGCTTTCGATTATGTAAACCCCTGTTGAGTCATAAATTCCTATGCACGTCTTATGAGTCTATCTCAATCTTTCTCGTAACACGAGGGGCAAAGTGGTATATTTTATACGGTTCGGCGCATTGCCACTAGGTCGACCCGCTGCGACGACAAGGGCCCTATTTGTGCTCCGAGACCGAAGCTAAGCACCTTGATCCCAGTTCCAAAAAAGCCAAAAACCGGGGTAATAATCGGGCGAGAGAAGGGCTGCACCTGGCTTACCAATTCACGTTCATTTTACCCGAAAGTACCCGCTGACTGTCGAGCTCTTTGTCGTAAAGCCAAAAACTACGTAACGGGTTGAACTACTAGCAAATAATACAAAGAATAGTGACATAGGTTATGTCCTAGGCACCGATGTATACTAGCTTCCTCGGCTGGAGGAATGCTTGTCTGGTACGGCATTCATCCAGCTGGTTAGTCCTTGGGTCATGCAATCGAGCTTAAAAGTTTAAGTTCGGGAGACTAGGTGACCTAAATGAACCATTTATATCCGTCTGACAGTTTAGTGACCCGCGCAAGCCCAATCGGCCCATTATCCAGCCCGGCGGCTGGGATCGAAATTTACTTCGCCTTAGAACGAGTGGAACATGACTAATAAGACAGCTTATCGCTCGGTTTAACGGCCCCGGATTTCGGCTCCATACGAAGACTCGAATCAGTCAAGTCTCCAGATCCTTATCGTTCCTTGCTCCTCCTCCTCCTTCCCCTCTAGCTCAATAATATCAAATGGTACAATATCAAGGGCTCAAGTTAATATACACAGGAAGCAGATAGAAACCCCACAGATCCCAGAACTCGTAGTCCAAAGGTTCCTATGACGAGTTAAATATTCAAAGATGCCTTTTCTAGGGTTTATCGACGTATTGTCGATCTCGACTCCAGTCTGCCATTTAAGTCAATTTTACCTCACTACCTTCCTCCAGATTCTCCACGAAGGATTTATTGATTTTCAGTTGTCCCACTTGAAGAATCCCCGTTTGCAGTTGGCATCGGTATTGGCCCACCAGGCGAGTCCGGTTTTCTCGCTGTCAGAACTTCGCAGCCGGTCTCCGTGACCAACAAACAATGCTCAAACTGTGCAGATTTCAATCCATCTGCCGTTGTGCTTGTCCAGTTATCTGGCCACGTCTTATCTCTCCACGTACCCAAGTTGATCATTGGTTCAATTGTAAAGCACATCCCAGCCTTTGCAGCGCCGACAGCCTTGTTTTTGGCGTAATGGGGAACATTCGGTGCGCAGTGGAAAAGAGTATTTACGCCGTGTCCGCAGTAGGTTTTTACAACGGAACAGCCTCGAGATTTTGCGTGCTTTTCGATAACGTTTCCGGGTTCGCGGAAGAGCATACCAGGCTGTGGGTTCCAAATGTTAGCATGATAGACCCCACCGTTTTGGAGAGACAAAATAGTACCTTGACAATTTCAATAGCCTTGTCCAAACATTCTCGACTGGTCTCTACAACCCTAACAGTGTCGGGATCTGCTTTGGCCTTATCTCCAACGTAGTATGTTTCGTTCAAATCGGCATGATAGCCATTGTGGTAGGCCGAAATATCGATGTTGATGATGTCACCATCCTCCAAGGGTCTTTGATCCGGGATACCGTGACAAATCGACTCGTTTACCGATGTGCATACCGATTTTGGGAAGTTGTTGTAGTTTAAAGGTGATGGGTAGGCCTGCACAAATCCAAAATCAGAATAGATCCCTTCCAATGCTGCTGTAGTTCTGTGGGTTCGCATACATTCCTCTCGATCGTCGCCTTGTGCACGATCTCGTCAATCTCGTCTGTTGTAATTCCTATTCTCACTGCAGCTGCTGCAATATCCAAGATCTCTCTCCCTAGCTTACAAACCTCCTTCATTGCTGCGATACCCTTCTCGTCTAGGATTTGGATCTTATTGGCCCGCTGAAATATTCCTTCCGATCTAGGGATTCCATCTCCGGCGTAATCTGGTTTCGGAATGTGATCTGGGACGGAGCGGTACGGGGACAATGGGTACACGGGACGTAACGGGCCAGAGTATGGATAAGTTGGGAAGGGATCGTAGGTTCCGGTAGCTGGGTTCGAACGGTAAGGTGTTGGTTTTTGAAGGTCTCTAAGTGTACGGAGGATGGAATTTTCTTGCTCACTTGCAGTCTTATGGACTTGTTTATGGTTGGACTAGATGTTCGAAGATAAATAACCCAGGCGTTAGTAAGTATTTCTCCCGGTACAAAGAACTGTGATTCGAAGATCTCCAAAGAATAGGAAACAGCATGCATACCCAACTCTTCTTGAAACAATCTTGCGAACAGAAAAAACTGTTCTTGATACCCAGTTTCAGACATGTTGGGCATTGTAGTGTGCCGGCGGGATTCGTGCACTCTACGCCCTTGCATTTCGCAGCGTCACTTGCGGTCATGGTGGAATATTTACTTTCTTTGCCTCTTCACACGTAAGGTCGAGGGATCTTACTGGCTGAAGCTAGCAGGAGCACTTGAAACTGCGAAGTAGCGATGATTATATAGGAGATGTTGTGGAAAGTGGTCTGGTGTTAACGTTAACGTTGGAGATCATTCGACTGTTGGAAAGTGGACCTGGGATGGTGGGCGAATGAAGATTGTGGGGGAGACAGAGATTTTGGTCAGCAACACACCAACGCACTTAGCTTGTTGTATTTTTCAGCGCCAATCCGCTTGGAATCAGGCTCGGATTTCGGTATTTCTTAGTCGTGAAAATCCGTAATTTCCACCTTGTATTCTTGGGAAGCGTGCTTAGGGGGTTTAATTAATCAAGCGACAGGTTAGATTGGACCGGGCTCGGGGATTTATATATTAGGAGTACAATAAATGATGGAATCACTTATTAGAAGCTTTAAAATTCTCGCCGTAATATGCATTAATTAAGTAGGCAAGTATAGCTAGATACATGCGGCCAATATACTCCTTTTAAGGTATATCTAGTATATATAATTAACCAGTAAAGTCTCGAACATTATCAATCATAAGTAAAACGAAGGTGGGTTCCCGGGTCTGGTTTACGAGACAAGTAAAATAGGTCGTTACAAATCAGAGGTTGATCAGAAACTAGACTATTTATAGTGCGCTATCTGGACTTGCGAGATTCTCGGCCACTACATAAGTTTAAATATGCAATTGATATCTAGATGCTTTAGTTGAATTGGAGTAAAATAGTAATATATTCCGAATCCAAGTTCCCGCACAAAGCATAAAATAGTATAGTACTATTGCAATACTTAACCGTATTGATGTTAATGTTGCAAACCCTTGCATCTAGCTAATTATAACTATCCAATTTCACCCCATATACCATAAACTAGGTTTATACATAACTTCATATGATCGTAGTCTCGTACAATCGTACCTAGACCTGCCAAGTAGATAGGTATCTCAAATATACAGAAACAGAAACAAAACAAAACGCCAATAATAATACAATATGCATGATGCCCCCGCGTTACTCAATTAATTATCTTATCCATTCCGTCACTATGACTGTCTCAATGTCATCACCATCGAACCAATCAATATACACAGTCTTCGTAAGTATTTTCGTTTCCTTCACCGTCGTAGTGACCCTCACTGTTTTGGCTTCCTTCACCGTAGAAACCGTCGTTACAAGCTTCGTGACAGTCTGAGTCCGAGCGACTGGCATTTCCGTAACCGTAGTCGTAATTATAGCAGTACGGTTCTTTGTCACTGTTCTCCTCTTTGTAACCGTCCAAACGCAATCATTTCCGTTTGTGGTACTTATACTAGTAGGCTTGATTGGACTGACGTCCTGGCTCGTTGTTGCTGTTGTTGTCATTATTTGACTTGTGGTAGATGTTTCATCTCTTAAAGTTATTGTTTTGAAAGAGATTTCTAGGGTCGTGGGGCGCCCGTCCCTGCCGATTGTGACGAGGGTGTAGGGTAGGTATGAAAAGCTAAAGGCGGCTTTGAGAAATGGGATGGGGTTGAAGTTTAGAGATGCCACCGGTGTGGATGATATTATAATGAGATGGAGGAAGAGGAAGGGGAGAGAATATAGAAAGCGCATGATATCCAGTATCCCGAATTGGCTAGGCGTTAAAATTATATAATTAAGAGGATGTATCGATCTTGCGATATGATCGTCGATCGCTCGAACGTTCGGAGATATCCAGATATGAAAATTTAATCCGACGTGCGCGATAAGAGGTTAAATTATCATATAGGTGATATTTGAAATGGCTTTCCCCGTGGCCATCTCGTAATATATATAGCTTTAAGCTTTGTCGAAGGCTTCTGGTCTTTTATAAGAATGGACCTCGCCAGTATCCGGAGGCATTACCGCCAATTCATAACTTCCAAACAAGTCACCATGCACTAACTAGGCATACTTCAATTCAAAGGGGGGCCTTCTAAGGCCGGGAGCAATTAGCCTCGAGACCAGGTGCAGGGAAGGGCAGGGAGACTAACTAATACCAAATTATCCACAAGCCATTAACATGACGTCCATCAACATGCACTCGAGCTCTCCGTACCTCGTGTTGATGCACTGTTAATTGTATATTATACCATATGATGAGGTTGGCCATGGCTGGTAGATCAGATGTTTCAGCTGTCATGTTGAAACGCAGCTGCCTTTTTTCTGGAATGTTGTACTTTCCCCACACACAATCTCGATACAAATGCATACACAACCCTCGAGCATTCCTTAAGCTCGGGGTTTTCGACCAAAAGCGGTTTACCAAAAGGCTGGAAATTCTCTAAGGGGTAGAGCATACATATGCCATGAATTATTATAATTATAATTAATATATACTAAGATAGGAGATATACCACATGCGCATGCAATTAGAATGCCAAAACCTCCCAGATCTTGCTAGCCTCGAGACCAGATCTTACGTGTAAAAGTATCCCTCCCCCGCCATCTATAACCCCAACCCAGCCATCAATTAATACTCGTATACTCTAACCAACCGCCTCACTAAGTCCTCTTAATCTTCAAAACAAGCCAACTCAAAAGTCTATATCCAACAATGATAGCCACCAATATTCCAGCCCATTCTCCATTCTTCCCAGTTTTATACCCATAAACCGCTAACACGCCATCACCGTCAATCATGCATTTGTCCTCAAGCGGCGTAGAATACATGCAATGGCACCCCTCCCCACACTCATAATTCCTCCTTGAAAATTCATTTACCATCATACCCTGGAAGACATATGATTGGTAATCGATATACCTTGCCCAGTATTTCCAAAATACATTGAGTATACGAGGGCTGACGAGGAAGCCGCCGACGGACATCCAGAGGCCGTTTAGAAAGGCGGTGAGAGCGAGGGAGACGACGAAGATTGGGAAGAGAGAGGAGACGAAGACTACAAGGGATTCGGCGGCTAGAAGGTCGAGGAATAGCCACATTACCCAGTACAGGAAGGCGGTTCCGGAGGGGTAGAAGTTTGAAAGCCAGTATGAAACTACGGAAAATAGTATAGCAATCAAGACTAGTGGTTGTTAGTTGTAGTCCTACAATTAAAATATAGCCCTAGAGGAAACTTACAAAGATAAGGTACTCCGATGAAGAAATTGGCGATTATGAATGAGGTTGGGCCATAAAGACCGTTATTCCGCTCTTTGATGAAGGTCGCTCGGTCCTCGAGAAATGCTGGAATATATGCGACCGCCATGAAGGACATGAAAGCAGAGCCAAAGAACTAAAGATCATCATACAATCAATATTAAAAACACGTTGAGCTTAGAACGTAGAAGCGGGTTACTTACGATTGCATTGATGAATGGTTGAATCGATTCCTGATGAGTTGACAATCGAAGCCAAACTGTTCCCATCATAATCGCAAGACCTATTTGATGATTAGTTTCCCATACATATATACAGAGTAGTAAGGAGTTAGCGAGGAGGAAATCTTACCCATATACATGGCAATACGAACACCATACGCAAACACATCGCGATAACTCTTAACAAAGCTTCGATGTAATAGGACAACCGGTATTAGAATCTGAGTTGTCTTCCCTTGAGCTTCCAATACCACATCGGTTTTGCCATTCTGGGCCTCGACAATTTGGTCTTTGATCGCGGAGAGTTTTTCAGAAGAATTCCATTTTGATTGAATGACTTGCAACTGTTCCGATGCTGCTTGCTTATCTTGCGCAAAATCGACATTGATGATGTCCAAAAGGTATTCGGCTGGATTATAGAAATGCGGGATTTCGTGCCCGATAGAAGCGAAGTATTCGCGAGTCTCTGGGAGTGAGCCCGAGTAGCACATTTTACCTTGAGACAAGAGATAGAGAGAATCGAAGAGGTTGAAGGTCGATGTAGACGGTTGATGAATCGAGCAGATGACGATGAGCTATCCGAGACCCCAGTATCAGTATTAATACATATGGAACGAAAATACTACAGAAAAAGGGAGAAACTTCAAGAACGAACCTTATTTGACTTGCAGACATTCTTTAGATAGGACATGACTTCATAACTAGCAGCTGAGTCCAATCCACTAGTCGGCTCGTCAAGGAATAGGATTTTTGGACAGGTTATCAAGGAACTGGCTACACCAAGTCGCCTCTTTTGTCCTCCACTTAACCCTCGACGAATTGGGGTTCCGACAAGCGTAGTTTGGTTTCCGACAAGACCAAATGATGCGAGTAGGGCATCAATTCTTCGCTTTCGTTCAGCAGCAGTGATCGAACTATATTATGTATTAATGTATTAGCCACCGACGATAGATATATTACCGAATGGAGTGCTTCTACATACTTCGAAAGCGCCAATCTTGCAGAAAAATCCAGAGTCTCTCGTGCAGTCAAGCTACCAATGAGGTGGTCTTCTTGCTCGACATAGCTACTGATTTTTCGAAATTTTGTTTTTGATAGTTCACCGCCATTTACGAATATCTTCCCACTCGTCGCTATCTTATGCGTTCGACCGGCGAGAAGATTGAGCATTGTAGTTTTCCCGGATCCGCTGGGCCCCATAAGGGCGACCATTTCTCCTATTATTTTCCAATTCATATGTTTAGCAACGATTACTTTCGAATAATTAGGTATAAAAACTCGAAATAGGTCCTCTCGAACATACCGGCGCGAATAATTCCGCTAACATTGTCAAGGATCTTCTTTTCTTCCTTAGAACCCTTCACAGGAACCGTAACAGTCAAGGAATCAAACGACAAAGTCTGGACTGTATCGTTCAACAGATGCGCATCCGCAAGCGCTTCGACATCCGCCAGTGTCCCATGCTGAGATTCGGGTTTCGTTGTTTCCATATTGGTAAACAACAACGGAATAAGGTTATTGTCGCACTAGTCAAGGTACCGTTTTTACGTTTTAAAATTCCAACAAATGCAGGGCAGATGCACCTTCCCGAGCTTAAGATCCAAAAAAGAGACGAATGGGAACTGGCGTAGATGGCGTGCTTTCTAGAAAACTATAGAGGTCCTTAGGATCTCTTATAAAACGAGGAGGCTTGGCTTACGAACGGGTTTGCTGACCGACCTGGCCATTACTTATATAATCCGCATATGACGGCCTGGCCTCCCATCCTTTCTCCATTTAAACTTAAAAACCCTGGTCTAAGTTCGACTGCCAGTAAGTTCGCATTCGGGACATGCCCTACTGTGTAGGCACTAACTAGCACGCGCGGCTGACGATACCCAAAGATCCAGCCAGTCTCGTACGCTCGTATCCCGAATGCGATCCAGCCCTGCCGGGCTCTTGAAATTACGGCAGCAAAAACTTGGAAACTTGCTATCAGTTGCATTAGAACGAGCCACTAAATTTCCAAAAGAACACACAAGCTTTGAAGCTTTGTCACCAATGCTGGTCAGTCTAGGCCCGAATTGCGATTTTAGCGTAGTCAGCAATGCCAAAACGGCTATTTCACCCGATGTTGCACGGTCCTACCGTGTTCCCGATAAGGCCTCGTCCTCAGCTGAAAAGAAGTTTGGAACAACATCACGGAAAAAGTCACCAGAAACTCGCCAGAAACTCACCGCCAATAGTCACCGGTAACAACTTTTATCCTGCATGCACGGCGCACCCGTTTACAGTTAATTCGGTATCAGACCACCAAATTTCCGGCCACCGAGAGCGGCTCAGCCGGGTTATATAAATGTTTGGGGTATTGAAAGCCTCAGCCGTTCTAGACTAACGAAATAAACACTTGAATTACAATGATTTCCAATCCAATTACACCTTAAGCCATAAATTGAGCACACCCTTTGCATATTCTACGATCTCGTCCCCACCAAGTTTGCTTTCACCGTACAGACGGTCGACGAATGATATTGGGACTTCAGCCACGGAATATCCCATTGCCCTTGCCCGAACCATCATTTCCTGCATGATATAGTTGATTAGCTTGCATGTCCAGCAACGACGTGTCAGTTGGTGTTATAAGGCTGAACCAACCATCTGGAATGTGTAGCCCTTGCTCTCTGTGCTCTTGATAACACTCTCCAAGACGGATTTCTTGTACAACCGGAAACTTCCCGTCAAATCGCTCACGTTCGGCCGTAGGACAACGCTGGCAAAGAGGTTGGCACCCCTGCTAACCAGCTTTCTCTTGAAATCCCAGCCGTAAACCCCACCGTCGCCTGCATATCTTGTACCGGTGACGATATCATAGTTCTTAGATTTCTGGACCTTGATCATTTCAGGGATGAATTTGGGCTATATCGAAAGTTAGTCCGAGTTATGTGTACGATCCCGATGAACTGGTTTTCATATTCAAATACGAACGTGGTGACTGAAATCGGCATCCATGATGATAACATAATTGCCTGTAACGAACTGAAGTCCGTGAACATATGCAGTTCCGAGGCCCAACTTTCCAGCTCTTGGCTTCAAGATAACATTCGATCCGTATGCCTTGATCAATTGGTTTGCAACATCCTGAGTCCCGTCCGGCGATGCATCGTCGACAATGATGATTTCCCAATCGAGTTTACTACACCAACCGGAAACCACTAAACGTTAGAAATAGAATTGTGTATTGTCATAGAACTACATAGTTTACGCAAACGGGGGCTGGAGTTGTTGGAAGGTGGATAGAGATATGATGGAACAGGGATAGCGTACGCTTTGGTGAACGTCTTCTCGAGCAGCCAAATGATGATGGGCAAGTTGTTTCGCTCGTTGTAGGTGGGTAATATTATCGAGTACTTGTCGCCGGCCATTTTGGAGTATATCGGTAACCTTTCTTCGGGTGGTGGGGGTAATTCGTGGGATCTGGAATGATTGTCGATGCAATGGATGGTCGCGAATTGAAGGGGTCTCGTGAAGCCAGGCTGTAAGTTAACTTGCGCCCGGGCAATGGAGTTGTTGCCAGGTCGCGTCAATCAGCCACAAACAGGGTAACAATCAGCAGGGAACCTCACCTCCAACGCATTCAAGTCGTGGCGCTGTCTTCCTGGTAATTATCGTCCAAGCTCTGGGATATTCCTTTTCCGATTCATTCGTCATCCATACTACAGCAGGCTGAAGTATCCTAACCATGAGATAGTTACGACGGACTAGCTTTGGCAAGCTAGAATAGCCTACATTACATTACTCCCGAGAACCTACCATACCAACTTCTCACGATGTTCAAACGGCAAGCACATACCCCCACCTCCTCGGCATCCATAGCCCAGGCGGGGATGGTCCGGTCGACAAAGGACTGGAGCAAAACCACTACTTCAAAGCCGCTAGAATATGGCTTAGCATCCAAAGGGGACACAAGGTAGTTCTTTTCTCCCTCATCCATATTCTTATAAACTTGCTCATGTATACCTTACCAGGTTGGCCGACTATTCGAACCAAGAATCCTTCTTCCATACTATCCAAACCCGTTATTTGACCCATATCGGTTCCTTCCCATCAGTGCCTGCTCTAGATGAGCAGCTAGCCGCTCTGTCCATAGCTTCGAATAATACCTACACGCCTCCTTCATCCACATCTACATCCCAAGCCTCAACTCCAAAACCCGATCTAACAACTCTTCAAAACATTCTTATGGATATGCGTAAACTCAGAGAAGGTTTATTAGCCTCAAACCGTCAAGACGATTTCGCAAAATCCGCATATCTGTTTATCGTCCGTGCTGCGATTCTAATGTCACACCCAGAATCGTATTTCCCATCAATCCGACATCTTCTATACGTTCTTCATAAACAAAACCCACTGTCGAACCCGGAGATTAATGAATTAGCTGGGTACTTGATGCTCCACCTTGCTTGTTCGACAAATTCGTACCATGATGCATACGAAGTTAGAAAGACTTTTAGGGTTAGAGATCATAGAGTTGATATGGCGATTAAGGCGTTGGTTGCGGGGGATTATTGGCTGTTCTGGAGTACGAAAAAGTCGGTAGATGGGTATAAGAGTAAAATTATGGACCGAGCGGTTAAGGACGTCAGGAAACATGCGCTGAAATGTGTAGGTAGTGCATACCATACGGTTGATATCGAGTTTTTGGAGGGATGCACGGGTAGGGAATGGGAAGTTCTTAAAGAGGAGTTTACAATTGCCTGGGAGGAGGACGCTGGCAAAATAGTCATCAGAAAGAGGCCCGATGCGAAGGGCAAGACTTTGAGTGTCAGGAAGGAAGAGAAGAGAGAAGTTAAGAAGGAAATGACCGAACCATTCGCCAAACCGAAGGCGGAGCCAACGCCAAAACCGAAGGTTGAAGCCTCGACGGGCCTAGCAGCAAGTCGGTGGGCTACTCCAAAAAATGAAAGCTCTCAGCAAAAAGACAGTTGGACGCAATGGGGATGACACCACCAGCCATGGCCTATTTATTTCGGCAGTTTATTACCTTTTTAGTTTAGCGGGCGCTGGCGTTTTTTGGTGTGTATATGATGATATCATGATGCATTTTATCTTGAAATATTATATTTATAGTAGGCAAAATCAACAAAGAGGCCGACCGGAACTCCATCCCTTTGCAAAGTGTATCACAAAAACCAATATGAAGGCCGAAGGGTCAAGAACACAAGGGATTGCCACCACGGAAGGATATCATACATATCCACTCACTCCATCAGGTCCCCCGGGTACCTCTCGTAGTGCCGCTGGTTCCTCTAGGAATACCTCTCCCAATGCCAGACCCCGGTCTTCCAGAATAGCGCCCTAATCCAGATCCTCCACGAGTACCTCTTGTCGTTTGAGATGTACTCGAAGACGATGTTGATGCTCCCGTAGACGTAGTAGAACCCGGGCGACCGTAGCCACTGCTTGTCCCCCTACTGCCGGTTGTCTTTCTTCCAGTACCTCGTCCTCCCCTTGTACCCCTAGTGGCCGCTGCTGTTACTTGTGCAGCAGCAGCAGCTTCCCTCGCTCTTGCTTCTCTTTCCCGAGCAATGGCTGCTTCTTCTTCCTCTATCCTCCGTCGTTCAGCTTCTAGTGCTTGTGTCTGGGCTTCTTCCTCCATTTCTGCTACATCGTTCGAAGAGCCTTTCCAGTGTCCGTTTAGGATTATGCGAGACGTATGTGTCGATTGCGAAAGTATTTGCGAGTATTTGTCTAATAAGAAATTGGCATTGTCCACCGCCTGATTTACTGTCTACACAAAACAATGAGTTAGAAACAACCTCCACGAAACCAATAAACCAGTGGTACCAAATCCATCATATACATACCCCCATATTCTCCATCGCCGTTTGTAAGCTTTTATTAACCGCAACAATTAATCGGTTTACTTTTCTAACGGATTCTAACTCTGCCCTTAAAGCACCCTCACGAGCTTCCTCGTCTGCGACAGAGGACCTGATGCGATTCCCAGGGTCTTCGGATTTAACGTTGACATGATCGTTATCGTCAAGGTCCATATCCATGTCTAGATCTGGTAGAACTTCATGATGCCCTGTGGGATCTTCAAACGACATCATCGAAGACTCTTCCAATTCGCGTGTGAAAGAGTCGTCGATATCCATGGTGGGGGCGGGGTGGTTGTCTTCTTTTTTTTGTTTTGTAGTTTTGCTTGACAAGGGAGTTTAGGTGGAGGAATGTAGATTGAGTGTTTGTATGTTGGTCTTTGGATGGGTGGGTATTTTCATTATCGAGGGTTCGGAGGGATACCTTAGAGGATGTTGGCGATCATGTTACTGTGTGCGACAGAAGCTGTGGGTTATGGGTGTGTGCACGAGAACTGGTTGAAGCAATTGGCTAGCAGAGCGCGCCACCAACTTGCAAGCTACCCTTGTCGAGAGCTTGGAAATACCACATTGCCAACACAGAAAATTGAAAATAACTTTGCATTAGTTATTTTGACTCAGTACGACCAATATGGATAGGAGGATAGTAGGATATAACAAAAACTTGGTTAGTATAGATTTGAAGTAGTCTCGCCCCCAGGATTTGAGGCTATTACGAGGCTGCTATATTGTGAGTTCATGGAATACATGTACATGGATGAGGTTTGAAGCTGAAGGCAATGCAATAACAATAGTCGCACAACCCAGCCAGTAGTCGCTAGGTACAAAACACCATGTACCATGTCTTGTCTGAAAGTTAGTTTCTTCCCAAAAATCATGAAGTATAGAGTAGTAGCAATTCAAATCACATTTATTATATTATACTCTATCAATTACATCGCTCTATGCGTTTGGATTATGTCCTGTTCGATCTGTTGTTTCGTTGTTCTTGAAAAGGTCGAGATCACCACCCATGGTAACAGGGCTTCAACCCGGCCCTTATCGATAGTGGTGGAAATGCCAAGAGTTTCCAGAAAGAGTTAGAAGATTTGTCTGTTGTCTGACTTTTCCCTACGTGACCTAAGAACTCTAACCCAGCTCTTCTACGGTTCTTCATCTTTACCTCCATTTCATCTACGCATCTTCATTTTTAAGTTTCTTTCAAATTTGCAGATATCCTTATCTGTGGTGCGACATATTGAGGTATTCTAGCTTCGCTCACCTTGATATACTTCTTTAGGTGGTAAGTGAGGACCCTTAGATTTAGTAATCTCTTTCAGCTCCTAGGGCGATACTTGGAGCCGAGACTGGGCAATACTATACCTTATAATATCGTCGAGATCCTCTGATTGACTGTACTTACCAGACTGACGAAGTACTTGATTGAAAATCTGCAGGTACCTATTTTCGATAGGCCATAAGACCCTGAAGCAATTAAATATGCCTGCTGCTGCTGCTCGAACGGTTCCAAAGTCTTCTCTTCGGTGGTCGAAGACCCAATCGTACCCTCGGTCTTCGAAAAGACCCACATGGTAGAAACGCCTGAAGATACGCTAGATCGGTTGCATTATGGTACAACTGGCTTTCACTTGCTTCTCTAACCTCGAGAATGCATAGCCTGGGCCGAAGCACCTGGATTCAAGGCTGTACGAGACCAGGCTATTCTACAAATCGGTTTCTATGGGTGTTGCCTGCGATCTTGGTGACATCAACCACCAAGTGACCTTGCAAGGCTGGACTATCACTCAAGAGTGGAAGAAGATAGGCTGCCAGCCGCTTCAAATTCACACTATTCCCAGTATCTGCTATACTGTAAGGTGTATACCTATATGATCGTATACACGGTATATGCAGTATGGTAGTATTAGTGCTAATGGTCTCTTCCAGCCACCAAAGAATCCATGTAAAGCATCACACACCCTATGGCCCCACCCCATATCCGCTCTCAAAGCATATGCGAGACAGGGTCCATAAAAATGGCGTTATCTGACAGGGTTCTAAGATGCCGTTCATCAATGAGGCCAACCTCTTCGTTAAAATGTGTTCGCGGAAGCAATGCCAAGACCAAGGCCATTGCCACAAATTGGGAGGCTGGCACAGTGAGGAAGAGGGAAAAGTGAGATGTGTTGTCTCCCAGCCACACACATTTTGTTTTGATGGTTTCCTTTCTGGGCAAGCAAATGTAAACAACAACAGCACAGCAACCACCGCAACGCTGTTTCTACCTCAACGTCCACTCATCGCTCAAACTACCACATCCTACCGACGCTCCCGCTACCCCCCCATCTTCAATATCTCCGACCGCCTGAGGCTCTTCATACCAAGGGGGGCCTAGAGGACTATATCAAATTTGTCACCGATTTCTGATAGAGTCTTGACAGCCAGCCAGTCTTTTGGCTGCTTGTCTGAGTCTAAGAAAGGGGCATTTTTAAATTGTAAATCTTGCCTCCTCATCTACACCATCGTTGTCGCTGTCGCCTTTGATCTACCGACATCTATTGGACCCACTATCGCCAACAGCCCTGTCGACGACTTCACCGACACGTACTGCCACTTGAGTCAAACGAATACAGGGCAAGCCCTAATAATCATCCGTTGGATATAGAGATATTGCGCCAGAGACCCGGACAACTCGTGTCTGCCTTTGAAGGAGGAAATTTTTGTCAAAAATATTTTATTTCACTTCCCACCCCATCTCCCATCGATCCCCTCTAACCCTCACCTCACCAACCATCCCCCCCATCCCCCCACCATCCTGTTCTACAACCAACCTTTCATCTCCATCTTGTTCTGCTATCATCGACCCCCAATCTTAATTTACCATCTTAAAGATCGCGCCAGAGGCCAACAGGCACGATGGCAACCACCCCACCCCCACGTTCTCCGATTGAGTGCCCTGGCGCTCCGCTCTGGCCTGCTAAGTATGAGCAGCCTCATGAAGTCCGTCGTTCTGGCCGACTAGCTAGCCAGAAACCCAAGGGTGAGCCATCGACCCCGCGTCGAGACCAAAGAATAACCCCTCCCCCTACCGCAAAGAAAGACAAGTCCGTTGGACGCAGTCTCTCTGGTGCAAATGCTCCACAAACCCCCCTGAAGAAGAAGGCTGTTATGCCCGTTACTCCGGTCTCTGTTGCAAAAAAGTCTGCTAAGGCGGCATCTCTTATTTCTAAATTCTCTTTGGATCAACGCTCCGACAACCCCATCGCAATTTTCGAGGATTCTAACGCCCGTCTTCCAGAAGCTATTGGCGAGGATGAAGATGACGTCTTCAAAGGTGATGAAAAAGAAACCAAGTGTAGCAAGGTTGCTCCTGTTGAGGAATTCACTGAACCAAACGAAGAAGGGATGATGGTTGTCCAGTAAGTATTCCTACGACCTATATCGTCCATATAAGGATACGTTGATCTAACATGAAGGCTATAGACGTGGACGACGCACCTGGAAAAAATTTGAGGAAAATCCCATCTTCACTGGCCCACTCCCACGCAAAAATCTTTTTGCAAACTACCCTAAGGTTTCCAAGAAGAAGGCCCAAGCTCCTATGCCTGAAGACACCCTCGCCCCTCTCGCTACTGACGATGAGGAGACTGAGCGAGAGGATTCTCCGGAGCCTAGCGGTCGCATTGTTCGTTTCGAAGAGACTAAAACCAAGGTCTCTACATCTGTCTCTACGTCTGTCACTACTACGTCTGTCACCACATCTCGTGCTATCGCCACTCCGGTTTCTGTCAAAAAACCTAAGACGCCCCGCCATGTCAAAAAGGACGTCGCTATCGACACGGCCTTTATGACCCCTCCTGAGACTTTGGGACGTGTCCACACCATCGACGTCGATGCCGCGGAGTCTGCTGGAAGAAACACGGTCAAGCGCAAGTTGTCTTACGCGACAACTGGCCCTGCGACACCAGAAGCCACCCCGGCCAAGAAACGTGGCAAGGCGGCATCTGGGACCTCAGTCCCACGCACGGATGATCCATTCGCTTCATCCCCAACTCGTGCCCGCCGCAGTAGTGGGAAACCTCGTGTCTAGACATGAATACCCTCGACACAGATTTGACAACTTGGCCGACGAGCTTCTTTGGGTTTTATTTCCTTTGTTTAGGGACGCTATTTCTTTTACTCTTCTGCATTAACGACCTTCACGAGATTCTTTTCCGGTATTCTGGCGTTCAGTCTGGGATCCTGGAATCTGCTTTTTCAACATATTGTCTTTCCTTTGAAACCTCCTCGCACTACTCAACCTTCTCCGAACACACCGAATCCTCACATTCTCTCCCGACCTTCTCTCTACTCAATACAACTCAAACTTAAATACCTTGTTCATTTCCTCGCCTTGTTCCATTTTCCAGCGCTGTTATTTGGTTCCTTTCCAAAAACTTATACACTGCTTTTCAAGTTCCTCCTTTCCTTTCCTTTCCTTTCCTTTTATTTTATTTTCCTTATCTCTTTTATTGCTCGCACTGTGATGAAACCAAGGTTTCGGGCGATTCTGTTTTTTTTACTCTGCTGCTGTGATAGCATCTTTTTTTATCGGTTCCCGGGACTGTTCCTACCCTCGAGTTTTCATTGTTCCACAAGTTTACCCCTCCCTCATCGATTCTCCCTGTAACTGTAGCTAATGGCCGAGTTCTACCAGGACCCAACCCTACCATTGCTATCCCCACTATTCAAAAAACTGCGTAACTCTGTTATTACTGATTTGTTTTTGCTTTGTCCGTTTTCTTGTGTGTTTTTTTACTACTCAGGTCAGAGCAGGGAAACCTTATGAGGGATGTCCTCTTTTCCATCCCGGGAACCGCAATTCATGTATAATAGTTTCATGCCTACCGAACGCTTCAGCTAAGTCGCTGAGCGAACGAGAAGCATATTAGGAATTAGGCTAGCTTATTAAGTCAACCAAAGGCAAATAAATATATTCGAAAGGGATATCCTTCGTATGTTACTTCGGTCAAAGAGGTAACGGATGTTTCTTGAGGTCTTTTTTAATTAAATCTAGATGTTCCATGTTTAGAACCTGTAGACAAGGCAGCTATCTTTTTTTTTTTCCCTACGTGAATCTCCGAATATATGAGCTAGCTACGTAATTTGCATACGAAGCTTAGTTTGATGTTAATATGAGCTCTAATATATTATCATATGCTTCGATGTTGCTGCTCAGGGTATTGTCATCCTTTGGTGGCCACGGGTGTATGGGCGAACTAGCAGTACAAGCTCCCAACGATTCTTTCGGATGGGACCATTGAATTGCTTCTTACGAGCCGGTATCCGAGTCCCATTGATTCCAGACCAGCGCGGGTGCTTGATTCTGCCAAGGTCTTCGAGAAGGGCGCTCACTCGTGCGACCAGTTTAACTAAACATAACCTAGTCCGAATTGCATGTGCCTACTCCCAGTAACCAGGTACGAGTCTATTCTATCAAGAGCTTGTTCTTCACTTTAAATGCCATGTGCGGATGAGTACGTCAGTCCAAGGAAATTTGCATGGTTTTTGCTGACGCTTGTCGCCGTCAGAAGCGATCGCGATATATAGAAGCATTGGATAGGTAGTAGGGCAAATTGACATGGATTTGGGGATCAAAATCAGGGGATGGTGGTGTATTCATCACATGCATGTCTTTTTCGTTAGATTCTTTAGTTCAAGGTTGTCCGCTTTTGTTGGGGCGTGGGGTTAATGGGTTTTTTCCCTATTTTAAAAAAAGGGCCCAATGGCTTCGATTCGTGTTTGAATTCTGTTGATGGAGCACATGCTTTTTTAGTTTATTTTATGGGTATTCGTGGCATGTGGGTTTATAATCAAAGATGGAAGTTGCAGTTGAGAGGATTATGATAGTGTGGGGATTGCTGTGCTATAGCTTGAGCTTTTTGATACATCCTGATCCTGATCAATCGATATCTTGAATTCGAAGCCTTAAATTCACCTGGGAGTCCATCTCCAGTTTTCCACATTTCGTCTTTGTTAGTCTTTTAATTTTTCGTCCGATCTCTTGATTCAGATAACATCATCCAACTTTATTTTCCATTGAAAGACCCTACAAGCGTCAGAGCTACCATATTTAAAGACACCATGGAAGTCAGAAAGCGAACAGCGAAACAGGAGAAGCATCCTCATCACCACCATTTTTCCGCAAGTGATGTGGTCCATGAAACCGCTGAGGTTAGTACAAACCGTCAATCGTATTAATTAACCGTTTTTATACAACGGTCTTTCCCGTGGAATCCATGGATATCGATATCGCTAACTCGAGCATTCCAATGCATGTGTATGCAGGTCACACGGGAAGTAGTCGAGAAGGTTGCTGAGAAGTTGACGTGCATGTGGGACGAACTCCGTAGGTTCCAACAAGCTCCAACACATATCTGGAGAGGAAGATTACTAACTAGATTGGGCGGAATTGTTAGAGGAATGGCAGAGGTGAGGATATTTAGGTCGATGGATGGATATATGGATTTTGGACGTATATGGGTGGCTAATGTGGGTTTAGGGATAATCAATTTATCAGATCTGGATATCGGTAGGAAATATCTCTTTGATATTCATATATGTCAGAGATGAAATACAGGAACTATACTAATTATTCACTTTCCATATAGCCCAGCGACAGCGTCATATCTTAAGTCATTGAAGTCATTATCATATTGGCATAATGAGACCGTAAACATTTATAGCCACCTTCTCGGGGCCGTCTTCTTTGGGGTTCTATCTTCGATCCTCTACGCCACCTTGTCGCCTCGGTACCCATCAGCAAGTACGGGAGATATCTACGCCTTCCTTAGCTTTTTCATCGGATGTCTGTTCTGCCTGGGCATGTCGGCGTTTTACCATACCGTAAGCAATCATAGCCATGAAGCGGCAAAATTATGGAACGTACTGGACTACGTGGGGATTGTGGGGTTGATCACCGGGAGCTTTATCCCGAGTGTTTATTATGGGTTTAAGTGCGAGACGCTTATCAGAGATGGGTATTGGATTATGGTTAGTATCATGGCATCCACGAGGCTTTACGCATATGCTTTGCTGGGAAGATGGCTAAAATAAGGGTATAGATCTGCACTATTGCGGTTTCATGCGCCACAGTATCCGTTCATCCGCATTTCAGAACACCAAAGTATCGTCCTGTTAGGACATCGATGTTTGTAGCTATGGGACTCTCCGGTGTGCTTCCCATAGTACATGGGATACAGTTACATGGGATTGAGGAGGTGGAGAGGAGGTCGGCGATGAGTTGGCTGTTGGCGGAAGGTGCCGCTTATTTGGTTGGAGCGTTGTTGTATGCGGCAAGAGTCCCGGAGAGGTTGATGCCCGGGAAGTTTGATATCGTGGGGTCGAGTCACCAGATATTCCATATTTTGGTGCTAGTTGGTGCTGGGTGTCATTTGAAGGGGATGGTGGTGTCGTTTGATAATGCTCATTCGAATGGTGTTCAGTGTCCATGAAATGGAAATTTACGGGGTTCTTGGTGCTGGGGTATCGGTCATGGGAGTGTCATAAAATATAATAGATGTCGATTAGATAGTTACTTAGGTACTCATAGAAGTGTATTGGGGTCTGGTTTCCCTATAACAGCGCAGCAGAAGTGGTCTGGCGAGGGGTATAAATGAGGGATATAGACGAATATGATTGGTATTTGATGATGATAATGTAAAATATCTAAAAGCTAGAATCCAGTAAACCCCGTATAACACCAATGAGTGGCCCATGCGTTCAAGTCGTTCCAATGCATTGCCATATCTCAATCAACGGATACGCCGGGTATATGGTTTATTTCTTGCCAGACCTAGAGATAATCGTTAGTACCGAGCTATAGAGATGTCGATGCAATGTATTCCGGTGTAGCATGAGCCCACTTCTTGATACCGCTACCACCCATGGGGCCCTTCTGACCGGCTCTGTAGATTATACTCGTTAGAAGAGGTTCTTTGGGAAATGAGGGGTATGTGCGGGTTCTTACTTCGCCTGTGCCGCTTTCAGTTCGGCAGCCTCTGCACGATTGTCATAATATCAGTCTCAGTCGTTATTTCAGATTGTTCTGTGACACTCTTGAAGCATACCCTTCTTCTGCCTTTCCTTGAAGGCGAGATCATCCTATATGATACGTCAGTAAAAACAGGTCCTCGAAAGGTTTGAGATGGTTCAATCACTAGGCAGGGGCATGTGATGAATCATACATCATCGAGTTCCTTCTTTTCCTTCTTTGGGGCCTTCAACGGCTTTGCCTTTCCTCCTTGACGTCCGGACATCTTTTGTATCCTTTCTATATGAAGCCTTCAAAGGACTCTGAATGTGGGTTGATTAATGTTTGGTGAAAAAGTTTTGCGAGCTGAATCTGATGGGCAAAACAGAAATTCGAATGAGGTTGGAGGGCGCTTGCTAATAAAGCAGCTGCCAAGAACGATCGACGCACACAACCTCAACTCAACGCCATCGAAGAAAGACGACTCATTTCACTTGTATTCTCGTGTTTCTCCTCATTCTCGCCCCTCATCGACTACAACCATCTCCATCCTCCGAGTTCTTGTTATATTTGATGCTATTTTATTTCGACTCTTGCCATCAACGATAACTTCAAAGGAAGGGGAGGGTCAAGTCTACGTGCTCTTTGCTGGTAGGGACTTGCTGTTGCTGCTACACCACGAATTCTCTTGCAAAAGTTTATTGCTTTGTTTCGTGTAAAATCTCGGGAGTCTCTGGCTAACCATTCGATCGATACGAAATCTCATTCGTTTTGACCACCTCATAGAGCAATATCCGACATTGCTCTTGCTCTGAAGTTTTCAAGAAAGGAAAAAAGGCTTGGAAAGGAACCTAAAACCCGAGTCGGATACCCCCGGTCCTACTTCATCCTTCTTAGCCTCTTTCCCTCTGTCTCGATAGAGGAATTCAAAGATTAGGAATTCAAAGAAGAAGATGACGACGCATATGGATACGGGCAGTGCAATGCATGCCGACAACAAAGATAAAGTAGAGAAGGCACCACACTCGTTGCCTTCCGTTGATGACACTCGCGTTGACCGACAAAATAGTGAACATCAAGCCGAGACCCTGAAGAATAAACCTCGTCTATTAAACGGAGATCGATCATTATCCTCCGAATCCAACGGTACTCGAAAACGGCCCAGAAGTAGCGAACGGAACGGCGGTGTCGATAGTCGTCGGTATGGTTCGAAGCCACCGGTGCAACAGTTATCATCGGTGGCAAACCCGGTTCCACCAGCATTGATGGGACGGCAGCGAATCTCATACGCTGATATCGATACCATGGACACGCAACCTGATTTCTCAAGACCAATTGAGGCTACCGCACGTACGAATTCGATACGAGATTCTCAGAAGCTATCGCCGATTGCCAAACGCGCCAGGACACGAAGTAGATCCCGAAGTAGGTCCCGATCACGGTCGCCGGGTCGAGATCCTCGAAGGAACTATTATGGCGAACCACGATATGAACGAAGAGCTTATTTTGATAATCGAGGTAGTAGGTATGATGATCGACGGGAGAGGGAGAGGGATAGAGACCGCGAAAGTAGGGATAGAGATAGTGGTAGAAATTATCCAGTGAGCGAAAGAGATAGAAGAGGAAAACCACAATCCTCTTCTGCGAAATCATCTCAATCATTTACTAGAAATGATGCTGAAACTAGAAGACGAGAAGGTACTATTGGTTCTTCAGGGAGACAGCAGTCGCCGACTGCCGCCACTACAGGTTCCCCCGACTCGTCTAGCGCGTCGAAAAGAAACGAGAGAGCAGAGTCCGGCGAAGTTAGAAGGTCAGTTTCCCTCGGCAACAGTCATGTCCTGCTAGATACTGATCACAATTATTCATGCAGTGTATCGCCTAAGGAAACCGCCAAAGATGAACAAAAGGATGCTGAGATGGCAGAACCAAAGAAGCCCATTGATGAAGCCGCGATACTCGAAGAACGCAGAAAGCGTCGTGAGGCAATCAAAGCTAAATACAAAGGTCAAGCTACACCTCTACTTGTCTCTGCCTTAGCACTCAATACTCCAACTCCAACTCCAGCTACACCGACTCCTACAGAGGCAACGCCTCTTACTCCAGGTAGGCTTAAAAATCAAGTTGATATAGCATTTCATCGTCTAAGAGCACATGATACAGGTTCCCCGTTTGCTCCCTCTCGAGAGGAGTCCCCGGCCGAATTTTCAATTGAAAAGCAGGATAACACGGAAACCAAGCCACAAGGCGAGGATGACCCTTCTGCTGCAGACTATGATCCGAACGAGGACATGGACGATCGTATGAAAGACAGGCGATACCAGCAAGAGAACGAGGTTTCATCAGGTGCATATGATGAAGTCAAGACTAGCCACGACATTCTAATGCCCGAAAAGCCATCCGATGAGCCAGCTAAGGATGCCGAACAGGATGTCGATGAATTCGACATGTTTGCCGAAGGTGACGATGATGACATGTTCGCTCCAGCCCCCACCAGAGCCAGAGCGGTCAATCCCGCGGGAGCAGGAGCAATTATCGCACAAGCCAAAAAGATGGACTTTAATATGGTCGACGACTGGGACGATTTCGAGGGATACTATCGTGTAGTTCTTGGTGAACTTATTGATGGAAGGTATCATGTCCAAGCAAATCTCGGGAAGGGAATGTTTTCTGGTGTGGTGCGTGCGCTAGATACAGAGACACAGAAGCTCGTCGCCATCAAGTTGATTCGAAATAATGAGACAATGTAGGTCTGCCCCATCAAATATTGTTCTTCAGGGCGTATATACTAACATTCATGGTTTGGACAGGCGCAAAGCTGGACAGAAAGAAATTGACATTCTGAAGAAGCTAGCAGCTCACGATCCCGAAGACCGAAAACACTGCGTTCGTTTGGAAAGATCATTTGACCACAAAGGGCATCTGTGTCTCGTCTTCGAGAACCTAAGCATCAACCTTCGTGAAGTTCTCAAGAAGTTTGGCAGAGATATCGGTATCAATCTGCGAGCCGTTAGGACGTATGCTCAACAACTCTTCCTGGGATTGACACTGATGAAGAAATGCAATATCCTTCATGCCGACATCAAGCCGGACAATATCCTAGTCAATGACGGGCGGAACATCTTGAAGATCTGTGACTTGGGCTCGGCATCCGATGCGTCGGAAAACGAAATTACGCCGTACTTGGTCAGTCGGTTCTATCGAGCCCCCGAAGTCATTCTGGGAATGCCCTATGACTTTGCGATGGATATGTGGTCAGTAGGCTGTACCCTCTACGAGTTGTATACAGGAAAGATACTGTTCACGGGTCGAACGAACAATCAGATGCTGAAGAGCATGATGGAATGCCGTGGGAAATTCAGCCAGAAGATGCTCAAGAAGGGTCAGTTCACGCCAATGCACTTCGATGAAATGTTGAATTTTAGGAGCGTTGAGAAGGACAAATTAACGAACAAGGTACGTCTGGAGTCTCGCTATGACCACTTGGCAAAATCGTAAGTCGCATTCGCAAGAATTATCTCGCTAACTCTCTGTTTTCTTTCGTCACAGGACGTTGTTCGAGTCATCAATTTCACCAAACCAACCAGAGAGCTTAAACCGAGGCTCATGGCGTCGACCTCTGGCATGAAGGATGCGGAAATTAAAGAGCTGAATCTATTTATTGATTTGCTCGATCGATGCCTACAGCTCAACCCTGAGAAACGAATTACTCCACTTGAAGCTCTCAAACACCCGTTTATCCACAAGGCTTTGAAAGCTTAAGTATGCGCCTCGTTTTTCTTGGTTATGGCGTTATCTCGACCTGCATCTTGTCACGAATATTTCTCATATGTGTAGAGTTTTTTTGGGGGGGGTTTTTTTTTTCTGGGTTGAAAGTATACAGGGGTACTAATGTTCTCTGTCGCTTTCGCATTCAAAGAAACCCAGTGATCGGGTTGGTTACTGATACGGTTCGCTCAGCTCGCCTGACAGCTTGCAGGACGGCACGGGTCGTGCAGGATAACCTCGCCGTTTCTCCTGGTCTCATTGACGCCAGGAGATAGAATCTTCTTGTCACGGTCTTCTCTGATTTCTATTACTAATTATAGCGAGTGGATAAAAGTGGGTTTGTGTTTTAACTGCATTTACTTTGACTTCTAGCCTTTTGTATTACTTGCCGGGGTGGTTTCTACAATATACGAGAAAAGATACATATATATACTGCATGAAATTTAGATAAAGCTTCAACTGATCCAATAGAACCCGATAAATGCAAGGGGTGGTCAACTGCCTGCTGGCTGCCCTTTCTCTCTATCCCCCTTTCGTATTCGTCTTTGTTTTTCGTTTAGGAAGGCAGTTAGAAGTTAGGATGGGGATCATGGGACTCCCATCCTGCAGTACCTGTTTTCCGGTACCCGCACACATATCCATTCCATATGATTATATCGTCTAGTATGATTATGTAAAAAAACGCGGCCCTCCGCAAAGTTTAATGGTAGATCGAACGATGGTATAAAGGAACGAAAGAGAAAAAAAGCCTCATGATTTAGGTCCCTAGGAATAAGGAAGGCTGAACCCTGTTTAGCTCAAAGGAGTGTGTTTTTGTTTTTTTCTTTTCTCTTTCTGTTACACCATCTGACTTTCCCTATCCACTTTTTTTCTTCCCCCTTTGTTGAACGTATTTTTTCGTGATCTATTGTGTTACGATAATTAGATCTGAGAGGGTTGGAGTGGATCTTTGAGCAACATAAAAAAATAAAAAAAGAATGATGTTGAAGGATCTGCGCCTTGTTTACTATAACAGGATGGGGAGTGTTTCAGAAATTTCAGAAAAAGAGATGGTATTTTACTTGATTTTGCTATGGGAAGAGGGCTGAGGGGTCAAGCTTGTGTATCTATCTTTTGGTTTGTCTGTGTAACCGTGTTTGCGATTGGTGATACAGACTAGAGCCGGTAGTGAGTTGCTTTGTGGTTGGTGCTCCGTAAGGTAATCGAGCAATCTGGACGAAACGATATTCTCTTTTTCTTTTCTTTTTTTCTTTTTGAGGGGTGCAAATCAAAATGCATAAGGCTTGTTGGGCACAACGCAGTGGTTTGTGGTTTTTGTGGGATGTCAAGGCAGTTGAATAGTATGATTATCATTCGAACTTCGACATTTGTTAGTACGAAAATGTTGATTTGATCGAGATGATATTACTTGTTTCTGTTGTTTAGTGAAATTGGTGAGGTTAATGCGAGAATAGATCTAAATTTAGATTACTAGTATATTATTTTCCCTAACAAACTGAACTACATAATTATTAAATAAACTCGTATGGCACAGCTTCCTTTTAGTTGGTGATAACGTGCGCGCGCGCGAGGGGCTGGAAAACGAATGCAATGTATGCCGGTAAGTATTAAGTAAGTATGTAAGTACTATATATGTATTATCTTACTATCGCCTTCCTTGTTCGTTACGGACGGGGCTGCATATAGTTGTGTTATGCTTTTCGAATTCCTGTGCCGTTTAATTACTTCTGTAGTTAGCTAGCTTTGCGATGTAGCTACATTAACTGCTTAAGAAGCTGTGCCATATTTTTGATGCGGTTCCGGTTCCTTTCGGTACCTACAAACCGTTCTTTCGGAATCTTGAGTTTGTTGTTATTTATTTTATTTTTTTTACACTCATCTCCCTCGTCGACATGCATACGTATATGCCGGATAGTGGCACGGTTCCACCCGACGGCATGGTTTTTGGAAAAATCATGCTCGGGATTTAGGAAACCGGAGCAAGTCCCGTTGATATGCCTAGTTGTCCCTAAGGTTAACGGATCCTTTCACCCAAGAAGAAAAGAAAAAAAGCACGGAAACTTTCAAAAAAATATGATATCTTGTCTGACTGTTTTTGTTGGGTGATCATCAGATATTAGACAGTCGGATGACAATTGTTTGTAACATTATATCGTGATCATGACGCACACGCGGGAAAAGGAGTCGAGTGCTTAGTATGGCCGCATATGGCTGGTTTTTTTTGGTTTTTTTTAACTGCCACTATGTTAAGGATTTTATTTTATTTTATTTTATTTTATATGCGTTTTCCTTCCTTCCTTTAACGCTTTACCCTGCAGCCAATGGGGGGAAGCGCCGCCGTGCGGTAAAGGGTTCTCCGCGCCCTTTTACGGATATAGGATCCGAAAACTAGACATTTTTGCGGAATTAGGTTTTGGACTTATTTTTAATTAATTATTTTTTTTTCAATCCTTTCATAAGTTTAACGGGTAAGCCGATCAGTGATCTCGGAATTAATATCACCACTAAGGATCACCCACCCTTAAGCCAGCGGGGTGCAGTAGTGGGGTTTTGTGGTGGAGGTGGTACTCGCGCATACGGAAGATAATCTTCGTCGTACATACACGTACATACATTTATTCCATATCGACGGGATGTATCTATGTATGTATGTATTGTACTACGCTAGAAATATCCGTGCCGGTAGATATCGCATCCTTTTATTTTTGGGAATTTGGGGGGGAGGGCGCATTTTAGGTTAAGTTAGGGTTAAGCCTAGCTAATTCGTTAGCTAAACTAATGAACTAGCTGACTTTTAGCAGCACGGTTAGGCGGTATTTTCAGCTCTTTTTTTTTTAGTTTGATAATTCTTTTACATGTATTGTTTGATAATCCCTTTGCATATAGCCCCGTTTCGTTGCGTAACACCGTGGGTAACGGACCAGGCGGCGGCAGCGGCGGAGGGTGAAAAAATTTATAATAAAATCTAAATTTGTCGTTTTGCTTTGCTAAGTAACTAACTAAGTAACTAAGTGACTACTTAGCTTACTTGATGCGAAGTTGATTGTTTAATGTAATTGGATATTTCCAACTATCATGGCACAGCTGGCCTAGCTGGTCGGTTTGCAGTTCTGGGGCTAGTATGTGGTACCGACGGCAGATCAGCGGTTAAGTTGAGCTAAGATTGTGATGTTCTTCTTGTGAGTGGTTGGTTGGTTTTTTCTTAGCTGATTGATCAAAGTGAGCTATAAAATTGGAAATTGCGATTATTACAGTTACATTTTTGGAGGCCAGATGTACGTCAACAAGGCATATTTCCAGCTGAAGTCGGGATGATCGATGAGACCCCTCAGCTCGACCGCAGCTTCTTGTTTAGTATGTTGATGTCGAATTAATTGGAATCCCAAGGAATTTGTATACGTATGTAACTATATCCCAAGTCTCTCTTGGAAGTTAGAAGAAGTATTTTCGGATAGAGATCCTTGTAAATTATGATTCCGATCCTGCGATCATGATCATGGATCATCACCTGGATAGGAAAGTAGTTCCTTTAGACATGAGGTTGAGCTAGGTTAGCTAAACTTAGGATTTCGGTTTCTGGCTTATACGCGAACCTGCATAGCTGCATGTTGCCTTAAGCGAAACATGAGAACAGGCAGGGGTGTAGCTATCCGCCCCCCGCGAGTGCTGCTGCTCAAATAGAAAAGGAAAAAAAAAAGTATACAATGCAAATAGATTATGTAGCGACGTTCTGCGTTTGAGAGACGCCTTGCTGCCTTGCTGCCTGTCTTATCGTCTTGTCTTATTTGTTTCTAATAAGACCTCTTTTTTAATTTTTTTGACTTACGAATGCGAATGAAGGCAGGATGAGGGGCTAGGAGGGCTAACGTTGTCTTATTGGCATGATGGTTCAGATGCACTTTGTATATTAGGATATATTATGCAGGTAGTCATTTGAGAGATGCTTTTGTATAAGCGTTTTTACAAGGTATCTACTTACTCAAGTATCTACTTTGATGTACGGATGTACTTCCAAGATCAATATATCTAGCCTTCTTCACATGAAGAGGGTATACAAGTTTAACATTGTTAAACATGTTATACTTTTGAGATCTTTCCTGTGGATGCTTGACTTAAAAGACGGCACGACGTTGCCTTGCAGTGGCCTAGTAAAGCCAAGGCAGTCCATAAGGATGACAATTTGTGTACAGGACATCGGCAACGATCTCGGGTAGGAGATCCCTAAGGACTTCTCGGGTATGCGAGGCGAAGGGGGGGGGGCATCATTTGAAGAAAGTAGAAAGGATGCATATCATATCATCAATTCATCGGGTTTCGGTCTCGCTATCTCTCGTTTTTTTAAATTTTATAATTAGAAGCATTCTTCAAGGAAATTTAATGATCTTGCGGATACATGCCGTATTAGGAGATACTTTTGAAAGGTCTGATCCCACAGCAAGGAGCACAGCAATCGCGGCTGAAAAAGGTATCCACACGCACATTGCGTCGCATGTACTCCGTACTGTGCTCAACATTTTTTTTCTTCTAAAAAGACATTTGATACTTTTCATGATATCGGTTAACCAACATGCAACATGAGAGGGTTTCTTTTCTGCAAAGTGCTGGAGGCTTACAACATTCTTTTTAGGTAAAGAGCACCATCCCCCCCTATAGCTACATCTCGCATGTGTGTATGGTGGGGATCTCGGATGCATATGATAGTCTCAAAAAACAAATCCTTTGCATGACATGATATGTTAGCTTTTCCGAGAATTGGGAGGCCCCGAAAATATGTTGCCTACTACCCTACCTAGAGTATCCTAAAACGAGGTAGTTGGAAACCTATACGATTATGCACGTTAGTGGATTATGTATGAAGCAAAAAAGATATGTTATACGATAATTATGGTTGGGAAAGCTAGAAAAGACAGTTCCCCACATGTTGTTCCAACCCAAAACCTTTCCGGCTTCAGCCCTGAGCACAGCCTTTGGGTAACATGTCAACAATTTAATTG